CGGGCATACTTGGATATCCTATTAGGGAGATGGAAAAATTGAAGTTGGATTAGAAAAATGGAGATAAAACATTGGTGGATGAAGTTGGAGACAGTCTGTCATAACCTAGTTGTTGCAAATAGACTATAATAAAAAGATTTATAAAAAGATTTATCATCATCATCATCATCATCATCATCATGCATCTAGATAAAATACATGTGATCTGAGCAAAAGATTTTCTGCAATAAAAATGTGCTACTAAGTGGACCCTAAGAACTTATTTTCATCATAGGTGCTGCAGTGATTCAAAACCCTATCTAAACCATATTTAAAACCCTGGACAAACCCTAGACAAGGTTTGCAATGTCAACTGCAACTCACAATGGCAATCAAACAAGCATTAGGGCAGAAGAAAGCTCGTCTTAGGAGAAGCCGCCTAAAGCCTACCTTGCAGCAGCCTTGATCAGAGTATACTAACTTGATTGTTGCATTAACCAGTGAAATGCTGAAGTACTTCAGTTTCTTCATGACTCACAACAACAAATTAACAAGTAATATGGCAGAGGAAAGCTCGTTTTGGGACGGGCTGCCTGAAGCCTACTCGGATCAGCCCCAGTCAGAGTTTACTGACTTGGTGGTGGCTTCGACCAGTAAAATGCTGAGATTTTTGCCCTCAACTCCGACTCCAATTATTGGCCTCAAATGGCGGAAACCGTCGGATCAATTGCCTACACCGCCTTGTCCTGGTTCTTAAGCGATGCAGGAGATCAGATTCCCCCCTCTCCTCGAAAATGGGGACTCTGAAGAGAATCTATTTGCTGGACATGAATACAATGCCCACCACCAATTATCGGATTTGCCATCAGATGGCCTTGCCTCTATGCCATCCCATCGAATCCATGAAAGCGCGGAAGCGTGATCTTCTGAATTTACAAATGCCAAGGGCTAGAAAGCATCTCGAATCACCCAATTGCCATTGAATCTGATGATGATGATGATGATGATGATGATAAATCTCTGTTTTAAATCCGTTGCAACAACTAGTTTATGACATTGACAGGCTATTGTTAGAATATGTGTTGAAATATGTGTTTAAATATTGTGCTGTTCCATTATACAGGATGGTGCTGACATGGTGCTAAGATTGTGGGTGTTTGGTTTGGTGTGTTGGGGAGTTGTTGTGGTGGACAAAGGGTTTAGGGTAACTCAGGACTCTGTTGTAAAGGAGGTGCTGCACACCTCACTTCTGTAACATAACACAACACAATACAACAACAAATCAGCCAATTCGCACTCAAAGACAACCCATCAATGGAGAATTCCGGTGACTAAAATATGGACGATAATTCTACTGGCAGCATGCAATCGCAACAGGTCATGGGCCCTTGATTTGAGTCCAATCTCTCCTACAAGTTGCCCAATCTCAATGATGTGCCCTATGTTCAGTGGTCTCATGTCATGGAGATGCATTTCTCCTAGAGATGATTGTGGGGAGTAGTTGGTATGAAATTGAGTGACCAGGAGATTGAGAGAATGAAACAGGATCCATCTTTTGCCAAAGCAAATCAACAGGCATATATCATGTTGTTCAATGCTGTTGGCCCTAAGGATTGTGTGCACTTTATATCTGACAAGGCCAGGATTGTTTGGAACACTCTTGAGGACCACTATGTCAACAAAACAGTCGGATCTAAGATGGCTTTGGTGAAGGAATTGATGGATCTCAAGTTGGAAAATTTTGCAGTTTCCAGTATTGATGCCCATCATCGCGCTTACAGAGTTCTCAAGGAGCAGATTCTCTTGCAGAATTTCACTCCTGAGGAATTTATGACCCTTATTCTCATGAATCGCTATCCTCCACAGGCAGACTCGATCTTTTCTGCTTTTCATGATTGGAGAACTATGATCAAAGATGAAGATGTCATCTCTGCTGTCATGGCTCATGCAATGGAACAGGAAGGAATGCATGGGCAGAAAGTGAATGTGCGTGCAGTGAAGAAGTCTGGCAAGAGAAATGTTTTCACTTGTCATGGATGTAGGAAGGAAGGTCATTTCATCAAAAACTGTCCTGACTGGAAGGAGCAGAAGGAACAGAAGAAACAGATTAAGCACACAATGTTCCAGTTGAAGGCATTTGATAGGGTCAAGAATGACGATCAGCATCAAGGCTCCAAGGCAAACTATGTGGCAGCAAACACTTCTGCTGAAATGCTGAATGATGGAGAGTGGCTTGTCAATCAAGGAGCTACCAGACACATCTCACCTAGCCGTGCTGTTCTTGAGGATTATCAGCCTTTGGAATTGGACCTGAAGGTTGCCAATGGTCATTACATGAAAGCAGTGGGCCAAGGAAATATGTCATTCAAGCTTGCGAATGATGATGGCAAGATCTACTCTGTGAAGCTCAAGGATGTGTTGCATGTCCCTGATGCAAAGTCAGGGCTTGTGTCTACTAGTATGTTGAATAAGGACGCTCGTGTCGTCCTTGTAGACACTGGCCTGGAGTGCTTTGTGGTGACAGAGGATGGAGTTCAGATTAAGATCAGGTCTCGCTCAGCTTATGGGGAGTCGTGCAAGTTTGAGGGACAAGTTATTCAGGTGAAGATGTAATGCAGTCAGTCCTTCTCTGGTATCAGAGACTTGGTCTTGTTTTTGATCAGGTGCTTGAGCAGATGCAGAAAAACAAAGCTGTGGGATGCTGATGCCCACATCCCCCATTGCAGATGCAACCCCTGTGCCACTTATCAGTCTCTTAAACTTTCCTTCAAGGAGAGTGTCACAAATACAATGCATCCTCTTGAGCTGGTTCATAGTGATGTCTGAGAGCCTATCAGTTCTGCCTGGATGGGTGACAAATACCTCATGACAATGATTGATAATCACTCACACTATTTGACTGTCTATTTCCTCAAAAACAAGTCAGGTGCAGCAGCTGCTATCAAGCATTTATCCTCCAGTCTTGCAATCAATTGGGACTGTAGATGGTGACTCTGTGATCAGATAATGGAGGAGAGTATACAGCAAAGGAGTTGGAGAAATTCCTTGCTGATGAAGGCATCGAGCATTAGACCATGGTACCCGAGACTCTACAGCAGAATGGAGTTGCTGAAAGAATGAAGTGCACTCTGGTTCAGAAGATGATGATGATGATAGTAAATCTCTGTCTGTTTTAATAAGACCATTGCAACAACTAGGTTATGACAGACTATCACCCCCTTCTCCACTATATAATAAAACAAAATAGATCCTAAGATTGTGTCACAATAACAAATGAATCAATAAAAAATAAATCCCCAAGTCCAGAATTAAACAAAGAAATCTCGCAAAATTCAATAGAACATATTTTGAGTAAAAGATAAAAATTCAAAAAATTCATTAATAACTTTCAAAGCTATCAACTTCCTAAAGAGACCTCACTGCTACCCGTCCATCTCGAAATTTGCAAGACCCGCTCTCAAATCCACCAAAAGATTGATCCATAACTCATCCCTCTGGCTCTGAGTGAGAGAGGTCTGCTGATGATACCAGTGACCAGTGCCGACATGGGTCTTCTGCAGATATTTGACAAGTGCAGAAAGACCTTTGTCTGTCCATAGAATGCGATTGAGCGCGCGTTCGGCGATAGGGATACCTTCAAAGGCGCTCTTCCGTTCCTCGCTGTGATTGCGACAAGAAAGAAGCACATGCTGGACTGACTGGGGTGGAATTCCAAACCAATACTCTGGAGATGGACGAGGCTCTCTGCCATGTCTTGCAAAGTAGCTGTTGAACAAGCTATGTCCAGCGCGGAAGCTCACAATACAGCTGGCAACGCTGCGAGGGAAATCCACAAGGGGCTTGTCAATAGAGAGCCGAGGCCTGCCTTCATATTTATTTTATGGTATTCTGATGGAGGCGCGGTTTGAAACCCGGCATTCCTTTCCTTAAAAGCGAAGTCATCGACTAGCTTATAAAGAAAGCGCAAGGAACAGGCATGATTGGCATGGTCTAGCGTCAAAGCTGCTTGATCGCTGAGGCCAGAGCGCGAATGCTGCCTTCAACTCCTTAGTAGAGGTGATTAAGCAACACATTTAGCTGAATTGCCCTGATCTCCACTCCGGGTAGGCACGCTTTGATTGCTAACTCGTGGAGGAAAGCTTTGATCAAGAAGTAGAATGAAAAAATGAAAGCAGGAAAGATGGGTGAATAAGTTGGAACAAGTTCATGATAACAGCTTTACAGTATTTTACATTAATAAGGATAATCATGGTGGTAATGATAATGAGACTGTAAGTAGAAGATCTATGATCTCTACCATCATCTACTAATATAGTTGATATATTCACAGCTGATTGATATATTCAGTTCATAAACTATATAGAGCACCAAATATATGAAAAGCTCTCAGGTACTCCCCTAGCTATAGTGAAGGTAGAAGACAAATAGATCATATATTTTGTAGCATCATATAAAAGGATCATTAAGTGAACTTACCTCAAATATGTCTGAAAGCCCCTGTGAAAAGTAAAGATAAAAGATTCTTTAAAATCACAGTAATAGGAATTACATTTGGCTATCCCAGGTCAATAGTTCCTCAAGATTTATCTATCTAGCTCAAGAGTACTGGCTCCTGCTCTCATATCTGTCATGCCATCGATCCACAACTCTGGCAACAGTGTAGCATTGTATTGAGTATTGGATCCGGGATGCAGGTTCATCGTCATCTTTAGCCAGAGTAATCCAGCTCGGTTTATCATCAGACATTGATCTGAGGATAACCATCAGACATTGATATGAGAATACAGAAATAATGACACAATTGACTAATCATTCCTCCAATATAAGAGAGGTCATGAGATAGTAATGGAGTGTTGTAGACAACTAATCTGGCCTGGTTTTGTAAAGTGGGTAGTCAGTAGTTAGCATTGCTGCCTTTATTCATCAGAAAGGATGTCAATGACTGTAATATTGCTAATGATCTTTTTTACTAAATTGGTGGATCTCCATGGTTATATGTAAAGCAATAACATGATCAATCTTGTGAGCTCATTGTAATTGTCTACAGCAGTCACTGTAACTCGTCTTTATTGCTTTAAAATTCAGTAATTAGTATATACATTAGATATTAACAGGCATTAAATGGTGACTCAGGTTTCATTAACTATCTAGGAGCGCATATCTGGCTACCAATTCAGTTCTGAATCTCATAAGGCCGCCACTCATTGACCCAGACATCGCGAGGCTGGCGCAGCATATTTCCAGCACGCTTGATGAACTGGCCATAACCTTGCTCTCCTACCAGACCACCTTCTTCTCTAGTCCAGACAATCTTTCCTCGCAGAATAGTATAGCGAGGCCAGTTACCCAAACTGAATCCCTCGTACGGCGTATAATCGACTCTGTGATGCAATTGCCCGTTCTCTATCGACACCTGGACTTTGTTCTTGGGGTACCAGATCACAATGTCAGCGTCATAACCGGGCGCTAAAACACCCTTGGACTCCAATCCATAGAGCTTGGAAGGGTTGGTGCACGCCACTTCGACAAACTTCTCCACTGAAATCTTGCCGTCAGTAACACCCTGATATCCAAGCGGCAGTCTGGTTTCCACGCCAGGCAAGCCATTGGGAATGGCGCTGAAACGAGCAATCTTGGTCTTCTCATCCAGTCCCAGCTTCTTACCCTTGGGGTGGTCCCAGCAGGAAGGGCAGTGGTCAGAAGACAAGGTGGTAAAGGTACCGTTTGCAATTCCCTCCCAGAGCGCGTTAATGTCGTCGACATCGTCGCGGACGGGCGGAGAGCAGACGTATTTTGCACCTTCAAAGTCAGGCTTCTTCAAGACGTCGGAGAGCAGGTACAGATACTGCGGGCAAGTCTCGGCGTGGATCGGTAGCATGCGAGTCTGAGCGGCTCGGACGTGGTCTCTGGAAGATCGGGTGGAGATATGAACAAGGAGAATGGGAGTATCCATAAGCTCAGCGATGGCGATCGCGCGGTAGGCAGCCTCGTTCTCGACAATCGGTGGTCTGCTGACGGCGTGGAAGTAAGGGTCGGTCTGGTGGCGCTCCTCGAGCTGCTTGATGATGAATTTGATCATATCCCAGTTCTCGGCGTGGATCATTGTGGTCATACCGAGTGCGCGCGTGCGTTGAAGAACACTCATGATTTGAGCATCGTTCAACTGTCTGTTGTCGTAGGACATGTACAGCTTCACGCTGGAAACGCCTTCCTCATTCCTCAATATCGGGAGCTGCTCGTCTAATACCGCGGGCGAGGGATTGGTGAGAATCAGGTGAAAGCCGTAGTCGCTGTAAGTTCCACCTTGAGACTTGGCCTTTGCATGGTAGTCCGCCACGACCTTCAGGACATCCTCGTCCCACTTCTCCTGAGCTGCAAAACAGACAACGGTAGTCGTACCACCACAGATTGCACTGCGGGTTCCGGTGTCGAATCCGTCCATTGTTACACCGCCGGCGCCCTGAGACAAGTGCACATGGGTGTCGACGCCTCCGGGGGTGACATGCGCGCCCTCCGCGTCGATGATTTTGGTGTTTGGACCAGCGAATGCAGTGAGGCCGCGGCCAATGCTGGTGATGACACCGTCCTTGACAGCAATGTCGCTGTTAGGAGGCTGTATGGTGCCGGAAGCGGTCACGACGACGCCGTTCGTGATGATGAGATCCAAATCCATGATTGACGATAATGAAGCGATTAGCTCTGATAATGGAGCTTCACGCTTGCGCTGAGGGAGAACGGCAAACTCGAAGAAAGGCCCAGATGATTGAGGAAGAGGCAAATGGTGGGCTGCGGGTGGGAAGATACGCTAGGACGCTGAGCAAGACAAGAAAGTGCACTGAGCACCTTGCTGATAGAAGGCTGTTATCGTTGGTTGGCTGGGAGTTTTCTTGCAGGGTCGGGGAAGATAAGGTTCATTAAGGTTTTCGTTCCCGGAGGCAAACCCTACGCCCCTGAAGCTGTTCTCATAGAAAGTAGTTGTAAGTTCAAGAAACATGATATTAAAGAGAAATAATCGCCACACAACAGTAAAATAATACAACAATAGTAATAGTATAAATAACAGTGCTTATAATAATACAGAAACCCCAATAAACCAAGCCAAAATATCACAAATTACCTGCAAGTTGTTACCCCGCGCTCAAAATTTTGAAAAGCCTTCCAAAACCCGCCAAAATATCCTATACAAGAAACAAAGAAAACAACAAAAGAAAATCACAGAGCTGGTAGTCTGATGTGCTCTCCACATCCTTGGCAGACAGGGAGACTCCTAAACATATTCAATTCCTTCATGCATTCGGCTGCATCCAACTCTTTCAGGATGAATCCGCCGTTTGTTTCAGACTCAGACTGCGGAGTGCTTTTCCCCATTGCCTTTAATCGACCATGAACTCTCTGGAGCTGGTTCCAGATCCACCCTCTCTCATAGGGGTCGACTAAAGTGGTATGCTCGACGCCGATCGGAAACAATAGACTCATGATTGCAGCGTTGGAATTTCGAGACAGAAAGTAAGCCATGGACCTGCATATAACGTCTGTTGCCTGCGCTCTCGTTTTTCGTTGCTCAGCAACAAAGGCGCGCAGTTGGCATGCAGGCGAGTCGAGAGAGTCTGTGATTGTCTGCTGCCCGCCAAAGTAGTCATTAAACTCATAGAACAACGATGGCGCTGCTAGTTCCTGCAGGTAGCAGATGACGATCTTTACGGAATAATACATCGTCATCAGTCTGGCGTCGTGTAGTGAGGTGTAGAAGATTGCTGGGTGGAAAAAATGAGCTCTGCTCCACTCTTCGTCGGATTGGAACTGAGGGCACCGATTCTCGACAGTGACGGGAGCGCCGGTCATGGAGTCAAACTTGAGCTGGCCGGGCGGACCTCTTCGGGTGCGAGTCGCATATTCCTGAGCGTCAACGACATACTCCCTTAACCAATCATCCATGGAACGACTTATGCCGTCAAGCTGTGCAGATAGGGTACGCAGATGTATCCAAATCTCAGGATTGCAGAACCGCTCGCGTAGACGAGGTATTCTTTGGCCACTGGGAGTAGGTAGGTCGCCAGGTTCGCTCGGGTCTTTGCTGAAGGCAAACATGAAGAGTTCGTCAAAGGCTTCTTCGTAGTTTGGTATTTCGCAAGTCAGATCGAGGAGTCGGTGGTGGATTGTCTTTTGGCTGTACTGCCACGGAACAGTTCTCCATAGGGGTTCGCTCAAAAAAGTCTTCTGGCGAGATGTGATTGCTCTGAGAGTCATCATGCCACGCATGCTCTGGAAGATGGCGAAATTAAAGCCGCTGCGGTAGGCGTAAGGACCTCTGTAACGCATGAGCTCGCTGGCGCCGTTGAGCAGATTGATCCAAGAGGTGGAGGATGAAAATTTGAAAAGCTCGTAGACGGCCAAGAGCATGCCGGCGACGATAGTGTCATCTTCTGATGACATTTCGTTGCCCTTCATGGCGCGGAACCTGTCGGGGCTGACGGAGCCGTCTTCGAGCTTCGGGAGAGCGGGCAGGGTGGAGTTTTCGGGGAGTAGAGGGCTGTAGTGTTCCAATTTTGGGATGACGGGATTTTCGCTCGAAGCCCATTCCATGATTGTTGATGAATAAGGAGGTGAGTCAGAGGCGGTAGAGCCGGTGCAGGGCGAGCTACCGGAGGAAGAGACGGACGAGCTCGAGACGGAATCGCGAGATATGAGGCCGATGACGTCTTTCTGGTGTTGCAGAGCTTGGACGTACCAGTTTGCGCCGATGAGCTCGATTTCAGAGTTGCGGAGGATGATGCCGATGTGGGAGATAAGGAGGGCGCGCGCGGCGTAGGTGGTTGTGGAGGGAGTGAGGGAGAGGGCGAACATGGGGAGAGAGGTAGCCCAGCTGAGGATGCTTTCGTCGCCATGAAAGCGACGGGGATGGCCGACGCGAGAGAACCAGTTGATGTAGAGGTTGACGCAGTAGTTGTAGAGGTCGTATTCGGGGAAGAGAGCGAGCTGGTGAGGCAGACTGGGGGGACTGGCGGAGAGAGAGGATTGCGGTGCAGACGCTATTGATTTGGGACCAGCTCCGGCGACGGGCACTGGATGCAGGCCTTCGATGATGCGTTTCCTGCGCCGCTTGTGGGCGACGGCGTCCGGGGCGGGGATGAAGGAGCCAGGCTGATCCACGTCGAGCGGTGTTCCGCTGCCACCGCTGCCGACGCGTTGCTTGCGGAAGACGGGGCCGACGACGGGGCCGCTGCATTCTCTGTTTGACTTGATGCAGCGCAGACATCTGGGGAAGGTTTCGTCGCACTGGAAGAAGGAAGAGGGAGGAGTTAGTGGGCGAGGAGGAGAGCTGACGGGGATGGGGGGTGGCCTGGGGCGGGACTGACCTTGATCTTGCGGCGCTTACAGCTGTCGCAGCCTCTGCTGCCACCCGCTACGCCAACCATTGTGCATTGACAGTAGGGAGGGTGGTGAAGAGAGGAGGAGGAGGAGGAGGAGGCGGTGGTGGTGGTGGGGTGATGGCGAGGAAGCAGAGATTGAGGAGGAGATGAGCGGAGGAAGGCAAAATGACGAAAGTAAAATCGACCCGACTTCGGCAGCCGCAGAGTTGAGAGCTGAGCAGAGTTGAGCAGAGTTGAGGGCGGTCTGGGCTGTTGTTACTGTGTCTATATTCTATATCTGTTCTATATCTATATGTAGTTATATATTATGTAGTTATATATGTAGTTATATATACACATCTATCTCTGTTCTTTAGTCACTGTTTACACCCTCGGACCCATTTACTCTTCTTGTTTATCTGATTCAGGCTCCTTTTTAATAAATCTTCGGGGATCCCGCCGAACTTTCTCTTTTAATAGAAAATAAATTTAGAATTTGACTCAACCAAAATCTCAATTTCAGCTACTACATTTTGACGGCTTCATCGCCTTAACATTAAACACTAATCACTTCTTCCTAGCACACTATTCCGGCCTAATCACTTAAGCAAGGTAGGTAGAGGCAGACACGTTGCCACCGCGGCCAGTCCAGTTGATGTGGATGTCGGTGTTGGCAGGGTACTTCTCCGAAACGAACTCGGGGAGAACGTGGAAGGTGTGCGCACCAAAGTAGTCACGCTGGGCCTGCAGCAAGTTCGCGGGCAGACGGGCAGATCTGTAGCCGTCGTAGAACGACAACGCAGTGGTGAAAGCAGGGGTGGGAATTCCCCACAACACAGCCTTCGACACAATCTGGCGCCACGAGTCCTGGGCCTTGGTGATCGCAGACTTGAAGAAGTCGTCAAACAGCAGGTTCTCGAGCTCGGGGTTCTTGCGGTAAGCACGGGTGATCTCGCCCAAGAAAACAGAGCGGATAATGCAGCCACCTCTCCACATAAGAGCAATAGCCGGGTTGTTGAGCGTCCAGCCGTACTCCTTACCAGCCTCTCTGATCAACATGAAGCCCTGAGCGTACGAAATAATCTTGGACGCATACAGAGCCTGCTCGAGCTGGTCAACAAACTCCTGCTTGTCACCAGAGAACGCGGGAGTAGGTCCGGGAAGAACCTTCGAGGCAGCAACACGCTCCTCCTTGATCGCAGACAAGCAGCGAGCAAACACAGCCTCTCCGATAAGAGTGACAGGCATACCGAGGTCAAGCGCGTTGATGGCAGTCCACTTTCCAGTTCCCTTCTGGCCGGCTCTGTCCATAATCTTCTCAACAAGAGGAGTTCCGTCCTCATCGTTGAAGTAAAGAATATCACGGGTGATCTCAATCAAGAAAGAGTCAAGAACACCAGTGTTCCACTTGGCGAAAACATCTCCAATCTCCTTGTCGGTGAAACCAGCACCGCGCTTAAGGATATCGTACGCCTCGCAAATCAACTGCATGTCACCGTACTCAATACCGTTGTGGACCATCTTCACAAAGTGGCCAGCGCCCTCGTCTCCAACCCAGTCGCAGCACGGCTCACCGTCAGTCTTGGCGGCAATGTCCTGGAAAATGTTCTTGATAGCCGGCCACGCCTTCTCGTTTCCACCGGGCATCAAACTGGGGCCGTAGCGGGCACCCTCCTCACCACCAGACACACCAGAGCCAACAAAGAGAAGTCCCTTCTCGGCCAACTCCTTGGTGCGGCGGTTGGAGTCGGGGAAGTGAGAGTTACCACCATCAATGATAATGTCACCGGGCTCCATGTGGGGGATCAAGAGGTCAATGAAGTCATCAACAGCCTTGCCGGCCTTGACGAGAAGGATAACACGACGGGGCTTCTTGAGCTTGGCGCAGAGCTCCTCAATGGAGTGGGCACCAATGATGCTCTTGCCTGAATAGTTGTGTTAGTCAATTGTGTTTCTCTACTCTGTAGATAAATAAAGAAAAGTACACACCCTTGGCCTCGTTCTCGAGGAAGTGGTCGACCTTCGAGACGGTACGGTTGAAGGCAACAACAGTGTAGCCGTGATCAGCAGCGTTGAGGATCAGGTTCTACAAACATTGTTAGAAAAGAGTCCATGGAGATAACAGCGAGAGCGTCGAGGTCGCCCTGGGCCCCGGGGAATAACTACTAGGGTTAGTCCCGATTAGGACTAGCACGGGTGAGCTTAACAATGCTTCTGACCTCCTCCAGACCATCTGGCCCGGAGAAAGAGCCCAGGCAATTGAACCAGCACGACCTTGACGAGTGTTTCTCGAACTGCAACGGAAAGAAAACAGCAAAAGGAAAATGGATACATACCTGGCCCATGACGGCCAAGCCGATAAGACCGATATCTGAGCGAAAGGGAAAGAGGAAAACGTTAGATTACCATACCAAGGCTCAATCAACTGAATGAGAGCGGAAAAGAAAGTATTCGACAAGCGTAGACGCGGTCCAGTCCATTGACTGCAGGCAACTGCATTGCAATTGCAATTGAGGGCAGCCAAAGACGCGAGGAAAAGGAAAGCTATGATAGACAGAACATACCACCACTGGGTTCAGAAGTGTGCATCAGTCCGCCAGCAATGCCAGCAAGACGAGCACTCCAAACGTTAGCAATCTTCATTATTATAAAAAGAGAACTCAATTGCTTCTGCTTGAATCTCTGGCAGAGAAAACAGCCTGACCGGAAGAACGCGGGATAAGGAAGAAGCCACCCCGCATCACCTCGCAATCGACAGGAAGCAGAAAAGAAGAAGAAACAAGGAAGAGACGTACGTAGGAGCAGACATTGCGGATGGTAGAGCAAGGAAGAATGGATGGAGGAAGTGTGTGGGTAGAGGAAGAGAGGATGGAGAAGAAGAAGGAAACAAGAGCGGGAAGAGAGTGGACGGACCGGAGAGCACCGAAGTATTTATCATCGCGCCTCCACGGACCAGGTCACGTGTCTTTCCTGCAGCCAAACACGGCCGCTCCTTTCATGTTGCTCTTCCGCTGGATTTCGCGGTTTGTTACTGTGTTGAAGTTGTTTGTTTGTGTTCTGATTCTTTTTATTCTTCAATTGTCTTCTATTCACACCTCCAAAACCAAGTCTGGAGCAGCATCGCCGACCAGCACTCAGAGAGCCGGTGGGGGCCAGGACTGGGTGCGGCTTGACGGGCCTGTGTCTTCCGCTGCTCGAAAGCCGGGTCCTGGATGCCATAATGCCGTCCCCCACTTGGATTAATCTGACGATAAATCCATATCTGGCCTTGTTATAGCATCAATTATCGCCGTTATTGCTGCTTATAGTGGTCTTCATCTAAAAGTACATTATTAAGCTATTAAAACATCATCTGTTCGTAACTCATCAACACCACCCCTCCCCTCCCTCTCCTCCCCTCTCATCGTCCTCATCATCGTCATTATTATTATTGCTGCTATCAGCTACTCGTCGACACAAACTCCCCCTCAAACAACATCCCGCTGACCTCCTCAAACGCTTGCAGTCCTTCACTATTCGTACCTGTCTCTTCCCCCGCAATCACAGACGAAAACGGCAATGCCACTCCATTCACCCCATCGTCCACGCTGCTCGCTGGGCTAGTCCAAAACTCACTCCCGGTGTTTCCTGCTCCCATATCCAACCCCGGTTCGAGCTTCAACCCCGTGATTTGCGAATGTGTCCGATGCATCCCGCTCAGCGAAAGCTGCTCTGGCGTCTTTGCATTCAATTGCGACAGCATAGGCGACGAATCATTCACATACTTCATGTCTTTCGTCATCCCAACTGTCGCATTAGATTCCTGCACATTCTGCTGTTGCTGCTTTTGCTGTTGGTTTTGCAGCTCTGATGGTTCATTTTGCTGTGGCTGCTGCTGCTGCTGTTGCTGCTGCTGTTTCTGTAGTATCTGTTGCTGATGTTGTTGCGGCTGTTGTTGCTGCTGCTGTTGTTGTTGTTGCGGCTGCTGGGATATCCGAGGCTGTTGAGCAGCAGCCCAAGTCGGCGGCACCGCCGCAAATATAGACCACACCGTCTTCTCTAACCGTAGCAACGCATACTCAAACATCCATGCTGCCCGAGAATGCACCCGAAGATGCCACTGGAAGCCTTCCCTATAGTCCTTATACACCTTGGCCTCATCGTCCGAAATCGACGTCACCTCCAAAAGCGAAATGAACTGTCCAATCTCAACTATACAGTCCCTTGACGAATGAATCCAGAACGCCTCCAAATATTCCGCCGATAGCGACCGCACAAAGTTAACCGCCGCATTCGCTCGGTCATTCGCCGCAGTCCTAAACTGCGTCACAACAACATTATCCTGGCATCCTTCAAGCGCCCGCAGTATCGCCCGATGAAGCGCAATCTCAACCGTGTAGTACGCCAGATGAAGATACCCCGTCGTACAAAGTCGCTTGCTCGTCATATTCGAAGGCTTCATATACAAGCAATCCGACAGACCCGCATGCCACTGTCTCAGCATCAGCTGCAAAGGCTTCGCCAAATCAAACACAACCTGCGGTGCTCGTATCTCGTGCTTGTACTTGGTGTACTCTGCGAAAAAGAACGTCTGCAGGATCTCTGATAATATAAACGTCAGCTTTGATATCTCAATCAAAAGCTCCGCTCCATTATCCACTCCCGACGCAGCTGACAGCTCGGCACAAAAATCATCCAGATCAAGCATAGGCACTACCCAATTCTTGTCATCAATGTACGACGGCCGTCCATGACATAACGCCGCCCATCTATCCTGCACATAGAGCGCCCACGCGACCCGTCGCCGTTGAGGAATCTCCCATGATGGGATATGCCAACGACTGCAGTCCAAGTGCAGCCCAAGTGCTTGTGCAACTCCTACCAATTGCGCAGTAAAAGCTGAAACCTGCGTCTTACCCAAGTTAAAGCCTCCGTATACTGACACTGGCTTTCGCTGTAGTAGCAGTAAACCAGCCTGCACTGTCGACAATCGCGCCCTGTGAAGATGTCGCTGGATAGCCGTAAACGAAATCGAGTCGAGCTTGACCGAGTCTGGCTGCGCGTCCACATGCGATAGTTCATGATCGTACGCCCACCAGTTCAGTGCTAGTGAGTACACTGCGGCCAATAATGGAGGTGAAATCAACTTTGGCGATGTCTTGTATTGCGACAAAAAGTAAGTCTATCCAGGATCTGTTAGTCATTGATCTTGACAACTCCATCCATACTTGAATAGAAAAAAAACTAACCTTATGGATGATGGGATAAGAAGGATGGACTATTCGAAAGTACAGCGCAACCAACTTGGGTCCATATGGCTCGACAATGCTCTCGATCTCGTCAACCAGCTTATGATCCTCGCTCAGCTCCTGATCCGTTGTCATCAGAAATATAGCATCGTTCGAAACCGGACGGAGGTAATTCGATTTTGAGATCTGTAACCTGGCTCCAGCGGCAATCGACAGTCGATGAACAAATTGGTATTCGTGGTCTAGTAGATTAGGACCCACAAGTTCGGAATAAGCTGTTTCGTTCATGCCCAGTGAGCTCGCATTCGAGATAGGGTCCATTATATCTGAGCCTTCTACAAAGACGAGTAAATGAGCACATTATCTTTCCATAAAACATCAAGGACACAGTCATAAAGAGTCAACATACGTTCATCTGTGGGGTCACCTTCATTCTCAGCATTTGGTCTATCAATTCGTAAACGCTTCGCCGCCGGTAAATCTCCCAGCCTATCATCAGGTCGTCGCTCGTCCGAATCTGGTCGTAGTCTATCGCCAGAGTATTCGTCGAGACGATGCTGCTGCATCAAAAGCGAGGGTTCGAGTGAAGAATGGTGCATAGCTTGAGTCGCTGGCTGATACTGTGTCTGCTGTAAAGTCTGAAACTGAGGGTGAGGTGCTTGTCCGTGACTTAGAGCATTAGACTGGGTGAGAGAAGGTGATTGCTGGTGAAGGTGTGGGGGGTCCAGCATCTGGATCTGAGACGCCTGCGACTGCTGCTGTAAAGCAGAATCTGGCGAGGGCGTCGAGTTCACAGCTTTCTTTGGCGGTTTCTGAGCTACTTTGGCGGTCGTAGTTATGCTGGTGCTGCTGCCGGTCGCAGAGCTTGTGGGGGGTGGCCGGCGACGGATGGGGGGCTCGAGCACAAAAGTGCAGACCTCGTCGTGAGAAATGCACATTGTGCAGACAGCAGCGCCTTCTTGCCTCAGACAGCGGGTCTTGCGTTTCCGACAGCCATCGCACGGTCGTTCTCTGCGGTTGCGGGTGTAGAACGGCCGGTCGATGTTGCCAGATAGTTGTTGCTGCTGCTGCTGCTGTTGCTGCTGCTGCTGTTGGGGATGGCTGGACGTCGACGAGGCAGAAGAAGCAGCGGTAGTGATCGGTGCAGGCGCTGACAGCGGCGCTGAAGGGTGCGCAGAGACAAGCAGAGCGGAAGGGTCGATAGAGGCGGCCGAAGGCACAGCAGCACCGGCGGCGGACGGGGAAGTGGAGGTGGGGTGCTGGGCGAAGATGGGGTTGTTCTGATTGTTCGCGGGCGGCGAGGACGTGGAGGCCGCCTGCGCAGACGCCGAGGCCGAGGCAGCGTCGCTGTCCGGAGAGCCTTTGACGGACTGCTGTTGGTCCTGCATTCGGCCTTTCGAGCAGGCGGGGGCTGGTGAAGGAGGAGTGGCCGGTAGACAGCTGAGCTGTTCAGTGGGTTGATCATCGTCCGTCATTATTTGCCATTTAGGTTGTCGGATCCCGTCAGCAGCGGGTTTCGTGTATTTGTAAGCAAGAGGGTCCGGTGTATGTAAGCAGCCAGGGGCAGGTACCGGTGCAGCTTTTGCGTGCCTGGCTCGGTGCTTCCTCTCCTCCTCCTCAGCTCCCTCTTCCTCGATCCGGATCTGATAGTCGCCCCTTCACTCCCTTTCCTCGCCCGCCGCCCGCTTCCTCTGTTTTGCTGTGGTCTCTGCTTTGCCGGGGCGCACAATTCTTTCTCTTTTCTTGGTAGGAGACCTCCCGCTTCCGCCAATTCCTCCCAATCGCTGCTGCATCCGTCTCGATGGACAAGCCGAGCGCCAAATCGCTCCCGCCCGGCGTGCAGGCGGTCTACCGCTACGCCCGCTCCTTCAGACTCTTCCATAGTCCGCGAGCGATGCGTATTGCCTCCGTTCTTTCTGGCTTCGTCGTACTTTTTCTCTTTTTTGGCCTCCTGCCTTACTCCGGCACGCATGTGACCCGTGATAGGGTGCTGCCTGGCGACCTCGATCCGCCCTTCCTGCAGACCTCTTCCCGCCGCTGTCCCGCCCACGTCGGTGCTCACCCTCGCCGCGTGCTTTCCTCGGTCTCAAACCCTTTCATGACCGCCATGCGCATCAATTTTAATCTTGTCGGCCGTTCGGCGTCCTCCAGCAAGGAGACCTCGAGCTCGCGCTTCAACCCAAGCATCCTGCCGCTGCCCTACAAGTCCAGCTATCCGTACATCGGCTTCACCAGCCAGGAAAAAGGAAACGTCTACGAGCTTTACTCTTGCTTCCTCACCAGAGGCCAGAAGGCGGTCTCCAAGCAAGTGGGCCTGCAGTGTGCCACCGAGCCTGTCAAGATCGTCATCCAGACTCCAGAATCTGGCGAGTGCCGTGAGCATATCTTCCTCGGCCTCCGATCTGGCCCTCAAACCCCCAGAGTCTTCTTTTCTCCCGAGGGCGCCCCATTACTCACATACTCGGCCAACTCGGTCGAGGGCTGCATCGGTGTCTGGATGGTCGATCTTCGCGCCGTCTACCCGTCGCTCACTGAGTACTTCCCCAATCCCAAAATCGAATATATCGACCCGGTCGAGCTCCGCCGCCCCGAGCCCAAGCGAGAGATGGAACAGAACTGGTCTCTCATGTTCATCGCAAACAAAACTTTCATCCAGCAGGACCTCTACCCTCGCACATTCTCCTCGATCGGCTGGCAGACTCGCAACCTGGCGCCGCGCTCTTTCAAGTGCTTGAACGCTCTCGTGGAGAAAAAAGAGTCTACCGTCTTGCGACAAGCCACAAACACTTTGAGACTTTCTCTCTGTGAGTTCCCTTGCACCCCCACAGAGGACAACACAGTCTTGATCTCAATCATTCATGTCAAGTATCAAGAGGGTTACCGCCCATACTACGAGCGACGAGTTCTGATGACCAAAGCGACCTTCCCCTTCGATGTCATCGGAGTCTCCCCGCCATTGATCTATGCCGGTGTTGATGAGCAGGCGCTCCTGTACACCACCACTATTGCCTACGACTCTCGGCAGGCGCCCCGCAAGGATCGCGAGAAGGTCTATGATATGAACCTCGAGAAGTATATGGTTAGGACCGCTGTTTCAATGCCCTCGCCCGAGTCCGAAGATGAATCTGAATCGGCTGAGGATGAGAAGTCAGAGTCTCAGAAGTCGTCTACTGAGAAGAAAGAAGAGAAAGAGAAGAAAGACAAGCGATCGCTTGGTAAGCGTTTGGAGGAGAAGAAGCTGAAACAGTTACTCTCGATTCAGCAGGCGAACCGAGATCAGACAAAGGTGTTTGAAAATTGGGAAGATGATCCGCAGCTAAAAGGTCTCGAGAGCGACTACTATCACGGATACCTGAACGACGTGGTTTTGATCAATTTTGGCATTGATGACAGAGAGTCCGCGGTCTTAGATGTGCGTGCCTCGGACTTGGTTGAGTGTGTCAAGAAGTGCTTACAGTAAGTGGCCGGAGTTATGTTTTTTTAATCCTGTGTATGTATATCTTGCCTTTTGCGCATCATAATAGTCGCCAAACTCCTTGTACTTCATTATTCGTGTATATGTTCAATAATATTGCAAAGCCTACTATTTGTAAATTCCTCATTATCTTACAATCTGTTCATTTCTCAATAATCGTACATCTCAGCTGCCAGGCGTCTGCTCGGCCTGCTCTTTCTTTTTCCGATCAATCGCGACAATCTTCTCTAGTAACGTAGCCTTGCGATTTCGCGTCTTTTGCGCATTCGACCAGTCGATTCCTGACAACCGACCTTGGCTGTTGATCACCTTTTCGGCTTCTTCTCGTCTAACGAGTTGGCCCAGATGCAATTTGATTTGTTGTCGGGTTGTAGCTATCAGCTCTGCATCTGTATTCAAGAGTGGTTAGTATTTCGTCACTCGACAGGAAAGCATAGATATGATTTTGATCTACCTTGGCTAAACAGCATGTTTGTCCCCACCAGATCCTCCCATTCGCCTTCATAGACCCTAGATCCGAGAGAAATGAGTGGACGCGGGGTGTGTAGTCCAACTATTTGAAAATCAGACGTACTGTCCAGCGATTGAGGAGCCATAGTAAGATCAAGTGGAATATATAATTCCTATAAAAGAGCTGGTTAGAATTTATGCCTGTCAAGATATCATAGTGAGTAGTTCCTTACCACTTCGTCGTCGTCACCACCTGTCGTCGCTTCACGACCGGTCGCGTCGACCATCGACGTCTCATCGAGCACATAAGTATCTTCCTCCTCATCATCATCTTCTTCTTCCTCCTCCTCTTCTTCGTCTTCCTCCTCTTCCCCCTCCTCCTCTTCATCATCGTCCTCCTCTTCCTCTATTATATCTTCCATTTCCTCGTCCTTGCTATCGTCATCGTTGCTATACTTTCGATCAATTTCCCCGTGCTCATCATCCTCTGATCCAACTTCGCCGACCATTGCTATGCTCTAGCTCTCCTGAGATCTTCTGCGAGTAAGCTTGAGTTCCTTTGGCCCTTCTTCTGTATGTGCGGGCAGCTCAAATATACTTGTCGCTTTCTGTAGTTGATCTGATCTTATCGATTGCGAAGCTGTTCGTAGTTCATCTGAATTCACGCGTCAAAACCACCAAAACAGCTCGGTTGTAAACGCGCTGTGACTGGATCTTTCTCAAGAATAAAATGCCCAACTTGATGCCATCAATTGTACCCTTAATAAAAAAGAATCTTCAAGATAGACAAGATCAGGTTTTGCAAAAAATAACAAAAAAATAATGATTCGACCCAGGATCGAACTGGGGACGTTCTGCGTGTTAAGCAGATGCCATAACCGACTAGACCATCGAACCATCATTGAAGATTTTGGGTGCTTTTGCCCGTCATCACTAATTAATTGTTCACATTTTTGCTGAGTTTGGGACTTATATGTGGAGAACTTTACCGTTTATGCAGACATTCTTTCTCAATCTCACATACTATATACACTACCGGAATCAACTCAGAAAGAATCAAAGACAGATCAGTCTTGGTGTTTTTTCTTTGCAATAAATGTAAATAATAATTTAAAGGACTCTGGTCCGTGTAGACGCGCATGGTGCTTGTAAAGGTTGGCATCTGTAGGTTCTCAGGGATGTTTAGGCTGAGCCCTAAAGATATTCTCGAGAGTTTGACTAAACTAGCATCGGCCACACCTCGAATACCCCAAGCTGTACACAGGTCCACGCAAGTATCTCGTCAGCTAAACCTCCCGCTGACTGCTCTCTAATTCGATTTCGATTCTTTGAAGCTGCGAAAAGCTTTTGCTCAGCTATAGTCGCTGCTTTGACTGAAACTTCTGGGAAATTGTGTGAACAGCAAGATGGAGTCTCAAGATCAATACAGAAACGGTGATTCAGCCGAAGCATCGTATGATTCCAAGGATGCTGAGTTCACCGATGCGCCATATGCATCACAGGCAAATGTTATTGATATTCCGCTGCGTGATGACCAGGAGGTTGTCACGTTGAATCTGGATGAGGATTTGCCGGATGACCCAACTGAGCTTTGCGATCTCCTTGAGAACGAGGAGGCCGGAAGACAGTTTTGGCTGGCGATTGGAGTAAGTGGTGGGACTCGTATGTGATTTCAATGGACGATACTAAGTATCTTGATGATTAGACCGCGTACAGTCGATTTGGAAAGATCGATGAAGCGATAGAGGTTATCCAGCGTGGATTGAAAGGTGAGTTCCATCGTGAATTGACGGCATCTTCACCGAGCCTATGACTAACTGTCGTTCTCCAGCTCCCAGCATTGTTCGTGCTCCGCAGGAAGAACGCGTGCCATTCAATGCTTGTTTGGCCTGGTTATATTTCAAGCAGTTGCGAGAGGCGCCAAAGACGGTCACTTCGAAAGTTTTGCTAGCATCTCAACCCCATACGAAGGATCACTATCAGATGCTTGCTACGAAAGAGCTAAACAAAACTGTCGAGGCTTACCCTACATGGAGTGTCAATCTTTTGGGGCGTGGTATGTCGTAATCTTGAGAATCTGAAGTTTACTTGCCACTTTCAAGTTGGATTATTTTGCTAATGAAACGATTACAGGAATTTTGACCCTTCTGAGAACTTCAGGAAAGGATGCTGTTGACGCTTCGAACAAGTACTTTGAGGCTACTTTGAAAAGTTCAGGATCCGAAAATCTGATGGCCTTCTTTGGACGAGCTCGTTATCTCTATGCTAAGGAGAACTATAAAGGAGCTCTCAAGATCTATCAGCAGATTCTGATGTATCGGCAGGATATCAGACCTGATCCCCGCATTGGAATCGGTTTGTGTTTCTGGCAGTTGGGATTCAAGGACGAGGCAAAGATCGCGTGGGAGAGGTCACTTGAACTGGTAAGTTATTAAGAGTGATAAACTGTGTCTGGTCTAGGAATTTCTCTAACTGTTGATTGTGAAGGACCCGAATAACCCGAATACTAATATTCTGATGGGCCTCTTCTATCAGGACAGAGCTTTCCAAAACGTCACCAGCCCTGAGTTTGTGGACTTATACGGCACATCGTTACAATATACACAAAAAGCCTTCAAGAACGGCTCACAGAAACTTGCTATCGCCGGTGTTGAGTTAGCGCGCTACCTGTTTTCTAAGAAGACCGAAATGGAAAAGGTGATCAAGCTTTGCGAGAAAGTGATTGATTATGCCGAAGTTCCGGCGATCACCTCAGATGCCTATTTCTGGATGGGTAGAGCTTATCACGATCTTGGGAAATACCAAGAGGCAATGTCCTCTTTCCAGAAGGCGCGGGTTGCAAAACCTGACAACGTTCTGGCAAAGATCGGAATGGGTCAGATTCAGATCATCAACAATGATTTGACTGAGGCAAAACTCACATTCGAGAAAATTATCCAGGAGCACCCCAAGTGCGCAGAAGGCTTACTTATCCTCGGCTACCTGTACGCTCGTGACCACGTTCAGCACGCATCTGTTGTTGGTTCAATAAATCGTAACGATGCAAAGTTGGCGGCGAGTGAGAAGGCGAAGGCGCGGATATTGCTGGAGCGCTATCTGAACCTGGTTGAATCTCGGCCCGGTATCTCAGATACTGAGATTGATGTCCACATTACTCTCAGTATGCTCTACGAGAGCGAGAACATTAATCAGGCCATCACGTCCTTGGAGCATGCGATGGCTCTGCAGCGACAAATTACTGAAGGTGGAATAGTTGACCCGAGACTTCTGAATAATATGGGAGTCTTGCGGTACCACAAGGGATCGTACGAAGAGGCTCGTGAGCTTTTCCAGTCGGGTCTCAGTCAAATAACAAGCGAAGAATTCAAGGCGGAGAACCGCGAGTCGTTGCTAGTGACTATGACTTACAACTTGGCGCGTCTGGAGGAGCAGACTGGAAATGTCGAAGAGGCAAAGACTCTGTATCAGGAGATTGACGAGCGCATGTCGGGATATGTCGATGCCCGGATCAGACTATGCTATCTTGCGATTGCAGAGGCCGAAGAGACTCAGAACAAGTCGATCCTAGAAGAGGCGGTGGCTATGATGCAACAGCTGATTGAGTCGGAAGTCGGTAACCTTGAAGTACGCGCGCTTCATGGCTGGTATCTGCACCAGTACCAGCGCAAGAGGCCAGTGGCGAAGTCTATTAATGAAGACACAGAGTTCCGACATCACAGACATACGCTACAGAACTACGACAAGCACGACGTCTACTCTCTTACGGCAATGGGTAATGTCCATCTCACCATTGCTCGCGAGATGAGACCATCCAACGAGGCAGAGGCCGAGAAGAGACGAAAGATGTATGAGAAGGCTGTTGAGTTTTTCGACAAGAGTTTGCAGCTCGATGGACAAAACGCGTATGCTGCACAGGGAATTGCAATTGCTCTTGCTGAAGATCGCAAGTTCAATAAGGCGGTTGGTATTTTTGGAAAGATTCGAGAGACATTGAAGGATGTCTCTGCATACATCAACCTGGGACATTGTTTGACAGAATTGAAAAACTATGCGCGTGCGATTGAGTGTTACGAGACTGCTCTCGAGCAGTTCCAGGGAGGCAAAAGTATTCAGACCATGATGTGTTTGGGTCGAGTTTGGCTGCAGCGGGGAATCAACGAGCTAAGTATTGAGAGTGTCGAGAACGCTATCAAATACACAGAGCGTGCTCTGGCCCTGTCGCCGTCTAATCTTGCGCTGAAGTTCAATATAGCTTTCTGCCATTTCCAGTTGGCTGAAGTGCTGCGACGAGTGAATATTAATGACCGTAAAGTGTCTGCGATTGAAACGGCAATCGAGGGTCTAGAGAGAGCTATCACGATTCTGACCGAGCTCGCTGGAGAGAAAAATCCTCCTTATCCGGCGGCGGAGATCCAGCAGCGTGCGACTATGGGTCAGAACACAACCCGCAGACAGCTCGAGCGACTGTTGAATGAGCAGAAAGAGTATGAGGAAAAGTCCGAGGCCAAGTTGGAAGCCGCCAGAAAAGCGAGAGAGAAAGGAAATTCAAACGGCCAGGTGTCTTCATCGATTTCTGCTGCGAGTGTTGACACTATGGCGTAGATCAGAGATGTGCGGTGAATACTTACACCACAAGGTCTGTTTTTGCCAACGTTGATGTTTCCTATCTGTATCTAGATGCATGACTAGTAGTTTTTGATTTTGTGTTGATTTTGTCCATGTATAATATTGCTTGGCTATGCGATAAAACGGTTATGACAATTGTATTACTATCTAAAAAATTCCATATAACTAATCAAATCTACAGTTCTCTTTTTGATACATTTTGTTTTTTTTCGTAGCGTGCGCTCGAGTTGTACCGTTGTCGCGATTCAAAGTTCGACGATTTTAGTTTGGGTTAAGGAGCAGTTAACATTCACTAAGTTACGCGAAAAAATCGAACGGTTTCAAAGGAATATTTGTACACAGCTTCAACTAGATTTATAAACTTCACACTATCAGGATAGAATAAATAAATAAACAAAATAACAGACAAAGGGAAATCATTTTGGGCTAATACACAGCGCGTTACTCTCGATTTCCGCTCACAGACTATGAATAGCCAGCAGGCTCAATCCAGACTGACAAAAACGACAGTAAAACACACAAAGAAAGAAAAAAACAGAAGACCGAGTCCAATCCTAAGTTGCTGCTCCCTCCAGCAATCCTTCATACAATACATATTATTCAATCGAAATCAAAATTTATCAAACTCAAATTATAAGCACGCGTACAAGAGAAGAAAATAGAAAAATAAATTGAGAAAATTAGTACTCCAAACTAGAACACAAGATCATCCGCATCACTAAATATAGATGATTCACACAACGAGAACACGAAACAATGACTGGCATTGATTACTAGGTGCTGGCAGCCTTAGCATCCTCAACAGCATTTGCCAGAATCTCACCGAATCTGCCGAGAGCATGATGGGTAGTCTTGGTCTCATCAACCTTAGTGGTCTCATCAATAGAACCATCGACCGTTTCACCAGTAGCAACAGAGTCCGAGATAGCACCATCAGTAGACTCTTCGACATCTCCAACGGACGATGCGGGCTTGGAAGCCTCGGTCTCAACAGGCTCGACCTTTGTCTCAGCAACGTCCTCAACAGCGGCGGTCGAGTCAGTGGTTTCGACCGCAGGCACCACAGGCACAATAGTCTCCTTCTCGGCAGTTTCAGTCTCCACAGGGGCGGTCTCGGCAGGAGTGATGCTGGTAGCAACATCTTCTGATTCGCTCACGAGCTCAGTAGGCTCAGACTCGGAAACCTTACCGCCGGCAACACCATTCACGAGAGCCGTAGTGGAAGCCGCCGCATCACTCTCAAGAGAGGCAGTGAGAAGCTCATATGTCGGAGCAGTCTCTCCCTCTTTGGCGCTAGATTCAACAGTGGTGACTTCTGACGAGGGCACGCGAACAGCCGCAGCAGTCTCGACAGTGGCCTCGTCGAGGTCAGACTCGGAGACCGAGGTTGCGTCAACCTCCTTGTCCACAACAGCGTCCTCGGTCGAATCAGCAACGGTCTCACCCTCGACCGCAGTAGATTCGACAGCAGCAGACTCGGTAGCAGACTCAGTGGTCTCAGCCGCGCCTAATGTGGAGGAGGTGGTCGCTTCCTCAGCCGCAGCCTTCGCAGCGGCAACCGCGGAAGCCACGGCAGCTGCGGCGGTCGCAGGATCAGCTTCCTCAGCAGTTTCCTTTGCGATTTCTGAAGTCTCACCTTCAACAGCAGTGACCTCGCCTTCGGTAGCGGTAGTCACAGCAGTCTCACCGACGGCCTCAACTTCTCGAGACTCGGTAGCAGCATCAGCAACCGCGCCCTCGGCGACTTCGGCAGTCTCCTCACCGGCAGCAGCGGTAGTAGCAGCAGCAGCAGTAGCAGCGGCGGCAGCCTCAGCTTCGGCCTTGTCAGCAGCAACCTTCGCGACCCTCTCTTCTTCGATTCGAGCGGCCTCAGCAGCGGCAGCAGCCTTTTGTTCACGCTCAGCGGCCTTGGCCTCTTCTTTGAGACGACGCTCTTCAGCCTTGGCTTCTTCCTTGAGACGTCTCTGCTCGGCCTTTTCAGCGTCGCGAATGCGCTTCTGCTCAGCCTTCTCAACATCGCGGACGCGCTTCTGCTCGGCCTTCTCCTCATCACGGATGCGCTTCTCCTCGGCCTTTTTGGCCCGCTCTTCAGCACGCTGCTCGTTACGGATGCGCTTCTCTTCAGCCTTTTCTTCTTGATGGATGCGCTTCTCCTCGGCCTTCTCGGCTTTAATGCGCTCGCGCTCTTGTCGGGCAAGCTCATCCTTCTCGCGCTGCTCGAGGGCCTTTTCGTGAAGTTCATCGAGAACAGGCTGCACATGTCGCTGAGCAATGGCGTGGACTTCCTCGGGAGACATGATGAGGCCACCGCCGAGATCGACCTTGCCGACGTTGGCAGAGTACTTGCCGGTGATGTTCTGCTCGGCGTGGGCCATAGCGGCGGCGGTGAACTCCTTGTTGCCCCATATTGTGGTCTCACGGATGTTCTTATCGATTGCGCCTAGGCTGGAGTTGACGTTGCGCAGAGCAGCGGAAACAAGGACCTCATGCTTGTGGGCAAACTCGGCCTGCTCCTTTTCGCGGGCCGCACGCACGCGCTCGAGACGAGCCTGGTGCTCGAGGAGAACACGCTTGGAGGCAGTGGCAGCACCGGTAGTGGCGGAGACGGCGTCGGCGTGCGTAGAGCGAGAGGGAACGAGCGACGGAGCAGCGACACCAATCTGAGCAATGCGAGCGGCAGCGGCCTTGCGGGCAGCGTCCTCGAGAGTAGCGACGTTGGGAGCGGGAGTCTCACGGTGGCCGACGGGAAGGGCGTAGTGGCCGGTTGCCGGGGCGGGCTTCTGGGGAGGAGCAGGAGGGTTCTCAAAGATGGACTTTGCCGCTCGCTGGGAGTAGAGCGAGGGCGAGCGCTGTTGTGGGGCCCCAGAGCCGGTGGCCGAGGTGATGGTGAAGCGGCGGTCCTTCTGGAGGGCCTGGGCGAGGCGGGCAGATTCAGCGGGGTCAGGCCGCCAGAACTCTTCGTACTGCGGGCCGGAAGCGTGCGAGCGGGCGGCCGCGTGGGAGGCGTGGGCGTGGAGAGGCGGCGGGGTGTAGATGGGCTTGACTTGGATGGGGGAGTCTGTAGCGAGGGTGGCCGCGGTGTCTGGGAGATGAAGAGAGTTAGTGTGTGCTGCAGAGAAGAAGAGAGAGGAAGAGAGAGGAAGAAAGATGGAGTAGGAAGGACTCACTTGACTTTGAGAGATCGATACCGACGGAGGGGTGTGACGGCAGTTCGTGGGCCTTTGCGTAGCGCATAGGGCGGTTTGCGAGGGCCGATGGGGGCTGGGCCATGGAGGATTGGCGTCGTGTGGTGGAAGCGGAGGAGGTCATGCTCGCGGTGCGGTACTGGGAGGGTCCGTTTTTGAGGATGCTCTTTGGCTTTGAGGAGGTTGAGGAGGTGGATGAGCGGGGGGTTGCAGCGCTGGGGTCGACGAGATCGTCGGTGAAGGTTGCCCTGCGGGAGGAGGTGTCTGATGCGAGCATGGTTATGATGAAAAAGAGAGAGCGGTAGAGATAGGGATATAGGGAGAGGGAGGGTGGTGAAGAAGGAGAGGAGGTGGTGAAGAGAAGAGGAGGAGGAGCGTGGTAGAAAGCAGCGAAGTTCAAAGTCGACGAACGGCGGCGCCGACAAAACGAAAAACGTCATGGCCGCGCCACAGTTCAGCACATCTGTGGCACAGCCGTGCAGGGCACTGGGTGGCGGTGCAGATCGGCGCCGCGCACTCGCACAGGGTTACGTCATTGTGCGTCGTCCATTGTGCGATCTTTGTGATGTTGCTTTTGTCCTGTTTTCTGTTCTGTTGCGATTAAGTGCTGGATTGATGTTGTTTGCTGTTTGCTGTCTTTTGCTGTCTGTCTCTCGCTGCGTCTCTCGTCGTCCTCGTCGTCCTCCGCGCGGGTCGTCGACGGGAGTAAACACTGAGCTGAAGGCTCTGGCGCTAGGCCAGTTCCGTCGCTGCCTTCCTTCGCAATGAAACCCTAATCGCCAATCGCAATCTAAAACTCTGCTTTGATTATTGTAAACAAACACTTTGGATCTCCCTCGAACCTCTGTCTGTTCTAGAGCTTCTGCTGAGGCACCCCTGCAGTAGCGCATGAAGAGATAGAGAACATGTTTTGATTAGTGGTCGTTGACTCACCGCCTTCCTCCTCTCTCTCTCTCTCCCACTCCTATCCCTCTCTCTCTCTCCTCCCTCTCTCTTCCCTCTCTCTCCTTCCCCTCTAACTCGTTATCACACCCTGCTTCTCCATCCTCTCCACCGCCTTCCGGCTTACGTCCGGGCACGAGCCCACCACAACCCTTCGCAATCTGCCGTCTCCCTGAGCCAGTGTCCGTAGTCCGTGATCTGTTACACTCGTCCCCGACAAATCCACCTCCTCCAACCGTCCAAGCTCCGCCAGCGCAACCAGGTCCCCGTCGCTCACCGAGCTGTTCTTGCTCACATTCAACCGCCGTAGTCCTGGGCACGTCTCCACAATCTGCTCCATCAGCTCTGACCAATGCTTGCCAAACTCTAGTCGCATACACGACTGCAGCTCCAGCGTCTGCAGTCGCTCGCCATCGCATAGCGTCAATATGTTTATCAGCGCAGAGTTCGTCAGCACCGCGCCCGATGCAGACAGGTCCAGCACTTCCAATCCTTTATACATACTCTCTACGCCCGGCAGCCCGGCCGTCTGTCGTGCTTCCGTAGCTGCATCCACGTCGGCCCCGTTCAGCACACTGTTTGACAAATCAACCGCCCCGAACCCGGCTCCCCGCAAAATCAGCTTGCGACACTTTGGCGACACAAACGGCATAATCCACGTCTTTGTGTACGAAAGGTCCAGTACCCGCAAGTTTGCTGCCCGTCGTAGGTCCATTCGATGCACGTAATCTCGCCGGTCGGGATACCTGCTCGGCCGCACATTCACGCCGCAGCAAGACAGCACCTCGAGCTTCGGCATCCACTCTGGTATAATATCCAGGCAGTCCTGGTCAATCTCCTGCTCCTTAGTCGTATTGTAGTTACTGTTGTTGCTGTAATCCCCAATCCTAAACTCGAGTAGCTCTGGGAACGCCGCAAACTCATCCACCAGCGCTCCACCTTCCAGCCAATGCGGCACGTTCAGCCTACTTCTGGCATCGTAATCTGACCAGCACTGCAGAATCTGCAGATTAGGCAATAGTGGTTCCTTGCGTTTCGTGCGAATGAACGCAATCAGCATCGGCAATGCGTGCGCTGATATATGTAGCTCCTGTAACCGATACAGCGGCGTGATCTGATTTATCCCGCTATCGTTCCATTGCCGTATCACAAAATACAGATTGTCAATCGCCAGTCCTGTCAGGCAACTTAGCTCCGCAGTCATTGACCCTATCAGATCCGTCCGCTTCTGCTGTTGGCCATACCGACGATATCCAGTCTGATCCTCTTCCTCCTCTGACGACGACGACGACGACGTCGACGTTGACGAGTCGTCCGTCCACAGCCAGTACTTCTTTGCCTTCAAAGCGTTCGTCAATGAGTTGTACGACCTTTCTGAGAGTGTCTGATGCAGGAATATCATCGCCCGTAGCGTACTGTAGTGTACGTTCTTGGTCGAGTGACACGGGAACAGCACCGACGTCGTCATCCCCCTCGAGTTGTGGATATACCGCAACAGCAACTGCGGCGTCACTCGGTCCAGATCATACTGGCGAAAGTCAAGATATGCATACGCCGCCGGATTGTAGTTGACAAAGTCCGACACCGCCGTGTTCCATGTGCGACTCACCAGTCGCAGCGACTGCACCGCCGGGAACGAGACCGCGGTGAGCACGAGGTCAAAGACTTCTGGTGGCAGACATTTCTGGGGATCGCGTCGTTTCTCGGCGTCGACTGCCTGACTGCTGCTGCTGCTCATCGTTATTTCTCTTGATTTCTTGCAAAGCTATTCCGGTCGCGCCTAATCAGCATCGCAGACTGCTCTCAGCGCTGCCTGCCACTCGTTGCGATCTGTCCAGCCAATTCAGAGCTCTGTAAGTTCTCTTCTACCAAGTCCAATTAACAAATCAGCCGCTGCTCATCACAGCACCGCTCGTGTCTGCCGGAATGCTCGAAAGATCCAATCTGCGCGACGATGGTCTGGCCCCTCACGGCTAAGTCGATGACTTATCTACGAGCCCCTCGCTGGAGGGCTCACCTTACATCAGATAAATGAATTAGATAACGATGCTCCGTCCACAGCAGGCGCTGTATTTTACTGTATCCATGGATTTGTCTATAAAAGTACTTTCTTACAACTAATAAACCACTCGCGAGTTCTCGCATCAATTGGAGCTCCGGTCAGCTCCTCCCCGCAGCAACCGCAGCCATCGCTCGACCCCGGATTACTCTAAAACTCCCAGCAGCCCAGCCAAATCCAGTCACGTGCATAGTCACATGACACGTATTATGGTGCCCAGAGTCCAGGCATATCCGCACACAAACCACACGCAGATATGCGAGCACCGAGTCTTCCATCGCGGTCGCCAATATCCACGGCTGGCCTCAGTTAAGTTGCGAGCAGCAGTCGACGGTCAGCAATCGCGACATTTGATCTTCTTCGTTCCCGCTTCTCTCTTTGTTGTTTTATTGTTCTATTTGCCTGAATCTCTCTCACAATATGTCGGATCCGTCTTCAATCAATGGTAATTGCCTGTCCTTTAATCATCCTTCAGTGATCCGCGCTGTTCTGGATTGATATCTGCTGAGCGTCTCGCATACGATCGATCTCTGCCATCCTCGCGTGATCCTGCAATGTTTTCAAATCACTAACCTCTGTTCTATTTACTTTTTCTCCAGGTGGCGCAATCGTGGCCATGGTCGGAAAGGATTGCGTTGCTATCGCCTGTGACATGCGTCTCGGCATGCAAGCCCTCACAGTTTCCAACGATTTCCCAAAGATCTATCAGTACAACAACACCTTCATCGGCCTAGCAGGTCTTGCTACCGATGTTCTCACTCTGTGTGTTTATTATTTCTGTTTGACAGTTTGAATCTGCCTTCTAGTTGCTAATATCTGCTGTTTATACGACATTTAGGTCCGAGGTGTTTAGATATAAAGTGAACATGTACAACCTACGAGAAGAACGTGATATCGAGCCAGAAACATTCGCAAATCTTGTCTCATCTACTCTTTACGAGAAGAGGTATGTTTCTTTATTATTTCCTTGTAAATCTTACGGTTGAGCAGTGCAGCTTGATGCAGCTTCCCAGAAATCTATATCTAATACTAATACGTGTCTCAGATTCGGACCATACTTCGTCGGACCTATCGTCGCAGGAATCAACTCAAAGACCGGAAAACCGTACATCTGCGGTTTCGATTTGATCGGGTATGCCCCCCAATCCTCACCCTCCCACCCTCACTGACCCTCCAACTAACCCCCCTCTAGATGCATCAACTTTGCAAAGGACTTTGTCGTCGGCGGAACAACAAGTCACCAGCTTTTCGGAATGTGCGAGAGTTTATGGGAGCCCGATTTGGAGCCCGAGGACCTGTTTGAAACAATCTCGCAGGCGCTTATGAACGCCCAGGATCGCGATGCCATGAGTGGTGCCGGCGGTCTCGTTTACATCATGTTCGTTTCCCTATTTTTCATTCTTTTGACTATTTGTTCAGTCTCGCTAATGTTTTATTTGCATCCAGAACGAAGGATAAGATTGTCAAGCGTCTGCTAAAGACCCGGCAAGATTAGAGACCGAGTGGGAAGATTAAGGCGTGGAATTGCTTCTATTCTAGTTTCAAAGTATTCGATGTACTGCTAGAAAGCAGCTATCTCACAACGTTAATAAAGCATTGAATGATAAAATGTATTCCATCTAAACGTATCCGAACTCGTTGCTACAAATCATTAATCTATACATCTGCGCCTCTCATTTAAAACCGTCTCTATTCATCTAAAAATAAATCATCATTTTTCTCCACTCTTTACAAAACTCTACAGCTTCTTCTCCTTCACAGACTCAACCTTGGCCTCGACAAACGTGCGCTCAACAAACTTAAGCACCTCATCCACCAAGATCACCGGGAAACTGATCGCCAGCACTGCCTGCCACTCCAGCAACGTCAAAGGCGCGACCGAGAACAGGGTCTGGAAGAATGGAATGTAGACGATACCAAAGTGCAAGATCATCGAGAGCGTGATCGCGTAGACGAGCGTCATGTTGCGCCAGAGCGGCATCGAGAGCAAACTATCAGTCGAGCTGAGTCCGTTCATGGCGTTGAACATCTCAATCACGACCAAGATCGAGAGCGAGACAGTCGACGCGCGGACCGCCATCTCGTTCGAAAACATCTCGCAGCCGAGCTCGGGGAAGTCGACCGGACAGCTGTGGAAGTTCGACAGCTGGTTGAACGAGATCTGTGGACCTTCGCTGTTGAACATGAACCACCACGCGTACCCAAACACCGTCGCGCAGCCGACGTAGATGCCAATCACCATGTACCGGAAAAACAGCCAGCCGCCGACAATAGGTTCGTCACGCTTGCGCGGCTTGCGCTTCATGATTTCGTTGTCGGGCGGGTTGAATCCGAGTGCGGTAGCGGGCAGTCCGTCGGTAACGAGGTTGACCCACAGCAGCTGCACGGGGATCAGCGCCTCGGGCATACCGAGCAAGACAGTCAAGAAAATCGAGACGACCTCGCCAATGTTAGACGAGATCAGGTAGCGGATGAACTGCTGCGTGTTGTTGTAAATCGACCGGCCTTCTTCGATCGCCGACTCGATCGTCGCGAAATTGTCGTCCGCGAGCACCATATCCGCCGCAAGCTTGGCGACGTCCGTGCCCGAGCCCATAGCGATTCCGATATCAGCCTTCTTGAGCGCGGGGGCGTCATTCACTCCGTCACCCGTCATCGCCACAACCTCACCCGAGCTCTGCAACAAGTCAACGAGTTTGCTCTTGTGCGTCGGCTCCGCGCGCGAAAACAGTCGCGCCGTCTTGGCCGCGCGCAGCTGCTCGGCCTCTGAAAGATCGTCAAACTCGCGTCCAGTGTAGCTCTTGCCCGTGACGTCCTCGTCCGCGTCAAAAATCCCAATCTGGCGGCAGATCGTCTCGGCCGTCTGCTTGTTGTCACCCGTGATAACCACAACTCGGATGCCTGCCTCATAGCACTTCTCGATCGCAGCGCGCACTTCCTCCCGCGGCGGATCAAGCATGCCGACCAAGCCGACAAGCGTGAGGTTCTGCTCAATGCGGACGTAGTCCTCGGCAGACTTGGCCTCGACCAAGGCCGGGTCTGAGGTCACATCCTCGCGCACGGCGAGCGCCATCACGCGCAGGCCCTGCTTTCCGTACTCGGTCACTTTCTCGTAAAACATCTCCGAGACATCGCTCGACAAGGGGACGACACCGCCCGCGGTCGCAACGCTCTTGCAGCGCTCGATAACAGACTCGGGAGCTCCCTTCACAAACAGCACGCCACCGGCGCCGTTCTCGGTGACCAAGACCGACATGCTCTTGCGGTCGCGCGAAAACTCATAAGTAGCCGCGCGCGCGTGCGTCTGCTTGTACTCGTGATCGTTAAATCCGAGCTTGGAGGCGAGAACACGCAAGGCGGCCTCGGTCGGCTCACCGACGTGCGAGTAAGTCTCAGTCTTTTCATCGTATACGATCTCGGCGTCGTTGCAAAGACTGCTGATCTGGGCCATGCGCAGGATAGTAGGCGAGTGCTTGATCGGCACGGGGAGAACCGTTCCGCTAGCCTCGCGCACGAATCCGAGAGGAGAGAAAGTGGTGCCTTCGATGTCGAGCTCGACGAGCGAGTTTTCGAAATAAACGGCCTTTTGCACGCTCATCATGTTTGTGGTCAGAGTGCCGGTCTTGTCTGAGCAGATGACGCTCGTGGAGCCAAGGGTCTCGACACTGGGCAGGCTGCGCACGATCGCGTTCTTCTGCGCCATCTTGCGGGTACCGAGAGCAAGACAGGTCGTGATGACGACGGCGAGACCCTCGGGAATAGCGGCGACGGCCAAGGCAACTGCGATCTTGAAGTAGTAGATGGCGCCCTTGAGGACACCGTTGTGGGCGGGATCACTGAAGTTGCGGACGTTGATGAGCCAGACGAGGATGCAGATGACCATAATCACTTTGGCGAGCATGTCGCCAAAGTCATCGAGCTTCTGCTTGAGCGGCGTAGGCTCGCTGATCTGGGACACGATCGAGGTGTGAATGTCGCCGATGGCGGTCGCCTGACCCGTGAGGGCGACGATTGCGCGGCAGTGGCCGACAGTGACGGTGGTGCCGGAGAAGAGCATGTTGATCTGGTCCTGCTTGACGGCGCGTTTGTCGGATATAGGGTCAGCGGACTTGCTGACGCTCTCGCTCTCACCCGTGAGAATAGCCTGGTCGACGCGGAAGGCGTTGGAGGTGATTGAGATCACGCGGCAGTCGGCGGGGATCTGGTCGCCGACCGAGACCTCGATGATGTCGCCGGGAACGAGTTCTTCGGCGTTGATCTTACCGATCAAGCCATTGCGCAGGGCCTTGGCTTCGGTGGGCGAGTACTCGCTCAGCGCGGCGATTGCTTTCTCGGCACTGGACTCTTGCTGCACGCCGACGATGGCGTTGAGGATCAGGATGATGAGAATGACGGCGGGGTCGACGAAGGCGGTGTAGTCATCGCCCTCGTCGAGGAGCGCGAGGACGAATGAGATGGCGGCGGAAGCCAGGAGAATGATGACGAGCTGGTCCTTGAATTGCTCGAGTATTAGGTGCCATAGCGGGGTCGGCTCGTCTTCTGGGAGGGCTAATAAGTGGCAAGGAGAATGTTAGTCATACAGACTGTGAGGAGAGGCAGAAAGAGCAAAGAGCTCAGAAGAAATCAAGAATAAGAATACACAAGGCGCTTACCATTCGAGCCGTATTTCGCACGAAGCTTCTCAACTTTCTCAGTGGTGAGGCCAATTGCTAGGTCGCTGTCAAAGTTCTTGACGACGTCCTCGACGGAATGCACGTAGGCGTCATCCATGGTGGTTCGGGGATGCTAGTGGCGGTGGTAGCTGTGGTGGGGTAGTATCGATAAGTTGATATCAGATCAGGAAGAGCACACGGGCCGGGGTTGGCCAGAGAGATCAGATAGCGGTAGTAAAGACAGACGGGCTCTAGCAGTAGATCCAGGCAGAAGAAAACTAGAAGGAGAACCAGTGCAGGATATAGAAATACTACTTGGCGACGGGGAACAGACAAGAATCTCGAGCAGCGGGCGTCGAAGAGTCCGGTGGAAAACCAATAAATTTATGTCAGCAACTGCGGGGTTTGTGGGTCTGACTCCGATGAGGAGACGTATGAAATAAGCGTAAATGCCAGGCTGGCCACTTCTGCTTATCGGCGGCCGCTTGCTGGTCTGCTGAGCTGGCTGCTGAGCCAAGAAGTGGTCTGCTTGTGTGTTGATATCTGCAACGAAGTCTTCTATCGAACCAGGCAGAGCACGAGGTATGAACCTCTTCTATAACAAAGACCACGTAAGAAGACCATTGATCTGGTTGACTGAAGGTCGGTGGTTTTCAGCCTTTCTGACTGCGGCTCTGTCATCCAATCTTGCATTGTAGATGTCACCGTAGCTGCTTGTATTCTCCCTGTTCTCTGCTACTGCTGTATAGAATGTGTTTTTAGTTATGTAAACTATTGCCACTAATAAAAGATGATAAAAAGAAATAAAAAAAAGAGCAAAAAAATGGTGACAACCCTGGGATTCGAACCCAGGCCTCCGAAGAGATGAGAACCTTAATCTCACGCCTTAGACCAACTCGGCCAGATTGCCAAACTTCTTGAATAAAGATTCAAACATGTGCCACTATAAAGCGCACAATGTTGCAGTAGAAAGTGAGGTTTACCAAGTGATATTGATCTTTTATTGTAGAAAATACTTTACTAATTAGAAAGAAGTGTAATGTAGCTGCTAGCTAAAAATGGGAAGGACAGAGACGAGGGAATGTGCTGTTGCGTTTGTTTACATCTTATGTAATCATGTGATTGTGCTGTGACAGCCCAGTGAAACACGGATTATTCATATCCCGGCAAGGTATATATTCAAATGCGCGACTATAAATACAAGAAGATAAAGAGAGTATTGAACAAAATTAAATCAAATATCCTAGCAAGGATGATCAAAAAGACGCAGAGAAATAGATAACCAAACGTAAGACATGTATGGTAAACGCCAAAGAATTATATAAACCCAAAACTAGATCCAAAAACTAGATGACCCTAGATAACAGACACAACACTAGATAGAACGGAAGCACATCAAGAAACTCTCACAGGGTTCTTGCCAATCGTACAAAGATATCAAAAAGACGTCTGCTGGGGTGGGATCAGATAGAAAGCAGATCACTAATCATGAGCAACACCGCTTAAAAGTTTGCGGCGAGGCCTCCGCCGGTGCGCGGGTTGGGCTTGTACGCAGCTTCCTCGTCGAGGTAAGCCTGGCCGACTCTGGTTTCGTCGTCGCTCGAGCCGTTGTCAAGACGCGGAGTGGCGGCGGTACGGTCCTGCAGGGCGTTGGGATCCTCGGTCGCGTCGGCGACGGCAGGACCGGGAGCGGCGCCAAACATGTAGCCGCCGGACTTCTCGCGCAACTGGGACTTTCTAGAGGCGGGAAGGAGGTCGAAGAAGAGGATGATGCCGTAGATGCCGTACCAGTAGGAAAGAGTCCATTCGACGTAGGCGCCGTAGTCGGGGTCGTATGAGTCGCCGTTGAGGACGGCGAAGGCGATGGCGAGGCCGAGGGCGACGAGGAACCAGACGATTTTGAGGATGTAGGAGAAGCGCAGCCAGTGGACTTCGTAGTATTTCTTGCGGAGGAGGGTATACTCAGCGGAGGTGCAGATGGCGGAGATGCCGAGGAGGACGACGAAGATGCAGAGGTTGATGATGTGCGCGGAGTGATGGTGGTAAGTGTCGAAGATGGAGAGGAAGATGACGCCGATCTCGCCGCCAAAGGCAAAGAAGATGGCGAGGCCGCCGAGGATCTTCTCGGCGCGGTAGCGGTTGGGCTCGAGACGGTGGGCGTGGCGGAGGTAGCGCTCGGCCGCGATGGAGAGGACGAAGAAGACGCCCTGGGTGGCCGCGCAGGCGATGAAGAGGGCCTTGACGCCCGAGGCACCAATGTCGGAGATGTAGGGCATGCGCGTGCCGGATTCCTGGGAGGGATAGAGGTGGTTGCCGTAGCCGTTTGCGGCCCAGATGGCCATCATGGCGATGAGCATGCCCCACCAGGTGCAGCAGGAGATGAGGGGGAGGATCCAGTAGTGCCGAAAGCGACGGAGGATGGGGAAGTGCGAGCGCACGTCGGGATCTTTTTCGAAGAACATTACGGGCAGGGCATGAAAGAGAGACGGGGAGGAAGAGGTATAGGTGTTCGAGGAGAACAGGAAGAGGAGGAGGAGGAGGAGGTAAATAGATATAAAATGGGGGAACAAAAGGTGGCGTAGACGAGAGAGAAAAAAGGATGAGGGAAAAAACAGAGCCCGGTCGGGGATGGTGGCAGTGGCAGAGCGGAAGATTTCAAGGTTTAGCGGGAAGAGCAGGTTCGAGGCGAGGCCCTGCGTAGATCCCGCCGAGGAATACGCAACTGCTGCGGATTAGTCCAAGTCCACGCGGTGACGACGAGGAGAAGAGTGAGTGTTCATTTGATATGTTCTGGGTTCTATTTAGCAGTTGTTGTTTAAAGACGAGGCCGTTGGATATCGTCGAGATGTGTCGTCACCGAGGCCGCCGGAGAAAACGGGCCCCGAGAAGCCGATGAGATCAATGTGCTGTGCATGTTGGTGTTGCTGTCTGTTCATAATCCTCTGTTAATGACTCCGCTGTTAATGATCATCTATCTACAATTCCATCTACTCCATCCCACCTCCATCCTACTTCACATCCTCACTCATCACCACCAACTGCTCGCGTGCCCGAGGCCGAGACGGAGATGCAGCAGAGACGAAAGAGGCAATTAATAAGAAGAGCACAGCCCCTATTTCTGCGCCGCACCTCAGCCACAGTGACATCATCGTCCCTGACGACACTCCTCCGCTTGCGGCTCTGTCTGCTGCCTCGACAAGCAGCCAGCGAGGAGAGAAAAAGTGGTGATAATCTGAGCAATAAAACAGTCATCTTCGGCGGCCTGTTCAGGGACAGACGAGTGTTCTCGCGCGCTCGGAGAGATCGATCGGCTCTTGCGTCAGCGGTCGTTTGGCGGTCACGTCGATCGGGTGACGACCACGAGACTTTTATGCTGCGATTCGATATCGCGACATTCTTATATCCTGTTCTCTGTCTCTGTTTTCTTTCTTCTTTCTGTTATATCTTGTTATATCAATTTTGCTTCTTCTTATCATCATCTTCTCATCATCATCTTCTTCTTCTTCTTCTTCTTCGCATCATCTTCTTCTTCGCATCATGAACCACACAAACAACCCCTCCCCGCCGCCTCGCCGCGCAACCGTCCCCATCCCCATCCCCATCCCCATCTCCTCATCCCTCTCCTCCGCCACCATATCCGCCTCCCAGGTTCACCGCCGACGCGCTTCCTTCACCGGCGACCACGACCCGCGCTCTCCTCCTGCGCTCTCCGCCCTCGCTGGCGGCATGTCCCCCAGTCAGTTCTACGGCCGCTCGCCTGAGCAGCACTCCCCCGCCGGTTTCAGCCAATTTCACCATCACCCGCACCCGCCCTTTGCTGCAAACTACTCTCTCACCACCGCTTCCTCTACCTTTGCCCCTTCCTCTTCATTGAACCACCCTGCCCCCGACGCATTCAGCCGGAAAAGCCCCGAGTTCCCTCCCTCGCCTACGCTCTCCGCCTCCCCGCGCTCCTCCTTCTCCTCTCCTTCCCAGCCCGAACCACAAAACCACATCGTCTCCTGCGACCATCATCATCATCGCCGACAGTCTGTCGCCGTCTCGTTCTCTCCCGAGGCCGAAAACGCACCGTGCTTCGAAAGAGGAAATTGCATGATCCTCGAGCAGGGACCGTCGCCCGGCCGTCGTCTCAGCGGCCGCTTCGCAAGACCGCCCTCTCCTACCGGCGAGCGCATTCTTCAGGGCGAGTTTAGTTTCTGAGTATTTGCCTGAGATGGATGTTGTCGATCTATGTCACGAATAGTCGTGCTCCTTCCCATCTGCTACCATGTTGAATCTATCGTTAAGGCGTTATCTGGTGTTTGAGCAACCGCGGAGTTTTTTGGTTTGTTGTTTGTTTGTTTGTCTATATTTCTTTGTTTTTGTTTGTTTATTCGTTCGTTTGTCTGAATCGCTATATCTTGTCTGTCTGTTTGTTCTTGCATTGCTCAAAAAGCACATTACCCAAAATTCACATCTATCTTTCTTCTTCTCTATTCTCGATTTGCAACTGAATGTACTTAAAACACAAAAATTGCTGAATTCATTCTTCTTTAATTCAAGAGAATAAAGCAACAAGCAGTTGCTGATGTTGCTATTGTAAGTCTAAAAACAATGCTTAAGACCAGAAACAATACTTAGCAGCAGCCGGTGGTGCGGCGGTGGTCCTTTTGTCCACCTCGAAATCTTATAAAATCCGGGGACTTCCGCTCCATCTTCTCTCTTCCCTCTTTCTCTCCTTCTCTTCGAAGAACCATTCACAGATAAACACAGACAAACACACATGAACAGTACAACGCACGTTCTGCAGCCGGAGGACACGCAGACCTCAGACGAGCTGCGTAATCGCAAAATCACGACCTCAATCCCTGCTTCGCGGATCTCCTCCAACACCCCCACCACCCGCACCAGCACCAGCAACAACAGCAGCAGTCAAAGATTCCTCTACAACATCGTCAACCATGCACCCGACGAGGTAGCTCTGCATGCTGCGATCTTGGGGGCCGTCTTTGCTGTCAGCTCAATTGCGGCGCTGGCTATGCTGTTCTGGCGAGACGGGTTTTGGCAATTGCCGGCTTACATCTCTGCGCTCTCTGCGTTTCATTTCTTGGAGTATTATATCACTGCCAGGTATAATCCTGCAAAGGTCAACATTGACTGTAAGTCTGGTTATTGCCGGTTTATTTTGTAATGCGGTTGCTAATTACCAATCAGCATTCCTGGTTCGTAACGGCCGATCCTACGTCTTTGCCCACGTCTTCTCCCTCCTAGAAGCCACAACAGAGCTCTACCTCCTCCCCTTCCTCAAAACCCACTACCTCATCTCTCTCCTCGGCCTTACAGCAATCCTCCTAGGCCAAGCCATCCGCTCGCTCGCAATGATCCACGCCTCCTCAAACTTCTCCCACCTCATCGTCCACCAGCGCGAGGATTCGCACAAGCTCGTCAAAACGGGGCTCTATAGCTATACCCGGCATCCCTCATATTTTGGCTACTTCCTCTGGGCTCTGGGCACGCAAGTGTTTTTGCTGAACCCGGTCGCGCTCGTGGGCTTTTCGATCGTGCTGTGGAGGTTTTTCAAGCGACGTATAGCCTGTACGTTTTTCCTCATTACATTATCTTTATACGGTTTTCATGGTGGACTAACAAAGAATTTATAGACGAGGAGATTCTCTTGATCCAATTCTTTGGGAAAGAGTACGTCGAGTACAAGCAGACCACCGGCACCTTGATCCCGTTTATTCCTTGATCTGCATACCTCATCGTCAACTCACTTTCCAAAATCTCTCCACGGCCCGGCGTTCAAATTGTCTTTTTTTGTAGTTATCGTGATCTCTTTTTTGTAGTTATTGTTCTCTATATGCGATTGAAAAATAAAATTTATGTCTATGTACTGTACATATTACAACCAGTCAAAAGACCTACTCAAACGACAATCCAACAAAACGGTCTCTCAGATCTTGTTCTCTGGACGCACGCATACTCCGCCCTTTCACCAGCCTCTCCATCCGGTACTTGCTCTCCTCAAACTGTCTGTCCAGAAAATTCTCCGACTCTGCTCCATCCTCATCTTCCCCGTCATCGTCCTCGTCCACGTCGTCGTCATCGTCGAGGTCGTAACTTACACTCGAAGAGTCTAAATGCAAGATTTTCGCCCGTTTATCTAAATGCGCTCCCGCTGCTTCCGTCGTCGCAATCTCTCTCTTCAACTCTGGTGATAAAAGAAACTGCCCGTGTCCGCCCAGCGACGGCGACGAGTGCGACTGGTTCCGCGCGGAGAGCCAGTATCGTCCGCGGCCGGGACTCATCAGGTCGTGGTCGTATGCAAGTCTGTGTCGCGGCGACGGCTCGCCCGCAAAGAGCGGCGGCGGCAGGCGCACTGCGCTTGAGTGCAGCGTCGAGAGTTGGCGCTTGTAGTCGCCTGTTGGAGTCAGTGGGGCGGATAGTGTAGATAAACCAGGGTAGGATGAGGTTGTGGGATGCAGGCGGTGCGGAGGGATGGTGGGGTAGTATCGCTGCTGGGAGTAGTCGTCGGTTGAATCGTCGGCTTCGTCGTCTGTGATCCACTCTTCGCCGGGATACTGCTGGTAACTGTAAAAGTGGTGATGGTGGTGATGCTTGTGGTTATGTGGCGATGTAGGCGAATGAAGACTATGACTGCTATGATGTGTTCTAGCCAAGCTATTCGGCCTTATCGACCGCCGTCTTCCGCCGTCGCTGCTGGGCCGTCGATAGGTGTAAAACCGCGAGCCAGCAGATGCCTGCCGATACCGCAGCGATCCAGCGCTGTGCCGGTGCCGGAGATCAGGTACCTTGTACACTTTATGGTACCGCCTTCCTGCCGCGGCGCTGACTATCCGCGAAGAGAACGCGGCGCCGAGGCGGCGGCCGCGATGCAGCGAGGACGTGCGCGGTCGGAGGGGGGAGTAGTCGCGCATGCGGTGCGAGAGAAGTTCTGCGGATAGCGCGCTTGTAGATCGTTTGTGTAGTGAAGACGTCGCCGTGGTGGTGGTGGTTGCATCGTTGCTCGGCGTATGGCTTGGCCGTCGGCGGCGGCGGCCGAGTTGCTGGTGTCGCGAGCGAGAGCGACTGTGCCGGTCGTGGTCGTGGTTGTGGTCTGCGTACTGCTGGGAGGCAGGAAATACAGCTAAAAAGCTCTCGGCAAGGTCTTGATCCGAGTCTTGGTCAAAGTCGGAGTACTCTGCATGGGTTGTTAAAAGAGGTAGTTAGCGACGCCAGATCGGATATATGATGCAGCAGGAATTGGGGATGATGAGGCATACCGCTTACGGGCTCGACGCTATCGTCTGAATCAAAATCAGAGGGTTCACTCAGCGCCAGGTGCGGTTGTAGACGACCTGCTGCTGAAGAGAGCTGTAGATTGCTGTTGCTGCTACTGCTACTGTTCGTCCTCCGTCTCGGTGCCTGACTCGCTTTTTTCCGCTTCTCGACAATCTGCGCAACCGCAATAACAACCTGCACAAGCTCAACCACCGCCTCCTCTTTTCCCGCCAGAAACGCAAGCGGGTCGATGTAGCTGAGATCCATTTTCAGCACGTCCTGCGCCAGCGTCCCGATCAGCATCTTGACGCTCTTGACGCGCGAGTTGAACGTGTCCTGCACCGGCGTCGGGAGCGAGACCGCGCTGCCGAAAAGCGCAGAGTAGAGCTGGATAAGCGCGTTCGGGTGGATCTGCGCTGCGAAAGGGGTTTGCTGGGCTAGAGTCGGGTCCGGGAGGTCGACTCGGTAGGCGATGCGGTGCTGCTCGAAGAGCGCGTTGAGCGCGTTGAGCAGCCAGAGCAGCTGGCTGGAAGCGGGTGCGGAGCTCATGAAGAACACACTAATCAGCTCAAGAGTAGAGATTAGAGCTCTACCGGAGCAGCCATTGCGCAGCAGCCGGTCTGTTCCAATTATCTTCCCAGAGCCGGTGGAGAGTCGCGATGGATGTCTTCGGGGTCCGATTTGGGAGGAATGAAAAAGACGCGTTCGGGATCACCGCACACGCGTCTGGGAAATCACCTGACCGTCCACCGTCTTCCTCCAGCGCTCGACCGCTCGTCAGCACCGCCAGCAGCTATCGCCTCCTTTGCGCTTCTTTGTTGTTTTGAGCCCGAGCGAATTGATTCCGCGCAGAAAAGACAGAATAAAGAGATTCTGTGTGTGTTGTTTTGTATAGTCAACAACTGATTGGTTTAATTCAGCAACTACAGCACCTTCGCCCGCCTCAGCCGTGCCTGTTCCTCGCTCGATCCTGATCTAATTCCATCCCCGCACAATGGCCGACCGATATTCATTTTCCCTCACAACATTCTCTCCGAGGTGCGTTTCTGTGTTGTTGAATTGTTGGCTGTGGCCGATTGCTGATGTGTTGTTGTGTTGTGTAGTGGCAAGCTTGTTCAGATTGAGTACGCCTTCAAGGCAGTAGACCAGGGCGTCACATCACTAGGAATCAAAGGTATCTATATCTGAAGTAGTTGTTGATCCATCACATCCAACTAATCTTCTTCTTACTGCAGCCCAGAACGGAGTCGTCCTCGCGACAGAGAAAAAGTCAACCTCAGACCTAATCGACGGCTCGTCGCTCGAGAAAATCGCAAACATCACGCCCGACATCGGCATGGTCTACAGCGGCATGGGCCCGGACTTCCGCGTGCTGGTCGACAAGTGCCGGAAATCGTCGCACACAAACTACAAGCGCATCTACAACGAATACCCGCCCACGCGGATCCTCGTGCAGGACGTCGCGCGCACGATGCAGGAGGCCACGCAGTCTGGCGGTGTTCGTCCCTACGGCGTCTCTCTGCTCGTCGGCGGATACGACGCCGACCACGGGTTCTCGCTCTACCAGGTCGATCCGTCGGGGACGTATTTCCCGTGGCGGGCGACTGCGATCGGCAAGGGCAGTACCTCGGCCAAGACGTTTTTAGAAAAACGATGGACTGAGGATCTGGAGCTCGAGGACGCGATCCACATCGCTTTGCTGACGTTGAAAGAATCGATCGAGGGCGAGATGAACGGAAACACGGTCGAGATTAGTATCGTCGGACCGACGTCTGACCATCTGCTTGGGTTCGAGGGTGTCGAGGGCGTCGAGGGGCCACGGTTCAGAAAGTTGAGCGCGCAGGAGATAGATGATCGGCTTGATGCTCTTTAGAGTGTTTTCATTTATATTCTACGATAGCAGCAGAAAAGATGTGATGTAATCAATTTATTGCAATTGTAAATGTAATGCACCTGCGCCTACGCCTAGATACTAAAGTAACAAAAAACCTAAGACTGAGATCTACTCTCGTCCTTCTTTGCCTTCTTCCGCCGCATCGCGGCTTCATATGCCGCGCTCCTAAGTCCCGAAGTCCTAACCATCAACTCACGATCCGAAAGCTGCAAGACCTCATCCGTGGTCGTGAGTCTCTGATTCGGCATCGCGCTCTCTCCCCCGCCGAGCACGAACGCACCGCCATTCCACGCGCCGTCGTCGTGGTGCCCATCTTCCTCTTCCTCCGGCTCGTATCTTTCCTCGTTACTGAGCTTATTGCCGCTGTGGCCGTACGGATCAAGTTCGACGGCTTCGCGCTCTAGCTTCTTGCACAGCGCCCAGAATTCAGCATCGTGATCGGTATGAACGTTGTGTGTGAGCTCGTGGCACAGCGTGGCGCGGATCCGCTTATAGTCCCGGAATCCATCGTACAAGTCTGTACGCAGACGGAGCTCAATCACCTGGCCGCCGTTGCGGTTGAGACCCAGCAGCTTGCTCTCGCGGGTCGTGTTGGATGCCGGGTCGAGTTCGGTCAGCACGGGGACGGTCCATTTGTACTTTTTCATGATTGCGCGGATGCCGCGGTCGTTCTTTAGCCGCTGCAGGACGTTCAGTGCGAGATGCGGGTTGGGCAGGAAAGGAAGCGGGACCAGTTTCTGGAAGGTGTACTGCGAGTCCGCTTCGGCTGCTGCTGCTGGTCCTTTCTTCCTCCTCCGCTGCTCTGACGGATCACGGAAGATGTACCTCGACTGCGGCCGCTGCGGCAGCCGATCTGCGGTCTTGATACTCTTCATCGCCTCCGCCACGTCCGGCTTCGTGCCAATCAGCATCAGCTTCGTCCGCTTCAGCGACTCGTATACTCCCGGCACCAGCTCCGCCACAAACACGTCCGCCTGCTCGGCTTTCGCGAGTCCGCGCTTCGGCAGCATCAGTTTCTGGTTCGCGACGGGTACGCCCGTGAGGATCTCGATCTCGCTTTGCAGGCCGGAGAGGGTTGTGTCGGGTTGAAGGTCGAGGTCGAGCAGTTTACCGCCGTAGGAGATAGTGAGCTCTATCCGCATCAAACTGTTGCTGTTGCTGTCTTCTTCGTCGTCGCTGACGTCGATCGTGGACGCAGATGCAGAGACTGCTCTCGTCGCGCTGTTGTCCTCCATCTTTCTATCGTCAACTATTGATTCAAAAGCCATCTTCCGTCTATCGTTTGTTCTCTTTTGTATTATCTCTGCAATACAACTGCAGCAGAACAAAGCAGAAGCAACGACCTTCTTTATATTCGCCATCGCCGTCGATTATTCAGCGTCAGCGGCGGTGCGGCGCTCACATGACCGGTGCGGCTCGTGCGGCGTAGTATGTCATTGCTGACTAATGAGATTACTACCAACTTCCTGAAGCACCGCGAAGACTGCTGACCACCTCATCAAGGAGCAGGGATGTCGGCGCCGTATTACAAGCCGCCGATAGATCCCTCCGTTGCGAAGGCGGCGGAGGCAGCGAAGAAGAAGAAGAAGGAGATTGTGGTTTCGTCGTCGTCTGCGCTCGAGCTGGCGAGCGAGCTTGCGTCGCTGCGGGAGAAGTTTGATCGTGAGAAGGCGCGGGTGGGGAAGACGAGGCAGCAGAGTCAGGCCGAGATCGCAAAGCGGAGGAAGGATGGGGATTTGTTGAGGGGGGAGGCTGGAGGAGGAGGAGGAGGAGGAGGAGGAGGAGGAGGAGCGAATAAGGGCGTTGAAGAGCGGAATGCGAGAGATTTGAAGTGGCGGGCGGCGCAGAAGAGGAAGACGGACGGTGATGGGATCAGGGAGGCGTTGGAGAAGAAGGCGAAGCGGTATGATGCGATCAAGAGGGGGGATTTCAGTGGAGTCAATGTCGCTGATTCGGCGCTTGATATCGAGCTCATCTCTGTGCATTCTTCTGACGATGACGACGACGACCAGAGCGAAGACGACCGGCGCGGGCAACGACTAGCACCTGAGGAAGACGAGATGGTCGAGTACACGGATGAATTTGGTCGGACACGGATGGTCTCACGGTATTTACTCCCGAAAGTCGCCGCGCTGGACTCTGAAGCGCAGGCAGCAGCAGCAGCAAAGGCTGCCCGCCCGGCGAACCTGATTGTCGGCGACGTGATCCAGCACGACGCGTTCAAGCTCGACGAGGACGAAGTGCGCGCGATCCACGAGCGCGAGGAGAAAGAGCGGACGGAGGAGCAGGCGGTGCACTACGATGCCAGCCGCGAGATCCGGACAAAAGGCGTGGGGTTTTATAATTTCAGTAAGGACGAGGACGAGAGAGCGCTGGAGATGGAGCAGTTGAAGAACATGCGCGCGGAGACGGAGAGGATGGTGCAGGAGAGCAAGGAGATTCGCGAGCGGTGGTCTAGGAGACGGCGGGAGCGGTGGAGGAGGGTCGAGAAGGTGAGGATGGAGAACCAGGGCGAGAAGTGGTTGGAGTCGTTTGTCGGTGGCCAGAAGTGATCTGTGGCTGATTTTTATCTACATCTGTATTATATATTCTGTATTATATGTATTTCTATGAGTATCTGTCTATTTGTTGTTATATTATTTGTGTATTATTTGCTGCGGTTACAGCGGGGGTTAATGCAAATAAACAGAGGGCTGCGCACCTGTTGTCCGTCCAGGCCGGTTCCAAATAAACATCCGCTCTCCTCTCCTCTCTCCTCTCTTCCTCCCCACCAACACTTCGATCCGAACAACCAAGCCTTATACTCTCACTCACTCACTCACCACTTGGCTTGTGTTCTGTTTATTTCTTCTGTTATCTGCTGTTTACCATGTCGGCATCCTCTGTTCCCGTCGTTGTCCCGCAGCGCTCGTCGCCTACCTCCGCGGCTTCGTCGTCCCTCTCCAGCAGCAGCTTCAGCTCGCCCGACTCGGCCTCCGCCAGCCGCGTGAACGCAAGCACGCCCGCGACCTCAGTCGACAGCGAGGACGTCAACGGGCTCAGTCTCAAGTACGCAGACGAGTCCACTCTCCTCCCCACCGAGCACGACGAGCAGGACGAGTGCAACGTCGACGACGCCGCGACCTCGGTCTCCAACTTGACCCTCATCCGCCGCGTCAACTCCTACACCGGATCCTCGCAGCCCTCGCTTGGCGGGACGACCACCGGCCGCTTCCGCTACGAACCCAGCGCTATGCCGTCCAGTGCCCTGCGCGCGCTCCGTCGTCGTATGTGCATCGAGGAGTTCATCAGCACCGAGGAGAACTACCTCAGCGGCCTGCGCATCCTCGTCAACAACTACTTCTCCACGCTCGACGCCTGTGGACCCTGCATGGCCTTCATTGCCGCCGACATCAAAGAAAGCGGCGCGGCGCTGCTCGAGTTCCACCAGGAAGTCCTCAACGTGCTCTACCGCACCTATCCTGCGCTCTACGCGCCCAGCTCCAACGAGCGCAGCGGCTATCTCCCGCTCGACCTCTCCCTCCGCGACAGTCAGCGCGGCTTCTCGGGGTTTGAAAGCGAGGTCTTCACCGCGCTCGACGACCAGAAAGCGGGTAGCAGTGCGGGCAGACGCGTGCCGTCGTGGAGTCAGTGCGAGGAATCGATTTCGTCGCCCGCGGTCGCGGGGTCAGTTGCCGAGCTGGTGATGAAGAAGGCGGCGGATCTGGCGCTTTACGAGCAGTATAGTTTGAATTACTCGAACGTTATCGATATCTTGGAGATGTCTACTGATCAGTACTCAAAGATCTGGAATGATGTGAGTGAATTGTTTTGTGGGTGAGAGGTATAAAGTGAGGCTAATCCAGTGTTATGTAGGGATCGCGTCAGTTTTTGATGGCTTCGAATGCTATTTCTCAGCGCGCCGACGTGTCTATTGAGTCTCTTGCGCTCAGCGTATGGAAACTACAACTATTATACACTATTAAGAAATTCTGCTAACACTGCATATCTAGCCGATCCATCGCACGATGAGATATCTTCTTCTCCTGCAAGAGCTCGCTCGCCATACGCAGCCCGAGGACTCTATTGAAGCCAGCGCCACGATTGCGGCAGCGGTAAAGTCCGTGAAGGGGTATGTGGAGAAACTCGATAGCGCGCAAGCGGTCACGTCGACCAACAACACGCTTGCCAACTCGAGCGAGCTCTGGCGCCGCCTGAGGTTCGAGAAACCTGCTCCTGCTGCTTCTTTCGACGGCAAAGACGACGAAGAAGGAGGAGGAGGAGCAGACAGGGGAATGTACGCGCCAGAGTTTTTGGGGAAAGCTATTCTGTGCGGAGCGTTGCATGTCGGGTGGATTGCGGTGGACGGGTCGTTCCGCAGCCAGTACTATGGCGTGTTTCTGTTCAAGTCGTGTGTTGTGGTCTGCTCTGTCGAGAAGGTGAACCGGTATACTGTGAAATTCCTGATTCCGCTGTGCTGTGCGCGTGTGCTGTCCTGTGATCCTGTCGATGGGGAGAAAGGCGAGAAAGAAGAAGGCGAGGAAGTGGGCATGCAGTCATCGTACCATACCTCGTTCAAGCTCTTGTTTGAGCATGATTTCAGGGTCTTTGAGCTTCTCGTGACGCCGATGTCGATCGCGGAGAAGAACGTGTGGGTCGAGTACCTGCAGTCTCAGATCTGCGTGAACGGAGGCGGCGCGGAGTATGACTGGAAAGCGTTCAAGACCTCTGAGCATGCGATGGAAGGGTCGGGACAGGTTACTGTGCTTCCGAGCTTGATTCGGCCGCTGTGGATCAGCCAGCCGCGCGAGGACGGAAAGAGAGCTGTGGAGGAGGCTGGTGGAGCTGCGAGGATCAATATCTCTCACTTTCTTGTTCCGGAGAGAGTGGATGAGGAGCATCACCAGCAGGAAAGTGGGAATGTGCAGCCGAAGCGGGGAAGATCGAGCAGGGTGTCGTCGCCGCTGGTGTACTTTGCAGAGTACAACGACAAGCTGTTGTCGCCCAAGTCGCCTACGACGATGAGTCCTACGATGGTCTCGATCTCGTCGCGTGGCGGTGAGACAACCGAGCAGGACGGAGAAGACGACGACGATCAGACGATGGCGCAGTTCGCGGTCACGGTGAAGCTGTCTGACCGGATCCAGACGGAGAAGATGATTGCGCTGGTGTGGTCGCGCGAGGAGTTGGCGCTGGCGCAGGACGTGTGCGTGGTGAAGCATCACGGTCTTGGCTCTGGCCGGGTCATGTGTCTTGTTCGTCGGATCTCGGGGGTGGGTAGTAGTTTTGCAGCCGGGTTTTCGAAGCGCAGCAGTTCTTCTTCGTCGCTGGGATCGATCTCTGGATTTGACGAGGTTGATGGGGGAAAGAGAAGCAGCGAGGATGAGAACGGGCTGTCGCCGGCGTCGTCGTCGATGTCGTCTGGGTCGCCAAGGGGCGTGGCGTACAGACGCGTGCCGAGACCGAAGCAGTCGGGGGACGTGGTGATGAATCCGAAGAGTAGAGGGCGTGAGCGGCAGCTCCGGGGAGTCTCTGTTGGGACGGGGGAGGTCGTGCGACGGATCAGTGGGCGGCTGTCTGGAGTGAGAAATGTTTCTGCGTCGCTGTTGAAGGTGCGGTATTAGCAGAGGCATAGTTGTCTTTTCTAGTTTTTTTTACGTGTATTTTTTAGTTTATCAGACAGTAGTCTGTAGTCTGAACAGTAGTTCGACAGTAGTTCAGTATTGAGCAAAGTAATAATATATTGATATAAACTATGCAGATCAATCAATGGCCGGTATAAGCCGGCCCATTCGAATCATTCTTCGAATCAAATCCCTTTGAATTATATCCCTTCCCCTCCTGCGGATCACCCTTGATCAAGATCTGTTTAATCGCCTCGTCGACATTATCCGTTCCAAACTCGTTCTCAAGCGCAGCCTTGGACGCCTGGTCGAGGATGCCCTGCGACCCGCCGCGGTGGGTGACAAAGACCTTGAAGGAGTCGACGACGTCGACCAGAGGGGTTGTAGAGGGGTCTTTTCTGAAGAGGGAGTAGGCGTCGAGGGAGGAGAGGATGACGAGGAAGTCGTCTTCGGAGCCTTTGTAGAAGACTTTGCTTGCGTTCTGGGGAGGTTAGCGAGATCAGCGGGAGGGCAGATAGAGTGAGAGGTGATGCGTACAGGAGACATGGTGGGTAGTAGTAGAAGTAGTGGTGTGTATCCTCAGATGAAGAATATTGAGATGAACAGAGGAACAGAAGCAGAGACAGAAACAGAACAGAGTATTTAAGGCAGCCCGAGGCAGCTACGTCATTGTCGATGATGCCATAAAAGGCAGCCGAGAATCTCGAGATCGACGAGGGAAAACGTTCAATGACATAATGGTTACATAAGCGACAAGTCAATCAAGTCGAGTCAAGTCTGCGGAAGAAGCAGAAGCAGAAGAAGATGTTTATACAAATGTGAGGAATAATTACAATTGACCATTAACGCCGAGTCGTCCGTTCTATAGAAAGCAAAGCAGAAAGAGAAAAAGAGGAACAGCGGATGACAAAGACAAAAGAGTAAAGATCGATAAACAAAACAAAACATAACAAAACAACACATCCACTAGTCAACACATCAGGTAGATCTATGAGATAATCCTACAAAGCCTCGTCGTGCTGCAGCTTCGACCGCGCAAGTCCAAACAGCTCTTCCTGTTTTCTCAGCAGCTCTTCTTCTGTCATGCCGGATGCCTCGAACTTGCCGATCTTGCGCTCTCGTCCCTGCTGTATGGATGTTAGACGTCGGTCTATCTTCTACCATCAACTCCAACACAAAGTAGTATAATACCTTCTGCGACTCCTTATGCTCAAGAATAACCTCCCGAATAGGCTCAATGTAATCCGAAAACCCCAGCTCCTGCAGCGCCTTGATTACGTGCTCGGACGCGATTGTTTTCTTTGTCTCGTTCTCGGCGATGTCGTTCGCCTGCGTCGAAATCAAACCGATGAACTCGACGCAGCACTCAATCAGCGCGTCGCGGGCGTCGCGCGAAAAGACGAGGTCGGATGGAATGATCTCAGAGACGATTTTCTGTACGGTCGCTAGAATGTGAAGAGACAGTTAGCTCCTCTTCCTCTTCCTCTCTCTCTCCTCTCCTCCTCCCCCTCCAATCAGCAAAACACACCTTTGGGCAGCGAGAGGTCTTCGGAAGAATTCTCGCGGTCCGACATTTGCTGCTGGCCTCTTCTTCAATCTTCGTTCGTCGTCGTTCTTCAGCTTTGCAAATCGTCACAACCGGCAGCGGGCGCACGCGGGGCTTTAAGTATTCACGAACGCCGGCTCTCCGCAGTCAGCGCCGAGGGCTTCGTGTCTCATCTCCTCCGCCTCAGCAGCAGCTTCCTCACTTTTTGATATCACCAGAGCTGCTCTTCTTCCTCTCTTCTTCTCTATCACAAACCACAATGAAGAGCGAGGGCGATCCGCTCGACGCCATCCCGGCATCGCCTTCCCAGATCTACCGCAACATGCTCATCCTCGAAGAATCCCTCCGCGCCCAACACACCGTCCTCCGCCGCCGTCGGTTCCAGTACGCGTCCTTCTTCGCCCTCCTCCTGCTCTGGACCGCCTACTTCTACTACGGCACCGTCTCCTACCCGTCCGTCTACGCCTACGTCCACGCGCTGCACAAGCTCGCGCTCGCCCTCGGCATCGTCACCATCGCGCTCTTCTACATGTCCGGCCTCTACGCAAAGACAATCGTCCACCCGCGCAGGTTCGTCGCAAACACAAACAAAGGCCTCCGCCAGTTCAACCTCCGCCTCGTCCTCATCCCCGCTCATCCCGCTCGTTCTCCCTCCGCTCTCGCCGCAAGATTCGTCCGTCTCGCCGTCTACAAGTTCTGGTACCGGCCTCTACCCCCTTCTTCCTCCTCCTCCTCCACCACCTCTTCCTCCTCCTCCTCCTCCTCCTCCTCCGCCCCCTCCACAACAACAGCCCGCCGCCGCCGCTCCTCCTCCTCCGCATCCACCTCCTCCGGCCCTCCCCCCCAATCCCACCCCTTCTACCACTACTTTTGCTACCACTACAAGCCCCCCGGCGGCGACCTCGTCAAGCTCGTCATGCTTCCAAAACCATTCCCGCCTGATGTCCGCGAGGGATGGGAGCTCTATCGCTCAGAGTATTGGGCAAAGGAGAACGATCGAAGGCAGGCGAGAGCTTCTGGTCGTATTCCTTGTTCTTGTGTTTATCCTCCTTCTTCCTCTGCTACTGCTTCGTCTTCCTCTTCTGCGTCTAAAAAATAGTACCGGCGCGCGGTGTCCTGGCTTTCTTCATGTATCATACCTCTACCGGCGTTTCCTTCCTCTTTGTAAATACACAACTACACTTCTATAACTTTGATAAAATTTATTTTTGTTTAAAAAAAGTAAAAAAGAACATAGAATAAAAGCTCAAATTATCTTTTTACTCTTCAAAAAGGTCCTCACAAAACACACAATAGAAAATGAAAAATAACAACAATTTCAAGATTTGGGAAATTCATACCCGACAAACACAAAGCATGACCTAAACCACACTTACAACTTGTCGTAGTACTCCTCGTATCCAGGAACAACCTCCTTCATTCCGTGTCTCTTTCTGGCCTCGGTAACAATCTGTCCAGGCTTCGAGGCAACGTCCAAAGGCGAACCGTTCATAGTCTGCCAGTGGTCGAAAACCATCTGGGGGAAAGCCTGGCCGGCAGTCTCCTGTCTCAGAATAGTGGTGAATCCGAAGGACTCGTTCACAGGCAAGTGAGCCTTGACAGTGAACAAAGGAGTTCCCGGTCGCTGCTCCTCAGACAGAACCTGTCCACGCTTTCTGTTCAAAACAGAGTAAATTCCACCAATAGCGTTCTCAGGGCACTGGATCTCAACCAAGAAAACGGGCTCCTGGATACGCGGCTCAGCAAGCAGAGTCGACGCGTACACAACACGACGCATGGTAGGAATGATCTGACCACCTCCACGGTGAATAGCATCAGCGTGCAACACAACATCGAGAATGTTGACACGAACACCACGCAAGTTCTCGCCAAAGATAGGACCCTCCTTGGAAGCCCACTGGAATCCGGCAACAACCGAATCCTTGATCTCGTTAAGGTACTGAACGGCCTTGGTCTGGTCAACAACCAAGTTAGGGCCAGTTCCGTCGGGACCGAAACACCAGATCTTACGACCATCGGTAACATCCCAGCCGAACTCATCAGCAAGCAGACGAGCACGGATCTTGAAATCCTCACGGGGAGAAATCTTGCCGCTCTCAATAGCAAGACTGACCTCCTCATCAAGAGGAGCAGCCTTAACAAAGATACGGTTGTGCTTGTTGGGCGACTTGGACAGAGCAGTCATGCTCGACTCCGCGCTAACAGTCTCACGGTAGGTGACGACAGGCTCAGAGATCTTCAACGGAACACCAGCATGGTCCTCCTCGAGATCCTTCAAGCAAATCTCCAAGTGCAGCTCACCGGTACCAGCAACAATGTGCTCACCAGACTCGTTCATCATGCAGAGAACGCAAGGGTCGGACTTGGACAGACGCTTAAGACCCTCAACAAGCTTGGGCAGGTCGTTGGCGTTCTTGACCTCAACAGCGACCTGGACGACAGGCGACACAGAGAACTTCATGACCTTCAAGTTGTGGGCAGTCTCGGAGGTGGTCAAAGTACCAGACTTGAGCAAAAACTGGTCAACACCAACAAGACCGACAATGTTACCGGCAGGAACATCGTCAATGGGCTCGACGAAACGTCCCATCATAAGAACGGTACGCTGGATAGCCTTGATGAAAAGGTCCTCCTTCTTGCCAGGAACGTAGTTGGGGCCCTGGATACGGACCTTCATGCCAGAGCGGACAGTACCAGCAAAGACACGACCGAAAGCGTAGAAACGACCCTTGTCGGAAGTGGGAACCATCTTCGAGACGTAAAGCATAAGGGGTCCCTTAGGGTCACAGTCGCGGATGGCAATAGCGCACTCATCGTCGTCAGGTCCCTCGTAGAGAGACGAGGCACGGTAGGCCTGGGCAGTGACGGGCGAAGGAAGGTGGAGAACCATCATCTCCATCAGGGCATCGGCAGCGGGCAAGAACTTGCGCATGACAACCTTGAGGAGGGCCTTGCCCTCGAGCTCAAGCTCATCACCCTTGAGGTGGATCTCAAGCTTCTCCAAAAGGACGGGGATCTGGTCCTTCTTGAAGTTCATGATGGCATCGAAGATGCGGAAGATGGGGTCCAAGATGAACATGTTGAAAGCACGCTCGAGGGGCTTGCCCTTGGCGTCAGTGCCGGTCTTGGTCCACTTCTTGGTGGCAGGGTTGAAGTAGTTGTCTCCCCAAAGACGCTCCATCATCTTGGAACGGTCGACACCGAACTTCTTGGAGTAACGCATAGCGAACTGACGGACCGTGAAAGCCCATCCGTGGAGACCAGAGCCGAAGGCAATGGTACCCTTCTCGGGGTAGACCTGGACGTCACCGAGAGCCTTGTCGTAGTAGGTGGCGATGATGACGTTGACGGACTCAACGGTACGCGAGAAAGACTGGTACAAGTCCTCCTTGGTGACCTGGAGCTCGAGAAGAGCACGGTCGACCTTGTTGATGATACAGACAGGCTTGATGCGCTCACCAAGGGCCTGACGCAGGACAGTCTCGGTCTGGACACAGACACCCTCAACGCAGTCAACGACGACGAGAGCACCGTCGGTGACACGGAGAGCGGCAGTGACCTCAGACGAGAAGTCAACGTGACCGGGCGAGTCAATCAAGTTGATCAAGAAGTTGTTTCCCTGGGTCTTCTGCTTGATGTCGGCGACATCGTCGTCGGTCATCTCAGCGTAAAGCGAGATGGCAGTGGACTTGATGGTGATACCACGGTCCTGCTCATCCTTGCGAGTATCGGTGAAACGAGCCTCACCAGCCTATAGGTAATGAGAAGTCAGCCCACAAGGTCCCAATGCAGAACAAAGAGGAAGAAACAAAGAACTAACCTTAGCAGCCGAGATAATACCAGCTCTCTGGACGAGAGAGTCGGTGAGGGTGGACTTGCCGTGGTCGACTGTGGGAAGCGGGATTAGTAATGTGTGCGGAGTAGGCAAATTTTTTGGGCAGCGGCTCTGCTAAAACCGATCGGAGATTCAAGATCAGCGATCACGAAGGTGTCTTTTTGCGTCCGGTTTTCAACGAAAAGATGGAGAAGAACGACAAAAAGACACTCGCTGAAGGAATAGCAGAATCTGCCGCTTTTGAAAAGAGCAATGAGCTTGACACGTACCATGGGCAATGACGGACATATTCCGGACATTGGTGACCTTGTCCATAAGGGCACGAATTTGCTACAGCGAATGTCAGTACTCTGTTCGACGGCAGAGAAGAAGGATGAGCATTGTAGAGCTCCGGCATAGAATATCCAGAAGCAGATCTCATGTTTGGGGTCGGAAAGAAGAGGAGCTACATACGTCGACGGTGAAGTTAACTACAAAAAAAATTTGTTAGCCCCATGCCCAGGAGAAAGCAGCGCCGATTGACGGAGCAAAGACAGTCGATAAGAAGCAGCAGAAGAACATACCCATTTTGAATTATGATTGCAGATCGGCCTATAATAAAAAAGGGTGTAGGGAGAAGAAAAAGACACGGAGAAGAAAGGCCGTGGAGACACTCGGAGAGGTAAAAGAAAAAAAAAGAGGAAAACTTGGTGACGGATGATAAAGCGAGCGCTGCCCGGCAGCTTCGGTCCCTGCGCAGCTCTCAGCACGATCGTACAAGCCCGTACCCTATCTACTTTGGGCTTAGGGTAGGATTATGTAATGCTTGTTTATTCTTACTCGTTTAGTTCGACGCTGCTCAGCTCGGCCAGGCACTCGCGCAGAAACTGCTGCGTCGGCACACTCTCGACCTCGAGCGCGGCAGCTGCCTTCTGCACCTCCTTCGTGGACGACACCGCGGCGCCGAACGCATGCACAACCTCCTCGAAGACCTCTATCAGCGCGTCCACGTCTCCGTCCTCGGCCAGCACCTCGCTCTGCCAACTACTCGACACTCCTTCGACATCAAAGTCCTCTTTGATGACTAGGATCTTGGACCACGAGTCCCACCCTGACGGAATCAGCACCGCGTCTCGCTGAATCACATTTGGTTTCACAAACTGCGCTGCTTCTTTTAGATAGTCTCTCGAGTGCTCCACCGTAATCGACGGAGAGAGTAGGTAGAATAGCAGCGGAAAGAGAGTTTTCGAATCAGACGACAGGTATATCAGCGACGCGCCATCTATATCATTCTCCTGTCAGACAATACTCTCCAAAACTAGCATGACTAAACTCACGTTTAAGTAATATCGTCCGCAGAAACTGCTGTATGAAATCAAACTCGTCGTCCTTCCGGCCAAACTGCCGTTCAAGAACCTCTGTCCTTTCTGAGTTCATGACCGCAACCATAAACTGAATCCCTAAAGGCGCATCAAACTCGCCTTTTCCTAAAGGTACCTCTATTGTACTTGAGTTGCCGGCCAGAAGCTGAAACGAGTCGGTAAATGACGTGTTGGCTAGTTTGTTGTATCGCTCAGAGCCTAGATCAGATAGAAGATATCAGACACATGTGTCAAGTCAAGCAGATAGACAGTATACCCTTACATCTAGCTAGGCCTCCAGAAAATTTCTCTTGGTCAATTTTCGAGATGACGTCGTTGCGCAGAAATAGTATGGTCTGCGCGATATCTCTGATCCACCGACGAGGCTCTGTCCAGTCGCACAGAATGGTAACAAAAAGACTCTCAAAGGTCGTTTCTTCTCGGTTCAGAATATTGACCAGTAGATTAGCGTATGATTCGTGTAGTTTTGATACTGTGTAGATGTGCAGCCGTATTATTAGTTCTGTGAATCTTGTTAGCTTCCTCGTCTACGGACGGTATGTAGAACGCGACGCACCCTCCTGTTCCCGATCGTACACATCAATGTAGAGATAACCAATAGCGTAATCATTTTTCACTGCAGAATACGATCCTTGTATAGCATACAGATCGTTATTGACAGACTGCACCAGCTGATTTATAAAGTCGCGCTGGCACTGCGCGGTCCCTCCTATAGCGCCAAGTTAGCCCCCAGAACAGTCTCAATCTGAAAAACATACACGCACCAATCAGCAGCAAAGTGCGGGTAGGAACACTCTTCGCAGACGATGCCGAGTCCAGAAGAGAGCTCCAGATGCCAGACATTGAATTGCAGAATATCGAATATGTTTGCTTCAGTGTTATGACGACGTCGACGCGACGCAAACAAAGTCCCAACGCACCCAAACTCTGTTTGCTGCCCGTGTTCACACTTCCGCATCTTCGCCCTTCTCCTCCCCCTTTCCCCACAGCCTGCTCCATCCCCGTTCTCCTCATTCGTCTCACGCTCTACCGCTGTGAGCTTCTTCTGGATTGGCTCTGTTATGAATTTGCATAAACCTCTCAACGCAAACGCGTCCTCGCGGCACCGTCTCCTCTGCGCCTCCTTTAACCAGGATCAGGAATGTTTTGCTGTCGGTCACGAGCACGGCTTCCAGGTCTTCAACACTGACCCCATGGAGCGGCGGGTAAAGCGAGGTAGGCACTTTTGATTGCTTGTATTTGTATGTGTTTGTGCTTAGACTGATTGCTTGTTGTGATTGCTAGAGTTCGCCGACGGCGGAATCGGGATCGTGCAGATGCTCCACCGTACAAACTACCTGGCCTTAGTCGGCGGCGGGCGTACTCCAAAGTATCCACAGAACAAGGTATGATCCGTCCATCTCCTCAATCCCAGATCGTATTTCACTTCATTCTAACCTCTGCGCAATGCTCCATAACCACAGGTCATAATATGGGACGATCTGAAAAACATCGCCGCGCTCTCGCTCGAGTTTCTCTCACCCGTCCTGCAAGTCCTCCTCTCGCGCACGCGCATCGTCGTCTGTCTCCGCAGCAAGATTTACGTCTACATATTCTCGTCTCCGCCAGTGCGTCTCTCAGTCTACGAGACAATCGACAACCCCACCGGCATCTGTGCGATGCAAAACAATCAGCTCGTGTTCCCTGGTATCACCGAGGGCCATATCCAGATCGTTGATCTATCGCCACAGGGCCAGGACCGCAACCTAGTCTCAATCGTGCGTGCGCACAAAGGGAAAATCAAATGTCTGGCCGTGAGCCACGACGGCTCATTGATTGCCTCCGCGTCAGAGACTGGCACCATCATTCGCATCCACTCGACCGCAAACACCTCGCTGCTGCACGAGTTCCGTCGCGGAATCGACCGCGCCGTGATCCACTCACTATCCTTCTCGCCTTCATCTAACCGTCTCGCTCTTCTCTCCGACAAGGACACCCTCCACATCTTCGACACCTCCCCCCTCTCCGGCTCTAGCAACCGGCGGCACATCCTCTCAAAAGTTCCGCTCCTGCCTCGCTACTTTTCTGGCGAATGGAGTTTCGTCTCCACTCGCATCTCAGACGAGCGTATCGGCCGCGGCATTCTCGGCTGGGCCTCTGACGACGCGATCGTCATAATATGGACAGTCGAAGGCATGCTTGAAAAATACGCGATCCGAGAACGAAAGGACTTTCAACGCAAGGCGCCAGCTACCCTTGCCGGAGGTGCCACCAACGGCGGGAACGGTAACGCGAAAATCGGAGGCATCGGCGATCAGAGCACGGAGCAGTGGGAACTTGTCCGCGAAAGTTGGCGGAGTTTTGAGGATCTATGATGCGCGTTCACTCTTTATATTGCCACTTTTCACTCGTTTTACTGGTAACTTGCGATTTGTTTTTCTGATAGCTTAGTGCTACTCTTATGGGTGATTATATATATGTGTACGAGACGACCTGTAAAATATCTGGCCCTTTTTGTGAAGTAATGGCATTCGTCGTCTACAGATACCATTTTAATGAGATTCGATATCCAGCTATACTCCAACAGGAGCTATCGTAGAGCTATAATACGTAAAAGAGCAAATTGACGATATATGTCTAACGCGATCTCTTCGTTATTTCAGCTACTAGTGACTGAGTCATCACAAACAGTAAACGTGATACGTATATTGCAGAAATAGTAAAAAGAATGTGACAAAAATATATATAAAAAAAAAGATCTGGACAATAACAATTTTCCTCTTTCACCACTCGCTCGCCTTCGTACTTAGCTCCCAAACGTTACTCAATCGAACTATATAAATAAAAAACATGAAAAAAAAACTAATGAAAAGTGAATTTTAAAAATGTCGTCGGAACGACATAGCAGCGCAAGGGAAAATCAAACAAAAAACAAGGATGAAAATAAAGGGTCATTCAGAGAAAGAGTGTCATTAGGTCTTTCTCTTCCAAGAGAAGGGGGAATGCATCATATATGTGTTTTTGGAATGTAGTTTTTCAAAACTAACTAAGCTTGCGGCTGCTGCTGCTGCTGGGCAGCTTGAGCCTGAGCCAAGTCCGCTTCGTCTTTGTATGCCTGCTGCATGATTGATTCGACCACTGTACGTTCTTCGGCCGAGAACTCTCTCGCGAGCACCTCGTTCTTCGCAGGATCTTGCTGCAACGACAAAAACACGTCGCGGAAGACGATGTAGACGTTGATCCTGTCGAGCGGCGACTCGTACAGCGTCTCTTCCTCCAGCGGCTCGTCCTCGTACTCTTCCTCCTCCACAAACTCGTTCTGCTTCTGCTGCAGACGCAGCGCCTCTTTGCTCAGAAAGTTGACGTACTCATCCGTGCCGTTTTCCTCAGTAGCCTCGTCGTCATCTTCGTCGTCCCAGTCGCCGGTGTTGAGATTGCTATAGTCGTAGAAATTGTTCAAGCCCTCACCTTCAAACTCCTTCGTCAGCTTTTCACGCTTCTCAAGCGCCGCGGGCAGACTCTGCAGAATCTGTAGCAGGCCATGAAGAAGCTGCGGCAGACCAGGTCGGATCGACTCTGGCACGCTGGCCTCGGGCAGAACGAGGATGGACAGGATAGCCATCGCAGACAGACGCTTGTCATGAACCCGGCTGAGGCTTGCAATGTTGCTGAACCACAGGTTAAAGAAGTTGGCAGTCTGCCCGCTTTCCTCGAGGTAGCTGAACGTCAACACCGGGTTGCAGTAGATGCAGTTGATGACGACCTCCAGCAAGCTGACAAAGTACGTCTTGTTCTTCAGATCCGAGTCGTTCGCGATTCGGCCGAGTCTGTCCATCGCCAGACCGATGAAGAATGGCAGGTAACTGTTCATACCCTCCTTGATGTGCAGAAGTAGCGTCTGTATCAGTCTGCACGCATCAGTGCGGTCGTTAACGCCCAGTCTGTCATCGCTCAAGAAGACGGTGTTGACGATATCGACCATCGCGGCGACGTAATTCGGGTTCGTCTTCATCTCCTCGGCGCCGTAGGTGACGTAGTTCTCAAGCGCGGGAAGAAGCTCGTCGAAATAGTCGACCGAGTCCTTGAATGAGCTGTGGATCAGTCCAAACAGACCCCACAGGTTGGGCGTGATGCGCTTGAGACAGTAGCTGCTGGAATCGATGAGCTCGAAAATCTCGCCATACATATCCATCTCCTTGCTCTCCAGCACCGCCGACACCACTGGAGTGATTGCGTGCTCGATCTGGATAACCAACTCTGGAGAGTTATCCAAGCTGAGCAGCAAAGTGCCCAGCGTGTTGATAATGCCAAGCGCGGCCATGATCTTCTCGTCAAAGTCGCTGAGATCGGCTTCCTCATACTGATCGGGATCAACGTTTTGCTTCTCGATGATCTCGCTCAGGATCCGCAGGAACTGGTCGCGCAGCTGCTCCGCAAGCTCAACCGCAAACGGCGCAAGCTGCTCGGAAAACATGTCGACGAAATCCTCCATCACGCCAATCAACGGGTCCATATCGATCTTCTTCGTAAGCTCCATCAGCTTCGCCATCACCGCCTTGATATTTTGCGACAGCGCGTTGCGGATCGATTCATGGCGCGCCAGGGGCTGCAGCGCGAGCGCGGCCTCAATTTGCACGGGCAGGTGCTTGTCGTTCAGGCACGCTGCTATGTTTGAGTAGATTATGCTGATGTTGTTGGGATCCTTGAACTCGGCGTCTGAGAACCTGTTCAAAAGCTCACATGCACGGACACGCAAGAAGCCAAAGGGACTCTGGAAATCGTGGAAGATGTGCGCGACGAAGAAAGACTCCATCATTCCCGCAACAGGACTCTTCTTGCCCAAGATGATGTGGGACAAGGAGCCCATCATTCGCAGCGCACCTTCTTTCTGTCTGGCAAGTGTTTCATCATTGACGTTAGCCTCCTGAGCCACCACGACGCCGTTGATGAATGAGAGAATGTTGTTGAACGTTGACTTTCGTCGGCGCTCCGCCAGTGTGATCAAAAAGTTGGTCGCAGTGACATCCGGAGTCGGGTTCTCGTCAAAGATATCCAATCGCTTGTGAATATATTCAACCGGATCATCTTCAAACAACTCCATATCTTCAGTCGACAGACACAACAGAGGGAAGATGACGTGCGCAACCAAGCTGTCGACGTGGGGCTTGAGAATATCCCAGGTGCTCTTGGTTCGAATACACTGGTCAAAGTACTCGACAACCGAATTAATAACCGGCTTGCTGAGCCAGAGAGTCTTGCCGGCCCACTTCTCGATCTGGAGGAGATACGCTTTGAGAATCTCGGGGGCGAAGTTCGCTGCAAACGTCTTGGCGAACTCCTTGTACTCGGCCATTGAATCGGTAAGAAGATTGGGGTCGCCGTACCTATTTATAACGTCAGATTCTAGTTCTCATCAGCATAAAACGAAGGAAAGCACTCACTTGGAGAAAAGCAGGTTAAGGTCGCGGTGCGCCCATTTCTTTGCCTTCCACCACTGGTTTTGCTCTCTGTCATCTTCGTCTTCAGGCACTGCTTCCGCTGGGAGTTCCTTGCCTACGACCTGTAGGAAGAGGTTTCCCCATTGGAGTAACGAGTTCTGGTCCTGCAGGCGAGGCGACAATTCAAGCTAAATGTAACGAGATTAGCAGTCAAAACTTTACAGCGACGAGATGAGTGATGGTATAAAATGCTTACGTAGATGGCGGATCGGTAACTCTTCATGATCAGACGCATCATATCTCCAGCAATAACACTATTCTCTTCAAGAATGCTTCTGCCAATCTCCACTGCGCGCGGGAACGCACCCTCCAACACCGGATCGAGCTGTAATCTAGCCTCATGGTTTCTCCATCGGAAAGCGTTCGAGACCTCGCTGAGGCATATCAGGCCGGTGTGGATATGCTTGACGTCCTGCGAATGCAGGAGCTGCATCATGTGATCCAAAAAGGTCGGCCATTTCGCAGGATAGTCGTAGGTGATGACGCGGTTCAGGATCTGGATCAGATGCTGCTGAGTCTGCGGGGGAGCGGAAATGATTGCCGGAATCAATCGTTCTCGGAAGCCGGGTTTCTCGTCTTCGGCGATGGCACTTGTCTTGAGTTCCTTGAATTCCCAGTTCTTGATCACCTTGTTTTTTAAATAAACGGCAGCTGTAAGGAAAGAGAGGCGGGGAGCATTAGCGATTTGACGGTATGGATTTGTTGCAGCGGAAAGACTCACCTGAAATCTGAACCGTTCCGAAAGGCTGTGACTGGACGATATCAAGACAGGCTCCAATGAAACCAGGAGCAGCGCTCGCCTATAATTACAAAAAGAGTCAGTAAAGATGTCGGCCATCATGAACGCCTGATTTGACAGCAGACAGCGACTCGAAGTGCCTGGCAGCATCACGAGATAAGACGGAAAGCACAAGCCCAACATACCTCACCGAGCTGCAGCTCCGCATGTCGTCGAATGTTGATATCAGCATCTAGCGTGGACGCAAAGCACTGATGCAGTCCATTGACGTCCATCTTCGATCTAGTTGAAGTATTTTTCTGTTTCTCTGCGAGATGATTCCTTAGGTTTGCTCTGTAGAAACCAATGCACCCACAATGCTAATTCGAGATCATAAAAATGCGTAACAAGGCAAGCCAATTAACAACAATTCGCACCAGACACTCTTTCGTGGCTGCTCTTTCGTCTGGTGGAGGTGAGAAAGTGCGTTGTGCGGTTGATCAACGAGAGAGAACGAAAAACCGGTTCCTGGTCAAAAAAGTCTCCCTTCAAAATCCGTCGTCTGTCGAGAGGGCGCACTGTTTCCGCTGCTCAAAGTTTTTCCCGATTAGCCCAAATCTATGACTTTTTCTCTCCGACAGCCTGAAAATGCGCAAAAGCTGAATTCGCGTTGAATCTGAAATACGCCAAAAAACTTATTGGAATACCAGAAAAATGATTTCGTGGTTAGTTGATGGTTGAAAAAAAAAAAAAATATTATTTGCCAGCAGGGGATCTTGGAGAGCGAAGGTTGCGGTTACATATTAGTAAGGGTTTGGTGTGGTATATTACTTTTTTTATTTCCCTCTGCTCGCTGACGCAGTTTTATTTGATTGATTAGGGATCGTTAAAGCAAAGGGGGCGCTCGGGCAACAAAAGAAACCACCTCAGACGGGCTGCCACGTAGTAGTCTGGGTTCGGCCTCTTTTTTTCACTGAGAATATGCTTGAAGACGCGTCCTTCAGGATCGCCTACATTCTTGATGCGGAGAGTGCCGAAGCCTATTGGCTGGCAAAGAGGTCGCTACCGTTTCATAGCACTCGAGACTTGGACTTCTTCGGCTCCTCCTGACGACGTTACGCATCTTTCATAAAATAAGAGACATATACGCAACTATTATAGATCAGTCCTGAAAAGTACTCAGGACAAAATGCTATCGAGCCTTAACTACCGAGAAAACAAGTCACAGACTCTCATAGTCCACGAGCAGACGCCCTGCGCCGCACAACCCCTGAAAAAGACCTATCGAGATCATGGCCAGCGAGAAATTTTGTGATGTAAATATGCATTCCTAGATATATTTTAAAAGCAATGAGCAGGCACAGCTCACAAGTACAGACTCGTGCAAAATACAATGTCCCGCTTGATTTTCTCCTGCGAGAGTTCCATCTTCGCGTGCAAAGACGGGTCGCCAATGATCCTCGCCGCCGTCTTCACTTCTCGACAAACCTCGTCCAACCGCGTGATTGCATGCACGATCGTTCCCTCAAGCACGTCTGTCAAACCTATGATCTGGCTAAACGGCATGCCGCGCGCCCATTCGTACACAACTTCCATCAGTCCGAACCGCTGCTGAGCATTCTGCGGATCAAAGACCATCTCCTCGGGGATCACTACCTGATGTGCCTCCTGCACCTCGTTCACCCGCGTGGCTATCTCTAGGATCTTCGCCTTACCCTCGTCCAAGCGAGGCGTGATTGTGGTCTCAGTCGTCGCAGATTTTTCCTGGAAAACAAAGCATGATAGAAGAGCAACGATCTCCTCAGGCTCGTAGTCAGCCAGGAAATTCTCCAGAATAAGCTCCGTGATAATCAGCTCGTGGCCAGAGTTGATCTAAATCAACAGTGTTAGCTGACATATATCTCTAACAAAAGTAAGAAAAGAAATCATCGCTTACATCGCAAGCCACGCGTCCCTTCAGCTCGACATTCAGACCATCGTCAATAAACCCGAGATCTTTGAGAACCTCAATTCGCTGCTCGTATTCCGGCAGTAGTTCCAAATTTTGGTCCGAAATCGCTTGCTTGAGCTCAAGAATATTTTGCTTCAGCAGTGACTCTTCGTGAATCATCGCAAACTAACACAATGACAAAAAATTAGCTCGCCGTATTGACTGCTGTAGAAAATGAACATCGACTCACGTGTTTAACAAAATCCTTGCAGGCAAGACACTTGAACCCCGCAACCTGTTCTCGTAGCTCTTTGTACCGGCTCTCGTAATCCGGAGCCGCGAGATTCTTGCTGCCTCCTCGCTTACCCAGCTTCAGTTTCGGAACTGGAAGTGGCCCTCTCATTGCATTTTGCAAAAATTCTCTCAACTTTGTGATTGCTGTGCGTTCTTTGCGTACGAGATCGTCTAGATTGATCTGAAGACAAGAAAAGAGATGTTAGCCGACCAATCGAGTGGACAAACATAAGCTATGTAGCGGAAATTCTTACGTCTGTACTGTTGACTGTGATACATTCGACAGCTGAAAATGGGATATCACGCTCAACGAGCGCCCATTTCTCAAATTCGCCACTCTTATTCAACGAAAAGACCTTACTCAGCTCCGGAATACACGGCAAAAGATCGGTCTCGACCTTTTGCTTCGTCCGTCTAGCTCCACCCTTCGGAAACAGTCCGTAGCAGCGGAACGTCTGACGAAGAGTGTTGACGCCCATAATCACACAGACCGTCCTAGACGAGTCCTCGGTCTGCACCACAGCGAGGCGACGATCCACAGTCCTGCGAAACACCGCATCTTTACAGTTCGCCTCGATCATCTTGGGCACCAATTCGCGAATCTCTATCAGCAGGTCATGGCACTCCTGCAGGTCTGCGTCACAGATATCGCATTCTTCGCGCTTGAAGTTTCGCAGCGTCGCTTCCGACTGCTTGACGTTTTTCTCGTGCTCAGGAATCATCTGCTGCGATGCGTTTTCGTTGAACGACCGCTTGATCATCTCCTCTACCTTCAAGGCTTCTACCCGCAGAAGATTGAGAATCATGTTGTACGTCAGACGGAACTGACTCTGCAGTTTGGTCGGCGGGCCTAGAATCATCTGGTTCAACGAATGCACGTTCGGCGTCTCGGTCCCCGGAAACGCAATGATCACAGTTCCGATCGTGTCGAGACCGCGACGACCTGCTCGGCCTGCCATCTGGGTATATTCTCCCGGGAGCAAGTCTCGGAATGAACGACCGTCGTGCTTTCGCGTTCCAGAAAAGACAACCGTTCTTGTTGGCAGATTCAAGCCCTGAAAGAAAACAATTAGCTATATAAAAAAATAGTGCAAACAGGAAAATCGGCAAGACATACCATAGAAAAGGTCTCAGTGGCGAAAAGCACTTTGACCAGCGACTTTGAAAACAGAATCTCCACAGCCTCTTTAACAATCGGCAGTAACCCACCATGATGGACCGCAATTCCCCGCGACATAAGCTCTCTCATCCTCATAATTTGCGGCAGAGTCTGGTCTTCCTTGCGAAGCCGACTGACGGCATTTTCAATAAATATGTGGATCTGCGCTCGTTCGCTGGCGTTGCAGTAGTCGACTCCGGATAACGAGTTGGCGTACTCTTCACAGCGCTTCTTGGAAAATACAAATATGACTACCGGCTGTAACTTCATCTTGTACAGTGTCTGCACCATACGCAGCCACATAGTCTTGTCAAAGTTATTGTTCGGCCACTTCCCGCCTCTGTTGCCAGCGCCTGACCCACCGCGGCCACCATAACCACCACGGCCTACACGCGCATTGCTCACAGCCGAAGAGCCGCCGCGATTTCCACGACCACTGGCCCCACCCCTACCGCCTCGAGCACTATTCTGCTGTTGCTGCGACTGCGAGGGATTAGTCTCCTTTACTGGGTTGACGGCGCGATCAGCATCCGACCAGCCTTCCATGAGAAATTTCTTGTTTGCGTCAACAATTTTGAACATCTGGTTCTTGGCCCATAGATAGTGCTCGAGCGGGATAGGGCGTTTCGGAGTCGAAATCACATAGATGTCTTTCTTCTTTGTGCGGCCGACCCAGCTCGCAAACTCAAGCGTGTTTGGAACGGTGGCTGACAGCAGGATCAGCTTGACGTGGTCCGGAAGCATGATGATGACTTCTTCCCATACCACGCCGCGCTCGACATCGTTGACGTAGTGCACCTCATCAAAAATGACAAACTCAACATCACGGATCAAATCTGCGCCTTTGTAGAGCATACTGCGCAAGATCTCGGTAGTCATAATCACGCAGCTACCCTGGGGATTAATCTGGACATCACCGGTGAGAATGCCGACGTCGTCAAAGGTATGTCTAAAATCACGGAACTTTTGATTACTCAAAGCTTTGATGGGGGATGTGTAGATTGCTTTAGTCATATTCCGGTTAGCCATTGCAATTGCGTACTCAGCAACGACGGTCTTTCCCGCCGAAGTGTGCGCAGCAACAAACACACTGTCGCCTTGCTCGAGATGGTAAACCGCCTCTTTCTGAAAATTGTCAAGCTCGAAAGGCCATTCACGTGCCATTTTAGGCACAAGCTCTGAGAAGTTGACAATGTCGGTGTTGACGTCAACTACATGCGCCCATTCTTTGCCTCGCGGGTTGCGCGAATCCCCAGCGCGGCCATAGGGTGACTCCAGCAGTGACTTTATGCTTTCGGTCGGCAGCAGATCATCAATCAGGTCGCGGTTCACAGAGTCGTTGACTTCGATTGTGGCACCCGTAACTGGGTCGGCGATGACGCGCTGTGGAGCTGGAGTTGCGGAGTCGTCGATGATGATCTCGGCCGAGTCGTTGTCATAAGACTCCTCCAGATCGATAATTCGTTCCTTAAACTCTGGAGCAGTAGCGATATTAAGTCCTCTAGGCAGTCCCGGTGCAGTGTTCAACAAACCGTGCTCATCGTGCCTCACGATCCCGGCTCCTCCGATACCCGCGATCGACGCCGCCGAAGTCGCGATCGAGGGATCCAATCCTCCGGGCGTGAACGGCACGAACCCTGCTCGGCCGCGGACAAAATCTGCTTTCGCAGCCGGCGCGCGCGTGAACGAGCTCGAGTTTTTGGCACTGTCGGTGTCGAGCGGATGTGCGCTTGTTCGCTCTTCGTAGTCGACTATGCGGCCGTCAAGGCCGGCGCGGATGAAGTGCGTGGTTGATCGTGTTTGGCTGGATGGGATGTCAAATAGCTCGTGGTAGAGAGTGTCGTATGGCATTGATGGCGGTCTGGAGACTAGTTAGCAAAAACGCGTTTATAAAAACAATAAAGTAGAGTCGATACGTTTGGAGAAGATTGAGCCATTGATCAGAGAATGAAACGGGAGGAGAGAGAAAAATGCCTTCAAGCTGCTTGACAAGCTCATCCTGAGATACCTCGTCGACCGGTTTGCTTATCTGTGGCTTTTGCGACTGAGCAATTGCCGACGACGAAGCTGCTGTTGATGACGATGATGATGATTCGAGGTCGTAATCCAGCGCATCGCATTCCAACAGCCGACTAGTGTCGCGCAGATTCGCAAGGACACTCATTATTGCAGATCCGTCTTCTTTCCAGATCTCTCAACGACAAAAGAAATCACAATTGCGCGACAGTCGATGCGTGGCAAACAATCACGGAAGTAAACTAAAGAGTAGGAAATCACCAACGACGCGCAGAAACAAGAAAAGCGTGCGAAATTATGACTAAAGAAGCTGCATCAGCATTAGTCATTAATTAGTCAAAAGTCTATCTGTAGGGTTTCGTTAGAGTTTTGAGGTGGGAGTGAGATGTGAGTAGAAATCGAGATTTGAAACAGATGGAGAACACTGTGCGGATTGCGAAAGATGGAGTGGGAGAATATGGAAGAACGTAAGAGGGTGAAGCAGACACATTCATTCTAAAGCTAGGGTGGTTAGTGGAGGTAGTAATACTGCGCTTGGACATGACGTGTGGCATGCAAGGCTTGTTGACAATTACGTGCTCTCGAGAGGGCTACGCTAAGAGCAAGCCAGTCCTAGCTAGGACGTGAAATGGCAAAGGACAGCGGGAGGGTGAGTCGGGGAGTCTCTGAGTATATTGAGTAGCAGGAGAGAGGGCCGCAGAGGTGCCTGTGCGCGCGGTGCTTCGACGGTTGTGATGAATATCCGATGGTGAGCGTGAGAATGCAGCTTACTGAAGCCCGGTGTGAAGGGCAGGTCTATGCTGATTACCTTGTTTGCTCTGTTTACTCTGTTAATGCTGGAGATTGTGGCTTGCGAGGTGTCTCGGTGTCTCTGATTGTAGGATTTGCAAACCTTGGATGCTGTTGATTAATATTTCGCGGATGTGCTACCGACGAAGCGACAGGGCACTGCTGGTTTGAATATAATGGGAGCGCAAGGTTTGTAGTAGCGAGATCAATGCGGACTGCATTGACTGCATTGATGATATCTACAAACAGCTACGTAAGGAAGTATAGATAATGCTCAAAGAAAGGAGGTGCGCGTAGATTTCTGCGTTCGGCAGATAGCAGCTGAGAGTATTGCACGTACTGCTTTGGCAAGACTAACCAGGCAGCTAGGGCGAGGCTGAAGGTGTCGCACGCTCTACTATCTGGCGCAAACTGAGCTAAGGAGTGGTTTTGTTTTGCGGAACGAGTGCACAGTCCGTGTTTTAGAGTACGCAATCGCCGGATCGGCTCGGAAGTGCACGGAGGCGACGGGGGTGGACCGGTGCTGTAACGAGGAGGAAGGCGAGATTAAAGGAGGTTTGCTATTATCGAGTAGGGTGAGTTTGACGCAGAAATAGAAGGAGTAGACGGTGTCGATATAATAGAGCGCATCGGAAGCTTGCCCAAGATACAGATCAGATAGGAAACGTGCTGGCACTGCGACCAAGAAGAACCAAGATGCTGATACCAGCAACCAGCACATATCCACCACCTCTCTTTCGCAGCTTTGATCTTTTACCTCACAACAACAGCAGCCCACGACATCAAACTAGTAAGAGCGATATCGGGGACGAACCGAGCAATGGAGACGACGAACTGAGTTTGACGTTTTCAAGCCCTTCGAAGGCGAGGAAGTTAAAAAAGAGACCTAAACCTAGTTTTCGCGGTGGTTTCTTTTTTTTTTGTTTTTTTTTTTTCATCTTGGCTCTGCTTCTGTTTTCTGATTCGGGGCGAACGGTTGCCTGTTTTGTGGGTTCGGAAGCGCTGTGGCACTGGAGAGCGGATCTGAGGAGCGGTGGAATCAGTGGGTTGTATAAATTGTTGTATATTTGTTGTTTATTTGTTGTCTATTTAACGGTTGACAGGCCGAAAAGTGGTAAATTGGCTTGGCCACGGAAGCGCTCCGAGCAACGCCGGATGAGACAGAGATAAGGGCGAATGCCAGTAAATAGCAGAGGAAAACAACCAGAGCAGCAGAGAAGGCCAAAGAGAAGAAAAACGAGGAAGAGCTTCTCGAAGACGACGAGTCGAGAATGGCAAAAGCAGCGCAGGCGCTAAGCCCAAAGCAGTTAATTTGAGCACTCGGCTGCTGCTGAGCTAAATCGTCGATGGCAAAGAACCAGCCAGCCAGAGACCGAAGAATTGAGCAGAGAACGAGGGCTGACAGAAGAGAACAAAGAGCCGAGCAGACGACAGGCAGACAACGTCAGCCAGACACGCAGCCAGGAAGACGTGGAGATGAAGTGCTGTTTGGGGAATTCGGCGCACCCGGCTTGTGAGCTTTTGTAGGGTTTGTGTAGGGTTATCGCTCCCGCCACCATCTGCTATCGTCTCGATGGGTGCTGCTATCATCCCTGCTGCTGCTGCTGCCTGCTGTGCCTTGCTGTAGTCCCTGCTGCTACCCTACTGTAGTCACCCGCCCGCAGCAATACGAGCCTCTTCTTGCTCCATGTGGCCTCTCGTCACTTCTTCCGCCCTATCTCCTTTGCCCGCTATCTAATATCCTCATTCGCTCTACAGTGAGACGAGCTCCGTCCTCCAGCTGTCCACGAGACTACCATAACATGTCTCATCTCGGAATCATCTCTCGTATCTACCACCTCGCTCTTATCACCAATGTCCCAGCTGATCATTATAGACTCTAATTCCGCAATGTGAAGCAGAGAGCGGTTCTACTGGCGCTGGTGGCGCCGCACGGGGCTTGCACTAGTGTGTCCCAAGAGATGACTCCGGACGATAGCGATAAGAAAGCCGGCTCTCTGCCGTCTGCTCCACTTTGCCGCGAAAACCAGTTCTGCTGCTGCTACTGCCTTATTTCTACTGCAAATATCGTAATTATACCTGCTACCATCTACCAGACACTCCAGGCCGCCGTCGGAAGCGAGGTCCGCGAAAACATTTTTATACTGTCGCCTAAATGCAAAACCCACTCGAAACTCTAATTAACTTGTATGCCGCACTTGATGCGGCTCAGTGCTGCGAGTTGCCAAATTCACTCCTTCGCTCAACGCCGACCGCGCACGAAATCCAACTCGGGCCTGTTCTCAGATTATCGTCGACGAGCTCTTCACCTTCTTTTTATTCGGCCCTGTTTTCCTCGCGCTCTCTTCTGCCTGCTCCCTACTCGGTCTTCGCTCGCGCTCTTGCTGTCTCGTCTGCCTTGGCCCCCTTTCTTGCCGCGACGTAGCTGCCTTTTTCTCTTCTTTTTTGCCCTTTTTCCTATCTTTCCCTACAGCTCTGCGGGGCAATGAAGGTCCTAGTAATCGGGTACTTACCACCCCCTTCCCATTTTCGCCAAAATTCTTTACTCGTACCATACTAACCCACCCCCTACAGAGCCACCGGCTTCATCGGCAACGCCGTCGCCATCGCCTTCTCCAACGCAGGCCACGACACATACGGCCAGTCCCGCACATCGGCATGCGAAGCCCTTCTGCGTCGCGACGAAATCTTCCCCCTCATCGGCCCTCCCGATGAGATCGCAAAGCACTACGCACCCGGCATGGACGTTATTATTGACGCCTGCCGGCCCGGTTTGTTCGGCGTCAACACAACCGCCATCTACGACGCCGTGCTCGCGGCCTGCGAGTCGCGCTCGCCGCAACATAAACTCACATACATCTTTGTCTCCGGCACATGGACACACGGCACCCCGGCGCTCTACGATCCGCTTATGAGTATTTCCGAACGTGCGCCGCTTGGCGTCGACCAAACCCCGCTCATTGCCTGGCGTGCAGATTTCGAAACTCGGGTCTTTGGTGCTGCTACCAACGAGGCGATCAAAGGCGGCGCCGCTATCAACCCGATCGTGGTTCGCCCTAGTCTGCTCTATGGCCGCTCAGGATCGGTCCTTGCGGCCCTCTTTGATCAGGCTTACAAAGGTGGGCATATCACCTGGCCCGGTGTTCCCGGCGTCTCGCGATACAACACAATCCACCAGGACGATCTCGCGCGCCTGATCCTGATTATCGCGGAGAAAGCGCCTATCTTTTCCGGCCTAGCAATCGACGCCGTCAACCCGCAGACTGAATCGGCTGAAGACGTCGTGCGGTCGCTGATCCGCGTCGCGGGCGGAAACCTCACGTACTCGTTCCGAGAACCCGAAAATGATCTTGAGCGGGCGCTTTGCATCCCCACGCACTACTCGGCATCGTTGGCGTACACGCTCGGAGGCTGGACTCCGCGAAAGCCAGGCCTTGTCGATGGTATGAAGCGTTACTATGAGTCGTTTAAGGGCTTCCAAGAGTAGTCCATACTCCCGATCTTTCACCGCAAGACCCCTTTGTATTATAGCTCTCATGTCCCCTTTCTGCATCTCCTTCTCTCCCGGTGTCTTTTTGCTGCCCTTCGGTCTCCAGCACCATCTACAGTCATCTGTCTATCAAAGTGAATGTTGCTAATGCATTATACTTGATCTTTTCACTGCTCTAGTGCAGCCGGGAGATAATCTTGTACAGTTCCGTGTATATTGTTGTTTTTAATTGTGCATTTGCATTTTCATCGCCTTTACTTTTCCCCTTGTGATCTCTTGAAAATTTATTTCGTATTTGCTATCTTATATTCCATCTGAATTTATGTGCTGCGCATGGCATCGTTCCTCTTTTCTTGAAGACATTGTGACCCCTCGCTCTCAGATCGGTCACTATCTCACCTTCCTCTCCCTCCATCTCTCTACACCTCCCATTTTCTATTTTTGCTTCCTTTGTTCGGATTCCGTTCCATTTCTTCTTTCTGCTCTGCGCTATAGATTGAATTTATGATCAAGCTTTCATCCTCGTCACTTGTTCGTCACAGCTCACCCGCTCTTTCTCCCTCCTTCTCTCCTCACCTCCCGCGCGCTTCCTCACTCCTCTGTACAAAATACAACGAATAAAACTTTCTCTCAGCAATCAGGTATCATATGTAACTTTAAAACCCCGATTGTATAATATGCTTTCCATGTGCCCAGCCAGCGAAGCCGGCCAGGGTTGCAGGCACGGTAATCGCTTATGTAACACACATGACGTCAGATGGCAGAGGAAGATCGGTTGTGGGATAAACTTGTGATTAATGAATTTGAATGACCCAAGACTGTGTAATTAGGGCGACAAATGCCTCTGGCTGGGTATTTAAAGAGACGAGCGGATCCGCATGTCACACTTCTCTAACTACGATATTTGTTTTTTTGAGAAATAGAGAGGAAGAATGGTTTTCGGAAAATTGAAGGACAAGATCCAGGCTGCGAAGTCATCAGGCTCCGCGTCATCCGGCAGCGGGGGCTCTGATCTGGCGACAGCAGCGTACCCGCCCAACAAGCGCGAGATCTACAAAGCGCGGGTCCAGGAGGGCGTTAACCTTGGCGGGTGGTTCTGTCTCGAGAAGTGGCTCGCACCAGCGATGTATTCGTCGTTCAAGGACGACAACGGCGGGGATGATTCCGAGTACGCGGCCGTGAGCGCGAGTGTGCGCGAGCAAGGCGTGGACAAAACGAGGGAGAAGTGGGAAAAGCATTGGGATTCCTTTGTGACTGAAGAGGACTTCAAATGGCTGGCCGACAAGCATGTGAACGCGGTGCGCGTGCCGATGGGGTATTGGACGCTGGGCGAGAAGTTTGTGGGCGGCACGCCGTTCGCGGAGAACCGCGTGGCGGAGGTGTACAGGTCTGCGTGGGAAAAGTACAAGAAGATGATTTCTACGGCAGGAAATCATGGCATCGCTGTGCTTGTCGATATGCACGGCGTCCCAGGGGGCGCGAACGGCGACTCGCACTCGGGCGTCAAAGGCGGCGGAAAATTCTTTGAAAACAGCAAGCTTGTCGCGCAAGCAGTCGACGCGCTCGCGTTCGTGGCCGAGCAGGTCAAGTCGTTCGACAACATCGTCGGGATCCAGATCGTGAACGAGGCGGCGTGGGATTCAAAGACGGACGAGTACTACAACTCAGCCATCCGCCGCATCCGCGAGATCGACGCGGGCCAGTACGTGTACATCTCTGACGCGTGGAATCGGAGCAAGTACGTCGAGTTTGCAAAGAGTCGGCCTGGAGTCGTGGTCGATACGCATGTCTACCGATGCTTCTCCGACGAGGATTGCAAGAAATCCGCAGAGCAGCTGATCAAAGACGTGCGCGAGAAAGAAGCTCTGGATTCGCACTGTGTGGTGGGAGAGTACAGCTGCACGCTCTCGGGCTCGTCGTGGGATAAGGGAGGAGACAGAGATAAGCTCAAACGCGAGTACGGCCAGACTCAGATCGATGTTTTCGCACGATCAGCCGCAGGTTCGTTCTTTTGGACCTACAAGTTTGCAGAGGGCCGCGGCGGCGAGTGGGATTTTAGAGAGATGTACGACCACGGCAGCATCGCGCCTCCCAAACGCAGCGGCCGCAAAGCGTCCTCTGACGACGCTGACAAGCGGGCTAAAGACGCGACGGCTTCGCATGAGAAGTATTGGTCCGAGCACGCGCAGGGCAAGAAAATGGACCATGCGCGCTACGAGTCGGGCTTCAAGATCGGGTGGCAGGACGCAGCTGCGTTCTGGGCGCTGGACGAGAGCAAGATCGGTGCGCGCGATGGGTGGAAGCTTATGAGGACGAACGATCATACCGGCCAGAACGGTCAGAGCGAGTTTGTGTGGGAGTTTGAGCAGGGATTAGATGCGGGCGTGAAGGCGTTTGAGGAGTCTGTGAAGTGATGCGTCGTAAAGATGTATATCTGCTCGGTCTAGGATTATGGTACATGTAAATAAAGTGTGATATACTCAACACAGTAACTCATTCCCCCCTTCTAGAGCGTAACATAACCGGCACATTACCAGCTGCTGATGATGTCTAGTGGTATGATAGCAGCTGGGATAGCACATGGCATTACTGTACAAAATCTGATCCACACGATCTCTTCCCAAAATTTGATCCGACGAAACTCCAACGATGCGCCTTGAGAAAGTAGTGTCGACTTGCTTTTTCTCTCCACGAGAAAATCTGAAAACCCATGAATAGCACAAAAACATAAGAAAAAAATACAGCAAGAAAAAAAGCAAAAGTAATGTCCCCCGGTGTAATTCCATCCCAACAATCTCAATCTAATCAACAGCAAACCCAAAAAAACGAGTACAACTCATCCCGGAGGAACAGGAGGCAGAGGTCCCGAAGGCGGTGGTCCGGCAGGTGATCGCATGACGACTTTCTTTTTGCGTCCTTTATCCACGCTGCTGTTTCTGCTCGCGGGACCGGCCGCTGGTGCTAACGAGGACGGCGACTGCGAAGGCGAAGGCTCGTTGCGTGATTCGAATGAGAACGAAGGAGAGACTGTTTGTGGAGGAACAGTGGATGGTGCTGTGGTGGAGGTGGTGGTGGAGGTCGGGGTGAGTGTGAGGGCCGGAGCGGCGGTTGTTGCGTCGGATGCGGAGCGCGAGCGATGAGCGTCGATCTTTGCGCGCTGGATCGAGAGCTGCAGACGGGCGGCGGAGGACGATGGCATTGTCATTGACTCGCGGCGAGCGGGCGGGGCCCGTTTTGGTTTGTCGTCCGGTAGAGAGTTGATGGGGGCGGTGGAAGAGGACGAGGAGGAAGATGAGAGGGAGGCGGTGGACGAGGAGGCCTGGACCGCGCTTGTGAAGAAGGAGCGCGGGTCGGCGGGTTTGCTTGAGCCCGCGACGGAGGAAAGCGTCGTTGTGCTCATTGCCCGAACGAGGGACTCGGTCGAGTGGTCGCCTCCGAGAGGAGATGTGACGGGATCGAGCGCGCCGTAGAAGACGGTCGAGTCCGTCCGCGGTTTGCGCGCGGCGGCAGGGTCGCCGCGGATGCGGTCACGAACGATGCCCAGCCAGCGCATGAGGTCGGCGGAGGACGAGAAGACGAGGAGGGCGGTCTTGGGCCGATCATCGTGGAATAAATGCAGGCTGATGCTGGCGGAGTGCGGGGGCGCGGCGGCCGTGGGCGAGATGGGCGAGTCGTCGGTTGTGGTTCTGCGAGTGCGCTCGGCGACCTTGAGGACGTACTGACGACCGGGGATGTCGTCGGATGCGTACGCAACGGCCTCGGATGTCAGATGCACGACGATCTCGGGTGTGGCATTGGGCGCCGGTTTAGCAGAGTATCTGAGCAGCGCGCGCGGGAGGAGGACGAAGGTGCGCAGGCTGAGAGGGCCGGAGTGGCCGAAGCTGAAGCCGGCGTGCGTGTCAGTCTCGAGGGTCTCGCAGACGACGGCGCGCTTGGCAGCGAACTCGTAGGGCAGTTTTTTGTAGTTATTTGGGTCAGGCGTCGGGATGATGACCTTTGTGATGGGCCGCGTGGGCGCGAACGGGTCTGCGGGGGGCGGATAGGGTGGGGTGTGGCCGGTGGAGGGGGTAGCGGATGTGGAGGGAGACAATGGGAGCGAGGACGGGACCCTGGAGAAGAGCGAGCGGAGAGGGTTGCGTCTGTAGTTTGTGGAGAGCGACGATGTCGAGCCGTGGCGGGGGAGGGTCGCCGGCTCGGGCGGCGGGCTCTCGGCCATGGTTTTGTCTGGTGAAGGAGGAGGAGGAGGAGGAAGAAAGGAGGAGCGCAGTGAAGATGGAAGGCGGCGAGAAGTTCGATGCAGGGAAGCTTTGGCTTTGTTCACATGTTTTGTCTCACCCGGCGCTGAACGAGGCCGATGCCGTGCGCGAGTGCCGTGCGAGTGCAGTGATGGTAGAGACGCAGTGCGTGTTGGAATCACGGACGTACGTCTTTGACATCACGAGGACAGCCAGCTTCACCAGCAGCAGCACCGTAACAATAGGAGCACAGCAGCAGCATTTCGACAATCAAGATGCCTTCCGCGATCCGTCTGCTCGCCCTCATGGGCCGTGAGGTATTTCTATGCTGCTTTACTACGAAGCCATGATTATTGCTAACTAATCTTCCAGAACAACCCCCTCTACGTCCGCAGCTTCGACAGAGACACCGACTCCGACACCGACCCCGACCGCTTCAACTCCGCAAAAGCGGACCTGCGCTACCACTTCCTCGCCCACATTGCTCTTGATGTCTTTGCCGCTCGTCTGCCATCCAAGTCTGCAGACTCGGATTTTGGTCTGCTCTTTGTCCAGGACGGCATCGCGATCTACGGATGGATGACAAACACCGGTGTCAAGATCGTGCTTGGATTTTCCAGCGGCGAAGTTATTGGCAGCGAAATTAGAAGTGTACGTCTCAATTTTCTTCTCTTATAAGATCGGCAATACTGACTTAATCTCAGATCTTCCGAGCGATCCACTTTGCATACATCTCCCTCGTCTGCAACGCCTTCTACAGCGTCGACGAGCGCCGTCCAATCACCAGCAGAAAATTCGACCTCAGTGTCTGCCGCATAGTCGAGGCCTGGAACGGCAGCGCGCCTGCGCCTGCTCCTCCGCGCATGTCGACTTCGACGGTGGGCTCGGCCAGAGCAGCGCCCGCGGGTGAGAACGTGACTATGACCTATGGACAGTCGAGGTCGGGCACCCCTGTGGCCTAGTCCTTTTTTGACGTTCCCTTTTTCTCTCTATTCATTTGCTTTGCTACTGTATGGTGCTACTGGCGTTCATTGTTTATTAGTTTTGTTCATAGATGCTTGTATAGATAATCCACGACATGTGTATAAATATGACTCAAGCGAGCCCCAAACGCCTCATCCTCTCTCACCCACACTCAGCAGCCCGCCACATTCGCCAGCGTATCTCCGCATATCAAACAAGCTTCTGCACACCCTGCAGCACGTCTGCGTTGGCGCCTGCTTTACCCGCGCGCGCAGCGCTGCTGTTGTTTACATTTCCGCTGCTAATGCTCGCTTCGAGTCGGCGGAGATCTCGGCTGGCGGTGCGGCGCAAGAAATAAATTAAGTCCCTCGCTCTCTGTTCTCTCTCCGCTTTTTCCTCTTCTTCCTCTTCGTCTTCTTCTCTTCCTCTTCTCTTGGTCTCGTTTCCTTCTACTTGTAATACCTGCATGATGCTACAGGCCGGGTTCCAGATGGCTCCGTCTACGAGAGAATTCGCGCGCCAGCACCACGCTGCCTCCTTCTCCACGTTTTCCGCCTCGTCCACCGCCCCGGCAAGTCCGCCCCACTCTACCACCACAACCACCAGCAGCGGCGGCTGGTCCGCCAGCAGAAAGTCACATATCAACATTAACTATGAGAGCACCTACTCTGCGCGACGCGTGCCTTCCCCGCCCGCCTCGCCGCCGGTGCCGAATCCCGCCCAGATCGAGCATCTGATCCGGTTATTTAAGGATAGCATGCGCATGTACCTCACCGCACGCAGAGCGCTCGATCGCGAGCTGGAGCGGCAGATCTCACTTATGGTTGACGTTGACCGTATGTATTATTTGCTGCGTTCTTACTCAATAGAGGGAATCGACTAGATCTAACTTTCTGTCTAGCAAATTGCGAGGACGAGAAGCGCAGGCGCCAGTTACAGACAAATCTTCGCAGGGCAGAGGCATTTGTCACCAAATATGTCATGATCCTCTCCAAGCTGTCGGGTAGGCTTTAGCTCATTTCTTTCTTTTTCAAGTTTTAATAGAATGCTGACGGTTAATTGAAATATAGTTGATACAAATTCCATTCCTCTCTCCGCTCCTTCTTCACGAGCGCCTTCCCCACAACGTATCTAATTAATCTCTCCCGACCTATCCCGGTCTCTACTCATTCCCTTTTTACGACTTTATGACTGGTCTATTCTCTTGTTTATGTAAAAGTTCTCTCTAAGTCTTATGGTGTTGGTTTCCGATCGTTTTTCATGTGTTGTGTTCGGCGTTGGGTTATTCACGATTTCATTTTATCCGGTCTTTTGCATGGCTTTCTTTTCTCGTTGCACATTCTTTTTATCTGTTAGTTTCAGTAGATTAATATGAACTATATACATAAATATACATAATCTCCAATCATTCAATAGTCTTAAGCATCGTCTCAACATCCACAATCTTCTCCCGTTCCTTCCCACTCCTCTTCCCAAGCTCTCGTTCCACTCTATCAATCTTCTGCCAATCCCCCCACGACACAATCCTCATACTCGACACTGCCGCACCGCCAAGCTCGCTTCTGACGCCATCCCAGCCGGCTCGCGGAGAATCAGTGGTAGCAGAACGAGGTCCGATCGTGCCTGTCTCAAAGTCTTCGATCACGGTGCTTGCAGTCTCAAAGGCGTCGTACATAGTCTCTGCAATCACGCCAACGGGACCACGCTTGATCCACCCAGACGCATACAGCTTCGCGTCTCTACCCTCGATAGACTCGGAGACTTTGCCAAGCTCGTTGAGTAGATGATTTGCTCTATCGTCGTACGATTGCTCTAGCCCAGCCAACGGATGTGTTTTGTATCCAATGCTGAGAAACGCAGCCGTACATGGCACCTCGACTCTCTCGCCTGTAGGTTCAACCCGCGTTTCCTTCAGCAGCGGATCCCCCGCCAACCTCATCAGATCAAACACTGCCGCTCCCAACTTCTCTCCTCCACCAGCAGCAGCAGTAAACCCAGCCGGCGACCTCAAAAACTCAATCTCAAACGTCTTCGCCGCTTCCTCCGGCCGCAGAGTAGATCCCCGCTCGAGCAGCTGCAGAAGCCGTTTCGCGACCCGACCAAGTTTCTTCCCGCCCTCGGCAAACGGCCGCATGATCTCTTCCGGGGGTGGAATATACCCGACACCACCCAACGTCATCAGTTCGCGAACCTCCTTGTTTGTAAACGACGCCTGCGCGGGACCTCGTCTGCCGACGATCTTGACGTGTTTGATCTTACTTGCTGATAAAGTGTCGATTGCGCGGCTTGTAATGTCAGTTTTGCGGAGTACGTCAATGTCGGTGAGTAAAATCCGCGCGACGTCCAAGGCCACGTTTCCGTGGCCGACGACGACAGCAGTGTCGCCAGAGACCAGATCAGGCTTCAGATGCTGAAACTCAGGGTGTCCGTTATACCACCCGACAAACTGCCGTGCAGAATAGACTCCATCAAGCGTACTCCCAGAAAAAGAGCTACCGGAAAGCATCTTGTCAGAGTCTGCTCCGTAGGCGAGGATCACAGCGTCGTAGTGCCGGCGCAGGAGCGAGAGTGGGATCTGGTTCGGCGCGTGGACGAGCGGTGTTTGTGGTGGGAACGCGCTGGGACCGATTGCTGTGTTGCCAAAGAAGTTGAAGTATGGGGATTCTGCAACTTCTTCAAATTTCTCTTGACAGTTCTATTTGTTTTGTCAGTTTCATTGCAATTAGCAGACAAGACAGCAGAGGAAGCATACCTTAACTTCAGGATGATCCGGCGCGACGCCAAACCGCGCCAACCCAAACGGCACCGGCAATTTCTCAAACATATCAACCACAACCGCTCCTGCCTCCGTCCGCTCCAAAATCCTGTACGCGGTGTAGAATCCCGCCGGTCCTGAGCCAACGATGGCTACCCGCAGCGGGCGTTGAGTCGAAGTTGCTGACACCGTCGAGTTCCAACGATGAGCAAGCGCGGGAGAAGCACGCGGTATCCGCCTCACCGCCGACCACGACGCCCGAAGTATCTGTGGTGAATGTAATATGCTCATAATCACAGACAGCAATCTTCCTCTGTCGCAATTCTGTTGCTCATCCACCTTTCCGAGATTTCAGAAGGTCCCATCTTTTTTCAGGAGTAACCGAGCTTGTTTAAATGAGTAAGAAGGCCTCTGCACGTGATTTCCGAGGCGAATTGAATATTGAACTGAGCAGTTCTTGTATCCTGAGTATTGTTATATGTTCTATGGCGATGCCTTAGATCTACATACTGTCTACATGCTGACGCTCACTGGAGTCTTTTCCAACTGCTATATTATCTCCTAAAAGTACATTTTTTGACCATTTTCTTCCCCAATTTTCAAAATTCTCGGTATCAGATATAAAAACACAAAATCTTCATCATCGATCGTTTCACTCGACTGCGCGAGTGTCAATATTCAACGGCATCGCATGCACTTATTTGAACCAAAGCTTGAGGGCGTGCACGCCAGAGCTATTGCCCGCTGCAGGGACAGTCAAAAGCAACTCCTTTCCGGTCTTTCCCTCGGTCTCGGAGGTGCTGAATCTGAACGGCGAAACGGAAGCGTACTCCATGTTGTAGTCGGCGCTGGAGTATAGGACCTTCTTGTTGCTGGAGAACGGGCCGACGGGAGTGCTGCCGTATTCGATGATGAGCGCGGTGGGGTCGGCGGTGGAGACGTAGACAAAGAGGTACGACCAGTGGTACTGCGAGTAGAAGATCGATGCACCGGTCGGGTACGCGACAGACTCATCCTCAGGCTCGTTCGACATGACGAAGGTCTCGGATCCAGAGAGCGAGAACACGGCGTCGGCCGCGTCAATACCGTCGGTCGTGGGCTCGGTCTTGAGCCACTTCTGCGAGGACTTGTACCAGTACAACCAGCGCGACTTGTCGCCGACGTACTGAGCAGGCGCGGACGCGACGTACACGTTCTGGTAGTTGCTGTTGTCGACCGCGTACATGTAGACGACGTGGTTGACTCTCATCGACGAAAAGACTCCATAGTAAAGCTGGTTCTCGGCCGCGGAGCTGTAGAGATCGAGCGAGCGGGTGACGTTGAGGCTGGTTCCGCCGGTCTCGTCGTCGACAGTGACCTCGTACTCGACCATGTAGGAACCACGCGAGCCGTTAACGATGGACTCGTACCAGTGAACGGCCTTGGTGTCGGAAATAGTGGCGCACTGCGAGCGCGCGACAGCGGTGCCGGTAGTATCTTCCGCGTCGGACTTGGGAATCAATCCCCAAACAGTGGAAAGCGGGGTCTCCGTCGAAAGTCGCCAAAAGCCGCCAACTTCAGTCGAGTTCTCAGAAGCCGGCTCATCGTACAAATCGTGCTCAACATCATTGCCTCCATCGTGCGCAGGAGAGAAGTAGGTGCGGTAAAGCGTCTCCGACGTCTCATAATCATAAGTCGTCCCCAGAAGCGTCTCGGTTTTCTCAACCTCGCTATCTTTCAAAAGCAAATCTCCGGTCAACCAGAACGAGCGCTTGCCAAACGGGCAGTAGGTGATTGGCGCGTAGAAGGTCGAGGAGTTGTGCGCCTCCTGAGAGTAGGCGAGCGAGCCGTAGTCGGCGGAGCCTTCGAGAGTGAAGTCGGTCGAGTGCGCCTTGCGGAGCCATCTCGTCTTGGGGAAGATGACGCTCGTCTCGATGATGGTGTCGAGCCAGTACGAGTTCGTGAACGGGGCGGCAAAGGCGGTTCCAATGAAGGAAAGCGTGGCGGCTTGGATAAGGAAAACTTGGGAAGAAATCATTGCTGTCGAGGTGAGAGTGTTGAGGATGTGGATGTAGTCTGACCGTAGTGGCAGATAGGCCAGATATTTATACAGCGCCAGACACTCTCAGCTCTCTCTTTCGATAGAGATATCACGCAATGTCGCGCTGGTTTCGCAGTGCATCCTACATGCTCAGGAAAGATGTTAGGATGTGATTATGCGATGGGTGATATCCAGATGGTCGTCCGTCCAGCTTGACGGTCCCTTCGACTCATGCAGTTCAGCGGGGTATCTAAAAGACTTCATTACAGGATATCTCGGTTCCTTCTGATGATATCATGTATATCCAAACACACAGATCATTTTCAATTGAATAAACCAAAAGCCATTGTTAATACATAATAATGTCCCGCTATTCGCGTTCTCTCATACTCCAACCCATTTCCTCCAGTTCTGGCGAGGCTGGCGGAGGAGGGGGGACGTTCCCAGCCGCACCACACGCGTCAAAATTCCTAACTAAAAACCAAAGCAGGAGCAGAGGTATGTGAGCTCTTAGGCTTGTAGGAAGATGTCATATATCATTATCTTAAGCTGAAAGCTGCATATTATCATATCTTATTCTATGCTTGACGGGGTTGTATTGTTTTCTGTACGGCTGACTTGGAATACGGAGGAGGAAAAAGAGATTAGTGAGGTCTCGCGACGCGGCTTGGGAGAATATTTATCGCTTTGCGAGTTTGCAGACTTGCTGGCCATTACAAGCAAAATACCCCAGATTATCGCGTATGATATCCCTATATCTGATTCTTGAGTGCTGCGCAACTATCACAGGTTCCAATCCATACTTCACCCAGCCCGATGACTTTCCGGAAGACGCCCATATACCAATAATGTGAAGCATTCTGTCGAAAACCCTACGGCTGGACGGGTGGCGCGAAACAGGCAGATCGACAACAAACCCAAACACGACGCGAGCCGAGAAAAGCTGCCGCAGACATGGCGCGCCTCCTGCAGGGCCTGTACAAAGATTCCCTTTCCTGTTCAGGCCCATTCTTGGTAGCGCTTCGCTTGTAAAGAATGAAGCCCTGACTGCATGAAATGATCTCATAAACGCGAAATTCAAAATGCTTAGGCTCGCTTATTGAGCGTGCTATGGGTAGTGCGGACGTGCAGTAGTGCGCGTAAGTGAGAAGCGAAGGGTGGTCGGGTCTAGTTGATCCGTTCCGAATTTGATCTCTGTCGGAGTATGTGATATCCAAACTCCTATTAACTCCGGACTCCGTCCCGAGATCAGAGTGAAGTGTGTCGACTGCAATGAAGAAGGAGCAGAAAAAGAGAAAAGGAATGTAGGTGATGCGTCGGATATCAGAAATCAGATACGCGATTATCACCGATTGATAAATCTGCAAACCTGCATGCGGAGTAACGGAAGCTGCGGACTTATACCCAAGTGGAAAGGCATGGAGAATTCTGAATGAACTATATACCAAATCATCGAAGGCAGACCTACGCAGTAACAGTAACGGCGTGACAGACTTGGAGTAAGAACTGGTAGGGTGGTCAAGACAGACAAGAGAAAGAGGAAGAGGGTAAATATGTGAAGACTCGAAGAGGCCTGGTGGTGGGTAGAGTCTATTGCACAATCAGACTGTATGCTGAAGGGATTTTATATATTCAAATTTCTGGCTTCCGTATTTTTAGTATTAAAATTTGTTATGGAAGATTTATTATTTACATTAATTATACCAAAGTACAAAATCAATATATGAGAACCAACTGTCTCGCCATCATCAGACCATATTTACAACGGAATAACATACATCGTTATATAATATGGAGATGCCCTTCATCATATATCCGACGGAATAATAGTCATCGTCGGTGTATACAATGGAATTCCTCCTCTCGTCTCTATCCTCTCTCATCCGCCGCTCCCTCTGGACCCCCCGCGTATTTCATCCATCATCCACCGCTCCCTCTTGACCCCCCACATATCTCATCCATCTCCAGCAAGCTGAGCTGGTCGCCGTGTCGAACGAGGACTGATGATCTTCCCTACCCCAGCAGGCTGAGCTGGTCACCATGTCGAAATCGATTGCCGAGTTGCCGGTCCATAATATTTCCTACCCCAGCAGGCTGAGCTGGTCGCCAGATTGTTGACAGAATCACAGAACAGAAATAACACAGAGGAAAAGAAAACCGGTTCGCCGGAAATAGAATCTTTGATTGATGATTTTCCGGTAATGAGTCCTCTGGGCACCACCGAGTTGAACGTTTCGCGAAGTCATGTTGTCGGAGATGTCGATCCTCGTGGTTGAATGTAACAGACTTGGGACAGGTGGAGTGTATTGCTAGTGGAATGTGTTAGCAGTCATCAAGTAAAACAATCATCAAGCACCGGTACTGACCATAGAGATAGATTACCGCTAGTACGCGAGGATAAGATATTCGTAGGTCCAGTGAAGATGTGGATGGATGCAGGTGTGCTCACTTGAGCATCATGTCGTTGAGCATCATGTCGCATGACTTATTGAAGTGAAGATGCTTGAGGTGGAATAAAAGATGGATAGTCTGCGTGACTTATGGGACTAGTAGGAGGTGTCAATAATAATCCTATTAGAAATTAAGAAAGGTTAGAAGTACTGACCATAAGATAATTTGTTGTTTTAGAGTTGTCAGTTTGAAAGAAAGCCATATCTCTTTGAGATGTTTGAGGCTCTTAGAGGTTGATGGAGGAAAGAAGAAGAGGTCGAGGAGAGGGGGGAAAGCGCCCTTTTTATATTCCAGTCCGGGCGGGCCAGATCAATCGCGCGAGTCATTTCAAGTTTGCCTGAAAATGCTTTGTTGTTGATGAAGAATTGCCAAATCGGGATAAGCTCGATCGCAGCGCGAACAAAACTGACGGAAAAACGAACTTAGCCCGCTATTGTTTCGGGCGGTGTCGAGCTTTTTGACGTGTAGCAGCGTGTAGTTCCTAGTAGATTTCATTTCTCAAGCTCTTCCGTGTAGCGTAGAATCAGGGCTTTCAGATCCACCTGTTTTTGATATGTCTTCTCGTGGTTCTGGCTTGTTGCAACGCGCATTTCGAAACGGTCGTCCGCAGCACCGTTCAGCAGCCTTCAGTAGTTTTCCCTTTGTACACTTCGACTTCGTGCACTGCAAGAGCAAAAACGACCCGGTTCTGCAGGAATCGTAGTTTCTGACATCTCGCAGAATCGATCGTGTAGATATCCTCGACGTAGTGTGAATGTCTGGTTGCGGTGTGCACAGTCGGGCGGTCAGTGTTCACATTAGAGAACCGATTTCGATCGCTCTATAGTCGGTAAGCAGCAATAAAGACTGTATTCAAGATATCTGCGACTATACAGCTCATCTATTACAAAACAAGATCGATCAGGGACAGTTGAGCGCTAGTTGGCAATCTAAACCGCTAGTCTTTTTGTTGTGGTGGTGTGCGTGATACGTCCGTGTACTCTTGTGTAACAATAAACCGAGCAGTACGCGTACTGTATACCATTCATCGCGCTTAGTGTGTCAGGAATGGCGTAAATTGCTTTTATTCGACCAGTTACTATACAGAAATCTATCATCACTCAGCTCTCAATCCCTCCAGAGCACAGAATTGATGAGTATCTCGTATCTCATTTTTACAGATGATCACCAGAGCATATGCTAACAGGATACAGTACATGACCGTATGAGTCAAAATGATTCCTTCAAAGCCCAAATCGTTCCAGATACGTGCCGCAACGTGTCTCTGTTCTGCTCTCATGAGTGTCTCGAACACAAGACTTCACATCAAGTCTAGGACCAAACGTGACAGCGGTCTTGATCGAGTTCACACTCAACAGCTATTGGATCCAATGCAGACATAAATACAGAACATTATTCACAGCCGTTCGAGACCATTTCATACCGCAAATAACACTTGATTATCTGACCTCAACTTATTTCAGAACTCAAGATCAGCATGTTGCGTACACCTCGGCAAACGCAAAGGCCACCAAAGCTGTCTCGGTCAATAAGTTAGGTTTCTCCTTGTTCGCCCATCGCGCTGGCAGACTCAGTTCGAGAGAAACTAGACGATATTTTTCGAAGATTTCCTGTGTGAGTCCAGAAGTGTGCTGCTTGTGACGTGTTCACCCCTTTGACTGATCCTTTCAACTGCGACTTTGATGTCTCAGCAATTTTATATATTCGATACTTCAGAATAGTCTCCCGCTTGCTCTAGGAATCGCAGCAAGTAAAGGTGCTGCATGTTTGAGTAGTTTTGTCTTGCTCGTCCATCATCAGGATTTGATGATCGACTTAGCTTGCCGAAACTTTAAGCCGAGTGAAAGATGATGCGGCCGCTCATTTCTCTCGACACTCTCACGGATGTCTACAGTGTTCGCTGTCGTTGTTGGATATATGCGAGCTCCGTAGATTCTCAGCTTTTACTATCAGATGTCCTTTGGTAACGTGAGATTGTATGATTGCTCTCGAATGTGCAAAACATTCGAGGAATGATCAAGGTGAGAGAACCTGGGAGATGCATTAAAATTGCTATATCGAATATGTACAATTTCCTACTTTATATTTCCAAAAAGAAAGAAAATAAAACCATTTTTATATGGAAAATAGACAGAACTCCAAAACTTCTCGTCGTGTCTCGTTTGGCTGTAGTTTGCGGGTGAGAGAGCGGTCAAGCATGCCGAGGGATATTATGCAGCGGACCCCGTTCATCAGCAACCACAGGCGCGTCCTCGTCATCGTCCGCGGGTCTATTCCCAGACACCACCTCCGCAAGCTTTTTAAGCCGTTTACTACCTCCTTTGGCTGCTAACTTATCGTCCGTGCGAATCTCCTGTACGTCGTCGACGCTGTGCACGACGATCTTGCCATGTCTGTCAAACTCGAACGTGAAAAGCCCGACGATGACGGCGCCGCTGCCGGACGAGCCGACGTCCGAGTCTGAGGAGTGTGAAAGCGAGAGCGCAGACGTGGATGGAGACGAGGTCGGGACGAACATTGTTTGCCAGCGCACTAGGAGTTTTGTAGGCGACTCGTACTCGTACGATCCCGACGACCCGTCTTCGGTTACGTCGTCGTCGACCGAGTTTTCTTCGTTGACCACGCGCATACTCATGATTTTGAAAACAATACTACCCTTTTTGTGATCAGGCGTAAACTTGTCGCTCAAGCTGAGCATCGACTGGCCCGTCCTTTCCCACGTCGATTTCTTCCGCTTCTCAGCTCCGCTGCTGTCGTCGAGTAACATCGTGTCTGCAATCTCGGCGAATCCTTCAATCGGACCCAAGACAAGAAAAGGCAAAATCCACTGCGCGAGGCGCCAGCTTGTCAGGTACGCGATCTTGCCGCGAATCGAGGGCAGGCTGGGATGCGATTTCGGGAATAAGCGGAGTTGGATGTTGGGAGAGAGGAGTGAGGAGGGCGGGGTTTCGTGCTGGAGATTTGGTAGGAGACGCGTCAGGATATCGAGGGCTAGTAGTTTATGGTAATAGTTAGTCAACGTGGTTGAAGACGCAGATCTAGGAGTGTACGTACATTTCCCAAGTTCGGTCTTCTTACTCTGCCTTTTTAGATCAATTTGCTTGTCGAGGTTGTCACTTCCGTTATCATATTTTATCCTGACATCATCCGTCACTGTTTCTGTATTTCGTTTTGTACCCTCCGTCTTCATATAATTTGATCCAGCAACAGAGGACGAAGACGGCCGAGCTAAATCCAACGATCCAGTCGGATCATCCGGGACACTCCTCGCTCGCCGACACGCCGCCCTGTGAATCCCTCTAACATTCGCAGACAAAATGATCTGCAATGCCGTCAGCCCAGGTTTATCAAGACCGCAGCAGCGAGACGAGCTTGCTGCTGACCAGATCCGAAAGAGGCCAAAGTCGCGCGGTTTAAGAACCATTGTGAGCGATCGCTTGGATTCCTTGAATTTCCTGGATCTTTCCGTACAGGACTAGCACGATTCAAAATAAATCCTCTGTATAAAAATAAGCAAGTAGAATCCTGGGTGTAGTGGTGTAGACTGGCAACAGCCGAATGCTCTCACAGAAGGGTCAAAGAAACAATATGATCTCAACAATAATCAGGCGATTGACGGTTAATGCCAGATAATAAATAAACTTTACGATGATCTCCCACCTGCTGCGAATCATCAGCAAACACCCAATCTGCTAAGCACAAGTGGTTCTCTGCTTTCCCCCCTCAAACAGGTATATACAGATCATGTGTAGATATCTCTGGCAGTTCCACTCTGGTCTATGTCTTTCAAATAGCAGATCAAGAATCGCGAATACTGTCAAATACATTGACGATCCGCAGGTATTGGAATAAACCCTAACCTACATTGTCGGTGCGTCGGTCGCTATCAAATCCGACATAGCAGCCAGTGCTAATGATCCTCAGGCAGGTAATGATTTACTCTGCGCGTTCCTTTCAGTCCTACGAGCTTTGCTGACGGCAGATAGATTCATATGGTAGTAGGCAAGATAATCTTTTGACTTGGAAGTGGCCCTGCTGGGCCATGTTATTTAGCATTAGCAGTAAACGGTCAAGAACGTAAGCAACTCAAAAAATTGCCACGGATGCAAATAATCAAGACGATGAATGGAAAAAGGCAAATATAAGAGATCAAGAAAAACAACGGCATTGAACCCCAACATTCGAAACATCAGTAGCAGACTCCACAAACAACAAAGGCATTTCAGAGAGACATCAAACAACATGAAGAAAAGGTTAAAACAAAAAAGATGAAAAATATGACTGTATGTACAATACTCCTGGCAGCTATTCATGCAGATACTTGTAGAGTAGGAAATCTCGATGAATCAGGAGCACGGCGCAAGTTGCGTCTCCAGCGTAAGAGGGTGATGATTGAGGCTATGAGGGCCATATCCAGAGCAATTCTTTTCGAAAGATGCTAGCAATTGTGACAGTGTGTGTTAGTCAGGTCCTATTCGTAGCCGGGCGCGTAGTCAGAAAATGAAGCGGGGTACGTACTGCGAATTTAGAAGCAAGATAGAAAAGCAATGACCTCCACGACGGGTCTCCACCCCCGTTACCGCTATTTCCCGACTCTGCAGATGAAGCAGCAAGTCCCCGCCGAAAAGAAGACAGATTGTTGAGCCCTACTAAGCTGGGAAGTTGACTGAGAGAGTAGGAAGGAGTAGACGGTGCAGTGACAAAAAGGTTTCGACGCGGCGACTCAGAGGATGGGAGAGTAGGCATGGTTGATAGTAGACTCTTGAGATACGTCGCGTTTGCAATCAGATCATCCAGAGTACTGCTGACTTCTGAACGCCATAAACTTTCTGATCCCTCATCGTCCTGTTCGTCCTGCTCTTTATCTTGTTCATCTTGTTCAGCTTCGACATTTGAATAGCTGCGGTCTTCATCGTCAGCCGCATCCTCGGCTGGGGCGGTCATGGTATCTGCAAGTTGAGTATTTTCCGCGGTCGGTGAGCCGATTGGCGAGTCAGAAGACGAATCGAGGTCTTTGACTTGATCCCATAGACCTCGTAGCTCAGAGATCAGTTCGCGGGATTCTGGAGTTGAGCTGGCGAATTTGTCCATCGTCTGGAAAGAGAGTTAGCATAGTTCACGTACACTGCTTCAACCACAGATAAGAAATGAGAAGGATACATCTAAAAGATAGGGAATATATTGCCGCTTAGCTTCGGTTTTTGACAAACCCCGCTGCGAATACCAAGCGTCCCTGTAATGTGTTAGTGGTTAGCACCGCAACAGATTCCGACGGCAAAACCACAAAAGAACAAATGAGCTGTGGCTCACCATTTCGTTCTTCCCGCCTCGTCCTCTTCCCGGTTACCAGTCGGCCTAGGCATAAGCTGGTCAACATCTCCGGCTATTTGCGGGGTAAGAGTACGAATCAAGTTAGCGATGAGCGTATAGGTAAAGCTGCGGAGAGAGAGCACAGGTGCGTATTCGTACCGGTTGCCTGCTTGTAGAGGCCGTAAAGATGTATTCTGTTTTGCAGCGGAGGCCGCTGGATCATATGCGAAGCGGAGGGGAATTTGGGATTTGATAGCACGCGGATAGTGGCGAGTGCCTGGACAAACACGCGATCTGGAGAGCGTGAAAGAGGAGGTGAGCCTCTGAATTCATGATTGCACAGTATATTGAGCAACAGATAGAGAATAGACATACCTATTGTGTCCTCCATGGCTCACTGAATAGTCAGCTATAGAGCAGACAGTACGGATCCGGGTGCCTGTTGGATTGTTGACAGTGATGATATCGGAGCTTGAGAGTAGACTGAAGATCCGAAGGCTTGTGAGTTTATTAGATTTGGTTCGAGATTGCCGCAGGTTCAGGCACTGGTTTGTTTAGCGGGGGAACAAAGTCTGAACCGGGCAGTGATGTAGTTGTTAAGATGTAATTGATATGGCTAGTTTGTACAAGCGTTTTATTGTAGATGTTTATTGTCGAGCTGGTTAATTAACTACTAAAGAAGTAACTGCCTGAGACAGTTTGGAAACGGGCGGGCTCAAAACACGCAAATCTACAGAGCGCGCCTCAGGTCGCTTGCAAACACCAGCTCAATTCCCGTCCCTGCACCTTGGTCGTCAGCTCTCAGCATTTCTGTGTATCAGTATCAACTGGTAAATAAGTATGACGAGCAGACTTTCTGAGATGACGGCCAGGAGACTGCTCTCGACGGCTGCAGCGGTGGTGGGGTCGTGTGCGTCTGTTTACTCTGGATACCCAATTAATACCATCATGAACGGCCCCGTGCTCGAGGCTATTACTGAGAAGATAGACGTCGAGACGGTTACTTACTACCTGTACATTGCCCTGCAATATCTCCTGAGTTTTCTGTCAAAAGTTGGACTGGACTGGCTGGCGGAAATCATCATTGCGTTTCTCACGCAGCTGGCGATAGGTAAGATTCTGGACGATCTGAACGAGAGACTGCGCAGTGTTATCGATCTGATTCCCTCGGACTTGATTGACGGAATCTTAAACATGCTGCCGTCGCTGCCCTCACTTCCTTCGCTACCTTCGATCCCCGGCCTCCCGTCGCTTCCAATCCCGAGTTTGCCTACGTTCCCGACCCCTACGCCGCCTGAGTTGCCTGGGTTGCCGACGACGGCGAGCTGGCTTCTTTTGAGAGTTGTTCAGGAGCTGGCAAAGACCTATCTTACGCTCGAGTTGCGCCGTTTCATTACAAAGAGACTAGCGGGCGTGGAGAAGCAGAGATCTAATAGTACGACAGAGTCGGTCTCTGATCTCGACCTGTATCAGAATGCCGAGGCCGAGACTGAGGGTGAAGGCGAGGATGAAGGCGAGGCCGGGGATGTTGAGGCAGCTGACGACGTGCACATTCTGCCGATTGAGATCGGTGAGCTGCGGGCCGAGTCATCTTATAGAAGAGCTGTGGCGCGATTGCAGGAGCGTCCAGAGGGCGTGAGTTTCAAGACAGATTAGCTGTTCTCTTGTACGGTGAAGACAGTGTGCTGATGACGTCGGCTTTGATGGCTCCACGCCTCTGACCGCCGTCGCGAAATATTTTAATCCTACGTTCCCTCCGACAGACCCACAGAAGAATCTGCCAACGTCCACCGTAAATAAAACAAGCAACTGACATTAAAGCTTCACAGCGAAGAGCAGTAAACAAACAAAGCACGGGACACGCTTTGGTCGTGCGATTGGTCGTCTGCCGAGCCGCACGAGGGCGCCCAAAAAAGGCCGATTGAACTCAGCCTGGCGACGAGCAGCCTGCTCCTCAGTCACTTTCTCTGCCTCCACTTCGGTTCTCGTCGGTCCTCGCGAGCACGTGCGGCTCCCTTGCTTGCTTTGCCTTTGCCTTTGCCTTTCTGTGTTGTGGGACCCTTACGAGGCCTTTTGCTTCTCTTCTCGCGCTTTCTTTCTCGCCCTCCTTCGTCTTCCTGGGCATACCACCACCTGAGCACTTTCTCTCCGCATCTCTGCTCTATCCGCCGCCATGCTCTTCGGCGTCAAGCTCGCCAACGAAATCTACAAGCCTTGGTCGGCTTCCTACATCGACTACGAGCGTCTCAAGCGTCTCCTCAAGGAGGACGAGGACGACGACGACGTCCTCCTCTCCCGCCGCCAGTCAAAGGTCTCTGCTACAAAACGCGCGCAGGCCTGGACCGAACGCGACGAATCTACTTTCGTCGAGGCCCTCGACGCCGAGCTCGAAAAGGTCTACGCCTTTGAGTCAAACAAGTACGCAGACCTCAAAGACAAAGCCGCCGCGGCAGATGCAATCATCCACCCACCTGTCGGCGCGCCGACAGGTGGGGGCGCGCCCGACGCGCCTGCACCGCAGCCCGCCATCGAGGATTTGACCGACTTTGAGCGCGAGCTGGACTCGATCGCCGCCGAGGCCAAGGAGCTCGCAAAGTTCACGCGACTCAACTACACCGGCTTCTTCAAGATCGTCAAAAAGCACGATCGACTCTACTCGCAGTACTCTGTCCGTCCGTTGCTGCAGGTGCGGTTGGCTGCCTTGCCTTTCAATTCGGAAAATTACTCTCCCATCCTCTACAAGCTCTCGTCGCTATATGAGTACCTACGTGTTCACAAAGAAAGCGTGCTTTTGAGCTCTGTCCCAGAGGTGGGCCTAGCCATGTCTCAGGCACCTACTGCCTCTGCCACCACTACATTCAAGTCCTTCAAATGTAAGTTTCTCATTCTTCACGATCTCGTATTCTGACTACATGCTAACAACCCCTAGTCTGGGTCCATCCTGAAAACCTCATGGAGGTCAAGACCTTCATCCTTCGCCGTCTGCCTCTTTTGATCTACAACCCCCAGGCGAGCAAGATCCTCAACATGTCCACTCCGGACCCTACCATCACAACTCTCTATTTCGACAACCCGGATTTCCAGCTCTACCTCGAGAAACTAGAATCGCGCGAGACTGCCTCTTCGCTCCGAATCCGCTGGTACGGCAAGCTCAACTCTCATCCCGAGATCTTCATCGAGCGCAAATTCGTTGATCCCGAGGACAAAGAGACCGTGCTTGAGCAGCGGATCCCAATTAAGGAGAAGTACGTCAAGCCGTTTATAGACGGCACGTATTCGATGGAGAAGACCATTCGTAAGATGCGCGAACGCAACACACCGATCGCGGACGTTGAGCGATTCGAGAAGGTCGTCTCTGATATCCAGAGCTTTATCCGCTCAAACAATCTCCAGCCGGTGCTGCGCGCGGTCTACTCGCGAACGGCGTTCCAGATCCCGGACGACGATCGCGTCCGCATCAGTATCGACAACGACATCGACCTCATCCGGGAAGACGCGCTAGATCTCTCGCGCCCATGCCGCGATCCTGATGACTGGCACCGACACGACATTGACGATATGGGACTCGAGCATCCGTTCAAGACGATCAGAAAGGGAGAGATCTCGCGCTTTCCCTACGCGGTCTTGGATGTTAAGGTTGCGATGAAGACTGGCGACAGCAAGATTCGTCCATCGTGGATCAAGGATTTGATGTCTAGCCATCTCGTCAAGGAAGCGCCCAAGTTTTCCAAGTTCGCCCACGGAATCTCAATGTTGTTTGACGACGAGGAGTACATCAACGTCCTGCCGTACTGGCTATCAGAGCTCGAGAAGGATATCCGCAGAGATCCCGAGCAGGCGTACGCCGAGGAACTTAACCGCAAGAAGTTTGGTGACGATCAGCCGCTCAGTATCTCACTGAAGCAAGTGACCTCGCCTTCGGGCTCTCCCAGCCGCGTCGCATCGCACTCCGAGGCGGTCTCGTCATTGATTGCGGCGGTGAACGAGCAGCCTTCGCGACATGGTCGGACGGAGTCAATCTCGATGCGTAGCTTCATCGACGACGAGGACCGCGAGCATCAGCAGCTGATCGGAGTGGCTTCAGACGATGAAGAGGAAGAAGACGAATCGTCGTCTTCAGAGGATGACGACGACGACCCGAGTCCCACGGTGGCTCTGCTTGGTCGGCGTAGACAGAAGCGGAAGCAGGGCAAGTCCAACGGACACAAGTCGTGGTTTACTTTGAGATCGAGATCGAAGGATTTTAAGCTGCCGCCGGGTGTCGTCCGTCCCAAGCGCCTGCTCACACAATCAGGCACGGTAATGGTCGAGCCAAAAGTCTGGCTCGCAAACGAGCGAACGTTCAACAAGTGGCTCCAAGTCACTGTCTTGTTGTCGGCACTGACGTTTGGTCTCTACAACGCCGCCGGCAAGTACAACTACGTCGCGCACCGGCTCGCGTATGCCTACTTTGTGCTCACGCTGTTCACCGGGTGCTGGGGCTATGGCGTGTATATGCATCGCGTGAAGGCGATCCAGATGCGGTCGGGTAAGCATCTCGATAGTCCGTTGGGGCCTATCGTTGTCAGTCTGGCGTTGCTGGGTGCGATTGTTATCAATTATTATCTCGAGGAGTAACTGTGACTTGTGTTTTTGTGAATTGTTAAAGCTGTATATATCTAGAATAGAGTGCTTTTGGTAACATGTAAATGTCACGCAGACCACTGCCTTCTACGCTCGACTACATTTCCAATCTACGAAAAAGATGTCTCACCACCCACTATCTTACCCCAGCGTACCACAAGTCCGATAATTAAATCAAACCCGTTACAAGAAGAAGAAATCTCTTGTCAGCTAAACAGGAAAGAATATGTAAAAGTGGTGAATTTAATCTTTGCGTAAAAACTAGCTATCTTGCCATAGAGGCAGTGAGAGACAGCCCGTGAGGGAAGCTCCCCTTCTGACGATTCATGGGTGACCATGGAAAAGACCAGAAAGACAAGGTGGCTTAAGGTATACGCGAAATTCTTTGAGAAGAAGAAGAGGGAGGGTGGCGTGAAACACATGCTCGAGGTTGGCTGGGTGTGGAAAGAAGGTGCAGCGTCGAGAGGTTTCACGCGTGTCCACAGAGAGAGAAAAGTAAATAAGAACCTTAGTCGAAAGAGAAAAGATGAAGAGAAAGATGTATTAGTAGCCACTATGATAAACAGAATTGAGTCAGGTAGTGTCGAATCGCCAAACCAGAACAGCAGTGAAGAAGGATGAGTGAAAAACGAAGAGAACAGATTTTATTGCTGAGCAGGAGGAGCAAGCAGAGTAAACCCTAAACATGAATCTCTCAGCCAAATTAACCCTACTTTTTGCTAGCACGTGATTTTATTGCCCTTTCTGGTGGTTACTGCTAACGACGGCCGGTCTTGTTTGAGAGGTACGCGTACTGGTCTGATCTGGCCAGCTTATAGTCAAATGATAGAAAGTGATTTCGATCAGGATTTGAAAGTTGACGGCCTTTGTTTCGTCTTTAGTACCGATTGGTGTTGTGCACGATCTTCTTCCGTGCTCATCTGATTTGTAACTCGGTCGCGAAGTTGCGTAGTTGGTGTGGTTTGTTTTGTCTTCTATGCCACGCAGGTTGGAAATACCAATGTAAAATCAGTCCTGACGCATTTCTAAACCTACAAATAACCAAAACCACTCAAAACACGCCCAATCTCCCGCATTTTCACTTAAAGTTCCAGGGGTTTATCATGCCCAAAATCTTTTTATTTGTCAAGGAGTCGGTAATAGTTTAGTGGCTAGAATTTCCGCCTGTCACGCGGGGGACCGGGGTTCAATTCCCCGTTACCGAGATTTGAAGTCTCGCGACTGCCTTTTCTTTTTTTTCTTTTTTTTTTTTTGCTTTGCTGGTGGTTGTTTTTATGTAGGTAGTGAGGTGATTAAAATGTTGGATGATACAGCTTTTTATTTATATTTATAGTAGAGGGAATCAAGTTGAGGGAAAATGTGTGAGAAGGAAGGCATTGGAGAATTGAGATGGTCGACGGAGGAAGTGTAGATAATTTCTTGTAGAGAGTGAATCGTCCGCCATCTTTCCCTCAACTTGACCTCCGATTCTGAGATTCAATACTTCTACTGAAACAAAAAAAAATATCGAGAATTCGATCTAGCCTATTTCACTCGCCACGCCAAACAGCTCACCTACATTGATCTGGGAAAGAAATTCGGAAAAAGAGGGCCTGGATCTCGAGTTGGGAGATTGGAAGAAGAAAAATTGAGTTTTGAGCCCCGGAATTAATTCGATTATTCTAAAAAACCCATCTGGTCTCGGAGAATATTCGGAAGCCACGTTCTAGTCCCATATATAAGCAGACGACGCCGGGATCAGTAAGAAGGGAGCCGCAAAGCTTTGGGATACGAGATATTGAGGAAAAGAAAGTGAGCATTAGTTTTCGGTGTTGATTTACTATCGGATTGATTGATTGATTTACGACGGGATCAAAGATATTCGAGCTTCGGATATGCTACGACGAGTAGCAGCAGCGGGATCTTCACGGGCGGTTTTGAGTAGGTATCAATTGGGTATCTGCAGATTACCAAGGACGGCGCTGAGTAGACAGACGTCGGGAGCTGAGCGGTCGAGATCATTGTCGTCGGTGTATTCCTCGCGGACACTTTCGACTACAGCCGTGTGTCGGAACAGCAGTGATTCCGAGAGAAAGAAGATGGGGACCAGCGCACAGTTTCTTGGAATGCCGCTTGTGAATACGCTGGAGACGGCTCGCTCGCCTTATCTGCGTGCGCATGCAAACAATCCCGTCGCGTGGCAGCAATGGACGCCCGCGACGCTGGCGCGAGCGGTGGCAGAGAACAAGCCGATTTTTCTGTCGATAGGGTATCATACCTGCCACTGGTGTCATGTCATGAACCGCGAGGCGTTTTCGTCTGAGAAGATTGCGGCAAAGCTGAACGAGTATTTTATTCCAATCAAACTGGACCGCGAGGAACGGCCGGATCTGGACGCGATCTATATGCTGTATCTGCAGGCGATGTCGGGCGGCAGAGGCGGATGGCCTTTGAATGTGTTTTTGGCGCCGGGGTCGTTGGAGCCGATCTACGGAGGGACGTACTGGCCCGGTCCGTGGGACGAGGTGTCTGCGAAAACAGGCCGCACGACGAAACCCCCCGGTCCGGAGTTCCTCGAGGTGCTCGAGCGGATCCACGAGCTTTGGGCAGAGGACGAGGCGAAGTGCCGGTTCGCGGGCACGGATATCGTGCGTCAGCTGCGGGACTGGACGGCGGCCAGGAGTAAAGGTGATTCGACGACCGAGCTTCACGCGGGTGTGCTGTTTGACGCGTACGAGTACTTCACCGAGCGGTTTGATGAGGTGAACGGCGGGTTTGGCGAGGCGCCGAAGTTTCCGCAGCCGACGATGATGAGTCTGTTGATTAAGATGCATCCGCATATGAGGGTGAAGGAGAAGATCGACATGGGCGATGATCGAAATGCAGCCGATATGGCGATTTATACGTTAAAGAAGATTGCTGGAGGAGGAATCAAAGATCAGGTTGGGCATGGATTTTCGCGGTATTCTGTTACTGCTGATTGGCAATTGCCTCATTTTGAAAAGATGTGAGTTGCACGGTTGAGATTTTGCGTGGAGTGATGCTGATTTGGATTAGGCTTTACGATCAATCGCTGCTGTTGACTGCGTATTTGGATGCATGGCTTTACGATAAGAAGAAGAACCAATTTGCTCTGGACTGCGTGCGCGATATTGCAGAGTACCTGGTGTCGGGATCTCTACGAAACGAAGCCGGTGGTTATTACAGTGCTGAAGATGCCGATTCTGTTGCGCCAGACAATACATTGATGAAGCGCGAAGGCGCGTTTTACGTTTGGTCGTACGACGAGTTTTTCAAGGTCTTGGGTAGGATACCCGGAGACATTGCGGCCGCGTACTGGGGTGTTTCGGAGTACGGGAACGTTGATAGCCAGTATGACTTGCACGGCGAGCTGGAAGGCTTGAACGTGCTGTCGGTGACTATGGATGTGCCGGAACTGTCGGGGGTGTTTGGCATGACGGAGGAAAAAGTGCGGGAGGTGATTGAGGATTGCAAGAAAAAGCTGCGAGCGTACAGAGAAGAGCAGCGACGGGCGCCGGAGGTTGATGTGAAGATTGTTGCGTGCTGGAATGGGCTTGCTATGGGAGCTTTGGCGCGGGCGGGAGCGGCGGTGATGGAGATTGATCAGGTGAGCCGGACGAAGTGGCTCGAGAGCGCGAAAAAGACGGCGCGGTTTTTGAAGGAGAAGATGTTTGATGCCGAGAGCGGCCGGCTGTGGCGGGTGTTTTGCGACGGGGAGAGGGGGAGTACGTTGGGGATGTGCGAGGATTACGCCTATGTGATTTCGGGACTGCTCGACCTCTACGAGGCTACGTTTGACGTGAGCTATTTGCGATGGGCGCGGGAGTTGCAGGAGACGCAGAACGCGCTGTTTTGGGATTCGGAAGACAACGGATTTTTTTCCGCGCTGGCGGAAGACGAAGGCGCGCGGGAGCTGATTCTGAGGATGAAGAGCGGCGCGGATACGGTGGAGCCGTCGTCGAACGCGGTGTCGGTTGCGAACCTGATGAGACTGGCGGCGGTGTTTGGGGAGGACGAGTACGAGCAGATGGCGCTGCGAACGCTGGATGCGTATGCGAAGGAGATTGTTGCGCAACCGCAGTCGTACTGCGGGATGCTGGGCTCGGTGGTTGCGGGGAGTGAGGGACTGCGGACGGTGGTGATTGTAGGGCAGACGAGGGAGGAGATGAAGGAGACGGTTGAGAAGATGCGGTCTGTGCTGGCGGCGAATACGATAGTTGTGGGACTACGGAAAGAGTTTGGGGAGGGAGCGGAGGAGGAGGAGGCGCGGAGGGCGCAGGAGTGGCTTGTTGCGGAGGGCGATGAGATCTATGCAGGTCTGCTGAGCCGGAGCGGGAGCAGGAACGGGACAACGTCGTACATTTGCCAGGAACGGCGGTGCAGCGCGCCGATCGAGGACAGCGAGGAGCTAGTGAGGGCGCTAAGCGACGAAGTCGGCAGTAGCCGAGAGTCGGATGTGTAAATAATAAAACGGGAGATAAGCAAGTCAACGAGATGGAGTCAGATTTACACTATTTACTCCGCGGCCATCTGGTTGCCCCGACAACGGCGGCAAAAGTGACCCAGCGGTTTCGCCAGCCAGGGTTTTAAGGTTTTGTCAGTTACACAAAATTAAAATAAGGTTTGTGCAGCCATTTTCCAATCTTCGGCTTTGGGGACGAGACAAGAAGACAAGAAGCCGCCGTTTAGCAGACTGAGCGCAGTTTGAAGCAGAAGCAGTTTGAATCTGCTGCTGTTTTGTTTATTGTTCTTGTTATTGTTCTTCTAGTACTTCTTCTTTGTTTATATCTTCATCTTCTTCTTCACCATCTCCTTCTAGTATCTGCAGCGATCTGCTCGTCCTCCATTCTTCGCTACTACGCCGCCGCCGCTCCTCCATCACAGCCGTTCCTCGCTCTCGGCTCCTTCTTCCCTTCCTTTCCTTTCCCTCCTCCCCATCCCTCAGCTCCGCCATGCGTGTCTCAGCAGCCATGCGCCGCGGCCTGCTGATGGTCATGGTTCTGCTGATAACAGTCTCTCTACTGTTCAGCAGACGCGTGAGTTCTCCTTCTGCTCCCCAATCTTCCCTGCCGCGCCGCCCCTCGAAACTCAGAGACAAAGTCCAAGTCGAAGTCAAGCCAAACGAACCCGACAAGCCGATCGCAAACAGGTTCAGATTCTGGACCCATTCCTCCTCCCCATCTTCTGATCGGTCTGCGCTCGAGCAGCTCCCACGGCGGCGACACCGGCAGCTGCAGGAGCAGCTGCAGCACCAACCACCTCCACCACCACAACAACGACAAGACACCCACCCCGACGATGGCTCGCTGCAACAGCCCTCCTCCAACGACTATCCCTCCTACGACTACGACAATGACGACGAGGACGCTGGCGATTGGCTCCGTCAAAGAAAAGCAGAACTAACTCGCTCTCAGCCCGCAAAGATTGCCGCTGTCGTCATCGACACGCCGCCAGCTGCCGCCGCCGTCGCCCTCGCCATGGCCGTCGACCAAGACCCGTCGCTCGCCCAATCCACCGACCTCAGCCAGACAAAGACCCGCAAGCGCTCTCTCCACTTCCTCCTTCCCGCCACCCAACTCAACAAACTCGTCTGCAAAACACTCTTCTCCGCTGCCCTCAACGACTACCCTTCCCCCGTCCTCCTCAACTTCAACTCCGTCTTCCGCGACGCAGAGGAGGCCCGCTTCATGAAAATCGCCGCAATTCACAGATATCTACAGCTCAAGGTCGACGACGACGACCTAGTCCTCATCATGGACTCCTACGACACCTGGTTCCAGCTCTCGTTCGATACCCTCCTAAAGCGCTACTACCAGATCCAGGAAGCCGATCGCAAGGCTCATTACGCAAAGTACGCCAGCGTTGTCGCGGCCGCTGATGCCCAGTCAAAGGGTATCTCCGTCTCCTCATCATCCGCCCCCGGTGGCGCGGCCATGGAGAAGCGCGACGCCGATCCTTTTGCCCAGGATCAACCACAGTCAGAACAACAGCAGCAACTCGTGCCGCCATACCAGGAGCAAGTCATTTTTGGCGCCGACAAAGTCTGCTGGCCCAACGCGCGCAACTCTCCCGCGTGCAAAAATGTGCCAAAGTCGACTCTTGAAGATGACATCTTTGGCGCGGACACTGACACCGATCCGTACGAGTTCAAAGTCCGTCCTCGGTGGCTCAACTCTGGAAACATCATCGGTCCGGCTAAAGTTCTCCGAGAGATCTACCAGCGGGCTTTTGACGTCCAGCAGCGGGCGAAAGTGCATTTCTCTGATCAGCTCATTCTTGCCGATATCTACGGTAAAGGCGATCTCCCGATCCGCATCGACTTTGAGTCGTTCCTTTTCCAGACCATGACGCACTCCCACGTCGACGTCGTCTATCTGTACGATGACGAAATCGACCGCGACGACGAGACGTTCTCGAGCGTTCGCGATCCCGCGACGGGGCCCGCGACCGAGGAGTCTGAGATTCCGGCCGAGTACCGCGACGAGTCGCTCATCTCGGCCGCGTTCATGCGCAACGCATCCCGTCGTGCGTCCGATAAGTACCTCGCCTGGAACCGCGTCAGCGGCCATTGTCCTGTCGTCTTGCATTTCAACGGCCCCAAGATTGCGCTCGAGACATGGTGGAACAAGATGTGGTGGGTGAACGACCAGTCCCCCGTGCACCGCCTGCAGCGACTCAAGTACGCGCGCAAGACCGGCGGCGCTTTTGTCGACGACGACGGCACAAAGTTCACCACGTTCAAAGACATGTGCGGCAAATTCGACATGTTTGAATATACCCCTTCGCGCTTCGACCAGGCGAAAGTGTTTCCGGGCCAAGCGCCCTCGCTTGATCCCGAGCCGTTCAGGCTGGGCATGAACCCGCGCAAGTCCCCGTCGGACGTGCTGGATGAGCTCGCGGAGATGAAGGAGCGCGAGAAAGCTAAGCTCGAGAAGCTCAAGTCGGACTTGTCGAAATTGAAGGCAGACAAGGAGCGAGAAGAGGCGGCGAAAATAGCATAAACGCCTTGTCTGTCCCTCAGTTTCTTGATATTTGCACTTGCTTCACAAAGAGATATATTCTCTCTATCGCATACGTCGCTATTATAGCTATTTCTTTTGTCACATATCTCCTTTGCTTTTTCTCTTCATCCTCCCTTCATGTTTTTCAATCATCGGCGCCACTTTTTTCTTTGCTTTTGTATTTATCTATTTCAATTCTCCTTCCTTATATCCCTCTCCTCCTTCTCTTTTCTTATCCTTTTCTTTTCTTCTCATTCTCGCTGGTCACGTCTTTCCAGCTCCTCTTTCTTTCTTCATCTGACTACATTTTATAAATTCGTCCTGGGAGTTTGCTTTTTATTTCTTATATAGTTATCATTTTCCATCATATAAAGAGATCCGTGTCCTATGTACTTCTCTCTTTCTTTTCTTACTTCTTTCATTTCAATGTGTATTCGGCATAGAGGGATACAGCCACGCTATCTATACTGATTATCTTTTTCCACTCTGCTCAGTGATGAATGAGCTGTAGCTACCTACATAATGTATGTAAAATCAATGATAGTCCACAGTCCATAGACTTTTTTCAAACCATCTAAGCTCAAAAATACATGTCTCCAGCTATCTATACAGAAAAACAGATCTCCAAAGCGACTCAGAGCTGAAATAAAAGAAAAAACGCAAATTACTCAAAATAAAAATCAAAATCAATCAAATTACATCATAAATCTCACATAAGCTGTTTCAGCGCAGCCTGCAACTTCTCATTCTTCTTATCCTTCTCCGCCAACTGCGCAAGCACAACATCAAGCTTATCCTCGATCCCCTTCACGATCTTGGCCTGCTCCTCCGCCATCTTGCGCATCTCGGACTTGATCGTCGTTTCGACCGTCTTCTTCAGCGTCTGCGCTAGCGCCGCGGCGGTGGATCCGTTCGTGGCTGCTGCATCGTTGGACGACGCTGGGGCCGCTCGAGGCTGCGAAGCAAGTGCCTTCTCGACCGCGGCCGCGGTAGTGATCGATAGGTATTCAGTGAAAAGCTTAACGTCGGCTCCGCTGAATAGACCAGCCGCTGCACCATCCGCCGATTCAGAAGCAGCAGGAGTAGGTGCGGCAGGAGTAGGCGAGCGAACCTTGCTGGGCGTCTCGCGCTGCAAGATCGTGATCTTCTCCTTGGCCGCTGGCTTCTCCTTCTTTTCAGCCTTCTTCGCCGTCTCGACCGGAGCAGCCACACTCGCTTCCTCGGGAGCAACGCTAGGCGCCGGAAGGCCGAGCGCATTCGCGCTCTCACGGGTCAGGATCTCTTTCTTCTTTCTGTTTGAAGCAGTCGTGGGGCGGAAGTTAAAACCCGGAGAAGTAGGCACGGTGATATCAGAGCCCGGCTTTGAAGGTGACGAAGTCGCGGCTTCGCTAACTGCAGGCGCAGATGCAGGCGCTTGAGGAGCCGCCTTTGCGGGTACAGCAGGAGCAGCAGGAGTGACCTCATCATCCGATGCTGAATCCTCTGGGCTCTCCTTCTTGGCTGACACCTCCGGTTTCTCAACAGTCTCCTGCTCGACGCGTTTCTCGGCCGGTTCGGGCGACGGCTCAGATGCGCTTAACTTGGGCGTGCTCGAAATCTCTGCGACGCTGCGCTTGCGGTCGTTCACAATAGAGGGCTCCTCGACAGCGAGTGTCGCGGCAGGCGCAGGTGCAGGTGTAGGCGACGGAGATGATGATTCGGCTTTAGCGGTAGCAGGGACAGCTGGCGTCGGCTTGGCGGTGCTTTTCTGTCTCGCCTTCATGGCGCCAAAGGGTACGATACCCTGCTTCTTCACAGGAGTAGGCGTGCTCGATCTCGTGGAGGTCTCGGACAGACCCTTCGCGGCCGGCAGCGACGAGCCCGGGGAATCACCGGACACGGTAGCAGGCGCCGGCTGGCGAAGAGCCGATACATGCGCGTTCGTCGCCAGAGGAGCGGATTTCCATTCGTTGTGGGCGATGTACTTTGGCAGCACTGGGAAGATTGTGGCACCTTCAGTGTGAAGAACGTAGAGGTCAAACAGCGCATCAGGCTCGTCCTCGCTGATCGATTCGAGAAGCGACAGGCTGATAATCCGGTGATCCTTGATAAAGCCGTAGGAAGTGATGTAATCACATCCGGTAGACGCAGGATTGGGACCCACGGTTGCTATACTGCCTTTGAGCAGTTCGGCCTCGGAGGCTATGGAGCTTGACGCAGCCGCATCGCTACCAGCATAAGCAAAATGCAAAAACAACATAGCGTTGCGCTCGGTATCAGAGATAACGACGACTCCAGAGCTGGGTGCGATGGAAACCAGATTTAGCGCAGACGGATCGGCTACGCATTGCGGGAGATGAAGCTCCTCGACGATGCTGCCCGTTGTCAGATCATAAACATGGAAGGAGTGATTCTGATTAAATCCCAAAAGAAGGAAGCGTAGCGGCTTCTGGGCTTTGACGACCTCGGGCGCATCCAAAAAGTTGATGCTGCAGTACCGCATTCCTTCTCGGGGAATAAAGGTCTTGAGCGGCGATCGAATCGTCGCCTTCTCAGCTCCCTGGCCCAACGGAGGGAGCGTAGACAGATCGTACAATGCGATCGTGCCAAGTTTGTTTAGAGCCGCAATAGCTGTTCCATCGGGAGAGTACACAAACTCCGTCGTGCCATTTTCAGTGTCAATAGCTACCGCAGATTGCCCGACGCGATCAATGAGCGAGCTGCGTCGGATGTCGAGAAACGTGTCAGAGTTGAGAGGAAACACGTAGATCTTCTTCGACATCGACACCGCGACACATTCCGTGACAGGCGGCCAATGGACGCGGGCGCGCGGAACGTGATCGGAGTTTGGAGGCAGCTTCTCGATGCGCAGAAGCTTGCGGTAATGGCTATCCCGGCGAGTATCTTTGAAGCTGCTGGTAAGAAGCTCCCAGACAATCACCTCGTTGTTGGCAGTAGTTGACACAAGAAGCGAGGATCCGGACTCGGTGCGGAAAGTGCTGAAAAGAAGATCGACAATTCTGTTTTCCTCATGACCGGTCAGGATCGAGAAAGAGCCATCGGTTTGGCTGAGCACGCGGATCGCGTTCTGGATGGGGTAGGCGATGAAGTCATCGTTGACCGCAAGTAGGTGACGGTCGCTAGCACTGATGTCGCGAGTAAAGTTTGCAATGCCATCGCATAGCTCCTCTGTTATATGGCTAAAGTTTTTTACCGTGTCGATGCTCACAGACTTTGCATATTCCAGAGGAAGGCGGAACCCAGGCAAGTCCTTGGGGCTTTTTCGTGTAGTTTGAGGACGCTGCTGAACCGCAGGCTGAGAAGGCGGGATTGCTGGCGTCGATGAGGCTGCGGAGGGGACGGTGGGTGGCTGCGAAGGTTTGATGGCACTGCTCAAGATTGCGGGATCCAACGGAGCAGGCTCTTTCGGTTTCGAGACCACACTGTTTAGGATGGCGGGATCGACAATCTGAGGGGCTGGGGGAGTCGGCGACTTTTTGGGGGTTGGCGTGCTAGCTCGGGGCGAGGGCGAGGACTGCGCTTCGAGCTCGTGAAACGGGTTGACGTAGGTGAATCGCGGTTTCGGCGCCGAGGAAGTGCTCGACGTGCGCGATACGGGCGCGGCCGTAGCGGTAGACGAAGGCTCGCTGGCGGCGATTGTGGACTTGCTTCCGCCAGCCGCAAGCAAGTTCTTCAAGCCATCGGCTTGTGATGCCAGGCTAACGTCGGGCGAGGAAGAAGCAGGCGACGACTTGGATGATCCGGCCTTTCTGATTGAGTGCTCGACATTGACAGATGCAGCACTTGGTGCGGGCACCGAAGCCGAGGAAAAGAAAGAAATGGCAGGATCAGCAGGCGGTGGAGGTGCTTGCGCCGTGGTGGCCGAGTTTCCACCTTGCAGCATGCTGAGAAGATTTTTCGATGCGCTCGCCATTGTGTTGCAGGTGAAGAAGCTTCTAATATAAAAGAAGAGAAGAAAAAATCAAAGTAGCTGTGAGAGTATTAGCGATTTGTTCAATGAGCAGATCAAAAAGATCGAATCAAACAAGACTTGAATACATTTTGTAGAGCTCTGCGCTTGGTTGTTCTTACAAGAGCAGGCGAACCAAAACACAAACGAATGCCAAAGATAAGACGGCAATTAGGTTCCAAGAAGCCAACGGCCTGATTTAGAAGGAATTAAAGAGAAGAAAGAGATGGAGAAGAGGAAGGATGGTGAATCATGGGCAAGGTGAAGAAGGCAGGTGAAGTGAGAACGAGAGAATGAGCAGAGGCGGCCGGGTAAATTTCATCGAGGTTCTACGAGCCACGCGCAGAGTGATCGGAGCAGTTTTGTCTGGCAGTTGTCTATTCTTCTGTGTTTGACTCAATGTTTCTGTGCTTTTGTTGTTTAATTCATAATTGTCTCATTAATAGTATTTTGTACATACTTGCTATCTGTTGAATCGCAATTCGCAGGATCTAGGGTGTTGTGTTAAGTGCATAGCTGTTTGTGCATTTACACCACAACTGCACTTTGTCTTTACACAAAACCCGGCCCGACACAAACATTTCTCTCAGGCTCTCCGGTCTGCGCTCTTCTCCTTCACCCCAACCGCCTGCTGCTCAGTCGTCTTTGGATCCGAATAATGTCACAATACATCGGGAGTAGCATCTCCCTGTTTTCAAACAGCGATATCCGGTACGTGTCTTGTCGCAAACCTCAATTTCATCTCGGGTTTGGTCTGGGGCTCATTCGAGCTGGCCCTGGTCTCGCGGGCCAGAAGCTGGATCATTCTCCTTCAGAGCAATCATCCTGCGCGGCTATTTGATCTTGATTGATCTCATTACTGACAGATAACTGTTGCTCTAGCTACGTCGGTATCCTGCACGAAATCAACTCTGATGAATCGACTCTCACTCTGAAAAATGTCAGATCGAAGGGAACCGAAGGACGACGGGGCAACCCTGCCGAAGAGATCCCTCCGTCGGGTAAGATTCTGGAATTCTTTGTCTGCTGCACTTTGTTCGACACCAAGAAACAATTGCATTGTTTCTGCTGTTGTCGTCGAGCAGTTTGTAAAACCCAGAGCTAACATCGCCGATAGATCATCTTTACGAATTCATCTGCTTCCGCGGATCAGAGGTCAAAGATCTCGTGATTGAGGACGAGGAGACTCCTGCTCCTGCTCCTGCTGCTCCTGCTGCTGCTCCTCAGACCACCGCATCCATTCCGGATCCGACAATGTTGCCTGTATGTGACTGCTTTTCCCCAATATATAGAGAGTACAAAAGACAGACTGCGAGGGACTAAATGATGATAACCACGGATGTTTTACTGTCCGAGAGTGCATAAAAACCATGTGGAAATACCCGTTGCCTTCCTTCTGATTCAATTCTCGTTGCCTGTCTGGCAGTACTCTATCAATTCTCATTGACTGCTAGTGTAGCTAACGAACTTTTTGATTTCATACAGAACATCCCACCAGGATTCCAGCCTCCTCCAGGATACCAGCAATTTATGCCTCCGTACGGCTACCCCCAGCAGCCGTACATGCCGTACCCCCCACAATTTAACCCCGCGATGGGTATGCCTCCACTTGATATGAGCCAGCCGCCGATGCCAATGGGAGGTCCCTTCCAGCCCGCGAGACAGCCGGTTGGTCCGCCAGCCACGCAATCGCAGCAACCTCCTGCTCAATCTCCTGCTGCCGCCCCCGCTGCTGCTGCCGCGCCTGGGTCGGCCGCCCCTGGTGGCAAGGTTCAGGTTGTGCCAGCAGTTCCAGTGCCGAAGGCGCCCAAGAAACCCGCTGCGCCCGCTAATGCGGCCGAGGGACTTGCGCAGCAGCTTTCGCAGACTGCATTAGACGATCGTGCTCCTGCCGAGACCGCAAAGGAGACGGTCGAGAGCACTGCTGCACCCGCGGCCTCGCAGCCGCCCCGACCGGCGCCGTCAGGATACGCTGCTGCGGTGGCGCAGAACATTCCTACCGGGCCGCGAGCGGCAGTGAACAAGCCTGGTCCTAGATACCCGCGCGCGAACGGTTCGGTGGTTGCCCCGCGCGGCCCCGAGGTTCCTGCGTCGGACTTTGATTTCCAGGAGAACAACGCGAAGTTTCAAAAGGAGGCGATTGCGAAGGAAGTTTCGGTTGAGGACGAAGCCGAGGAGACCGCTGGCGGATCAGAGAACGGCGCGCCAGAGCAGTTTTACAACAAGGCCAGCTCGTTCTTTGATAACATCTCGAGCGCGACGAAGGCGACTGATTCAGTTGATGGCCGGATGGTCAGGCAAGAGGAGCGGAAGCTGAATCTCGAGACGTTCGGACAGGCTAGTATCGACAACGGACGATTCCGCGGGCGCGGAAGAGGACGGGGTAGAGGATTCGGGTATGGTCGTGGACGCGGCGGATACGGCCGTGGAGGGTACAACCGACAGCCTCAGCAGCAGCAGCAGGCGTAGGTTGCGAATGAAGCTGTTGAAGAAGAAGAAGAAGAAAGAGATGTGTATTTTGGAAATCACCAGTTCGTTTCCAAAAAAAATAGTTACTTCTATGCTCTCAACTTTTTCAAAAAAAATGCACACGTCCAAATGAACCTGCTACTCTCTACTTTTATCGCTGTCCGTTTTCACGACTTTATTCTCTTTTTTCTTGTTTGATTATGCCCCTCTCCCTCTTCCCCGTCGCTTTTTTACCTTTTGTATTATTTAGAACTTTTGCTTTTTTGTGTGTGTGTGTGTGTGTGTGTGTTTGTGTTTCTTTACTTCCCAGTTTTCAAATTTTGTAATTATAACGGTATAAGAATGAACTCTTCTTTTTCTCAAAATCATCATCTTTCATTCAGAATAAGCATACTGAGGTTTAAGTTACGACTGGTTTGGGATGGCACATGACGATCGTAGATCTTTTGAACATAAGAGGTGGGAAAATTTGTAGCTATTTACATAGTCGACTCGACACCATCGCAGTGGAACGAACAAGACACAAAGAAAGAACCAAAAACACATATATATAAACGTAAAAAGGAAAAAGAGAAAAGATCCATGAAATGTAAAGAGGTAAAGAGGTAAAGAGCTTATTTATCATACACAACGACAGGGATATATAGCCAACATTTTAAAGACTGAATCAAACCACGAGACAGAGGAGAGTTTACTTGCGCACTTCTTCGTCCTGGGCGGGCGTGTTCTTTGCCTCGGGCTCAGCAGTCTCAGACTCGGCAGTCTCAGTCTCGACGGCCTCAGACTCAGCAGCCTCAGTCTCAACAAGCTCAGACTCAGCAGCCTCAGTCTCGACAACCTCAGACTCGGCGGCCTCGGACTCAACAGCTTCGGACTCAACAGCCTCGGTCTCGACAGCCTCAGCCTCGACAACTTCAGACTCAGCAGCCTCAGACTCAAGAGCCTCAGACTCGGCAGCCTCGAACTCAGCAGCCTCGGTCTCAACAACCTCAGTCTCAGAAATCTCGAACTCAACAACCTCAGACTCAGCAGCCCTCGACTCAGCAGAAGCAAACCCAGAAGAGGACCCGCTTGGGAAAGAGGAAATGAGCTCGTCCTCCTCAAGATAAAGACTGGTCTCGGCGTTCTTCGTGGCCTGACGCGAGCTGTAGCTATCATCTCTGCGCGAGTCAGGCCTGTAGCTATCACCTCTGCGCGCGTCAGGCCTGTAGCTATCATCTCTGTCCCGACGCGATCTCTGCGGTCTCCGCTGGAAATTGTATTCAGAATCGGTATTAAGCCCGCCTGTGTCCTTGGACTCGTTCACTCTCCTGTTCGGGCACCGGTTTGAGAAATGGCCTTCCTCGCCACAGGCGTAGCAGACGTTGCCGCGGGCAAAGGCCTCCGGGCAGTCGCGCGCGATATGGCCGACGGTCTGGCAGATGTTGCACCGCTTTGCGATCGTGCATTCTCTCGCCGCGTGGCCATCTTCGCCGCAGTTGAAGCATTTGATACTACGATGCCTAGGCTCTCTCGCGATCGGTGCCTCCGTCCGAGGGTTCTGGCAGTCAGCCGACAAATGGCCCTTTAGGCCGCAGTTGTAGCAAATTCGGTCCTCAATGCTAACGAATTCAGTGCGTCCCTCGGGGCACTCGGGCGCGATATGGCCCTTCTTGCCACAGATGTGGCAGAGTTTGTACGGGTTAAAGCTTTCCCGGCGCTCGCCCCTTGCAAACTGTCGGCGCGACCGCGGGTGCGGGCACGCGGACGAAGTGTGGCCGTCCTCGCCGCAGTTGTAGCAGATCAGGAGCGTTCGGTCGCGGCGCGGTTTATCGCATTCCGGCGAAATATGGCCAATCTCGCCGCAGTTGTAGCAGCGCGGCTCGCGGCCGCCGGGAAGACGGCTGTTGTCGCCGTTCACGGGGTTGGTCGGGCATGCACGGGCCTGGGAGGTGTCAGCGAAGTGCAGACAGCGAGTACTGATAGAAGAGAATGGGGATACATACAATATGACCGTATTCATTGCCTGGTTTACACGAAAAAAATTAGCACTTCTCCTCCTCGACAACTACTAAAACCACATGGAATACGAACAAAGAAAACAGCGAGAATTCTTAAGCCGTTCGGCATACTGATCATTCGACTCCTTCTGCCAAGGCTCCGGTGCATCCTCCTGAATCTCTTCAAACTCAGTCTCGTAGCCGTCGATGCTAGAGAGACCGGGATTGTTGCGACCGAAGCTGTAGTCGCGAACACTGCTCAACACCGAGCGCAGCACCACAGCCGCGGGGACGCCTGCGTGCGGAACGGCCGGGCAGGCGCCGGCGCGACGGAGGGCGGTCGCGCGGAGGGAAGAGAGGACGGAGGCGCTGAGGATGCGCTGCATTGAGGAGATGGTGGAGTTGGGGGTGAGGTGAGGAGGGGAGGCGGTGGAGATAAAAGAGCAGAGCTCAGAAGCCGGGAAACGAAGATTTTTTCTTTTGAGCCGTGAATCTAGGTTTTAGAACTCCCAATTATTATCTCATCAATAGCTAATTATTAGTAATACAAGTATCTCGATATGTTAACAGGTTCTACTTTTATTATTCTTCTTCTAATTCTACAGTTTCCGCCCATTCATCTTCGTATGCATCTTCAGCTTCGCAACCGTAGGCGACCCCCCGCCACCATTACTCTTCCCTCCCGCGTCCTCAAACGTCTTTGGCTGGAACGGCGACGACAGCCCCTGCCTCCTCTTCTTCTTCTTTTTATTCTTGCTCCGGTTTCCGGCCGCCGCGATCTTGGCCTCAAACAACCGCTTCGCTTCGAGCTGCTGTATCGCCGCCCGCTGTTTTTGCAGTTTCTTGGCGGGCGAGGAGGGTGGTAGCGCGCGGTGCGGTTGTCGTGCTCGGTGTTTTGCTTGCGAGTCGCTTTCGTCGCTGCTCTCGCCCGCGTCTTCCTCCTCCTCTTCGGCTTCGTCGCCGGACGGCGTATGGAAATCTGAATCATCCTCATCATCATCCTCATCATCGACGCCGTTTTCGTCATCACCCGTCGTCTTTGCCGGGACATCGCCCCGCTCGTACGCGTCTCGCGAGATCACCTCGCCGATGAAATCGTCCTCGAACGGTCTCGTTATCGGCGTTCGACTGGAGCGCACAGAGTTGTCTGGCATTATTCTCGTCTGCGCGATCGGCGAGGAATCCTCCTGCTTCTTTGCCTTCTTCTTTGGCGTGGCTGCTGCTGAGACAGATGGAGAAGCGGGAGAAGGCTTGGGGAGTTTGTTGGGCGAGCGCGCGTAGATGAGGATATAAGCCTCCTGTCTAAGAGCAGTCTTCTCAGACACCTTATCAACAATCTCGTCGTTAAAGCTCGCCCACGACCCATCCGAGAGCTTGCAGAAGGAGTAGTAATGCCCGCTAGACGTGCGTCTGCCCTGATGGACAATCACGCTCATGAGCTCGTACACCAGACTCTCGCGCCGCGTCGAGTACGCAGACATATCGAGCTCGCGCGGGTACTTTATAAAATCCGTAATCTTCGACGTGCCCCGCATCGTGAAATCGAACCGCTTGAGGTGCAAAGTAAAGTACTCTGGCGCGTCGTAGATCAGCGTGCGCTTCGACGCGTCCGCGAGCGTCTTGCACCGATCACATTTATACGCGTTCCCTTTTGCGCGCGAAAGCTGCTCGCCCGCGAAAAACCGCCGGATCGCGTCCTCGATCGAGGAGCCGGAGCCGCGCTTGATGTCGAGCTGCATGTCGAGCGTGGGCTGGTAGGTGTTTGACGGGTGGTTGCATTTCTTGCAGCGGATCTGCTGGCGGAAGCGGCCGCCAAAGATGCGGTGCACGACAGATGTCTCTTTCACGGATTCCTTGAGCGTTTTGGGCGCGACTGAGAGTTGCAGGGCGTCGATGAAGCAGCGCAGGAATTCGTGGGCGTCTTCTTGTCTGTGGTCGCTGAATTTCGCGCCGGTTGCTGCAGTCACTCATTAGCATCAGCAACTATTAAAAGTAAAGAAGAAGAAAGAAATAGTACCTCTCAATTTCTTCAAGATAAAGCGCGGATAGATTGGTTTCCGCTTCTTTGATCCACTATAACACTCCTCCGCCAACTTTCGAAACGTGCACATCATACAACCCTCGTTCTCGACCGGATGCTCCTTCTTGTGCACGTTGAGCAGGTACTCGACCAGCGCGGGAATATGCAGCAGCACCTGCAGCGTCGAGTTCATGTAGCACGTCACCCCGTTGTTGATGAACCCCGGCGTGCTCGCGTACCGCTGCGTCCAGGTCACGGGGAGCTTGTGGCGCGGGAACAGTTGCTCTTCGGGCTCGGTGAAGGATTCGCCAGAGTCGGTGTCTTCGTCGTCGTCGTGCGGTCGTTTCGCGGTAGGAGTGGTGGTTCCGTTTGCGTGCGCGTCGCCATTGGTCTGCACTGCTCCCGCAGTTTTTTGCACAGCAAGTTTTTTCTTCATCGGCAAGTTCTTATTCAACACCAACGTCTCCTCCTCCGTCTCCTCCCCCGACTCCTCCCCTTTCTTGCTCTTCTCGCTCGCCTGATCCTCCCCGGCGGCCAGCACGACGAAATTCCGCGGCGGCACAGTCATGAGCGCGTCTTCGGCCTCGCGCGCAATGCGAAAGGTCAGCGGCTGCGCTAGACAGTCTTGGACTGTGGTCGAGGATACTTTGTTTGTGATGGCGGTGATTGTGACGGGGCCCATGGGTTGTCGTTTTCTCAATCAGATTTTGGTGCGGGTGCTGGTTCTGGATCGATGCTGGGCTGCTCTATAGCGTGTACTTCAAACAAGGAAAGAAATACAAGAACCCAGGATACACCACAAACAAAAGAATATAACAACAAATCAAAAAGAAAAAAGAAGAACGCGTCCAAGTATAAAAGAATAAAAGAGCGGACAGAACAGAAGAAGGAGCAAAGTAAATAAAAAAAAAAGTTCGTTGGGAGAAGAGATTTTGGACGCAGGGCTGAGTTTGGTGAGTGTAGAGAGCAGAGTATTAGAAGAGAGTAGAGAATAATGAGAAGAGAATAGAGAATAGATGATAGATAATAGAGAAAAGAGAATAGAGATTAAAAGAGAACTAGAAAGGAATAAGATAATGAATTACGTTCTCTATTGCTTTTACATAGTCTCAAACCATACCCAAACACCACACCACATCCACCACATCCACCCCGTCCACTCATCATCTCCCCTCCCCTCCTCCACTACTTCTCCCACGGCTTCCTCCTCGCCGCCTTCTCACTAACTGACGCCGCCGTCTCGCCGAGCGCGATATTCGGAATCTGCCGGATCCCCGGGATCTCCCTACCAGACGTAATCAGCTCGACGATGTGCGCGAACGAGCTCGGGTACTGCGGTTCGTTGGTTGTGGGGGGTTCTGTTGAGGATGTGGTGGGAGGTGGGGGGGAGGAGGTGGTGCTGGTGGTGAGGAGGGGGGGAGGGGTGCTGAGGGGTGGTGATGGTGCGCGAGATGTCGAATGTGGGGAACCACCCTCACTCCGTCTCCCGGAGGAAGATGCTGATGAAGAGGAAGAGGAAGACGTAGATGTAGACGGAGACTGGCCTAAACCAGAATACACCACCGGCGCCAACCTCGTCCCGTTCACAGTACCTTCACTCGTCCTCCTCGTCGTCGTCGGATCAATCCTCTCCTCCTCCTCCTCCTCCTCATCCAGACTACTCCGCCTCTGCTTCCACGCCAGATAATCCTCATACGCAACCTGCTTCAACAACTTCCTAAACCACAGACCATCAGCCCTCCCCTCTCCTCTCCTCTCCTCTTCACAGTAAAAGAAGTACTGACTCACCGAGAATAGAAAAACAACCGCGCTTTACACTCCACCGCCCGCTTCTCTTCCTCGCCAAGCGTGGTGCCTCCCGAACTTGCCCTTCGCGCTGCTAATACTGAGGCTAAACCGTCCTGTATCATACTCAATTAGTCTTAGTCCTAGCCAGACAGCAGTAGTTATACTCATGATCTGTCTGAAAAGAGTGTGTTCTCGTCGGATCAGGATCAAGCATGACACGAGCAGATCAGGCAGATCAGGCAGATCAGATCAGATCAGCTCAAGAGAGACAGAAGACACACGTACTGTAAACTGCTTATCCGAAGCCCAGTCATAGCTCTCAAACCCACGCCATTCTTCGTCTGTTAATGGCATCCTTATATTCTTGCTGTTTCTATTTCAACTATTATTACAGAACTGGCTATGTTTCTAACTCAGCGAGACATCAGAAGACAACCCTCACCCGCTTGTCGCTGTTCCAGACGCTTTCCTCCCAATCTAGATCCCGGTCTCTTCCCCTTCTCTCCTACTCTACTCTACTCTCTCTACTCTCTCTTCTTCTTAAAACATAATCAAACAATTCAATTTGGTAAACACGCGTCGAGAATATCGTACATACATTTAAACCACAGAAAAAAAACGCAAAAGAGATAACTAGAATAAACTATAAAGGTACCTTGCAACAAAACGATAGATCAACATATTTCGTAATATCCATCTTCTCAAGAAGCGGAACTACTAACATACTCTCAACGCGCGATCATCATTATTATAATAAAATGTCAAAAACAAGTAAACATCCATCAAGTCCGTTTTAAAAGATATATCAAGGCAGAAAAAACAATAACAGTCGCGGGTCCAAATCATCAAATCTTCTTCACCACCAGCACTCATCATCTCTCCTCCTCAACACATCAACCAACTCGATCAAAAGAGTCGCTTACTCCTCAACAGCGACCTCGTTAGGGCACTGCGCCATGATATGGCCGGGCTGCTTGCACTTGTAGCACACGCGGTCCTGGGCCTCAGGGCAGTCGCGGCTCAAATGGCCGATGTTGCCGCAGTTGTAGCACTTCTGACCCTGGGTGCAGTCACGGCTCAAGTGGCCGAACCCACCGCACGAGTAGCAGGTCTGGTTCGAGTTGCCGCCGAACGAGGGGCCGCCGGACGAGTAGCCGCCGCCCTGGGTGCAGTTGCGGGCAATGTGGCCGACCTTGCCGCACTTGTAGCACTCGGCTCCGGACGAGACACCGCCCTGGAAACGGTCACCGCCAGCGGGGGCGCTGTTGGGGCAGTCACGCGAGATGTGGCCGGTCTCGTTGCATCGGTAGCAGGTCTTCTCCTTGGGGGGAGCAGAGCAGTCACGGCCTACATGACGTTAACATCCTCTTTCTTTTTTGTCACAAACACAGGCTTACATACTCAAATGACCCTCCTGGCCGCAGTTGTAGCAGACGGGGCTTCCACGCTTGGGGCAGTCACGGGCCTTTATGTTGTCTGTTAGCATTACAAACTTCAACTCACTCACACTCTATCCGTTCGCCTCTCGTCCCCATGTTTAGGTAGACTATTGATTATGGCGACGTCCCGACACCAACTTCGACCACGCAGGCAGGGCACAGAGAAGGGAGATAGGATTATAGAGTTGAAAACACACTGATGTTATTCACCTGATGACCAACATCGCCACCTAATAACTAGAGTAAGAAACGACATCCCCGGACAGTTCAGTCACGACAGCACTTCATCATCCAAAGAGTACAAAAAATACAAAGAATAGAAGAAAACACAAGAAATAATAACACATCACCTCTCTCAGTCTCACACTCTCTGACACGGCACAACCCACACGCACACACACACGCACACGCACTTCAACAACCACAAGCAGGACCGAGACCACGAGAGATACTCCCGAAGACTCGACAGCCACTCGATCGACTTCAGAGCTTGAACTTCGATGCAGCCCGGGGGGGACAGATGAGGAGGGGGAGGAGAGGAGGGGGGAGAGGGGGTGGAGTGTAAGAGTGCATGAACTGCATGTTCTGATGATGATGCATCAGACTGTACAGTCCATGCACCTTACACTCAAGAACACAGAACAGTGATAAAACAGATATAAAAGAGAAAAACAAGAAAAACAAGAAAAAGATGATGAAGATGATGAAGGAGACAAAGCACAGAAGGGGCAAAACCAAAGAGCAATCAAACCGTACAGTTGTAGCAAGCGCGAGGAGCACCGAATCCAGAAGGACGCGAGAAGTTGTTCTGTTCGTAGGACATTTTGTTGATTATGATAGCTGATAGAATGCAGATATAGAAAGCAGGAAGTGGTTCTTGTTGTTGCTGTGAAGAAGTCGAGGAGAAAACGGCGGCACCGCAGATTTTTATTTTAAAAACTTTTCCAACTCTCTTGTCCCGATCCGGCCTAGCGCGGTCTCGCCCGCCAGAGCCCTCGCCACGTGACGGTTGTGCATTACGTAAGTGCTGACTACTCTTTGAGGGACGATCGCCTCGGTAGGGAATAAACACATGCGGGGAGCTGCCTCGGTTTCTGGTTCTGATATTTGATCCGCTTGATTCCTGCTGTTCTGCTCTGTCTGCTTCTTCTACTACTTCTTCTTCTTCTTCTTCTACTACTACTTCTACTACTACTTCTACTACTTCACTACAGCCATGTCCTCCTCTGACTCTGTCGCCCAGGCCCTCGCCGGCGCAGGCGGCGGCGCCCTCGCAATGATCACAACCTACCCGCTCATCACCCTCTCCACCCGCGCGCAGACCGAGCGTCGCAAGTCCGTCTCCGCAGACTCCTCCTCCGCCGCCGCAACAGTCGACCTCCCGGACTCTTCAAAATCCGCCGTCGACGCTGCTCGGAAACGGCTCGCCGCGCTCAAGAAGAAACCCTCGATCGTCGCCGCCGCGAGCAAGATCATCCAGCGCGAGGGCGTCTCGGGATTGTACTCGGGACTGCAGTCGGCGCTGTTTGGAATCAGTGTGACGAATTTTGTGTATTACTACTTTTACGAGGGGACTCGGAGCGTCTTCGAACGTCGCAAGGCGCTCAAGAGCGGCGCGGCGGCGGCGGCGGCAATCAGTCAGTCAATGTCGACCCTCGAGTCCATGCTCGCAGGCGCCATCGCCGGCTCTGCCACCGTCATCCTCACAAACCCCATTTGGTATATTTCCTCTGTCCTCTCTTCCTCATCTACAATCATAATACTAATATCCACCAGGGTCGTCAACACCCGCGAAACCGCCCGCGTCGGCTCCGCACCAAAACAATCCACCTTTGCAACCATCCGCGACATCCTCGAAAACGACGGCCCCGGCGCCTTCTTCGCGGGTCTCATGCCGGCTCTCGTGCTCGTCATCAACCCGATCCTGCAGTACACAATCTTTGAACGCCTCCGCGCCGTCATCGAGCGGAAACGCGCCCTCCGCCCGCTCGACTTCTTTATCCTCGGCGCGCTGGGGAAACTTGTCGCTACGTCGACGACGTATCCTTATATCACCGTCAAAGCGCGCATGCAAGTCCAGCGGCGCAGAGCAGCGGCTGCCGCGGAGGCTGCTTCCTCTTCTGACGCAGCTGCGGCAGATGCACCTCCTGTCTACACATCCACCGTCTCGGCACTCAAGCAGATCGCTTCGACGGAAGGTTGGAAATCGCTCTACTCTGGGATGGATTCAAAGATCGTGCAGAGCGTCTTGACCTCTGCCTTTTTATTCTATTTCAAGGAACAGCTTGTCGTCGCCGCCGTTGCTTTCCTCCAACTCGCTCGTCGTAAGAGACTTGCTGCAAACTAACTCTGCCATAACTACTACTACTCTGCTATAACTATGCTATCAATATGACTTATATATAAATTGCCTCATTAATGTATGTATCAACAAAAACAAAACAATCACTCAGACACACCCTTGCAATAACTCAAACAAGAATTACAGACAATAAACAGTATGAGAATAACAAGAATAGATATGTCTGACTCCCGAGCGCGGTACTTGGAACAAGGTACTCAGAACAAGGTGCTTATAACAAATCATAAAAGACAAAGCAAAATTACACATTGACCTTAAATCTGTAAATCAAATCGATTATAAAAAAAAGAAGAGTAAAAGAGTATACCGCGCTCACTCATCATCCACTTCTCTTATCCTCTCTTCTCTTCCTTCTCCTCCTCTCAAAACAAAAAAGAACAAAAACAAATATTAAAATAGAAATAGGTAAAAACTATAAAACAAACTCAGCAGCAGCCTCCCGCAGCTCCAGGTCTGATTGTCTCGCCCTCTCCAATCCGCACCTGTCCCTTTCCACTGCTCGCAGGCGCAGTCCCCATCCGCTCCTTAATCTGTCTCGCCATCGTCAAAAACGCCTGCTCGACGTTCGTCGCGTTCTTCGCCGACGTCTCCAAAAACGGAATGTTGAGACTGTCCGCAAACTCCTTCGCAACAGTGTGCTCCACAACCTTCTTGTCCGCCATATCGGACTTGTTGCCCACTATTAACTTGTTCACCCCCTCCGTCGCATAGCGGTCAATCTCCTGCAGCCACTGCTTCACGTTCGTGAAACTCTCCATGTCCGTCACATCGTACACAATTATAATTCCGTGCGCACCTCTATAGTATGACGCAGTGATTGTGCGGAATCGCTCTTGTCCAGCCGTGTCCCACTGTAAATACTTGTTAGTCTCTGTTTCTTCATCTCTCCTGCTTAACTCTACTCATCTACTCACAATCTGAAGTTTGACTGTCTTTCCATCCAGCTCGATAGTGCGGATCTTGAAATCGACTCCGATCGTCGATATGTAGGACTCGGTGTATGTGTCGTCCGCAAAACGCAGCAGCAGGCAAGACTTGCCCACACCAGAGTTGCCGATCAACAGCAGTTTGAACAAGTAGTCGTATCTGTCATCAGTAAGTCAGTATTCGCTGTGATTAGAGTAATGGGTCTGTTCTGAAGTCTTTGGCGCTGGTGAGGGACTGGTGACGCAATCTCGCAGATCACAGAGTCGGCTGATGAGTCCAGTCCAGTCCAAGTCCTGATCATATCACCAGTGATCTCTATCTTCCTGCGTATTCTCAACAACAGCAAAAAATGAGAAGTGCGGGTCTGACGAAAATCGGATCGATGATCTCGGGTGTGCTGGCGGTGGCAGTGAAGTGGCTGGCGTTTCAGCTAGGCGCAGGAGCACACGACGTCACGACCGACCATGTCGGATTTTCTTTAATCTTTGCCGCATCATAAAATCTGCCGCAGAAACAATATCGAGTAATCTTGGATGAAAAAAGGAGGGCGGTGATGGTGGGGTGAAGCGACCAAATCTGAGATCCGAAAGTCGCGGTCGCGGGTCGCGGGTCGCGGGCCGGTCTGCAGCCCTGCAGCGTAGCGCAGTCTCACTCCCTGCCAGCGCCGAGGTGATGACGCAGCCAGAAACAGAGGGCGGATACAATAAAATCAAATTAATAGGAAAACTCTGGTGAATCAGGGAGGTTAGCATGTCTGTCGATTCGATGGGCAGAGGTGGGAGGTGGCAGGACGGAGCGGGAGCGGTCGCCAAGGCAGCTCAGCGTGAGCTAGTGAGCCAACCAGCAGCAGCAGCGAAGCCAGCGGGAGGAAGAGGAAAGAATAGCAAGAAGCAGGCAAGAAGAAGAACATACCACTCAGGATTCATGATTGTATCGGTGCGGTGATGGGGAAGTAGAGTGTGCAGAAGGAAGGAGTAGAGCGAGATAGAAAGAGGAAGAGGGCGCAGGCAGCGAGGCAGATGGGGGGAGTCGCCGTGATCGCGCAGAGTCCGGGTAAGTCAGCTGCTTGAACCCGAACCCTGATTTGCTCCCAACGCAGCCACACTTGTGCCTTCTACTATTAACTACTACTATTCTATAGTCTTATGTTGTTATATTCAGCTATTTGACCCTAACAATACTACAATACTACAATAAAGCAAAAGGAATGACAGAAAACAAATCCATATGTTATTAACAATAAACCCTCAAAATATTACAAAGACTCTGGGCTCTCATTTACAACACTCATCTTCTAAAAGACAAATCAACTTCATTCTTTTTTTCCTTTACCCTATGCAAACCAAAGATAAAAAACCCTTTTCATTCACCGACTATTCCTTTAGTCGACCTCCTCAACGGTGGGGCCGTCGCTGCCAGGAGCCTCAGCTCCCGCACCGGGGAATCCACCAGGAGCGCCACCAGGAGCACCGCCAGGAGCACCGCCAGGAGCACCGCCAGCGTTGTAGAACTTCATCATGATCGGGTTGGCAACGCCCTCGAGCTCCTTCTGCTTGTCGGAGAACTCCTCAGTGGTAGCGGTCTGGTTGCTGTCGAGCCACTCGACGGTCTCGTCGATAGCCTTCTGCAGCTTCGACTTGTCATCAGCATCGAGCTTCTCGTTGACCTTCTCCTCGCTGAGAGTGTTCTTGAGCGAGTACGAGTACGACTCGAGACCGTTCTTGGCAGCAATACGAGAAGACTCCTTCTCGTCGTCCTCCTTGTACTTCTCAGCCTCGGAGACCATGCGCTCAATGTCCTCCTTCGACAGACGGCCCTTGTCGTTTGTGATCGTGATCTTGTTCGACTTTCCGGTGCCCTTCTCGACAGCAGACACGTTCAAGATTCCGTTGGCGTCAATGTCGAAAGTGACCTCAATCTGGGGAACACCACGGGCGGCAGGAGGAATTCCAGTGAGCTCGAACTTGCCGAGCAAGTTGTTGTCCTTAGTGCGAGCACGCTCACCCTCGTAGACCTGGATCAACACACCGGGCTGGTTGTCAGCGTAGGTCGAGAAGATCTCAGACTTCTTGGTGGGGATGGTGGTGTTTCTGGGGATGAGCTTGGTCATGACACCGCCAGCGGTCTCGATTCCGAGCGAGAGAGGAGCAACGTCGAGAAGCAAGAGGTCCTGGGTCTTGGACGAGGTGTCGCCAGACAAGATAGCGGCCTGGACAGCGGCACCGTAGGCAACAGCCTCATCGGGGTTGATCGATTTGTTGGGCTCCTTGCCGTTGAAGTAGTCAGAGACGAGCTTCTGGACCTTGGGGATACGGGTCGAACCACCAACAAGGACGATCTCGTCGACGCTCGACTTGTCGAGCTTGGCGTCACGGAGGACCTTCTCGACGGGGTCGATGGTCGAGCGGAAGAGGTCCTGGCAGAGCTCCTCGAAACGAGCACGGGTGATCGAGGTGTAGAAGTCAACACCCTCGAAGAGCGAGTCGATCTCGATCGAGGTCTGGGTGGAGGACGACAGAGTACGCTTGGCACGCTCGCAAGCGGTTCTCAGTCTTCGCAGAGCACGCTGGTTGGAGGAGAGATCCTTCTTGTGCTTGCGCTTGAACTCAGCGACGAAATGGTTGACGAGACGGTTGTCAAAGTCCTCACCACCCAAGTGGGTGTCACCGGCGGTAGCCTTGACCTCGAAGATGCCCTCCTCGATGGAAAGGAGAGAGACATCGAAGGTACCACCACCGAGATCGAAGATCAAGACGTTTCGCTCACCCTCGGCCTTCTTGTCGAGACCGTAGGCGATGGCGGCAGCGGTGGGCTCGTTGATGATACGGAGGACGTTGAGGCCGGCGATGAGACCGGCGTCCTTGGTAGCCTGGCGCTGGGAGTCGTTGAAGTAGGCAGGGACGGTGATGACGGCGTTGGTAACGTCACCGCCGAGGAAGCCCTGGGCGGTCTCGCGCATCTTGGTGAGGATCATGGAGGAGATCTCCTCGGGGGTGAAGACCTTGTCCTCGCCCTTGAACTCGACCTGGATGACGGGCTTGCCGGCGCGGTCGATGACCTTGAAGGGGAAGTGCTTGATGTCGCCCTGGACCTCAGCGTCGGTGAACTTGCGACCGATCAGACGCTTAGCATCGAAGACGGTGTTGGCAGGGTTCATGGCGGCCTGGTTCTTGGCGGCATCACCGATCAGTCGCTCGGAGTCGGTGAAGGCGACGAAGGAGGGTGTTGTGCGGTTGCCCTGGTCATTGGCGATGATTTCGACTCTGTCGTTGGAGAAGTGGGCGACGCACGAGTAGGTGGTGCCGAGATCGATTCTGGAGAGGTGTTAGTGAGCTGATCCAAGAGAAGAGAAGCAACAAGAGAAGCAAGGCAAGAGCAGATACATACCCAACAGCTTTTGACATTGTGTATTAATGTATGTGATGTGTAATTGAATTGGTGAAAATATTTCTGAGGAGAAAAAAAAAGAGTCCGAGAAGGCGGAAGGAAATGAATTTATCTGCTTCGGCCGCGATCTTCCACGGCCTTCGAGCGGCTTCCAGCTGGGCGACCCTTGCCCTGCGGCTCACTTCTACGTCATTCGGCCTCCTTCGGGTCTCTTCGCGGCTCTTCGCGGCTCTTCTCTGTCCTTCGGGGGTCTGCTCTTTGGTGAGTGTTGAGAACCTATGCGAAGGTTTCATCTGGTCAGAAGACAGGTGTCGTGGTCTTCTCTTCTTCATAGCACCCTCGAGAGCCTTCTGGTCGAGTCTTTACAGCGTCGCAGACCACCACATCGCCACTTACTATGATCGTAGTAAGACTATCATACTCCTTCACTACATTATCATAATCCATACATAACACACTATTACAATATATACTCAATACACATCCATCTTCTCTTGCAAATACATCTTACATCACGACACTGCCGCTGCCGTCCCAGCCGCACTTCCCCTAGCCCAATGATCTCCCAAAACGGCAATATCAAATCACATCATCCTTCCACACCACCCATACCACTCCACCGTTGACATCAACTCCCCGCCATCACTGTATCCATATCGTGACTACTCCCCTCACCTGCCATCAACTCATCGACATCTGACCTCCTCCTCCCCTCCTCACCCTCCACCTCCACCTCCGCCGCCGCCGCCGCCGCCGCGCGCTCAATCTCAATGTTCCTCAAATACCACATGCACGCATAGAAGCACGCGGGCTCGATTATCCCGCAGTCAATCAGATTCAAGCAGTGCTTCCAAAACTCAATCTGCATCGTCCGCTCCCGCAGCGTCTTGCGGTTGTTGCGACAGAACCGCATAAGAGACTCGCTCACGTGCTTGTACGAACTCGGCCGCTCTTCAAAGATGTGCCGGTCCCAGAGCTTGATGAATTCCTTCTCACTCAAAGTCACGTCCTCAAAGTCATCGATCGTCTAAATCGTAGTCAGTCTTAGTCTCTGCCCACCCAATCACGCATAAAAACAAACTCACCTCCTCATGCTTCGTTATCAACCACATATCATCAACCTCGTCCTCGCTCTCAGACACCTCCTCGCCCGTCTTCAAAAGTCTCTTGCCCTTCGTAGTATACAACCTCACCTCCGTCTCCGGCACAGGCAACACCCGTCTCGCCTTTGGCGGCAGCGTCGGCACCGTCTGCACATCGTATATCGTGCTATTCGGCGCCACCGACGCCAGATTCAACCTCAGACTATCCACCGTCGCGCCTTCCCCCCCTGCATCTGGCGTTCCGCTCGCAGACGCAGTCGTCAACCGCGTACTATGATGTTGTCCCGCGTTCACACCCGCCCCGCCGTTCTGCCGGAGCATCATTAGCGACGCTCCTTCCTGAAGCCACGACACGTCGCCGCGCAGGAACGACTGCAGTTTGAACTTCATATGCTTCGGACGCAGCCACTGCATAAGTCGGATATCAAGCACCTTCGGGCTCGCGCGCTCGTACAGAAATTGGCCTGTGATCGTTATATACACGTCTATCGTGAACGGCTTCCGTCTGTCGACCCGGAACGTGAACAGCTCGTGACTGGTCAGAAAATGGAAATGCAGTCGCTCGTAGCTCCCGTAGTCCTTCATCGCGCACCAGGGACATCCGTACCCTCGCAGCACAAACGTCTTGAATTTCCCTTCGAGAGCAAAATGATACCGCGCCTCGACCGTCTCCTCCAAAATCGGCGTCGACGTGCGCACGCTACTCGACCGACCCTCGTCCGCGTCTTCTCGGCGCACTCTCTTCACTCGCTGATTATCCACCGGCCCGTCTTTCTCCTTCTGATCAGCCTGTCTCTGTTGCTCGTCCACCTTTAGCTTCGCTTGCTCCTCCTCGAACGTAGGCGAACTCCAGCCCATGTCGATCTCAATCCCAATCTCGAGCCCGGACCGGACATCCATCGGCACGCCGTTCTTGCGAAACTGCAGCGGCACAACCGTCCCCGGCTCTGCGCTCTCGAGCAGTGAAAAACTGTACTCCCCACGTAGCGAAACCCCAGGCCGCTGGTCTACATTAACCAGCCCCTCCTCATTCCCTTCCCCGTCCTCCTGCTCGTCATCCGCGTCGCAGTCGCTTCGCGTCGCTAAAGAGTCTGCAACCCTCTTTCGAAACGAGGACGCGCTCGGTGGTGTATTCGTCGCAGACCTCAACCCCCTCATTCCCGTCCCGTTCCCAGCCGCCGCGAGCGCGTTCGCCGACAGCTTTCGCGCGCGCGGTGATCGTCTTGCTGCGCCCTTGGGCGACGGACTAAGTGATTGGAACGACGAGTTTCGCGAATTTGACCTCTGCCGGCCGGAGCCGGTCGGAGAAGAGTTGACTTCTGATTCGGCGGCGCGGGTCTTGCGGTGCTGTTGTTTTAAAGGCGTAGCCGACGGACTGGTTTCCATCGTGAACGGCCATGATTTTTCCGAATGCGGGGATAAAGGGCGTAATGTTATCGCAACCATATAAACAAATCTGTCGGCGTGAGAAGATACCAGCGACGCAAGCCCGGCTTCGGCAAGCGTGCTGGCTTTGATATAAAACGGCTCGTCCATAACCACCGACACCACCGCGTTTTTGCTTGACTGTCCGTTTCTCTCGGTCGTCTTATGACTGTCTGCGGACCCTGACCGAGCTGAGTTAGTGCGAGGAATTAGCGTGCAGATCTCTCCGGACTGGTAGAGAAGTTCGTGGGGTGGACGTCTGCCGAAACCAGATTCGTAGACGCGGTAGATTTGCACTTCGCAGCGGCAGTTCGTGGCTCGTAGTTGTACGGGCGATCCTCCAATTTGAGCTGTAATTGTCAGTAAGAAACAGGCAGACACTGAAGCAGAAAGAATGTTCACATACACCGAAGGCTACGGGCAAGTTTAACCACGTTCACAACCTCAATCTTCAAAGTCGGCTGCACAACAAACGGCGACCGTTCAAACTCCGACGCCGACATATTCTCCGCGCGCGCAACCGAGCTCGACAGCAGCCTTTCGCCGACATCGTCGATCGCGACGCGTTGGCGCTTTATCCGCCGCTTGCGGATCCGGGGCTGAAAGCTGCGCGCTGCCCCGCCGCTCTGCGGATGATGCAGGTGCGTGCCCGCTGCTACTGCTGCTGTCGCGCCCGAGTCGGAGAAGGTGTGGTGGCCGTTCGCGGTCGAGGTGGACGCGGGCGTGCGCGCGTCGAATAGGTAGCGGAGGTTGCGGTCGAGGAAGACGGGTTGGCGATAGCGGTGGATATAACGGTACAGCGTCGTGTTGCCCGCATATATCTCCATTCTGCTGCGCGATTCTGTAGGCCAGCGTAAATGTGCTCAAGAATCTTTTGAATATTTGTTCTGTATATCTGATATCCAGCGACTTGCTAACACGTCTCGTCGTGAGGACACTAGTGAATTTAGGGCCAAAGTACTTTGTTCACACCCTGCAGTCGTGCACACACACACACGCACACCAAAACAAACCCCGCGACGCGCTTCAAAGTCGAGTCAAAGCAGACCGGCCGGTACCAGAGCACGATCTGTGCAAGTGCTCGCGAATAACGTTTGTCGACGGGTGCTTTTTCTGCCGAGAACCAGAATGTCTCGAACAGGCTTCCCGGGTGCTCGTAAACGACGCGTCTCGCGCATCACTACAAACGCGGCGTCAAAATCACAGCATATAATTGTTAATGTGATGCCCCGAGCGTATTTCGATTCCACGCTCCACCTCGTTCCGCGCTTCTTCGCACGCAAAACCCCATTTTGAATCCTTTCTCTCTCTCCCCACCCACCCTCCTTCCCTCGCCCTTCTTCTCAATCCACTACTCCTCCCTTTTTGGCAAATGGCTACTCCAGAACCCGTCCCCGCAAAAGAACCGGCCGCCGCGCCGTCCACATCTTCGAAGAGACCGCCGCGCAGACGGAAAGCCAAACAGCCCAAACCAGCGCCCGAAGACACCGCTGCCGATGCCGCTCCTGCAGCGCCAACCGCCGTCGAGACCGCTGCTGCTGTCGAACCCGAGCCGGAGACCGCTGTGCCGGAGCCAATTGAGGTCGAAGAGCCTGTTGTGCTGTCCGAGGACGAGCTCAAGAATCCGTATATCGAGACTGTGCAAAAGTGAGTTTCCTTCCACTGCGTTCTGTTTTCTCTGTCTCGCTGTTGGGGTTGATTTCGTGCGACGCAGGGCAGACCGAGCGCAGATGTTTGCGTCGCAGGATTTGTGGTTTGGCTGGTGAGCTTTTGTACTGATTGAGTTATTGCATTTAGGCGTGTGCGTAATCTGCAGAAGCGAAAGGTATGTCGATCTTACTATCCAACCCATCTTGCCGATGAAGGACTCTACCTAACACCCTCTCCTAGCTAAAACTCGACAAATACGAGGAACAAGCAGCGACCCCCGACGCCCTCAAACTGAACGCAGACCAGCTGCTCGCGCTCAAGCAGAAAGATCAAGTAATTTTCCCGCTCAAAGAACTCGATGATCTTACCAAGTCCTTCAAGATCTTTGACGACGAAGCCAAGACCAGCAAACTCGCCGCCGCTCACGCGCGCAAGTCCGAGATCGCGAGCGCGGTCGCGCAAGCAAAGCAAGCTGCGAAAGCCGAGGAACGCGAGCGGATACGAGTGCTTGTCAAGTTTCTGCACGCCGCGAGCTGGAAACGGCAATTTCCGAGCAAGGATTCGTCGCCGGCCGAGCTCTCTGCGTTTGAGAATCTGCTGGCGCTGATCTACGCGGGTGATGAGGCGGCGGTGGATGCGGTTGAGAAGTTGGCGGGCGGGGCAGACGAGCTTGTGGCTGCGGGCGAGGAGGTCGCGACGGCGGAGAACTCGTTGACGTTTGCGCAGGTCAAGCAGTTGTCGCTCGACCAGGTCGACGAGGTGGTTGACGACGAGACTTCTGCTGAGCAGTCAAAGATTGAGACGGCAGATGTGCCTGCTAAAGAGGAGGAGATCGTGCTTCCTGCCGCGCCGGCTTTACTAACACCCACACCCCCAGAGACGATAGTAGTCGCCGCCACGCTCCCGGACGACGACGAAGACGAAAACACGCCTCCTGCAATCAAGATGATCAAAGTGCCCGTCCGCCGCCACGAGGACATTTTCCTGAACGAGTCCGAGCTCGAGGCCGAGGAGTTGCTCCCCGCTGCGGACGACACCGAGACCGACGCGATCCCATCTCTTCCCCCGTTGCAGACCGCGACGAGCGCCTGGGCGCCGCTGCCGCAGCAAAACGGCATCCCGCCACCTGCGCAGACACAGATCGACGACTCGCACGCAAACACCGCTGCGATCGTCGAGTGGGACGAGCCAGTCTCCGAACAGCAGGACGCTCCTCTCGACTGGGCCGCGTCCTCTCCTCCACCCATGACCGCCTCCGTCGCCACCCCTGTCGCCGCTGCGGAGCCGGTGTGGGAAAAAGTCGGCTCGTCGCAATCTAACTCGCGGTTCGGCGCGCGAAAGCCGAATGCCGCGCCGCCGTTTCAGCAAACCACAAACGGGCAGCAGCAGCAGCGCAACAATCGACGTCCGAGAGGTGGATTCGCAGGTCGAGGCGGCGGGTTCATGCGCGGTCGGGGAAACGGACGGTCGCAGAATCAGCGGCCCCAGCAGCAGCAGCGACAAATTCCTGCTCAGTAAAATAGCGAGACTACTCTTTTCGTTCTTGATCAAAAGTTTATGCATAACATACTAATTTCCAAAAGATGCAAAAGAAGCAAGGAAGAAGAGAGAGAGAAAAAAGTTGGCATATATCTGAACGTGCATTTGCTTGTATTTGATTTAAACCTAGCTGATTTTGTATATTCATTTGCTTTGTAATTGCGGATTGTTTTTCTTGTAGTAATAATTGTAATATATTACGCACTTTCCTAATCTATACAGGTTTTGTCAGGCTACGACTGTTTTAAGAAAGTAGCAGTGGTGGAAAGTAGAAGTAATCATATGAGGAAAAATGTAATCTTGAGCTATCAAAGCAAACACAAAAGGGTAGAGGTACCAAGCAATCGTAACACCACAAACAATGTTGAGGTCTGCAATCATCACCCACACCTCCCCCCCTCGCCAAAAGTTCCCGAGCACTCCCTCTTCTTCTCATCACTCACTCTGCATTCCACACCAGATGTGCGGAACACAAGAAGAGAGAGAAACACAAGAAGAGAGAAGGAAAAACTAAACAGCAAGAGAGACAACAAAAGAGAAAAAAAGGAAATTACAAGAGAGAAGGATAAGTACAACATTTTTCTTTAGAGCAAACAGTGTCGTATAAAATCCGTTCGTTATCGTGACATTAATGATATCATATCGGTTTCGTAGAGCATCAACGTGAGAAGGAAAAAAAAAGAAAGACGGATTAAAGATGGATAAGCAGGACAACGCAACGCGAGAAGAAAAAAAGAGTATGCGGAATGTAGAACGAGAGGAGATATTCCTTGCTCGTCCTTTGTTTTGTTGAGAAGTAGAAGAATTGGAAAACGCGCGGATGCCGTGTTCTCGCGCGTCAATCAACAAGGACCGATTACCGCATAAAAGCCACGTCGGATAATCTGATTCACTCAAAACCAGAGAAAGGACAGCAGCAGATGTCACGGTAACCAACCCTCAAATGAAGAAAAAAACAATCAAAGTGAAATGAAAAGGCCTGGAATCATCACCGTCGTAATCGTTATCGTCACCGTCATCCATAAATTATTATTACAGAGCCAAAAGAGATAAACATCGTTTGCCAAGTTCTGAGGATTTTGAGCCGAGAAAAAAAGTAGAAAAAAGAGATGAGTCGGAAAGAAATAAAAGATCTTTTTGTTCGGTCGTTGGGATCGTGCACTTCACGTCGTCGGTTGCGATTCGCTTCCGATGAGTGAGAGGAGATAATATGAATAGAAAGCAAGAAAGAAATAAGGAAACGAGTCACAAGGTCAAGTGCGGTCACTCGAGCAATATGTCGTTCTGAATGCCAATATTGAAATGCGACTGCTGCGCCTGCTGCTGCGATTGCTGCTGAGCTTGCTGCTGCTGCTGTGCCTGCTGCTGTGCCTGCTGTGCCTGCTGCGTCTGTTGTGCCTGCTGCTGCGTCTGACGAACGGCAGACTCGACGCTAGCAGTCTGCTCGGACGCCAGTTGCTGCCGCGCAGTAAGTCTGATGTCCGCGAGCGACATGCGCGCAAGCACCGACGCCATGTCCGGCATCGCGGGCACCACCGTCGAGTTGCGGTGGTTGTTGTACGCCGACGAGATGCTGCTCGAGCTCGAGTTTTGGTGCGAGTACATTGCGCCCGCGCGGCTGGACGAGCGGATATCGGCGAACGACTTTGTGTTGCGCAGCGAGCGCACGGGTGATCGCGGCTTTTGCGTGGTCGCGGTCGGTTGCTGCGGGAGGTAGTCTAGCAGCGCGGAGGCGGTGCTGGTGGGGTTCTGCGGGAGCGGCGCGTAGACTCCTGATCTGAGCGCGTTCATGTCGTCGTCGTCGGCCGTGATGCCTTGCTGCTGATTGAGCATCTGCGTGATGACGGCTTTGTTTTGGAATTTCGGGTTGCCGCGCTTGTAGATGATCACGCGCTCGCCGTCGGATGACGAGATGTGGCCGTGCTTGAAGTAGAAGGCGATCGAGTGGACCGCGCGTCGAAGAGTCTGCGGGAGATTTTCAAAGTTGAGCTCTTCGAGCGGATCGTTGCGCTCGGTGAAGAACAAGATCTGGTCGTACATCCGGCGCACGCCGGCGTCGTTCATGTTCACATTGAGTTCTGGATGTTGTTAGCGTAAACGAATTAAGAATATATCAAGAAGGTACACGCACTCTCTTTCATGCCGCTCATGCTATTCTGCGCAGGCGCACTGATGGGCGCAAACCCCTGCTGCTCGCGCTGCTGCTGCTGTCTATGCTGCTCCTCCAACTGTCCTCTCCGGACACGTTTCTGAAACTCCGCGCGGTCGCGCTCTTCTTTCGGCAGCATCTTCTTGTACTCCGCCCTCAGTTTGCGGCCGCAGTATTCATATCCATTCAAGACCGCGATCGCTTTCGCGGTGTCGGTCGTGTTTCGGAAGTTTGCAAACGCGAGGCCGCGGAAGACGCCGTTGTCGAAATGGTAGTTGAACGCGTAGGGAAGCTCGAGGCCGAGCTCTTTGAAGAGAACGTTCATGTCGTCGACTTGCGCGGAGAAAGGGATGTTTTTGATGACGATCGCGTTCGGGATGTAGTCGTCTGATTCGGTAGGCGACGTGTAGGTCGGCACGACGTTGAAGTACGGCATGGTGTCGGAACGCGTGGGGGAGATGCTGCCAGGGGGAGGGTAGACCGGTTGCGCGAGCCGGGGAACGGTTTGGAAATCGTTTGATAGCAAGGGTGGGGAGGGTTCCATCCATTGCTGTAGAGAGTAATTAGCCTGTATTCAAGTTATGAACGAGGAGAGTGTGTAGAACATACATAGTTATTGGCAGGCGCACGCAGATTCATGGGCATCGGGTTCCATACGGGCTGCTGCTGCTGCTGCTGCTGCGACGCGATGTGGATCGGATCATAGGCCGGCGCGGCGGCGTACATGCTCAGTCTGTTTGACGGGTCATGATGGTACCGCTGGGTTTCGAAACGCGCCATGTCGGCAAACACGTTGTTGGAGACCGGGTACTGATCGAACTGGGTGGTGTCGTAGGTCTGCTGCTGTTGCTGCTGCTGCTGCTGCTGCTGCTGCTGCTGCTGCTGCACGGTAGGATAGGACGAAGAATTTGCGATGATGCTGCTGTTCTGGAAGGTGTCAAAGTGACGCGAACGGGCTTTGTGGAGGATTGGCCTGGCGCCGTTGATGGGCTGGGGAGCGGTGTTGGAGGAGGAGGAGGAGGTAGAGTAAGGAGCCGCGGTTTGAGGTTGCTTCTGCAGCTGCTGATCGTCTGCGCGCCAGAGGACGGAAGGAGGCTCCGTGGTCGCGTCGGCAGAGACGAGAGGATATACGGAGGCCATCCGGAAGGAGAGCAGAGGTAGAGAGGAAAGGGGAGGAAGGCGGAGGAGTGGCGAGAAAGAGGAAGAAGAAGAGAAAAGGAAAGGGATGGGAGGAGAGTGGGTAATATTGGAGAAGCGGATGCTGCTGGGGTTGGTGTGGGCGGGCGTGATGGGCGGGAAGTAAACAAAAGAAGCGGCCCCTGTCGGTTGTTGTGATCCGTCAAAGTGACCGGGTCCGCCTCTGACGCGACCGCGTCTGCAGCGACTACTATCTGTAGTTGATGTTTAGATGGTATTTTAGATATTGTTTTACGCGCCAAATTCAGTGCTGAATACAATAGTTGTTTTGTTTATTTATCTGATCTCTCGTCAAGAAACCGCGGTGGTGCTGGTTTGTGGAGGCGAGGAGGGCAGCGAGCGAGTTCTTTGCTGAGGCGCGCATTCCAACGAGGTCGATCACCGCTGAGAATATGCGCAGCGCAGCCAGCGAGTCGGGTTGAGCAGAGGAGTAGAGCATAGAGTATAGAGCAAGAGCAGAGAAGAGCAGAGCAAGAACAGAAGAGTATTGTTCCTGTTCTTGTTCACGACCAACGCGCGTCTTCTTCACAGGCTCCGACCCGCGCACATACGCAAGTCCTCTTCTTCTCTTCCTTCGCTCGGCTGTCATCTCGTTTCGTCTGTCTCGTCCTGTTTCGTCTCGCGTCCATGTTCATTGACGTAATAGCAATTTTTGCGGCATCGCCTCATCGCGTCGGTGCGATAAAGTGCCTGTTTACTGCCCCTCGGCTCGCTAGATCGTCTTGTTTATTTTTACTGCTTTATAGTGTTTCTATTTCCGTCTGTAAACATAAACATATAAACAGTAAATATATAAACAACAACTTAAAAAGATACAGCAACAGGAGAAGCGAAAAAAAATCACAATCTCTCTTTGCTAGGAAGTATGACTTCCCCGCCAGGGGTCGAACCTGGAATCTCCCGCTCACTTTGAATAAACATCGTAGGCGGACGCCTTGCCATTGGGCCACAAGGAACAAGTTTGTGATTTGATGCTCAAAATTGGGCTCTGGTTGTTTATAAGCTGCGTTTTGCTTATTTGAATTGTGCGTTTTTGTAGATTATTTTGGTATCTATCTGTTTGCCTCTTTTTTATATATCATATTACTACAAACTTCGTAGAAATTACTCAAAATCCAATCAGATAATCCGCCGCAAAGCTCACTATTATTACCTAATATCTGCTGTAATCACCAATTTTACGCGAACTCAGGGGCTCGCACTCGCACCCTAAATTCCTAGACCTACCGTCATCGAGAACAACACATCCCACCCGTTCCTGCAATGTGACAATATGCACACTTCACGGGTATTCCTGCAGTCTTGCTCGCTAGCGTGGATGATGATATATATTTGACAGCTTAGGTTTTTTTTTTAGTCCACGCACTGTGATTCTCTGCGATGCATATGGTCTATAGTCTGTCACACTCGTGCTCTTTGTCTGTTCTGCTTTGCGTGTTTTGATGGCGCGTGCGTGCTGCTTTGTTGAGCGGGCTCATATCACGCTGATTTACTAATTTTGGAATCTTGACTTGGGTCCAGTGCTGTGGAGCGTGCGTTCGTGAGTCGTGGGTCCTGTGGAAGTGGTGGGATGTGAGGATCGTGGGGTTTTGTAGAGAGGCTGAGATGATGAGGAACAGCATTCTCAACTGTGAGCATTCTCTTCCCGGCAAAGAACTTGCAATTGAAATTATCTGCTGCTAAGTTGCTCTATATCGAGCAATTCATACTATGAACGGCACCTCGATCAGCACCCCAGCACCCTCTGTTCAACCGTCTGTTCCCACCACATCTAGCACCTCCGTTATATTTACAACCTGTCAAATCCGCAGAATCGTCAACAATCAACGACCTCGCCTGCAAACTTTAACGTCGCTCGTCATCACATCTTCTCAACTCTGCGTGAAGGAGCGGCGGGTGCATGGGTCAGCTGGGAACTTTGAGGTGGGTGGTGGTTTGGATACATGGAGCGGTCTGGTGCAGAGGGTTGAGTCATATTCATAGCTGGGATAAAGGAAGAAGACTGCCTGCATGGTTGACAGTCAGATATGCTGATCCTGCCCGCTCACGAGCTTTTAATGGAAGAGGATTTTTGCTGATACGTGGCTATACTCTGACGTCTTTGGAATACACTGAGCAGTCCTGTGCAGAGATTTTATCTTTTGAATCATATTTCATAGCTGGCACAAAGAAAGAAGATCGCTTGCATGGTTAGCAGTCAGATATATGCCGATCCTGCCCGCTCACGAGTTTTTAATGGAGGAGGATTTTTGATGATACGTGGCTGTAGTCTGATGTCTTTGAAATACACCGAGGGTCCTGTGCAGAGATCTGATCTGTTGAGTCATATTCATCGCTGGGATAAAAAAGAAGATTGCTTGTTGAGTTGGCAGTTTGATATGTTGATCCTGCCCAGTCACGAGTTTTTAATAGAAGAAGGAATTATTGTCGTATGTGGCTGTAGTCTGATGCGGTATGCAAGACGAATTGAATCCATGGAGCATACATGTCCTCGAAAAAATTCGTAGTAGACGACGATGGACGTAAGCTGAGAAACTGGGAACAAAACGCGTCGATGGTCGTTTTAGAGGTCCTATCTGTATTTCTGGTAAGGAGTTGACAACTACCGCGAATTACGTATCCTGGCTTTTTATGCGTGGAAGCTACACAATTTGTCTAGGTATCATCACTGCGAGATGGAAATACCTCTGCAATAAAAGCAAAGCACGACGCCGCCACGTACTCTTCAAATCCTCGCTTTAACCAACATCCGCAGATCATCCACCATCAAAAAAACGAGTGTACGCTCCGCGTACGTCTTCCTCCCCATGGGTGATAGACAGTCTGCTTTGAGTTTAAATGGTAGAGTAGATAGGATAGAGACGGCTGGGAGGAAGGAGTATTGCTGTGTTTCAATACAACTGTTACTGCGCTTTTTGTGGATACGTTGGCCCTGGGATTTGGAATAGATACGAGGAAAAGTAGTGGGTACCTTTTATCGTCTAGTCCAACAACGGCGGGTGTTCTTTCCGGTCGCTGAGGTGAGGTGTTGTCATCGCGCGCGGATGATGGCGGAAAGAGTTGGCTCGAGGTATTTAATCGTTAGCGCTGTAATTAGTTGACGTCGGAAAGGAGGGGAGGATGGGCTGGGAGTTGACAGGCTCAGATAGTCTAATGTCTAAAGCAACGGCGCAGCAGGGAGTGCTATCTCGTATCTCTCTTCTTCGATTAATTGAATTTTGGGCAATTAGTACAGCAGTTTTCTACTGTTTATCAATTGAATGTATGGATTGACCTCAGAGTACAGCACTGGCTTTTTCCGCCTCCGCCGTCCTCCCGGGCGGCGGCAAAGACAAGCAACACGCATAGTATCATCAAGCCCTGTCTGCATTTGCACCGCATCCCGCCGCCTTATCGACCGACATGAGACCCTCTGCCGCGCAGAAGCCACCGAGCGATAGCAGGTCGGTTTTGAGCCGCTAACGATGCTTGATGTTGTCTTAATTGGAAATTGAATTATGAGCGCAGGCTGGGCAGGGTGTTGAAATGTAGTTGATAGGATGGAGATGAAGAGGTAGGTCTGTGCTTTATAGTAGGCTATTTCTCTGCGATGCTCGCTCTGAGCGATGAGATGGCGAAATGTCCCCGTCCGTGCTGCGCTGGTGCTCTGCTGCTTTGACGCTCTGATACAGAGGCTAGGTTGGAGCAGGTGGAGAGGGGCTGCTAAGCCCCGTCAGTGGACTCGAGAGATAAGCGGTACATCCACTTCTCCTGCTCGGCTCCGTCGCCGAGGTACCCCCCCACTATCTTGATACTGCATTTGTTCAGATACCTGATACCGATACCGCATGAGTCAAGCTGTATATATCACCTACTCTCCCTCCTCTGTCTCTGTTCTGTTCTGCATCTGCTGCTTCAGCACTTTTTCGCAATGTCGACCTACGACGAGAAAAAGCAATCCCGCGTCTACGTGACGTCAAACGTCGTGGAGGACGACGACGACCTCGAGTTCTCCTCCTCCGCCTCCAACGACGCCAACGTCTTCCACGAAAAACTAGCCGCAAATGTCCGCGCGACCTCGCTCGACTTTGACATCCGCTCGCTGGACGCGCAGCACCGCGACAAAGTGGTCGCGCGGCTCAAGGCGATGAACGGCACGGGCGATACCGGCGACGAGGATCCGTTTGCCGATCGCGCGTCGCATTATCTGTATGATCGGATGCTGGAGACGTCGCTTGAGCGCGCGCTCGAGATCTTGAGGGAGGCGGTGGAGTATCACTACGGCGACGTGAATTTCGAGGATTCGACGTACGAGAAGATCAAGCTGTTGGTCGAAGGACCCGAGGCGTACGGGACAGACTACGAGACGTACGAGCTCGACGCGAGATTGGAGGCGACTGTCATCCACTTCCACTCTCCCTACCCCGAGGTCCGCGCGGTCACGGACCCGTTCGACGATCCTACCATCCCTGTCGAGACGATTCGCGCGTACGTGATTGGCGCGGCGTGGGTCGGCGTGGGTGCGTTCATCAACGAGTTTTTCACGTTTCGCCAGCCCGCGCTGAGTCTGAAATCGACCGTCATCCAACTGCTGCTGTTCCCGACCGGCAAGGCCGCGCAGCTGCTCCCGGACTGGGGGTTTGTCTTCCGCGGGACGCGGTACTCACTCAACCCCGGACCGTGGAATATCAAGGAGCAGATGCTGGCGACGATCATGGTGAACGTGGGATCGCAGGCGTCGAACTGGATGAGCATGGTGGTCGCGCTCCGGCACCCGATTTTTTTCAACTACAAGTGGGTTGGCTTTGGGTTTGCGTGGACGATGAATTTCTCGTGCTTGTTCTTTGGCTACGGGCTCGCGGGTTTGATGCGCAAGCTCGTGATTTTCCCCGTCAAGGCGGTGTTTCCGAACGTGCTGCCGACGCTCGCGCTCAGTCGCGCGCTGGTGGTCAAGGAAACAAAGACCTCTGTCCACGGCTGGACGATCTCGCGGCAAAAGTTTTTCTACATCACCTTTGTCGCGTCGTTTTTCTACTTTTTCGTGCCGAGTTTCTTGTTCAAGGCGCTCAGTGTGTTTAACTGGATGACGTGGATCGCGCCGCAAAACAAGCTGCTGGCGATGGCGACGGGGTCGTATCTCGGGCTGGGCGTGAATCCGGTGCCGACGTTTGATTGGTCGGTGATCAACTACGGCACGCCGCTTGTGTACCCGTTCTTTGCGTTCATCAACAAGTTCATTGGGGTGGTGCTGACGGGACTGGTGATGGTGGTGCTGTACTGGCGGAATCACCGGTGGACGGCGTACATGCCGATGAACGTCAATTCTGTTTATGATTCGTTTGGGAACGAGTACAATCTGTCGCGGATCATGGACTCGAACAATAAGTTTGACGAGAGCCTGTACCGGAGCTATTCGGCGCCGTACATGTCTGCGGGCAATGTGGTGGGTACGGGCGGGCTGTGGGCGGTGTACACGTGCACGTTTGTGTATGTGGTGATTTCAGAGTACAAGCTGCTGTGGGAGACGCTGCAGATGATGTGGACCTCGATCCGGCACCCGCGGCGGAACGCGCTCGACGATTTCAAGGACCCGCACTCGACGCTGATGTCTGCGTACGCGGAGGTGCCGGACTGGTGGTACATTGCGATCTTTGTTGTTGGAGTAGGGACCGGGTTTGCGGCGATCTTTGCGTGGCCGACGACGGTCCCGATCTGGACTGTGATTGCGGTGTTTCTGTTCAACATTGGGATGCTGATGCCGACGCTGGTGGTGCTGTCGCGCACGGGCGCGTCGATGGGGTTTGGTGCGTTCTCGGTCATTTTGGCGGGATACATGGATCCGGGGAACGCGGTGACGAACTGTGTTGTGCGGATGTGGGGATACAATATCGACGACCAGGCCGAGAGTTTTATCGGGGACCAGAAGATTGCGCATTACGCGCGGATTCCGCAGCGGGCGACGTTCCGCGCGCAGTGTCTGGCGACGCTGATTCAGTGTTTCTGCTCGGTGGGCGCGGTGGAGGCGCTGTTTAGTTCGGTCACGGACTTTTGCAGCACGACGCAGAAGGACAAGTTTGTGTGTGCGTTTGCGCGGACGGTGTACTCAGACGCGATCATGTTTGGGATTATCAATCCGAAGCGGGTGCTGGGAGATGTGTATCCCGCGCTGAAGAACGCGTTCTGGATCGGGGCGGTGGTCGCGGTGCCGTTTGGATTGTTGAGGTTGAAGTACAAGAATCGGTGGAAGTGGTTTGATTTGCCGCTGATTGGATACGGCACGATCTTCTGGGGTTCGACGTACAATCTGGTGTACTACATCCCGGGGTTGTACTTCTCGTGGTTCTTCATGTACTACGTGCGCCGACGGTACGTGGCGTGGTGGACAAAGTACAACTACATTCTGACGTCGGGGCTGTCGGCGGGGATTGCGTTTGGCGGGGTGATTATCTTTGCGGCGCTGCAGTATCCGCAGGTGAAGCTGCCGTGGTGGGGGAATACTGTGTATGCGGCGGGCGTGGATTATGCGCGGACGTCGGCGCTGAAGGAGATTCCGCCGGAGGGGTTTGGATTGGCTGTAGGGGAGTTCAGTTAGAGTTGCTGTGGTGGTGGTGGTGGTAGTGTAGTGATGGATAGTTGATATAGTAATATTACTGTAGACGGCAGTCGTGACATAATGAAGTTGTATGGATTACTAGATGTTCAAGCCTATAATTACAATGGATCCAAGCAATAGACTGAATACACCGTACTCAAAAGGCTAGATGCAGAGCATGGGTATTGCCTCGTGATCGCTGCAGCAGTATTGCGCAGGAAGAGCCAGCTCGAAGTGAGAGTATGGAAGACGCAGACTGAGCGAGGCGGCGAGGCGTGAGAGAGAGAAGAGAGAAGAAGGTTAGACTACGGGAGATTAGTTAAGTATTCTGTATTGTTTGTTGATTGCCGTATCTGCATGCACATCTGCACTGCACATCTGCACTGCACAGTCCAATGGGGTCTGCTCAATAGAGACGATGCAGAGGGCAGAAGAGAGCAGAAGCAGAAAAGCAGTCACGGGGCGGACTCGGAGCAAACCGGAGCTGAACACACGTGACCGGACTGAGCCGGAGCGGATTACTAAGAACGGCGGCGATTCGCCGGGCTTATCGACATCGATGGCTGGGAGAGAATGCTTTGTTATAACTGTTGTTGTTGTTGTTGTTGTTATATTGTATTGTGTTGTTGTTGTATTGTATTATACTATCATATCGATGTGCTGTCATCTCTACTCTCAACACAACTCTTCTCTTCTCTTCTCTTCTCTGAATGAGTAATCGTCTGCGCTGGCACCGGCCGGCAATGACTCGCGATGACTCTGACTCGTGTTGTTGTGGTCCATAAACACGGGTCCACCACTAACCACCCTCTGTACTCTCGTCCCCACTCCAACCCCTAACAACCGCAGCCAAATGCACTCTGCGCCATTGGCCGGCTACTCGGAATCCACGTGACCGAGGGCAAGGGCTCCAGCCGATATCGCAGATACGACAGAACCCGCCTCGGAACCTGCCTCTGCTCAACGCTGCAAATTTTCTTCCTTTCTCTTCCCCGCTCTTCCAATGCCTGCTTCTCTTGTGGATGTAGATGCAGTGAGTAGTGTAGCAGTAGCATTATCTCTGGCAGTCGTAGTATCATCTGCTCTTGCTACGGCAGCGTAAGCAATCGCTGGAGATGTCCGAAGTCATCTCCCTATTCTGGTCCTGATCGTACGGCTGATCAGTATACAACCCACCCGCCCCCCGATCCCCAACTCTGCGATAATCGGCTCGGTCCGCCCGCTCCGCTGCCTGAGCCTTTTCCTGTTCGACTCTTTTTTTTTTCTCGCCGCCCGCTTTCCTCTCCTCTTCCCCATCTCTTCTCTCTCTTCCTCTTCCTCTTCCCTACCTACTTCCTCTCTTCCCTCCCTCTCCTCCACTCCCAGCCTTGTCTCAGTCTAGCAGCCTGCTATCCAAACCTCCTCGTTTGCCTCCTGCTCTACGTCTGCTGCTGCTACTGTAAGTCCGATACCCTCCTCTCTCTCTCTCTCTCTCTCTCTCTCTCTCTCCACCGCCGAAACTTTTTTCTTCATTTCACTCTCTCTCTTCCTCCTACTCACATCTCCTCACTTCTCAGACAATGGGCCATGGAGTGACCTCCTCTGCGCCTTCCACGGCTGAGACCCCCGTGGATGACTACTCCCCCTCCGCCTTCCCTTATCCCGAGAACGCCGACCCGGCAAACAAGTCCTGGGCCGGCACCCTCCCCACCAAGCAGGGCCTCTACGATCCCGAGTTTGAAAAGGACGCCTGTGGTGTTGGCTTTGTCTGCAACATCAAGGGTGTCACTTCCCACAAGATCGTCTCTGATGGTAATTCCTCATCTTCTCTTGCACTATCTCTCTACTACTCACACTAACTATCCCAGCCAAATCCCTCCTCTGCAACATGACCCATCGTGGTGCCGTCGGTGCCGACGCTCGCGATGGTGACGGTGCCGGCGTCATGTGCTCCATCCCGCACGCCTTCTTCGTCAAGGAGTTTGAGATCCCCTCCGGCCTCAAGCTTCCTCCCCTTGGCCAGTACGCCACCGGTAACCTCTTCTTCAAGTCCGATCCAGAGGTCCTCGCCCAGTCCCGCGCCACCTTCGAGACCATCGCCAACGAGCTCGGCCTCCGTGTCCTCGGCTGGCGTGCCGTCCCGCGCGACTCCTCCATCCTCGGCCCCGCTGCGCTCTCCCGCGAGCCTCTCATCCTCCAGCCCTTCGTCGTCCTCCGCTCCTTCTACGGTGACGAGACGACCGAGCCCCAGGAGGCTGAGCTCGACCTCAAGCGCTTCGAGCGTCAGCTCTACGTCCTCCGCAAGCGCGCCACCCACACCATCGGCCTCCACAACTGGTTCTACATCTGCTCCCTCTCGAACAAGAACATCGTCTACAAGGGCCAGCTCGTCCCCGTCCAGGTCTACAACTACTACCACGATCTCCAGAACGTCGACTTCGAGGCTCACTTCTGCCTCGTCCACTCCCGTTTCTCGACAAACACCTTCCCCTCCTGGGACCGTGCCCAGCCTCTCAGATGGGCCGCCCACAACGGTGAAATCAACACCCTTCGTGGTAACAAGAACTGGATGCGCGCCCGCGAGGGTCTCATGCGCTCCGACCTCTTCGCCGACGAGCTCGAGCAGATGTACCCCATCATCGAAGAAGGTGGCTCCGACTCTGCCGCCTTCGACAACGTCCTCGAGCTCCTCACCATCAACGGCGTGCTCTCCCTCCCCGAGGCCGTCATGCTCATGGTCCCCGAGGCCTGGCAGACTAACCCCGACATGGACCCCAAGAAGGCTGCTTTCTACGAGTGGGCTGCTTGCTTGATGGAGCCCTGGGACGGTCCCGCGCTCTTCACCTTCGCCGACGGCAGATACTGCGGTGCCAACCTCGACCGTAACGGTCTCCGTCCTTGCCGCTTTTACGTCACCGACGACGACCGCATGATCTGCGCGTCCGAAGTCGGCACCATCCCCGTCGAGTCCGAGAAGATCATCCAGAAGGGCCGTCTGCAGCCCGGCCGCATGCTCCTCGTCGACACCGTCGAGGGCCGCATCGTCGACGACAAGGAGCTCAAAAACAAAATCTCCTCGCGCTTCGACTTCAAGGGCTGGATCCAGGCAAACATGCTCACCATTCCCTCCGTCATCGAGAAGGTCACCGCGCAGTCGATCCCGATCGAGCCCGTCATCGACTTCTCGATCAAGGTCCAGAACGACCCCCGTCTGCTCGCAAACGGTTACACATTCGAGCAGGTCTCGCTCTTGCTCGCGCCCATGGCCTCCGACTCCAAGGAAGCCCTTGGTTCAATGGGTAACGACGGCCCGCTTGCCTGCCTCGCCCAGGCGCCCCGTCTCATGTACGACTACTTCCGCCAGCTCTTTGCGCAGGTCACCAACCCTCCCATCGATCCCATCCGCGAGGCCATCGTCATGTCGCTCGACTGCTACGTCGGTCCCCAGGGCAACGTTCTCGAGATGAAGGCGTCGCAGTGCAACAGACTCTACATGCCCTCGCCCATCCTCAACCTCAAGCAGCTCGAGGCCATCAAGAACGTCTCAAAGGCCTACCACAACTGGTCCGTCGGCACCATCGACATCACCTTTGACCGCTCCGAGGGCCTGCTCGGCTACGAGCGCGCCGTCGACCGCATCTGCAAGGAGGCCATCCAGGCCATCGAGGCTGACCACAAGATCATCATGCTCTCCGACCGCAACCTCTCCTCCTCGCGCATCGCCGTCTCGGCCTTGATCGCCTGCGGTGCCGTCCACCACTACCTCGTCAAGTCCAAGCTGCGCTCCACCGTCGCTCTCTTTGTCGAGACCGCCGAGGCGCGCGAGGTCCACCACCTCTGCGTCTTGCTCGGATACGGTGCCGATGCCATCATCCCCTACCTCGCGTTCGAGACCCTGCTGCGCATGAACCACGAGAACTTGCTCCGCAAGCAGCTCTCCGACGACGAGGTCATCGACAACTACATCCACTCGGCCGACAACGGTATCCTCAAGGTCATGTCCAAGATGGGTATCTCGACCCTGCAGTCGTACAAGGGCGCCCAGATCTTCGAGGCCCTCGGTGTCGACAACTCGGTCGTCGACAAGTGCTTCGCCGGCACTGCCACCCGTATCAAGGGTATCACCTTTGAGTACATCGCGCAGGACGCCTTTGCCCTGCACGAGCGCGGATACCCCTCGCGCGAGGTCATCCGCCCCGAGGGTTTGCCCGAGTCGGGTGAGTACCACTACCGTGACGGTGGTGATGCGCACATCAACGACCCCGTCTCGATCGCAAACATCCAGGACGCCGTGCGCACGAAGAACGACAAGTCCTACGAGGCCTACTCGAAGGCCGAGTACGAGCAGATCAAGAACTGCACTCTGCGCGGTATGCTCGACTTTGACTTTGAGTCGTCGACTGCCGTGCCCATCGACCAGGTCGAGCCGTGGACCGAGATCGTGCGGAGGTTCGTGACCGGTGCCATGTCTTATGGTTCGATCTCGATGGAGGCCCACTCTACTCTCGCCCTTGCCATGAACAGACTCGGAGGAAAGTCAAACACTGGTGAGGGTGGTGAGGACGCCGAGCGCAGCCAGCGTCTGCCCAACGGCGACACCATGCGCTCTGCCATCAAGCAGGTCGCTTCCGGCCGCTTCGGTGTCACCTCCTACTACTTGTCGGACGCCGACGAGCTCCAGATCAAGATGGCGCAGGGCGCGAAGCCCGGTGAGGGTGGTGAGTTGCCCGGATACAAGGTCTCCGAGTCGATCGCAAAGACCCGTCACTCTACTCCTGGCGTCGGTTTGATCTCGCCCCCTCCCCATCACGACATTTACTCGATCGAGGACTTGAAGCAGCTCATCTACGATCTCAAGTGCTCGAACCCGCGCGCTCGCGTCTCTGTCAAGCTCGTGTCTGAGGTCGGTGTCGGTATCGTCGCCTCTGGTGTCGCCAAGGCCAAGGCCGACCACGTCTTGATCTCCGGTCACGATGGTGGTACCGGTGCCGCGCGCTGGACCGGTATCAAGTACGCTGGTCTTCCCTGGGAGCTCGGTCTTGCCGAGTCGCACCAGACTCTTGTTCTCAACGACCTCCGTGGACGTGTTATCGTCCAGACCGACGGTCAGCTCCGTACCGGACGCGATATCGCGATCGCGTGCTTGCTCGGAGCCGAGGAGTGGGGTTTCGCTACCACGCCCCTTATCGCCATGGGTTGCATCATGATGCGCAAGTGCCATCTCAACACTTGCCCGGTCGGTATCGCTACCCAGGACCCGCACTTGCGCAAGAAGTTCTTGGGAACGCCCGAGCACGTTATCAACTTCTTCTACTACATCGCCAACGAGCTCCGTGGTATCATGGCCAAGCTTGGCTTCCGCACCATCGACGAGATGGTCGGTCGCGCCGAGAAGCTCAAGGTCCGCGAGGACCTGCGCACGACCAAGACTGCCAACATCGACCTGTCGCCCCTGCTTACGCCCGCGCACGCTCTGCGCCCTGGCGTTGCTACTCGCAATGTTCGCAAGCAGGATCACCATCTCTACGATCGTCTTGACAACAAGCTCATTGACGAGGCCGAGGTCACGCTCGAGAAGGGCTTGCCTTCCAAGGTCGAGTGCGAGATCATCAACACCGACCGCGCGCTCGGCGCCACGCTCTCGTACCGCGTCTCGCGCAAGTTTGGCGAGCAGGGTCTGCCCACCGACACTATCCACGTCAACGTGACTGGTTCGGCCGGTCAGTCGTTTGGTGCTTTCCTCGCGCCCGGAATCACGCTCGACCTCGAGGGTGATGCCAACGATTACGTCGGAAAGTGCTTGTCGGGAGGTCGCTTGGTCATCTACCCGCCCAAGAACTCGGTCTTCAAGCCCGAGGAGAACATCTTGATTGGTAACGTCTGCTTGTACGGTGCCACTCTCGGCCAGTGCTTCTTCCGCGGTGTTGCCGCCGAGCGCTTCGCTGTCCGTAACTCGGGCGCCATCGCCGTCGTCGAGGGTGTCGGCGACCACGGTTGCGAGTACATGACCGGTGGCCGCGTCGTCGTCCTCGGTCCTACCGGACGCAACTTTGCGGCCGGTATGTCGGGCGGTATCGCTTACGTTCTCGACATGGCGCAGGACTTCAAGCCGAAGGTCAACATGGAGCTCGTCGAGCTCTCTGAGGTCAGCGACCCTGCTGAGGTTGCCTTCCTGCGCGGTCTTTTGGAGGATCACAGACACTTTACTGGATCTACCATTGCCGATCGCGTTCTCAAGGACTTTAACCGCATCCTTCCTCGCTTCGTTAAGGTGTGTATTTTTATATTCCTCTTTACAGAACTCAAAACTAACTCGTTTTAGGTTCTGCCGCTTGACTACAAGCTTGTTTTGGAGAAGGAGGCTGCGAAGAAGGCTGCTGCGCTCAAGGCTGTTGACCCGTTGACTGCTCTTGGTCTGTCGCCTTCGGCCTCGCCTGGCCCGTCTGCTCTCGAGGTTGTGATGGAGGATGCTCCTGTTGAGGCCGCTGCCAAGGAGGAGCCCAGGCTGCAGGATCTCGAGGACTCTGTTCTCGATGCCTCTGCTGCGGACCGCAACTCGAAGAAGCTTGTTGCGCTTGACAAGACCAAGGGATTCATGAAGTACAAGCGTCGCTCGGAGAAGTACCGCAACCCCAAGACGCGTACTAAGGACTGGGCCGAGTTGTCGACTCGTTTGACCGAGGAGGAGCTCAAGTTCCAGACCGCGCGCTGCATGGACTGCGGTGTTCCGTTCTGCCAGTCGGATACCGGATGCCCGATCTCCAACATTATTCCCAAGTGGAACGAGCTCGTGTTCAAGGACCAGTGGAAGGATGCGCTCAACCGTCTGTTGATGACCAACAACTTCCCCGAGTTCACCGGCCGCGTGTGCCCTGCTCCTTGCGAGGGTGCCTGTGTCTTGGGCATCAACGAGGACCCTGTTGGAATCAAGTCTGTCGAGGCCGCGATCATCGACCGTGGTTTCGAGATGGGCTGGATCCAGCCCCACGTTGTGCAGCACCGCACCGGCAAGACTGTTGCGATTGTTGGCTCTGGACCTTCCGGTCTTGCTGCTGCCGATCAGCTCAACCGCGCTGGCCACTCGGTCACCGTTTACGAGCGCGCCGACCGTCTTGGTGGTCTGTTGATGTACGGTATTCCCAACATGAAGCTCGACAAGAAGATTGTCAAGCGCCGTACCGATCTGATGGCTGCCGAGGGCGTCAAGTTCGTGACTGGCTGCACTGTCGGCAAGGACGTGACTGTGTCGCAGCTGCGTGAGGAGAACGCTGCTGTCGTGATGACCGTCGGCTCGACGATCCCTCGCGACCTCAACATCCCCAACCGCAACCTGAACAACATCATGTTTGCGATGCAGCTTCTGACCATGAACACCGCCGCCCTGCTCGACGGCAACATGGACCACGTCGCCGAGATGATCCGCGGCAAGAACGTGGTTGTCATTGGTGGTGGTGACACCGGTAACGATTGTATCGGAACCTCTGTCCGCCACGGCGCAAAGTCGGTCGTCAACTTTGAGTTGCTTCCGCAGCCGCCTGCGACGCGCGCGAGCGACAACCCGTGGCCGCAGTGGCCGCGTATCTTCCGTGTTGACTACGGTCACTCGGAGGTTACTGCTCACTACGGCAAGGATCCTCGTGAGTACTGCATCATGTCGAAGGAGTTCGTCTCTGACGGTGAAGGCAATGTCAAGGTATGTTTTCTCTTTTTTTTTTCTCTCTACTGTACAGTTACTAATGAGTTTATTACAGGGCATCAACACTGTTCGTGTTGAGTGGAAGCGCACCGAGTCTGGTGGCTGGCAGATGGCACAGGTCCCCGGCTCCGAGCAATTCTTCGCCGCCGACCTCGTCTTGCTGTCGATGGGTTTCGTCGGCCCCGAGGCGCAGAACCTCGAGGTCAAGCGTGACGGCCGTGGTACGATCGAGACCAAGAAGGACGCGAGCTCGATCTACGAGATCGACGACGGCTTGTTCGCTGCCGGTGACTGCCGTCGCGGCCAGTCGCTTATCGTCTGGGGTATCCAGGAAGGTCGCCAGTGCGCTCGCGCAGTCGATCAGTACCTCATGCACTCGACCAGATTGCCTGCGAACGGCTCAATCGAGAAGCGCGATTACCTGCTGCTCGACAGTCTTCAGGAGAAGCCTAACGGAAAGCCTGTTGAGGTTGCCGTCTAATCCTTCCTCTCTTATCTTTTTTTTTTCTTTTTTGTTGTTTTGGTAAACAAAGCGTTTGGTGGATATCAAAAAGTTGTCCCATGATGAGTTTTCTTTCTTCTTTTCTTATATTCTAATCTCATATAACCCAGAAAAAAAGACCTTTACAAAAAAAGAGAAAAAGGATGTTTCTTCTTTCCTTTTGTCAAAAATTGATGCGTACTATGAATATTTCTCTAATTTCTATTTTTTATCATTGTGTTTTTTGTTGTTGTTTTCATTACATATAATTTAGTTTAGTTTTGTTCTGTATAGTCTTTTGCTTTGTTGCTTTGTTTTTTTGTGCTTTTGAATGAAAAATGTTATATAAATCAATAGTTGTATGTAGAGAAGAGTAAGATAAGTAGGGAGGAAGGAGGGTTGGGAGTTAGCGGCGCGTGGAGGTGAACGTGAGAAACAATGAAGGCCTTAACGTTTTTTAATAGATAGATAAAGCAGCAACGATAGACGCAGGTTCTTTCTTTCTTTCTTTGCGGTATTGTATATTATAATCTTTTTGGTTCAGAGATTTGTACACTAGAAAAGAGAATGGTCACCAGAAACCAAGACGAGGAAAAGTTCATGCACAAGGTACGTCCCACTTCCTCACCACCTCACCAACCCCCCCCTCCCTCCGCTGCATTACGATGGATAACTAACGACTGTGATGTGGAAAATGTAGCTTGCGATAGTGTCTGGCGCGTCGCAGGGCTTGGGACTTGCGCTTGCGAAAGCGTTGGCGGCGAGGGGCGCGGATGTGGTGCTTGTTGCGCGACGGGAGAAGTTGTTGGTTGAGGCGGTGGAGGAGGTTGAGGTGAGTTTTCACTCCGAGATGATGACGAAGAAGAAGAAGAAGAAGAAGAAGAAGAAGAAGAAGAAGAAGAAGAAGAAGAAGAAGAAGAAGAAGAAGATGATGATGATATAGAGACGGGCTAACGCTACTGATAGAGATACAAGCTAATGGACGGTCAAATCATCAAATACCTAGTCGCAGACCTGACCTCAGCCCCCGAAGCCGAAGGCGTCGTCTCTCTCTGCGGCCGCCCATCACCGGACTTTGTCTTCTGCTGCGCCGGCGGCTGTACCGCAAAACTTCTCCTCGACACCACCTCTTCCGAACTCGGCTCGAGCGTGGCGATAAACTACAACACAGCGCTCTACCTCGCGCACGCGTCCATGCGCGCAATGGCAGCCACAGGCACGACACAGCACACGCGCTCCATCGTCTTTTTCTCCTCCGTCACGCATTTCTACCCATTCATAGGCTACGGCTCCTACGCGCCCCTCAAGTCCGCGCTCCGCACCCTCGCCGACGTAATGCGCCAGGAACTCCTTCCCTATAACGTCTCCGTGCCCGTCGTTTTCGCGGGCAATTTCCTCTCCGAAGGGTATGAGCAGGAAAACCTGACAAAGCCGGAAATCACCCGCAAGATCGAGGGTCCAAGCGAAGCCATCCCCGCCGATCTCTGCGCGGAGAAAGTCATTCGCGCGATGGTGCGCGGTCAGGAGATGATCACCACCGACACGATCGGCTGGTTCTTATCAGGCTTAGTCCTCGGTGCGTCGCCGCGATCGAATTACCTTCTCACGACTTTATTCGGCGTTCTTTTCGCGGTCTTTTCGCCCGTGTTTGAGTGGGTTGTTGAACGGGATATTAAAGCGTTCTTCAGGACGCGGGTCGATAGGTCAACCGCGGTGCTCACGCAGGCGGCGACGACGGAGTCGGCGGGGAGTCAGCGGTCAAATGAGAGTAAGGAGAGCACTTTGAGTTGATAATGTGTAATATTATCTTGTATACTATTATCGTCTACCTATCGTACACCCATAAAACAGCACTATAAAACCCTTTATAACCCTTTCATTCTTCATTCTTTATTCTTCATTACCATACGCCCTCAAAGACCCTTAAGCTTTATCCTGATCTTCCCCGGCGCCTTCGGCTTCACCGCTTCAGCACTCTCTTCTTGACTTATCGCGACAGGCGGTTCTGCGTTTCCGTTACTCGCCAGCGGCGTTTCTGCAGGTGCAGGTGCAGGTGCAGGTGCAGGTGCTGCTGTTGTTGTAGCCGTTGACGTCTGTAGGTCGGCCGTGACGGTAGCTGTATCTGTAGCTGTAGGCGGAGCAGCAACACCAGCAGCAGTCGCCGCAACAGCTTTGATCTTCTGCACAGGCTTCGGCCGTGGCTTCTCAACCCGATACAATTTAACCTTCCCCTTACCAAGATTCTTCGCGACCACCTGCTTCCGGTCCGGAATCTTAAGCGTGACAAGCTTCACCGGCCGCGTCTCATACAGCACCGCGCAAATATCAATCACCATCCTTTTCGCCAGCACGCCCGACTCCGCCGCCGACAACAAGCCCAGCAATCCCCGCTGCAGCATCTCGTTCTCGGAAAACTGCTCCCGCGCAATATCAACGCACCCCGCAATATTCGACCGCCGAAACTCCTCCTGCCGCTCAGCGGCAACCTCACCCCCTGTCTCCTCGACAATCATAAAACTGCCCAGCGCGGCCGCGGCGCTGTCCTTGTCGGCGCCGGACTTGCGCATGCTGATTTTCCCGATCGATTCGCCGATGAGCTTCAGCAGCTCGTAGCGCACGAAGGCCGACGGATCGTGTCGCGCGGTCGCAAACACGTAGCGCAGCACGTTGCGGTGCTCGGGCTTGCGGTAGATGTCTGGGATCGACAGCAACGCTGAGAACGCAGAAACCCGTAGTCTCTCTGACCGATCTGGTTCTGTGAGCGGGATCACTTCTGCTGGTGAGAGATCAATTGTTCCGACTCCTGCAAGCAGCTCCTTGCCCTATAAATACAGCGTCAGCTTATATTCTCCCACGAGCAGAGAATAAGAAAAAGAAAGACAGACCTCAATAGCGGCGATCGAGATGGAATTCTGATAACTCGGCATCCACCCATCCATATTCACACACCGATCAATCTCCGCCATCGCCTTCTCCACAAACCTCTTCTCCGGCGACTTATTCGACACCGGTTCGCCAAAATCAAACGAAAACTCAAAATTGTACTCCGGCTCGCCCTTGCCCGGCTCCGCGATCGAATTGCAGATCGCGCGGATGATGCACCCGACGTAGAAGCAGTCCGAGTACATGTTGTTTGAGTTCTCGTTATACCGCAGCAGATCGAGCAGGAACTCCTTGACCTGCAGCGACGTTTTGCCGCGGTCGTCTTTTACGAGCGCGAGGGCGGTCGGGATCGCTTTCTGCAGCGAGTACGAGCCAAAGTCAGAGAAATCGTTGGCCTGCGGGATCAGCGAGTCTGGGAAGCAGAAAATGGTTTGAAAGGCTTTGAGTAGATGGTACCGGCCGATGAAGTCCAAGTCCGGGGTCGCGTACCGCGCAAGCGTCAGCGCGGCTTCCACCCGAATACCATAGTAGTATCGACGGTCCATGAGCGTGCGCGCGAGGATGGTCGAGTATATCGGCGCGGGCTTTGCGTCGGCAAAGAACTTTATGCATTCGTACTGCGCGACGACGTCGCGGTCTTGCTGCAACTGCGAGGCGTACATGTAGTCTGGCTGGTTGATGTAAATCATGCAGATCCACTCAAAGTCCGAGTCCACCCGCATCCATTCAAAGGCCTCGTTCGTCATCTGGTCTTCCTGGTCCGCGGTCCAGTCCGTGAGTCGCCACTCGCTCATCTCGTCGTCGGTCGACAGCACGTCTCCGAGAGAATGCAGCAAGACTCCGTCGTATTCACCTTCGTCCATATGATCCCCCGCCGCCGCCGCAGCAGCAGCAGACGCTACCGCGGTCGCAGACGCAGCGGCCGCGCCGCCTCCTTTCTGCCGCAGGTTTCGCTTCAGCCGTTTATACTTTGTGTTGTACTGAATGTCGATCTTTATAAACGAGTCCTTGATGTGCACGATATGCTCATACGGCGTTCCATCAGCTTCATGGATCCTGATCGTCATCGGGCCCGTGAACGCCGACCGGACGGGGTACTTTTTCGCCTCAGACTTGCCCGCCAGATGACGTTTGGCGTCCTTGACAAACTCGGTCTCATTGAGAGACGATACGTCAGACATCTCGGCACTCTGCACCTGTCGGATACCCATCTCGATAAACATCTTCTTTTTGTTGAATCGCTGCGTGATGCGGAAAATCGGATACCCGCTGCCATACACCCATTCCTGGAAAAACGTGTCTACTTTTGCGTGACTGACTTTCTCGCACAATCGCTGGAAGTGAGACGTGCTCAAACTAGTCAGCTCGCCCATCATGGCCTGTCGAAACAGTTTCGGAATAACCCGCGTGAGCCCAAACGACACGCCGCTCTTGGTCAGCCGGCGATCGAGGATGTGGAGAACGACTGGAGCTTTGAGTTCGATAAACTTGAGAGTCGCGCGATCGATTGGGTATTCCAGGTCCGGGTCCCCGATCGGAGGACGGCCGATGTCGAGCTCGCAGATCTTTTCCGCGTCCTTTCGTAGTCGAAACCGGTGCTCGTTGTTGCCCATCAGTTTCTTGAGAAACATTCCCGTGATGTAGCGGCAGATTCCGATCGTCACCCATATATTTGACCAATTCTTCGGCACGATGTTCACGCCCGACCACTGCGCTGCTAGTTGGGTGGTCAGATACTTTGTCACCGAGAACAGAGGATCGATCACGTCGACCGGGAACAGATGCCGCTCGCTCACGATCGAGAGACCGGCTAGGGTCTCCATATCGTCGAGGGCGGTTTCCACAAAACACAGCGAGAACGAGCCGAATGGGTAGGAGGTGTACTCGCGGATAAAGTACTCCATCGCCTTGTTCATAAACATGCAGGTGTTGATGACGTCGTCCTGTTTTCCGGGTAGCGAGTAAGCCAGCACGTCGACCGACGACGACGACGCCGAGTGATGCGCTTCTTCATCGTCGGACTCTTTAAGCGCAGATAAATTAGTCTGGATAAACGGTCCAACAGCAAAGCCAACGTGTTGCGCGGCAACCGGCGTAGGCAGATCAAAGGTCACAGTCTTGCGCGTGACATCGGTCGAGTGCGTGACCTCGTGGGTCACGTCGCCGATGCACACGACCGCGATCTCGCGCTCGAGATCTTCTTCTTCTTTCTCTTTGCTGGTGGTGGGCGCGTAGTCGTTCGTGGCGGCGGAGCGGATGTCGCCGATGGTCTTTGGTACTGTGATTACGAATTGCCATGAACAGCGCTCCCATAGCCCGTCGACGCAGGGCAGCCAGCTGGAGGTCGAGATTCCGAACGGATTCGAGCAGGTGTATACATGTTCGTAAGACTAGATTTAGCTCTAGTTAGCAATGCAGTCTCTCTATAATACACACGCAACATACATTCGTCGGACTCTTCTTGACAAAGTTGACGCCCATCACCGGATTCTCAAGCTTAAAGTCGATCCGCAGATTTATCGGCAGATACGGACTATCGATATCATTCCTGGACGAGAGCACGTCCGGCGACGCGAACCTCGACGCGGTCGGCGAAATCCCGCGACCGATGATGACGGGCGGGATGAACGAGTCCGTGGGCTGGATCTTGAAGTACCGCGGAAGGTGCACGACGAGCTCGCCGCTCAAACGGTCGGACGTGAGCGGCGAGAGCTTGTCTTTGTAGGCGTCGTACTGATGGACGGTGCGGGCGCTCCTGGTGAAGCGCGGGGAGGAGGTCGCTTGCCAAAAGTCTTCGTAGTCCCATAGTGCGGGTTTGTTGTTGATGTATGCGGCCGTGACCTCTGCAAAGAGCGAAGAGAGCGTTAACAGCAGAACTTGTAAATTATTATAAACAAATAGAACGCACTAGCTTGCCGAAGATCTAAGCGGATGTCACGAATTGTAGGATCGGAAGGCAGGACAGTAATCTCAGTCGATCCCTGGAGAGGAGTGCACCGTCAGCCGTCATTCCGCGCACAAATCCACTCAAAAGAAGATATGAACATACAGTAATTGAATATCCCGCGAGGTCGACATCTAACTGCACCTTTTGATGGGCAGTATACAGCAATGTTAGTTGGTACAAAGAGAGCAGAGGTCAAGCACGAGGGAAGACATATATGTGGAACCCGCGATCGATCTTGGTTGCTTCAAGCATAGCTCAACACAGTCGTCATTGTCTGTCGCAGCTATTACACTTGAGTCCAAAGAAAAAGATGCTCAGCACCGAACAGTCTCTAAACGACTATAAATGAATGAATAGTATACAGACAGTAAACAGTATCCGAGAGATGAGTTCGAAGAGAGTTCTCTCCGCCGGCCGCCGCACACAAAAAAGCACGAAAAGCCTTTGTTTTGGCTCACCACCTCGACCGCGAACCGACTCTGTCTCAGCAATCCAGCCAAATGACGCAGATCCGGATTCAGGATCCTGCTCCACCGCTCTTCTTTTGCCGACAGTCGTAACATTGTCAGCAACACTCCCGATATGGCCCCGGCAGCCGACCTCGCCGCGGACTGCATCCCCCAGCAGCAGCAGCAGCAGCAGCAGCAGCAGCAAGTAGACAACCGGCCGCCTGCAGCGCGAGGAGGTAGTTCGTGTGCTGACGACGGCGAGCAGCTAAAACACAAGAAGCCTCAGCCTGTAGCGCGCCCGGAACGGAGCCATCGCAGCAGACACAGCATAGGCGGAGGCGGCGATCTCGGCGGTGATTTACACACCAAAGACCCCAACGAGAACCTGTTTTGGTTCGAGAACTTGGACGTGTCTGGTAATTACCCGTGGTTATGATTTTCTACGAGCGACTACTGGTGTGCAATTACTGACAGCTTCTTCAGATCCGCTGGACTACTCTGCTCCTCTTCCCCTCGTCGACGTCGCCTTCCCAACCGACCCCCCCACCGAACCCACCACCGCCCCTCCACCCACTCCCGTCCCCCCCAAAACATCTCGTCCGCTCTCCCCAGCCTCTCTCAAATCCCTCCGCGGCTCCTCCACGATCTCAACCCGCATCCGCACCGACCCCCTCTCCGACCCGAAATTCCACGCCGCCCACCGCCGCGGCGAGCGCGAGGAACGGCATTACCAGAACTTTGAACGCGATAAAGTGATGTACGAGAAACTGCGGTTCGAGCGACAACTCGATAGACTGAACGGTCATGACTGGGCAAAGGTCGTCATGTCGATGACGCCGGTTGTGGATGCGCGCGACGAGGGCGAGTTGGGGATCAAGCGGGACAGATTGGTTGCTGAGCTATCGGCCGTGCTGAGGAAGTTTGATCGCTGGAAGGAGCAGGAGAAGAGACGGAAGTCGCTTGCTGATCATAGTCAGGGCGACGATACCGATTTCGAAGCTCGGAGACAGCGGTTGGAAGAAAGGAAGGCGATATTCCGCTGCATCGTCGGGCCCGACAAGTCGTCGTCCCGAACATCGACTACTACTGCTACTACTACTCCCACCACCACCACCCATCCCCGAGGCCGTCCCAAGAAAGCCACCCGTCACCCAAAGAAGACTGACCACGACCGCTCATCCCCCCCACCACCGCCCAAACGCGCTCGCGTGAAGAAAGAGCACCCACCAAAACCCCTCTTCAGCAAATACAAATACCACAGTCCCCGCGCCGGCCCTCTCGCGTTCGGCCAACCGATTCCCAGAATGACATACGAACCGTTTGAGATCCCCGCGTCTTGGATCGAGGCGCGACAAAGGCTTGGAAAGAGCGCGTTTGAAGATACCTCTGATGAGCAGGTGAAGACGAGCGATGATGTTGATGATAATGCGCTATGATTTCTTCTTCTATTTCTCTCTAGTTCTTGCATACTTCTACTACCAGCATCTAATCTCACTACATCTACATCTACATATAACCATCTTCTAGATTTATATATAACTTCGATTTTTGCTTTTAAATCTTTATACACATTCCAACCGACCCAAGCCGACCGAGACCCACATGATGAAAAGTTGTAACAAAAACACTCAAAAGCAAAGTAAATAAAATAAAATAATAAAAAGCAGATAACAATCCCATTTCCAATAAAATATAAAGAAAGTAATGTTCTAAAACCTCTCCTATTTTCTTTCACAGAGTTTTGCTTTAGCTTTCCCATTTCCTGATCAAACCAAACGAAAACAAACATAGGTTCTTGATGTTATTCTATTGCAAGAATCCTTTACTATAATCACCTAAAAGAGCACAAAAACACTCTACAAAAACACGAAAAACAATACTGCAACCGGGATAAACAGGAGTAGGAGCCTACATGACAATGTTCTTGGCCAAACTGGCCTTGTACTGCAGAATCGAGCCGTCCCACCGGGTGGTGGTCCTGTTCTGGCAGACGTAGATATCCTTTGCGATCTTGTCCAAGAGTCTGAAATCGTGCGAGACGACGACGACACCGCCCTCGAACGCGTTGATGGCGTCGGCAAGAGAGTCGATGGTCGGGATATCGAGTCCGTTGGTAGGCTCGTCGAGCAACAAGATGTTTGGCTTCTCGATCGCAAGCAGAGCAAACACGACTCGCGAACGCTGTCCCTCGGAAAGAGTGGCCATCGTAGCGGTCTGACCCTCACCAGTAAGACCGAAGCGGCCGAGCTGCTGGCGCCAGTACTGGTAGTCCTGCGAGATCGACGAGTACTTGTCGCGCACAAAGTCGAGCGAGTTCTTGGTCAGGTCGAGCTGGTCGGTCGAGTGCTGCGAGTACACGCCGAGCTTCAAGTGCGTGTGTCGCGAGACGCGGCCGTTCGTGGGCGAGAGCTCGCCGGTCATGATCTTGAGCAGCGTGGACTTGCCGACGCCGTTCGGGCCGACGAGCGCGATACGCGAGTCCATGTCCACACCAAAGTCGAGGTGCTCGTAGAGGTTGTCCTCCGAGTTGCCAGAGTACGAGAACGTGACGTCGTCGAACGAGAGCACGGGAGGAGGAAGCTTCTCGACGTCGGCGAAGCGGAAGGAAAAGACCTTGTCGGGCACGACCTTCTCGATGAATCCGTCGGCCTCCATCTTGTCGAGGATTTTCTGGCGCGACTTGGCCTGACGGACCAAGTTGGCGTAGGTACCAGCCGACGCGATGAACTTCTTGATGTGCGCGATTTCCTCCTGCTGCTTGTTGTAGGCCTTCATCTGGTTGGTCTCCAACTCTGCTCGGGTCTTGACGTACGAGTCGTAGTTTCCTCCGAAGATGGTGAGCTTCTTGAGTCTCATGTCGATCATGTTGGTACAGACACCGTTCAAGAAATCTTGCGAGTGCGAGACAAGCACGAGGATTCGGTCGAACCGCTTGAGGTACTCCTCGAGCCACACACAGGCCTCGAGATCCAAGTGCGCGGTGGGATCGTCGAGCAAGAGCAAGCTAGGCTTGACGAACAACGCCTTGGCGAGCGCAACACGCATACGCCAGCCTCCAGACATGTCCTTGGTCTTCTTCTTGATCGTGATGTTGGTGAATCCAAGACCGCGGAGGATGAGCGACGCGCGCACCTCGAAGGTAGACGGGTCCATGCTCTCGATACGCTCGTAGAGCTCCTCGAGAACCTGCGACTCGGGACCGTCGCGGTCAAGAAGCTCCTCGGCCATGTCCTCGAGACGCTTGAGCTCGGCCTCGGCCTCGCGGACGACGTACTCGAGCGCAGAGAATTCGGTGGCAGCGGCGGGCTCGTTCAGGAGGTAGATGTCAATCTGCTCGGGAATGGGGTATTCTCTGGCCGCGATGGCGCGCAAGAAGGTCGACTTTCCGCAACCGTTCTCACCCAAGAGACCGTATCTGCGGCCGTAGTTGAGTTCGAGGGTCGAGTCCTGGATAAGGACCTTTCCGTGATACAAGAGCGAGCAGGATGTGATCTAGCTCAGAGTTAGAAGAGGGCTATAGAAACCAACAGGATCAGGATAAGAGGTAGATACCTTGACATCGCGACTTGTAGCCATACTAGCCAAGACACCAGTCGTGACTCTGTCGGACAGTCCATGCTTGTCGACCTGGAGGGTCATCTTTGCGATAGCGTCTGCCGCTGCGTCTGCGTCCGAGACGTCTTTGTTCTTGGGCTTCTTCTCGGCGCGCTTGGCGTCGCGCTTAGCCTTGGATGCTGAGACCATTGCTGCGATGTGTGAAGAAAAAGAGAAGGAGAAGTGGTGAAGATGTTGGGAGGTCGAAGAAGTGGCGATCTCAGGTGGTGAAAGCAGAGAACGAGTACACGAGATAACACGAGTACTGTAAATCCAACTAGTTAAAAACAAACAGTGTGCGGAATATATATATCTAAAACAAGACTATATATCTACAAAGCAGCACACTATTGACAATTGTTGTTTGAAAAGAGCTGTGACTGTGAGGAAGGGGAGAGGAACAAGATAAAATTTGAGGTTTGGCGGCAAAAAAAAAAAAAATTGAAACCCAAAATGGGGGCGAAGGTCTGAGCTCGGAGATTTGTTGCAGATTCAACAATAGCAATTCATACAGTATAGCAGTATAGTAGAATATAGCAGTAGAATAGCAGTAGAATATAATGGCAACTAATAACATAATAGTAGAATATAACATTAGTGGAATAATCCTACGCAACAGCGTATCTTACACCGCGGCCTGCTCATCCGCCTTAGTCATCACTTACTCATCCAATATATTCTCATTCAGGTAATCAGCAAACATATCCAATCCAATCCAACCCATAATCAATAGTACAAATCGCCAATATCCCCCGCCGCCCAACGAAACAACGCCGCGTTCCCGAGTCCCATGCCCATCTCGGTGTTCATCTCTTGCAAGTGCGCGCCGCCTCTGCCGGCTGCTGATCCTGCTCGCGCTCGAGTGCTGCTGGCTTCTGATGGCGCTGGCTCTCCTCCTCCTGTCGACTGCCGCCGTCCAGCAGCAGTAGAGCTCTCGGCAGACGAAGATACAGGCGCCATATCACCCACTCCACCTGAAGCAACCGTATTCCCCAGCATCGGCCACATGCCCATCGCAGAAAGCATAGCGTTCGTGCTCCCATTCGGCGACATCATCAACGAACTCGAGCCCGCACTCCCCTGCGCACCCCACGCTCCTGGAACCGCTCCCACCGCCGGCTGTCCTTGGAATCCCTGCTGCTGCTGCTGCTGCTGCTGCTGATGCGGTAGCTGCTGATGCTGCAGCGGTTGCAGACCACTCTGTGCTTGCTGATGGTGATGTGGCTGCAGGAATTGGTACTGCTGCTGCTGATACATCGGCTGCTGAAACTGCGGCTGCGAAAGGTACCCCATCTGCTTCGGTTCTCCCTGCGTATGCTGCAGCGGCTGCTGCTGCAAAAACTGCTGCCCGCCTACCGCGCCCGCTCCCGCTGCCGCTTTGCTTTGTCCGCCGTTGAACGCCGCCATACCGAGCCCGCCAATACCCAGCCCGGAAAGGCCGTTGATCGGCAGACCTAGGGATAGAGGATCAAACTGCGCGGTGTACGACGATCCTTCTTGAGCGACTGGATCTGCTACCGCACCTGCTTGTTGCTGCGCGCCTTGTTGTAGAATGTCCCATAGCTCGCCTTGTACCGGAACCAGAACTGATTTGTTACTGCTGCTGGTGTTGTTGTTGTTCCTGCCACTGCTACTGCTCGTCACCTCCTGAGCTGGCGCAAGCACTTCAGCAGCACCTTTCCGCTCACCTCCATCCCCTTCCACCGGCGCAGCCGTAGCCGTACCAGAAGCGCTTTCGCCAGAGATCGGCAGTTCTGATGGCATAGATGGCGCTCGCGGAACTTGGATTATAGACGACAGATTCATATCAAACTGCAGAGGCGCCGTCGTCGTTGACGATGCAGTAGTTGTCGCAGTCGTCGTCGCTGGCTCTGTAGCTGTAGCTGTAGCTGTAGCTGTGGCGACGGTGCTCGGCGCGCCAGTCGCAGTCTCAGCAAGGGATGCAGAAAAGCCACTACTCACAGCCGGAAACGACGTAGACTCTGCCAACGAAGCAGAATCATTCCTAGCCACAGCAGCAGTCGCCACATCCGTCGCCTCCTCCTCCGCCCCCTCCGCCATCGACGAAAGCGCTCCCGACCGCGCTTCTGAGACTTTACTATCATGCGTCAAGAACACACCCGACTCAATAGCCGAGTTCAAAAAGGTCTCGAACGAGTCCCGGAAGTGCTTCGAAGCCGGCCAGCGCTCGGCAATGATATACAGCACGGTCGAGCATGCGCGGATGTCGGCCAGCAGCTGCGTGTCGAGAATCGATGGGTCCTTGGTGTAGCAGTAAATCATCGTGATGCCCGCCATGTACGTCGCCTGCAGCGCGATGAACGAGTACGAGACCGTGCGCAGGTACTGGTGTAGTCTCTTGTAGACCTGGCAGATATGCCCCGCCGACCGCAAACACAGCTTGAACTCCTCCGAATCAGACGGGAGCGCGGGCAATTTCGGCACAAACAGCAGCCGCATGTTGCCATAGTAATTCAGCATATAATACTCCTCCGACATATACAACCGCGGGGTAGGCGTCGAGCTTAAAGGCTTGATCATCTCGCACTCGTGGATCTGCTTGCCCCAATCATCCAGCTCGCGGCGCAGGTCGCGGAATTTCTGGTCGTACGGAAGCTCGAGTTTGTCGACGCGGTAGATCTTCTCTTGGATGTGCGATGCTATCCGCTTGATTTGCATGATGAAAATCGAACTCGTCATGCTCGTCACATCTGTTAGTTTACTCCGCGCAATCGCTTCTTCTAGTTCGACCGGGTCGCGAATCGATTCGTCCACGTTCGCAGGTAGCTATCACAGTCAGTTAGCATCTCTCTTCAATCTCAGCTGTCAAACAGTAGATCTCACCTCAACATCAATATCCCGATCAGCAATACAAAACGGCCGTCCGAGCGTAACACTAACACTCCGCTCCAACACATACAAACACCAGAAAATCTTCTTGCGTCTCTGATCGTCCAGCGCCGACGTCGTCGACGACAGTTTTCGATGGAACCCTGCCTCTACGCAGAGACGCATCGTGAACCCAGTCAGGTGCCAGATCCCCGGACCAGACGGTGAGCGCAGCTGGAAGACTACAACCAGCAGAAGCTTTTCAATGACTTCGACCAAGGGTGAGTCTGAGAGTAGGTCGAGGTATCGCATTGCAATGTAGTAGTGCGTCTAAATTCCGTTAGTCTCAGCGTCATAAACAAGTAAAAGCAGGGGACTACGCACCTCCGGCGGAATATATGTGTACGTCCCCGTAAGCTGCAGATACCCGGCCCCAATAGCATACACCATATGCAGCTTAAACCAGATCGACTGAACCTCCTTCTCATCATACTCAATCTGCAGCTGCGCGTTCGACTTTGTCTCCGATCCACCCGCTTTCGTCTCTTGCGTCTCGCCTTCATCCCTTGACGGCCGTCTATCGTTCGCGCTCGCGGACGGCATACCGAGACCCGACCCCGCCCCCATCGCCATCGCCGACTTCTTCACCGCGATCCGCGCGAGCGCGCGCGCAATCTCCTCGCGCCGCGTGTTCCAGTCCAGGATATCGCCGCGGTAGATGAACGGGTACCGATGATGCACGCCGTTGAGATACGCAGTCACGAGCCGGTCGGCCATGTGTGGCGGCGGAATCGTCAGCAGGAAGTTTTGCGCTAACTGGCTTTCTGTCGGAGCAGGGCCTACTGACGACGGCGGGTATTGGAATCGGGAGGATAAGTTGAGCTGGGGAGGTTGTGGTTGTTGCGGGTGTTGGGGGGATTGATGCGGAGGCCGTTGAGAGGGCGGTGGAGGATGCGGGAGCGCTTGAGCTTGAGCTTGTGCTTGAGCCTGAGGCTGTTCTTCAGGCGCAATGATAGGCGGCAAAGGCAACGTCGGCGTCTCGATCGGCGCGGGCGCGTACCCGTTTGGCGGAAACGACTGGCTCAGCGGAGGCAGCTGCGGCAGGTTCGTCTGCATCGGGATCGTTTTGGGCAAGGCGTTGCCAAAGATAGCGGCCTGGACGAGTTTTGTGAGCGGGAAGCCGGAGGCCGAGCCGAGGTAGTAGTTTGGCGGGTTTGACATTGTCATGCCGATGAGCTCGCGGGAGGCAGGTTGGTCGCCGCCGGAGGAGGAGGTTTTGACAAAGTTGATTGGGGGGAGTTGTTGTTGTTGCTGCTGTTGCTGCTGTTGCTGTTGCATGCCTGGTTGAGAGATGGTGGGGCCCATTGCTGGGGTAGTGTTTGTGGCCGGAGCGGCAGATGAAGCAGATGCAAGGGTCGAAGGCGACGCGGGTTTATTCCCAGACAGACCTTGCAGGATAGGCAGAGTATTCGTCGCCTCTGCCGCGACCGAGGGAAGCCCACTGCTGCTAGCACTGCCGCTGGCACTTCCTCCGCCCGCCGCTTTAGCCTCCTTCAACTCGCCCTCGAGTTTATGCACATAGTCCTCGAGCGAGTGCACGTACGAGGCCGGGTAGGTCTGTTCTTTCGAGACGCACTCCGCGCCTGCCTTGCGGCAGTTTGTGCACTTTGGGAACGCGTTATCGCAGCGCTGCTTGCGGGTCTTGCAGCGGTTGCAGGCCGCGATCGAGCGCAGACGTTTGGCGGAGCGGCCGCCGCCGCTGCTGCCGTCTTGGGCGGCACTGGTGGGACTCGAGGAGCGGTATTCGTGTTTGAGGTGGGAGGAGGTGGAGGGGGGTGTGGGGATGGGGGTGGATTGTAGGGGGGGTTGGTGGTAGTGCTGCTGCTGCTGCTGCTGTTGTTGCTGCATGGGGGTGTTTGGGTTGGTGTTCATTGCTGGTACTGTTGATAGAGAGGACGATTGTAGATCAGGAGTGGTGCATAACAACGCAGGGTCTAGAGAGAGTCAGCAGCCGAAGCAAGGTCGAGCTGCAGTAAAGAAGGCGAATACAAGCTATCTCCAACAGACAACAGATAGCCTGAGCAGAGAGCGATAATCTTATACCTCAGATTCTTCCAAACTCGGGGAGAATATACCAATAACCACAGCAAAAAGGCACTCGTAAACCAGCAGTTGTGGAGACAAACACAGAGCCAGGAAGAGCGATCGCAGAACTGTCTCGGGATGAGCAGAGCGGGACTGCCTGCGGCTCTGGGCTAAGGGAAAAGAGAGAGAGTTTGAGGTTACCTAAGGTTTAGGTAGTGGAGTACCTAAACTGTAAGTGAACTATAAGTAAACTATAACTAAACTATAGCGACCACAGTGAGCGCGAACAGAGGAGATTCCGACATCGGCTGGCTGATTGCGTCTTATCGTCGGGATTGCCGATAGAGATACGCTGATAACTGCTATACGTAGTCAACAACTATCGATACAATGAGCACTCGTCTTCTGGTTGGAATAAATACAGATCTTTGCTCTTGGTAATAGTCAACTTCATCTCGACTGGACTCTGGTAGACTTTGGAGGCGTGCTGGCTGACTAGTCGTCTGGCTGTCTGTCACATTGACTCCTTCCTGGTGCAAAAGAAAAGAGAACAGCCACCGCTTCCTTCTCTTCTCTACTTCTCTTCTCTACTTCTCTACCTACTTCTCTATACCAACACACATCAAGACCACCATCACTGTTCTCAATCCAGAATCCACCTTCTCAGAGTACTCACCATCTCAGAGCAAGTAATCACCAGACTCAAAACCAACCCACAGTGGCTCCACTTATCGCACTTTATCGTATCTCAGCCAGGGCCACCTTGCCCAGCCCTCGCCGGCACTTTCATCCCGACACCGCCTCTGCGCAGCCACCACCGACTTTTTTCATGAACCAGCTTGATTCCATCTTCTTATAACTATACTCTCATGTTCTTATTATACATACACTTGTAAACCGAACAAACAAAAACAAAACAAAACAAAACAAACAATACAGTACTCCAAAACACATACTCTCTATTTTAACCCTAGCACCCCACCATCCTCTCCCCCCGCCCTACTCGCAAGCTGACTCTTCCTCCGCCTCGCAAACTGCAGCAGGAAATCCTTATGCGAACTCGTAAACCCTTCCTCTTCCTCCCCGTCGCTCTCGCTGTCCAGCTCGACTTCGCCTTGTTTCTGCTTGGCGGACGCGAGTAGCGATTTGAATATCGGCTGGGATGCTGTGCTCTTTGGACCCTTTCCTTTCTCCTCCTCTTTCTCTCCTTCCACCTCCTCCTCACCCTCCCCATCTCTCACGATAAACCCATCCAACGAATCATTATCATCATCCTCCTCCTCAAAGTCATCCAAATCAGCATCCATCCTCCCCACCGCAGCTCTCCCCACCGCCGCCCGCACCCTCGCGCCCCTCTCTCTCTCCCTCGCCCGCTCCTCCGCCGGATTCGTCAACCGCGCCGCCTCATGCACAACCCGGCTCTCGCTCGACGTCAGCAGCCGCTGAATCTCCGTAAACAGCGCCTCCCTGCTCTTCACCGGCTTCTTGCCGTCGTTCAACGCCCGCTCCACAATCTCCTCCTTCTCCTCCTGGATCTTGATCACCCGCTGCTCGATACTGTTCTTCATCACCAGCCGAAACACATTCACCGGCCGCGTCTGTCCCAGTCTGTGACATCGATCGATCGCCTGCCGCTCCTGCGCAATGTTCCACCATAAATCACACATAATCACCTGCGACGCCATCGTCAGGTTCAACCCGGTAGACGAAACCGCAAGCGAGGCAAGCAGCACCGTGGTCTCTCTGTCGTCCGCCAACTGCTTGATCGCCGCGTCCCGCTCGTCGATCTTCATCGTCCCGTCGATCCGCGAAAACTTGATCCCCGCGTCATCCAGCAGCGGCTCCAAGATATTCAGAAACGACGTCCACTGCGAAAACACAACAGTCTTGATCGGCTCCTCCTGCGGCATCGAGTCATTCTGACTCTTTTGCGTAATCAGAATCTTCATGATCGCATCCAGCTTACTACTGCTCCCCTCCGTGATCTCGACCTCGTCCGCGCCCGTCTCCTCCATCGGCGCAATCAGACTGTCTCTTGCGCTCGTCAGCAGGTGTCGGCAGTACGGACACTTGTGAGACATATGGATCGTCTCTTCGATGCAGTTCTTGCAGAATATATGCTTGCATAGCGTGATCCGCGGCTCCTGCAGCACCTCAAAGCAAACCGGACACTCCTCGTTCTCATCGATCGCGGCCTGCAGCATCAGCTGCAGCGCCATAATATTATCATGCGTAGGCTCCACCACCTCTTTTTCCTCGATATCCGCGATCCCTCGAAGGCGCTCGCCGCACAGCTGCTGATGATTGCAAATCTGCCGCAGGCGCAGCAGCGCCTCAAACAAATACATCAGTCTCGCCTGCCCTTCACCCCGCGCTGCCTGATGCCACTCCATCATCGCTCCATACGCCTCGGCTTGCATCGCGTCATACACGCGCCGCTCCTCCTTCGACCACTCGATCGTGTGCGTAAACACCGTCAGCGGCGGCAAATTCAACCGCACGAGCGAGTTCATCGACTTTAGCCGCCGCAACGTAAACTCCATCATCAGCGCCTGCAGCCGCGTCTCAGAATCCGATCCCTTGACTTCGAACCCGCGCTTGATTATGCTCTCGAAATTCTGCTTGTCCATCAGGCCCGACACGCGCAAGAACCGCACGAGCGAAAATAAGTCGGTGAGCGAGTTCATGATTGGCGTGCCCGTCAGCGCCCACCGCGAGTACGCGTTCAACCGCATCACGCCCTGCGTCACCAGCGTGTTTGGGTTGCGGATAATATGTGCCTCGTCGAGGATCACGCGGCGCCAGGGTTGGTCGATGAACCGCATGTTTCGAGGAAGTTGGTTGACCGGGCGGATGTTTTCTGGGTCTTCGATCGCCAGCAGCCGCTTGTATTCGCCGCGAATCTGGCCATACGAGCCAATTACCACGTCGTAGTCCTCAAAATTCACAGACCGGCTCTTGCTACTGCCGTAGTACACCAGCACTTTGAGCGGGTTGTCGGGATCGATATGATGCGCGGCCTGGTCAGACCAATTCGAGAGCAAGCCCACCGGCGCCAGAATCAGCGTCGGTTTACCCTTGAACTCTGCCGGCGTCGAGTCAGCCTTGATCAAGCCCGACTTCACCGCCGCCGCGGGATCAGCGCACACGAGCGACAACATCTGGATAGTCTTGCCGAGACCCATATCGTCAGCCAAGATGCCTCCGCTGGCGAGTTTCGGCGCACCAATCTGCTTCGTCATCGAGTTATAAAACGAGCCGTCGGCGCGCGCGTGCCAGAACTGCGTGCTGTGCACGGGGTTCTTGCGCAGATGCGGGTGCTCGTGTTGCAGAAGCCAGCCGAGGCCTTGCAGTTGATAGTCGAGCATTTTCGTGTGTATGCGCTGGGGTTGGTCTGCTTTCGGGAGTTTTTTCAAAGTCTCTTCTGTATGCCCGAACCGGCCATTTCTGGCACCGGCGACGATGTCTCTCATGTCGTAGTTTGTTCGGTTGCTGGTGTATTCGCCGAGTCCTAAGAAAGTCAGTGGGTTTGCTAAGAAAGAAGAGTGAGGTGGGAGACGCACCAGTATTTGCAAGATTGACATTGTTGACAACTACCAGGTCGTCAAGATTTCGGGGCGGACCCATGCCTGTATAACCAGCGTTGCTGAATCTGCCCATGGGCGGCAGAGGCTCTGATTTGAGATTGGGATTAGGTGAGTGAGTATGCTGAGAGTGCTGATGTTGCCGCTGCTGTAACTGTTGCTGCATAAGCTGCTGCTGGATTTGCCATTGCGAAAGGGGCCGATTATACACCGGCGGTCTTGTAGGTCTCGACGCGATCAGCTTGAGGTCGTAATCGTCGTCGTCGTCGTCGTCGTCGTCGGATAGGAGAGAAATGACCTCCGGCGCGCTTTCTTCAATGATGATGACATTTGGCCGTTTGGCGCCAGGTGATTCCGACAGAGGGGACGACGCTGGTCGCTTTGCTTGTGAAGATTGCTGCTGCTGCTGCTGCGCGTAGTCGCTAGATAGCTGACTACTACTCTGCCGCGGCATGCCCCCCGGCATTTTCAAATCCCGGTTCGTCAAACTCGTCAGCATCTGCTTCTGCTGCTGCTGTCTCTGCAGCGCATCGTACTGCTCTCTCCTCGCCGGCGGCGTCGCGGAGGACGAGAGCGAGGATGCGGCGGTCATTTCAGGTGGCGACGGCACGACGCGGGTCTGCGCGAGCGCAAGGAAATCCTGCTGCTGCTGCTGCCAGCGCTCCGGCAGACTGAACCCACTCATTTCTTTCTGTGTATTTTATCAGCAATACCGTCAGCTGCGTGCTCTTCAGATGCAGGTCTTCAATAGGCAAACTGATGTCGCGGCGCAACAAGCCCCAGACGCGTATAATCAGTACGAAACCCCGCTTACTCAGCATCAGCACTCACGTGACGCTTGTTTGGACGGTTAAGCCATTACCTCGCCTCCTGCACGATTGCGCACCCATCCATCACAACACCAGGACGGTCTCCGGGCACAAGTTCAGGCAGAGTAAAACATAAACAAACAGCTACGCGTCAAGACTCTACTCACAGCAGCAACGCACAAATGGACGTCGACTCTGCACTCGCGGCGAACCTGGCCGGGATAGGCGGGCAGGACCCGACGGGGGGCATGCACCACCACCATCACCACCACCACATGAACCTGTCGTCGGCGGTGGCCGCTGCCGTGAACGCGACCTCGGCCGCGAACGTGATCGACCCCAACATCGGGCTCGCGCCGCCCGCGGGCGAGGAAATCGACCCGAAGAAGACGTGCATCTTTTGCCGCCGGACGTTTTCGCACCCGGGCTCGCTCGGTCGCCACCTGGACCTCAAGCGCGGGACGAGGATGCACCCGGCCGAGGCGGTCGACCAGCTGCGCGGGGACGTCAAGCGGCGCGGCGATATAGTCGAGATCAAGGCGCGGCGGGCGAAGCGCGCGAAGGAGTACAACGCGCGCGACGAGGTCAAGGAGCGGGCCAAGATGCGCCGGAAGGAGAAGGAGCGGGCGGGGAGGGCGCGCGAGGAGGCAAAGATCAACTTCCTTGACCGTCTCGGGCTGCCGGCGCTGCCTCCGCACCCGTCGTTCCCGTACATGGTGCTCTACTTTCTCTCGCCGTCGCAGTGGCCGCATGACCCGCCTACGCAGGAGACGTACAACCAGCTGATGCTTATCCTCGACCCGTCGATGCATCTCGAGGACGAGCATTTCATCGACTGGTCGTCGAAGGCGAAGGTTGCGTACGACAACTGGCAGCAGCTGAGCAAGAGCAAGAAGATCGAGGTGTGGAATCGCGAGCAGCGGTCTGCGGCCGAGGCGGCGCTGGGGACGTTGACGCTGTATGATCTTGGGCGGCGCGAGGATTGGTTGATTGATGAGGAGAAGAGGTTGGTTGCGATGGAGGGAATGCAGATGTAGCAGCCGAGAGCAGATTGAGTTGAGTGGATTACGATAAACGTGAGTGATTTTGTGAATTGTAATTTTATTGTTTTGATATTGTTGTTTATTGTTATTTAATCAAATAAATGTGGGTCAATGTGCTATGTGCTGATGTGGGGTGGTAGTGTGATGGAGATGTTCAGTCTGATCCATAATAAGCACACGACATATCTTATGTACAGATATAGGTACACGCAGGATACAAAACACCTTATTCTCCAAACCGACTATATACTACAAAATAATAAAAGACAAAAATAGGGTCTACCACAGCATAGCGAGGAAGAGACCGACAAAAGAAGTGCCGGCAATAGCAACATTGCGCGCAGCACCCGCCGAGCTGGATGCAGAGGCAGCACTAGAAGACGCAGAAGACGCCGACGACGGGCCGGAAGAACCAGAGGCGCTGGTGGTGATAGTAGCAAACGAGGAGGAGGCGGCGCCAGAGACCTGGCTCTCGGCAGCGGACGCGAACGAGGTCGCTCTTGATTCGGCGGCGGAGGCCGCGCTGGTGGCGCCGCTGACGATGGTGGACGCAAGACCGGTGGCCTCGCTCTCGGCGGCGGAGGCGAATGAGGTTGCTCCGCTGACGACGGTGGAGGCGATGCCGGTCGCGTCGCTGACGACGGTGGAGGCAAAGCCGGTGGCCTTTGATTCAGCGGCAGAAGTAGCGGCGGTGGCGCCAGAGACGACGGTGGAGGCGATGCCGGTGGCAGCCGACTCGATGTCGGAGACGATGGAGGTCGCGCCGTTGACGATGGACTCGACGTCGGAGAGGATGTTTTGGGCGGAGGCGAGGGCCGCGAGGGCGAGGATGAGAGAAGCAGAGACGCGCATGATGGTGTTGATAGAGAGAGTAGAGTATAAAAGAAGAAGAAGAGAAGAAGAGAGGAAGAGCAGGAGGAGGTGCTCTTATGCTCGAGGATCCGTGGAATGCGCGTCTTTTTAGGCTCCCGAGCAGAGCCGGCGGAGGTGTACAGCCTCGATGGGCTGAACCGAACCGATCCAAGCCCTGTTTGTGGAACCGGTTCAGGATGTGACGGCAGGTGAGCAGTTGCCGAATGCGGACATGCTTTGTGGTGCTCGGCAGCTTAATTGTAGGTTTGCGGTTATAAATAGGAGAACAACTTTATATCTGAATTCATTCTATATTACTTGGAGCTCATCGCCGGGTCGAGATTACAAAAACATCGAGACGAGGAAGCCAAGGAGCGAGGTGGCGCCGAAGGCAGCGACGGTGGAGGCACCGGCGGAGGAGGAGCTGGCGGCGGCCGAGGAGCTAGGGACGGCGGAGGAGGAGGCCGTGGAGTGCGAGGAGTTGGAGCTCAGGACGGAGGAGGAGAGGGTGGAGGAGTGCGCCGAGTGAGTGGAGGAGGAGACGGCGGAGGAGACGGCGGAGGAAGCAGCAGAGGAAACGGCCGAGGAAACGGCAGAGGCGGAGGAGGAGCCGGAGTCAGAGGCAGAGAAGGCAGCCGCAGCAGACTCGAGCAGGGACTCGACGCCGGTGAGGGTGACGGAGCTGGCGAGGCAGAGGTTTTCGGCGAACTCGACGGTGGCCTGCTGGCCGTCGGAGTCGCAGGCCTCGACCACGCAGGAGGCGATCGAGTTGATGAAGGACTCGTCAGAGCAGATGCAGGCAGCGTCGAGGCCGCAGCTGGGGGAGTTGGGGTGTTAGTGGGGAGGTCAGGTCATAATACTATGGGTCAAAGCGCCAATGCGGCTGGAGACATACCCAGTGTCGGTGATTGCGGTGGTAGCGCAGGACTGGGGAGTTAGTATGAGAGAGAAGAGAGAGAAGGTGATGATGGGGATAGAGAAGAGGAAGAAGAGGATAAGGGAGGGAAGATAAGGAGGGATACCTGAGCGCAAGCGGGGAGACCGGAGAGGTCCTGGGCGGAGACGAGGGCGGCGATGGCGGCGACGGCGACGAGGGAGTAGCGCATGGTGAGAGAAGAGAGAAGAGAGAAGAGAGAAGAGAGAATAGAGGAAGAAGAGGTATAAGAAGAAGAAGAAGATGATGATGATGATGAGAGGAAGAAGAGGAAGAGGAGGAGAGGAGGCTTCTTATAGCCAGGTCGAGCTGCGTTATCTCTGTTCTTAGCCGCATTTCTTCTCAGTCGCTTCTTTGTTTTTCTTCCTTTCTCGGCTCCGGATCCGCCGCTCACAGCCGCTCCGGTGCCGGCTCTGTTTACTGTCTGCTGATTTATATATCGCTGATATCGCTGATATCACTGATATCACTGCTATCACGATACAGACATCGACATCAACAACAATGCCCTTCGGCATCATCGAGCCCCCCTCAGACTCCCCTGTGCCCGGTACCGTCCATCTCTACGACGGCCTCTCCTTCAACTCAAACCTCGAACTCGGCTCTGCTCCCATCTCCCAGTCCAGACTCAAGCGCGATGGAGACATCATCCTCGTCCCTCAGCCATCAGACTCCATCAATGATCCTCTCAATTGGTCTACCAGGAAGAAGGGTATCTCTCTTCTATACTCTACTCTCCGTCTACTCATGCTAACCTCCCAGATCTCGTCCTCACCGTCCTATGCCTCGCCTCTGTATGTCCTCATTCACTCCCCTTCCTCATCATTCATCTTCTGCTCTTCTAACCGTTTCCAGATCATGAGCGCGGTCGTCTCCCCCCTCATCGCCTCCGTCTCTACCGCCCTCGTCGTCTACTTCCGCAAAGGCTTCGGCGCAATCGCCCTCCTCACCGGCTGGTACCTCTTCTCCGGCGCCATCGTCTCCCTCTTCATCACCGCCATCGCCGTCAAATACGGCAAACGCTTCCCCTACCTCTTGGCCTGCGTCATCCTCGTCGCCTCCTCCGCCTGGGCTGGCGCCGCCACCTCCTACAAATCCTTCCTCTGGTCCCGCATCCTCCAAGGCGCCTCCCTCGCCCCCTTTGAAGTCCTCGTCAACACCTCCATCGGCGACCTCTACTTTGTCCATCAGCGCGGCTACCGTCTCGCCATCGCAAACCTCTGCCTCTTTGGCTCTACCTTCCTCGCCCCTATCATTGCAGGTCACATTGCAGACAAAATGGGCTGGCACTGGCTGTTCTGGTTTGTCCTCATATTCTCCTCCATCACCCTCATCCTCGTCTTCTTCTTCCTCCCCGAACACGTCTACAAACGCGACCATGTCTTTGACACCGACATCGAAGGCGAGCGCGACCTCATCGACCGCGTCGCCGCCACAACCACTCCTCCCCCCGATCCCAATGACGAAGAGAAACCTGAAGGTGTAACCGACTCCACAGAACACCCAGAAACATACCTCCACTCCCTCCGTCTCTTCTCCGGCTCGAAAACCGACCGCCCGCTCTGGAAAATCTTCCTCAGACCCTTCGTCCTCATCTTCCACCCCGGCGTCATCTTCGCCGCCCTCACCCAAGCCCCGCTCATCGCCTGGACCGTCACCATCGGCGTCGTCCTCGCCGCCATCTTCCTCGGCCCCCCGCTCTGGTACACCGAAGTCAACGTGGGCAACATGTACACCGGCGCCCTCATCGGCTCTCTAATCGGCTTCGTCATCGCCGGCGCGCTCTCGGATTACCTCGCCAAACTGCTCTCGCGCCGCAACAACAACGTCTACGAGCCCGAATTCCGCGTGCTGCTCGTCATCCCGCAATTTGTCTGCGGCGTCGTCGGCATCTGGGGCTTTGGCGCGACCGCAAACAACCTCTACAAATACTCAAAGTACCTCCCGCCCTTCTTCTTCGGCGTCGAGACATGCGGCATGATTATTGGCGCCGTCGCCTCCGGCGCCTACATCACCGACGCGCACCGCGACATCCAGGTCGAAGCCTTCGTCGTGCTAGTGCTGGTCAAGAACTTTGTCAGTTTTGCGCTGACGGATCGCGCGTACGAGTGGCTTGTGAAAGCGGGCGTGATGCACTGCTTCGTGGTCGCGGGCTCGATCCAGTGCGCGGTATCGGTGCTTACGATTTTGTATTATTTTGTGGGAAAGTATTGTCGGTATTGGGCGCATCGGCATAGTTTGCTGAGGGCGCTTAAGCTGGATTGATGCCTTAAACTGGATTGATTTGCTGTTGTTTGTTGTTTGTATATCACGCTTTGAATACACATGTACATTTGAGTTTATTCGTACAGTAGATTGTTTTTGAGATGCCATATAAGGAGGTCATAGAGGAGATCATGAGGAACTCATAGAGAGATCATATTTGCAAGGTTCCATGATAGGCATCAAGCACACCAGATAACGGTGATTCAGCAAGGTGATGATCGTGTCAGGCGTGCATGTCCATGCAGCTAAACCCATCCCTTACTTCCCCTACTCTCCTCTCTTTTAAGCCTCTTTTCATTTCTCAACAGCCAAGATGCTTTTTCCAAGAAGGCTGATAAAGACAGGTGGCAGGACTGGTTAGTGTTTGTTGTTAGATTTCCGTTTTGGGAAGGATGTTTTAACAACTGTGCTAAGTATACGGTTATAGCAATCTGGAGTTGAAGTCGCTGTATTCAGACTGGCTGTAATCTGCCAGCTCATCTTTTACCATAATAATAACAGAAGAAAGAATAAAACAATAGAGCTTGTGTCTAAATACAATAACATGTTAGTAAGTAATTACATAACCCAAATAAGATTCAGCGGAAGGAAGGAGGAAGCAGCAGCCTCACAGCCTCGTCGTCGCTTCCCTTTCTCGCTCCTTCCTTTCGCAACCTGCGCTCACCTATTCCTGCTCTCATCCTCCTGCGCATCCACCTGCAATTCCACCATCCTTCTTCTTCTTTTCTTGCCATTAGAAAATGTCTACCGAGGTGAGTTTGTCTGTTTGATGTTGAGTGATGGAGAGTAGGTCGTCGGAGTCCGTCGCGTGTTGTTGCAAGTGAGGAGTTGGCGAGTAATGAATGGGTCGCAATCATCGCCGCGTTCTGTTTATCTGCCATCAGTCTTTGATATCGCTGTTTGTTTGTTTGTATTTTCCGTCTTCTTTGAGGTTGAGCAGTTGCAGTAACGCAAGTGCTTGAGCTCCTGCACACCGACACTGTCTGCACTCGTCAACAGTGCTTTGTTGATCCATCTCTGTCTACGCCCTTCCCCTTCATCAACCACCCCGCATCCCTACAACCCATCATCTTCAGCTTGCAACTATCCTCATCTCTCAATTCCTCGTCGACATCCACCTCTTCTCCATCCACACCCCCCACGCCGCCGAAAATACGCGCATCTCCGCGCCTTTCCGTCACCACCTCCTCCACTACTCCACAACTCCTCCGCCTCTCTCAGAATCCAGAACCTCCTCGATCACATCCGAAAACCGCGATTTTCAAACCCAAAAGATGAGATTCGTGCTTCAATCGGATTGGATTCCATTGTTTCCGCTTTCGCACAATCCTCGCGCGTCCGTGTCCGCTACTCAGCCTCTCTCGTTGCTCCCACTCACCCCCCTCCCCTTTTTTCCGCCTTTTTCTCATCCGCGTGGTTATTTTTGGCACGTGCATCTTATCTTCAATCCGGATGATTTTTGACTCAACTGCTGTTTTTTTACCTTTCTGTGTTTTGTGTTGTGTTTTGTGTTTGTTTATTGGCGATCAACAAACAATACCTCGCAAAGCCTAATGCGTTTTAAAAACCTAAACTCACTACTGACCGAGACTCACTACTGATTGACACCGCGACGGACGATGATACTGACTATGAGACCGACTGATGCTAATTGTTTTATAGAGAGAGACCAAGACTTTCCTTGCTCGACTTTGCGAGCAGGCTGAGCGTTATGATGGTATGTACCTCCTTGACGACTGCACAATGACACACGCTGACGAGTCATGCAGAGATGGTTTCCTACATGAAGGACGTCGCCAAGCTCGGCTCCGAATTGAGCGTTGACGAGCGCAACCTTCTCTCTGTCGCATACAAGAACGTAATCGGCACGCGCCGGGCGAGCTGGCGAATCATCTCCTCGATCGAGCAGAAGGAGGAGTCCAAGGGCTCCGAGCACCACGTTGCCCAGATCCGGGAGTACCGCGCCAAGATCGAGAACGAGCTCGAGAAAGTTTGCGACGATGTTTTGTCGGTGCTGACTGAGTACCTCATCCCCCAGGCCGAGTCAGGGGAGTCCAAGGTCTTCTACTACAAGATGTGCGTATTCTCTTTTTTTTTTTTTTCTAATTTAAAAGCTTTTATAAGCAAGGGACAAAGACTAACTGTTACACAGGAAGGGCGACTACCACCGCTACCTCGCCGAGTTTGCCTCGGGCGACAAGCGGAAAGATGCGTCGTCTGCGGCCCACGACGCGTACAAGACCGCGACCGACATTGCGCTAACGGAGCTAACTCCCACGCACCCGATCCGTCTCGGTCTCGCGCTCAACTTCTCTGTGTTTTACTACGAGATCCTCAACTCGCCCGATCGCGCGTGCCACCTCGCGAAGCAGGCGTTCGACGACGCGATCGCGGAGCTCGACTCGCTTTCGGAAGAGAGCTACAGAGACTCGACGCTCATCATGCAGCTCCTGCGCGATAACCTTACCCTCTGGACCAGCGATCTCGAGGAAGCTACTGCTGCTGCTGCTGCTGCGCCGGCTGAGAAGGAGGAGGCAGCGGAGGTGAAGAAGGATGCGGATGGCGATGCGGAGATTAAGGATTAGATGAGGATGTTATATCGATAAAACTGAAAAAAAAAAGAGACAGACTTGTGTTTGTATTGTCTGATGTGCTAAGCTAAATCGATCCTGTTTTTTATACACCCCTTACTTTGTCTTTGTCCTTGTTCTATTTATATATACGTATTATATAACTTTTTCACTTATGTTCTACGTGTAGAATTGTAGTAGTAGTATGATAACATGAAACGATGAAAGAGAGGAATCCGTCTATAATACAAAAACAGAAAGGAGATGGAGTAGTTGATCTTGTTTTTTATACCGCTTACTTTGTATAGTTATGTTCTATTTTATATACGTATCATATAACTTTCCCTTTTACGTGTAGAATTGTAGCAGTAGATGCACTAAAATCATGTAGGGTCTATTGAGATACAACGCAGAGCTCTGCTTTGTTGACAAGAAAAAGAAAAAGAGAGGAAACCGTTCATTATACAAAAAAAAGAAAGGAGATAGAGTAGTCAGTCTTGTTTTTCATACCACTTACTTTGTCTTTGTTCTGTTTATGTATATGTATTATATAACTTCAAGTTTATCTTCTACGTGTAGAATAGTAGTAGTAGAGTAGTAGAGCACAGTATGCACTGAAAATGTAAGGTCTATTGAGATAAAAAGTAGAGCTTTCAAACATCAATAATAAAGAAAGAGGAAACCGTCCAATTATACAAAAACAGAAAGGAGATAAAGCAGCGAGTCTCGATAGATAAATATCACATTTTCAAAAAAGGGAAAAAAAACTAGTTTGCATGAACCTGCTCGTTATTCCACGACAGATACGTATGATCGCCCAACTTCCTCGGCTTGATCAAATGTCTGAGCGCGAACAAGACGCCGAGGACGATACACAGCCCGCCGACGACCAAGTACGCGATTCCGAGGTACGGATTCCGGCCGCCGACGACGGTGCGGGTGGAGATCACGAGCGACTTTGTGCCGCCGTAGACTTCAGAGGGAAAACGCATGCCGATGTCGATCTCGTACACGCCGATTTCCATGTTATCGTCGTCGTTGCGGAGCGCGAGTTTGCTAAAGGTAGGCAGTCCCGCGGTGCGCATCCAGTTCTGGAGGTTCTCCATCTCGGAGATGTCGGGCAGGTTGTCGTCCGTGTAGCCGTCTGGGTACGACAGTTTCCAGTTTGGCGGCGGCACGACCTCGGACGCTTTATACGCGGTCTTTTTGAACCGTTTGCGGTCGTTCGACCACGCGATGCCGTTGCTGGTCATGGAGTATGTCGTGTTTTCGGTCGCCTTCGCCGAGACGGTGGAGAGGTCGCCGAGGTAGCGTGGAGACGAGAAGGTGTCGTTGAACAGCGAGTTGGCAATCAGACCGCAGGGATAGTACGCCTTCCCGTCGCTGTCGAGCGTCAGCGGCTTGCACAGATCGTCGCTCTTGAGATCGGAGGCGGATTTCGCCTTGCCGTTGATCTGGTCCTCGTCAATCGACTGCACGTAGCGACGATGGTTTTGGAAGAAATTCGTGAGCCGATAGTACAAGAAAATCGGCGCGTTCATCTCATGCTCGACCATGAACCTGATCCGGCAGTAATCGCGCTGACCCTCGGAGTTGCTCGAGATCGTGTAGGCTTGCCAGGTGGCTTCGTTCGACGAGGTCACGCCGCGGAAATGGTTGTTGACGTACTTGCTCGGGATCGTGGCCGCCGAGTCGGTGTTGTCTTGGTTGCTGTCGATGCAGTGCGTGTAGTCGATATTGATCTCCTGCACGCGCGTGCTGGCCCAGAGGAGAATGGCGCCTATGGGTGCGAAGATGAGGCCGACGGTGAAGAAGAGAGGGAGCACGGTTTTGGGGGTCAGAATCGGTCTGGATGGTCAGCTCCTGTATATTATATCAGAATTGTAGATTTCGAGCTTACTGCCATGCTTTCAAACGCTGCTGTCTGAACGCGGTATCTATACAACAAACAGTCAGTATCAATCACGAACACGAATTGACGACAAAACATACTCGGCGGCCGCCGCGTCTTTTGCTTCTTCTCTTGCTTGCGCGGCGTTGTTTCGTCGATACTGTCGGCGTCGTCGGATCGTCGTCGGTGGAGGATTGCCATTGCGGAGGTGTGTATAAGTGCTGTGTGTGTGTTCTCTGCTGATCAGGAGGAAAGGAAGAGGAACGGAAGAGGAACGGAAGAGGGAAGCGGCTGCCGGCAAAGGAGGCGAGGAGGAAGATGAGCTGGGAGATGAACCTGAAGACCTGCTTGCTGCTTCTTCTCTGCGCACCGACAGAACAAAGACGCGTCAGACTACAAGAACAAGAACAAGCGCAATAACAAAGACTCTACTCTTTTCACAGCAGAATGCGGTGAGAACAGTCAATCAGCAAAGAACGAGCAAAGGAAATCTGCTCAACAAGTCGCGGCTGGGAAGCGGGTTTGCTGCCGCTGGGCTGAGCGGGCTGAGCAGCCACCGTCGGAGCTGGAATTGAGTTAAAGTTGTGGTGTATCTGTAAGTGTGTTTAGAGTGTTGTGCGGTTAGTAAGGCGGTGCAGGGGTGTTAGGTAAGCTATTGCCGTTGATTCTCTTCGGCGCCTTTCTCCCGCGCCGACAACGTCTTTGAGGATAAAATCACCTGCAGACTAACAGAACTCGACTCAACAACCAGCACCACCCCGGACCGAACTGCAGTAAACCCACGCGTCGCTGCAAATCAGCCATCGAGCGAGGAAGAACGGCAGAGAAGCCCCGGAAAAAGTCGGGAGACGGGGGCATCAATCCCCAGTATTAAACTCTGCATATTAACCGCCTACGTAATCCACTAAACTGGCTCTGGAAATCGGGCGACTGCGGCGCGGAGAGCGGCCAGGTCAGCTGATGACGAAATCGGTGCTCCGCCTCGGACGAGGAGACGAGGCCGAGGATATAAAGACGAGTCGGCCAAGACAGGTTCACGCTGCTTCTTATCGTTTGTTTAATACTTCTTCTGCGCATCCGAAGCGAACTCGAAGAACTCGAATAGAACAAGCACAAATGTCTGGACGACCTCCTGCGCCATCCGTTCCTGAAGGTACGTTGACTTGTCGTGTTATCTCGTTGTCGAATGTGGGGGAGATTCCGTGGCGACGACGGTGCTCGGTGTCAAGATCAGAGACTAACTGATGTCTACAGGATGGCTCGCGAAATTTGACGATCGCTACAACACGTAAGTAACTACTCTTCTCTATATATCCATCAACAGACATACTAATACTCTACAGATACTACTACGTCGACACCGCCACCGGCAAATCCCAATGGGAGAAACCCGCCGGCGCAATGGGCGGCGATGCTCCTCCACCCTACGCCGCCAACAACACTGATCCCAAAGCAATGCCCCAGCAAGCAGGCTACGCCGGCGGCTACCCTCAGCAGCAGATGTACCCCCAGCAAGGCGGCTACCCTCAGCAGCAGCCCTACTACCCCCAGCAGCCCTACTACCCTCAGCAAGGAGGCTACTACCCCCAGCAGCCCTACTATCCCCAGCAGCAGCCCGTGTACGTGCAGCAGCAGCAGGACTCGCGGCGCAAGGGAGGAATGGGCATGGGCACCGGACTCGCCATGGGCGCGGCCGGCGGTCTGCTCGGCGGTATGCTGATCAGCGACATGATGACGCCGGATTACATGCCTCCTCCCGGCGGCGACTTTGGAGGTGGTGGTGACTTTGGCGGCGGTGATTTTGGCGGTGGTTTCTAATTGCTCAGATTATGAGTATGAAGAAGTTTTGGGGTGCCGTGACGATTATAATACTCTTTTTTCTTTGTCTGCGTTTTTTGGTTCATAATAGTGGCGTTTGCTTTCGTTTCCTATCAGTCTTGTCCTGATCCGTTGTTTTGTATTTGTGGCATTGATCACGGTAGTTTAATTGCAATAATTCAATCTCATTTCACACATATCAAATGCAAATCCATCCCGCCTTACGCCCATATCTCACTATCTACTCCCGCTCTCGATCCTCAGCGACCGAGAACGAGCCCGAGAATGTGTGAAAAGGCTAAAAACGGTCGGCCATGGGTCTTCTCAGTCTTAGTCTTCTTTTTCTCTCTTTCTCTCTTTAGTGGAGTGGCGATGGCTGAACAAAGGATGAACTCGTGCCCGTTTTGGGGAATTCTTCAATCTGACTTTTGGCGTGTGATAGCCGTGCCTGTCGGGGCAGAACACCCGCGTGCGGCCACCCGGGTCTACTCGCGCGTCTGCTTTTTTTGCAGAAGTGAAGCGTGTTTCTAATACTGCCGTGGTTTAGATGATTGTATGATAATGAAAAGAATAGAGTTGGTTTATTGACTATGACTTTACTAGAAGAGAGTATGGAAGCGAGCGAGAAGCGACGGGCTACGCGAATGTTTAAAGCTGCTCTGCATGCGCACGTCTCGAGCTTCTTTTTCAGCCTCCTCCGCGTCTGGCTGTGACTTGGAGCAGCAGCAGCAGCAGCAGCAGCATTAACGAAAAAGAAGCTCATTCTTCTGGTCCGGGATCGGTCGTCGTCTGTTTGCTTCTGCTTGCGTATCATGCATTCATAAAACCCCGCGTGCAGCCTCTCTGCATGTCTTCTCTCTGTCTCTCTGTTTCTGTCTCTGTCTTCTCGTCTTTTTCATATCATATTCCCCGACGATGACGACCACTTTCCCGCCCAAGCAGCTGATCTACGCCGGCAGACGGCCCTTCATCCTCCTCGCGGCCTCCGTCAGCGTCACCGTCGCCATCTTCTTCATCATCGTCTCCGCAATCTCCCTCGACCCATTCCCGCTCCCTCTCCGTCCCCTCATCAAAACCTCCACCACCGGCGCAGACACGGACTCCAAAATGCCCCACACATTCGCCCTCGCGACTGCCGCGCAAAACGAGAGCCTCGGTTTCGGCGAAATCGTCTACATCAGCATGCCCTACCGCACAGACCGACAAGACGCAATGAACCTCGTCGCGTCGACGACCGGCATCAAGTTGAAGCTGATCCCGGGCGTGGACGGCAGTACGATTCATGAAAAGGCAAAGCCGGATTTTTTGCCGGAGAATCTGACGCCGAGTGCGCTCGGGTGCTGGAGAGCGCATGCTGATGCTTGGAGATATATGCTGGATTCGAATCTGGAGTCGCTCTTGATTCTTGAGGATGATGTACGCTTGTCCTTATCATTACTTATTTTGTGCATTTTCTGATACTTACTTTTCTAGGTCGACTGGGACATTAATATCCACGAGATCATGGAGCATCTCTCTCTCGAAATGCAAAACAACCCGCTCCGACTCGATCCCCAGACCGAGCGCGAGCGCGAAGCCGCCCCTTACGGCCTAGACTGGGACTTCCTCTTCCTCGGCCACTGTCTCGACAGCGCGAACCCGGACCGCAACGACCTCTTCCACATGTACAAAGACAACAACATGCCGGAGCGGGAGTCGCAGATCCACGAGATGAAGGACATGGAGCGCCGTTTCGGCCTCTCCGAGCAGCAGATCTCAGAGTACCGCACGCTCTCGCCGACCTGGTTCCCCGCCTGCACAATGTCGTACGCAATCACCCGCCGCGGCGCGCAGCGACTGCTCATGTGGCTTTCATACATGGGACTCAACGCGCCGGTCGACAACGACATTGCGTTCAAAGCCCAGTCGGGTCATCTCCACGGCTACGATCTGAATCCGCCGCCGTTCGGAGCCTGGCGCGTGCAAGGCAGCAAGGACTCTGACAACCAGGAGTTTGAGGAGGGAAAGCCTCTTGCGGGCGAGGGAAATCGCGGCGGGTTTAGTTTGAATGTGAGGAATAGCGCGAGGAAGAGACTCGCGAGTTTGTTGTACGCGGATACTTGGAATCGGTACGAGAAGATGTTTCCAAAGAAGAGCGACGAGGAGGTTGCGGCGGCGAAGAGCGAGGGAAAGATGGGATATAGGTAGTTCTCTACCCCGTCCTCTTTATGTAGTTTTAGCATCTTAATTCTTGGTTGTTGTAAAGCATTTGTTGGTCAATAAATTCATCTCCATCTTTACCTGATTCTTGAGCCGCACGCTGTCCGATATTCAGAACTGGTGATTGTACCTCGACGTCTCTTCTCTGTTCAAATCCCCTGCACAAGTCTTCTCTGCGTGCTGGCTAACTTTTTGCTGGTTGTTATTTGCAGAAAGAAAGACTGCTTACTCTAAATTGGACTCATCGAGCTCTTCTGCAGCATGTCGGAATTCAAACCCGTCTCCGGCGGCATCAAGATAGCAATCGACGTAAGCCACCCTATCCTCCTCCCCCACCACCACCACCTCTCACACCTCACTAACTCCTTCTCTCACGACGTCACCAGCGCGGCGGAACATTCACAGACTGCATAGGCTCGCACCCGGACCGCGACGACGTCGTCATCAAACTCTTGTCGGTCGACCCGGCGAACTACGACGATGCGCCGCGAGAGGCGATTCGGCGCGTGCTGGAGTGCTATACCGGCAGGAAAATCGGGCGCGATGAAAAACTTGATACTAGTTTGATTGGTGTGTTTTACCTTCTTGACTGTTTGTTCTTATTTCAGGAGTTTAGTGCTAACGCTCTTTGCTAGAATCGGTCGGTTTCAAGAGTCACGCGGTCTACTTGTCGGCAAGTGCTAACAATCCTTACTATCTAGATCAGAATGGGTACGACCGTGGCCACCAACGCTCTTCTGGAGCGCAAAGGCCAACGCTGCGCAATGGTGACCACCCGCGGCTTTGCCGACTGTCTCGTGATTGGCAACCAATCCCGGCCCAAGATCTTTGACATTGCGATCCACAAGCCCGACGTGCTGTACGAAAAAGTAGTCGAGATCGACGAGCGCGTCACGCTAGAGGATTACACCGAGCACCCGGATAAGTTCAAGACGAAAGATGTGTCGACAGATAGCGATCTCGTCGTCGGACTTTCGGGCGAGGTCGTGCGGATCCTGGAACGGCCTGAGGCGGCGAAGATTGAAGCTGCGCTTCGGGCATTGTATGACGAAGGGTTCCGCAGCATCGCAGTCTGTCTTGTTCACTCGTATACTTTTCCCGACCACGAAAAGCTCGTTGGCGAGATTGCGCGCAAGATCGGGTTCGAGCATATTTCGCTGTCGAGTCAACTCATGCCGATGATCAAGCTCGTTCCGCGATCGACGTCCGCGACTGCAGATGCATACTTGACTCCCGAAATCAAAAAGTACATTGACGGGTTCCAGAAAGGGTTTGCCGGCGGTCTGGGCACTGCGTCGGCAATGCAGGGATCCGGGGCTCGGTGCGAGTTTATGCAGTCTGACGGTGGTCTTGTTGACGTTGACTCGTTCTCTGGTCTTCGAGCGATCTTGTCTGGTCCGGCAGGTGGTGTGGTCGGCTATGCGCTCACCTCTTACGACCCGCGGACAAAGATCCCCGTCATTGGTTTCGACATGGGCGGAACCTCGACTGATGTCTCTAGATACGGCGAAGGGCGCTACGAGCACGTGTTTGAGACCACCACCGCCGGCGTCACGATCCAGAGCCCGCAGCTGGATATCAACACCGTTGCTGCTGGCGGTGGATCCCAGTTGTTTTGGCGAAACGGGCTGTTTGTCGTCGGCCCGGACAGTGCTGCTGCGCATCCTGGTCCGGCTTGCTACCGAAAGGGCGGCCCTTTGACCGTCACCGATGCGAACCTCTATCTCGGCCGGCTGCTACCAGAGTTTTTCCCGAAAATCTTCGGACCAAACGAAGACGAAGGCCTGGACTACACGGCCTCGGAATCCCTCTTTGCAAAACTGACCGAGCAAATCAACTCCGAGATCGTCGCCCCGGCAAAGCAAATGTCGGTCGACGAGGTCGCCTACGGGTTCATCAAGGTCGCGAACGAGACCATGATCAGACCGATCCGCACGCTGACCGAGGCTAAAGGGTACGATACCTCTGCGCATCGACTTGCGACGTTTGGTGGTGCGGGAGGACAGCACGCGGTCGCGATCGCGGAGGCGCTTGGGATCAGGCAGATCTTGGTTCACAAGTATTCTTCTGTCTTGTCTGCGTACGGCATGGCGCTCGCGGATGTGGTGCAGGAAGTCCAGGAGCCGAGTTCGATCGCGTTTACTGCCACGACTCGAGACTCGTTCGTCAAGCGATTTGCCGAGCTGCGCAAGCGCGCCGCCGTATCGCTTTACGACCAGGGGTTCTCGGACGAGACGATCGAGTTTGAGCTTTATCTCAATATGAGGTATCAGGGGACCGAGTCTGCGCTGATGATTATCAAGCCTGAACAGAACTGGGACTTTGAGAAGCCGTTTGTAGCGCAGCATATGCAGGAGTTCGGATTCATTCTGCCGAACCGGGATATCATTGTCGATGACATCCGAGTGCGCGGAATCGGTAAGAGTTTCCAGACAAGCGAGAAGTCTGTTGACGAGCAGCTCAAGTCGCTTGCGACGCGGCCGGTGAACGTGGCCGAGAAATCGCTCATGACAAAGTCGGTTTATTTTGAAGGCGGAAGAGTCCACACGCCGATTTTCAAGATTGAAGATCTACAGATTGGCGATAAGGTCGCCGGACCTGCGATCTTGGCCGACGGTACGCAGACGATTGTGGTGCCTCCGAACAGTACCGCTGTTTTAATTGAAACTCACGTGGTGATCAACATCGGCGACGAGGACAGCGACGGCACCAGCGCAAAGAAAGATATCTCGACCGGCCGCGTCGACCCGATCACGCTCTCGATCTTTGGCCATCGGTTCATGGCGATCGCAGAGCAAATGGGCCGCGCGCTGCAGAAAACGAGTGTGTCGACGAACGTCAAGGAGAGACTGGATTACTCGTGTGCTCTGTTTGACGCCAACGGCGGACTTGTAGCTAACGCGCCGCATTTGCCTGTACATTTGGGATCCATGTCGACGGCGGTCCGGATGCAGGCTGAGATCTGGAAAGGGAGATTGAAGAAGGGGGATGTTGTCGTGTCGAATCATCCTACTACTGGTGGCACTCATCTGCCAGGTATGCAGTTCATATCTATTACTGAGTAGAACCTCTTGCTGACGATATTCTGATATATAGACATCACCGTGATCACCCCCGCCTTCCACGGCGACAAGATTGTGTTTTACGTCGCCTCTCGAGCCCATCACGCTGACATTGGTGGTATCCTCCCTGGCTCGATGCCGCCCAACTCGCGCGAGCTCTACCAGGAAGGCGCCGCGATCTTGAGCGAGAAGCTAGTAAGCGAGGGCCGCTTCAACGAAGAGCGAATCACGCAGCTCTTGCTGGACGAGCCGGCACAGTATCCCGGGTGCTCCGGCACGCGCTGTTTGCCGGACAACATCAACGATCTCAAGGCGCAGGTTGCGGCGAATCAGAAGGGTATCAATTTGATTGATAGTTTGATTGACGAGTATGGCGAGGACGTCGTGCAGTTCTATATGGTTGCGATCCAGGAGAACGCGGAGCTTTCGGTGCGGAATCTGCTCAAGCAGGTCAGCAAGCGGTTCGAAGGCAAGACGCTCAAGGCGGTCGATTATATGGACGACGGCTCGCCTATCTGTCTCGAGATCAAGATCAATGCTGAGGAGGGTACTGCCGTCTTTGATTTCACCGGAACTGGGCCTGAGATGTACGGCAACATGAACGCGCCCGAGGCCGTCACATACAGCGCAATCATCTACTGCTTGCGCTGCATGATCACCGAGGACATCCCGCTCAACCAAGGCTGTCTGCGCCCTGTCGATGTGGTCATTCCCAAGGACTCATTCCTAAGCCCGTCCGCGGCAGCCGCAGTCGTCGGCGGCAACGTCCTCACCAGCCAGCGCGTCACCGACGTCATCTTCCACGCGTTCGAAGCCTGCGCCGCGTCGCAAGGCGACTGCAACAACCTCACTTTCGGCATCGGCGGCAAGAACGCCGAGACCGGCGAGCAAGTCCGCGGCTGGGGATACTACGAGACCATCGCCGGCGGCAGCGGCGCGGGTCCAACCTGGCACGGCACCTCGGGCGTGCACACGCACATGACAAACACGCGCATCACCGACGCCGAGATCTTTGAGCGGCGGTACCCGGTTCTCTTGCGCGAGTTCTCGATCCGCAAGGGTTCAGGCGGGAACGGGCAGCACCGCGGCGGCGACGGCGTCGTTCGAGATATCGAATTCCGCGTGCCGGTGCAGTGCTCGATCCTCTCCGAGCGACGCGTGTACCATCCCTACGGTCTCGCCGGCGGCGAGGACGCGGCCTGCGGACTGAACCTGTGGATCCGGCATCTCGACGACGGCAAGGGTGGCATCCTACAGCGCAAGATTAATCTGGGAGGAAAGAATACCGCGTACATGAAAGCGGGTGACCGGGTGATTATCTGCACGCCTGGAGGGGGCGGATGGGGACCTGCGCATATGGAGGAGGATACGGCGAACAGAGCTGTGGATCCCAGGTCGACGTGGCGAGGACAGGGTACGGCTGCTAACTACGCTGCGATCCAGGAGTCTGCGAGTTAGTCTGCAGTCTCCTCTTTTAAGCTATCTATAGGTAGTAATTTCTATTTTTTCTGGTGATAGATTAGACAATAGTAGTAAGAGCAAAAGATAGAATCCGTAGTCGTCTCGTAAGTTCTCAGAGGGTTTTCGGTTACAGTGCGGTTTAGGGCTTTGATCTACTCATCTCGGTGAACTCATCGTTGAGATCATTTTAAACAACAGCAACGTTAAGAAGAGCGCGAGGCAGACGAATGGGCCCAGTGACGGGGAAATACCACAGGATCTGATTTATTAGCGCAATCAAATTGATTTGGGCAGTTTTATAGCGCAAGATAGAGTTCAAATCGAGAGGACGAAGGTATGGCGACGCCAGGGCCTACGACTCCACCGCCGGCTAGGAGAAACACGAGCATCGAGCAACGAGATCACCAGCATGTTCAAGGCGGAAGTTTAATTAGTGCAGATCAGCATGGCGTTGGCCGACAATCGGTGACTGACCAGCACAAGGTGGACGATGCGCGCGATTCCCAGACGCGGGGGCGCGTGAGCTCTCAAGGTCACCCATCCAACCGTCATAAACGCGTGCGCTCGTCGTCATCACTTGACAGCGACGAATTAGAGCGATGGCACGAAGCCTTGGTGGAGCAGCAGCAGCAGGAAGAGTTCCCGGATCCCGAGCTTGACGACGTTATCGAGCAACTCGATCGAAACCCAGAACTCGAGCTTGCAATTATCTCGCCGTCGAAGAAAAGGGCTGCTGGTGCGCAGGGTGCTGTTGATTCGCATGGTTCTTACGACGAAAGGCGGAGGGAAGAAGAATCGAGCTCGGGCGATTTGTTTGAGACATATTTAGAGGAGGCGAATCGTGAAATGGCGCGCTTGGAAAGAGATGCGGGAGCGACAACATCATTAACCTCAACAACAACTACAACTACATCAACAACAACGTCAACAAACACAATACAGCCAGCAGCAGCAGCAAGATCAGCGACATCAAAACCTTCACTGCAAAATGATTCATCTTTAACCCTTTTGAAACTGATCGAAGACAGCAGGATATACGTTTCAAAATTAGACGAAGAGCTCGACAAGTTGATTGCAGACCGGAAGCGCGTAATGAACGAAAATGAAGCCAAGATTAAGGAGTTGAGGCAGCGATATCATGTAATATGGGAGGCGCAGAAGTGATGGGAAGGTATGGGTGTATACTACTGAAGATCTTGCTTATTCAACGGATTTCGGGTGTTTGTATAATACAAGGTAGAATGGTGTGTTCTGGGCTTCTTCTATTTATCACCACGCGTATAGTGGCTTATCCTACCTACAGACTGGCTACGCTCACAGTATCCTCACTAAATCGTCGACTTTTTTACTGGATCAGGGTACAAGTTATAGAGACAAGTAATATGTATAATAAGAAATTTATCATTGTATTCCACCATTCTCATATAGTCCCTCCATTATCCTTCATTATAATCTGATGTCCCCTATAATCCCTCACTATAATCTCTCACTATAATCCCTCACTATAATCCTATCGTCCCCCTATAACCTCTCACTGTAATCATATCGTCCCCTATAGTTGTAGACCGGCAAAGTCCATGGTTGAAGCAGAATAGTTCAGGTACAGGTAGCAAGCACAGGCAGCCATCTGATGTCGAGTGATGTCTTCAGCGTGAAGTTTGCTGGTACATAGTGCGTTAGCTCAGATTCCAACTAGTATCAGAGGCAGAAATTCACGAACTGTTGATTGTATAGTGAAGCGTTCTAATCTGTGCTCTCTGTGCTGCTGTGTTGTCTGTCGTTGTTGTGCAGTGTGCTGATGGAAGTATAGTCTGCGTAGTCTTCGAATAGTGAACATTTGCTAAGCGGTGTCTCTGACTATCGTTAGCATAACCACTAAACACATACAGACCATGAGGTACGAACTGATCGCTGCAATAATTTGCTCGCTCTAGGTAAATTGCCGGTCTATCAATGAGTAAGTAGCAGCCTTCACCACCGGCACTCACCAGTCTTCTGAATCTGCACGCAAACACCAGTCCGCTTGACATGTGCTCTCGCAAGAGCCGGCTTCGCTCCCCTATCTTCTCTGGAAACCCAAGGCATCTCGAAAGACGCTGGCACGCCAAACGCAGCAACATCTCATGGGGAGAGCCAAGAATTATTTGCTGGTTTGGCATATCTGTGCCATGACCGGCGCATCGCCGTCATATGAGAATGCTACCCAGAGGGTATAAGCTACTCTCTGACGTCTCCGCGAAGCGCCGCGCCACATGCGCTCCAGAGAGGAGGATTGAAGCCCATGTTTCGGATCCGGCCGGAAATGCGATTCGTCTAACTGATGAGTGTCGTGGTTAGCGCTAAATACTCAGAATTCCTGCCGGAGCCACCAGTTTCAGTTGTCGCGTAGAGAAATGCAGGGAAATGCAGGGAATTTGTTTCCAAGCGTTGCAGATTAAGATGCAGAGGAAAATGATGGGAAGCGGAACATGGTGGCTACCGGCATGGAAAGAATAATGTGGAAAGAAACTCATCGCTCATGTGGTGAAAATGGGAAGCATCTTGGGAAGTAGTGAGGAAAATTTGTTCAGGATTAAAAGCTGTCCAGTTCATGATGAAGAAATGCTTTTCCCAGAGGAGAGGAGCTTCTTGTTCTTGTATTGTTGTAAAGAAGAGAGAGGAGTGTGTGAGGAGGAGAGGAAAGAAGGGAAGGAGGAGAGGGCGGGAGGGGGGCTTTTTATAGACGTCCGGGCCAGGGCGCCATCAACCCTTCTGATGCGGGCTGGCAGACCGCCAGGCAAGTGGGCGCCCCGTCTGACCCCAAAAATTCCCGAGGCTCTTTCATGTGAAAGAAAATAATGCATCACATGGGTAGGGCGGGTACTCGCACGTCGGGAAAACAACGGATCCATTTCCATATCAGGAAGTAGTGTTACACAAGCTGAATAAGCCGACGGATATCTGTACAATACGTCATGGGATGAGATCGATGCAGCTTCCTGGACGTGCAAAACGGCAACTTCATGCCACGATATCTTCAACAAACATGATTGAATGTGTCAGTTTCTTTTGACAGAGATAAAGCACGCTCCACGAGCTTCAGATTGATACAGATTAGCGCGTGTCTTGGTAGTGATATCAGAGCGTTAAACGAACGCCAAAGCGCCACGACTACCCTCAATTTGGTTCCTGCCTCATACAAGCGTTGAACAGCCACGTTCGCGTAGATCATTGACTCAGGAACAGACGTCAGATTGTCCTAGGTTTCAAATGTCGCTTTCGTCTGTTTTCTTGCCAGCAGTCCTGTTCTTCCCGCTTTTTCCGTCGCTTTCGACAGCTCGTATGTGCCAGACAGCCCAGGAGCCTGCAGTCAGCGCAGGCATCCGACGCAGACTGATTTTTACTTTCTGATGTGAGACACAGCTTTCCGTTTTCGTCCATTTGCCACCCTTCTATCACACTCGCACAAGCTACGTCATATTAACAAACCCATACGAGACACAGAGCAGGCAGAGAAAGTGATGAAACAGAGTCCCGTGACTCCCGAATCATTTGGGGTCAGTCTGAGTCGCTTCTTCCCCGGCAGCGGCCACACCAGTAGTTGAAACAGTCATAGAAATAAAGCCGATGTCCCACTCCATTCGAGCAATAGTCGTAGATGCTGCGTTGTAGTTCTATACAGAGATCAGATAATTCATTCGCAAGTTAATCTGCCGTTGTAGACGGAAAACAAGCTGACGTTGACGTCGCAAAACTTTGCCACCTCTCACGTCAGTATCACAGATATCGTCTATCTCCCTAGCACAGAACTCTCACAGAGATCCATAAAGCAATGCGGTTCTCCTCCGCGTCACTCTACAGATGAAGTGGACCAATACTTGCGGTACATAATCAAGGTACACCTAAGCTGAAGTGGGTTGCGACAGGAACAGCTGGCAGCCTTGTAAACAGAACCTGATGGCGGTGAAGAAGGTTTTCAGGCGGTGCACATAAACCGTCATCCGCTCCGCAGTCATTGCGTTGATAGCAGAGTAATGATACTGCCCAAAATGTCGTCAGGAAGTGTGCTAATGCTGGCGAACGCTTCGCCAGAATTACGTGCAAGTCCAGCGTAAACACAAGCTCCGGAAAAGCCATCAAGATGTCTGTAGTTCTCACAGCAGGTTCGGGGTTGATCAAATGAGTGCCGCAGAGGCTTCGTATCGTTTCGAAGCATGTCTCTCGAGCGGTTGAATACAGAAGAACAGATGAGTGGAAGTTGTAGCCGCTGATGTGCCAGAATCTTGTAAGTTCAACCTCGTTATTTTGATTGAAATAGTCTTTTCCTTGATCGGCCAGAGTCTCTACTCGCTTGCACTATTGAAAAATCTTGCAGAAGAACCCTCTCGATTGAACAGTCGTCACTCCTCGCGCTCACGGTCTCATCGCACGTATTATCTTCGTCGCGATCGTACGTTTTTCTAGGTGTAGGTGCAGAAAATAACGCAAGACATTCTCCTAGACCTTTGAAATCCTGCTGTCTGGACAAGAGTATTTGCCTGCAAATACACAAGGAGAACGGAACAGCGCTGTTGCTCATCCGTACAGATCTGGAATTCTTGGTTATAACCGTAACCCTGAAGGGATGCAAGTGGCGGTGCGGCCTGTCTGAGCGCTGATACTCCATTATTACCCAGATGGGAGATAGAATCTGAGGCTGTGCCGATGCACAACGAGACAATATGAGACGCTGAAGCCTGGTTCGTTTACTACCAATAGGCTAGTAATCGCTGTCAAAAAAAAGTAGATCGTTACACTAAAGATACTACTATTGCTCCAGAGAGATTTAAACCGGCTACGCCTGTCCGATTGCTACTAGTTGGTTTTCACGATGGTAGACTGATTAGACAACATTTACAGTCTGTTGATCTATCTACAGCACTGGCAGTTCGCTAGTCAAAGAAGCATTTTGCTTCGCAGAAGCCCACTAATCCTGTATACGGCGGACGCTCATAGTTTGAGTCAGTATGCACTCATGTTTCGACGCTATTACTAGACTCACTAACTGCCTCTGGGCACCACTGCCGCTACAGCTAAGCTACAGGTTTCACTTATAATTTAAATGCTGTATAATAAGAAATTTATCATTGTATTCCACCATTTTTATAAAGTTTCCTTGTAATCCTTCATTACAATCTGATGTCTACTTTAATTTTCCACTATAATCCTCACTATAATCCTATCGTCCCCTTATAGTTATAGACCGGCAAAGTCCATGGTTGAAGTAGAGTAGCAGTAGCTCAGGTGAGCAGTATCTCAGATACAGGTAGCAAGCACAGGCAGTTTTGGCGTCGAGTGGTGTCTTCAGCGCCAAGTTTCTGATATAGTGAAAGTTAGCTGGGCTCTAGGAAACTGACAGATAAATAAGTACGGACTGGAAGCTGTTGTAGTGAAGCGTGCAGTCTGTGCAGTCTGTGGAACGAGGAATGTAGTCGTCGAATAGTGAATGTCGTTGTCAAGTAGCGTCTCTGATTATCGTTAGCAAACCACTAAAACACATACTAACCAGACGGGACGAACTGATTGCTGTTGTAATTTGCCCGCTATAGGTAAATTGCCGGTCTATTAAGAATCATTGGCGCTACCACAGCCACTCACCAAATCTTCTGAATCGACAAGCAGGCACCGGTCCTTTCGCATGCGGCACCGCACGGCTAGCTTGCCCGCTCGCCCTCAGGCTGTCCTCGCATGCTCGCCGGACGCCAATAAATGAGAATGCTGCCAAATAGACATATGCTACTCTCTGACGTCGCCGCGGGATGCACCATTCTATGAGATTGATGCCATTCTAGGTATATGCTATTTTCATCTAGGAAAATGCTACCAGGCGGGTATGTGCTATTCTCTCTCTGTGAGTATGCTACCTTGTCTCTCTGGCGGGCCCGCGGAATACGAGCATGCGAGAATGGAGGTGAAGCCCATGTTTCCGGACCGGTCGGTAATGCGATTTTCAGACGGTAAGTGTCGTGGTTAGCGCTAAAGTCTTGAAATTTCCTGCCGGTGCCACCGTTTTTGTTGTATTTTGCAGGGAAGTGCCGAAATCCAGAAAAGAGATTCCGGTGGCTACCGGCTTGGAAAGAGAAATGTGGGAAGAAACTCATCGCTCATGTGGTGAAAATGGGAAGCATTTCGGGAAGAGGTAGAGAAAATTTGTTCAGGATTAAAAGTTGTCCAGTTCATGATGAAGAAATGCTTTTCCCAGAGGAGAGGAGCTTCTTGTTCTTGTATTGTTGTAAAGAAGAGAGAAGAGTGTGTGAGGAGGAGAGGAAAGGAGGGAGGGAGGAGAGGGCGGGAGGGGGGCATTTTATAGACGTCCGGGAGGGGGCTCCGTCAACCCTTCTGATGCGGGCTGGCAGACCGCCAGGCAAGTGGGCGCCCCGTTTGACCCCCAAAACTTCTCTGGCCTTCTTCATTCGCGCGAAACGCAGGATGCATTTCCAAATCGAGAGCTGCGGTATTGAAGTTACACGCGGGGAGGACAGATACTCGCACGGCGGAAAAGAAACGAGGGATCCATCTCCAAATCAGGAAGTAGTGTTACACAAGCTAAAGATGTGGACGGATATCCGCGCATTACGTCATGGTATCGTGTTTCAACAGGATCATGAACGCGCAAAACGCCAGCTTCAGGCCAGAATATCTTCCTCAAACATGCACAGACATGTCACTTTCTTTTGACAGAATTACAGCACGATCCAAGGGCTTTAGATTGATACAGATTAGCGCGTGTCTTAGTAGTGTAATTAGAGCGTTAGACTAACGCCAAAGCGCCACGGCTGCCCTCAATTTGGTTCCTGCCTCATACAAGCGTTGAACAGCCACGCCCGCGTAGATCATGACTCAGGAACAGACGTCAGATTCTTCTGAGTTTGATCTGTTCTTCTCACCTCTTTCTTCCTCAAATGTTGCAGGGAATAGCGACAGAGTGAAGCCCGCAGCACCAGCAGTATGTGCACATTTCCGACACAGCCAGGTTACCCCTCTTTTTTTCCGGCGTCTGCGCAAAGGTTTCCTCTTTGGTACAGTTCTGCCAGCTTCTATAGCATTCGCAAACTACGTCATGCAAAGAAAAGACATGTGAAAATTCAGAGTAGACAAGTAGAGTGAACAGACAGAGAATCCCGTGACTCCAGGAGCGCTAGGGGTCAGTCTAGATCGCTCTCTTCCCGCTGAGCACCACATTCGTAAATGCAGCACATATTAACCCGCGTCCAGCTAAACCTCAACAGAAGAGACCGTTTTGTTATTTTATTCGTGCATAGATATGCTGAGAGTAAGAATATTCCCAAATGATCCACTATCAAGCTCATCCGTTGGTGTAAGGACACAGACTAACGATGTCACAGCTTGCCACCGCTCACGATATCTCGCACGATAGCTTCCTTCCCTCGTCAGCAAGGCACACATATCAATGTAACGATGCAGTACAGCGTTTTCAGTGCTTGTTGTCTCATGCACGCCGTTCTAGAGTTTGAGCCAGATAGCCATCGCATACTGCTAAGAAGCAGATTGTAATTGATTCTGTCCTCCCTTGCACCAAATCGCATCATTTCAGTGTACAGTCAGATTCTCGGTAGCTCGTAAATCAACTTCTCTAACGTACAGGCTCCTGCTTGCCATCATGGCAAATCCTAGAATCCGGTTTTCCCTACTAGCAAACTGAAAATCGAGTAAACATTTCTGCCATTACGAGTGTAAACTCAGACACGCTTGAATGTTTTGGAGAAAGTGATTAGGAACAGCACAGAAAAATCGTTAGACAGTGCGCGAGAGCTTGCAACCATTCTTGATATTCACGTTCATATGTATAGTAAGCAATACTGGCTCGTTTGGAAATTCGGATAATTTGGCAGAGGACGGTAGAATTGGGCGAGCATAACTCTCTCATTAACGATTCAGTCTCATCTAGATTATGTCGCCATTTTTGAATAAATTCTTTATACCTTATCGGGACTTCTCGGTGTTGAGAGAAGCAAACAAGCTGCGAATGCTGAATGATAGAAATGAAGAAATTTGTTGATCGGACGTAGAAAATATGTGGGGTGCCCACGGATAATCGCAACCCTGAAAAAGTGGCTGGGCAGTTTTAGTTCGAATCGACAAAAGGGAGATTCCATAAGCATATTTTCACTTCTGGTTCGATTATACGTACCTTTCTTCTATACCTTTGGAGATCGGAAAAGTAAGGAGTATGCAGCAGAAAACTTGTTGTATTTTTGGGGACTATTTTCAAGTATAGGCGGCTACTATATTTTGACATATACACGACTTCTAAGCCCGATGAGGCTTTCAAATTGCCTATATGGGAGATGAAGGACACAGCGTGTAAACAGTATCAATATGATCATATTAGTGTCATTTGTAAATCAATTATTCAGATATTTCTTCTAGTAGATAAGTGAAAGCACAAACAAAAGTTCTGAAATTGGCGTCAAGCATCTAAGTGACGTATGTTGATAATGTGATGCTGAGACTAGGGAGTCAGGACCAGGGTTACTGTCATTCTCTAGTTTTGCGTCTTTCCAGATTTCACACTCCGCTTCCCTATATCCCTGTGTACCGGCGGCACAAATCGATTCAAGGGATATCTGAACTCGAGAAAAATGGTGTGCGTGCTATATAGAGCATAAGCTGAGTGTGTTTTGTTCGACAGCGACATCACATACATGTGCGGTCAGAACACTTCGAGTTCAGTTTTCCTGTTCAAGTTCAACTACTTTTTTGAAAGAGCGTAGTTTGCGAATCAGTTGACCAGCGAAGCAGGTATATTAATTGAAGCTTTGCATCAGGAATCTGTGAATTGACGGAATTTGCCAACCAACGGCGAGAAATTATCTTAAATCAGTTTTGATACTCAGCCGATCAAGGAACCTGCATCGACAACAACTCATTGAAATCTGTCAAGAGATTCGCCCTCAAGAAAATCAATTGGAGACTGTACTACGAACGTTTTCAACCGGCTATCAAGCGCAACTAAAGGCTTTACTTCAAAAGGGATCACAAGTATCGCGAAGCTGTTGCATGCTCTCCTGCACTACCTGATAAATATCTGTGCTTTCATCCCATTTTATTCGCATGGCTTTCGAGTATACACGGAGAGATGCTGCACTATATGAGCAGTAGTCTTTGAGAGCATGCTGTTTAAAGGGATAGAGGGTGGCTGTGACTCCACGGTGGAGAGTCGGAAGATCTGCTTTGCTATTTTCTTCTCTATATACATACAGCTGAGCTTGAAAATCGGCTGTCTACGTCTGTACTCATTATCTGTATATCTGTATACAAGATTACAGCTGAATTTTATATTATTTACTGGCTCAAAATGGACGCGGGTTCATGGGCTACAACCACGAATGTGGTGCTCGGCTGGAAGAGAGCGATTTAGACTGACCCCTAGCGCTCCTGCAGTCACGGGATTCTCTGTTTACTCTGCTTGTCTACTCTGAATTTTCACATGCCTTGTCTTTGCATGACGTAGTTTGCGAATGCGATAGAAGCTCGCAGAACTGTACCAAAGAGGAAACCTTTGCGCAGACGCCGGAAAAAAAGAGGGGTAACCTGGCTGTGTCGGAAATGTGCACATACTGCTGGTGCTGCGAGCTTCAGTCTGTTGCTATCCACTGCAGCATCGAGGAAGACAGAGTCGAACAAAGAAGATGAAAGTCAGGAGAATATGACGTCTGATCATGAGTCAATGATCTACAGGAACGGCGTTAATGCTTGTCTCAAGCAGGGACCTAAGTGATACAACTAGTGGCGCTTTGACGTTCGCGTAGCTCGTTAGTTTCACAGCTAAGGCACGCGCTAATATATATCAATCTAAAGCCCTTGGATCGTGCTGTAATTCTGTCAAAAGAAAGTGACATGTCTGTGCATGTTTGAGGAAGATATTCTGGCCTGAAGCTGGCGTTTTGCGCGTTCATGATCCTGTTGAAACACGATACCATGACGTAATGCGCGGATATCCGTCCACATCTTTAGCTTGTGTAACACTACTTCCTGATTTGGAGATGGATCCCTCGTTTCTTTTCCGCCGTGCGAGTATCTGTCCTCCCCGCGTGTAACTTCAATACCGCAGCTCTCGATTTGGAAATGCATCCTGCGTTTCGCGCGAATGAAGAAGGCCAGAGAAGTTTTGGGGGTCAAACGGAGCGCCCACTTGCCTGGCGGTCTGCCAGCCCGCATCAGAAGGGTTGATGGTGCCCTGGCCCGGACGTCTATAAAAAGCCCCTCCCGCCCTCTCCTCCTCCTCTTCTTCCCTCCTCCTCACACACTCTTCTCTCTTTACATCAATAAGAAGCTCCTCTCCTCTGGACAATACATCTTTTCATCATGAACAGGATATCCTTTCTTCCTGAACAAATTCTCTTTACTTCCTCCCAAGATGATTCCCATTTTCACCACATGAGCGATGAGTTTCTTTCCACATTATTCTTTCCGTGCCGGTAGCCACCTTGTTCCGCTTCCCATCATTTTCCTCTGCATCTTAATCTGCAACGCTTGGAAACAAATTCCCTGCATTTCCCTGCATTTCTCTACGCGACAACTGAAACTGGTGGCTCCGGCAGGAATTCTGAGTATTTAGCGCTAACCACGACACTCATCAGTTAGACGAATCGCATTTCCGGCCGGATCCGAAACATGGGCTTCAATCCTCCTCTCTGGAGCGCATGTGACGCGGCGCTTCGCGGAGACGTCAGAGAGTAGCTTATACCCTCTGGGTAGCATTCTCATATGACGGCGATGCGCCGGTCATGGCACAGATATGCCAAACCAGCAAATAATTCTTGGCTCTCCCCATGAGATGTTGCTGCGTTTGGCGTGCCAGCGTCTTTCGAGATGCCTTGGGTTTCCAGAGAAGATAGGGGAGCGAAGCCGGCTCTTGCGAGAGCACATGTCAAGCGGACTGGTGTTTGCGTGCAGATTCAGAAGACTGGTGAGTGCCGGTGGTGAAGGCTGCTACTTACTCATTGATAGACCGGCAATTTACCTAGAGCGAGCAAATTATTGCAGCGATCAGTTCGTACCTCATGGTCTGTATGTGTTTAGTGGTTATGCTAACGATAGTCAGAGACACCGCTTAGCAAATGTTCACTATTCGAAGACTACGCAGACTATACTTCCATCAGCACACTGCACAACAACGACAGACAACACAGCAGCACAGAGAGCACAGATTAGAACGCTTCACTATACAATCAACAGTTCGTGAATTTCTGCCTCTGATACTAGTTGGAATCTGAGCTAACGCACTCTGTACCAGCAAACTTCACGCTGAAGACATCACTCGACATCAGATGGCTGCCTGTGCTTGCTACCTGTACCTGAACTATTCTGCTTCAACCATGGACTTTGCCGGTCTATAACTATAGGGGACGATATGATTATAGTGAGAGGTTATAGGGGGACGATATGATTATAGTGAGATAGAATGATATATAGTGATCTGTTTTGTATTCCACCAACATATTCTGTACTATGAAAATGATAAAGCATGCACGTATTCAACTATAATATAGTGACCGTAGTCTATAAGTGGAGCAGCGGATGCATAATTAGTGACGGTCTGATTCAATAGGCGGGCTGTCTTTAGTTAGGTATAGTGTATGGACTAACTAGTCATTTGGCTTTAGGGTTGCGGGCTATCACGACCTACAACTTCCTACATCTCTACGTTTGCCAACAACACTCCTTACTTTCCATGTTCTTTGATCTATGCAGTACGCTGCTCTCTTTCAAGTACGACAGTCATGGAGAATTGCGAAGGATGGTGTACATTAGTTAAGGCGCAGCGACAAGCCACAGCGGATAGAAGCGGATGTGCAATAACCTGCTGTGGGCATCTTGACGTTATATCTGGCTGTTATAAGCTGTATAGCTAATGTTTTGATGAGTATGTGGATGATTCTGTGCTTGGACTGTTATTTCTGTAGCTAAAATACAATACATATTTTGCAGATGTTACTGTATACTTTTATGCCAGCATTCGAATACCCATTGTTCTCTTCTCGTTCCTACAAGGCTTTCCACACAATGTTCGAACAAGGCACAAATGGCCAGTATAAAAGGGGCCTTTCCCGCCTTCTCTCTCTTCTCTCTTTTCTTTCCTCCCACCTCTCACTACTTTCACACCTCAGCAACAACTTTCTCGTGTCCCCCAACAATGGCTTACGGCAAGAAGAAAACACGTTCTTCTCGTGCATCGCAACATGCTGCTGCAATTTCCAAGCACGATCCCCGCCGCCCACACCCGACGCACTCGCACTCGCTTATTTCCTCGCAAGGCACATCGACCGCCGAGAGAGGCAACGGACGTCTCCAGCCCTGCGACCGCGACCCACAACCCGACATCGACTCACAATGGAGAGAGTATATGAATGATTATCTCGACGGGATACTCTTCTCCGCATGCTACACTGACGCGCAAAAATTTGACGCCATCAGGTTTGCGTACGACAACTTCGTCTCTCGTACCGACAAAAGCAAACAATAAGGACCAGCTAGGCAACAGATGAACCGCCAGGATCGAGTCCGGGTTTCTGTTTTTAACTGCCTATGATCGTGCTTTCTAGTAAAGATTTTCTTCGCTGGTTATCACGGCTTCGCTGTATAGCAGCCAACGTATGTATACGCTCTCCACTCCTTGTTTTTCTCTTGAGCCTTGCTGACTTTCCTTGTTGATCTAGCCGTCCCCCCCGCAGCATATCCGCCTGGAACGAACCAGAAGAGTCCTATACTTCGACTACTGCTCAGGCTAATACCCCAACATCTCATGAGAGAAGTGGTCTACCTTCTGTATTCCTGTCTTGCCACTGTACAGAATACCCTTGCTGAAGTGATCTCATCGAGCTACATGTTGGTATCTGCCTAAAGAAGTAACCCTACTGTCTGTCTGCACCCCTCTTCCCTGCTGTACGGTCGTCTCTGGATGTTAAAACCACTGACCTCTGCAATGTACTGGCTCGGAATACCTTTTCTTCTACTATTCTGTGAAACAGGGTTATCTTTAATCCCACCAAAAACCAAAAAAAAGTAACGAATCGCGCAGAGCCGGAGACGAATCATTCAACTGGGCTCTGCCGCTTGATTCTCGCGTGTGTATCCACTCGTGAAGTCCTTGTCGAATTCCTTTATCTCTTTTCTGTTTTTGCTTTTCGTTTTGCTTTCGCCTCTCTTTCTTTTTCTTTTTTTACAATTCATTACGGGAGTTCACTAGGGATCTTCTCATTAGCATTTGATTGCTAGTGGCTCCCATCACCCCAATCTCCTCTGTAACAGCCTTCTTCCATAAAGGCCTTGTAGGATCTGGAAACTCTGCACTATTGTCGTACTGTGGTACTTCCTTGTAGCTCTTCGAGTGTTGTGTGTATTCATTTCTACTACCATGTATTGATCTGACCCGTCAAGACATGAACGCAGCCTTCTGATATCTTGTACGCTACCACGGCGTTCTTGATCATCAGGGGTTTCTGAGTCGGGCCGAAAGTAAACAGATTGTAACGCGCCGCCCGTTTCGTAAATTTCATTCAGTGTAATATCATTTGCTAATCAATTATAATCTCTTGTCTACTGGGCTGTAACAGGTTGTAGCTGTTGAGTATTCGTTGCCAGATGGACCTCGACGACTGGCGTCCCAGTATGTACAATAGTTTATGAAACCCTGATAAAACAATAAGACACAGAGCAGAACCGATTGCCTAATAAAAATATGAATGTAATCACTTCGCTAAGAATGGATATGTATACGATTCCTTTTAGTTCTGGTGACCTCCGCGGACAGTGAAATAATCAGACCTTGAATAGATCAGTACAGTCAGATCAGGCAATACCAATATGAATATAGACGCGTTCAGCTAGGCTCTGTCTCAAGTTTTGCTGCGTTAAGTGGTTTATATATGCGCTTTATATACTGCTTTAACGTCTTTTCGGTCAAATCGCCTTTATATTTATGCAGAAATACAAACGTCTTTGACGCAGAACCCTTGTGGTGCGCAAATTTATTGTGATCGATGTTAGCTGAACGGAGTTGTCATATTAATTAGGGTTGATAGAAACATCAGCGTTCTTCTTCAAGTCAACTCTCTTTATCTATTACTTTTCCTTTTGAGATCCCAATCTACGCCTGCCGGCTTTACAAAATCGTGAATCATGGACGATAATTTCTGTTCTACCTGTTTACAGCCCCTATGATACGGGCTTGTATATTCTGAGCTCACTGGCCTTTGAGGTCCATCAACGAACGACAAGGCTTCCTATTGATTTGATTGGCGATACTACACCGCTCGAGAGGTCTTCATCGACGACGTCGACGTCGTTTAGAGCAGGAAGTAGGAAGCCCTCAACCGAGGATTTAGTCACGCTAATAATCGAGGGGCACGATCAACATCCTAGAGGCGTATGCAACCGCCTGAGAGAACGAAGGCACTCAACGATGGAAATGAGATGGCTCTGCGATCGCAAGCTCTATGCCCTATGCGAAAAGGGTTGAGACTGTTTAGTTCGATTGGTTCCTGTATTTTCTGATATGTTTTTGCTGTGATGTTCGATAGCGCTCTCCACAAGGATTCAAATGGTCTTTGTGAAAGCTATGTTCATAGAAGATGAGTTTATATATCTGCCTGTAATGAGACTACTTTATCGTCGAAGTGTTCCATACAACCACTGCGCTGTTAGATGCCCATTTCTGGCATTTGGAAGATTCACGATGCCTGTGATGCTGAAGTGAGCGGGGGCGTAGCCTTGCAACGTCAATCTGTTTGCTCACCTCACAGCTGCACATGAGCTGGTTTGTGGACTATCTGTGTATGTATTTACTCTCTGTTGATCTGTATCTGAATGCAATGTCAAAGCCATCTCCGCCGCTGAGATCGGATGAACAGGGATATATTTATCCAGCAATTCCTTCCTAACAGAGTGGTATCCAGCGGGAAAGGAGCGACTCAGACTGACCCCAAACGATTCTAGAGTCACGGGACTCTTTTCCATCACTTTCTCTGCCTGCTCTGTGTCTCGTATGGGCTCGTTTATATGACGTAGCTTGTGCGAGTGTGATAGAAGGGTGGCAAATGGACGAAGAGGGAAAGCTGTGTCTCACATCAGAAAGTAAAAATCAGTCTGCGTCGGATGTCTGCGCTGGCTGCTGGCTTCTAGGCTTTCTGGAACATACGAACTTTGAAATCTGCGAGGAAAAGCGTGAAAGAACAGGACTTTTGGGAAGAAAAGAGACAAAACAGACAGATCAAACTCAGAAGAATCTGACGTCTGTTCCTGAGTCAAGATATACGCGAGCGTGGCTGTTCAACGCTTGTATGAGGCAGGAACCAAATTGAGGGTAGTCGTGGCGCTTTGGCGTTCGTTTAACGCTCTAATATCACTACCAAGACACGCGTTAATCTGTATCAATCTGAAGTTCGTGGAGCGTGCTTTATCTCTGTCAAAAGAAACTGACACATTCAATCATGTTTGTTGAAGATATCGTGGCATGAAGTTGCCGTTTTGCACGTCCAGGAAGCTGAATCGATCTCAACCCATGACGTATTGTACAGATATCCGTTGGCTTATTCAGCTTGTGTAACACTACTTCCTGATTTGGAGATGAATCCGTTGTTTTCCGACGTGCGAGTACCCGCCCTACCCATGTGATGCATTATTTTCTTTCACATGAAAGAGCCTCGGGAATTTTCGGGGTCAGACGGGGCGCCCACTTTCCTGGCGGTCTGCCAGCCCGCATCAGGAGGGCTGATGGAGCCCTGGCCCGGACGTCTATAGAAGGGCCCCCTCCCGCCCTCTCTTCCCTCCCTCCTTTCCTCTCCTCCTCACACACTCTTCTCTCTTCTTTACAACAATACAAGAACAAGAAGCTCCTCTCCTCTGGGAAAAGCATTTCTTCATCATGAACTGGACAACTTTTAATCCTGAACAAATTTTCTCTACCTCTTCCCGAAATGCTTCCCATTTTCACCACATGAGCGATGAGTTTCTTCCCACATTTCTCTTTCCAAGCCGGTAGCCACCGGAATCTCTTTTCTGGATTTCGGCACTTCCCTGCAAAATACAACAAAAACGGTGGCACCGGCAGGAAATTTCAAGACTTTAGCGCTAACCACGACACTTACCGTCTGAAAATCGCATTACCGACCGGTCCAGAAACATGGGCTTCACCTCCATTCTCGCATGCTCGTATTCCGTGGGCCCGCCAGAGAGACAAGGTAGCATACTCACAGAGAGAGAATAGCACATACCCGCCTGGTAGCATTTTCCTAGATGAAAATAGCATATACCTAGAACGGCGTCAATCTCATAGAATGGTGCATCCCGCGGCGACGTCAGAGAGTAGCATATGTCTATTTGGCAGCATTCTCATTTAATGGCGTCCGCCGAGCATGCGAGGACAGCCTGAGGGCGAGCGGGCAAGCTAGCCGTGCGGTGCCGCATGCGAAAGGACCGGTGCCTGCTTGTCGATTCAGAAGATTTGGTGAGTGGCTGTGGTAGCGCTAATGATTCTTAATAGACCGGCAATTTACCTATAGCGGGCAAATTACAACAGCGATCAGTTCGTCCCGTCTGGTTAGTATGTGTTTAGTGGTTTGCTAACGATAATCAGAGACGCTACTTGACAACGACATTCACTATTCGACGACTACATTCCTCGTTCCACAGACTGCACAGACTGCACGCTTCACTACAACAGCTTCCAGTCCGTACTTATTTATCTGTCAGTTTCCTAGAGCCCAGCTAACTTTCACTATATCAGAAACTTCGCGCTGAAGACACCACTCGACGCCAAAACTGCCTGTGCTTGCTACCTGTATCTGAGATACTGCCTACCTGAGCTACTGCTACTCTACTTCAACCATGGACTTTGCCGGTCTATAACTATAAGGGGACGATATGATTATGATGAGATGATTATAGGGGGACGATAGGATTATAGTGAGAGATTATAGGGGGACATAAGATTATAATGAAGGATTACAAGGGAACTCTATGAAATTGGTGGAATACAATGATAATTTCTTATTATAAAACATTACACGTCACTATAACTTGTAGTTAGCTAAAGCGTATAGGTGAAGCCGCAGGGACAAATAAGTAAGCTAGCTTCACTGTGGCCAGTGCTGTCCACTGTCTGCTTAGAGTGCCGACCACTGTTTCCCAATTCCCAATCCTCACGTGTAATTACTTGCCTCCTCCCCTCCCAACTTCATTTTGACTCCCAACTTCTTTACTACCCCGCCATCACCACCTCAACCACAAGTACTACATATATACGTTGATCATTACCGCTGTATTAAGAATCAAGGCACATGCACTGTTCCAAGACAAATTAAGGTGACTCTCAACTGGTTCGCACTCGCAACAAGATACACAGTCTCGCCCTGATCTATAATGGCATCTGGCAGTTTCCAAACCGGTAGCGTACGTATCACTCCAGCACCCTGACAGCTACAGCAACAATCTATCTTTGATGATTTATGAAGTACTAACTGATCTGATCATGCAGCAATCGTCAGCACGCACGAACGGCATTTTCGAAGACGGTGTCTGGAAATGCGACTGTAACCCACCACAACCAGCCGCGCACTACCAAGTGCGCAAACAGGGTCCAAATACCGTACGTCTCTCAGTTTTTTCTCGCGCACTTCAACATGTATCTTGTTTTCTGAGTTTGTGTTAGGGACGTTTTTTTCGTACTTGCAAAACTAGATCATGCCCGTTCTTTCTCTTCGATAAAGTCGCGATCGTGCGAGAAGGAGGTGAACTAGCAATCGATCGATCGCGCCGTACGCCTTCTCCTCCTTTTGCGTCTTCTTTATCGCTTCAGCAGCCCGGCGGAGATACGCGGCAGTTGAATGATATAGTTCCTAGCTCGAGTTTGTTGCATAGTCGCGCGTCGTCGTTCGATAATAGTCAGACACAGACACAGACGCAGACGCAGCATTCGAGAAATAGGACGCAGTCGAATACGACTGCGGTGACATCGCCTAGTCGACAAAGCTCTTTTTCAACTCATCAGATTGCAGCAGTCGGAAGAGGTGGTGCATCGACATCAGGGCAAGCACAAATAGTACCTGGAGCTCAAGGAGCACAATCGGGGGCACAGTCATCCAGCACACCTCGACCGCCTCCTTTGAGTCCGCCACAGCAAAGTGACATATTACATAATTTCGACATGAATTTCATGCCGAAGATAAAGGAGTTGGAGGAGCTGGAGGCAATAATCAAATCCCAAAACAAGAAGATTGAAAGGTATACTAGGTTGATAGAAGAAGGCGGCGGTTGATTTAAGAAAAACGGAGCAGATGGTCATGATGTTAGATAAAAATGAGGTTGCGCGTGATGGAACTACAATATAATGATGAATCTGGCTACAAGTATCCTGCATTTCCAAAGTTGAAAATAGCCTAAAACTTCCGTCTCGCATCGACATCCGAGTATTTCGTCAACAGCGAAGAAAAACTCAACCCCCGGTAATGAACAAGCATCTGTGCGATCGTCTTTATACACTTTCCCGTCTCCTCCGTTGCGCTAATTGGCGTCGAAAGGATATGCGCGAGCAGTATTGCTTCGGGCGCTGCCTTTGTGATTTGCTCGCCGCTGATGGTATAGTACTTGCTTCGACCTCCGCCACTTGCTCGCGCCGCTGTTGCGGTTGCTGGGCGGGGAGTTGAAGAGGCGGTGGTGGCGCTGGACGAGGTACTCTCGCGGCCGTCGAACTGGTAGGTTGAATAGCGCGAGCTGCTGGTTGACGAGGCGGGAGACATTCCGACAGCGGAAGCGGACTGCCATGTAATACTCTGCACCGACGGCTGTAATATTTTTGCAAACCCGTTGCGTCGCAGCAATATGTTGAGCCCATCGTACCATTCTGCCGCGATGTCGAGTGACGGCGAGGTTATTTGTAACAGTAGACTCTCTTTTGATCCCGCTGAACGGTCAGAGGCGTAGAGAGAGATCTTGAATGAGTACTTGTCTTTGCCACCGGAAAGAGCGGCGAGGAGGTTGCTCTGGACCGACGTCGTTCCGGACACCGTCCGGTTCTGCGGCGGGGAAGTAGACTGTGATCCTGATGCTGGCTTGCTGTCTTGTTTGTTCGAGCCGCTGCTACTGTTGGACGACGCTGAATGCTTCCGTGAGGTAGTTCCGGGTTCAATCACTTGCAGTGGAGGCAACTCCATCAAATCATTCAATGAAAAACTGGTGACTTTGACATTATCAGAAACCACGATTCTTGAGACAGATGACAGGTCAAGCTCGTTAGGTAATTCATCTAAGCCTGGCTCTTGCCTTACTCCAGCTGCAGGCTTGCGGTCAAAATCTCCCCATCGTAGCTGATTACGACTGCTCGAGAGTTTTATGAACCGATACGAATAACGGCGGGGTTTGCCGCTGCTTTCGGCGGCCGTGATTGTGTTGCTACTGCTACCAGCGTTTGATGACCCGTTTGAGCTTTTCGAGAACACACTCACGCCGTCGCTTGTCTCAGCCCCTCCTCGCTTCGTGTTCATATTCAGAAAACTTTTTGACGCCGCCGCTGCGCCGTTGAACATACTCTTGGTAATCGTTGACGCCGATTCGGAAACTTCAGGAACGGCAAACCACGAACCTTCTGTCAAGCAATCGACTCGCTGTTTGGCGACGTAGTCAAACACCTCAACTGCAACCTGCCGCTTCAGCAACAGAAGCTCAGACGAGTCAAACAAAAACCGGCCGGTCTGGTCGCTCTCGATGTACTCCATTTGAATCCGACGCAAGGCTCGGTAAGGAATCGAGCTCATGTAGGATTTCACGTCCAGCTTGGGATTCTTGTCGAGCTGTCGACGAACAAATCGAAACATCACGCGCACGAGCTCGGCAACGATCTTGAAATCATGCACGCGCTCGCTTTCGGCGATGCCGAGCTTGACCGGCATTCGCGATTTAGAGTCGCCCCAGATTCGCACAAAGGCAAGCAAGCCTCCGGAATGTAGACTGGACCAGCGCAGGAGGAGGGGCTCGAGTCGGTCGTTTGCCTGCGCACCGCCGGCTGCCATTTGCTGCGTTCGCGCGTTGTGGTCGTAATCTGTGATTCCGAATAGATCGCAGAGGATTTGTGAGACCATTACGCTTGCCTGCACGATTGGGCATTGACGTTCTTCGTTTGGAAGGGCCCACTGCGAATGCAGGATTCTGGCAAACAGCATCGGGTCAGTTTCGATAGTTGACATGAGATCAATGACGCCGAGCCAGCCGGCCTGCTCAAAGTCTTTGACGGGGTCGTCGACATAGCGCACGCCCATCTTGCGCCATATGTATTGGTCCGACAACGTCTCGACATCCTGCACTGCAGCAATCTGCTTTTTTGCAATCCCAAAAAGCGTCTCGAGAGCTTCACGATGATGGTGCCGGTGCTCGATGTCAATCACGCGCTTTTGCCAGCGATGCATGACTTGCATCATTAAAAGCTGGAATTGCATCAACTGCTGCGAAAGGTCAGGCCCGCGACTACCTGCCGGTTCGAGCATGAGCTCAAATACGCGGTGCACAACACCTGTGGTCTGCAGCATGCGCATCAGCCGAGGCCAAGTCTCCATAGCCTTGTGCTCATCCTCGGAAAGATCTTTGTCGTCCGCAACCTGGCCCAGAATGTCGCGCACGGCAAGGTTGATGAGCGTCATGGCGGACAGCACGACCTGATTTTCGGCAAAGCTGAGTTTCCCAACAAGCGAGTGCAGGAATCCGGGATACTTCTCAATGTATTTGAGGAGACGCATGTTTCCCGCGCTGCCGTGAAAAAGGGCATACTTGGGGTCTTTGGAGTAGCAGGCGATCATCGACACAAGGGCGGTCAAAGACGCTCTGAGCAGATTGAATTGCGTCTCGGTCGCGAAAATGTCAATCAACTGTAGCAAGAACGAGGTTAGCTGTGGAGAAGCAGGAGGGGGGTTGGAGAGGCTACTGACCTTGTCGATGATAGCCTCGTCGGGGACTGTCCAGGCAAGTCCCTGATCTACTAGCTTGCTCATCAGACTCAGTGCATAGGCTACTGTGTTTGGCGGATTGTCTGAAAGAAGAATGGAGTGGATTGCATCGAGGCCACCGGATTGGACGTATAGCGAGGCGATGCGCGGGTTCTGTTGTGAGGAAGATGAGATCAGTATGAGTAAATAGTGCGAGGCGTGAGTAGGTCCATACGTCAATGTTGGAGTATAGCTTAAAGATCGCAATTCGCTGGGCTAAAAGAATCAGATACTGTTAGTTTAGATCAGCAGGGACAAAAGGCCAGAACAGGGACCCCGTACCAGACTCGGATGAACCACGGAGACAACCGACGAGCTCGCGGACGATCTCCTCGATCTGTGGTGAATCGGGGTCAATGATGCTCGGAGCGGCAGACGCGGAAGAGAGAAGAGATGCATTGTCGGAATCATTGGAATGCAGGGGCTGGGGAAGGAGTAGAGATCGCGAAGTGGGGAAGGTGGAGGCGGATTGTTGGTCGTCGAGACCCAGGAGCTCGGAGGATGTCATTGGGAGTTAGTGAATACCAGAGCGCGAGGAATCATGCAAAGAAGACGGCCGTCAGCCAAAGACAAGTAGGCATCTAAAACAGAAAAAGAGCGGAAGCAGAAATAGAAGAAGGAGCAGTAAAAAGAGGAAAGGGAAAGCAGCAGAAATCAGGAGAGAGCAATCTAAGAGACTCGCTCGCTCAGGTCGAGATTGATTAATTAACTGCGTGAACTTAATTAAGCTTTAGACTTCAATAGTGGAGCCGATTACAGGTTGGTGGTCACAGTAGTTAAGACGACCCCGCACTAGCCAGGAACGGCTGAACCTACTTCGTCACTAGAAGCAGTGATAGAATACAATGATCCGACGGTACGATAGCGGAAGGAACCACTGAAGACAGCAGCTGTAGACGGAGAACAGCAGCGACTCGTCAAGGACCAAGCGAGGAGAAACAAGACCGAAGCCTCGTTCGCTCATCGCAGATCCCGCGCAGCAGCCTAAACCCCTAAAGCTGCGCCGGCTAGCTCGCGTATATTAATTGAGACCCATTTCTCCCTGCCCATTTGCAAATATAGTGATTCCTCGGCACTTTTCTCTCATTTACACCTATTTATCCGCAAAAGTTGCGTGATGTCAGTTGCTTTTAGCTGTGCTGTTAATGTCACTGTAGGTTGCCTCTGTTCCGCGTCGCCCCTTCCTCCGATCCGGGCCGACTTTGCGCTGCCCTACACTGCTCTGCTCTGGTTCCCGCTTAACTTTGCGACCGCACTTATAATAGCTAACGATTTTTTTTCATTCATTATCGGCAAAACAAAAGACATTCAAACCTATGAGACTCCATAACTTATAATAGCAAAAAAGAGAAGTAGAAAGTAGGGTAGACAATTGAGAGGGGAGAAAAAAAGTGAAGAAGTGGAGAATTAGAATAGAGAGAAAAAAAATAAAAAAAGGAAACTTTTTTACACCATATGCCCAGTTAATAATGAGGTAGATAAAGGAAAAACTATAGAATGAGGCGTGAGGAGAAGACAGAGAAGGCGATAAAAGAAGTGTAAAGAGAAGAAAAAAAAACGAAAAAAAGCATATATAACAAAGATATGCAGACCTTTTGATATTACCGATAGAGAGATCTTATAAGAAAGGAGCACGGCTCGAATCTCTGACCCTCAGTCGACATCCCAATCAACTAATTACCCGCCATAGTTCTTGCAATGACTTCTCAACCGCTCTCGGCAGCAGCAGCAGCAGATGCTCTGCGCTCCTGTCTTTCTTCACTGGTAGACGACTTCCATCGTCCGCCGTTCATAAACACACCGCCTAGTTCTTTGGCCGCGCTGAAAGCATGCGTGACGTGACCCCAGAACCCCTGCGGCTGCTCGATTTCCTCGTCGTCAGAGTGCTCGGATGAACTGTCGACCACCGGGGGCGTGGGCACCGATGCCTCTGAGTTTACACTCGCGGGCCGCTTGCTGCTGCTGATGTTGGCTTTGTCATTACTCTCACTGCTGATGCTTTCGACAGCTTTCACTTCTTTCGCCGCGGCATCTGCAGCAGGCGCAGGCGCAGACACAGGCGTATTATTAATCGCAGAGCTCACAGAATATGCAGGATCGATCTGCGTCGATGGCGATAGCGGCTCGCCGATTCTTCCCCGTGCAAGCACCACACTGTCGCGCCGCAGCGACGAAAGCAAGTTGCTGTCCATATCCACAATCTCCTCGTCGTCACTCTCAGAGGTCGACTCTAAACCACCACCGCTGCTTCGCTCGGCCGAGGCGTCTTCAAGATATCTAGAACGCGCATACGACGATCCGATAACGTGCGTCGCGCCTTGTGCGGCAGCGGCGACAGCCTGTAGGTTTGAGGTCGACGAGCGCGAGGCAATGCTGATGCCGCTCGAGGTCTTCCGAAGGTTTGAGCTCGAGTTGTTGCGCGACATTGACGACAACGTCGGCGTCGGCACGTCTTCGAGGAAATTCGACTCTGGCTCCTCGTCGTGTCGGTGTCTATAGCTATAATCTCCCGACGACGAAGAAGGGTTGGCGGAAAAGTATCCGTCCGATGGCCGAGCCGCTCTTGATCGGTATTCATAATCCTCTTCGTCGTCGCTGCTTAGTCCATGGCGATACCGACGATGCTCTTCATCGTCGCTTCTGTACTCGATGCTAGCTCCATCATCGTAATCGTCATCATCATATTCATCATCTCCATCATCGTCGCCCATAGAGAACGAAACTGTGGAGCTATGGTTGCTGCCGCTGCTGTTCTTCAATCCCGGCATATCGTCAATCTCGGGCACGTACTTCAGTCTCGTGGCCGGCAGCTTGGCGATCGTGTGCGGTTCCAGCGAAGCCGGTCGCTGAAAGGATCCAGATCCAGACCGCACCATGAGAAACAAACCAGGTTCCTCTTCGTCCTCGTCTTCGTCATCTGTCGACGTGACGCTCGAAGTAGCCGAAACCGAGACCGAGTGCGATCCGCTATCCTCGTCGTCATCTTTGGCTTCCAGCGCAATGCACTGCTCGACGCGATCGCTGAAGTGGATGTGCTTTGTCGACGATGGCTTCTGCGCGGCGCTGTCCAGCATAGTCAAACGATCGCTGAAATTAGCCGTGCTGGCCGCATAGCCCCGTGCCACAAGCGATGACGGGAATCGCGGATCTCGACGATCGTCGGGGGATAGAGACATGTATGGAGACTGATGGGATGAGTATGATGCTGTAGTCGGCGTGGTTCCCGGAGCACGCAGGTGTCGCTCCGCGGCAACCGACGCCGCCGCCTGTTTGATTAGGTTCGAGGACGAGACTGACCGCGAGAGCATGACCTCAGACATGCTGCGCTTCTTCAGAATCGGCTTCTTTGAAAGCTTGCTGTTACTTCTGCTCTCGATGGTGTCCGATCGAGCTGAGGATCGCAGGGGAGGAGAGAGCGCGCCGGTGTTGCGGATGCGTTCGGTCGCGGACTCGTTGCTGGGTGAGGAGTCAAGAAAGGGCCGGGTTGTCTGCGTCGCAAGTGGGCCGTAGAGCCAGGTCACGTCGTAGTCCTTGAGCCTAAAGATCGCTATATATTAGAACAGATCCTTTTCACTGAAGATGTCGTAGCACACGCCCGCCCCATCCGCCTTGGCTGCCACAACACACCAAAGCGAACAGAAGAGACGGATGCTTCTTTACTCCGGATGCTTTTTTGTAGACTTGTAGTCCAACGCCACTCTGACCAGGAAAGTATGGCAGATGACAGCACCGGAAAAAGAAAAAAGCAAAAAGGTGACAAAAACGCCATCACGCGAAAATCTTTATCTTCCGTGTGGAAAACAAGGACGCGACGGAAAACAAAAACAAACGATAGAGAAAGAAGATGAGAATGAAACAAAGGGACTACTGACCAGTTGACGCTCTCGGGTGAGACGGTTTTCAGGTTGTATTTGGCCTTTGTCCATGTTCGCCAGGAAGCGTTTTCGAGACGGGCTGAGTTCGCGACATCCTTACGACGGAGGACGATGTAGCGCCAGGAGGAGGAGATATCTGCCTCCTGCCAGTTATGGGAGAGATAGTCGACGTGGCGCGAAGGCTCGTATTGGATGACGGAGTCGTCGTTGGCGGCGTAGAGCAGCTCGGGAGCGGCAGAGACTGCGGGGAGAGCCGGCTGCTGTTCGTCCGGCATGGGCTGCTGGTCGTGAGTGTGCTGCGGCTGAGAGGGCTGTTGCTGCTGCTGGAGGTCCTGCTGCTGCGTCTGCTGCTGGGGGACGATAGTCGAGACCGAGGAGGAGGAGAGCACGGCTAGGTCTGGGGCGGTGAGAGCGGTGTCTGCGGAGGAGACGGACGAGGTCGAGGCCGCGTCCGAAAGCAGGGGCTCAAGAGGTTGCGCTGCGAGATCTGGCGACGGCGACATACGGCCGGCTGATAGAGCAAACTACAGCCAGGAGGTCAGGGAGGGAGAGGAGAGGATGAGTGCGGACCAGGAGGGTGGGATGAGGAGGGGCGGGTGAGGAAGGCGGAGTGGGAAAAGACGGACGGAGGGCAACGGACGGAGGACGAGCAGCAGGCGCGGAGGATGAGAAAGGACCGGCAAAGCTGCGGACTGTCAGCCGTTTAGGTGGGCGCTGGTTTGTTCACAAACGAACCGGAACCGGGAGGTGGTTCAGCCCTAAAGCCTAAAAGCCGAATAAAAGTTCTGAACCCGATCGTCTGAGACCTTGCGCAAACAGCAGCGGACAGGACGAATCGGTAGACAGCGCTCCGCGTGCTTTATTGTTCTGCGACGCCCGGGCAGGGACTGGACAACACAGCACAGGAAGGCCTGGGCAGATCCCGGAGCGGATAGTGAACCGGGTACAGAGCGAGAAAATGGCGAGAGAGCGCGCGAGTCATGGGCCGGTTGCTGGTCTTGTTTATTTACTATCGCTTTGTCACACGACCTGGCTGTTTGCTGGTTAACTGTGTTCTTTGTCGGGCATTCAGACACCCCACGAAGTGAACGTGCCTATACGCGCGCGAGCACCGCTGCACCAGCAGCCGCCAGCCGCAACAGCGCTCGTCTTATCGTCGTCTTATCTTTCGGAGACAATGTAAATCACACAGTATTGAATATTCAGATCATAAGCGCACACTCATCTCGCGTAGTGCAAACAGGGACAGCGCGCTTAGTTTAGTACCCTAAACGCCTTTGTCCCCACGTCCTCCTCCTTCGTACGCCGAACACGACGAGGTCTGAGAGGGTGCAGGAGCATTATATAGCTCCAAATAGTGTAGATTCTTGATTACATATATTTACTGATGCAGATAATCAACTTTTTTATTCTTCTTATCCACTTTTAAGCGCATCGAAACTTCAACAATTTTCAGTTTATATTGGGCCAGACCAATTTTTTTGTCGTAATTGGTCTTATGGCCCAGTTGGTTAAGGCATCGTGCTAATAACGCGAGGATCTGCGGTTCGATCCCGCATAAGACCAACTCCAATTACTGATTTTTTTTGCACTTTCTGTACTTGTATGAAGTGCTGAGAGATTTTTTATTTTGTTTTTTCTTTGGAATCGTTTGGGTTATTATGCACTGGTGGAGAGGGATAAGTTTTGGATACTAAAAAAAGTAGACTTTGCTACGACAGTTTCGTACAATAGGACTAGAAATAGAAAGCACCGGCTCGCCGGGAAGATCACAGCCAGCCATGCGGTCGGTCAGCTAGTCATATTTGTAGATCAGAGCAGAATATAACATATCATTTTTGCTAGAAACAGAAAAATAAATATCGACAGTGGCCGGAAAGGGCGCAAGCAAGGAGGCCTGCAGCTTAGCGAACGAACCGGGGGATCAGGATGTAACTGACGCGCCATCCAGGGAACCCAGCAGGCAGGGTTTTGGTGATCCCTGCGCTCTGAAGCTCTTTACCCGAAAGCGGTTTTTGAGAAATCGCCACAGTATTATTACCAGCAACGGCACAAACACGAGCTGGAATGAAAAATTTTTCGGTCTGTTCAGCAGGTTTTTTTGCTAGCTGAGGTTCGGCAAGTTCATACTGGCGAATAGAATTTTGGTCTGGGCCCACGGATTGTACGGGTAGAAGGGGCGTCTGTGCTTTTCGGAAGGGTGTCCGACCGCCTGAAAATAGTTTTTCCGACAACACATCCGAAGCGCGAGAGCAGAGAGAGAGGAAGACGAGTAACAGAGGCAGAGAAGAGCGTGGGAAAGACGTCCGAAAAGAAAACCATCGCCACCGCCGCTCTGCCTTCTTCCCGGGGTCCTTCCTCAGTTCTCGCACGAGTCCTGTTCTCTGTCATCGCTCCCCGAGACACCATCTCCGGTTCTCTCGCTCTATTTTAGCAACAGTTGTTCGCTTTCGGTATATAATCCCTCGCACCTCCGGTTTCAAAAATCCTCTCAGAAACCTCCTCGCTCGGCTCACATTACCTCGGCTTTCCCCTAAACCTCCGCTCCTGCTCCGTTTTCTTCCGTATTCACCCATTCACTTCCCTAATCGCTCTCTATCTCCATTGTCTCTCGCCTTATTCTCGCTGCCCGAAACAGATCGGCCTTCTCTGTCACATCCGCTCTTCTTCCGCCCCGTTGCCTAATCAAGGCTGGCGGCGACTCACTAAACCGGTTCACTGTCCCGATTTAGACTCAACCAAACCCTGCCTATTGCCCCATCCATCATCCCCTTTCCCCTCCCCCACTCCTCCCTTCTCCACCCCACTTTATCCTTAGTCAGCGTACAATCACGGGTCCACCTGATCCAGCTCAATCACCTCGAGTCTCGAGCAGTGTGAGCGTCCTGTGATCAAGCTTGTCTACTATTGATCGTCATTAGCCCTCCTTTTCTCCTTCTTTTCTCTTTCTTCTCTCTTCAGCTCCGGCAACAAATACGCATACGCCAGCTTAACCTCAACCCGCACTAAGGCAGGTGCAAGTGCTAGCAAGAGCCAAGAACATCGGCTCTGAGACATTGTCCCCCATGATCTTCCGCCCTAACCCAATGACCTGGTTCGGCTCCTTAACTCGGCTTCTACTCCATTTAACCCCCTCTTCCCTCCACATGACTTCCTGTGCTTGGACCCACTGTGCGTAGCTGGTTTGCTCTGTTTGAGATCGCGGAGGACTGAACTGAGTAGAGAACGTTGATTTGGTGTACTACTACGAACTGGCTGATGTGTACGCGAGGCAGCAGCCACTAATCACGTGTTTGATTGCTTGAATTGGATTATTACAAAAGAATGCAGATTTAGACAGATCATATGAAACTAAGCAAAAACACAGCTAAAAAGTACATCCACGCCAACATATGCGCTCTGAATGTACCCAACTCAGGGGAAAGTACCCGGCTCGAGACCGAAATACCCCTTCTCCGGCAACGCGAACCGCGTCGCCGACGTGCCATCGATGCCGGCGTCTGAGACGGTGTTTCCCCACCAGGTGATTGGTTTTGGTTTATACTGGACGCTGAAGAAGATGATGATTGCGCTGAATGCAACGCCGGCGGTCATGGCGGCGGAGAACACGTAGTTGTATTTCTCCCACCAGGCGAGGTAGCGGCGGCGGATGAAGAACATGAAGATGGCGGAGAGGTAGAGGTTGCCGGTGTAGTAGGAGAGGTTGTAGGGTGACCAGTTACCTATGCCGCCCACGACCACGCAAATATTTACATACCTTTGATACGTTAGTTTCTTAGCTATTCAAAATGACTACAACAAAAACATACCGGAACTGCTTGGGAAACTTCCACGTCAAGATGTAAAACACTGGTGCGAGAAGCAGGCCAACCAAAAAGCACCAGCTAAAGACGCTGTATACGCCCTGGAACGTTCGAAGCGGTCCAATTACCTACATCACTTGTTAGTATCTCGCTCAGCACTGAAAGAAAAAACACAAAACAACATACACCCCACATCACCGAAGCACTGTAAATCGTCTTAATACCCGGGCAGCTGAATCTGTCCGGCTGATCGGAATCGCAGAGTCCGTCAATATTCGACAGCTGCCAACTCAAGACACCAATCGAGACCAAGCACTGGAAAATAGTAGTGACCATCTGCCCTCTAAACACTCCCATTGGCGCGACTTTTGCGTAATGCGCCATCTTCTGATCGATCACGTACGTCTCGGCCTGTTTCTCGGTCTGGTAGCCGTAGCATTTCAAAACGAGGTTGGCAAGTCCGTTGCCGGGAAACATGAAGCCTGCAATCATTTCCGACATGACGGAGATTGACATTTGGAATCCGGTCGTGGCTTGGATGATTGAGATTGGGATCAAAAACACGATCGAGACAATGATAGTGACGACGATGCCGTAGACCGCGGTCTTGCTCTCGGTCCTGTACACTTCGACGCAAACCACGCCAAAGACAAACGAGAGAAACAGAATGACAAGATAGTACCAGTCCGGTACCTCTTTGTACTTCGCCATCATCCGGCAGTGCGGGTCTTGCTGTGCGTCGTAGTTTGACCGGCCGTAGCGCACGCTTTTCCAGAAATCTTTGAAGCAGGAGGCGATAAGGCGCCAGTCCTTGAGGAAAATGTACACCAGCGTGAGCGGATACATTGCAAAGTATGAGCCGTAGGTGACCATGAATCCAGCCGAGTAGTACGGCGGAGAATACTCCTGGTACTTCTTTTCGTCAATCAAGCCGTTGGTTAGGATCCGGGAAACATTGTACGACTCGTTGAATCGATCGCGCAGATCGTTGGTGTTGACGGGGATGTATCCGGCCCATTTGTAATTGCCGTAGTAAACCCCCAAGATGCAGAACAGTCCGAGCACCATTCCAATGTACTGATTGACGCACGAGAAAAACGGCACCGAGAGCGCGTTGTCATAGTTCAGGATATTCCAATCAAACGACGGAATCGGGTTGACGCCCAACCCGAGCGAACTCCCGGTGATGATTGCGAGATTGAAGTTTTGCGGTGCGATCCAGGTCATCCAGTTAAACGAGCTCAAAGCCTGGAATAGATACTGCGGCAGCCAAAAGTAGCAGAAACTGGCAATGAAGGTGGTGATGAAGAACTTGTAGGAGGAAATCGTCCAGCCGTTGATGCTCTCCTTCCGCTCGGGTTTCATCAGCGCGCGGTTGGTCGCGATTGTGACGAGCGCGGTCGGCCAGACCATTTTGACGGGGTAGCATACCCAGCGGCGCAGAAGACCTGCGAGACCAAAGCCGAAGAATTGGGACGAAAAGTTCATCAGGAATTCGTAGCCGAGATGTACTGGGATGCCGTAGTATTTTGTGAGTTGCAGAGTGAGGATGTTGTCCTATTTAATGTCAGAGATAGCATATTGATGTGTGTTTCCAAGTTATGTTTACCCTTGTAACGTAGGTACCTATCATTAAAAAGATGTCAGATAAGAACACTTTATTGAGCACAAAGTCTTTACATACCACCGTTAGCGACGTTGACCATCAGCGTTGCCAGCATTTGCTCTAAAACAATTTAGCACCAGATCTATATCTGCACCGCTACAAATAGTGTATTCAAACCTTTGAAAGTCTATACGACTGTTAGTCCTGCACAAACTATACGACATCAAACAACTAAGTATACACACCCACGGACCAGGATTCAATGAATGCCTAGTACCCCAAAGAGTAAACCCCCAATCCGGCATCACGAGAGCCATAAACTTTCCGCAAGGAAACAAAAAGAGCTGGATAACCGCCGACGTAATCAAAATCGACGGTTTACGAAAGGTAAAGAATTGACTGACACCGGTACCAATGATTGTCCAAATGATAGCCAAGAAATAGACGCGCATGGTCTCTGAGTATATCGTCGGATCGTCGAACGGATCAGTCACGGAGCGCACTTCGGGATACGGCGAGTAGAACCCAATCAAGCACGCCTCGGTCTTGAGGTCAAAATCATACGTCTCCGGATCAGCACCAAACGCGTCTTCGCCCGCGACAAGCAGCTTAATCTTCTCCATCGTCTCAGCCGGGAAATTGACATCGTCGTTGTGATAATCGACGGCCGCGATAAGAATCTCGAGCGCCTCCTCGCGCGAGATAGTCAGGATCTTGTCGAGAACAAAGTCGATGTCGCGCGAGACGGCGTTCAGGTGGTCGTCGCGCGCTTTGTTGCCAAACCGGTCGAGGATCTTTTCACGCATTTCCTGCGTGATTTCGGGAGAGGATTTCTCATCTTTGACAGAGAAGGCATCGGTGACAGTCACTATGGGCTGGGTCCCTTTCTTTTCGTCATAATCGGCGCCAATGTCGTGGTCCATTGTTGCTCACAGCAAGTTAGAGCGCAGTGAGAGGTGTGGGTTTGCAGAACAACGGAGGACAGACATGAGAGGTGGTGGGGCCCGTTATATACGAACATGATAACCGCAGGTGACATGTTCAACGAACAACTCAATGTGAGCATTAGCATGAAGCTAGCGTGCTCGTAGCTCGAAAGATGCGCGATATAGGACTGATACCGCAAGACTGCGGTACATCAATGCTATATCCTCTGCATACATGAGGCTACAGCAGTAAAGGAGCGGAGATGAAAGATATCCACAAGCCCGAGTACATTATAGGGAAGGCGTCCGATAAGAAGACCTGTAGCGCCAAATCTTAGTCGCCAGACTGTACACCGTAGACCGATTGTCTTAGACTTCTCCTAAAAAAGGCAGTTTTAGTGCAGGCCTGACGATTGCCGGCGAGAGAACAGGAGAAGAGTGCGCCGCTGTCGGAGCGGAAATCCTGACTGGTTTCCGCCGTCGATCGGTTCTGGTACCGGTACGCGATATTCGGCTGCTCCGATATATCAATTGAAATAGAAATAATAGAAAATGTTCAGAATTATTGATCATTAATGTTTATGAGAAGTAGATGCCACTACAGGTCCACAGACAAGAATCTTTCTCGTGTTGACAATCAGCGGGTATCTAAACCCTAGCGCATCTCGGAATAGATTCTGTGCGCCGCCCGGGCCAGTCTCTGTTCCTAATCGAATAATAACCGACGGTGCACTGCCGAGGCGTTATTTCCCCTGTGAAAAGTTCGTGATGATCACGATACCTCGTTTTTCGAGTAGGGTGGATGCGGTACATTGTTTTTAGTGCAGATAACGGGAGATGGCTGGCTGGCTAGTTGGCTCTTGAGATAGAAAACACTCTGTTCGTATCGTCCTCGGATCCCTCCCGGAACCCCTACGCACCGCTCGTCAAAAGCCACCGACATCCTCATACTTACATGCGCCTGTGCTCCTCTATGCAGTATAGTCCCTGTCATCTAAAATACATTCATCCAGTAGAAAGAAGAGGGATTTTGCCAAGCACATCCTGCAGCTAGTGGCTTCGGCCACCAAGCCTCGGCTGCTGGGATAGAAGCTTAGCACGGCTGTCCCGACGGAGCGCAGAGCTGCAAACTCGGATTTTTGGATTTGTAAGATTGTCGAGCGTGAGACATCGAGTTCGAGTTCTGGCAAAGTCAATGCGGGTTGAGGGATTATCTGGCAGATATGAGTTTGCTGATAGGACGGACTATTTAGATATTAGAATGTTTATAAGCTCTTCGTACCCCGCCTATTAAAAGGAGATTTTATGAATACGCCCAAGATAGTGCGGATGAGTGAATGGGAGGACTGACGATAACAGAGGTCAACAGATCAAGCCATGTCTCTCTCTCAAAAGTGCCGCACCGGTGGTAACTCCGGCTTGTGTGTTGGCGAGATTAAACGGTTTGTCTGTACTATTTTTATACGAATCGCGGAAAAGTTGAAAACATATGTCAATTCTGAATAATAGCGTCTGGTTGATGGTAATAGAACGAGGTGCTGTCATTTGGGAAGGCCGTATAGCGAGAGATGGAGGGGCTTTAGAGCAGTAACAGAAACAAGCTCAGTGATTGATTGTGCACAGCTGAGTAATCTATGAAACCGCAAACAACAACGAGCCTGTCTTATACCTATCCTCAATTAAACCCTCAACCAAAAGCAATAAAATCCCAGCAACCGGTTAATAGCTAAGTAAAAGTAAAAATGTACGTAATTCAGCGAATGTACGCAGTTGACTGTAATCCCAAGGGCCCTGTACTCTCTCTGGTTCTAGGCTGTGGCGCCAAAAGTCGGCAGCTTAGAAAGAAAGCGCCGGTCCGGGGAGTTAATCGCGAATTTTCGATTTTCTGACTTTCTGGAATCTACAAACTCGAGAGATTCAATCTACGACTTCTACTATTGTCTGCAAAAGAAGGAAATTGGTGACACGTCAATTATCTTTGTTTCTGTTTAGAAGGTAAACGGTCCTTTACAATCGTCTGGAAACGCAGTCGAAAGAAAGACAGTCAATTCAAAAGGATCAGCATATATCCAGGCCAAGTGGCGGGATGACGGCGGATAGCATTCGGCGGCAGAACGAGCAAGAAGGGATCACAGTAGTTCAGAGGACATTATCAGCATGCTCTGGATCTCTGATAACTTCGCTAGTCAGTATGTTTTACATTGTGTCTTGTTGTCTGATGGTGGAGAGATGCTGACGCAGTGTGTTTTGTAGTAACTCCGCTAGATGTCATTCGAGTGCGGTTACAGCTCCAAGATAGTCTACAGCCTTCGCGACACGCTTCACATTCGGCGGTCAGCACGGCGGCTACCGAGTTCAAATCATACCCATTCCCGCGGCTAAACCCGTCGGAAATCGCGGCGACTGATTTGGGCGTTACCGCGTGCTGCCGCGATGTCTTCAATATCCCGTCGACAGTCGACTACTGCGTCGCCTCACACTTTGACGAGTGCGCGGTTCAGCAGTATTCGCAGCGGCATATTTTTCGGGGGACATTTGACGGCTTCAACAAGATTATTAAGAACGAAGGCGCGTCTGCGTTATGGCGAGGATTGTCGCCCACGTTGGGAATGTCGATCCCAGCAAATGTCATTTACTTTGTAGGATATGATCATTTACGGCATAATGTCCCCATCCAGAACGACACACTCGCGCCACTTGTGGCAGGAGCATTTGCCCGAACACTTGCGACCTCAGCTATTTCCCCCATCGAACTATTTCGAACACGACTCCAGTCCCTAGCATCACCTACAGCGTCCACCTCCTCGTCAACATCAACAACAACCAGCAAAATGCCGTCTTCGTCACGAGAAGCATTCGCCACTACCTTGGACGGAATCAAAGTCATGGTTCGCCAGCAAGGCGTCGCGTCGCTCTGGCGTGGCCTCACACTAACACTCTGGCGCGACGTCCCGTTCTCGGCCGTGTACTGGGCCGCCTACGAAAACATGCGCACGCTCCTCGACAAATACAACCAGTCGCGCCAGCAACCGCTCGGCGCAATCAACACCCCTCTGCAACCCCCGAGCGAGTTTGCGACGTTCCTGCAAGCCTTCCTCTCCGGCGCCACAGCAGGCAGTTTCGCAGCCTTTGTCACGACACCTTTCGACGTGGCCAAAACGCGGCGCCAGGTCCTGCGGAATCGAGACCCCTCGCTCGACGGGATGCTTTCGATGCTGCGCAACATCGCCGAGGAAGAAGGCGTCGCGGGCTTGTTCAAGGGCCTCGTGCCGAGAGTTATGAAGGTCTCGGTGTCGTGCGCAATCATGATTTCGTTCTACGAGGTCGGCAAGCGCATCTCTATGAGGTCTTCTGCGGCGTCGCGCGCGATCTTTCCGGCTAGTGCTGATGGCGCGGGTGGTGGTGCGGAACATAGCGCGGGCGTGTCACAGAGAGATGCAGAGGAGATCATCATTGCGGTCGAAACCGAATAGACAACCAAACTAGAGCAAAATCACACTGGGTTTTAATTTCATTTTACATCTTCCTCATTATTTTATGGATGCCTTGTATATTTCTATTCACCTTTATTTCCGGTTATATCCTCCATTTTCTGATCACGGTTTTTTTATATTTTTTTCATTATACAGGTAGTTTGGGTTTCTTGTCATTTTTTTTTAGATTTATATAACATCTGGATCTACATAATCTCTACTTCACTTCTCTATCCCGGATACATATTTTTATTGTATTTTTGGGGCTGCATGACTATAGTTATCGTGTATAATACAACAGCTATATTTACCTTGTTCATTCGTTCTAGTTCTACTAGGTACTAAAGAACAAAGATAGTTTTTATAAATTACAAGAACTTCTTCGACAGAGAACAGCATTTACAGAAGGGGAAGGCACGACTGGGCAGTTCATCAGATAGATCATATTGAGTTAATCGATAGACGATACAGAACAGAGTGACAAAGAAACGAAATAGGTAAAGACAGCACTCAAACAGAACATCCCGAAACAGAAACCAGACTCAGGACAACAGACACGGTATCAACGCAAAGGGGAAACGATGCTAGCAGCAGCAGCAGCAGCAGCAGCGTACTGCTCCCCAAACCCGCCTGAGCGCGCATACTCCGCATTCGCCTCCTCCTCCTCCTCTTCCTCCGTCCCGCAAATCGGACGCTCGTCAACAAGAGTATGGCTGACGTTTGTGCAATTAGTCAGCGCGCCCGGCCGCCAGGTACGCAGCTCGTCCTCGAGACGGCTCATAAGCTCCCTTGCCGCGCGCTCGCCGCCGTACTCGGGGATAGATTGGCCGGGCACGATGACGTCGCCGTCGAGCAGTCTCGCGATCCGGCGGCCGTATTTCGCCAGGACGAGACCTCGCTCGCAGCGTTCCTGGAGTGCGTCAAGATGACACTGCGCCGCCACGCGGAGACGTTCACGGGTAGCGTTCTGGAGCTGCGCGTCGGCGACGAGGCTCTCTGCGTCTGCGCGGACGATCTCGCGCTGGAGCTGCTCGACCTTGCGTTGCTGCTTGGCGATGTTCTCTTCCTGCTTGATGAGCTGAGAGGTTGTTAGTTGGGAGCTGCCGGAGCTCATGGAGGTGGGGGAGGACGCGCTGTTGGAGGCGGCCAGGGCGCGGTTGAGCTGCTCGCGCAGCTTTGCCTGGTGGGCTTTCACTGGCTTGATTGAGGACGCGACGTCGAGGATGGTGGCGAGCGAGTCCTTGAACTCCTCAAGCTGGCTGACGTACCTCATATCCACCGACGCAACCTCGTGAAACACAACGCCAAACTTATCCGCCACGTCCGAAACCGCGAGGTCGCCGGTGACATCGCCCCAGTCCGACAGCAGCTGCGCGGTGGTGCACGCGGCGCTGGCGGCGGATTTGTAGTGCGAGATCACGGGTGAGAAGGATTTAACAAGGCGGGAGAGAGGGGAGTTGGGGATTGGGAAGCGGAACTTGAGGGGCGAACGGGAACGCGAGGGTATGGCGATCATGGTGGATGAGAGCGGGGAGAGCGGGACGTCGTCTGACGACTGCCGCGAGCGGAAGGAGAGAGCACGTTGCCTATAACATAGCAAGAAATTAGCAGAAGTGCTATAGAGATATTACGCAATAGATTGGAAGTTAAACAAACATGGTGTGTAGAGATAGCAAGGTTTGTAGAGCAGGAAATTGTGTGGATAAGAGTAAGGAAGAGAGTTGAGATCTTTTGAAGTGGACGGTGGACGAGGTTATGAGCACGCCGCACCTTCCAATTCGGCCTGAACTTTAAAATGTAAACACTGAACAAATACAACGATATTATCATTATGAACAGAAATTACTCAAAAACTAGGAAAACGACATGAGAAGATTCAATGCTATACCAAAAATACAAATACAAACTACAAAATAAATAAAAAACCACAAAACCCCATTATTAAACTCCGTTAGTCTTAAAATGACTGCAGTCAGACTCAATATCCAATCGGCTTCACACCATTCTCCGCATTGACATGTTCGCCCTGCAACTTGAGCAAAAGCCACGACGGTAGCAGCACAGGTCCAATTAATGGCAACCCTGCCTGTCCCGTAGCGCGCCACTTGCCCATCGTCAAAGCAATCGACTCGACTTCCGGCGGGCTGTAGTTCTTCACGGGTTCTTTTCCGGCGATCAGAGATGCGATGTTTTGAACAATCACAGGAAGAGCGCCGTGGGCTTTATTTGCGGTCTTGGCTTCTTTGACGTCTGTGATGTCGCCGACGGCGAAGACGGTGCCGTCTGAGGCGGGAGAGTTGATTTGGAACGTAGGCTTGACGCGGACGCGGCCGTGGTCGTCTTTCCATTCTGATGGCATCCAGTCCGTCGCCGGTTTCTGGCCGTAGAGCCTGAAAACCACGTCGCCCTTGACGGTTTCAATAACTTCCTTCTCGCGCACCTTGCGGTTGACAGTAACCGTGCCGTCGCCGTTATCCACACCTTTTGATTTCAACATGACTTCGACACGCGACTGCAGTAAATACGTGAGCACTTTCTGCCGCAGCTTTTCAGAGTACTGGTCCGAGAGCGGCAGTTTGCCGCTGTGGACCAGCGTCACTTTTTTGGTGTTGCGGAAGCGGTCGTTGATCTCGGCTGCTAGTTCGCAGCCCGTGGCGCCGCCGCCGATGATGATGAGGTGGTAGTTGTTTTGGATGGTCTCGCGCATGGAGGAGAAGTAGGAGAGAATGTCGGCGTGGGTGGAGTAGGGGATTTGGTTGGGGGAGCTGTAGCTTGTGCCGGTAGCGACGACCTGTAGGATGTTAGTCTGATATCTAACAAGAAACATCATGTGTAAACAAAACCCATACCAAAAAGTCGTATCTCAGCTCCTCGCCGGAAAGCAACTTTACAACCTTTCCCGCCTCATCAATCTCAACAGCTCGATCGCAAACCACCCGTCCAAGCTCTGGCTTTTTGGCAAATATCCGATCGTACGGCTTAACCTCGAACTCGGCCACGTCCTCGATGCAGTTTCGGACATTGAGCGGCATGTAGACAAAGTCCTCGCGAGGCTCGACGAGGGTGATGTGGATCTTTTGCGTGAGACTGTTTGACGAGTCGCGGAATTTGGCGACGAGGTAGGCGCCAAACATGCCACCGCCGACGATGACGATTTCTTTTTTTTCCATCGTGTGTGGTTTTGCGTTCGTCGTTGGGTGTATGCTGGTCGTAGGAGAACTTGCTTCGAGAATAGACGAGACTTTGTCAAGACAGACGTTCTGTCAGTAGGAAGAGGGGAAGACTCGATCGAGTTAATTGACGACGACAGCAGAGGTGGAGTAGAATTGCAGACGGGAGTTTCGACAGCGCAGGACAGACCGTTCTAGACAAACGCGGACAGGTTCCGGGGCCCGTGCTAGCGACCACACCACCCACGAGAGCAGCAGGCAGCCACCACCACCACCAGCTTGCGGGAGTTGATTTCGTCGGGGATCTGCTTTTGCTGTAGATCGGGGAGGTTGATTGTTGCTGGGTGCTTGGGATCTGATAGAGACCTGGAGGGCAGGATGAGGAGCTGCGAAGTGATGTACCTGACGATAAGAACTGGGAAAAAGAAAAACACAGAAATCTTATCAGTCTCGAGTTCTTTGATCCACCCTCTTCCTCTACTCTACACTCCTCTACTGCTTAGTCTTCTAGTATTGAGTTGATTCTGAGTAGTCTCTTCTATCTTTATCTATTATAATTATCTCCCTACTGCTGTGTTTACATTCCAAGCCAATAATTCGAAATAAGCTGGCTCTACCGAGGAGGATGCAGCACCCTAGCCCAACCCCATTCCACCGGATCTGATTAGATCAACCGCCCTACGATCGCGATGACTTGAGTCCCGCCATCAGGACTGGCGTATTTTGGGCAAAAAACAGTAAACTGGATGAGAAGAGGTGTAAGGAGATGGAAATTGTATGGGCGAGTTTTTGGGATCTTGGATACTGGAGACTTGGAGGGTAGTGGTGCGGTTTTGATGCGTATACGTGAAGCCGTATAGATGTATTATCAGTGGATTTGCACACCAACTACTCTCATCAGTCAACTGAGACTCAAAAAGAGCAGTCCAGCACTGTAGAATGTTTTCCCAATCTCTCTTCGAAAGAAGAAAGAAAGCATTGGCTTCTATTTCTGTATCTGCCAATGTGTAAGCAAAGGGCCTTGTAGAGTAAACAGAGTGACGTAATAGTGCATCTGAATGAAAGCAGACAATGAGCAGAGCAGCTCAAAGCACAGCCTCCGCACAGCCCTTTTGGAATTAGATACTCATCCATTGCGTTCATTATTCCTATTTAATACAAACCAGTGACTAACCGACCTTGAAATTTACATTTCTGAGAAATCATTTTGGATATCATGGCACCGCTTACTTCTGCTGATGCTGCTGCTGAGCAGTTGTCACTCGTCAAGCGTTTTTGGGGCGGATACGGTGTGTTTATCATCTTTCCTTGGATCAAAGCAGTCAGTTGACCAAATTCAGCCGTGTTCTGAGGACTAATCTCTTTATTTCTCTGTTATAGGATGCTCATATTACAATAACTGTACTGGCTGGTATGTAGATCCTTGCTTTCTTCTTCTCTCACCCGCGGTCGCTGATCTGGGTTATTCTCCTTTTTGTTTAGGTACTATTGGTAAGCTGCTGTCGACATACCCACAACTGATATCTTGCTTGAATTATTGTCTAACCGTCGAATATTCGACATAGGGGAAGATGGGTGCTTTTAGGAGTTATTCTTGTCGTTGCCCTGCTGTGCTGCTGGCTGTGGGTGTACGTACCGCTTTTCAACTTTGTTATTGCGTTTGTCACATCTTGTTTGCTGACGCCTTTTATTTTTTCATTCGCAGATGCACGAGAAATAGAAAACGCGCAAAGACAGGGTATGCTATTCCAAATTTCTTCTGTCTTTTGGATACTGTCGAGTAGAAACTAACTAGTGACAGACAACCTCCCGCCTACGCAACAACCTGGATGGGCCCCGCAGGTGGCTACTACCACACCCAGCAACCAGTGCAAACCCAACCCACCGGCCCAGGTCCTTACTACGCCGGCGCGCAGCAACAGAACCAGTATCAACCGCCTCCGCCTGCGTACGGCACGCATCCGCCCGCGAACGATCCCTATCCCCAGCAAACCGGTGTCGGCAGCGGCGCGGCAGACACGTACTACTACGGCCAGGACGGATCGAACAGTAACTCGAACGGCAACTATAACAACGCTACTGCGAGAGAGGAGTACGAGATGCGTGATTACCCGCCGCCGAACTCGCCGCCTCCTTCACATGCAAAGTACAATTCGTAAGAGAGTGTGAGATTGTGGAGAACAACGCGATCGAGGGAGTTTTTGTTTGGGAGTTCCTGCATGATCTGTGTTATTGTATATTTGCTATATCCTGGGTAATTTGTGTGGTGTACGTCAAGCTTTGTGTCCCGGTCTTCTTTACATATGCTTTGTTTGTTTGTTTGCTTATAGTCTTGGCTTGGATACTTTGAGAAGAAAAAGAGTAGGTAAACGCGGACGAGAAAGAGTAATAGTTTGGGTTGGTGTTTTGATAGCTTGTAATGTACTTTTTCGTGGAATTCGATGGTGTATTGCATCACATGCATTCGCACTCTATTCTATCTATCTCTCGAGAATAAGCAAGAAGACACCTCCAACGGATTGGAAGTTCTATAAGAAAATTTTATGGAAGGAATGATAGAGAGGAAGAAATGCTAATGAATAGTCGACAAAATGAGATATAGAAGAGAAACAGGTAAAACGAACCGGTCGCCCCCGGTTATGAAGATACATTGATAAATCTCGGATATATAAACATAATCCCAACTTTCTCACACTTGGCTCACTAACTCTCATTCACCCTCTAAAAGTGAATAGTAAAAAGGAAAAAGAAAAGCAGAGTAAACGACCCATATCGCAAGCCTTGTAGAACCAGCAACCACATATCGCCATATAAAAAAATAAATCAGACAGACATAACGAAAACAAAGCAAAGAGAACCCCGTTGTAAGAAATTGTAAATGGACCCAAAAAGCAAAGAGGAGGAATGGTGAAGGGTCACGGAAGATGTGCCTGGGGGGGTAGTTGATGTTGATGTTGATGTTGATGTTGATGTTGATGTTGATGGATCGGATTGGATTGATAGATTGCCTTGATGAGAGAGATAAACGCCTTTTGCCTTTTGGTGTATGATTCGATCCAGTTTCGTCTTTATCTTTCTTTGCTGTCTCCTTTTTTTGTGTAATTTTTCTTTCGCGTCTAGTAAATATGAGGAGAGCGCCCGTTTGATTTCATATGAGAAGGGTCTGGTGCGCTGAAATGCACAAAAGGAAATAATATCCACCTTGTTTCAGACCGCACACTTCCTGTATCTAGTACCGTTTTCCCATTCTTCCCATCTCGATGTTATCATCATCCAACTTTGCGTAGTTCTTGTTCGCGTACTGGTTGTTGTTGTAGTTGTTGTAGTTTCCGGGCGGCGCGGGAGGACCGGCGTAGTACGGCTGCTGCGGGTTGATGTTGTAGATATTTGGCGGGGCCTTGGCAGCGCGGGAGCGGGGATCCCGTCGCGTGCAGCAGAGGCCGCAGCATTTGGAGCACAGCCAGCACGCGGCTTCGGTGCCGTAGAAGACGATGCGGATGATCCATGCGCAGAGGGAGAGGACTAGAGATGAGCAGAGGAGGGTTAGTCGTGGTGGATCAAGGGTGACGGGCGCCGGCGGCGAGGAAGGGGGACGTACCAACGAAGACGGCGAGGACAATTCCAACGATGGCGATGACTTTGCAGCCGGTGTTGGCCATGCAGGTATCCCAGTGTTTGAATGCTACAAAAGAGTCAGGAATGAGATCAAAGAGAGGCAGGACGAGGGGGCATGACATACACTGGGCAAAACTGACGACTTTATCAGTAGCGTTATCGACGGTACTCTCGGCATCGTCGAGGCTGTCGCGCTTCTCGAGCAGGGAGGCGAGCATCGCCCGCTGGATATCGTCGGAAATAAACATGTCTGTGGAAGTAGTAGTAGTAGCAGTGATCTGGTGAGGCAGAAGGAGGAAAAGCGAGGCAGGAAGGATTTATAGATGGAAAGAGAGGAGGAAAGAGAGAGAAAGGCTGTGTTCGGCGGTGGTGAAACCTCTTCACGCGGCGGTCTGAAAGGGTCAAAGTGTCTGCAAACCTTAATCGGCTCTGCGATAGCTCATTGCTCGCCCGGTGCTCCTCTTCTGCTGTTTGCAGATGCTGGACCATCCCCAACAACGCGCATTAATAGCTCAATAATAGATTTTTTGCATCTATTTACGCTGCTTCTTCTTTTAACTCACATGAACAGACCGAACAAAAATGATATAAAATATCAATTTCGGGGGAAAATAACTCGCCGCAGTTTCCGCCGCTAAACTCTTTCGGGATGTCTAATTTGGCTGCGCCCCGGGTGATGCGTATCTCTTGGGTTATGTAATGTATTATTAACGATATTCAACCATCTTTGTAAATTACTATAGTTATCGACGACAAATCTTCGGTAGAAGACAGTCTCAGCAAGTAGTCAGCTGTAAACAGAAGCTGAAGTGAAAATCAAACAGAACGGCAAAGAATAAAAGACAAAGACAACCAGGCTGCTTTTAAAAGCACACTACTTCACCACCACGCCCTGTCTCTTCTGAATCATAAACTCGAAAAACGCAAACTGTCCCGGACTCACGCCCTTCTCATACACAAACCGTCCGGCAAGGTATGATCCAAAGATCGCCTTCAAGTACGCGACCGGCACCCGCTCCAGGATCTTCTCAAGCCCAATCTTCTTCATCAGCAGATTAGGCAGCGCCTCGCTCAGAACCATGTCGCGGAACTCAGTGTCCTGCCAAAGACTGGAGTTTTGAAGCTCCTCCGTCAGGTTGGTGATTGCGTTCGAGAGCTCGTCTGAGAGTACAGACCGCGGCTTTCCTGTCAACTCGTGCTCGCGCCAGAGGGCCTCGAATTCCAGATACGCGTTCTTCTTGATGATCTCCTGCACCTCCGCCACGTACTTTGTATAAAACTCTGGCACCTTACCATCCGAGACGCACATATTCTCATAAAACCCTTCGTCGTCAAACGCAAGTGACGCCAAAACTTCGAGCGACGAAGACGTAACTCCGCCCTTATTTGCCGACGCATCCTTGAAAATAATCGTCCCCGCCGCCTCGAGCTTGAGCTTGGCCTCCTGCGTCAAAAACAGATTCGCGCCTTCGACAATATACGGGATCGTCGACTTGCCGTCCCTAATCAGCGAACCGACGCTGTTAGCGTCAATCGCCTCGGGTCTTCCACCGCATGGCACAAACATCTGGATCTGATCCAAAGCTCCTGATCGAAGGTGAAACAGATTACGGAACGTCGTCCCGTTCTCGACCACCTCACCGCTCGGCAGCACAACATCCTTCTCGTCAACCAGAACCCGGTACCCTTCCGCACTCAGCTTGCTGACATCAAAATCAGAAATCATCTTGCGCTCCTTGGCAAGTCTCAACAGCTCATCGCGATCAATCCCGTTAGTGTCATGAAGCACGCCTGAACCATCCACAATCGCAACATATTTCTCATTCGAAAGCAGAATCTCATTCGATCCCAAATCGCCATCAGGACCTCCTGTCTGCAGCTTTCGCACTTCCGAGCCGGAAATTCCTACCTTGCGATAGATTCCCGTGACATACTCGCGAACTGACAAACTCGTCATGCCGTACTCGTCGTGCGGAATTCCTCCAAGCTCTGGCGACTTGCCTGTAAAGAACGACTTCCACCACGGCGCCTTGCGCTCGCGCGCATGCAACGTCGCCCAGTCAACAAGCCCGGCCGTGTTCTCATCCGGTCCCATGAAGATAATCTCTTCTTTCTTGTACAAGTCCACAATCTTGTTCTTCACTCCCGGAATATCCCCAGGAAGAAGCAAGTCAAGCACTGCGTCGATATACTTTTGGAACGCAACCGTAGCTTTGTCCTGGTGCTCATAGTCAAGCAAGATCACTCCCTTTGATCCGCCTTCGGGGATATCCTTATTCTTTCTCTGCTGGGTGTTTGCCAAATTGTAGTTTTCGTCAAACAGAGTACGCGCGTTCAAATTGTACCCTTCCTGGCTTCGACTCTTCACGATTCTGATACCGCCACGTGCAATATCTCTGAATCGAAGATGGAATCCACGGAACTCCTGTCCGACGCACAAAAACATTCCAAACAAAGGCTGGGGATACTCGAGCTTGGGCAAAAATCCAGGGTCAAGTCTGAACGAAAGAGCAACCTTAGTCGGCGTGTAGAAATTCGTACGCAAGACATGCTTGTTGAACAAGTGAAACGCCTCCATGACCAGCACATGGTGATCGTTCGCCGCATTGCGCTTCACCAGCTTTGACAGCGCGTCATCAGACAGCACGGTGCTAGACTTTAGTCGCTGGTACGACAACGTCGGGAGGAAACTTGCGTCCTCGCCCACCGCGGGCACATAGTGCGTGCTTGCAAAGGAGAGATAAAACTGGCGCACAAGCTCCAACTGTGACGAAATGATGTCAAAGATGTAGTCACGCGTGAACGTCTCCTGGCGCAATCTTCGCTTAATTTTACCAATAACCTCCTGGTGTGCAGAATTTCCATCGTCGAGGATCGAAACCAGAGAGGAGTACTCTGGGCCCAGACGATTAAGGAAATGGGTCACAAAGATCGTCACACAATGAGCGTAGATCGACTCCTGAAGACTCAGCTCGCCCTGAGCAAACAGCGGCCGATAGATGTTCTGCGGGAGACAGTACAGCAAAGATGCTTCCTTGATGACCTGGTGAATAGAATGCTCGATCGGTGGGAACTTTGACGACTTTGGAGAGGGTGACAGGTACACACACATAACCGAGACACCATTCTTGAACTGCTCGACGTACTTGCGCGTAGAAGTCAGGCCATAGTAATGATAAAGATCAGAGAGCGCAGAGAAGTAGTTGCTAGCCGAACCCTGACGATAGGCAATAACGAGACGACGCTCGCGCGAGCCTTCAATCTCGTACATGTCAATCACGGGACCGGAAGTCTTGCTAGTAGCGAGCTCAATCACCGACTTGTAAATATTCTTTGTGTTTTCAGACGCCTTCTCGTAAAATCGCTTGTCTGAGATCTTCAGCATGTCGGTCTCGTCCTCGGAGACATCGCCCTCAGGGAAATCGCACTTGTAGACAAAGTAGCAGCGGAACTGCTGGGGCTCCTCCTCCGCTACATTGTCGACAGGACGCGTAATTGAGCGAAAGGTCTCAAGTCTGTAGGCCCGCGCAGGAGCCGAGCCATTAAGGTACTTTGTGTCAATGCGCTCTTCATACTGAGGACCGCGAAGGTTAGCGATTCCCGGCACACTGGTGTCGATGTAGACAGCACGGTCCTCGTCCTCGCGGTCTAGACGGAGCTCAAACTTGTGGTCCTGTCTGGCAAAGGCAGCAACCTTGGCACCGTAAATAGAAAGAATATGGTTGGCGATGTTGTCCACGGACTCGGTTGCGAAATATTGGTCTAGATCACGAATAAAGCAAAACGCAATTAGCTTCTGAAAACGACATAAGTCTGAGCTGAGCACGTGCGGCTGGGGTGAGGCAATAGTCATAGCGTGAGGCGCACCGCCACAGCCGACAGCCATCGCCGATCTGAGTAAACAGACACTTCGCGTACTGGCCCAAAGCCGCACTTCGGCCGCTTTGAGCGGCTACAGAATACTCCGCAAGGCAGCAGGATACGGAGGTGATAGGCTTACCATCAATGCCAAGAGTGTTGTAGAACCACTGTGTAAGAGATTGTGTTAGTTGTGGGGTTTTATGCGCTCAGTCTGCGAGACCTGGCCGTAGGACTCATGCATTGCCAAGTGACGCGCTAGCACGCGGGCTACTTGTGAGCGAGACCGAGACCATGTGGACAGAACAAACGTACCTTGGTTTCGTCCTGGATCAAAGAGTCTGGAATAAATCCTCGACTGTCAAGCTCATCCATGACTGCAAAAATAACCCGTGAAAAGGACACGGGGGACTAGGTCAGCGCAGATCAAATAGGTAAACAGTGCGCCAGATCAGGCCGGATCCTCACCTTCTTCCATCTGGGCCTCTTTGCCCGCGAACGGCTTCGCGACGTAAAAAGGAGACTCCTTGATAACATGCGGTCCACCGATGATTGCAGAGTCCACTCTGTCAGACTCGGGATGGCGGTAGGCCGGAGCTGATCCGGGAACCGAGAGATGCGTAGGCTGGGGAGAGGGAGTCGCGCGGGCCACGTCTGAGATCGAGGCCAGACGAGTATTAACAGCAGGCATGGTTGTCATGTCTATAAGTTTATAACAAGCAAAGCAACTAAAAAGAAAGACAAACTGATACTGGAGGAGCAGCAGTAAGGCGAGAGGAAGTAAACACGGAGAGGCAACGGGGGCAAGCGGGCTGCCATTTATAGAAAGTAGCGGGCAAGGATAGGGTGCGACTCCGCGTCATGCACAAGCCCCTCAGCGTCCCATCCCGGCCAAGCAGTGCGTGCGCATCCCACCGCGTGCGCTTTCGTAACTGTGAGTCTGTTTCGTGAGATTGTCTGTAGCTTTGTTCTGGCTGTTGATGCTCTGCTCGGGCCCGGGTCAGGCGCGAGAGCAGCTCGGTGTGCGGGGGGTGGTCGGACGTCGGCCTGTTCGCGGGCCGCAGATGCACGTTCTGTCTCCGGATCTGCGGTGTAGAACACTCAGAAGGAGCTGCCAGGATGACTTTGCTTTAAGGAGCAGCCCAACTGGGATTAGACCGGTCGCCTGAATGTTCTGGTGGATCCTTTCTGCTGCTCATCTCGGAGCAGCTCATCTCAAAACAGCTACTGCCTGAACTCACCCGCGGTCTACAGTCTACAGCAGCGTGTCTCATTAATTCACTCAAACAGTCACTGCCCGGCTCTTCCCTCTCAGCCGTGACTTAATCACGCACAGAAATCTACGTCGTCTTCTCTTTGACAGCAACGTGATGTGACGCCGTTGGGACCTACGCGCGAAGCCAGGGGCTCGTGCGGCGCACGTCGCGTCAATTCAGACGCGCCCCTGGCTGTGGCCTGGCTTACAATCCATATTTCATCTATTTCATCTCCCTCCCCACTTCGATTCGTTTTCTAGCTACTCCCAGACTCTCCAAGCACAAAACCAGTCATGAAGTCAAGATCCCTGCGTCCGCCAGACATTGTCTTGCCTTGTCCCTTCCCGGAAGCGCAACTCCGCTCCGGCGCTCAGCTACCCCTGCAATCGCCTGCTCCTCTTCGCACTCCCTCGCTATCCGGCCCGCCGCCTCTTCCCCAGGCGCGGAGGTCATCCTCCAGATCGTCCTCGACTTCTGCACTCATGTCCCTTTCTATGACCTCGAGCACCGGCCCTGCTTCCGCCGCAGCACCTTCCTCCAAGCGCGTGAAAACCGCGTATCCTCCCGTGACCCCGATCCGCCCACAGCCAGAATACTTCAGAGATGTGCCCTTCACACCGTCCGCCGATGGCTCAGTCTGTGATCCTCTTCAGACTTACGCTTTTTCTTCGAACGAATCATCAAATTCCGAGGACGACGATGACGACAGCTCCGTCGCTCCCGAACCCGACACTCCCGACTCGGCCGTCTCACCTTCTTCATCGACTCCGCAGCAGTCATGGACAGCCAAGCAAGATTCCCTTATCCGCAGGGCCATTGACACGCACCTCAACGATCCTCGTATTGCCCCCTTTCCAGGCTCGACGCCTCCTCCGAACCTCCTCCATCGCATGGCTAAATACGCAGTCAAAACCGCTCGAGCAGAGCAACTCGACATGCCGCAGTCTGTCTCCGAAATTCGGAAACGAATCACAGTCTTGATCGCCGAATCGAACGCCGACAGCAATACAAACGAGCCATTACCTAGTCCCGCTTTGCGAAGCATCGGCAGCGGCCCTATCCGATACCTCACCGCGCGCGCAAATAGCATCAGTGCTGCCGCGAGTGCGTCATATTTTCCGATGCCTTTAAAATCTCCGTTTCATGAGCACAACAGTATGCTCTTCCCAAATCATGGGAAGCGTAAACTGGATGACCTGCAGCCTCCTATTGATCCGAAAGAATCTCTTGAGCTCTCAGACGAGAAAGCCTCAAGTGCTTAGCTATTGGATCTTTTCAGTTTTTGTCATTGTTAATTGGGTTTTCTTGAGCGTTTGGTTTATTTTCGTACCCGTCTTGTATCTATCATTTGGTCATATCAACCCCGAATTTTGTTTCTTTTGGAGATGCTGATGAGGTTGCGACTTTGTTTACTTCGTCTATTTCATGCTTGTTTCCCGTTTATCATGTCACTCGCTCCTCGCATATGTTCTGTTAAATCACATATTTATTAACGTACATAACTGTATCTTTGCCCGTACCATAATAAACCCTGAAATCAATTTTGTCTATCTTATTGCTCAATCCATACTCGTACAAGGTTATCCATTCCTGCAGAGGCTAGCATATTCTGAGAAGGATGTGCATCGACACATAAAACGGCTCCTGGTCATTCAAAGTTAGTAGTGAATACCCTACAAGCGGAATTTGTTGATTATGATAATATACCTTCATGCTTCCCAAGAGTCTGGACTACTTCTTTTGTCTGCACGTCCCAAAACACAATCTGTCCGTCCTCGGACCCACTCACACTACATCGCGTACAATGCGTCAGCGAAAACTCTCAAAAGATGTGCTTAAGGGACAAACTTACACCCATACGCCTCTTGTTGTAGAAAAGGTTGACACTGTGATATATTTCTCGTTCTTATGGCCCTGATACGTTTTCACGCGCTTGCCTTTCAAGTAATCCCACAACCGAACCGAGGAATCAAGCGAGCCGGAGAGTAGGTATTTCCCGTTTGGCGAGAATCGTACGTTCGACACAGGGGAGTTGTTGTCTTCGATCATGGTTTTCAGGCACTGGCCGGACGCAGTATCCCATAGCCGGCTTGTATGCTGTTAGTGCGCGTTATGTACGGCTTGAAAGGCATAGATTGACTTACATTTGACCATCGTGACTGCAAGACACGATCATGGTGCCGTCTCGACTGAAGTGCACAGACGATACTGGATCAGAGTGCGCGGGAAGAGTACGTAAACATACCCCTTTCTTTACGTCCCATATCTTTATCGACTCGTCAAAGCTTCCCGATGCAACCAGGTTGCCTTTGGGGCTAAAGTCGACGCTGTAAACGTAACTTGTATGGCCCCTCAGTATGCGTAGTATATGTCCCTGTAACACTCATCAGCGCTAAATTCAAATCAGTCAGTAGAGAAGACTTACCGAGGCGACGTCCCATACTCTCGCAGTCTTGTCGTCTGATGCTGAGACTATAACACGCGAGTCATGAGACCATGCTATATCGTTGATTCCCCGACCATGCCCTTCGATAGTCATTTCGTATTCGCCATCATCCGCCTTCCATATTTTGATAGATTTGTCCGCAGCTGTAAAAAAAACAATACCTAGTTAGAAGATAGCTATTGCGACTGACCTGCACAAACTAAACATGACTTACACGACGTCGCGATCCATTTGCCGTCCGCACTAAACTTGACATTTGTAACCCCAGCTTTATGTCCCTCCAAAATAAACCGTAGCTTGTAGTGCGGAGTAGGATATCTGCTTTTCGAGTTCCCGTTCTGCGAATGATTCTCCTGTGAGGTATGGCGCAGATTCGATATAGGACGAAGCGCATCCCCAGGATGCGACGGCAGCTCGCTATCGGTGGTATCACCGCTGCTCGCGGGGGTATCTTCCCGGCTGTCCAAGTCCATCTCCATCGCTTTCTATGAATTCGTCAAATGCTTATAAGATGTCGGCGTCAGCGAGCATTGTTCTTGGTATTGTTTTCATCAGTAGCCTTGCTCCTCTTCGATCCCTGCCTCAATAATCTTGCATGGCAAATTCAGGGGCTTGTCACGTGATATTCTTGAAATCACATCCCACATCTTCTTTCTTTGAGCAACGGTTTTGATGTTTTATGTTACATATTACGGTCAGATGATGCGATACAGTCTTTAGTGTAATATATTCAGTATAATTTGAGTTGACGGTTTTTTTGCTTAGTTCAAGACCACGCAGAAGAACTTATGAAGACGAAGGCATTTGGATCACATAGCAAGTCGCTCAGTAGCCGCACTCGTAACCTAAACCGCATCGTCTACGTAGCCGGCACTAGGCGTAATCCTTCCTGCATTCCCGCCCATCATCAACCAAGACCGCATAACCTCTTTTCAGATAACAACAAGATTGGTGACTACAATACAGGCGTTCTAAAAAATGGCTACAATATCTCTTGATCCCTTGGGATCAACGTCGAGCTTCTCGTCTCCGTTCGCAGATCAAGGATACACGGAGAATGACATGACATTCAGGCTGCTCACGCTGAATTGCTGGTACTTACACTCTATTTCTCCTACTACGACCATATACTCACATCGTCTGACGCTTACTATTTCTGAAGGGGTCTCAAAATGGTGTCTAAATTTCGCGAGGAGCGAATGCGCTACATCGCCAACACGCTGGCAAATACCGAGGTCGACATTGCGGCCCTTCAAGAGTGCTGGGTTGAATCTGATTTCCTCTACATGCGACAAAAATGTCAGCACAGGTTTCCGTACAGCAAATTCTTTTACAGTGGAATTATAGCAGGACCTGGCCTTGTTGTATTTTCTCGGTTCCCTATCGAATCAGTCAGCATGACTCCATACACTATCAACGGACGACCCTCTGCCTTTTTCCGTGGAGACTGGTTCGTAGGGAAAGGTGTTGCCTCTGCAATCATTCGTCATCCGGCGAGCGGGGTCGCGATCGAACTATTCAATACACACATGCACGCTCCGTATGGACCTGGAGACGCATCGTATGTGTGTCATCGAACTTCTCAAGCTTGGCAGCTGGCACGACAGATCCGTGCAGCTGTTGAGCGTGGACACTTGGCAATAGCTGTGGGTGACTTCAACTCAAAGCCAGACAGTTTGACCTACAGCTTACTCACGAAGCGGGCGGGTCTTCAAGACAGCTGGACGACGGTTCATGGTGATTCACGAGAAGCAATCAAGCCTGAGTCGCTATCACCAGCCGAACAGATCGAGACTCTAGGTGTTACTTGCGACTCGAAACTAAATACCTGGAGAGAGTTTTGCGATATTTCGAAAGCGCAGCGACTTGACTACATTTTTCATGAGCCCCATCTATCGACTGTCAAGAATATCGAGGTCGCTTTTGTGGACCGGGTTCCGGGGCTGAACGTGTCTGCCTCTGATCATTTCGGAGTCATATCGACAATCAAAGTACTACCGATGGCCGCACACAAACTTGAGACAGGTCTAGAGCAAGTTTCAGAGTCCAGAAAGAGGATAGGTCTGCCTGCGTCGAGCTACGAGCAGATCCTAGACACAATCCATGACTATCTACCGACCGCGCACGCGCAAAAGTACTACAGAACCCTGCACTTCTTTGTCTCAATTGGAGCCTTAGTGGCCTTGCATATCGGCATATTCTGGGTTGACAAAGGATGGGGCGGCTTTATCATGATGCTTGCGGCAACTGCTATCGGCATCACTGGCGTAGTTGATGGAATGATGGGATACTTGTTTGGGCGGAATGAGTTGCGTGCACTTCAGCAGTTTGAGGACGAGGTTTCTTGGGAGATGACTCTTGCAAAGACGCAGAATGAGTCTCCGGATACTGCTGTTAATTCTATTGACCTCAAGGGAAAATGAGGTGGTTAATCAAGTCAAGTTTCATAGATTTAATAATTATTCTCAATTGCGAGTGTTATGAAGTAAAGGAGCGCGAGAAGATTGCAATCCTATCATCACCAACTACTATAAACCAACAATGCTGACAGCAATAACTGTTAATTGTAGTATATAAAATAATCTTGGCTGGATAGGCTGACGCAAATCATGATGACTACCATACGATTGAGCAAGTGCGTTTATCAAGCTTCCGAAAGGTCAGGATCCGATTACGTGATTAGTCGCTGCGGAATTCTATCGACGCCCGTGATGACGAGCCAGGTCCGATATTTAAGCCACGCCCGCTCCCAGCGCTCTGATCTCTTTCTCTCTCTTCAGAATCCTTCCAATCACAGAAGCACTCAATTATCTCTACAATGGCTACCAAGTAAGTCTTCTAATGGACTATGTTTGTCTCAATTGTAATTGATGGAAGACCTTGCAGATCTTTCGATAAGGGAGGAATACTGATAAGATTATCTCGCTCAGACGTCTCTTGAAGCTCAACACAGGCGTCTCTATTCCCGCGCTCGGTCTCGGAACCTGGCAATCGGCTCCCAATGAGGTCTATGAGGCCGTTCTTGTAAGTCATATGTTTTATATATCGAGGGTTACCCAACGTTCCGACTTGGCTTGGATTTAGTGTACTGACGAGTATTCGGCGATAATAGACTGCTCTCAAGACTGGCTACCGCCACATTGATACCGCCTATGTAAGTTTGCAATTCCCGAGTGTTCTTACATTGATACTAAAAGTGCAATTGTGGGCTTTAAACTGATAAAATCTCGTACAGGCCTATGAAAACGAGGCTGAGGTCGGCAAGGCGATCCGTGATAGTGGAATCCCCCGTGAGGAGATCTTCCTCACCACCAAGCTGTAAGTCTTTAGCTAATGAGTTCTTTCTTTTCTGGAAAACATAGGAATTGACCGGTCCATTTGTCGTTTAGTTGGGGAACCTTCCACACGAAGCCCGAGGAGAACTTGGACATTAGCTTGAAGAACCTTGGTCTGGATTACGTCGATCTCTACCTTATGCACTGGCCTATTCCCTTCAACCCCGAGGGCACCGGTCTTGTCCCTCACCGTGCTGATGGATCTGTTGACTCTCTCTCCGACTGGGACTTCATCAAGACCTGGGAGCTGATGCAGAAGATTCCATCTTCCAAGGCCAAGGCCATCGGTGTCTCGAACTTCTCGATCAAGAACCTCACCAAGCTCCTGGCCGCTCCTACTACCAAGGTTGTCCCCGCCGCTAACCAGGTCGAGCTTCACCCTTACCTCCCCCAGCACAAGCTCGTCGACTTCTGCAAGTCCAAGGGTATCGTCGTCACCGCGTACTCTCCTCTTGGATCCACCTCTGCTCCTCTTCAGAAGGAGCCTGTGGTCCAGAAGATTGCCGAGGAGCTGAAGATCACTGCTCCTCAGGTTTTGATCTCGTGGGCCATCTCGCGCGGCACCTCCGTCTTGCCCAAGTCGGTCACTCCTGAGCGCATCGTTACTAACTTCAACGATGTTGAGTTGGACGCTGAGAAGGTTGCTGCCATCGACGAGATCTACAAGACCACCTCGAAGAGAATCGTGAATCCGCCTTGGGGAGATATCTTCAATGACGAAGAGTAAGCTAGGACTTTTGCAAACGAGCTTGAGCTTAGTTGCGATGTATTTGTGAAGTCCTCAGTCTAACTGTCCCATGTAAACTTTGTATATCAAAATATTATTTTTATTTACACCAATACTTCATAACAAATCTTTAGAAAGCATCGAGTTTGCACAGTAACCTTCACCTATTCATAATCCGTACATGCTGATTTCAATTCAGTCAACATGCTGGTAGAATGGAGGTCATTAGTAGTCGAAAGTGCGGCGGTTTTGAGTTCAATATCCGCTCTGAGCAGGTCATCCCTAACTTTGGGGATGCCATCGTGCCTTTCCAATCCTCATCAATCGGTCTGTCATACCATTGTCTGTTTAGACCAATACGTTTTCATAGCCGTATCGCCAGAGATTTTTGGTCTTAGCTGAGCTGACGACGCTGCTACTTTTTTTTTGGGAATCGTGACAATGCCTCTTGCGAATCCGTTGAATCTGCCCAAGTGGCTTGCAAAGAACTCGCATCTTCTTAAGCCTCCAATCAACAACTACTGCGTGTATCGTGGTGGATATACTGTCATGGTGCGTTTAATTGGATATAGCTATAGCTTATGCATATGCTGATGTTGAATATACGGGCTAGATCGTCGGAGGCCCGAACCGGAGAACAGACTACCACATCAATCAGACGCCGGAATGGTTCTACCAGTACAAAGGCAGTATGCTGCTAAAAGTGGTCGACGAGGGCAAATTTAAGGATGTCCATATACATGAGGGAGATATGTTTATGCTTCCCGGTAAGTGCACTGCCCGTTGATGGAGAATCAGAAAGTAAGCTCACACGACCTCTTCTCGTGCTCAGAAAACGTCCCCCACAACCCCGTTCGATTCCAGGATACGGTCGGAATCGTCGTCGAGCAGCTACGGCCCAAAGACTCGGTTGACAAACTACGCTGGTATTGTCAAAACTGCCAAGAGATTGTACACGAAGACGGGTTTCACTGCACTGATCTCGGCACTCAGATCAAGGAAGCTGTGCTGGCGTTTACGGATAACGCCGATCTGAGGACGTGCAAAAAGTGTGGGACTCTGTGCGATGTTAAATAAGGAGCTGTAATGCCTTTTGCGACTCGGAAAATAGCAAAGGCTTTAGCTTAATATAGTATCTCTGCCAACAGTCAGAGGGAGCATAGACAACACTCTCGGTTTTCCTCACAGCAACGGCTCTGTTACGATCTGTTGTCTCACCACCACCACCACCACAGCCCATCATAGACCATGAATAATAAAAGATCCACTGTGGTTATTTTAACCAAAGCCAATCCAAGAGTTATGAAATGTTTTCAAAAGAATTACTCATATTACAGGCTTCTAACGATATCCAATTACTTCAAATTCTACCCTAAGCCTGCTAACTTTGTATGGGCTTATAAGTGACAAGACGCCTAAATTTCTTTTATAAGCGATGTGGCGCAGTGGAAGCGCGCAGGGCTCATAACCCTGATGTCCCTGGATCGAAACCAGGCATCGCTAGTAATTTTTTTATTTTTTTATTCTACTTACATCTAGCAGCGTTGAGTGTGTGATAAATTCGGATGTATAATCATGAAGAGCGAGTTTTTAATTGCAGAACGGCGATGTGATATGGGCCAGAAAGCATGCTGCGGAACCACGATATGGCGATCAGATTTGAGTTTTGAGAGAACTCCCAAGCCGGGTAGCTTTCTTGAACCAAGCGGACCAGATGCGGCGAGCAACTCATCTCCGCCGCGTATTCGCTCTCCCTACCACGCGCATAGTTCATTGTCCACCTCATACTCCCTTTAGGTGTGGTGTTAGCTTACTGCTTCTTACTGATTTTCAGACCTTTGGGAGTGTATATATTCCTTATTTCGACGACAATCATTACCAGACTGTATCACATGTGCGTATCGCCTCATTTGTTGATCTAGCCGACAGATGCCTATCTACCAACCCCGCGGACAACGGGACACTTGGTGATAACAAGCATCGGCTTCTCTACATGTTCCGACTCTAACCTCGACAATCCGCATGATCTAGATTGATTTAGTAGTGTCTTACTGGAGTTGGATTTTGTGAGCGTCGCTGTGCTGACTGCTGTTAGCGCGTCATCTTTACCCCCCATTGCACTCTCAGGCTCAGCATGAGTCCACCATGGCTGCCGCAGAATATCCAGAAGCGCCTCCTGCGCTATATTCTGTCTCGTGCTGCTATTTTTAATGAGCTGGATCTGGCCAATCTAGACGTGCAGTTGGGAGCTAGCAGCTCTGTTATCCTTCGCAACCTGCGTCTTAATGTCGATGTGAGTAATCCCTATTTTGTGCGACCGGTTTCGAAATCAGATCTGAGGTGCTGAACGCGACGCTGACTTTGATCTTTTATGTGCTTAGGCCATCACTATTCCCGGTATCTTTTTAAGAGATGGAGTAGTTGGTGAGATTAGAGTGCAAATTCCCCGTAATATATTGTCCACGCCAATAGACGTGAGACTGTCAGAGGTCAATGTCACCGTCGCCCCGTCAGCTTCCGGTCCGTCGGCTGAGGAGTTCATCGCCCGCGCTACCAATGAGCTTGCAACGTCGTTTTTACGAAGCGAATCGGTGGAAGAGACAATCGAACTGGAGAAATCTATCATCCACCCGCAACCTGAGAGTGACACGGAAGGTGCGGCGTCATCGGAAGGGACTGATAGTATGTCTGAAACCGACGACGAACTTCTAGGCTTGGGAACGGGTGGTTTCAACCTACAGTCGATCATGGCAAATGTCGTTGACCGACTTGTTTCTCAGCTAAGGGTTACGATCGAGACACTTTCGCTGCGAGTTGTGCTGCAGGATATGATCTTGCAAGGAACCGTCGGCCAAGCGGTATTCGGGACATCTGGCGACAGCAGAACTATCAATCTCAAAGACGTTCAATTTGATCTTCCGCCAGATTTGAAACAGCTGCATTCTCAGTCTAAGCGCGAGTCAGTTTCTTCTTATGAGTCAGCTGAATCTTCAACCGATTCTGACTTTTTGTCGAATTCTGATGGCGAAGACGCCGCTTTCGATATGTCGAGAAAGCTGCGGGCAGGTCAACGGTCTTACGGAAGTCACTCGATGACTGAAAGCATGCTTTTCTCTAGCAGAGAGGCCAGAAGTATTTATCAAAGCGCGCTTAGTCCAAGTGAGCACGGGCTTAAGGGATCATCGAAACTTTCGAGCACTGTTTATCAGTCAACCTATGATCCACCAAGCAGCTTGTCCCGAGGATCGAAGCGTGGTATAGAGACCATCAGTGAAACGAAATCCGAGTCATCGCCCCGGTTACTCTGGTGCGATGAGCTTGACGTTCGCGTGAAAAGCTCGTTTTCCATGGCCGAGATCAAACTCGGAGTTTTAAAATCAGGATTAGCTCACATCGAGGACGTGGTTGCTGGGATTAACCATCTTGTTGAGGGCTTTTTGAAAAAACCTCCATCCGATGACGATGATATCTATGTTTCAAAGCCGCAATCTCCTGCATATGTGGGACTTTACGAGGCAGGCGAAGCTGAAGATAAGACAAATCTGGCGAGCAAAGAGACCACCCGGAATGTCAAGATCAGACTGAAGCGCTTTGAGGCCAGTCTTACCTCTGACCTGAATGAGTCTGGAGGTCTCACAGACCAGAAAAATGCGTGCTTGGTACTGGACGAGGTGTTTGCTTCCGTCACTCAATCTTACTCGAGCGAGGATATTCACAATCCTTATCTTACAGACGCAGCACCCTCTGTAACTAGTATATTCACGATCGATAAAGTCTCGGTTTGGAAAGGGGACTTTAATAAGGACTCCAATAAAGTGGTCTCGTTCTCGTCAGAGTCATTGCGGAACACTCCAGATATATCTATGGCAGTTACGAGCTCGATTGTCTCTCTCGAAATTCCAAAAGAGCTACACATAACAGCTTCTGCCGATTTCTTGGAAGAGCTGGCGTCGTTTGCGAAAAGCATGTTGGCAGTCTCCAAAACTCTCGGGCGCCCGAGCAATGCTCCGTCATCATTCGACAAAAGTGGAAGCAATGTTGGAAGCAAAATCGGCTCCAAGTTCTATGGTACTACTGGTCCCATCTACATCAATATGCCGACAAGCGATCCGGCGGTTCAGATTGACGTTAGGATCAATCCCATATCGATCGATCGGGCGGCGCTAAAAACTGACCTCGTGGTAGCTCGACTACCTGGGTCTGATATCAGCCTTTACAACATACATCTCGAGAGCTCGCCTAGAGGGAAATTCGTCGATCCAGACCCTCATGAAGGAAGACTTGATGGACTGGATTTGGTCTATCGATTATTAATCTCTTCTCTGAAAGTCAACTGTTCATCTGTGGAAACTTTGCAGTCTTCGATTCTTGCCATAGCTGGGGATGCGACGAAGGTTCTAAACGCATTTAGCGTTCCTGACCAACGGCCTCCCGCCAGTCGACCGCCTCCTACCAGGGTCCGATTTCAGCAGCGACACCCCGGAAGTGTTGTCGAGATTGCGGAAACAGTTGTGGCGCTTGAGTTTCCTGGCGAAGTCGGGAACGTCGCAGTTAACCTCGATAAACTCGCGATCGCAAGCTTTGAGGCCGGTTGTATCAATATCTGGACCGAGTATCTGAGAGTTGTCCGACATGCGCCTATGGGCACGAACGACGAGGATGAGTTCGAATTGTTGGGTGCAGCATTGAATGACCGTCACGGAGACCGGCCGATGTTGTCCGCCGTTATTCGGGATATGAACAATCTTAATATCAAACTGTACAATACGAAATTCGAGTACCGAGTTGATTTGGTGATGTTGTTTGCGTCGGCGTTTGAGTCGAAAAAGAAAGAGGCTGACAAGGAGCCCAAAGTACTTCGACAAAGTCTGTTTGGGATTGAGAGGCCAGATTCTCCTTCTTCGGACTTTGATGAGATAGACTCATCCTATGGCGAAAAGTCTGGTATTGACGACGAAGACTACGCGGATGAAGACTTCGGCATGCCTCGTCCTTCTGAGCTTGGTGAATCGATTGCAACCTTAAAGTCGTCTGACGTCCCATTCAAATTCGAGATCAACATTCGCGACTGTGCTATCGGCCTTAACCCGTTGAACCTTCCGAGCAAAGGGTTACTGGTGATCACAGACGGCCAAGGTGATGGATATGCAAAGGATATGACTAGCGGGGTGTACGCAAATCTCAAAGTGCGACGTGCTACTCTCTTTTTGGTCGACGACCAGCAGAGTCTCCACTATACTCCACCGCGAAATGTTCATATAGGCCGACGACGCGCGCAGGTGGTTGAGCATCTGACCCCGTTTGCTGACTTGGGATACGTTAATGTCGCCTCAATGTCCTCTGCGTCAGTCAATATGAAGATTTCGAAAGGGCAAGCACTTGATTCAGCTGAGGCCGGTCCTACTGCGATTGAGATGGAAGTGCGAGATGATCTTTTGTTCATCGAGTCGTGCGCAGACTCGACTCAGACCCTTATTGAGCTTTTCAATGGCCTTAAACCGGCCGTCGTTATTCCGCCGGATGAAGAACGGTATCAGACGGAAGTTGCTCCCGTTGATATCATGGCCAGCTTGGACGACGACGCGTTTAGGGTAGCTTCCAAAGCTGCAACTGGCACCGTGCACAACTCGGTGCTGAGTGACGCGGAAACGGTTACGGACAAGCTTATGGCGCCGTCGTCTGATTTGGGTTTGAGCGTTGACAGCCTGTACCCGCCTACGACAGAGATGGAACGTCAACTGCGGGAAGCAGTTTCGTCTGATCTCGAGATTGTGGAGAGCTACTATGGAGGCAACACCGAAGATGGTACTGAAGATGCTCTTGCTGGTGAGGTAGAAGCAGATTATAGTACTTCTCGGAAACATTCTGCGTCGTCGCTATCGGAGGATGAGTACAATACAGTTTCTCGGTTGATGTCGAGTACAGAATCAGATGTCCATGGAGATCTGTTGTCTGATGTGCTCATCGACGAGCCGCCTCAGAAAATCACAAAGCCGCAGGACAATCTCCAAGCGTCTGCCTCGGTTTCGCAGCAGGAAGCAGTGGACATCATCAACAAAGAAGTGCGCGAAGCAGTCACCAAGATTGAGATTCTCGAGGATCATTTTGGAGGCGGCCGCTCTCTTATGAACACCACTATGCTTAACGGGGAGACCCCTTTGGTGACTGTGAAAGTTCGCGACGTTCACGTTCTTTGGAATCTTCACGATGGATACGACTGGCCTCATACGCGCGATTCTATCTCAAAGGCAGTCAAAAAGGTTGAAAACCGCGCTTTGAAGGCGATTAGAGCACGGATTCAGGGCGGTGGGTATGACAACGACGAGGATGAATCCATCATTGGCGACTTTTTGTTCAACTCGATTTATATCGGGGTGCCGTCAGGGAATGATCCTCGGGAGCTGACGAACGCTATTAATCGCGAGATCGACGATGATAGCGAGACAGCTAGTCAAACGTCTTGGTCAACTGAATACTCTTCTCGACCTGCAAGCCGGGGCGGTAGCAGATCAGGGACTCCGAACAAATCCAAGCTCCGACTGAAGCGGTCAAAGTCGCATAAGCTCCAGGTCGAGCTCAAGGGTGTCAGTCTTGATTTCAATGCGTATTCCGAAAGTTGTGTTGTTGCGAACTCTCTTGATGTGAGGGTTCGTGATTTCGAGATTTTCGACAACGTGCCGACTTCAACCTGGCGGAAGTTCGTGACCTCGATGTATCCTGCAGAAGAGCGAGAGAAGGGTGGAAGTATGGCGCATTTGGAGATGCTCAATGTGCGGCCTGATCCTGCTCTTCCGCTTTCGGATATAGTTTTGAAGGTAAAGATGTTTGCTTTTTTCTGTATGAGGTCTTATGGCTAAGAGAAGCTATTTAGGTCGGCGTTCTACCTCTGCGTCTGTATGTGGATCAGGACGCGCTTGATTTTTTGACTCGATTTTTTGAGTTCAAAAGCGACAACACACCGGTTCCAGCGACGGATGAAATTCCGTTTTTACGTAAGTGCCACAAATGTGAAGTTGAGAATGAGCTGGGTACTAACATGACTGTTATCAGAACGCGTCGAGTTTGCGGAAGTCAAAGTGAAACTTGATTACAAGCCGAAGAAAGTCGACTACGCGGGTCTAAGATCAGGGCACACGACCGAGTTTATGAATCTGTTTGTGCTTGACGAGGCCAAGATCATTTTGCGTGGTGTGGTGTTGTATGGAATTCTAGGGTGCCCACGACTTATCCGAGAGTTGAATGATATTTGGCTGCCGGACATCAAGTCTACACAGTTGGGTGATGTTTTGGCGGGTGTGGCGCCTGTGCGGTCGATAGTGAAGCTTGGAGGCGGTATGAAGGATTTGGTTGCTGTACCGATTAGGGAGTACCGAAAGGATGGACGGGTGGTCCGAAGTCTCCAAAAGGGTGCTTTGCGGTTCGCAAAGGTGACGACTAATGAGCTCGTTAATCTGGGAGCGAAGATAGCGATCGGAACGCAGAGTGTTCTTGAGAATGCGGAGACTATGATTGTCGGCCAGTCCTCGTCTGGGAACGGAGCCGGCGGCAGCAGTGCTCGGCAGTTCAGGGACGAATCAGATAGTGAGGACGAGACGCAGAAAGTGGTGAGCATGTATGCCGATCAGCCAAAGAATATCTCGCAGGGGTTCAGTCGGGCATATTCGAGTCTCAACCGGAACTTTGGTACGGCGAGAGATATCCTCGTTGCTCTGCCATCGGAGGCGAGTGAGCAAGGAGGAGCGCAGAAAGCAGCCGTTGCGATTGCTCGTGCTGCGCCTGTTGCAGTGTTGCGGTCGATGATTGGTGCTTCGGAGGCGGTGTCGAGTACGTTGCTTGGAGTTAGTAATCAGATGGATCCGAGCCGTCGTCGGAACGTTGAAGATGTAAGTGTCAGCATTTCAAGTTTTTCGTTGAGGAGTTCTTACTAACGGTGATGATATTTATAGAAATACAAACGCTGATATTTCTGAGGAGTTTAGTGTGATTTCTCCTTTCTTTCCTTTTCTTCTTTCTTTTCAATATTGTTTATGTTTTCTTGTATTGGGTTTACACGGCGTTGGTAGAAGCTCTACTCACTCACTCTTTTCTTTTATTTTATGATTTCGGTTTCGATCCTCTTTCTTTTCTTCTTATTGCAGGTTCTTTTGCTTGAACCGATGACGTTTGGATGAGAAAGCATGGAAGGCAGATTTTTGGTGATGATGGCTTCATTACAATATAGTTGAATATCGCCTTTCATTGATTGACATGGGGAACCCCGCGCCCCACTATTTAGCGTGCGGCTTATTACTCAGCGATGCTGACCGATTACAAACCCGATTAAGTAATTTGACTTAGGACTTGTTTGGGGTATTTGAGCGTAGATCGACGACAGATAAATTCAGGCATCTGCAGCGATGCTGTTGATTATAATCCACTCCTTTGATACACTTGATTCTGCTCCACTGGACTTCTAATACCTAATGACAACCCCCAGAAATCAATCGTCGTCGTCGGCGGCGGCATCTTCGGTGCAAACTTCGTGCATTCTTTCCTCGACACCCTCGTCCGTCAAGGTCTGCAGTCAACCGTTTCAATCACACTGATCGAGAAACGCGAGCTGTCGGTGTATTTGCCGGTCACGCTGCGGATGACGGTCGAGGACCATGATAGCGAGTATATGAGGCCGTTTGATAAGGTGTTTGCAAAGCATGAGGGGATGGGCAAGGTTGTGAAGGGAGAGGTTGTGGAGGTTGATGGGGAGGGGAAGGTTGTGGTTGTGGATGATGGACAGAGGATTTCGTATGATGTTTTGGTATGCTGTCTACTTCTGCAATTGCGTCGTGAAGAAGGATGAGTACTGACTTGCAATTGTTCGATTCTTCTAGATCCTGGCATCCGGTTGCACATGGGCCGATCCCATCTCTCCACCGACAGCGAAATCAGAAATCGTCTCATACTTCCAATCAATGCGCGCCAATATTGTCAGCGCAAACAACGTCGTCGTCCTCGGCGGCGGCGTCGTGGGCTGCGAGTTCGCCGCCGAGGTGAAGGACAGGTTTCCGCTGAAATCAGTGACCGTCGTGCATAACCAGGGACTTCCTGGATCGGAGTCGTATGACATGAAACTACGGCGTGGGATTGCGAACGTGCTGGAGAAGTTGGAGGTGAATGTGCTGTATGATTCGCGCGGCGAGGAAGATGCGGAGGCGGGGAAGGTGGTGGTTACGCCTGCTGAGGAGGGGAGTTCGACGCCTGCAAAGGAGATTCCTGCCGATGCGGTGTTTAAGTGCTCTATTGGCAAGCCGAATACAAAGTACGCCCCAGACGCATGGAAAGACTCGCGCGGAGTGATAAAAGTCAAGCAGACCTTCCAGCTGCTGTCTGATCCCACGATCTTTGCCATCGGCGACATCAACGACATCATAGAAACCAAGCAAGCCACGCACGCCAGCGGCAACACGATCCCCGTACTCTCTGCAAATGTGCTGGCTGTGCTTAAAGGAGAGGAGGCAAAGAAGTTATACACGACGCAGTTGAATGGCGTGGGCATGGTCATGGGTCGGCGCAATGCGGTCGGGGTGTTTCAACTTCCGCTGGTGGGCATGCGGCAGTTGCCGTCGTTTGCTATCAGGAAGTTCAAAGGCGAGGATATGCTAGCGGGCGTTTTCAACAAGTCTCTGGGCTATTAGGTCCTTTTTAATCTACAGATGTGTTTTCTATATTCCTCTCGGGTCCCCATATCTGAACGGCCGCAACAGTTGCGGCTCTTTGGCAGGTTCTTGCTTAATCCGACTGTCAATCCATACACCGCCAGAATACCCGTAGATATGATATTTGCTATGTTCAAGTGAGTCTATTGATATATTAAAGCAGATAGTAACTCACATCCTCTTGATTTTTGGCATGTACGCTGTGAACCAGTAAACAGGACGAAATTAAAATAATTACATAATCACTTTTGTATACATTAGTCATCTAAATATTAATTCTCAGATGCCTTTTGCTGACTGAACGGCTTTGCGCCTCGCTGAGGATTTTGAATATTTCTCGACAGTTCGACCTCCACCATCACCGAACCAACAGCTTTGTCTACTCTCGCTCGCAGCATCTACGTTTTCCGAGATCTACTGATTACGGAGCATTGAAAAGATAAAACAGCAGAAGGAATGTCGACACCAGCACAAACAGCAACCTCCACGCGCGCGGTGGCGTTTTCGCTATACCGGTCGCTGCTGCGCACGTCGCGGCAATTCACAGCCTACAATTTCCGCGAATACGCCCTGCGGCGAACGCGCGACGGGTTCCGGGATCACAAGGCCGAGTCAGATCCGCGAGCGATCGAGGACTTTTTGACAAAGGCGGAGAAGGAGCTGTCGATGCTGAAGCGGCAGACGGCGGTTAGCCAGATGTATCAGTTCAATGAGCAGGTTGTCGAGTCGAAGCATAGCAGACCGCATCGGAGGATTTCGACGGCTTGAGTGGGGGGATAGAATGTGGATGGGTTCGGAAGTCGTGGTGGGCGTGGGTCTTGCTTCAGAGTGGTGGCCGTGTTGGCGAGGTCGAGTATCCGGGGACGCCGGCAGTGTGATTTCGGAGCAGCTGCGGTCTGAGTGTTCGCGTTGCTGGTCTTTATTTGCATCAAGGAACGGGTTATAGGACCGAGAAAGATGTTTGGGAAATGAAAGCGAAAAGAAGGATTGTAGAATAGAACGCGCTCGGCACTGCTTCTAATCAAACAAGCGTCCCAACCACGAACTGCAGCTACAAGCATCTATGTTCTCACATATAATCTACATTTATCATCCGTAATAGTACATGCTCATAGTCCATCCCACTCCAGTTTCTGTAATACACCGACCGCATTCTTACTCACAGGCCCCTTTCGCGACGTAGACTCTCTTATAAATCCTAAATACCGCAGCTCGTTCACGGCTTTGTAGAACCATGCTACAGTCTGGGCTTTGCTGAATCTCCTGATGTCCTCTTGCTGCTGGTCTGTCTCTTCACCCTCTAATGCTGGTAGCACTTCGTCCGTGTCGTGGTCTTCGGCGTCCTGGTTGTGCTCGCCAGCGATGGTCTGATGGAACGCCGTCCAGAAATCATAAGTATTGATCAACGAGCCTGACTCTTTGTACAACGAGTACCCTGTGCATACGACCGGCTTCTCAAGCGTAGCAACGCCCTCCTCCGGCGCATCCGGCTCTCCGAGATAGAAAGTCGGCTGCCTCAAGGCTTTCTCAATCGTCTCGCGATAAAGCGGCGTGAACACGTTCTGATACAGAGACGGCGCGTCAAAGATGAATACCTCGCTAAACGGAATCTTCGACAACGGCTCGAGATTGTCGTAGATGAACTCGCGCAATGAGATAGATATGTTTTCGAGTAAAAGTCCGTGCTGCGAGTTTCCGGAAAAGTCTGCAATGTTCCAGTTTTCTTTCATGCGTCGGACAGAAGAGCCGTCGCTAAAAGTCTCGTCGATCATGCGCGCGAGCTTCTCGACCGTGTCTGCGCTCATACTCGTAGTGATTTCGAGAAGCTCTTCTAAAAATGCAGAGTCTCTGAGCTTGCCAGACAGCACGTCTGCGTATAATTCCGCGCGACCGCGCTTCACGTTCGTGCTAGTGAAGATCTCGTTTACGTCCTGCAAGATCGCGAGAATCTTCATAACCTCAAGTTTCCTCTTCAACTTGTCAAACAGCGTCGTTCTTTGGTCTTCAAAGAACTTGAATAGCTCGAGTGAGTCGGTTAGTATGTCGCGTACAGAATTGATCCTCGTGCGATTATAGTTGATGTCCTCTGTGGTCTTGGCCGATGGTGACTCGTCTTGGAGTTCCTTGACGTTTTTGTTGATGTAATTGCGAAACGAAGGGAGGCTGCGAAGGGCTAACATGTGCGGGTCGGATTTTGAAATGTTGAGGGGGGTATCAATCAGGATGCTGAGTGGGTTTGCAAAGAAATGCGCCATTACAGCGTACTGATCATGACTTGTCAGCCTCTCCTTCCTCTTTCCAAAAACAAAGCAAAGAAAAACACACCTGAACGGCGGATATAAACGTATCCATATCTTTCGTATTATTCAGATACCGCTTCACAACCGCTCTGAAAACGCGGGGTCCAAGTACAACCGGCATATCCTCAGCCAGCAGGACATGGTCTATGAACTGCGTCAGACTGTGCTCCGACTGTAGCACGTCGAAGCACTCGATGTCGATCAGGCGCATTGTGAATTTTGGGATCTTGGTGTTGAATATCGGAAGAGTTGTCGCGATTCCGAGGAGAAGGACGAAAGGGAGTTGTTTGCGGTAAACGCTGGAGGTGGGTTAGTCTCATGGGTATGTGTATCGAGATAAAAGTACTCACTGGAGTATCCGGATCGCCTCTGGGAGCAAGTTATTATCAAGCCCATCAGCATCCTGAACCACGACGACAATCTTCTCAAGACTCGGCTGCGTCTTATACCAATCCACCAACCTGCCAAGATCAAAACTCAACCGCTTATCACTACTTTCTGACCCCGTCGTTACGCGGGTACCAGCAGCAGCAGCAGCGCTACTACTCCCGATCGGCGCCGTGATCTCATCTGCCGCATCGTCGACGGTGGGTTGCAGCTTCATCGTCTCGCTTATGATTTTCTTTGTAAACTCCCGCGCGTTCGACACGTCTCGTGAGGTCACGTTGACTGTCGTTATCCTGCCGTCCTGCGAGTCCTCGATTTTAGACGTCAGGTTACTGAACAGTCGATTATGATCAGAGATGTTGACGCCCGCGAGAATCAAGCCCACAGGTAACTGCGTGTACTCGTCCTCCTCATATGCCGGTGTTTGCAAGACAAAGTTTATGACTTTATCCACCGTCTTTTTGTCTGAGTTCTCGAGGATGCTGGAGATCCGCGAGTGGATCTTGGGCATCAGTGCAGTGTATGTCGTCCAGCGGCCGTTGACGTGCGCGGGGTCCTCGGGGACCGAGTCGTTGAGTGGGATGAAAGGACATCGGCGCGGTCTATTTCTGGATCTTTTGTTTTTGGGCTCAATCACATAACATGTCTGTCCGAGTCAGTATCTGAGAAGTGTAGGATAGAATCAGATAGTTGAACATACCTTGTGCGCGTCGCGATCAGAGACCAGTTCTTCAGATCCTGATATCTCCTCGCGAGTCCTCTTCCTCGGTGTCTGTCGTTCAGACTCCATTATATCTCCAAAACAAAGCCTCTCGACGACCTATAATCCCATACACTGAGCAAATATAGATCAATTGCGGCAAAGAGCTCTTCACGAAGAACTACACAGGCAATCCAGGGGTCAAATTGATGTCGGCTGTGGCTCTGTCACCAGCCACGTCAGCCACAGCTTTAAACTCCTCCGAGCAGGTTTAAGAAATTATCGGAAAATCATCCCACGCACGCTCTCGTTCTCTCTCTCTCTATCCTGACAAACAGCGAAGGGAATATACAGGAGCTGTTTTGTTGATAATGGTGCTTAAGGGATTGACTTCTGCGAGCAGCAGGAGTATAGCGAGGTACGCGGGTGCGCCTCTGCGGTGTCGGTACTCTTCGACCACGTCGATATTCCCGTCCTTGATCCAAAGACATCCCAGCGCAATTACACGACAAGCGCTAGGACTGCGTTTGGCTGCGAACACGAGCCGATTGTTTTCTAGTACTGCTTTTGTTCGGAATACTTCGTCGTCGCAGGGAAAGGATGAGAAGAAAGAGGTAGTTGATGACAAGAAGGCTGACGACGGCGTCAAGGCGACGAAACGGCCTATGGCTGCTGGCGAGGATGCTGCTGCCGAGGAGGAGACTGTGGTGGTGAAGGTCAAATCCAAATCTAAAGCTACGGCCAAGAACCCGCTAGGTGTAAGTGTAATTTCATGTCAATGGAGATTGAAGATATGCATGCTGATGAGATTGCCTGGATAGTACTTCAACGTCACTGGTATGGTGCTGTTCTTCGCCGGTCTAGGTCTGCTGCTCAGCTACAAACGGAGACTTCAAGTTGCTGTTGACAAGTTCAGTAAGTGCCCCGAGAACGAGGAGTTGGGAATTAGCTGGGGGGATTGCAAGCTGACTGTTCATCGTGCACAGAGGAGGAAAACGAGATTCAGTCTCATGGAAAGGCATTGATCGGCGGTCCGTTCAAGCTGACTGACACCAACGGCGAGACCTTCACCGAAGAAAACCTCAAAGGCAAATTCTCGCTGGTACTTCCATCCTCTAACTTCCTCACTCAATCCAACCTTCTCTAACCTCATCTCCAGATCTACTTCGGCTTCACCCTCTGCCCCGACGTCTGCCCCGAAGAACTCGACAAGATGGCAATCATAATCAAAGAACTAGGTCTTCTCGGCATCCCCGTCCAGCCTATCTTCATCACCTGCGACCCGCTGCGCGACTCTCCCGCCGTCGTCAAACGGTACCTCGAGGAATTCGAGATCCCGGGGATCGTGGGACTGACGGGCACCCATGAGGAAACCGAGGCCGTTTGTAAGGCGTACCGAGTGTATTTCTCCACGCCGCCGGAGATTAAACCGGGCGAGGATTATATTGTTGATCACTCGATTTTCTTTTACCTGATGGGTAAGTTCTTGCCTCCTTTTTCTTTCCTCTCGTCTACACTACTGACTGACACGTTAATTCCTCATAGATCCCGAGGGTCAATTCGTGAACGTCTACGGTCGCCGCTACGACGCGACTGAAGCCACCCGTGAAATCGCAAAGAAAATCCTGAAATGGCGTCCGGCTGCCGAGCGCTTGCCGGAGGGATTTGTCAAGCCTAGTATATGGAAGTTCTGGGAGTGATTGATCTCACTCACTCTTCCGAGCTCCTCAAGTGTAAATAGAGGCGGTTCATGTTCTCGTCAGCTAATGATGATGAGGAAAATGTATTTAAAAATCTCCAGTTTCGATGATTATTTAATTAATGAAGCAGTTCTCAAAGAACAATCTTTTCTTCTTTACTCGTCATATTCCGTCTCATCAAATGCTTTTTGTACGCCCACCAAATCTCAAGTAATTTTGAAAATAATCATACATAAATCCTCCAGAACAAAACACAAAAACATGTAACGTAAACACCCAAATAAACAATCATGTGGAAGAACGAAGAGCAGCAAGACAAGAAATAGCCAAAAGTAGTTAAACGAAAGTTGGATAAAAAGTCTATTGGATCAGCCATTCGTCGAAATATACACACTCCTCGGCGCTCACAGGTCCCCCTGTCTTGCACAGATCGACAATCGAACAATGCCCGCAGGGGACTTCTGTGTAAGCGTCCCAAGCCACTCCTCCGGAGCCGTCTTCGTCTCCGCCGAGGTCGGCGCCGTTCTCGGCAGTCGCGCCCAGGACGACGCGGTACGACATGCCGTCGTCGATGGTCTCGATCTTGCCGTCGTAGATAAGGACGTCGACGAGCGCTTTTATGTCTGAGAGCGCGAGATCGACGGTCGTGATTCCCGAGTTTTGCACAAAGTCGTGGATGTCGGAGAGCGAAGGGTACTTGCTGTACGAGGCCGGGAAGGAGAGTTGGTCGTACGAGACTTGTTTTTCTTTCGATGATGATGAGGAGGAGGAGGATTTTTTTGAGGAGGATTTCCGTTTGCGGTGCTTTGGTGGCGGGGCGATGGGTTTGTCGTCTTCGGAGGGTAGCGACTCTGAGGCGATGAAGCGGAATACGATGGACAGCAGGCTCGAGATGAACTCAGTGTCGAGCTCGGAGTCTGTGAACCATGGACCTCCTGTGACATCGATAGACGGCTGGAGGTTATACAGCATATAGATTTTTCGCGTAGGATACTGTGAAATCATCAGCACGAGCTCCTCGCAACAAGTAATCAACAAAGACACAAGCTTACCTTGACCGACTTGATGTTCTTGATATACCGCTTTCCTTCCAAATTCTTCAGGCAGCGTTGAACTACCGACTGATGGAGGTTTGTCTTTGCTTTGATGGTCTTGGTCCAGATACCTTCTGAGCCGGATGCTTCGATGTACGAGTATACCATCGCCTCGTCTTTTGTCATCGATTGTACTCTGTTCAGCCTGTTAGTCTCTGTCCAGAAGGGAAGAAACACGGTGTGGTTACTTTTCTGCGTCTTCCTTCTTGACGGCTTGGTAGCATAGATCGTCTCCTTGTCGTAACATTTTAACAAGTCCCTTAAAACAATGAAAACCATTAGTGTCTACTTGCATTAAAAGACTCCTCATACACATACAAGATTCATATGTTCCTGGATCAAAAGCATCAGCTTGACAGGATCCGACACTCCTGCCAGCTCAGAAAGCTCTGTCTGCGTGTAAACATGCCCCTCCTCATTCGACGTGATCATCTTCGTATACAGCGCCTGCGCAGCTTTATTCAGACCCGCCATGTGCGTCGACGACGACGCAGACGACGAAGCTGATGTCGGCGGTGACGGGAGCGAGTAGGGCTCAGCGACGGCGACCGCTGCGCCGCTGCTGGCCCGCGTGGACGATTTGACTGGTGGCATGGCTTTGCTATATGAGCCTGCACATTTGTGAGGTCGAGTGGTGCTCTGGTTATCAGAAAGGAGAGGGGGAAGGGGGGAGAAGAAGAGGTGCGAATGTTTGGTGGGAATTTTTTGTGAAGGTCGGTTGGGAGGTCGGTGAATGTTTTTTTCGGTGGGTTACATGATTAGGGGGTTTCGTATTGTTCCATCGACATTGTTTATAAACATATCCAGGCAGATTAAACAAATACAAAATAGAGATAAATAATGCAGCCGGTTATGATAATGTAAGTGAGCTACTCCTCAGCGTTCGGGTCCTCGCTCGCCAGCTCTTCTTTCTTCAGCGCCAACTCGTTCTTCAACTTCGCAACCACGGCATCAAATCGTTTCTTCAGAATGACGTTCGTAGTGTTTGCCGCGTCCTGCTCCTTCTGCTGAATCGTAGCCTCCAGCTCTGCAATCTCCTCTCTAAGCAACTCCAGATGGTGTAGCGCCTCGCGAGCTTCCTCGTCTCCGACGTTATTACCCCCGCCTTGCTCGCCATCATCATCCTCGTCGTCGTCATCGTCATCAGCTTCGTCGTCGTCATCGCTCTCGTTGCCAAACAGCGACTCGATCTCGTCGCCGCCGTCCGTGGCTTCGTCTTGATTGTAGCCGCCCAGCATGTTGTATCCTGTGTCTGTTTCGCTTGGCGCGACGCTGCCTTCTCGGGTAGAGGGCGCGGGCGTCGCCGGTTGCTCGTCTTCTTTGATCGCTGGAGACTCGGGGCTTTCTTCGGTCTTTTCGGTGTCGTCTTGGAATAGTTTTGTTTTGAGAACGACCTTGGGGATTGGCTTTTCTTTTGGTTTTGGTTGTTCCTCCACAACCTAATCAGAAGGTCAAGTTAGTTAAGGTGAGCAATAGGCATATAGAGTCAGAAACAGACGCACCTTCACAATTCTCTTCCGGAACCGTCGCTGTCTAGCGTATCTCATGGGCGGTGTAATTCCATGCGGATAAGGCAGTTCTTCTTTCTTGTATCCCTTATTCTCCGGCTTTGCCATCTCGGCCTCGTTCAACACTCGCGACCTAAACCCAACCACCTGGTGCTCGGACAGGATCTCGTCCAGAATCAGAAGCATCTGACAGATATCCGAGACTTTGTAGATGTTTTTCTTGTCCAGCGTCTTGTGTGCTTCGATGATGGCGGGTAGATCTACCAGCACGGCGAAAAAGAGCTTGTCCGCGATTCCCACACACGCGTGCCGTGCGTCTTTGAACTTAACCCACACCTGACTGATCTCAGATCGACTGTTGCTTTCGATCGCCGCCCTCAGTCTTTCCAGATACGGCTCTCGTCGAACCTGCTCCTCGCGCGGGAAACTCTCCATTTCAAACCTGAAAATCGTGCACTCCTCTATAAGAGGATCGTCCTCGCGGTCCGGCGCTTCAGAGTCATACCCTTGTCCCGGCTGCCGCATGGGTTTCACGCGGATCCGGGGAAGTCCATTTCGCGGGGGTCCGTTGGGTTTTGACGGCAGCGGCGGTTTGATGGAGATGCGAGGCGTGGGCAGTGTCGCGGATGTCGGTGTGTTTGCCGCGCTTCCGGCTCTAGACTTCTTGGGCTGCTTGACTTTTAGTTTCGGAAGCGGAGTCGAGGTCGCGGCCTTATTGCTCGCGTTGGCGGCAGATGATGATGATGGCGTGCCGGGCTCTGACGACTCTGATAGCGAGGCTGCGGCGGCTGCTGAGGCCGAGGGGTTGAGTTTCAGTCGAATCATTGTCGTGTGTGATTATTATGCCTCTGATGCGGAGTCTGCATCTATGAGGACCCTGTGTGTTGTGACTGTTGACAAACCTGGTGCTTCTGACGATGAATGCGATGCGATCTTTTGAGATGAGGACGAGCGCGCGGTATATGTCACGTGCAGGGTTTATGTCACGTGATATAGCATAGGACATCTACAATACAGGCGATGTGAAGAGCTACGAGAGATGGTGCTGGTAGATGAGAAAATGTGGTGTAGTTTCTGGTTGTTTCTGGTCTGTTTCTGATTTGATAGTGCTGCTGAATGAGTGTGGTGAGTGCGTTGAGTTGGCGTGAAGAAGAGATATCTGAATACAGCTGCAGATCTCTAAACGCTCTCTACGGCCGTCGACACCACAGAATTCGAACAGTCTGATATAAAAGCAATTCAGCATCTTAAATTTCATAAACAATTCACTATTAGACAACTAAAACCTCGGATAAATCGTCAAGAAGCAGATGCAAGTGGAAGTCGGTGCACGTGAAGAGAGAGCACGTGCCAGCCGGGCTTTTCACATGAAGCGGCTTTGGGTTTCATCGCCAACTGCCGACGGGGACCGAAAGCCTGGAAATATAATCCTTCTCCCCGCTCTTCTTACTTCCACTTCTTCAGTTCTTCAGTTCTTCTGCTTGTTCTTGTTCTCTTCTATTTCTACTCTTTTGATCCAAGTATTCTCTCAAAATGTCTCTCAAAGTCGGTATGTAATCAGATCTGCGCCTCGGCTCAGGCCTGCAGTCGTCCTTCCATCTGCCTTGTTGGGATCACACGACTGACTTCTTCGTCTTTCCTTCTTTCTAGATGCGTTCCCGTCCTCAATTGCTTTTGACGCCATCAAAAGCGCTCTCTCTGACGAAAAGGAAAAGAAGGCCGCTATCAAGAAGGTATTTCCATCCTCATCCGCGCCGATCCCGTCTCTCTTTACTCAACCACCTCATCTCTATTTACAAACCCGACACTGACTAGTATATTTTCTACAGGGCGGAGCTATTTTCTCCTTTGAGCTGAAAAACGCTGCAGGCGAGACGCAGAACTGGTTCATAGATCTGAAGTCGTCCGGTGAGGTCGGCAAGGGTCTCGGACCGGATGGGAAGAAGGCTGATATCGTCTTGAGTCTTTCGGAGGATAACTTTGCAAAGCTTATCGATGGCAAGGTATGCATTATCTTTCGTCTTTCTCGGATATATAACATCTGTCTATGAGACCTTTGAACACGCTGGCTAACTAAACTACTCTCTCATAGGCCAACGCACAGAAACTGTTCATGTCGGGAAAGCTGAAGGTCAAGGGTGATATAATGAAGGCCACCAAGATTGAGACTGTTTTGAAGTCTGCTCAGGCCAAGGCCAAGTTGTGATTTCTCTCTTTCTTTGTCTTTATTTCCTTCTTGCTGTTGTTTAATGACATGCTTTGATGTTTGTTTGCCTGATTCCTGTTGTTCTACAGGAGTGAAGTATATCTATTTACAAAATATTCCTATCCAGCCAAACAAATATCAGTATCATAACAGTAGATCTTATACAAACACGCGAATCATCTGCTTTTATAATGAAAGAATAGGATCAAAAGTAGATTTAAAGCCGCTCGCGTAGCTAATAGAGTTTGTTCAATCGCGATTACGAGTCGATAAGCTGCTCCCAAAGCCTTGACCAGCTTCCTGATATCTTGTTATCTCCTCCCTCTCAATTTATTCAATTGCTCTGTTTCCTCTCTTTCAAAAGAAACAACATAGAAGAAAAAGGCAACAATGTCAAAGCTGGAAACCCTGGTAGCAAAAGCCCGCGCAATCCGCGACGACTCCCTCGCCAAAGTCGACCCGCCATTGGGTCCCCTGCCGGACCCTCTTCCTTTGAACGTCACCGGGATCCCGAAGCTCGTGCTGACGGAGAAAGAGTGCGAGATCACAGAGACCGAGCCAATTGCGTTGCTGGAGAAAATTGCAAAGGGCGAGTATTCGGCGGTCGAGGTCGCAAAGGCGTATCTCAGACGGGCGGCGCTTGCTCAGAAATTGGTATGTCCGATGTCTTTCTTCTTCTGTCCGCAATGAGACTGATCTGACATTTTGTAGCTCAATTGCGTTACTGAACTTCTTTGGGACCGTGCTGTTGCTCGCGCGACTGAACTCGACGAGTACTACAAGAAAACTGGCAAGACCACTGGTCCATTCCACGGCCTGCCCATCTCCTCGAAAGAGCATTTCTCCGTCAAGGACCGCTACGTCAACGCCTCGTTCGTCGCCTGGGTCGAGAACAAGGTCGACCAAGACGCGCATGTGATTGAGGTCATGGAGTCGCTTGGCGCAGTCCTCTTTGTCCGATCGACGCAGCCGCAGACAATCATGCACGTCGAGACCGAGACCGTCATCTACGGCCGCTCCGTCAACGGATACAACACCAACCTCAGCTGCGGCGGATCCACGGGCGGCGAAGGTGCATTGCTGGGATTGAACGCGACCCCGCTCGGAATGGGAACCGATATCGGCGGATCTGCGCGATGGCCCGCCGCGTCGAACGGTCGCTACGGAATGCGTCCGACCGCCGGTCGCACGCCGATGAGAGGGCTCTGCGGTGCCGGAGGCGGCGCGCCTGCCATCTCTGGTGCTATCGGACCGCTCGCGCAGTCTCGCAAGACTATGGAGTACTTTTTCAAGTACATTCTCAGCACGAAGCCCTGGCTGACCGAGCCGACGCTGATTCCGATGCCGTGGCGCGAGAAGCCGCTGGTTCCCGGAAAGCTCAAGATCGGCGTGATGTGGACCGACAACGTTGTCAAGCCGTTGCCTCCTGTCGCGCGTGCGTTGAAGATCGTGACCGAAGCGCTGAAGAAGGGTGTCCCGGGATGGGAGATCGAGTTGATAGATTGGGAAGCCAAGGGACACGACGAAGCGTGGAAGTTGACCTCTGAGCTTTACTACACCGACGGCGGAGAGAAGGTGTCGAAGCTGCTTGCGTCGGTGGGCGAGGAGCAGCTGCCGCTTACAAAGTGGATCATGTCTGAGAACCCGTACGTGAAGAAGCAGGATATCTACTCGCTTGCCGATCTCGAGATGCGCAGAGACGCGTATAGAACTCAGTATGCCGAGTTCTGGAACCAGTCGGGCAAAGACGATGGGCACCCAGCGGATGTCATTCTCTGTCCTGTTGCGCCGGGCGTCGCGTGCCTGCGCGGCACCGCAAAGTACTGGTCCTACACCTCGCATTGTAAGTCCAGTGTTTTTGTTCATGTTTCAAGATAAAAGAGAGGCTGCTAACTGATTACAACAGGGAATCTGCTGGACTACCCGGGCGCGGTGTTCCCAGTGACCTTCGTCGACCAGACGCTCGACGTTCCCGAGAAAGACTACACGCCGCTGAACGAGCAGGACAAGTTCTTCTACGAGCTGTACTCGCCCGAGAAGTACGTCGACGCGCCGGTAAACCTGCAGGTGGTTGGTCGGCGGTTCGACGACGAGGTGGTGCTGCAGGCGATGCAGATCATCGAGAGCGCGCTGGGCCGGGAGTCGTGAGCGTGGTTCGTGGGCTCATGCGCTGTACGCCGGTTGACGCAGCGTACGCACGTGAGATCAGATCGGATGAGATCGGATGAGATGTAAACAGTAAACAATAAATATAAATAGTCCTCTTCTTCCTCTCTTCTTCTTCTTCACTTCTTTCTATATTCATCACCCCTCTTCTACTTTCATAATGCTCCTTCTTACACCCCTCCTCCTCGCCCTCCCCCTCCTCTCCCCCGTCCTCGCAGACGCCCTCGACGACTGCTACGCCGACTGCGGTATTTATAATCCTCGTCTCCCCACCAACCCATCTCTAACGCCTCCGCAGCCTCCGCCATCGTCGCCGCCCAAGACTGCGACTCTGATCTATCCTGTCTCTGTACTCCGAGCTCCGACTTTCTAACCTACGCAATCGGGTACAAATTAGACCGTGCACCCTCAACCCTACCTGCTTCTTACGATCCGCGTCGTATATCATACTAACCTACCACTCTCATAGCTGTTTGCAATGCTCCTCCCCAGATGACGAAGATATCTGGGAGTACTTCTACCTAGACCTTGTCACCCCGCTCGCAAATTGTGGACAGGAGACTTCGCCGGCTGCTACAGATAGTTATCTGAGCCAGTCTACCACTTATTCTGTGTCGACTACTAGTACCGCTGTCTCTACTACTGCTGCTGCTACTACCACTTCTACTTCTACTACTTCTACTACTTCTACTACTTCTACTACTTCTACTACTTCTACTTCGACCACTTCCTCTACTAGTTCTACTAGCTCGACTTTGACTACTTCCTCTACTAGCTCAACTTCGACGACTTCCTCTACTACTAGTTCAACTACTCCTACTACATTTTCTACTTCTACAACCATTCCGACTCCTACCTCTACGTCGACTTCAACTACTCCTACTTCGACGTCGACCTCATCCACTCTGACTCCTACCTCCACGTCGACTACTTCTACTTCGACCTCTTCTACTTCAATCATTGCGAGTCCAACTACTACCTCATCCACTCCGACTCCTACTTCCACATCGACGTCTTCCACTTCAACTTCTTCTTCTACCTCCTCTACTTCAACCCGCTCTACCTCCTCGACCTCCTCTACATCGACGTCGGCTACTTCTACTTCTACACCAGTTTCCACCCCAGTAGACACTACTTCAGCCACTACCTCCTCGTCATCGACTTCTTCCTCCACTAGCTCTCCCACTACTACTCCCGCACCTGCTACCACATCCTCTTCAGTGCCCGCCGCAGAAACAACTATCACTAGTGGTGATGAAGTCATCGTGGTCGTCGTCGCTACCGTCACTACTTCATGCAGTACCACCGACTCGACCTCTGTTGCTGTAACCACAGTTGAGGCCTCCACCTCTACCTCTTCTACTTCAGCGACTCCTACTCCAGCTTCTACTACCTCATCTAGTACAAGCTCTACCTCTCCCACCCCCACTCCATCTACATCCTCGTCAGAGCGACCTGCTGCAGCCGCGGAAACGACTATAACAAGCGGCAACAACGTCATCGTGATCGATGTCGCTACCGTCACCGCCTCAGTTAGTATCACCGAGACAGCACCGCCAGTTGTGATTGAAACAACACTGGCCCCGGTGGAAGTTGATATTGTCACCGTCGTGGCTACGGTTACCACGTCATGCAGTACCACCGACTACGCAGCTCCGACGGTAGTCGTAGTTACGACCGTTGTATAATTGCTCATTTGCTGATGTTGGAATCTGCTGATCTCAGTTCCTTCGAGTCATTATTCTGCTAAATTTCTCGCTGATCTCGTACCTGTCCATCTTGTTTGCTTTTACATTTATTCATCGCTATTCAATTTCTCAAAGAATTTTACTCATCTATGTCTACTTAATCACAATATCATATTCGACACTCTAATGACGGTGTTAAGTGCGACTGTGACAAAGTCGCGTCGCCGTAGGCCGTAGAGCCGTCGTTGGAGGGCTTGGTGGAGCGATAAGCGAGGCTTCTTATATGCTACTCTCCTTGAAGTATTCTGTAGGAATCGTGAGGTGAGGCAGGACAACTTATCTTATGATAAGGACACGGGTTTCGAGTGGGGCGCGGTGCTTCCTTCCTAGTAAATGTTCCTCCAGCAAAGCCAGTTTACAACAGGTTATGAGCTAAAGTAAACAAAGAATATAAATACTCCCTTCCTCTCCTCTCCTCTTTTTCTTCTTCCTCATCTCCATCCATCCTCTCTTCTCCTCTCGCAATGCTGCTTTCCGCTCCTCTTTTGCTCATTCTTCCCCTCCTCGCTCCTGTCCTTGCAGGGACCCTCGGCTGCTACTTCACCTGCGGTACTTTCCATCCTGACTTCACCACGAACTCATATCTAACTCCCCCGCAGCCTCTGCCATCATCGCCACCAGAGCCTGCGACTCTGATTTATCATGTCTCTGTGATCGCGACTCATCTTTTCTTTATTACGGAATGCGGTACTCATACACGCTCAGCTTCACTGGCATCTTATTCTCCGCGTCGTACTTCGTACTAACCTACCACTCTCATAGCTGCCTGCAGTGCTCTTCCGAATATACAGAATCCATGCCGAAGTACTTTTACCAAGACCTGATCAGCCCGCTCGACAACTGTAAAAATGCGATTCCGTCGAATGGGAAGAGTCACCGAGACCGGATCAGCTCGGCCGGCAACAGTAGAAAAGCGACTTCGTTGGATAAAAAAGTGGCATCGACGGTTGCAATTGCAACGAGTAGCGGCAGTTCGCTCGCGTCTCTTAGTTTGTCTGCTAGTACGTTGTCTTTGCTACTGCTCCTGCCACTACCACCTCTAATCCCACTGTTTCATCATCTAGTTTTACTACTAATCCGACTCACACCTAATCTACTTCCGTCAGTACTTGGTGTAATAGCAGCTCACTTACTTCCTCTTCTACTCGACTACGTCTACGGGCCCTTCTAGTTTGACTTCTTCAACTACTTTTACCACCTTTTCTACTTATACAACCACTCTGACTCTTATCTCCACGTCGGCTACTTCTTCTCCAGTTTCTGCCACCCTAGCAGACACTGCCTCAGCCACCACCACCTCATCGTCGACCTCTTCCTTCGCTAGCTGCCATGCAGTACCGCCGACTACGCAGCTCCGACGGTAGTTGTGGCTACTACCGTTGTATGATTGCATAACTGCTAGCGTTGCTAGCGTTGGAATCCTCTGATCTTCGATGCTTCGAGTCCTTATTCTGCTACACTCTCGCTGATCTCGTACCTGTCTGTCTTGATTGCTTCTAAATCTATTTATTTATCGCTATCTGAAAGCATTGTATACATCCACTGTTTGCTTATTCACAATTTTATTTTCGACACTCTAACCATACGACTTCAAGTGTGACCTAAACATACAATCTCCCACAAATCTCCCAAAACCCACATAAATGCACAACAAAAACTCTCACCGCTCTGCACAACTTCCCCAACGCAAACACATCCTGTAAACCTAATCATCCTGAAGCGACAAACACGCGTCAATAGCAGCTCCGATCCGCCCATGTTTCTGCGAGACCACGTCCTCGATCACGTCCTTATCCAGGTTCGGAAACATCTGATGCAAAGTCTCGAGCGTCTGCGCATGCGACTCCAGCTCGATCCGGCGCGCCTCCGCGTTCTCGATCGATTCCTGCCGCGCCGCTACGTCGCTCGGATCCAGCATCGTCGAGGCGGTCGAGAACGTGCGTTGGTGTGTGGTCGTCGTTGATTTGCTGTGAGGTACGCTCGCCATCATGCTTCGTCGGTGGGAGGACAGGTCTGTGTTGTTGTGGGTCGTCGTGGTGGCCGATGCGGTTTCCGTGCGCGCGGGTACGGAGCCGGAGACGGAGGTTGCGCGTGGAGCAGGCGGGACGGAGCTCCTGCGCGCGTTGGCAAGCACTGTCCGCGTACGTCGCATCATCGTCGGTTGCTGCTGTCCACCGGCGGTGGTCTCTTCATCTGTGTCAAACAGTTTCGAAAACTGCTTGAACGGCGCCGTGAATGTCGCGCTCAGCGCCTCATGCACCTGCGACGCCACGTCCGACGCAACGCCTGCTACGTCAGCGGGCGAGAATGGGCGCGATGGAGGGGACTCCGGACGGCTGCTGAGAGGGGGGGTTGATGTTGATTGGAGTTGGGTTGCTGCTGCGGGGGTGGGAAGGTCGCCGCTGCTTGAGGTGGTGGTGGTGGTGGTGGTGGGGGCTGTTGAGCTGCCGCTCGAGACTGATGAGCGGAGGCGGGGTGGGTTGGGTACTGATTCGCCTGCTTTGCTTTCTTTTTCTTGAATCCGCGCTACTGATTGCGTAACTCGTCTGCAGGAAGCTTGTGTTAATACTTTTTTCAGCTCGAGGAGACTCACAAAAGTTGGAAACTTACTCGTCAAACTCCTCGTCTGTAATGTTGAGCGCACTCCGATCCAGACTCTCGATAAAACTGATCGCGCCCTGCAGTGATGACAGATAATACCCAGCCTCGCCATTCAACTTATCCGGATTCCGGAACCTCATAATGTACTGCACGTTCGACGTCAGATGCTTCGGCTGCGCTTTGATCACCACGTAAATCAGAATCGGCAGGAACTTGTCCGCCGACTCCTCCGTCTTTGTCTGCCGCAAAAGACCGAAAATCACTTTGCAGCAGTTGAGGATGCAGATGACTTTATCTCGCGGCGCGCGGTAATTGGTGATCTTGAGCAGCTCGTCCTGCGCGAGAAGAATAAAGCGCTCGCCGCTGTCGATGATGCTTTTCTCGACGTCTAGGTGCTCGGGCTCGATCCATGACCAGATCCCCATCTTCTCCTCGAGAACACGGTCGCGCAGCAAATCCTCCTCGTGACTAAACGTTCTCCGCGCCCGCGGGATCTCGGGCGAGAATGTTTGAGAGTATAGACGGTTCATAATCAGCTTCTCCATTCCCTCGAGCGCGTTGGCAACCTCTGTTTCCGGCAAGTTGTTGAACGGCGGGTAGAGCGGTATCCTTGGCGCGATGAAGTTTTGGAAATCCTGCACGATCTTAACCTGCTCCCGAACCGTCCACGAGCGTTTTCCAAACTCGTGCAGGAAACTCTTGAGGTATCGCGATAGCGGGTCGGCGCCTTTTACTCGTAGCTGATTGAGAAAGCGTTGGAAATCGAACGGGAGTTCGACGGGCTGGTCTTCGGGCTTGGGGAGAGATTGGCCTTGCTTGTCGTCTTGAGCCTCGGTTGTTGACTGTGTTTGTGATGATGATGCGGGAGCGGGTTCTGAGGTTTGTTCTGAGGATTTGAGATTAGTCGACGAGGAACTTGCTGATCCTTTCCGAGACGAGGTGCGTGGAGGAAGTGCTGTGTGTGATTTTCCCGCACCATCTCCCGCTGCACCCGTAGCCGATTTCTGAAACCGCGACATGAGCGACGCGGCACTGGACGACCTCGACAGCCTACTCGCAGAAGACCCGCCACTGCTCGAGCGCGACACCGGCGGCCGGTTGTCGGGGTGATTTGCGTTGGCGACGAGCGACAGAGGATCGAATTGCTCGAGGATGCTCTGCAGGGCAGGGCCCATGTTGTTCACCAGCTCGCCGCCTCTTTTGAGTAGCGCGGCGCTGCCGTTCGTATTGCTGCTGATTCCGGTACCGACGATTGGTTGAGGGGCCGCGAGCGGGGGTGTTTGAGAGGTTGGCACGGGGTTGGGTGGTGTTGATGATGAGGATGAGGAGGAAGCGGCAAGTGGGACCATTTCGGCCTGGTCGCTATCGAGAAGACTGGTCGAGCAGCGTTAGTAGAGCAGCAATAATAAGCCAAAATCATCATCATACACACCTCTTCTTTGCAGCGGGAACAATTGGGATAGGAGCGGGAGTGATCTCGGCCAATTCGGAAGATTCCGCAGCTTCTTCCTTTGAACTCGCTACCACCTGCTCCTCCTGCTCGTCCGCGACCGCCGCTGCCGCCGGCGCAGCATCTTCAGACTCTTTATCAGCATGAATGTCGCCTTCAACCTCATTCAAAGCCGGCGCAGGTGTTTCCATCTCCGGGGCGGAAGACATTACTGCTTTCGCTGTAGAATCGCGGGAACCCGGATGTTGACCAACAAAAAAATGACGAGATGAGTGGAGTCTGCTGGCGACGAGCACTTGCTCTCCTCTATTTGTTCAAGAAAGGAATTATCTGCGCTTGTCTGCTTTGCATAAGCCGTTCGAAAGTCCAGACTGGGTGTTTGTTGTCGTCGGGCTGATGAATGTTGAATGGTAATGGTGAAATACGTGCGAACGAAGCGCAATTAGGTTGATAACAAGACGAGGAAACAGTGTCGAGATAAGGTTTGTACGCTGACGTATTGGGCTTCCGGTGACAAAATTTCCACATCGTCAAAGTATTGAAGATTCTGTCTGTTTTTTATTTGCTCGCAGAACAGATATGGAGCACAGAATAATATAGCATGTGCGGTATATTTTTCAGCATAGTGCAAGATGGCCGTGACGCGTTTCTAGCCAAACCCCAGCTCGAGAGGATCTACGATGCGCTGCGATGTCGAGGCCCTGACTGCTCGAATCAGGTCGTCGTCCAGCTTTCTGAACAATGCAAGCTGACGTTTTTCTCTACCGTGCTCTCGATGCGCGATCCGCTGACCGTCCAACCTTTGCAGTCTGCTACAACGTCGAGTGTTTTGCAGTTCAATGGCGAGATCTACGATGTTGCAGGCGAGCTGGAAGGACGAGGACGCGATCTGCTGGTCGACGAGACTGAGCTTGACGAGGCGGGCTGCAGTACTGTGTGCAGCAGTAGGAACGATACGTCGGTTGTGATGCACTTATTTGAAGAATTTGGAGTCCTGAAAACTGTGCAGTGTCTGCGCGGCGAGTACGCGTTTGTGTATTACGACGCTGTCGAACGCTGCGTTTGGTGGGCTCGAGACTGTATCGGACGACGCAGTTTGCTTATGAACCAGACTGTGCCGGGAGAGCTGGCGCTGTCTAGTGTTGCTCCGTTTGATGCCGAGCTTTGCAAGGACTGGATTGAGGTCCCTGGGGGATCGGTTTACAAGATCGATTTGTCGGCTGTGGGAATGCCGGTGACGAGTTTTCCTTGGAGGCACGCAAGCGATGATCTGACTGATCAGCCGTGTCTGATCTATCCATACCCAGAGATAAATCCAAGCGTTTCTGTCAGTGATGACGATAACTCCTCGTTTCTTTCACAATTCGAATCATCTCTTCACGCAGCTGTCAAAAGACGCGTACTGGCAATCAACCAAACCGCCCACTCCAACTACGCCGTTCTTTTCTCAGGCGGCATAGACTGCACTGTGCTAACCCAGATCCTAACCACGATCCTGCACGACCATCACACCACCATCGATCTTCTCAACGTCGCGTTTGAAAACCCGCGTACAGGCGGCGGCTACGCTACGCCAGACCGACTCCTCGGCCGCCGCAGTTTCGAAGAATTGCTTGGTGCGCCGGGATTTGCGAATGCGCAGTGCGTGCTGCGCTTTGTGGAGATTGACGTTCCGTTTGCGTTGGTGCAGGAGTACAAGTCGCAGGTCGCAGAGCTGATGTATCCAAAGACAAGTGTCATGGATTTCTCAATCGCCCTGGCTTTCTTTTTCGCGGCTCGCGGTGTCGGACGCGTAGTCGCCTCATCTGCCGCCACCGACGCTGACCTCGACCTCGCGAAGGAGTACTCTACACCTAGCAGGGTCTTATTCTCCGGTCTGGGGGCGGATGAGTTGTACGCGGGGTATTCAAGACATACGGCTGGTTTCCGTCGGCAGGGGTACCAGTCGCTGGCTGCTGAGCTGGCTCTTGACTTTGGGAGATTGCATGAGCGGAATCTAGGGCGGGACGACCGCGTTGGTGCGTGTTGGGGAAAAGAGGTGAGTAAAGTGAATATTGTGAATTATCTGAGCTTTTGCTGATGGTGTGTACGCACAGCTTCGTTACCCATTCCTCGACGAAGATTTCGTCAACTTCTCGCTCTCCTGTCCACTAAACTACAAAATGCGCGCATCAAACACCACAGCAGACGATGGCAGTATCACTACGTCCATCACAGGCAAATACCTAATCCGCCAGTACGCGCGCAAAGTTGGTCTGCCGCAGGTTGCGGAGGAAAGCAAGCGAGCGATTCAGTTTGGTGCGCGGTCGGCAAAGATGGAGGTTGGAACTGGGAAAGTTAAAGGTACTGATACCTTCAAATAGAACGTTTTTGAGATTTGTTCTTTCTTTTGGCCTTTTCTGTATTTTTATTGGGTTTGCATTTTTTTTGGGTTGTTGTACTTGCTGTTTCTTTGTGATTTTGTTACTTTTTGCATGCCGCTGAGATACTAGCTCATCATCCAAAAGTTCAATCTCTTCAAATATCCCGTGCGAAACTCCTTCAGCTTGTCGACTGGAGCTCACTACTGTCGTCAAGATCGCCACCTCTCATTTCATTCGACCCAAACGATGGAATATGCTATGTGCCTGTGATGATGAAAACAGATACTTCCTACACCCACTGTGTTTACCGTTCAAAGAAAAAAGACCACCGCATCTTTATTTTCTTTTGTCAAAATAGGAGTCCATCTAGTGAGTTGTCTGTGTCGTTCGCGTGCTTCTTTGTTTCTCTATTTCGAGCGCTTCGCTATATGTTTCTTTGTTACGCGGTGGATGGGATAGACGTGTGTGAGTTTAGAGCGGTCTCTTTAAAAACCATCTTGGCTTGGATAACGGTCTATTCTACTACCCGTCTAAAAGATCACATAAGCGAAGCAGCAGGAAAGAGGCAAGGCTCTGCGGATAAACAGATAGCAGCTAGCAATGGAAATCCCGGAAACACAGGTCGGGGCATGAGGATGGAAAGGCAAGTCTGAGGCACATGGATTCCCTTGTTTGGTTTGGTGTGGAATTAGAGGCTAGGGATTTGGCGATGGTATTAATATTCGGCTATAGAGTGTAGGTACGAGCTTGCTGATTCCGTAAATTGATCCAGGACAGAGAAGAAACAGAACAGTTGAAGAAACAGACCACAAAAAATGAAACCATCACAGATCACTAGCCATCTCCTTCACCCCATCGACGAAGAACTCCATCCACGAAGCCAGTCCTAGCGCACGAGGCATAGCCAGCACCAAGCGTAGCTGAACCTCGGATCCCTTTTTGAATTTACGTAGAAAGCTGGCGAGCGCGTGCAGGATGAATTGGAAGAGACTGAAGAGGAGGCCGAGGAAGAAACCGAGTTCGCGACGGAGACGTTTGAAGAGTTTGCGCTTTTTGGGGTCGCCTGGATGGTTTTTGTCGGAGGGGGTGAGGTGGTCCATTGTCGAGTGGTTTGTTGTTCTGTTGAGAGATATAGAAGAGTATTTGGTTGAATATACAGAAGCTGAGGGCAAATACAAAACAGGCCAATGAAATTCGGAATATTGGTTTGTAGTCAGTCTGAAATCATATGAAAGAGCTTTAGGGTTTCCTTGTTCTCCCCGCATTCAATTTTACGAGTCTTCTCGGTTCTCGCGTCATCTACCTTCTCAATTACCCTCACTCAGATCCACACCAGTATCTTGACTGTATACCACTCTAGTCTCATACACATCTTTTCTTAACTCCAAGAAGAAAGGACAAAGCACAGAGAACTAACTTCGATCGAATCATCAACAAAGACAAAAGAGGAGGCATAGAATATTCGAAATTATTCAATCAAATCGAGATGGCCCCGAGATTCGCACCCAAAGAACCAGTCACGCTCGACGAGCCAAAAGACACGAAATTCACACCGTCTGAATTACGAAAATATGACGGTATGCAACAAATTTTTCCTGCAGACGATATACAAGCCGAGGCGTGGAGGATCAGTGGAATAAAAATCGAGGATTTACTAACGTTCTCGCTCGTCTGTCGATAGGCGTCCAAAACCCCTCGATCTACGTCGCAGTCAAAGGCACAGTCTTTGACGTAACCCCAAAGAAGGAAGTCTACGGCCCGGGCGGTTCGTACTCCATATTCGCAGGCAAAGACGGCTCGCACGGGCTGGCGAAGAGTAGTCTGAAGCCTGAACACGCAATTCCTACCACCGAGGGACTAGAACCTAACGAGCTGGGTGTGCTTGATGATTGGTTTTCGTATTTCTCGCAGAGGTACAATATCATGGGAGTCGTTGTGCCGGAGGAAGAGGGTACTGCAAAGATTTAGTAGACTAGTGAGTTGATATATGCGTTTCGATGGTGTTTACGGAGTTTCTTTTTCTGTTTAGTATAAAAATTTCATATTTGGTATATATTACAGTTAAACTGAATTCAGATTTATACTGCATATTTCTTAAACGATCCAAAACCAAAAACAAGAGACAAACGAGAAAACAAAATGACTCCGACCGGCCACCCAGAACAGAAGGCTCCACTTTAAAACATGCTCGAAACAAAAATTTAGAAGGCTAACCCAACAAGTCACACACCCGGATACCACGACCGCCGCTGGCGAGACTGGGAACAGAGGGATCGCTGACTTGTCGCAGCATCAACAGCGTACGACTAACTTCCTTGCCCGCTTCCTCCATCTCCACCTCGTCCGCGTACGAGCTGCTGCTCGAGACAGAGGAGTGATGAAAAAGTGACTGAACGGGGCTCGGAAGTCTAGCAGCTTGGTTCTCGTCCTCGTCCTCTTCTTCTTCGTCGTCGTCCGAGAGTTCGTCCTCCATCGCTTTGATACCGGACGGAGCTTCGTCCAGGCTTACTTTATCCTCAGTATCACCACCAGCTTCAAGACACTCAACCCTCGACTGCAGCTGCCCGATGCAGCCTTCGAGGTAGCGCAGATACTCGACAGTAGCCTGCAAGATTCCAAGCTTGTGTAAGCTTGCCTCGCCGTGCGTCTGCGACGCGACGCGGCACGCGGGGACCATATTCCGCAAGGACTCAAACTCCTCGTTCATCTTTGACCGTCTCCGCCGCTCGATCGCCGAGTGCGCGATCTTGCGCGCGGTCTTGCGGGTCGCGGCTGTCGTGCCGTTTGCGTTGCGCTTCGATTTCGGCGCGGCGGCGGGGCCGGCGGGTGTGATGGCGGCGGGAGATGTAAACGCGGTCGCGGAGGAGCTGGTGGGGGCGGCCGCGCTGCCGGTGGTCTTTGTGATTGTCTTGACGGGTTTGGGGAGAACGGGTTGCATCTCAATTATGCGCCGCGACCGCATCGGCGGCGGGGGCAGCTTTGCGGACTTTGCGGATCGAGTGGAGACCTTTGTCCGCGCGCTGTCGACATCCTCTGGCTTGACGGCATCAACAGTGAAAGCAGGAGGCAGCAAGAGGGAGGATATGTCGGTGACACCGAGAGGATCGCGGGGGATGATGTCAGCCGAGGGCGGCGGAGTGATCATTGCGGTAGTAGAGGGAGATTTTGACGCGCCCATGATGGATATGGTGGAGAAGATCAAGAGCAGGACAGCAGGAAGGATAGAGGCACAGAATGAGCAAACAGAACGGAACAGAAGACAGAAAACCAGATACTTAAGTACCCTTGACCGGAAGCCGGTCCTCCCCAGGCTGCACCAACCTCGGGGGCAGGTTGGCAAACTCGAGTGATCGCGTGTGCGCGCGTCGGGCGAGCTGATTGGCGCGTGCAAACTCCCAATCGACAGGTCGCGTGCACGCCGCAGCCAATCGTCCCAGCACTCGACAAAAACACGTGCGCCGAGCCTGCTCGTTCTCCGCTGGACCAGCTCGTTTGTGATCTACGGCTCTTATCTTGTTTGTTTACCTTTGGGGAATGAGCGGGTCGAAGTAGTCGTGCCTCGGATTGCACCGGTTCTGCCGTTCTGGGCGGGCTGTCAGGATAGCGTAGAATGACCAAGCATTGCCGTCTCGGCCTTGCCTGTCTGCTCGTCTGATCCATAGCCCTGTAGCGTATCACTTTATAGGATCTGCATACAGCCCATACAACTAATACTTCGTGGTAATAACTTCTCTTTTTCTAACAAATGCAAGGTTACTTGATCACCTTATATTGAACCGCGCAAATCTTTTTTGTCAAGATTGGTTCGATGGTCTAGTCGGTTATGGCATCTGCTTAACACGCAGAACGTCCCCAGTTCGATCCTGGGTCGAATCATTCACTTTTTGCATTTTTTTTTGTTGCTCCTACTCAGTGCTCTTACTAAGATAAATGCTGTTGATGACTAGTGAGCAAGATAAAAGGAGTGGCCAAACAATGAGGATCCGAAACACGATGGCATAACACGCGTCAAGGGCGTATATTCCACGAGATAAGAAAGGAATGCGGATTACAAGGGTTCGGAAGCCAGCCGAAACAAACCAGGGATGATTAGTTGACATTTCCACAAACAAACAAACAAAAACCGCTCAAAGATGAAAGCAGCGACTGATAAACATTCAACTTTTTGGCAAACAAGCAGCGGATTGTTTGGCTGCAAACGTGGCCTGTGCTCCGTCTGATTTGGACGTCGCCGATGGATTTTTGGTTTTTTTTTTTTTTTTTTTGATGATTTTCGATTTCTCAGAAAAGGAAAACAGAAGCCGCACATCGCTAACAAATCGAGTTCTGCGCCTCTCCCAGCGGTGAACCCAACCACACCGTTAAACACCTCTCTTTTCATTTCCTGCTTCCTGTGGTTCGCCCTTGTTTATTCACTATCTTGACTGTACTCTTCGAGATCACTTTGCTTTGCATTCTGCAACTATGTTTTCCATATAGCGATATACACTCTTCAGTCCTGTGATTGCACACAAGGTATATCAATCTCTTGGATCTGTCTCCTTTCAGCTAGTCACCTACTCTCCTTTCACATTTGCTAACCTCTCCTTTGAAGATTACGCTTGCCTCTGAATTTGACAATGGGTCTCGGTCAGAGGTTTAGGCGTCTCGGGGAGATTCTTCTCGAGATCGGATATTCTGCGTTCAAGCCTCGCTTTATCCTATTCCATGGTATGCGCACCTCCCTGCTATCAACTACTTATGCGCCAACTAACGCGTCTTCAAGCTATCTACATCGTGATGTGGTCTATCGTGGGATCAATCTTAATCTACCCTGAGCGCAATATCCCATACATCGACTCTCTCATTCTTGCAGCCGGTGCATCAACACAGTCGGGCCTAAACACCGTCGACATCAATAATCTCACATCATGGCAGCAAGCTGTCCTATACATCATCCCCACCTTCACGAACCCAATCTCAATCCACGCCTTTCTAGTCTTTGTCAGACTATACTGGTTCGAAAAGGCCGTCACCGATATCGCAATGCGCTCACGCATCCAGCATCGCATCCGTAAAGCGAAAACGTTTGGCATCGTCGACGATTCAGCCGATCTCGAGCAAGGTGTCGCGGGACGGCCGATTGTTATTCTGAGCTCAGAGAAAATGACGGAACAGAATTTTCCTGGATATAAAGGGTTCCATCACAACGCGAGCGACGACGACGACGATGACGACGACGAAGGCCACAAACGAGCTATGGCGATGAATGGCAACGGCGGACTTCATGATATGGAAAATGTGGGAGCGAGACGGGCTACCGGAAGGGTTATTCGAGATGATTCTGATGCTAGCGATCGACCTTATGACTTTTCAAACAGGTTTAGAGACTCTGACTCTGAAGAGGAGCATGCCGTTGTCTTTGACGAGGATGATTCCGAGCAGGGCGAGAGTTCTGGGAGTGGTGGTACTTCGCACTGTATGTTTTCTTTTTGTTGTTTGTAAGACGTTTTCAGGTCGTACTGACACATTATAGCTTTTGATGGCGAAAATCAACACACCTCTCTGGATGCAAAGCCAAAGAAGACGCTGGCCGATATCACCCGCGACCGCGACATTCGATTCGGCGACCTTCCTTCCCCCCGTTCGTACAAGTATCTCGAAGACACCGGTCCTGCACTCGTAATCAAGTCGCCTCGTGAACAAGAGCTCGAAGCCCAGCGCGCAGAGGAAGAAGCGAAAAGACGAGGCATGCCCGATATTCATTTCGCGCTATCGCCAATCGTGGGCCATGGCCGTCGGTATCTGCTTGGAAGATCCGGGAGTCATGAGCGTGGTGGGCATCGGCGCAGTGGATCTTTTGGACCGAGCTCGCATATACGTGGCGAGTCCTTTGAATTGCGGAGACGGAGCAGTGCGGATATGGATGACGAGGACGATGACCTGCGGGACAATGTTCTAAGACCTACGCGGTCTCATGTGATTGGACCCACAAACGCAGCAAGGATCGAAGAAGAAGAAAATGATATCCGGAGTAGTAGCGTGAGTCCGGCAAATATCCCCAAAATCACCAAGCGAGCAATCACGATCGACGCGCCCCGAGGCCGCCAGTTTCACAGCGCGCGTGCACCTACTAGTTCAGGAGCAGGACCAGCAACGAGCCGATTAGGCAAACGACACAGCTCGATCTCTGAGTTTTTCTTCAACCGCAGCGCGACCATGGATCGCGTAGAGCGCATTATCTCGCGGACACTGTCACGGCGGAAAGATAACTCGCCCACGCGGTCGACGTATTCCCGGCGGTCGATCGGACAGTTGCCGTATCTGTCGTACGAACCGACTGTTGCGCGAAACTCAAAGTTCATCGGGCTGACGGACGATCAGCGTGCGGAGTTGGGTGGGATCGAGTATCAGGCGCTGCGAACGCTTGCGGTTGTGCTTGTGGCTTATTTCTTTGGATTCTGGATTCTGGCGAATATATGCTTGATTCCCTGGATCCAAGGACGCAAGTACTACCGAAAGATTGTGGAAGGGTATACCCAGAACTCTGCGTGGTGGGGAGCGTTCATGGCTACGTCGACGTTTATGGATGTTGGGTTTACTATTATTCCGACATCGTTGATCGAGTTCCAGGACGCGGTTTTCCCGCTTTTGCTGATGAGTTTTCTGATTGTGATTGGAAATACTGGGTTCCCGTGTATGCTGCGATTGATTATCTGGATGCTGCATAAGGTATTCCCGCCTGGATCGCGGACGAAAGAGTCGCTGCAGTTTTTGCTGGAACATCCTCGCCGGTGCTTTACGCTTCTCTTCCCTTCTGGACCGACGTGGTGGCTCTTTGCAGTGCTCGTGATTCTGAACGGCGTGGATTTGATTCTCTTTGTGATTCTTGATCTCGACAATAGCATTTTTAGTGGATGGAGCGGTGGGCAGAAGGTGCTGGATGGATTGTTTCAGGCGTTTTCGACGCGAACTGCGGGACTGGCGGTTGTTGATCTGAGTAAACTGCATCCGGCGGTGCAGGTTAGTTACCTGGTGATGATGTACATCTCCGTCATGCCTATTGCGATCAGTGTGCGTCGGACGAACGTGTACGAAGAGCAGTCGCTGGGGATTTACGGGTCGCCGAGTGACGACGAGTCAGGCGCGGAAGACGACGGGTATGATTTCGAAGGGAACGAGAATTCGTCGGAGACGTATGCCGGTGGCGCGCTTGATGATATAGTCGAGAACGAGGTGTCGAACAGTCAAGGCCATAGCTCTGGGATGCAGCGGCGGTCGACGGTGGCGACGGCGACGAATCTGTCGAGCGGTAATAACAGCGAGGGTCGCACTGCGACTGGAGAGAAAGGGAACGGGCTACAGGAGCGTCGGAAGAGCTTTGGTCGATTATCGATGAAGACGGTTCGGGATAACGCGAAGCGGCGACGGCGGAAGCGGCAGCGGTCGTCGTTCGTGGCTAATCATCTGCGGCGGCAGCTGTCGTTCGACCTGTGGTATATTTTCCTGGGTCTGTTTGTGATTTGCATCTGCGAAGGCGGCAAGATCCAGGACCGGGACCGGTACGATTTCACTGTGTTTTCGGTCCTTTTCGAAGTCGTGAGCGCGTACGGCACCGTCGGGCTCTCGCTCGGGTATCCGGGCACCAACACCTCGTTCTGCGCGCAATTCACGACGATTAGTAAGTTGGTGATCATCGCGATGATGCTGCGCGGGCGGCATCGTGGGTTGCCGTATGCGCTCGACCGCGCGATCTTGCTGCCGAGTCAGAAGATTGTGGAGAAGGATAAGGATGCGGAGGAGCGCGTGACGAGGCGGATGTCGATGGGTTCGATGAATGGGTTGCCGCGGACGTCGACGGTTGGGAGGTCGTCTACGCATGATGGGACGAGGAGACGGGCGGCTTAGAGTAGGAGGAGTAGTCATAGAGCAGGGTATTTAGTATTTACGAGTTGGCGTTATTGTTAAGAGCATAATATTTCTTTGTTTCTTGTCTTTTAAGTGAACACTTTGGAATATCATAATACAGATACCAAACCAATACCTCCCGAGCAAATACAAAGCAAAGACAAAGCACAAAGGCCAGAAGGGTCTCGACTCGCTAAGAGCGGCGGCGTCGACCAACGGGAAGGCAGCTGATTACTCTCGTCGGTCCGACGTTGAGCCGCGCAGCTCGAGGCTACCGGCTTCGAGATGCCAGGTCCGGACAAATCCTTTATTCTCTCTGTCTTGTCTTTTCTTTGCATTGCATCGCCTTTGTTGTTGTTGTTGCTGCTGCTTTTCTGGTATTTGCATGGACTGGCGGATATAGTATCGCATAGTCATCCTTCTCCTGCCCAGGCTTCCTTCTCGTCCCTCCCGCGATGACGTCTGCCTTGCGGCCTATATCGTCCGTCGCCGTCCTCGGTCAGTTTCCTCTTCCTACCCATCTTTTCCTCCCCTTCCTCCTTCCTAACTCTAAACTATTTTCCAGGCGGCGGAATATCAGGACTCTCGACCGCATACTACCTATCCCGGCTTTTGCCCAAAACCGTGCCGATCACGATCTACGAGGCGTCCGGCAGAGTGGGCGGGTACATCGAGAGCACGAAATTACAGCTCCCTGCTGCGTCGATCGACGGAGCAGGAGGAGAGAAGAATGAGGATGTGCTGTTTGAGCATGGGCCGAGGACGTTGCGTGTGAGTAAGCGGGTTAGCTCGCTCAATATGTTTGACTTGGTGAGTAGTATCCTTTCTTAGACTATGCACGACAGAGCTGACGTTGTACTTGCAGATCAACTCGCTAGGAATGGCAGACGAGCTCATCGTCGTCCCCAAAGACTCCGCCGCCGCGCGCAACCGCTACATCTACTACAAAGGCCGCATCAACATGATCCCTTACTCCCTATCCTCGATCCTGCGCTTCTACTTTTCGCAGGCGCTCTTCCGCGGCATGTTGCCCGAAGTCATCCGCGAGCCGTTCAGACGCAATCAGCCGCCGAAGGAGATGCGCGAGCAGGAGGACGAGACGATTGGGAGTTTTATGAATCGCCGGTTTGGGCCGCGTATCGCGGATAGGCTGATGTCGGGGGTTATTCATGGGATTTATGCGGGTGATATTTATCAGCTTAGTGTACGAAGTATATTGGAGTATCTCTGGAAGCGGGAGCGGACGACGGGGAGTATTATCCCTTTCCCGTTCTCTTGGAATAGGAAACAGACACAGAAGAAGGACGAGGCAGAGACACCGGCGGACGTCAATCTATACGAGCAACGAGGGAAAGACTACGCAGTTCAAGTTGTCGATCAACACCGGTCGTTTTTCAATCGGCTGGAAGGAGCGAGCGTTGTCTCGTTTACAAAAGGCATGCAGTCGATCATCAACCACCTCGAGGACTACCTGAGCGCCCTCCCGAACGTGACGATAAAACGCAACATGAGCGTGACCGAGCTTAAGAACGTCGTGGACGGCGTGATGGTCAGTACCGCAACGGGCGAGTCGCACACCTACTCGCGCGTGTTTAGCGCAATGCCGGCGCGCAAGCTGGCCGAGATCACCGAGTTCACTGCGCCGGGGCTGTCGCAGTGCCTGAAGCGGATCCCGTCGGTGTCGGTGAACGTCGTCAATCTGTTTTTTTCCAAACCTCGGTTACTGCCAGTCACGGGATTTGGATACCTGCTGCCGCGGGCGATTCCTCGCAGCGATAATCCCGAGCGAGCGCTTGGGGTTGTGTTTGACTCCGACACGGTGTCGAAGGATGCCGGAGAAGGCAAGATCCCGGGGAGTCTGCAGGATAGTGTGGACGGGACCAAAGTGACGGTGATGCTGGGAGGACACTGGTGGGATACGACAAAGGAGGAAGGCACGCCGGCGGTGAAGGACGCGGAGGAAGCGATTACGAACGCACGAACGCTGATTGCGCGACAGATGGGCGTGACCGAGGAGCCTGCGCTCGCGCAGTCGACGTTCCAAGAGTCGTGTATTCCGCAGTACGTGGTGGGCCATGCTGCGAACCTGAAGCGGATCCACGAGGCGGTGCTGGGTGGGTTTGGCGGGAAGGTTGCGGTCGTGGGCGCGTCGTATCTCGGCGTGTCGGTGAACGACTGTGTTTACTACTCGAGGATTGCGGCGGAGGACGTTGTTGCCGGGCGACGGGTGTCTGGACTGGAGGCGAGCGGGGTGTAAATAGGCATTTGTAACATTTCCGAGGGCGATAGAGTAAAGAGCTCAGCGCGCCACGGTGTACATTATCATATTAATTACGAGCGATACGGTAGATTAGCAATAGCAATCTCGATAATGAACAGCAGACAGCCAAGTGCCTTAATGTAGGCAGATCCAGTATTCTTCCAGCCCAGCCGAGCTGTCTGCTTCTCTCTTCGATGCTCCGCCGGTGGAAATCGGACTTCGGCAAAGTTATCTGCGGACTGCACTCAGATTGCGGCTTGCACAGTGGCGGTGCTGTGGCTGGCGGGGCGACGCGGCAGTGCAAAGTAGCCAAGCTTTGGTAGCGCTGCACAGCTCCTCCTCCCTCCTTTCTCCGTCCCTTCACCGCCCTCGCCCGCCCGTCTGCACTCCTCTCGCACCTCCATCCCGCCATTCTTCATGGATCCTCCGCAGTCGGCTGCTCCCACAACCTCGCCATCGGTCGCCTTTTGCGCGATCTCGATCGAGGACACCGCGCTGCGGCTGGGCACCTCTCTCGCGCGCGGGCTCGAGTCCTTGCAAGACGCGGCGTATCGTCGCTCCGTCCACGGGCCCAACGAGCTCAGCGACGACACAAAGGATTCGCTTCTGAAGCGCTTCGCGCAGCAGTTTTATGAGAATCCTCTTATCCTCCTGCTGCTGGGCTCCGCGGGTCTCTCGTTCTTTATGGGAAATCTCGACGACGCTATCTCGATTACGATCGCCATCTTAATCGTCGTCACCGGTACGTATTGGCTCTTTGCACCCCCAATTGCTGTTCTACCTCACTCAATCATCTTCGTCGTGTGTCAATCGCGTATACTGACTCTGTCCAGTCGGCTTTGTGCAAGAGTACCGCTCGGAAAAGTCCCTCGAAGCCCTCACCCGCCTTGTCCCCCACCACGCCAACCTTGTTCGCGGCGACGCAGTGCTCCAGGTGCCCGCTGCCTCGCTCGTCCCCGGCGACCTCGTCTCCTTCTCCGTCGGCGACCGAATCCCCGCCGACGTGCGCATCACCACGGCCGTGCACCTTCAGATTGACGAGTCCTCGCTCACGGGCGAAAACAGACCCGTAACAAAGACCGCCGAACCCGTCGACGACTCGCGGTGGCCCGCACCCTCGGTCATCCCGGTCAACGAACGTCACTCGTGCGCGTTCATGGGCACGCTCGTGCGTGATGGTCGTGGGTCTGGCGTCGTTATTGGCACCGGCAAGGCCACTGAGTTTGGAAATGTCTTTACCATGATGGCCTCGATTGCGAAACCCAAGACGCCGCTGCAGCAATCGATGGACAAGCTCGGCAAGGATCTCTCGTATCTCTCGTTTGGTGTCATTGGCTGTATCTGCCTTATTGGTGTCTTCCAGGGTCGCTCGTGGCTCGAGATGTTCACTATCGGCGTCTCGCTCGCTGTCGCGGCTATCCCTGAAGGTCTCCCCATCATCGTCACCGTCACGCTTGCGCTTGGAGTCTTGAGAATGGCTAAGCGGAGGGCAATCATGCGCCGTCTGCCCTCGGTCGAGACCCTTGGCTGCGTCAACGTGATCTGCTCTGATAAAACCGGCACGTTGACCATGAACCACCTGACCGTCACTGAAATATGGACAGTCGACATGAACGAGCCGCTGGTTGTCTCTGAAGGATCGTCGGCCGAGGCCAACCTCGCGATGAAGAACTCGCTGATCATTGGCTCGAACTGCAACAACTCGGTCTACGTCCAGCAAGACCACAAACTGCACGGACCGCCTACCGACATTGCGCTCACCGAAGTCATCGACAAGTTTGGCATGGAAGACCCGCGCCCGACGCGGGAGCGCATCCACGAGACGCCGTTTTCTTCAGCGCGCAAGTGGATGGGTGTCTCGAGCAAGGCCGTCGGCGCCACCGGCGGCTCGGGCGCGATCCACGTCAAGGGCGGATACGACGTCGTCATCAACTTTTGCGACACAATCATGAACGCGCAGGGAAAAACCGTGCCGCTCGATGCCGGGATGCGGAAAAAGGTTATGGACGCGGCCGAGAAGCTTGCGCGTCGGGGTCTGCGCGTGCTCGCGTTCGCGCTCGGATCGGGCGACTCGACTGAGAACCCTGCCAACCTGGCGCTCTGCGGCTTGATGGGAATGTACGATCCTCCGCGACCAAACGTGTCAAAGTCGATCTGGCGGCTGGCGCAGGGTGGCGTCCGAGTGATTATGATCACCGGAGACAGCGAGGTCACGGCTGCCAGTATCGCAACCTCGATCGGGATCCCGCTGTATGGAGCTTCTGCGAACGATCGGGCAATCATGCGGGGCGAGAAGATTGAACACATGACGGAGACTGAGCTGCAGGACGAGATGTCGACGGTGACGGTATTTGCGCGTACCTCGCCTGAGCACAAGATGAAGATCATTCGCGCGTTGCAGGCCAAGGGCGATGTTGTTGCCATGACCGGCGACGGTGTGAACGACGCGCCCGCGCTCAAGATGGCTGATATTGGAATCAGTATGGGACTCATGGGTACCGATGTCGCGAACGAGGCCGCGGACATGATTCTCACCGACGATGATTTCTCAACTATCCTGGCGGCGATCGAAGAAGGCAAGGCGATTTTCTCAAACATTCAAAACTTTTTGACGTTCCAGCTGTCGACCTCGATTGCTGCGCTGTCGCTTGTTGCAGTCGCAACCACGATCGGCCTGCCTAATCCTCTGAACGCGATGCAGATTCTGTGGATCAACATCCTCATGGACGGACCTCCCGCCCAGTCTCTCGGCGTCGAGCCCGTCGATCCTGAAATCATGTCGCGTCCCCCTCGCCGACGTGACGACAAGATCCTGACCGCGAAGCTGTTCAAGCGCACAGTGATGTCTGCCGCCGTCATCTTCCTCGGCACAATGTTTGTCTACATCCTCGAGATGACCGACGGCAAGGTAACCAAGCGCGACACGACAATGACCTTCACCTGCTTCGTCCTCTTCGACATGTTCAACGCGCTCGGCTGCCGCTCAGAGTCCAAGAGCATTTTCGAGCTCGGAGTAGCATCGAACCGGATCTTCAACCTCGCCGTCGGCGGCTCGCTGCTCGGACAGCTTGCTGTCATCTACCTCCCGTTCTTGCAGCGCGTGTTCCAGACCGAGGCGCTGAGCTTGAAGGATCTGTTGATGCTTACCGTTATCGCGAGCACGGTGTTGATCGTCGACGAGGCGCGCAAGTATTTGCGGAAATCAAAGTTTTTGAGCGGGTATAGTTTGAATGTGTAAATACGACCGACCGGAGGCTTGCTTAGATCTGCCCGCTCACAACCTCACCATTCAATCATCTACTTTTCACAGTTGCCTGAGATTTGTCATGTCATGTCATGCATGAGCGCAATGAATCAGATATCAAAGTCATCATCAACAGACCAAAAAAAGAAAACAAACCAAGATCCTTCCTAGCGCTCCGCAACCACCGGTTTTTCTACAAATGAATAGATGGGAAGAACGTCTAACGAACAGCGAGAGGCGAGAAGAAGAATAAGAATAAGAAATAGAACTTCACACGATTCTCCTTCTAATCTTTTCTTTTTTTTCAGTTTTTTCATTCCATAAAATGTGAATTGTGATTATTTGTATAGAATTTCAAGTTGAATTAGTAGTCAAGCCTGTTTTTGTCCCTCTTACTTAGTGTTTTTGATTTCGTTTTTTCGGTATGATTTGTGTATTTTTTCCTTTCTTTCTTTTTTTTGTTGTTCATTGAGTTTTTCTTATATATATTGACTATAGTTATATACATGATTTTACAATGTCGTATTGTAGTTTACTTGTAATCATGCCAGAACACAATATCAGACGTATCTTCATCGTGCATTATATAGGTAGTATTGCATATTATAAAGGCCCAAAAATATTTTTTTTCAACAAAAAGCCTGGCTAGCTCAATTGGCAGAGCGTGAGACTCTTAAGTATTTCTTAGAAGTCATCTCAAGGTTGGGGGTTCGAGACCCCCGTTAGGCTTTCTTTTTTTTTTATTTCCTTTATATTCTTGGTGGTTATTCTTTTAAGCTGTTATTTAAAGATATATGTGCTAGTTATGATTTTTTTGAGGTTTATAGGATGTGTTTGGGTAGATAGGTGGGCAAACGGGCTGGATACGAGTAGGATGCTTCAAACCCCTCAAAACAACGCGCAGCTGGCACAGGAGAGAGAGTTCAAAGTATATGCGCTGTGCGGCCTCGGGAACATATTGTAGTGAGTGAGTTACGAGAGGCAGCAGTTCACAGCAAGACAACCCTGATTCGCGGCACGCTACGAACAAGGGAGAGAGATCAATTGGATTTCGAAAGGGATATACTGTTTGGTTTGAAGTGTTTGTTGAGACTCGGATTGCTGTGATTGAGCAGGGGGTGAATGAATTGAGGGGATCAAGATTGGATAATCGTTTGATCTCGAAGGGTTATATCGCGCTAGCTTCTGGTACTTATAGAAGAAACAATTGCGATACACAAGACAAAACAGCACAGAAATACAAGAGAACAACAAAATGGCGGACGATGCAACAATACCGCTCGACATCTCCGAGTGTGCGACGTACGACGACCTAGTGCGCAGCATGGCGCAGCTGCACACAGAATCCGACCAACTGACGAGCCAACTCAAGACACTCTACGACTCTCAGATCTCGCCGCTGTCGTACTCGCTCCAGCGGCTCGATATCCTCGGCGCGGGTCTGACGGGTCCGCAGACGGGCGCGCGAGAGCTGATTGGGATGCTTTCGGACGCGTCGTTTGTGGCCTCGAGGATTTCGCAAAAGGTCAGGCAGCTTGATACCGAGCAAGGGCGGGTGCAGCAGAGTTTAGAGTATGTTGAGAAAACGCAGGATCTGAGGTCGGCGATCATTGGCATCTACGACGCGACGCAGGTGCGGGATTGGGAGTCTGTTGCGCAGCATATCAATCGGGCGTCGCGGCTGCCGCCCGAGCTTGTGGCGGGGAAGTTTGCAGAGGCGATGGTGCCGACGGAGGAGAATCCCGAGAGTCCGAGTGTTGCGCTCAAGAACGCGACAGAGTCGTTTGGCAGCCTGTTTTTGCGCGAGTTTGAGAGCGCGGCGAAGGTGAAGGATGTGGAAAAGATTACGAGGTTTTTTAAATTGTTCCCGCTGATTGGGAAGGAGCAGGAGGGGTTGGATGTCTATGCGAAGTTTGTGTGTATGATAATCGCTAGTCAGAGTCGGCAGTTGATGAGCAGCAAGAGTGAGTCATTATTGTTTTTATTAGTTGGCATGGCACTAACGGGCATTTAGTTGAGGGACCGTTATTCTTTGGCATGGTGATTTCACGCCTATTTGAAAACATTGCGACGATAGTAGACCAGCACACCCCGATAGTCGAGCGGTACTACGGCCGAGGCAAGATGCAGCGCGTGATTGAGCGGATCCAGAACGAAGCCGATACGCAGGGCGGCATCATCGTCGACACCTACTTTGACGACCGGCATATCAACCGTCGCCTGTCTGAGATCAAAAGCTACGCGTTCAGTTTCCTCGTGCAGAGCTTCATGCCGACCGGGATGGGAATCGGGATCGGCATGCGCTCTGTGAGTCCTGCGGTGCCGTCGGACGCAGGGATGACCTCGTCGGGGTCGTCGGGGATAAATGTGCAAGACATCGACACGCTGCTGAACGAGTGCGGAGTCATGATCGGTCGGTGGAGTCTGTACTGCAAGTTCCTGGCGGTGAAATGGTGGAGCCAGGCGCCGGCGGAATTTGAAGAAGACGGCAAGACGCCAAAGAAGATTGGCGCGACGGCGCTCAAGATGCCGCCGTTTCTTCCCGAAAGCAAATTATACGGGAAGATGAATAACCGGGTGGCGCCCGCGTTCGAGTCGATGGCGACCTTTTTCTTTCGCCGGTCGGTCGAGAAAGCGTTCCAGCTCGACGAGCCACCGAGTCTGTCGCGGCTGCCCCCCGAGCCATCTGCTGCGTCGCCGCTGATCACGTCCGCGATCGACGACGTGATGTACGTGCTCAACGCGGTCCTCGAACGGACGGTATCGACCGGCCACCCGCATCTGATCCGGAACGTGGTGTCGAACGTGCGGCGGGTGCTCGAGTCAGATCTGGTGGGCATGATCCAGCGCAAGATGCGGGACGAGTCGTACCCGCGCGCGCCGTCGACCAGCTCGTCGTCATCGTCCGCGAACGGACACTCGGCCGCGCTGCCGCCGGATGAGAAAGTGAACTCGTTCTTGGTGCTGCTGAATAACCTCGCGGTCGCGACGGAGTACATCGACCGTATAATCGAGACCGTCGTGGGCACGTGCGGCGACGGGAAGGTGGTCTCTGTGTTTCCGTTCGGGGACGACCATGAGCAAGTCATTTTATCGCTGCGGGGCCTGTCGCATTCGTTTGAGACGCGCGTTAAAGAGCTTTTGACAGACGGGATCCAGGTCGTGTACGTGCAAGTGATCAAACCCCGCCTACGGTCTCTTCTCGGGGAAGCCTTCCGCGACGCGACGTATCTGCCACAAGGCTCCGCGGGCGAGGACGCCGAAGACTCGCTCTCGCAGCAACAAGCTGATCTAGTCCGTCTCCGGTTCGCGTACGGCTGGGACGCGATGATGCATCCGATCCGCCGGATCCTGACGGAGAAGAACTACTCGCGCCTGCTCGCAGTCACGAGCGAGCAGCTTTCGGGGATGCTCGAGCGGCGCGTGTGGGGCATGTCGGGCCGGGTGAACGAGTTGGGCGCGATTCAGCTTGAGAGGGACGTGGCGGGCGTGATTTCGCACGTGTCGCAGGGCAAGTGGTATTTCCTGCGGGAGCGGTTCGTGAGGGTTGCGCAGCTGGTGATGGTGCTGGGGATGGATGAGAGTGAGTTGGAGGCTGGGGGGATCGAGTGGGTGTTGTCGGAGGAGGAGAGGAGGAGGGCGGCGACGATTCGGGTTGATGAGGGGGTGTGAGGATGTAGATGAATGTATCATAGATTTATTCCTTTTACGTGAAGTGCAGTAGAGAGAAGAGCAGTTGAGGTGCGGCTCATTTTATCTTGAACGTAAAGTATTCCCATTCAACTTCCTCTTCGACAAATGCATTTCCATCTTCACCACAAATCCAAACTGACTCTCCACACATTCTTCTCCCGCTGCTTTCCCCGACCGCAACGCTTCCTACGCTATCCGCGGTCGCCATCCCTCTTCCTCCACAACATGTCGACCCCACCCCCTCTAACGACAGAAGTCCTAAAAGTCAACCCCGACGACATCATCTTCCCCCCCGACGCCGAACAACCCACCCTCAACCCCACCAGCGCAACCGCGCAAAACCTCGAGCGCGCCGCAGAGCTGCTACGGAAGCACACCGCCCCCGTGGCTTTCCCTACCGAGACAGTCTACGGCCTCGGCGCCGCAGCGACCAGCACGGCCGCGGTCCGCCAGATCTTTGCCGCGAAGCAACGACCGAGCGATAACCCGCTGATTGTGCACGTGAGCTCGGTCGCGCAGCTCAGACGCGTGCTGGGGATCGAGGTGCCGCAGATCTATCGCCGGCTGGTGGATAAGTTCTGGCCGGGCCCGTTGACGATCATTTTGCCGCTGCCGAGGGGGACGGTGGTGAGTCCTGCGTGCACGCCGGGCCAGACGACGGTGGGCGTGCGGATGCCTGCGCATCCAGTTGCGCGGGCGTTGATTGCGATCTCAGACACGCCGCTCGCTGCGCCCTCTGCGAACGCGTCGACAAAGCCGTCGCCGACGACGGCGGCGCATGTGTTGGCTGATATGGCGGGGCGGATCCCGCTCGTGCTCGATGGCGGGAGCTGTAGCGTTGGCGTCGAGAGCACGGTGGTTGACGGGACGGTGAGGCCGCCTGCGGTGTTGAGACCCGGCGGGGTGTCGGTTGAGATGATTAGAGAGGTCGGCGGGGAGGAGTGGAAGGATGTGGTGGTGGGGAAGAGCGAGGCGGGGAAGCATGAGAGCGTGAGGACGCCGGGGATGAAGTATCGGCATTATTCGCCGCGGGCGCGGGTTATTGTTTTCGTGGGCGCGGGGGAGGGAGGGCGGGTTGTGAAGGAGTATTTGGAACGTACGGAGAGCAGCGAGGTCGCGGTGTTGACGAGTAAGCTGTTCGAGACGAGCGGGTGGGATGACTCTACAAGGTCGCGGATCAAGACGATAAGGTCACTAGGCACGACCGGTGCTGATATCGCGAGGAATCTATTCGCCGGTCTACGGGACGCGGATGAGGAGTTACAGGCTGAGAATAGTGATAACAGCAAAGCAGTGATCTTGGTCGAGGGCGTCTCGGACGACGACGAGGGTGCTGCGATTATGAATCGGTTGCGGAAAGCGGCGAGCGAGATTTATGAGGACGGGGAGTGGACTGTGAAAGAATCCAGCTAGTTGCTTTTTCATATAATCATAATATAAACAAACAAATAACAATTAGATATCAAACAAAAGTAATATCTAGATATCTGGAGAAGAGTTAAGTAGATGTCACGTGCGTTTACTATGAACTGGGAGAACAGAGCAGAGCACCGGGACCGCAACTCCATCGACGCGCGAATCCATCAAAGACTACGACACCCACCGCTGCGACGCCTTCTCCTTCCTGACAAAGAAGTTGCTGTGCAAAGTGTTTGAGAGTGTGGTTGGAGTTTTAATTAAGATACCTGGACTACGCTCGACACCGCTGGGTGGAGTGGTTTTATTCAGACAGTGTTTGTTGCGTTGTGGGAAGTGAGCTTGGTTGAGTTACGATCTGGAGGTAGCTTATGACGCGGAACGGAATCCGTACTTCGGTCTGCTATTACGAGTGATTGATTAGTTTTGGACGCTAGCAAGGCATCGAAAAACAAGAGACTACAAGAAGCAAGAAGAAGAGGAGAAAAGAGGTGCATGCCCCGACGACTATCGACACAACCCCAGATACCCAAAGCTACACCAGACGCCACCGCCCTAATGTCCTCCGAACTATTCTACTCCTTCCTCCGCATCTCGACCGCGCAGACGCTCCGCGCATCCGGCATCGACCGCTGCCCGCCCTCGGTCCTCGACACGCTCACCGACCTCACGATCAGATACATGACCCTTCTCTCCACCAAAGCGACCGCGAACGCGTACATCTGCGGCCGAGGTGAGGTGGAGTTGGGAGACCTGAGGTTCGCGATGGAGCAGGCGGGGATGTTGAGGCCGACGAGGATGTTGGATGAGACGGTGAATGATGGGGAGGTGTGGGGGATCGATGTTGAGGATGAGGGGTTGGAGAGGTTTTTGGAGTGGTGTAGGACTGTGCCGAGGGAGATCGCTGCTGTTACAGGAGGGGAGGAGTTGATTGATAGTACGTCCTTGCCTTTTACTAAACACTGCTCAGAATTGAGAGAGAGGTGAGCTAACGATGATTACTGCAGCATTGATGAAGAAACAAACAAACGTGAGCCAGGAAGATAGATTCAAAGGCACGATCCTCGACCCGTCCCCGCCGCCGTCACCTACACAACACAGCAAACTTGAGATCGAAGGCGGTCCTGGTCCGGTTGAGTTATAGTCTCTGCAGGACTTGTCGTGATGCGCTATAAGTGAATTGCGGCGATTACAGCACACAGGGTGGAGTTACTTACACGACAGATTCATGATATGTACATTATTGATTACTATTTGTACGGATCGCGGTGATTATAGAGAGAGTGGATTCATCTACTCAAACGACAAGAACAGCAAAGATATGATATGAAGATATAATCGCCATAATACACACAGCACTACACTCCTCTCTTCATCCATATCAAAAGCAAAATTGAGACTACGCAAGTCAATACACTAAAAAGAGCTAATAAAACATTTTTTGACATAATATCTAAATATACAAAGCTATAAATATAACCTGCATGGCAAATCCAAACAGCAACAACAACAAAATACTAAACAAAAGCAGAAGAAGTACAGTAATTACTAGCATTAACAAAAACAAAGGAGATCCAAAATATTAGAATATAGAAATATAGAAAGAAGAAAGAACAGAGCGTGGAATATAATACATCCTATGAATACCTACCTACATTATCATCTGCTTTCGGAAACACAACACACAACATGGTGGGAATAGACAAAATAATATAAAAAGTTGACAAGGAGGATTTTGAACGAATAGTATCGGCAAAGAAAAAGAAGAGAAGAAGAGACAAGAGATAATAATACTAGAGAAAAGAAGAGAATATTAAGAAGTATTAGTTTTGACCAAACACGAAACCAAAACACGTCAAAAAACCAAAACAAACAGAACCAAAAGGCGAAAGAATAAAAAAACAAAAGAAGAGGAAGGTATTAGGGGTAAAAGTACATGGACACAAAAATCATATCAAAACTGCATCAACTCTCCTCCTCCAAATCATCCAAAATATCCTCCGGCACAAGACTAAACTCATCCTGATTCTCAATCAACGAATTCACCGCCTCGATCGCCAGAAAATAGCTATCGCCCGCCAACCCGCCCGCCGCCGGCTGCGACACCTGCTCGCCCGTCTCAGGGTCGAGTTGCGGCGGCGGGATCGGGCCGGTGTCTTCGTCGGCCGCGTTTTGCGAGTAGAGGATGTTCGGCGTGATCACGGTCGAGAGGTTGTGGATGTCCATCTTTGATCCGGATTCCTCGTCCACGTGCGAGAACGAGGCTACCCATTTCAGGAAGTTTAGTAGGATCTCCATCGAGTCTCGGTGTGATCGGGGTAAGAGACAACAACAGAGATGCAGCACGCGGCGACGCGTCTCGTCGTCGCCGATCTTTTGCGAGGCAACCCAGATCCGGTAGAGCTTGAATGTTAGGAGAGGATCCGGCATCTCGCGAAGGAACTTCTTCAGCAAAGCTGCGAGCTGGACTGGTGACTCGGTGTCAAGATTCACGCGGGTGCTCGACGAGGCGCCGGATTTATCAATCGTCTCAGCCAATGCCTTGAGTTTTCGGATGTTTCCGTTTTTCCGGAAAACACCTTCAACCGACATATCTAGAAAAAACAAACATTATTAGGCACAATAGATCAAAGTAAACTTGAGGAGTGAACTCACCCTTCCGTCGCATAGCGCTAATAACATCATCCAAAAACGCAGGAACTTTCAACATCCCCGCACTAACACCCAACTCAGAATCCGTCCCGCTGCGCTCGACAAGCGCGTCCAGGCCGACCTTAAACACCCCGTTCGCGTTCGCCGCCGCCGCAGCAGCAGCATTAGCAGCCGCGTTCGCACTTCCTTTCCGCTTCATCTTTTCCGATGAATTCGGACTCGGTGCGCCGCTGCCGCCGCCGGACGCGTTATATCCTGCGCCGGCATCAGCGGCGTTGGTGCCGTTGCTGCTGCCGTTGCTGTTGCCGTTCACGCCATTGCTGTTGGACTTGCTAAACGCCTTTCCAAACTTTTCCCAAAAACTCAGCTTCGCGCTACCGTGCCCCGGCGACGCAGGACTCCGTGGCTCGCTCGCCATCTCGAGGTACTCCTGCTCGGAGAAAAAGTAATCGACCACGATCACCTGCAGCTCTGTGAACGCGCGCTTGCGCACGGCAGTGTATTCTGCGGGCGAGAGTTCGGAGAAGTATTTCAGGCGGCCGGCGCCGGCGCGCGAGGCGGCGGACGAGGACGCGATTGAACGCGCGATCGGGGTGGTGTCGTCGGTTGAGGGTTTGGGCGCTAGTTGCACTGCGTTGGTCTGTCGCTGTTTCTGCGGCTGCAGCTGTTGCAGTTGTTGCAGTTGTTGCTGCTGCTGCTGCTGTTGAGGTCGTGATTGTTGCTGCTGGCGCGGCGACGTGGTACCCCTATCATCAGTAGGCGCCGGTCCGACATGTGACTGCGAGACCGGCAACTGCTGCAGCATCAGCTTCGGCGCTGGACCGGAACCCAGCTTGAGCGAGCTCTGGCGCTGATGACGGAACGCGTTCGGCCGCTGCTCGCGCGCTTGCTCGGCGGCGACGATGCGCGGGATGTCGTCTAGCGTGAGGTATTTCTCGCCAAATAAAATGTCGGGCTTGTCTGAGGATGCGGTGTTTGTTCGGCGGGGAGCGGAGGGTGGGGTGTCGGGGTTGTTGAGGAGGGAGGTGGTTGAGTGGTGGTGGGTGGATGGAGCGGTAGCTATTGATGACGGCGGCGAGACGATTTCTCTGCTGACGTTGCTACTGCTGCTGTTTGCGTTGACGGTAGTGCTGCTATGTGTCCTGCTACTCTTCCTCCGCTGCAGAGAGCCGGTTGAAGGTCCCTGAGGCGATTGCGACTGGGATTTTGGCGACGCGGACGCGCGCTGCGACTCGTTTCCCATCGTGCTCTTTGATCTGCGGACCTGCTTCCCCTTTGCGTCCGAGATTGCGCGTTTGAAACGGGTGGAGCGCAGGCGGCGGATGTCGGTGAGCGTGTTGACGTAGCCGACGACGGACTCGTGCTTGTCGGTCGACGAGATCCGTTTGAGCGGTCCCTGCGCGGCGAGGGTTTCGACGGTTTTGTAGACGCGTTGCAGCGCGACTTTGAGCAGGAACGAGTACTGGTTCAGACGCGAGACGAATTCAAAGCCGGTGCGGGGTTGGTCGGCGGCGGTCGCGCAGTCCGTGCATAGGACGACGCGGAGGTTGCTGCTCCAGACGGCGCGGGCGAGGTCGTCGACGAGCGAGCGCTGGCATTTTGCGCAGGCGAAGCAGGCGGCGGTGAGATGCCATCTGCGGTCGCGGCGGTCGCCGGAGTCGGCGGAGGGTAGGAGGCGCGCGCATTTTTCTTCGATGCCGCGGCGGCAGGACATGCATTGGTCGGTGATGTTGGGGACGAGGGTCGCGCGGGAGAGAACGGGCGGGGAGTTGTGGGAGGACAGGTAGTCGAGGAAAGATTCGACGGCGTGGGAGTCAGAGTCGAGTCTGTCTTGCAGAAGAGCAGAGTCGAGACCGAATTGGATGAGGAGCTTGAGGTAGTGAGCCATTGAGGTGACGAGGTCGAGGAGATCTTTTGAGGATGAGGGAGCTGCGACAGACGAGGGAGGAGATGGGGTGGAGGTGGCAGGCTGGGCGGAGGAGGGAGAGAGAACGGAGCCGGGGAGGGTGGTGAGGAAGTTGACGATATTTTTGCAAAGAGTTTTTGGTTCTTTTCCGAGCGAACGCGCGACGGTGGGGTTTTGCCGGAGGAGGTCGATAGCTGAGAAAAGGACTTGAACGCGGTATATCAGTCTGCTTGTCGCGAGGACGGCGTCGAGCGTCGAGCTGGCGGTCGCGTACTGGAGCATGTCGGAGATACAGGCGGCAGAAACCTCCTCGTACTCTGAGAGCACGGTCCAGATGCGGAAGACTTTGTTTTCGACAGCGGACTGCTTTGCTTTGAGGAGGTCGGGAGTGAGGTCGCTGTCGTCTTTCCAGACATACGGGCCGGGGTCTGTTGCGGCGGAGGCAGGAGGGGCCGATTCTGCAGCGAGACGGACGTTCCAGAACTTGTGAATCATGTAGCATTCAGGGTGCCAATGCTCGTGGCGTCCGTTGCGGAGGTTTTCGATGAATTGGCGGAGGATGGCGGAGTTGCAGCCCTCGCATCTGTCGGCGAAGAGGGTGGAGAAGTGGAAGTGGCAGTAGACGGAGCCGTCGCGTTCGTAGTAGTTGTCGTCGGCCTGGAAGACGCGGGGGCAGATGGAGCAGGTGAAGTGTTCGAGGTGGTATTTGTGGCCGACGGCCATGACGTAGTCGCCGCGGAGGGCGCCGCCGCAGACGTGGCAGAGGAGGGAGCGGCGGCGGAAGAAGTCGAGTTCGCAGAGGGGGAGGGGGGAGGAGGGGGGTTGGTCGAGGGGGAAGAAGCGCTCGCCGACGGGGTTGCCGCAGTCCTGGGGAGTTAGACAGAGTAGAGAGATAAAGGGAGAAGAAGGAAATGAAAGAAGAAGGGTGGAATAGAAGAAGAAGAGGGGACATACGGCACAGACAAAACAAGATTTATGAAAGGTTTTGTCCATGGCGCGGATCGTAGGCGCGTCGAGGGGCAGGTGACATCGCGCACATAGAGAGGAGGAGGGGGTGGATGGTGAAGAAGAGGAGGAGGTGACGGTGAAGGGTAGAGAGGGACGGGAGAGGCTGTCAGAAGGAGAAGCGTAGGAGGATTGGACGCGTGAGGAGGAGGGATTTGAGGACGGGGGAGACGTTTGTGGTGGTTGGGTTGAGGAAGAAGACGCGAGGAGCATGACTGCGGGTGGAGCAGAGGTGAGAGCAGAGCATGCGACGCGTCTGAAGAGATAGGAGAAGTGAGAGAGGAGAGAAGAAGAAGGGTATATAGAGGAGATAGTAGAGGAAGTGGTGAAGTAGAGAAGGTGGTGAAGTGGAGCCGAGGGAGTCAGGGGCGGGCGTGGACGTGGCAAGAGCGCAGGGGCTGAGAGGAGATCAGAGAAGCGAGTGGATGACTAATTGCTGACTGTGTTTATGAGTAGTTGTTTGTATGTTGCTGTATGTCTTTTGTATTGGAGTATTGGAGTAGTTAATAGTGCTATTAGAACACTCTCTACTCTTTAATACAATAACTACAAGAATAAGAGCAACAACATCTTCTATTCGCTTTTCATTGTCAACAAACGAGCCGTCTCAGCCGCATTCGGCTATCTTCCTTTGTTCTCATCGAATCTCGGCTCCTTTTTTTATGCTGTTCTTTTTGTGCCTGTTTTTGGTGTTTTGTTGTGGTATTTGTTCTGTATAGTCTGTTTGTATTCTTCTTATTCTATTTACTCTTCTTTCTTGTTCTTCTTCCCCTTCTGTATGTACTTCTATTAATAGCTCGCTTCATTGAGGGATAGGGTACCGTCTCGCTTCAGCCTGACTCGTCTGGTCTCTCTCTCTACTTCTGATATCCCATCTCTACTCTCTCTCTCTACTCTCTCTATCTCTCTATCTCTCTACTCTCTCTATCTCTCTACTCTCTCTACTCTCTCTACTCTCTTCTTGATATCTCCACTCTACTCTACTATTATGCTGCTCAGATATCTCATCCCCCTCTCCCTCCTCCTCTCCTCAGTCACCGCCCTCCCTATGCCGTCCCCGAGACACCACCCCTCCTGGGGCATGCTCCCCCCTCGCGCCCATACCCACCGCATCCAGCACCACTCTCTTCCTCCGAATGATCCTGAACTTGATCTGAAGCACCAGGAAGAGACTATCATTGATGTCTCTGAGGAGCTTGATTATACCCTTGATGTTGGCAGTCAGTAGACTACTCTCTCTACACTGTACTGGATACCTCATGCTGTCATAGACTAGTCTGTCTTTACTCTCTTCTCTCGTGTAGACAACATACTTATGCTCAATACTATACCCATTACTACAATAAATACATCATGCACTATCAATCTAATGCATCTACACACTCCCTCCGTATCCTCTCCACCCCCCTCACCTCCCCCATCCTCTCCAACACCCCCTCCAACTCCCCCCACTGCGCCCTCGCCTCCTCCCCCCTCCCCTCCCGCACCATCCTCCTTAACCTCTCCGGCGCATCCACAATCGCCCTCAACTCCCGCACGCACCGCTCCCGCTCATCCTCATCCGCCTTCTTCCGCTTCTCGCTCAGCGTCGCAATCAACGTCGCCGACACCTCCGCAATATGCGCCACCGCAGGCGCAAGCGCAGACGTCGTCGGCTGAAGCGGATCCATGCTACTCCGCATGCTCTGGATCGTCTCGGTGGCGGTGATCAGCTTACTGTAGTTATCATACACCAGCGCCTTGCCCTCTCCTTCCAGTGTCCGGATCTCGTGCATCAGCGTATTCTCCTTCGCCACAAACTCCCGCGCCTTGTTCTCCCGCACAAATCGGTCTAACCACTCGTCTGCTTTGAAATCAGGCCGGTCGATTTCCGAGGGCTGCACGCCCGCCGTGAACCGGTCCGACCCCAGCGCGTAAAACTCCCGCAGCGCGGTCCTTCGCGCGTTGGCTGACGATACTATTCGTTTGCCATTGTGTGGAGACCTTGATGATGGTGATGGTCTGTCTGGTGTCTGCAGATGCGACTGTGCATGAACTGTGGAATTCGACATCTTCCTTCTTGATGTTGTATTGATTCAACAACCTCCTCCCTCCCTCCTGTGTTCTGTTGCGCCGCCATCCCACGTGACTCTTACTAATCCATCACTAATCACTCTGACTACTTAAAGTTATCAGATCAACAGCAGCCGGGACCTTTAATCTCGATCCGAGCAGCTCCTCGCATATCCAGACTGCTTATGTTCATAGCATGAAATAGAGTATAATAAACACAGAGACAGTTATATAGCAATCATGCAATAACACAGCAGAATTGCGGAATAAAAACACAGAAAACCAGACCTGTTCTGGTCTCCTGGCCGCTCTTCCCGCTCCGGTCGGCTGCTCGCGTCTAGATTCCTCGGCGTCCGTCTCGCGTCGGGGCTGCTCCTGAATCTGCTGCTGCTGCTCTGGTTTAAGGCTCGGCATTTGTTTTGACATAAAGACTCATTTCTCTTCTCCTTCTTCTTCTCTTCTTGTATGCTCTCCTCATCTTCTCTCCTCTCATACTCCACCATGTCCACACCCTCCGTCGTCATCGTAGGCGGCTCCGTCGGCGGCCACGCCATCGCCCACAACCTCGTCTCCCTCCTCCTCCAAGACGCCCGCCGCCAAAAACTCCCCGACTTCCCCTTCCCGCGCATAACCGTCGTCGAGCCCCGCCGCGGCCTCATCAACCCCATCGCCATCCCGCGCACGCTCGTCGACCAGGCCTTTGCCCCGCAAACCTTCGCCCCGCCCTCGTCGTTCTCCCCGCAGGTGCTCGACCACGTCGACTTTGTCCGCGGGCGCGCATCTTACATGTCCAGAGCCCGCGTCGACGTCCGGCTGACGGACGACTGCACGACCTCCCTCCCATTCGACTTTGCAGCCATCGCCGTCGGCCGCCATCGTCCCGCGTTCGTCATGCCCCCGCACCTCACAAAGCACGAATACCTCGCCTTCGCCGACTCCTACGCGCTCAACTTCCGCGCCGCGCACTCCATCGTCGTCGTCGGCGGCGGCGCGGTCGGCATCGAGATCGCGGGCGAGCTGAAGTACGCTTATCCGACGAAATCAGTCACCCTCCTGCACTCCCGCGACAGACTCCCGCCTGAACCGTCGCTTGATCCCGAGTTTAGCGAAAGAGTGCTCGACGCGCTGCGGGCGCTTGGGGTTGACGTGCAGCTCAACACGCGCGCGGCAACTGCAGCAGACAAGAAACCGTCAGAGATCGAGGTGGGAAGACGAATCATAAAGACGACCGACGGCCGCGAGTTCGAAGCCGACTGCACGGTCTGGTGCACCTACCGCGGCACCGTCGCCTCCGAGTTCCTCGACAGCTCCGTATTCCTACCGCAGACCTCGATCGACGCCGCCAACAACGCAATCAAGGTCAACGACGACATGACGGTCTGCGGCGGCTTCGACAACGTCTACGCGGTCGGCGACGCGAACGACTATCCCGTGATCAAGACCGCGGGCGGGGCGATTTTCCAAGGCAGCATTATCGCGCAGAACATTGCGCGACAGATCAATATCGCGCAGGGGGTCTACGCGCCGCTGGACGAGGTCGAGAAGGAGCAGGGGGTCGAGGTGCCGGAGGTTGTGCTGTGCGAGAATTGGGGGAAGGCGCATATGGCGGTTATTATCGGGCAGGAGATGGCGGTGGGGGAGACGCGCGCGAACGGGGTTTCGAGAGACTACAAGGCTACGGCGGAGTTGTTTGAGGGGGATATGAGCACGAAGCGGATATTCGAGGCGATAGGGGTGAGCGCAGTGAGCGCAGAGAGCGCAGAGAGCGCCGTGAGCAGCAGTAACGGACATTGATCCAGTTAATGAGTATATTGTAGTATTGTAGCAACAGAGATACATCAATTCATATAAAGCAGGCAGTCTAGTAACAATTAGCTAAGAACTGAGAAGGAAGAACAGACAGAGCATGATCAAGGAGCGAATCAGATGGTCAGAAAGTATTTTGTTTAGTCATCGAGAACTGAATCTCTAGTACTAGAAGTGCCATAAATGCTAGGTATCATCATTTGCTAGATCTGCTCTGTTATGAGAGTACTTACTAGTTGTTATAACAGTAGTTGATATGTTGATAGTCGATATAGTTAACAAAGATGATGAACAGCAGAGGAAGAAGTTATAAAGAGAACCCGCACCCTAAACTCCCAACTCACCACTCACTCACTCAACAAACCAGCGTGACTGCTTTTCAATAGGAAGAGTAACCCTACACTACGCACAACACACAACCCTAACTCCATCCACGCTGCTTTTCGCAGTCAGGTCTGCCAAACCATCTGTTTTCTCCATCCAGCACCGCTCTTTCGTCTCGCTTTCCCCGTTTCTTCTCCGTCAAATACATATTCAAAATGGGTCGCATGCACAGTAACGTATGTGTTTTGTTGTTAGCTGGTTGTTGTTGGTTTGGTGTGGTGGGTGTGTGGATTGAGCTGGGATCGAATCGTCAATGATGAGGTGAAGTCAGGTCAAGACAAGACACCACACCACTCTCTCAACACCACATATTGAACTTATCATGAACAAAAACTAACACCCTCACAGGGCAAAGGTATGTCCTCCTCGGCCACACCTTACTCGCGCCATCCCCCGCGTGGTTCAAGCTCACTCCCGAGAGCATCGTCGACATGATCATCAAGAACGCCCGCAAGGGTCTCTCGCCTTCCCAGATCGGTGTCGTTCTGCGAGACTCCAACGGTGTCGCCCAGGTCAAGGTCGTCACCGGCAACAAGATCCTCAGAATCCTCAAGTCGAACGGTGAGTCTCTTCTTTTTCAGCTCCTTTCTTGTATTCATACTAATAATCTGCAGGCCTCGCTCCCGAAATCCCCGAGGACCTCTACTCCCTCATCAAGAAGGCCGTCTCCGTCCGCAAGCACCTCGACCGCAACCGCAAGGACAAGGACTCCAAGTTCCGTCTGATTTTGATCGAGTCCAGAATCCACAGACTGGTCAGATACTACAAGACCGTCGGCGTCCTTCCCCCCGTCTGGAAGTACGAGTCCGCCACCGCCTCGGCTCTCGTCGCCTAAGCGTCTTGTTTATTTGTGTTGTTTGAAAAGTTAATACATGAAGTAAAAAGATTATCTCGGCTGGGTCTCTTTCTCAGGGAAGATGTATTGTACATTTAGAAAAATAATCACTCGTGCATCTCGTGCATCACTTTCTTCCACCATCTATCGTACACGTAGTCGTCACTAATACTATACTCATTCCTTCGAAATACTCTCCTCAGACACAAGAGGCGCATCTTTACTCCTCTCCAGCAAAAACATCGCCAGCCTCTCCAGCGGATTATTAGGCCTAAACACATTAGCAGAGTCCTCTATATCATATTAACAGTAAAAGTAGTGAAAGCAGAAACACATACTGTTCTCGAGCTATCAACTTCATGCCATCAAGCAACGCCGGCGTCACGAATTTATTCAGATACCGACGAAGCGGCGCGCCTCCACGGACCGGGTCCTGCTGCGTCTGCTGCTGCCCCTGCTGAGTGTCAGCGTCAGTTGAGTCCTCTTCCGGTGAGAGTTTCTGCTGCTTGGCTTTCGGCGGGGAGGTTGTGTCGTGGCCGTTGGTGGGGGATGTGTGCGTTGAGGGGGGGATGTGTGGGTGGGTGGATGTGGATGTGGGTGGTGGTGGTGGTGGTGATGGTGCGTCGATGGCGTCGTGTGTTCGTTTCCGTGATGTGTTTGCGTCGTCGGGTTGTATTTCCTCCTCTGCATCTTCCACAATCGTATCTTTTGGCGATGTCGCAGCATCATCAGCAACATCATCAGCAGGAGTAGCAACAGCAGCACCAACACGATCCTCACTCGCAACCCGATCCGCAACCACAGCACCTGATCCGTCCATTTTTCTTCTTCTCCCGTCCGTTCTTCACCTCAGACAATCTTCACCTCAAAGTGAGATAATGCAAGGGTTGGCGATATGCAAACAAATCGCTGGAATCTGGAAATCAGATTCGATACCGCGTAGATGACTTCTTGATATCAAGTATATCGTCTCGTCTTTCCTGTCGTTCTCTTTTCTCTTTCTCTTTTCTGCTTGCGCGTCTATGTCGCCAGATACAATCCTCTTCTCTCTCAAAAGATCTTCTTCCAAACCAATTCCTCACCGCTCAGTGATTCCGTATCTGTTCACCAACCCAAGCCAACTACAACCAACCCGGCCTCACTTCTCCCGCCCGCCCATCCCGCTTACATAACCCTCCTCCATAGCATTAATAATACAACAACAAGGGCCTCGTACCAAGAAGCCAGGGTCTCGAGAGGAGGAAGGGCTGAGGTGAGGTTACGACGGCAGAAGGAGATCGGAATCGGATACAGAATCAGAGAAAGAGATTGTTATTGTTGTTAGGAGAGGATATATTGGAGAATTGCAGATTGAGGAGGAAAGGAATATTTCTGTTTGTTGTCGCTGGGTCTAGTTCGTCACTTCTCATCAGCATCAACATCACCAACATCACCAACATCACCACCACCAACATCACCGACATCACCGACATCACCAACATCAGACACACACACACACACACCATGAGTCGACGCAACCAATACTCGCAAAACCACCCCTCCCACGCCCTCAACTCGCCCTACAACCCCTACGCCCACCCCACGCACCAGCAGCAAGTCTTCCGCAAAGGCCAGGCCTCGATAACCACCTACTCGTCGCGCCTGCGCCAAGGCGCCACCGCGCTGCTCGTCCCGCAGGGCGCGCTGATATCGACTGGCGGGACGTTGCCGCGTGCTGCAAAGAGGAATTACGCGGAATTAGACGACGATGATGATCTTTTGGCGGCCGCTGGGTTGGGTACGCCGAGTAGAGCGGCGGGGGCGGAGGATGAGCAGCCGGTGGTGAAGAGTCGGCCTGCGTTTATGACGAACCATGTCTACCAGTATGCTACATCTTACTTCTCTTCTTTGTGATATATTTGCTAACACACATCAGCACCGAGGAACAACTCGAAGCAGCGGCAAACCTCCCCGAGATCCTAATCCCGATCCGCATCAACCTCGACCTGGGCAGCTACCGCCTCGCCGACTTCTTCCTCTGGAACCTCTCCGAGCGCCTGACCACGCCCGAGCAATTCGCAGCAATCATGTGCACCGACCTCGATATCCCCGTCCACACGTACGCGCCCCAGATTGCGAACGCGATCCGCACGCAGATCGAGGAGTATGCGCCGGTCGCGACGATTAATCTGCCGCCGGGGATACAGAATGTGATTGTTAGGTTGAGTCTGCATCTTGCGAAGCATTTGTATGAAGATAAGTTTGAGTGGGATCTGGCGTCGACGGGGGCGGCTCCGCTGTCGTCGAACAATAATGACGAGGAGGAGGAGGATGAAGAAGAGGAGGATGAAGGTGAGGAGGAAAGAGAAGAGAGTAAACTTCTTGAAGAAGCGGCAAAGAACGGGGATAGCTCGGTGAACGAGATCCTACGAACAGGTCTTACGCCAGAACAATTCGCGCGCACGGTAGTCTCCGACCTCGGACTCACCGGCGAATTCTACCCCGCGATCGCGCACGCCATCTACGAAGTGCTCATCCGTCTCAAAAAAGAAGCCTGCGAAGGCCACCTACCCATCGAAGTCGACAACGACGCCGCGTACAACGCCGACGCGGGCTGGCGCGTTGATCAGGAAGGGCTGGGCGACGAGTGGGCGCCGACGGTCGAGGAGTTGACGCAGGAGGAGATCGAGCGGCGGGAGGTCGAGCGCGAGAGGAATATCAGACGGTTGAGGCGCGAGACGGCCAAGTTTGGCGATTCGGCGGCCGAGCGGGCGATCGCGGTCGCGGACGCGACGGGGCTCTTGAGCGGGTCGAAGAAGCGGAGGCGGAAGACTACCATGTTTTGAGATGTTTTCTCTTTTTTTTAAAGAGGGCGCTGGGTATGATGTCAGTGGATACTAGTGATCAAGAAATGATTTCAGAAATGATTTCAAGAAGTGCCAAGGAGCTGTATGTATGATAGAAACCGAATATTGAATTACCTCGACATGATCCATCCAAGTAAGCTTAGTACATGAACGGCGATGTCAAGTCGTCTCTCTTTTTTAGAGAATAAGATTCATTGATTATGGCGACACAGTGACTGGACGTGTGAGAGTGAAAGTGGTTCTCGAGATGGAGGAGGGAGAGAAAGTTTCGGATTACCGGATTTGTAGTTATTCTGTTGAGAAGGTTGTGGTCGGTGGGGAGGATGGTGGTCCGGATGAGGTAGACTACAATTGTTACAAGTTGTTCTGCGATACCAGATTTCTCTTTCATATGATATTGTTATAGACGATATCTATAATATCTCTTAGATAAAGATATCCGAAACAAAAAAGACACAGCCATCACACTTCAGCCGTGCGCCGGCGCAATGTAGATCATCCAAAGCAAGCCGAGATGAAAACCAAACAAGGTTAGCAGACGAGCAAATCGTCTTTGTCAAAAACCTGCGGTACGCCAGACAGACGACGATGAAAAGAGAATAATGAACCGACGGGGTTTATAGTCGTTGTTGGCTGAGTCGAGTGGTGAAGTAGTGGTGGAGCGTGGAGCATGGTGTAGTTCATAGATTACCTAATTCGGAAATAATAGATTATTTCTTTGTCCTTGCTTCTTCTTCTCCTCATCTTCCCAAGCTTTAGTTCATTCACTGCATCTCTCTTTTCTCTTTCTTTCAGTACATTGCCGATTCATCACACGATATCGGCGCAGTCGGACTACGAACCATGCGCAAAGAGTGAGTTTACGTCTGTCGGTTTTAGTCTCTTTGTCTCGGTGACGTCGAGTGCGGTTGGTTCTTGTCAATCGACTCGTTCTTGCTCTTGCTCTTGCTCTTTCTTCTTGGATTGTCGTTCTTTTTATCTTTGTATCCTTGTTGTTGCTCTGTAGCTGCTACTTATCAACAACTATCAACAAGCATCAACAAGCATCAAGACACCAACAAGCAATTCCCAACCGCCGCACTCCGCCGAGCTTATCCATCACCACCACCACCAACTAACCTGCCCTCCACCCCTCCAGCTCCTCCTCAATTAGCTCTTCGCAAGCTAATCCGAACAAAAATCACTTCCGCGAGAAACCCGCCTCTCTTCACTCTAAAATGGCAGGCCGCATGGTCCGCCCGTCGGCATCGCAGTACCTTCCCCTGCCCTCCGACGACGTCGCTGATGACGACTCCGCGTCGCCGCTCGACACGTTCTCCGCCTCCTCGTCTGCGTCTGCCTCGCTGCGTCGAATGTATGCTCGTTCTCCTCTTTGCTCGTTTATCGCCTGTCTTTGTCTTTTCTACTGTGTTCTGTCGTTGTCGGCGCGGGCTCTCTCTTTGTCGCGCTTCGCTCCTTCTATCGCTCCTTGTTCTCCACGTGGTAATTTTCCACTATAAATTGACCGGCCTGCCCGCCTTCTGTTCTCTCTCTTCATCTCAATTTTATTCCATCGACCATGGCTGACTCTTCCCTTTCCTCCGAACCCAAAAGCCCCCAAGCGGACACCGTCGTGCTCCCGCATCCCCTCGCAACCGTCGACTCCGCCAACAAGGCAGACGGCCTCGCCGTCCACGCCCTCGAAGACGACTCTTCCCCCCCTGCTCCTCCCTACGACTCCAAGTACGCGACCAGCAGCACCAGCGACAACGACGACGACGACGACGGCATCTCCGACCACGACCTCCGCACGCTCCGCCGCGTATCCGACCGTCTCCCCGCGGCAGCCTGGCTCGTGGCCGTCGTCGAGCTCTGCGAACGGTTCACGTACTACGGTCTCACCGGCCCGTTCATGAACTACATGCAGAACCCCGCGCACGACTCCCTCCGGCCTGGCGCGATCGGACTCGGCCAGAGCCGCGCGTCCGCGCTGAACTACTTCTTCCAGTTCTGGTGCTATGTCACGCCAATCGTCGGCGCTGTCGTCGCGGACCAGTATCTCGGCAAGTTCAAGACGATCTCGATCTTTGCCGGAATCTACGCGGTCGGACTGGCAATCATCTTTGGCACTTCTTTCCCGGCCGCGATTGACGCAGGCGCGTCGCTGGGCGGCCTTGTGACGGCGATGATTGTCATCGGACTCGGCACGGGAGGCATCAAGTCGAACGTGTCGCCGCTGATTGCAGAGCAATACACAAACACAAAGAAGTACATCAAAGAGCTCAAGTCCGGCGAGCGCGTGATTGTCGACCCCGCGGTGACGATCCAGTCGTTGTTTATGATCTTTTACCTCTGCATCAACGTCGGCTCGTTGTCCGCCATCGCCACCACCGAGCTCGAGCTCAACGTCGGATTCTGGGCGGCTTATCTCCTGCCGTTCCTGTTCTTCTTTGTCGGCATCTTCTGCCTTATCGCCGGACACAAGGTCTACGTCAAGAAGCCACCCACGGGCTCTGTCATCCCGCACGCGTTCAGACTCGTCGTCATCGGCGCCGTCAACCGGAACCTCAACTACGCGCGCCCATCAGTCAGAGCCGAGCTCGGACTCTCGGCCGTTCCCTGGACGAACCACTTCGTGGACGAAGTATCCCGCGCGCTGGTCGCCTGCCGCGTCTTTGTCTTCTACCCGATCTACTGGCTCGTGTACGGGCAGATGCTCAACAACTTCATCAGCCAAGCCGGCTCGATGAACACGCACGGCATCCCGAACGACATCATGCAAAACATCGACCCGATCGCAATCATCATCTTCATCCCGATCTGCGACAGCTTCCTGTACCCGTACCTCCGCAAGGTCGGCATCCCGTTCAAGCCCATCACGCGCATCTTCTTCGGCTTCGTCTTCGCCGCCCTCGCAATGGCTTACGCCGCCATCGTCCAGCACATGATCTACACCTCCGGCCCGTGCTACGAATACCCGCTCGCCTGCCCCGCGTCCGAGAACGGCCAGATCCCGAACGACATCCACGTCGCGGTGCAAACCCCCGCATACTTCTTCATCGCGCTCTCCGAGATCTTCGCCTCCGTCACCGGCCTCGAGTACGCATACACCAAGGCCCCCGCGTCGATGAAGTCTTTTGTAATGTCCCTCTTCCTCCTGACCAACGCCTTTGGCGCCGCCATCGGCATCGCCATCTCGCCGACCGCAAAGGACCCGGATATGGTCTGGACATACACCTCGCTCGCAATTATCACGCTCTTCTTTGGCGGGTTGTTCTGGATCATCTTTAGTAAGTATAATAAGGATGAGGATGGGCTCAATGAGCTTGACGCGGCGGAGTCGGATGATTTTACGGAGAGGTTGCAGGCTGATGCGAGGGGGACTGAGAATATCGCATAGGCTGTGCTGGGGAGTTTGGATAGTACTTTAGCATTTTAGTTTTAGTTTTAGTTTTAGTTTTGTTTTTGTTTTTCTTTTCCCTTTTCTTTTTTTTTTTCCTTTTCTTCTCTTTTTCTTTTTCTCTTTCTTTTTCTCTTTCTTTTTTGTATAGTTATCTTTCTTGTTTTTTGTAATATAGCACTTTTCCCATAACAACCTCATTTATACTAAATAGTCTCAATTATTTATTCTAATAAAAACATCGATGCAGATCAATGCAGCGCAAACAATATTTCATAAAACACACACAATATACAATGCAGCTTTTACATACAAGCCAAAAACAAGACAAACGACTAACAAGTTCGTGGAACAACAAGCTGGAGCAAATGTAGAGAGCAAAATAAGACACACGGTAAAAGAAGAAGACAGATTAGGTAGGAGAGGGCGATATTGTACATAATTTACTCATTCCACAAACGCGTGAAACTATACGACAGGAAAAAACAGTAAAAGAAGAATAAGAGGAAATTCACACTAGAACGGATTGATATCCGACAACACCCGCGGCCGCTCGCGCAGCCATCTCATGCGTGGCCCCGACCGCGCGCGCTCGCTGACTTTGAAGCCAAACAGGTGCATTTGGAAGACTTCCCATTTCGAGTCGGAGTCGTGGAGCAGCGTGCTGACGGCCGCGTCTTCGGACGACGAGGGAGTGGCTGTGGTGCGGTCGGTGGTCGAGGCGGACGAGGTTGTCGAGGACGCGGAGGCGGTGGGGGATGTTGATGTCGGTTGTTGTTGCGAGGAGGTGGTGGTGGCGGTGGAGGTGGAGGTGGCGGTGGAAGTGGGGTCGGTGCCGTTGCCGGATTGTGGGTGGGAGGATTGCTGTGATTGTGACTGTTTTTGTTTTGGTGTTGGGTGTGAGACGGCGGTTGAGGCCGGGATGCGAAGGCCGCCGAGAGGGCCGGGGATGTCGGTGTAGGTCTTGAGGAAGAGTCCCGCGAACGAGGTGCCAAAGTATGCGCCGTCGACCTCGCTTTCCTCTTTACCCGCCGGAGAGTAGATGTCGGTGCAGTTCGGGCAATAGAGCTTTACAGTGTCGCGGCTGGGGAGATCCGAGGTTCCGATGGGTAGGAGCGGGGTGGAGTGGCAGAGGTAGCGCGGGCAGGAGCCAAAGTGCGCGAGGTCGTACTTCTCGGCCATCACGGCGAGGCCCTGGCGCGTGAGCAGGAAGCGCGCGTGGATGAGCCCGTAGAGCTGGTCGGCTGAGTTTTCGATGATTGGGATGTTGGGCAGGTGCGCGGCGTCGTCGGGGTCGGTTTCAAAGTCGAGGATCATGTCAAGAGCTTCTTTATAGTACGGCACCAGCGAAGACAGACCGGTGAGGTTGAAGTCGTCTTCGATGAAGTCCTCGGTAACTTCGGCGAAGTATTCGTGACCTTTCATCGAGCAGAACGACGAGATCCAGGTCTCGCCTTCAGAGTGCGACGAGCCGGATTCATAGTATGACTCTTCTTCCTCTATCTCTTCTTCCTCCTCTTCCTGTTGCTGCTGGTCCTCGCCCTCTTCATCCTGTAAAAGCTGATCTTCGGCCTCCTCCTCCTCCTCCTCTTCTTCTTCCTCCTGCTGCGGCTCCTCGCCTGTCTTCTTCTGGCCTTGCTGATGGTGCTCGACGCCTTCCATCATCGACGACTCACCGAATGGTTGTGCGAATTCCGCAGATGCTGAGGGAGTGCTGGCGCCGCTTGCTCGCGATGGCGAAGCGACAGCACTGGAGCTATTCATTGTCTGAGCAGTCTCGTGAGTGTTTGTGTGTTGTAGCCGTGGGTGTATCTGAGACTTCCTCCACGTATTGAGCTCTGCGCAGTCTGTTTGAAAGTAGATCACCGACTACTACTGCGCTATATATATGAAAGATAAAAAAAGGAAGAAAGTGATTTTCCTCAGCGGACAGCGGCTGACGAGGACGATCGCAGTGGTTCACAAGAGAACTGAATCAACCCAACGCAACTGAATAGACAACAACAGTCTTCCGTGCAGTAACAAACGCGCTGCTGTTCGATCGACCGGGGCAACAGGGCAACAGAGCAGGCAGCAAGGCTTTGGTGCGGGAAGAAGAGAGCGACGAAGGTGAGGTGCGTGGGCTGAAGCAGGGAGTTACCCGGCTACTTCATGATTACATAAGCACTTACATAATGAGGCGCCCGTACTCCGACCCCCACAACAGGCGACAGGTGCGCCATGAAAACTAAACTCAGCTCAGATCTGCGTCGGCGCAGCGGCCTCTGCCTTGGATCCTGTCTCCACTCAGCCCAGGAAGAAGAAGATATTCAACAGTTCCCGCCGGATTCTCTTCTACCGCTACGAGAAGAACCGGGTTTCAGTCATGGTGGTCCGCATCGGCATTCGCCAGCAGCTCGCGGGCCTCGTGTGCATCTGTGTTCTGCTCTCGCTCGGTGTTCTCGCGATAGTTCTGGTTAGTGGCGTTGAAATCTTGTTTACTCTCAGCATCTCCAGCTAACCACCGCGGACCGCTCTCGTGCCTCCCTCGTGGCCGGGGGGGGCTCGTCCTGGTCTTTATTTCATCCTGCAGGCTGTCGTCACTCAGAACTACGTCCTCGGACTGCGCGGTGAGCGTCTCGAGCTCGTCGCCCAGGTCAAGGCATCCCAGGTCTCCCAAGTAGTCGACGTCTACTACACAGAGACCTACGCGATCTCCACCCGATCCACCATCCAGGAAGCCTTCCGCAACTACCGTGCCGGAAACACCTCGTTGTCCGTCTGGGCCGCCGCGAACGAGTCCCTCGCCCTCTCGCTCGACGTTGATGACGCCGTGCTTGCGACTTCGGTCTACTCACTAGACCTCGACCCGCTCTTCAACATGACCAACAATTTCACCCGCCGCGAGGTTCTCCAGCTCCTCCCCGACGCACTCTACCCGCTCGCTGACGGAGATGCTCCGAGTGCGCTCGAAGACCTCGGCGGTGTCATTCGTGGTCCGTACGGTGCGGGGGCCCAGATCGTGCTTTCGCTCACCATCCCGATCTACAACGTCTCCATCCGCTCGACCGTGTCCGACCGCACAATCGGCTACCTCACAACCATCATCTCCGCAAACATGCTCACCTCGATCATCAAAGACAACCAGACAATGAGCAACTACTACTACCAATACTCCCTGATCGGGCTCTATCCCGACACGGACTCCATAGAAAACTACGAAACTACCCAGTTTGTCTACATCCTTCCTCCGACTCATGATTGGACGCTCTTCGGCAAGCACTTCCCATACCACGACTATCCAGCAGCATCACTCGCTCTCGTGAACGAAACCACGGGCTCGATCATCAAAGCAAACAATCCTCTTCGATCAAATATATCAGTAGGCTATGCATACGCAGACGTCTCTTTCGACACCTGGGGCCTCACAGTCGAAATGTACCGCGACGACGTCTACAGACCGATCCACCACCTCCGCAACATCTCTCTCGCGACCGTCTTCTCCCTCGCCGCTTTCATGTGCATAATCACCCTCCCCATCGCCCACTTCGCTGTCCGCCCAATCGTCAAACTGCGCGCCGCAACAGAGCATACTACGGCTCCGCCTTCATACCACAAAGATAGCCACGACTCCATCGCGTACGACGAACCTCCGCCGGATACTGACTTTGATCCAGATATCACACCCGTCGGCGGCGGCGGCGGCGGCGAGGATGATGACGGTGCTGACGGCGGCGGTGAAAAGAAATTGTTCACGTCTGGAATTCGTCGCAGCCATGGCGACTGGACCGGTGATGGCATGCGCAAGCGCAAGCGTCAATGTTCACCGGTCAAGGGATTCCGACTACCGCAGACTGTGCCGCAGAAAGCCCGTCCGCTGTTCAAAGACGAACTCACAGAACTCACAACTACGTTCAACGAGATGACACAGGAGCTGCGCAAACAGTACGAACATCTTGAAGAGCGCGTTCGTGAACGTACTCAAGAGCTCGAGGCGGCAATGATGCAAGCCGAAGCAGCAAATGAAGCAAAATCGGTGTTTATCGCAAACATAACTCACGAGCTCCGCACGCCTCTCAATGGAATTCTCGGTATGACATCTGTCCTGTTGAGCGAGGAGGACCCGCACAAAATCAAGCGGAGTCTGAATATCATCTACAAGTCTGGAGAACTACTATTACATCTCTTGACCGATCTCTTGATTTTCTCGCGAAACCAACTCGGCAAGATGACGCTCGAAGAAAAAGAATTCAAGGTCGCGGAAATGGCGTCTCAGATCCGGGCTATTTTCGCAAAGCAGGCTTCCTCCGTCAAGGTCGATCTCTCTGTCGACCTCGTGCCGGAGCGCATAGGCTCCATGGTGCTGTGGGGTGATCCCAACCGCATCTTACAAATCATCATCAACCTGGTCTCGAACGGACTCAAGTTCACGCCGAAAAACGGCGCGATCCATGTCCGTATGGTGTGTCTGGGCGTGGTCGATGAGCCGAGACGGTCACAGTCAGAAATACCAGCGCTGAATAACGACAGCGCCAGGAGACTTGATAGTATACGGCGAAAGAGCGGAGGTCGGAGTCCAAACAAGTCTATCTCGATTATAGATGAAAAGCAAGGCCGCGTGTACGCTCCCTCGCCTGTGCATGCACCGACGAGGACATCGGCTGTTTCTTCGGTTGATCCAGAAAAACAGTCTAGGGATCCACAATTCAGAGGCTTCTCTTCCGGGTCCGTCGGAGTCGATGAAAAGCCATCGTTCTGGCCCGAAGCTGCAAGCGGGACTAGTAGTCCCGACCCAGAGAACCCGCTACGCAATTCGACACGATCTTTGGGCGGTCGTGTGCGATCTGCCGGGGTTTCTCCTGCGCGGAACAGCTCTATCTCTCTTGGACTAGCTGGTCGATCGAAAGAGGCTCCCCCAGCATTGTACACCTACAACCTCAACAACGCCGGTACATCGAGCAGTCTCGCGTCCTCCTTCCGCCGTAAAGGACACTCGCTCTCGCTCTCGCAGCCGTTCGGCAAGCGAAACCACGCAAAGTCAGAGTCGCCTGTGTCGCCGCACTCTGCCGACAACAGCTACATCGGTGCCACTCGCGCCAGCAGTTTTGCGGGCATTGTGCCGCCTCGCACGGCGACTTCTTCGCGCGCAACGTCGCCACATTCACCGGCGCAGGGGGTTCTGGACGGTGATTTGAACGGCAAGTATCTCGAGTTCTTAGTGCAGGTCGAGGACAATGGGCCCGGTATCCCTGATCACATCCAGCGCTCGATTTTCGAGCCGTTCGTGCAAGGAGACCAGGCTCTGTCAAAGAAATATGGCGGTGCGGGTCTCGGTCTGTCGATTTGCAAACAGCTCGCTGAGCTGATGTATGGCTCGATCGAGGTCCAGAGTGTTGTCGGATCCGGGTCGACGTTCACGTTCAGGGTTCGGCTTCGGTACGTTAGGGATTACGAGTCGTCGATCAAAGATGGCGTTGTCGGCGAAGGCTCTTGCTCTTCGAACGAGCCCTCTACGGATTCGTCGGGGGAGAAGAATGTGTCTACCGACCATACCTCGCCTGCTGACACGCCGAACGAAGGCGGGCGATCAGGCCAGATGGGCGGGTCACTCGCCGGTCTTGGAGCGTCATCGTACTTTCTGAGCAAGCACGCGCCAATCATAGGCGTGGACGATACTTTAGACTCAGACAGCGTGCTGTCTGTTGCGACGTCGCTTAAATCTCTCACGGAGTCACTCAAATCTCTTGTTCTCAGTCAGCAGCAGCTCACGCTCGAGAACGGCCAGAACCCGTCGCGGCAGTATGTCGGTGATCCTTCGTCGTCTGAGTCATCCTACGGGATCAAGAAAAAGACGAGGATTTTGGTGGCTGAGGATAATCGGGTTAATCAGCAGGTGATTATCCGAATGCTGAACTTGGAAAAGATTACTAGTGTTGCGATTGCCAAGGATGGATATGAGGCGATCAATCTCGTCAAGCGAAGTTTGAAGGCCGGGACGCATTTCGATGTTGTGCTTATGGATATCCAGGTGGGTTTGCTTTCCTCATCATCGCTAACAGACCATCAAGCTAACGATTTAATCATCCTCTATAGATGCCAAACCTAGACGGTCTGCAAGCAACTCGAGCGATTCGCCACGACCTAGGCTACGAATACCCGATCGTCGCGCTGACCGCGTTCGCCGACGACTCCAACGTCAAAGAGTGCATGGACGCCGGCATGAACAATTTCATCACCAAACCAATCAAGCGCGACGAACTGCGGTCGATGCTGGATGAGTATTGCGCCAATCGGCAGATTGACGATGATGCGTCGTGATTTGTAGATTATTCTTTTCCTTTTCTTTTCATTAGATTTGATCTATGTTTGTTCTGTGTATAGTATTTAACAGTATGAGTGTTTCTTTTTGCCGTCTTGTGTGTTTGTTATACCTTTGTTTTCATTTCGGTTTAAACTTACCTCGGGTTCTCATTTCGTTTGTTATTTCTGTTCTATTCGGGGCGCCAACTTGATATCTTATTTTCTTCATTTCATTTCACCAGCCTTTCGACCTATCTTCTCTTCTTTCTGTTCTTTCAACACCTCTCCCATTGCTATTACCAATGGTTCGCATACTATGTCTTATAATGTTGGGTTTGTCCTTGGGCCGTTATATCTAGGTTTTATCGTTTTGTTCGACTGGTCGGTCAGAAAGTCTTGTTTTATTTCGGGTGCTTATCGATACGTGTTTTAAAAGTTCTGTAACTATTACTATCGATACCTTCAGACAAAAAGTAGCAATAACAGTCCTCACCGCCGACGACCAAACCTCTGACCATATTTCGAGCCGCCGCTGCCGCTGCTGCCTTTACTCGACCGTATCTTGAGCCGTTGGAAGTTATTCGAGACGCCGCCGGCGCGCTTTGACGATTCGCGTGCTGCTTTCGCAAGGGCCTGCATATCTATTTTCGGCGCGGGGATCTTGAATCCGGTCGCGGGGGGAGTTGCTCGTCATCGTCGTCGTCATCTGCGTTATTGCCATAGCTCGCGAGGGGTGGTAACTCTGCGTCGTTGTCGTAGTTGCCGTTGCCGTACAGAGTAACAGGATCGTCTTTGGATGTAGTATTCGTGCGAGGATGTGAAGATGGTGAGGATGGGGGAGCGTCGAATTCGTCGTCGGAGCAGGGGATGCCGTCGATGTCGGCGGCCATTGTGATTGTTGTGGTTGCTGTTGGTGCGAATTCGGGATGGGGCACGTCGTCATCGTTGTCGGTATACTCGTCTAATTCATTCTCGTCATTATGAAAGACCTCCTCGTCATCTTCCGTCGGCATATCGAGCTCCTCCTCCTCCGAATCAGAGTCATCCTTTGGCTTCTGTTTCTCCACCTGCTTAGCAGCAGCCGCCGCCAAAGTCGGCCGCATCTTGACAAGTCTCGTCGTCCGCTTTTGCGTCTTTGCTTTCTTGTACCGTGAATTCTTGTCCCGTGCAGCTGCGCGCTCGTGCGCCTGCTTGACCATCTCCTCGATATCGCCTTCCTGCACTTCGCCCAGGTGAAATACTGCGTCATCCGCGCCCTTCCTCTCCTGTGTCTTTGCCTTCGATGGTTTCTTTCCTTTCGACAGTTTCGCAGCAACGGCTGAGGCCGTTGGCGGGGCAGAGTTCAGCTGGTCCTCGTCCGGACGGTTCATCTCGAGCTCTCGAAGCACGTTCTCATCCTCGCTATACGCCTCATCCTGCGCCCTGCGCAGATCAGCAAGTATAGCGCTCAACCCCCTCACCACGGACTGCGGCCGTTTCAGCGGCGACGGGGTGGCCAGCAGACGCTGCATATCGTGGTGTTGCTGGAAATACGAGGCCGAAGTCGGCGTCTGCTGTAGGGCACGGGAGGAGGATAGTGGGGTCGAGAGGAGGGAGGAGGAGGGCGAGGGGAGGTTTTTGGAGGGGGTCGTGCGGGTGAGTGTGCGGGCGATGACTTTGGTGGAGGACCGGTGCTTGGGCGAGTGAGATTTCGTTGGTGTGTCTAGAATCGCTCTGTCGTCGTCATCGTCGTCAAAGTCGTCGTCGTCAAAGTCATCGTGACTCCGTTTCTTTGAGATACTCGTAGGAGTCTGCGTCTGCGCCGCGCTCCCGCCAAAAGTAGGCAAAACGGCCGGGAAAATCGGCGGTTTATTAAGATCGAAAATGTCAAAAAACGCGAGCGCCCGACCTTCTGCCAGCGGCGTAGGTCCGACCTGCGTGACTTGCTTCCGCTGACGCCGGTCTGACGAGGACGCAGAGTTTCCCGAGTACGGGGGATCGTATTGCTGCGTCTGCTTCACCGGCGTCGTCGTTGGCTTTGTAGGTGAGTGGGTTGGCTTTGATTGTGGTTTGTCGTGGTGGTGGTGACGACGTCGGTGTTCTTTGACGGGGGTATGAGGTTCATGCTGGTGGTGGTGGTGTTTATGTTGCTTTGTCGGTTTGACCTCTGTGTTGCCAGCAAGTTCTGCTTTTAACTGCTTGTACGCTTTATACTTTGCATCTAAAAACACAGCACAATTCACTCTCAGTTAGCTAGAAGGTCACCAAACAAATCTATCGTCGTAGAGCTCTTACCGATATCAGGATTACTCTTGATATCCTGCTTCTGCGGGTTCCGCCCGTTCGCACTCTTGAAACTGTACTCCCAGTCTTTAATCTCAAGCTTTAACTTCTCAAGCGCTGCCGTGTCCGTCATCTCATCACTTGATTTCTCAGCGCGTAGTCGTGGTATCAAATAGTGAATGACCAGCGAGGGTGTTGCTGAGTTCACACGCGTTGGCTAAGTTCCAAAGCCGGGTAAATTTGCTTAATTTGGCGTCGCGGACGCGTCGCGAACGCGTCTTCCCAGAAAAGTGCGCTTCGCCTCCTTCCTTCTCTGTCCCATCTCCACTCGTGCGCTCTGCTCTCTGCTCATATTATACTCCTCATCCACCTGCAGATACAATGCCGAGTTTCAAGACCGACGATTTATCCCAGTGCCGCGATCCCACGGAGGCTAGTTCGCCGCAGTCGCAGTCGTCGGTGGTGCAGCAGTTTGACGGCAATATCCAGACCTCGTCGAGTCCGACGCCTGTTGCTGTGAAGGAAGACGATATGTTTGGGGATGAGGATGATGATGATTTTGAAGCTGCTGCGGAGTATGTCTTATGTTTGCTTGTGCTTTGAGCGGGGATAGTAGCTAATTTCGTGTGTTTAGTGCTCTGGAATCCAAGTCGTCTTCTGCGCCATCGTCGTCCGCGCCGATGGTAGCCCCAATCTCCACACCGCCCTCGAAAACAGCAGGTCTAGATGCGAGCGACATGCCGATCTTTTACCAGCGCCTGATGCCATTCAAGGAGATTTTCCAATGGCTGAACCACTTCCCATCCCCCACGACCTCCTTCACCAACCGCGAATTTGCATTCACGCTCCAGAACGACGCATACCTGCGCTACCAGTCCTTCCCGACGTCGGACGCGTTCAAGAAAGAGGTCAACAGACTGCTTCCCTCGCGGTTCGAGATCGGACCCGTGTACTCCGCCAACCCGCGCGACCGCAAGATCGTGCGCAAGACCGCGTTCCGACCGCTCGAGAAAGAACTTGTGTTTGATATCGATATGACAGACTACGACGACGTCCGGACGTGCTGCAAAGGCACGGATATCTGCAGTAAGTGCTGGAACTTCATCACGGTCGCGATCAGAGTCATCGATCAGGCCCTGCGCGAGGACTTTGGGTTTCAGCATGTGCTGTGGGTGTACTCTGGCCGTCGTGGTGCGCACGCTTGGGTCTGCGATAAACGGGCGCGGACGCTTGATGATTCCAAGCGGAGAGCTGTGGCGTCGTATTTCGAGGTCTTGAAGGGTGGTGCGCAGAGCTCAAAGAGGGTTAACTTGAAGCGACCCCTTCATCCTTTTGTTGCGTGAGTTGTCTTGTAGTTTCAAACACAAGATCAGTAAATCTCTAACTCTGTTTCTACTCTAGCCGAAGCTTGAACATTCTCCGCGACTCGTTCAAGGACACAATTCTAATCGGCCAAGATCCATGGCGAACCCAAGAATCCGCCGAGAAACTCCTCTCGCTCCTCCCAGACCGCGAGCTCAATGACGCGCTCCGCAAGAAATGGGCTTCGAGCGGCGACCGGTCGAGTCTACAGAAATGGGCCGACATCGACGCGCTAGCCGAGCAAGGCGTTTCGCGCACGCTGGATCCGACGCATCTGCTGGAAGCTAAGCAGGACGTCATTCTGGAGTATCTGTATCCGCGACTGGACGCGGAGGTGTCGAAGCATCTCAATCATTTGCTGAAGTCGCCGTTCTGTGTGCATCCGGGAACAGGGCGCGTGTGTGTGCCGATTAATGGGGAGAGGCCGGAGACGTTTGATCCGATGGATGTGCCTACTGCGGGAATGTTGACCGCTGAGATTAATGAGTGGGATATGGTGCATAAGACTCTCGATTCCCCTGAGCGGGAGAAGCTGTCAGGTAAGCTTCTTAATATTAGAAAGTGGAATGGGAAGCAGAGACTAATCGCGATTTATACAGACTACGAGAAAACGTCCTTGAAGCCTTACGTCGAGTACTTCCACCGGTTTGTGTCTGGCTTGATGAAAGAGGAGATGAAGCAGAAGCGACAGCGTGAAGCTGAATCAAGCGGATCGCTGGATTTCTGAGCGTGCAGTGATTCGGCGTGCAGTGATTCGGCATGCAGTGATTCGGATACGGGAGAATGGGATAGTTGTACATTAAATGGGGCGTTATAATGCAATACAATAACTACATCGATTATTTTTCATCTACAGCGGCGGAATCAGCTACCGCTTCTTCCGCAGCAGGTGTACTCGTATCATCAGTCTGATAGCCCGTAGCTCCATCAGCATCCGTCCCCCCGCTGCTCCTCTTCCGTTTCTGTCGCTGCTTTGCGCTCTCGAACCCGGGCTTCTTCCGCGGCGGGATGATTGCTTCAAACGCGAGTTTCCAGTCCCGCAGCTCAAGCCATTTCAGCATGATCTCGACGACGTGGTTCGTGGTCAGCACATGGCGGCCTGAGATCTGGAAGAATTCTGTGATGGGGAGTTTTGCGGTTCGTAGGTGTTGGGCTGAGGCTTTGTTTTGGCAGAGGTTCTGGAGAAGTTAGCTTGCAGATCAGATATCTGAAAATAAGAGACGCATGGATGCTTACCTTGTGTCGTCCCTTGTCGACGATTCCACCAATGATATATGTCATGTTATCCTCCAGCTCAGTCAAAGTCTCATCAGAGTCCGACGACAAGTATACCATCCTACTCCGCTCCTCCTCATCCTCCGGCACTTTATAATCTCCGTTCTCAAACGTGATATTCTTCCAACTCTTATACTGTCCCTTATTAGGCCCCTCAAACCGCTCCAAAAGCGATCCCCCAAACGAAGTCACTTTGAGCGAGCACGGCCGCATCGCCCGGCGGTTCTCAGAGTAACATCTGACGACCTGGAGCGAGAGCGACATCTGCTCCTTCTCGGTCATCAGCTGGTCGAAGCCGCAGTCGAGCACGATCGTGATCGGCGCAAGCTCGGCGTCGTCGCGCTTCGCCTTGCGTTTTTCGTCGAGCTGTTTTCGCTCACGCGCAATTATCGCTTTCTCGTCCTCCTCCTCCTTCTCTTCCGTCGCAGCAGCGAGTTCTGCATCCCCGCCAGTCTGCTCCTGCTGTTCTAGCTGCGCCCGTCGCTCTTCCCTTCGCTGCGCTTTCTTCTGCTTCTGAAGCTGCTTCTTGTATCGATGCCTTTCGTCCTTCTCACTCAGCCATTTCTGCTTCTTAAGTTCCCGCTTCCACGCATTTCGCGACATTCCCTCCGGCGGTTCTTCCCTCTTACCCTCGTTCTTCGACTCTGAAGCTGCGGTCTGCTCGTCTGATGGGGCAGGAGCAGCTGTCACCTCTGACGTTGCACTCGCATCAACAGACGCACTTTTCAGTTCTTCTTCGGCCATTATTTATCCTTCTTTTCCCGTAGTTTAGAGTACGGGCGGTGCGCAAGAAGATGAGATGAAGAAGAGTCGGAGGAAGAGAAAATTATTTAAAGTTTAGATGTTTGTTCCCCTGAGCAGACCTGCGCTTTACAATTTTCATCTTTCCTCTTGTTCTCTACTCCACAGCAAGCAGAGCAAATAGAACTGACGGAAGAAAGAAGAGAGATCAAAGAAAGGAAGATGGCTCCAACTTCTCGAACACAGCTGCGAAAGACGAAGAAAGCGGCACCGGCATCCGCCACGACATCAAAAGTGAGTAAGCCTTCCTCGCGACCGCCCTCGTCATCCATCAACCACTCCAAAAAGCCCAAAAAGGCTCTTCACAAAACCACAAATGCTTCCTCCTCTTCAACATCATCATCAGCACTCTCATCTTCCCTGAAACGCTCCGACATCTCGAAATCAAAAGCCCTGCAAGAAGCACTGCTCTCGTCCCTCGACGAAGCGCCACTCGAATCGATCGGTCTTTTCAACGTCGAGCGTCGCGCGCGTGAGAAGCAGGTCGCGGTAAAAGCGCAAAAGGCGGAGGAGAAGAAAAAGTCAGAGGACGAGGCGAGGAATTTGAATCAGCAGCTGTTGCAGCAGTTGGAAAGTTTGGGCGGGCTGTCTGTTTGATTTGATGTGGCGGGTGGGATGTGAGATTTGGGGTTGCTTGTTGTATATATATTTGGCGTTTGGGTATCTTTTAATGGGTGTTTGGATGGTAGATGATACTTGTTTGTGTGTTTACGAGCTGATTGTTGATAGAAGTTCCGTTCACGCATAAGTCATGTCACAAATATACAAACCATCACAAAACAACAACTCCAAAGAAAAACAAAACTCCAGATAAAATACAAACACCAACCCACGCAACGACAAGAAGTACTTTGATCAAAAGTCGGCTTCAGCCTCGATGGCTTTGATCCAGCACTCCTTTGTGATTTTCGTGAGCTCGTTTATCTTTTCATGCTTACTGTCGCCGGACTGGACGGTTGCGAGCAGACGCATACATTTCAGTAGGACTGTTAACGAGTCTTTTGTGATTTCTGTAGTCGGTTCCGCTATCGCACCTGTTTCATAAAATACGGTTAGAATGAAGACGTAGAAAAACAAGTATTAAGAAGAAGGCTTACCCCTCAGCCGTATGTAAAGCGGCAAGACGATCCAGTCTCGAAACGATGCCAGACTCATCTTTTTCACATTGTTCATCTTCACCGGCTGACTCTTTTGCTTCGCCCAAAACTTTTGTGCGCCTTCTTTTGTCATGATCACGCCTACTCCATCAAACTCGAGCTGCAGCGGTAAGAAGACTGCTTCGATGTACGGCAGCACAGCGAAATAATAGAATCGCCAGATATCAACCACATGATCCACAATCTCCACATCAGAGTACGAAAGAACGGTCGAGGTGTCGTCGAATACAGAAACTCCTAGCTTGAACAGGTCTTTGACGTCTGTGATGAGCATGCTGGGATCCCGCTCGGCTATTCGTCGCTTGGTATGCAGCAAAACAAGCTTATTGAGATCTTCGACCGGCACCCGCAATCCATCACCCGCAAAAAGAGGCATGACTTTGGCGCACAGAAACGGCCACACATCTTCAAGCGCTTGATCACCACTGATCTTGTTGATATCTTTGTATGACAGAGTTTTGACGTCGATGGTTGATATGCTTTTCTGCAAACCCGAGGGTACGTAAGGCGCGTTTGCTGGAGAGGCAGGGTTGAATGAGTAGATCGATCCCGCGTCAGACGTGAGCTTCGAGTTAGACGAGCTTGAGGAGAGGATCATGCCTGAATGTCCTTCCTTTCTTGACCGCAGTTTCAAGTGATGCTTGTGCTTGTCAACCGCAGACGAAACACTCGAGGCTGATGGAAACGGAGCGATCGGGGATCCCTGCTGCGAGCTGATGCTTAGCCGTCGGACATCGAGCGAGAGTTTCCCGTCCATCGGTTTCCTAGCAGATTTAGTCTCGGACGGCTTTGAAGGAGCGAAAACAGCCAGCTGGGAGAGATTGGCGGATGAGTTTGTCGGCGTACTGCTGAGACTAGTGCTCGATGAGTTTGAGCTCGAGTTTGAGCTTCCGCCGCCATTGTTGGACCCGTTGTGCTGGGATTCAGATGTCGACGGGAGGACTTTGTAGAGATGATGAGCGAGCTGCTGGCGGGCGCCTCCGGTGAGGATCGGAGCAGGCTCTGCAGTAGATCCGCCCGATGGATGACGCTGGAGGAACGAGAACCGAGACTTTGAAAGGCTGAGCGGGTTTGTGTGTCCACGGCGGTTTAGCGAGGCCGACGACTGAGTGAGATCAACTGTGGACGATTTCGCTTTTGAGCCAAGAGAGGTCAGCGAGGTTGTGCTCGCCTTTTTCAAAAGCCTGCTGGCGCGAGAAGGTGCTTTTGACGTGGTCGATGCGCTGTCTTCGAGGATTAATGAAACCGCCGAGCTGTTGTCGGCCAGGCTTTTGCGGCTGCTGGTGCTGCCCCGGCGCATTGTGGACAAGCCGGCGTGACGAGAGGAGGATGAGCTGACGGCCGAATGAGAGCTGGATTGTCGGGCGCCGTTTGCAGATGAGAGAGAGGTAAATGTAGCGGTAGATATCAGAGGAACCGGCCGCCGAGGGACGGAGTGAGCAGGGACACGCGAAGATGTGGTGGAACTTGAAACTGAGGTCGAGAGAACGGAGATGTCGTCAGACGACGAGGCAATTGACCGGCGCTCGTCGAGACTGTCGCGGCTGCCGACGCCAACGACGGCCTCGGTATCGCTCAGACTGAGGTCCTCGTCGTCGTCGTCGTCGTCATCGTCGTCATCATCGTCGTCGTCGACTTCGCCGCGCGGGCGCGACCGGTGCCCAGAATCAGCCTCCTGGATGACGGGAACGGCAGGATAGCCAGCCGCATGCATCTGCGAATGATACGTGCTGGTGAAAGAAGGGATGTAAAGCGCGCCGGCGGTCTTCTGCGAGCCCGAGGAGGCCGACGCAGACGAGGAGGCGCCGGAGGAGGTGGAGACGGTCGAGCGCGGGGCCTTGACGGGCTTTCTGGCCTTGCCGGGGCTGCTGGCGGAGGAGGAGCTGAGCTTGGTGCTGCTGACCGACGGATGCCATGGCGAGCCGCCGTCGCGCGGAGCCGAGGCCATTGTGAGTCAGGCAGACCGGCGGAGGCTGAGAGCGGATCAGGATCAGAGCAGAGAACGGCGGTGAGGAGGTTCGGTGGCCGATGGAGAACCGGAGACCGAAAGGCTGGAAGTTGGAGGGCCGGCGTGCGGTGGCAGAGGCTGGCCCGGGGAAGCGGGTCGGCTGTTGAAAAGAGTTGACCCGGGCCGCACAGAGCGGGTCGGACTGCAGCCGCACAGCGTTCATCATCTTCGCGTTCATTCGCGGGCCTTTTTTCTCTTCGTTGACGAAAGCGACGAGATGTTGGAAATTCACCTGCGCGCACTCAGCAGACGGGCTTGTCGGTCGGGCGGGCTGTTCAGTAGCAGCAGCAGCAGGAATAGCGTCAGGCATCTGGCAGCGCACTCGCATTCCCACTCACCGTCCGGAGACTGCTCAGATTCGCACTCTCATTCACACTCCCATTCGCAGTCCGCCCCGGAGCCGCCTGTTTCCACTCCGCCGCCTTCCTCAGAAACCAAAGCCGATGATCTCAAATCACCCGGTGCTCCCGAGTTTGAGCTCTCCTCGGCGCTCAACTACTGCAACTCCCTGCTCGGAACAGTCCCGGCTGCAATGTCGCCACAGCTCGTCTCGCCCTTTGTCCCTACGCCATCGCGCAACGCCTACATCGCCCTGACCTCCCTCGCCGCCACACTCCAGCGCTCGTCGCGGCCTCCGCAAACATCCTCCTCCTCACTCACGCAGTCTTCAGGGACAAGCGCCGCCACAGCCAGACTACGGCTACAGTTCTGGCGACAAACGCTACAGGACATCCTCGCAGGCAAGACCCCGCCATCCGAGCCCGTCGCCGTCCTTCTCGCGGACGTCGTTCGCAATCACAGTTTTACGAGAGGATTTTTCACGAGAATGGTCGACGCGAGGATAGCGCGCGTGGGCGACCCTCCGTTTCCAAATATCGCCGCTTTGGCCGACTACGGCGAGAACGCGTACGCTTCGATGCTCTACCTCGTCGGCGAGGGCATGCCCGGCGGCCGCGGCATGCCGCTCGAGCATGTCTCGTCCCATATCGGTCGCGCGATGGGTGTTGTCGAGGTGCTCTCAGAATTTACAAACACGCTGGAGAGGAGAAACCGCGTGCTGCTGCCGGTTGACGTGATGTTGAGCCAAAACCTGCGCGAGGAGGATATTCTACGGAGGATGGACCTGCAGGACGCAGAGGTCAAGCGCCGACTTGCCGATGCAGTCTTTGAAGTCGCCACGCATGCAAACGACCAGCTCATCACGGCGCGCACGATGCTCGAGGAACTCATCGACCGGCAGGGCGGCCGGCGAAAGATCGACGACGCGATGTTTGCGCCCGCGCTGTCGGCAGTTCCTGTCCGCGTCTGGCTCGAGAAGCTCGAAAAGGCCGACTTTGACCTCTTCAACCCTGCCCTCAAGATTCGGAGCTGGAACCTGCCGCTGAAGATGTACTGGGCCTACAAGTCGCGCAAGATATAGAGAACGAGCAAAGAGATGTACATAAGCGGATGACGTCAGCAGCACTACAGCGGGGGTGAAACAGACTTTGTATATTAGACCAGACTCACATGATCTGCTAACAAAACCAAAACCTTAATGGCTCTTTGTTTACCTTCCGCCTCTTTGGCCCGCCGGCTTTGTTGACTTTTTCACGCTCCTCCATCGCTTCTCTTCTCTCCACCAGCTCAAGCGGCAGCACCGGCCTGTAATTACTAAACACTTGACCTCCGTCGTCTGTCCGCCGTGCGCGATGTCCGGCGCGACGCAGCCCGCAAACGGCTCCTTCGCGCGTCTTGTGCCGCCGACTTCTCCGGCCGCAGGAGCCGGCGGCATCGGTGACCTGGTCTCGGTATCTCCCCATACCGTGCTTTCCCCGCAACTGCACGCAAACGCCCGTGTCGACCACCTCAGACTGTCGGCCGACACGGAGAGGTCTGGGTCTGTCAACAATGATCTTGTTATAAGAAGTGGCTGGCTCATGAAGCGTGGCCGGCGATGGGTACGTTGCTCCGTCGTTGATCTCGTGTTTTTTTTTTCTCGTTGCTGATATTGACCTCGTCTTAGACTTGGAGCCGTCGCTGGTTTGTGCTAAGACCTACGCAGTTGTCGTGGTATAAAGACGATACCGAGTACAAAGTCTCCTCGATCATCCCGATCGACGAAATCAACACCGCGGCCGTCGTGTCCGACCATAAATCTCACAGCTCCAACCACAAGACTCACTTTGCTGTCTTCACGCCCAGCAGAAACTACCACCTACACGCCACCTCGGAGCAGGATGCCCAGGCTTGGGTATGCGATATTCAGGAGGCAGTCAAAACAGCTCAGCAGAACGCTCAAACTAGCAGGCAGAAACAGCAACCTACTACTTTTCTCAAATCACCAAACTTTCAGTCCTCAACTGAAAACATCTCTCCAGACAAGAGCAAAACATCAGAGAGCACAGATACAGTTAATCAGACTAGACCTATGACAACCGAACGGTCATCAGCATCAACATCAACAGCAGCAACAACATCAACAGCCCCAGGCAAAACAGTACCCGAAAAGCCAAGTTTAATCACCTCAGGATTAAGTCGCGATATTCACACGCGGTCAAAATCGCCTTCAGTGATGTCACCAAATTCAGCGGTGTCCAACAAAAACCTGTCCCCAGACGATGCGCTCGGCTACGGTTTCCCTCGGTCCGGCTCTCAACGCGCGCCTCATGCCGCTCAGTCGACGCCCACAATAGACGCGCTCGCGGCGGAGGAAGCCTCTGCGCTGGCGTCGATGGATCCACCGGCTTTAGAAGCGCCTTCTCTGTCCCGAAATATGTCGTCGTATGACGGCACGTCTATCATTTCCGCGCGTACGATGAGTCTTCATAACGGAAGCACGTATGATTTTTCCGGTCCTGAGGATATCGGATTCTCATCCGGTGCATCCGATTGCGGCGGAGATACTGTGCAGAGCCCTGAGATTGTCACTGATATCAATGACAATACATTACAAGGCGGAGGATCGATGGACAACTACACACCCCTTCCAGCTCCTGCGCTCTCTGGCAACGACAAGAACGTAGAGCAGGATCTGGCGCAATTAGAAAACGACCGGGTGATACACAGCGGATACTTGCTACGGCTCGTCAAGCGGTACAACCAATGGCGTCGGAAATGGGTGGTCTTGCGAAAGGGCAGTCTATGCTTCTACAAATCCGACGACGAGTACAAGCTGCTGAAGCTGATCCCTTTGGAATCCATCATCGACGTTATGGAAGTCGATCCTATCTCTCGCACGAAGCAGTACTGCATGCAGATCATTCTCCCAGACAAACGAGTCCGGCTCTGTTCAAATTCAGAAGACGATCTTACAAAGTGGCTGGTTGCGATCAAGAATGCTATTAGCAGGCGAAAACGGGAGATAGAGCAGACTACTTCCTCAGGCGACGCTTAGCATGACAAAAGACATGACGGTTCAATTCTTTATAATTTTTCTCTCTTTTTTGAAAATCACGGGAGGGGATTGTTTTTGACATGAATAATAACTAATGACTGGGAAAATTTACGAAAAAGCGCGGACACTGGTTTGTTTTTGCAGAAAGTGCACTACACGGATGTACTTGACTTGTTGGATGTACATCAGAGTGTTTGACGGATATCCTGGAGCCCGAGTAAATAGTAATAAAATGGGCATCATTTCAATTTTACGTGAAGACAGTTGAGTAGAAGTTTGCTTTGGAGTAGGATGAAACGACTACCCATTTCCGCGTCAACTTTAAGACGATCAAGTGTCTTTTCTTTCTATTTTATTGAATAATTCTTCTTTTCTATTATCATTGTTGTCGCGAAATGAACAAATTGTAGGTAAAATTCACTACATTGATGACATAGTTCGACTCGAGGCTCGTTCAACTTTCTCTTTGTTTTCGAAATCTGTAACTTTTTTTAATCCACCACCGGGCTCAAGACCTCCACCATCGCCTCAACATCGGCACCTCCTCCCTTTCAAGACTAATACGCACATAGTCTATATAGATCGAGGATCACCTACCCCGGGCACGAAATATTTATTCACTCAGGAGGGCCCGCGAAAACGAAGCCTTGGAAAAAAAGGACTAGAAAATGTCGATAAATCCGGTCGAGCTGTTTCACGCTCTGCAGGCCGCGGCATTGCAAGATCCGGCGTCTGAGCCCACGCGCAAGGCGGCCGAGAAGCAGCTCAAGACATGGGAGACTCATGCGGGGTTTTATTCTTTGTTGCAGGTTAGTGTTTTTCGACCTCGTGAAGCGCTGGAGGTGAGACGCGGTGGGTTTGAGAGCTATGGGTTGTTAACGATGTGGTTTTGCAGGACGCTTTTCTGGACGAGTCGTTGCCTACTGAGATACGGTGGATCAGTATTATCTACTTCAAAAACGGAATCGACAAGTACTGGCGGAAATCGGCACCTCAGTACGTAGATCAACCCTGACGCGTGGGATATGTCGAGCAATTAGAGAGAAGCTAACATGGTCGATAACAGTGCACTTTCAAAGGAAGAGAAGCAGCAGATTAGGTCAAAGATCCCGCAGACTTATGGTGTTTATGTTCCGCAATTGGGGGCGCAGAATGCGCTTGCGGTCGCAAGAATTGCAAGGCTTGATTTCCCTGTCGAATGGTAAGTCTTTTATACCGCCAATTCTCTACTTCCCACGCATCAGCCTAACAGCTGCTTATCACAGGCCCTCTTTGTTTTCTGATAACCTCGGACTGGCGAAAGAGGCTTACGAAAAAGGCGATCTAACTCGCCTGAAATCAATCCTGGTTGTAGTAAACCAAGTCGTCAAAACACTCTCGTCGACGCGCTTCGGCAAGACCCGCGGCGCTCTGCAGCAAGCAGCTCCGGGAGTCGTCCGGTTTATCGGACACTGGTGTTTTGAGTTTATGCGGCAGTGGTTGAATAACGAGCCCTCGACGTACTCGCCAGAAGAACTTGCGATCCGCGCAGAGATTGGGTATCTGTCGCTCAAGATCTGTCGGCGGCTGGTCACCGAGGGGTACGATTTCGCCAACCGATCTGCAGAGGCCTCTGAATTTTACCAGGCAACCACGATCCATTTATCAATCTTTCTCGAGAAATATGCAGCGCATCCGACCGAGGTTCTTGAAAAACACATTAAAACGCTCGGAAAATTCTATCAAGACCTCGCTGAGCGGCAACCAACCGCATTCATCATGTTGCCCGGGACGTTTAACCTCATTAAGCTGTACCTCTCAGTCTTTCAGTCGCAGGCGGCGTCTTTTCATCTGCCCGAATTTGAGAATATCGAGTTTTGGGAGAAAGTGCTGGTGAGGGGTTTACTGCTGTTTCGGAAATGTATAAAGATGATATTTGGGGATGGCATGTCCACCATAAAATGTGAGTGTTTTCACTATTGCTAAATAGTTTTTGGAATATCTATTGACAAAAATGCAGATCGAACTCCGGAAGATAGAGCAGAGACGAAAGAAGCAGTAGGAAAACTGAAACAAGAGCTTTGCACAGATTCATTCATAGTGCAAGTCCACGACATTGTGCTGTGGTCGTATCTCAGACTGCGACCGGTCGATCTCGAGAAATGGTCCTACGAACCTGAAGAATTTGTCTACGACGAGATACAGAATAGCTGGGAGTATCAGCTGCGACCGTGTTCTGAGAAGGTGTACATTGATTTATTAGCGAACTTCAAGGATTTGCTGAAACCACGGATATTGGAAGCGTTCAACAATGTCAGTAACAGCGCTGATATGTCGGACGACGCGCTGCTCACCAAAGACGCGGTCTACTGCGCGTTCAGCATAACAAGCAGCGCGTTGTTTGAAGACGTTGACTTTGACAAGATCTTTGAGCAGATCCTCGCGCCGCAGGTGATGCACGCTTCAGCCGATTCTCCGCCGATGCTGCGGATTATTTTCCGTCGGATCGCAATCATAATCTCAGATTGGGTCTCTGTCAAATGCGGCCAGCAGACGCGCAAGATCATATACGATGTGCTCGCGCGGCTGCTGGATCCGTCGCTGCCGTTGAACGATCTGGTTGTGCAGCTGAGTGCGGCGTCGGCGCTCAAGAGCGCGGTGGATGAGTGGGATTTCAAGTTGGAGGACTTTTTGCCGTATCTGGAGTTGTTTTTGACGAGAATTATGGAGATGATGAACAAGATGGAGATGATTGAGACCAAGCTTGCGCTCTTACAGGTTATCTCCGTTATCGTTGAGGTTTCAGAGATGCATATCTTGGCGTATGCCGATAGCATTATCGCTGTCTTGCCTTCGCTGTGGGATCAAGCAGGCGACGAACATATCCTCAAAGGCGCGATTCTGCACACGTTGACCGTGCTCATCAACGGCGTCGGAAGGGAACTACATAGATTCCAACCGCTGTTCATGCCACTAATTGGCAGCATCGTGGACCCGAACTCTAGCCTGCACGTCTACCTACTCGAAGACGCTCTCGAGCTTTGGCAAAGCGCAATCAAGAACGCGACGGCTGCGTCGCCTGAGCTGCTTTCGCTGGTCCCGGCGCTGATCACGTCGCTCGATAACGCGACCGATAATCTGCGCATCGAGCTCTCGATTCTTGAAGGGTACGTCAAGCTCGAGCCTGCGTTTGTGCAGCAGGAGTACGGAAAGACGCTGTTTACTATCCTTGCCTCGTTCATCGGGTCGCTTAAAGTCGAGGCATGCCAGACTGTTACGCGGATTCTCGAGATTTTCATGCAGCGGTTGCCGATAACTTCCTACATCAACGAGTTTGTCGAAACCGGTCTGCTGGCACGGATGACCAACAGCATTTTCGATGCGCACGAGTCTGCAATCAACGTCGCGGGCTACCTGACAATCTACGCGCGTCTTGCGATCGCGGATCCGAACGTGGTCGTCCAGTTCTGCGACATGTACGGACCGCAGCGGCAGTCTCCGCCCTCGGGCGGTTCCTGTCTTGGACCGTTGCTCGATACATGGGTCGAGAAATCGGAGAATATGGGACATCCGCGGATGCGCAGGATGACGGCGATGGGCTTAGATGCGCTGCTTAACAGTCCTGTGAGCGGGCAGAGGGACGAGGTTGTAGGGAGACGGGCGACGTTGGCAGATGTGAGAGATCAGATTCTGGCGGAGCAGGAGGGCGGGGACGAGGTCGAGCTCGATGTCGAGAAATGGGTGCAGCGCGGGCCGGGGACGGGATATGGGTCTGGTTACTAGAGTAGATGATTGTATATATTGATTTCACTAATTGAAGATACTTCAACGCCACTACCGCACTCAAACTACAGAAAATGTATCGGTCCAACGGGACAGTCATCTTTCAGCATCCAAAGATGCGCAGAAGCCTGCTCTTATAAGGAAACGGAGTCGTCAGTCTTCCCACCTGAAATTCAACCGCGAGCCACACTTGCATCTCCTTCCCTGCTCCTCTCTCTACTTAAAGAGAAAAGAACAGGAAAACAAGATACAAACAAGACACCCAGCCAACCCCACGAATCCCCCAAGATTAATTGAGAAACCCGTAGTTCCGCGGAGATGGGGTTCAACTTTCTAAAGAAAAAAGAAGAAAAAAGTGAAAAATCCTCGAAGAATTTCATTTTTTTATACCCGCGAGAACTGAGCCGCAGCGACTGACGTAGGGTAGTTCACGTGACTGGATTTCATAAAAAACTTTTTGCGAGAAAGAAAGAGTTGAAGGACAGATCTGGATTGTTGATTCTTCTCGGTTTCTTTCAGATTGTTGGAGAATTAAGAGAAGGGCAAGAGCTTGAAAAGAAGAAGAAAGCAATTCAGGTTCTTGTTTGTGAATTTTTCTGATTGAAACAAGAAGACACCTACGACTTTCGATATCGACGACGACAGAAGACACAACATCTCCACCCGCCCAACGGCAATCACAAAATCCATAGAACAGACATGAGTTTCTCAATTCTAGCCCGCACAATTGCGCGTCGCGCGCCGACTGCGATGACCTCGTTGAGAGCATCGGCGAGCAGCAGCAGCAGCAGCAACTTCATAACCAACATGCAGCGACTCGCCACGCCGTCATCGCTGACGGCCGCTGCGCTCGCGCGATCGTACGCGACTGCCGGGAAAACACCGAAAAACGATAAACCTACGGCTTCTGGGAGCAAACCGAGGCCTGATATCAAGGTTGACTCGATTCTGAGCCAGGAAATGGTCGACGAGATGGCTGGTGCGAAGGCCGGCGAGAGCAGCGCGGAAGGTGGTGCGAAGGCCGAGCAAGAAGCAGCGTCGGAGGGTGGCGAGGGCGCGGAGAAGCCTAGCTATGCTGGAACGGCGAAGAGAGCTGATTACCAGGCGAATAGGGACAAGGTGCGGACGAAGCGCTTGGTTTGGGGATTCCTCACCGGTGGACTGTTTGGCGGCGTCACAATCATGTATCTCTGCCGGAACTGGGACGACGAGGAGTACTATGCTCACCGGGATATCCCCAACGGCTACAGCCCGGACTTGATGTACAAGCGATTCCGCGCGCGATATGATGGACTTGCGAATTACTACGCTGGTCCGGCTATCGAGCCCGAGCTTCCAGAGATGCCAAAGGATGAAAACATGCCTCTTCCGCGCATGACTCTGATCGTCGGTGTCGAGGATCTGCTCGTGCACTCCGAGTGGACCCGCAAGGACGGCTGGAAGACCTACATGCGCCCTGGCTGGGACTACTTTTTGATGTACCTCTCGCAGTACTACGAGATCGTTTTGTTTTCCTCTGAATCCATGAACTTTGCCGAACGCATGGTCATGAAGCTTGATCCCTACCACGCCTACCTGACGCACGCTTTCTTCCGCGAGTCGACCTCGTACATTGATGGCAAGCTCGTGAAGGATATCTCGAACCTGAACCGTGATCTCGGAAAAGTGATTATGCTCGACGTCGAGCCGGACGCGTACTCGAAGCAGCCGCACAACGCGATCCCGGTCAAGAAGTGGACGGGCGAGAAGGACGACAGAGAGCTTGTGAAGCTGATCCCGATGCTTGAGTACATCGCCGTGAGCATGCCAAAGGACGTGCGCAAGGTCCTGCAGACTTTCGAGGGCACCGATGACTACGCGGCCGAGTACCTCCGTCGCGAGAAGGAGCACCGCGCAAAGATCTACAAGCGATGGGAGGAGCAGAAGGAAACTGCCACGCCGCTCAAGTACGTCGCCAAGCTGTTTGGATTGGCGGTGCCTGCTGCGGACAAGCCTGTTATTTTCCAGGATATCATCCGACAGGACGGCATCCGCACGTACGAGAGCTTGAAGAGGTTCTTGGACGAGAACGGAGAGAAGATGCTCGAGGAGGAGAAGCAGAAGGAGAAGGAGTTTTTGGCCTCGCAGAACTTTACTCTTGGAACCGTTCTCCAGGGTGTACGTATTCCTGACTGATGGACTTTAAGAAGCGCTGATTTACTGACTTTAATTATACAGGTTGTTGACCCTAGCACTTCGCCCGCAGCGCAGGCTGCACAGGCTGCTCAAGCTGCTCAAGCTGCGGCAGCTGCGCCGGCCAAGTAATAACTCTGCCATTCATGCCTGTTGTATTATAAGCGATTGCGGTTTCTCTCTCGAATTTATAAGCGAAGAACATCAAATGTATATAAACCACGGAAAAGAACAAAAAACATCGTACATAGCAACTAAAACACACAGATCAAGTAGAATAAATTCAAGCGGTGACCTTCCACTGCTCGGCCGCACCAATGACACTAGACAGCATACCCGCGAGACCAACGGTTCCGTCGTCTATTGGCAGCAGCGCAAGGCCGCTGATCGGGATCGTGCTGTCGAGCACATCGAGCGCGAACTGCGTCGACGTCTTCTTCTTCTCAGCGCGGACCTTCTTGACGGCGACGATGTCCTTCTCTGCCGCGTTGGAGAGAACGGCCTCGCGCTGGTTGAGGCCGACGTGCTTGTAGACGCCGGACGCGACCGAGAAGGTGATGCCGGCGAGCCAGAGGCGGTAGTAGAGCTTCTGCGTGAGCTGCGGGTTGCGGAGCGTGATGAGCTTTGTCGAGTGCGCGAGGATGGCGGTGTCGAAGGTGAGATAGGCGGCGTAGCAGAGCTGGCGGCCGACGGCGGCGTAGCGCAGGAACGCGTCGGCGGTCTTGTTATCGTACGCGGTCGCGGCGGCTTTGAGGTGCTGCAGGGGTTTTCCGACGCGGATGATCTTGCGGGAGGTGGAGAAGAGGGACATGAGCGAGCGCCATTTGTCTGCGTCTTTGATTTTGCCTGCGTCGGCGGAGCGGATGAGGAAGGCGGCGTAGAAGCGGGCAAAGTACTGCACCAGACGCATCAGCTTGTCGCGGCCGATGGTGGTGTCGAAGAAGCGCAGCAAGTGGGCGAGGGAGGGGTGGTAGACTACAGCGTCGGCGACCATTGTGACTGTTGTTTAGAAGACGATAGTTGAGGAAGAGGAAGAGGTAGAGGTGGAGGGCGAAGAAGGTGAAGATGAAATATTTCAAGAGGCTTAGAGGAAGCCGGGAGCCGCGGCGGAAGAGATGGCGGGGAAGCGGAAGATGCTGCACGTGCTCTGTCTGCGAACCAGCGACTTTGTCTAGTGATTGCTTCTTTAAACAGCAGATTGTCTTGTCTTCTAGCTGATATTTCTACAATTCCCGACTCTTTCTTTTATTCCAAACCGCGGTCGCAGCCGTGTGGAAAGCGAGCTGCAGGGCGCTTCTCGCGGCCCTCGGCAAATAACGCGCAGAGGTCACATGACTCTGAATCATGTGACTGGGAGAGTGACCCTACTGCCTCGAAATGACAATACCTCGTCAGAAGCCCATCGTCGAATCCAGCTGATCTCCACCTGCAACTCCGCCTGCTGCATTCAATCCCTTCTTGTTCAGAGTCTAGATCATCAATAACTACCGATACACACATGGCAGCCAGCATAGACGCACCCACCACGCCGTCCGTGCCGGATCTCTCGCTCGCACAGGACCTGTTTCTCCTGCGCACGCCCAACCTCCCCGCCGCCCTGGCCGAGGGCGCGCAGAAGCGGATTCTGGCTGCGATCGAGGAAGGAAGCAAGGCGCCGCTGTACTACTACATCCACTCGGTCCTGGATTTGCCAATGATACCGTGGGATGAGGAAAAGTACAAGACGATGGCGGCGAAGAATGAGGAGGACGTGAAGGCGCTCGAGAAGCCTATTGCGGAGGCCGAGGAGGCCGGCGGCGAGATGGAGATTGCTGAGGGATGGATTAAGGTCGGCGAGTTCTGGGCAGCTCTTGGTGATAAGGTATGCTATATCATGTTGATTTCTTTTGAAAAAAGATCAGATGCTGACATCGAATGTACACTGAACAGGACAAAGCCATCTTTGCGCTCCGGAAAGCGCATGATCTCTCACCAGGACTGGGTTCCAAAATCGACGTGTTACTCACAATCATTCGCGTTGGCTTGTTTTTTGACGAAAAAACATTCGTCGGCAACGAGCTCGAGAACGTTAAAGTGTACGTCTCTTTTCTTTTTAGCAACACACGCACCAGCTAGACTAACCTCCCCACCAGACTGATTGAGCGTGGCGGCGATTGGGATAGACGCAATAGACTGAAGACGTACGACGGACTATACTCGCTGTCGATCCGCAAGTTCGACGAGGCCGCCGATCTGCTGCTTGACAGCTTGTCGACCTTCACATCCACCGAACTGTGCACGTACGAGGAAGTCGTGCAGTACGCCATCCTGGCCGCTGGCGTGTCGCTCGGTCGCGTGCCGCTCAAGACTAAAGTGATTGACTCTCCCGAGATCCTGTCGCTGCTGTCGACGACGCCTTCGCTTGAACCTCTGACGACGATGACCAACTCGCTCTACCTGTGCGACTACGCGAGTTTTTTCAAAGCGCTGGTCGACGTCGACGAGTCGCTGCTGAAAGTTAACCGATACCTCGCGCCGCATTCAAAGTACTACGTCAAGGAAATGCGCCGGAGGGGATACTCGCAGCTGCTGGAGTCCTATCGCGCGTTGAGTCTAAAGAGCATGGCAGAGGCCTTTGGCGTCAGCGTGGAGTTTTTGGACAAGTGAGTGTTTGCCGCTGTGATGAGTGTAAGTGATAAGTGGATAGAACGGTGTGAACTAACAAAGAAATCTTCTACAGCGATCTTTCAAAGTTTATCCCTCAGAAGAAGATCAACTGTGTGATTGACCGAGTAAATGGTGAGACCTCTTAGTTGTTTACATGTCATGCGAGTCTGTTTCGCGCGATGATCTGATTCTAACCCATGATTCTTGACAGGCATAATCGAAACCAACCGTCCAGACAACAAGAACGCACAATACCAGCTGCTGGTGAAGCAGGGCGACGTGCTTCTCACGCGATTACAAAAGTACGGCACGGCTGTGCGCATGAGTGGTTCGGAGCGCGTGGCATAGGTTCCCGGTCCGGGATGATAGTCTTCAGTGTTCTATCTGAGGAAGTTTTCAGCGGATTAGGTAGGGACTGTGATAGGAGATGTGAATGGGAACAGGGTTGTTTGCTTTTGTTTCGATCCATGATTCAGATACAGTGGGTGTACATTGAATACTATGCAGATATAAGCAGCATGCGCTTAATCGTAGACTACAGCAGTACCTCGGCACCGATACAAACACTCTGAACAAGTCCACTCACAGAAGACAACATCAACTACATCAACTACCACCTAACAAAGAAGAACAAAGAAGTAGAGCAAGCAAAGTGAACCTCGGCACTGCCTCGGCGCCGGGCTCAGCGCCGGAGCAGCGAAACCTTCGCCCGGGAAAACTCCCAACCCACGCGCGCCCCACGCCCTTCTTTCGTATCCGACGCTTAGCTGACGGCCGGCTAAGAGAATAAACTATCGCCTGGTTCTATTGTTAAGTCGGTGGTTATGGTTTACTAATAGGGATCACGTCAACAGGAATTGTGTGCGCCGAGGAAGCTCCGGTGGATGAGGCATCGCTGCTTCCTCGGTTGGTGGTGATCTGGGTTGATGGCTGGGGTGGGCTCCGTTGGATATATATATCTCTCGAGACGGCGGCGTGGTTCTGTTCGCTTTGCTTAAGACTCGTATCTATATCTTATACCAGCACAATGACACTGTCCGGCATCCTGAGTCACGTCAAGGTACGTCTTCTCCCTCCCTCCTTCACTACACCCAACTAACATCCCAGACTCTCCACCTACCTGGCGACACCCCCCGCAAACACACCCCACCCTCCTCCTCACCACCCTCAATCACCCACTCCTCCTCCTCCTCCTCCTCCTCCTCCTCCACAGACTCAGACACACCCTCCACCACCAACACAAGCCCAGAGCACATCCGTCGCTCGCTAACCCACGGCTCGTTCCGCAAGACCCTCTACAAAGTCATCGGCGACGACGGCCACGTGCTTCAAATTTCACGGCCACCGTCTGCGCGCTTGGAGGCTGGGGATGGTAGAGATAAATGCGAGCCGGAGACGTTTGTGGAGCTGCAGTTCGGGGAGGAGAAGAAGCGCAAGATGGAGCGGATCCGAGGGGTGCTCGAGCTCAGTGACGATCTCACGATCTCAGCTGACGAGGAGATCACCTCAACGAATAGCGGGACTCAGACCCCCGCCGAATCCACAACGCGGGGGAGTAGTCCGTCGGCGACGATAACGAGTCCGATAGCGTCGCTGTTCCAGCTCGATATGGAGCAAAGTGCAGACTGTACTCGGAGCGCAGGCGGCGCGGGCGACGACGTACCTGAGGATTCCTGGCGGTTTTTGAACAGCGGGCAATCCGCCCACCACGACATGCACTGCGCATACTGCCGCGCCATGAATCAAGAGCTCACGTTCGTCGACTCGTTCGTTGCTAAAGTGCTAGATCACTACCGAGAATCAACCGCCCCAGACTCAGACAAAGCCGCAGCGACTACCACAGACCCGTTACAAAAACAGCACGCGGCCGCGCTCGCGAGTAAACTCGCAGTCACGAAAGCGATCGTCGAGACCGAGATGGAGAAACGCAAGGTTCACGAGAAACTGAAAGAGATGGAATGGCACGAGTATCAAAAGTACTACCGCACCGTCGAGGATAAGGTCATGCAGCGCGCAATCAAGCGCGCGGAAGAGAGGATCGTGGCGACTAGTGGACCGCATGATCGTCGGCTACGCGAGCTGCGCGAGCTTGAGAGGTCGTATAATCTAGGCGGTGGTGGGGCGAAGAAGAAGCCTCAGAAAGAGCATCATTCGTCGCCGAGGCAGGGGAGGTATCAGAAGGCGATTGCGAAGGATCTTGATAGAGTTGATGATTGTGTGATTGTTTAGAATCTCTAGTATTAATAATGTATAATACGAATACCTAATTCACCAACAAAAAGAATATTAACCAAAGTAGTAAACGCCAGTCTTGAATACATGCAACAAATAAACAAAAACGCTTTTATCAGACCATCTATAACTACTGATCCTCATCAGATTCCGCCTGACCATACAGCTCCTCATCATCAGACAAACTAAGCTTCGAGTTCGAGAGCATCGCGTTCTTCGTCGGGCGAGTAGGGTTGAGCTGCTGAAACTCCACAGTGTTTTCATCAACCTCAAAGTCGTCGTCCTCAAACACGCTCTTGAAGCGGCTATCGAGCAGATCAGACGGCTTGCCCGCAGTCGCGGCCGCAGGCGTCTTGGGAACAACCTCGGCATCCGAATCCACCTCGTTGTCATCAGCATCCGCGTCAGCAGCGCCCTCGATCGCTTTGGCCTTTGCTTTCATTCTCGCCTCGCGCACGGCCTTCTTCGCCTGCTTCTCGGCCGTCTTTGCGAGTTTCTCCGCCAAGCTCTTGTTGACCTTGACCGCGAGCTTGGACGACGTGCGGATGCGCGACTCGCGCTCCTTGTCGATCTTCTTGCGGATCTCGCGCTCGCGGTGCTCCTGGTACGCGAACGGGTTGCTGATCAGCTTGGCTTGCTCGTACAGTCTGATGTCGATGAAGTAGCCGTGCATGTAGCTCCTGACCACGTTCGTGCCGAGTAAGTGGCCGAGACCGAGCGCGGCCAGCTCCTTTTTGGTCACGAACTTGTAGTTGTCGTACACGCTCGTGACAGGGGCTTCTTCGAGTTCTTCGGTCACGTTCTCGATGAACGAGCACCAGGACGGCGCGGGACCGAGCGAGGGGATGAAGTAGGTATGCAGCGGCATGCCCTCGTTTGCGAGGAAAAACATTCCCGTCTCGGGAATATGCGCGACGTCGTTGATATCGACCGAGGGCTCGAACGAGGTGAACGGTTTACCGCCTTCGGCATCCCAGATCTTTGCAATCTTCTTGTCGGCAGAAAGAACCCTGGTCGTGCTATCTGATCCGTCGCGCTCGAGACCGTTGATCCAGATAAGGTTGTTGACGGGTAATCCGTATCCTTGTTCCTTACGCAGGAGCGGATTCGGGCTTCGTAAGTCGTAAAGCACGATTTCACCGGTGCTGGTGCCGACGGCCATCGAAAGGCCGTCGTCGTTGAACTTCAGAGATGTAATTCCGCCACCGATCCCCATCGAGCTGTCGCCAAGCCCACCCTCGCTCGCTTCCATCGACAGCTGCAACAGCCGCGACCGCGACCGCGGATCCCAAAACTGCACGGTATTGTTCTCGAGCCCGAAGCCGAGTAGTTCGTGCGCAGGGTTGATGTCGAGGCAGTTACAGCCCGTGATATCGGTCCCGAGCTCGAACGGGCTCATGAACCGGCCCTGGTCGAGGTTCAGTCTGTAGACTTCGTTGCCGGACGCACCGACGTACAGATCGCAGTTTGATTTCCGGTACGAGATTGCGCGTCCGAATTTGGGTATCCGCGTGCGGGTGTGGATGCCGCCCTGCGCGTGCAGCTCGATCGAGCGGTCGTTTTGCAGGTGCACGGACTTTGTCCAGTCGTCCGAGAGGATTATAAAGTCCACGTTCTCGGCGTCGGTGTGCCGCGCAAACTTGAGCGACAGCTCGGCAAAGTCGTAGACGTGGATCTGTGGCTTGTAAGTCCCGGTCGCCATCGCGTAGGCGCCGTCGGGAGAGACTTTGATTTTGTTGGAGGCCTCTGAGAATTCAAAGTCTTGGAGAAGTTCGATGCGGGAGGAGTATTCTGCGCCATGTTAGCTGACTGCTCTCCAGCAGAGAAGAGGAGGAAAAGACATACCGGCATCGTTCTTGAGATCTTTCCGACGCTTTCGCGCAACCCAGTCCGGCAGCGACCGAGAGGTGTTTGTGCCGGAGATCTGGTACACGGTGTGATTTGTCGACGTCGTAGATTTGAGCACCATCTCTGCAGACTGTGTTGACTACTAAAAAAAAAGGAAGCAACGGAGCAGGAAGAGAAGTTGATGGCGGTTGGGACATTTGCCTGAAATATTTTTTCCCCCTGAGAACAGAAGCAAGGTTTATATTAGTAAGTTATTACATCATCTTGCTTCTTGCGTGTAACGTAAAGATGTATATGAGGCCGACCGGATCCTGGACTGCGATCCGCTGCTTCATCACACCTTCTCAGCCCACAGCTCACCACTCGTAACATCCCAGCAATGCCAAAGAAGAGTAAGGTGATCAAGGTCGGAGAGGTCGACGGTCCGAAGCGAGTGTACGGATGCGAGGAGTTGATCGAGGAGTTTGCGCCTCATCTGCGTGCTGCGAGCATTATCCAGGGCAAACCGTATCGGAAGGTAAGCACGAGAAAGAGTTTATGTGGATTGTGTTTGAATGTTGTCTGCTCACAGGTGGGTTTTATTGTGTTTAGAAGCAGGAGATAGACGTGGTTAGTCGGCCGGTGGACGATCTGAAGACTGGCGATTGAGCAGAGATGCGCTTGCTTTGCTCAAGGTGCAAGTTCCTTTAGTTGCTTAGGTTGATCCAACACGCTCTACATACGGACGTTGGACGTTGCAGAAACAAGTACAATTACAAGTACAATTACAAGTACAATCATTACATGGCGATCAACAAGCCAGCTCTGATCTGATCCGAGCTGAGGCATCTCATCGCTCGTTGGGAATTTACGGTGGGAAATCGATGGTTTAACGCCCGCTGTTGCTGCAGGGTTTATGGTACAAGTGCTGATATGTTGTGAGTACTTTACAGTGCACCCGTTCATTAACTATCTATTTGCTATCTTTTGTTCATGGTTATTGATCAATGCGGACACTGACATTTGAATATATATCAATTGAGAATACACAGTCTTTGTCTATTTAGTAATGCTGGAAGATCGTAGTAGAAACAGCTCATAATCACTAATGCAATGGGTTTCCGGCCCGCTCGGGCTCCGGGCAGTGGGTTGCTCGGCGGGAACCCCACATCACCCTCGTCCATTAAAACCACCGCTTCCTCCTCGACCCTCGTCCCCCACCTCGACCCTCCACTCCTCCTCCTCCTCTTCCGCCTCCTCCTCCTTCACCACCGTCCTTCTTCTGCACTACCCACCATGCTCACCCAAAGACTACGTGCAGCAGCCTACCGTGGCCTCCGTCGGGACCTGGTTCGCCTCAGTTCGCGCGCCAGCCCGTTCTCGACCTCGTCCGTCCGCATGGTGGACTACATCACCACCCACGACAAGATCGCGAACCCGCAAAACACAAAGATGTTTATCGACAACCAGCTGGTCGAGAGCAAGGCCTCCACCTGGATCGACCTGCACGACCCGGTACGCGACTTCTTTCCTTATCCGTTATCTCCGGGCGTGCTGCTTGCTGTTCGGGATCGTTCGTCTTCATACTAACCCCACTCGCAGGCCACAAACAATATCGTCACGCGCGTGCCGCAATCGACCCCCGACGAACTTGTCGCCGCAGTCGACTCGGCAGAGAAGGCGTTCAAGACCTGGCGCCGAACAACGCTGCTGACGCGCCAGCAGATCATGTTCAAGTTCGTGCAGCTCATCCGCCGCGACTGGGACCGGCTCGCGGCCAGCATCACGCTCGAGCAGGGAAAGACGTTTGCGGATGCGAGAGGTGATGTGTTGAGAGGTCTGCAGGTTGCCGAGACCGCGTGCGGGATTACGTCGCAGTTGACTGGCGAGTTGCTCGAGGTCTCGAAGGATATGGAGACTAGGAGCTACAGAGAGCCTTTGGTGAGTTTACTGCTGATAAGAATGTCGTAGTAGAGATGGCTAATAATGACTAGGGCGTTGTTGCTGCGATCTGCCCCTTCAACTTCCCGGCCATGATCCCTCTGTGGTGTTTGCCTCCTGCAATCATCACCGGAAACACCGTCGTCATGAAGCCCTCCGAGCGCGAGTGAGTCCACCCCCTGCCTTCATCCTTTTTTGAGCCATCAATTGACTGACACTACACAGCCCCGGCGCGGCACTCATCATTGCCGAGCTCGCAAAGGAAGCCGGTGTCCCCGACGGTGTTTTCAACATCGTCCACGGCTCCGCGCCCACCGTCGACTTTTTGATCGACGAGCCGCGCATCAAGGCGATCTCGTTCGTCGGCAGCGACAAAGCCGGCGCGTACATCTACAGCCGCGGAACCGCGAACGGCAAGCGCGTGCAGGCCAACCTCGGCGCGAAGAACCACGCAATCATCATGCCGGACGCCAACAAGTCGCAGGCGTTGAGCGCGATCGCGGGCGCGGCGTTCGGTGCCGCGGGACAGCGATGCATGGCGGTGTCGGTGATGGTGACGGTCGGGAAGTCGAAGGAGTGGGTTGGCGATTTGATTGAGATGGCCAAGAAGCTTGTCGTCACGGGCGGATTTGAGCCGGATGCTGATCTCGGGCCGGTGATTTCGCCGCAGTCGAAGGCGCGCATCGAGGGACTGATCCAGTCTGCGGCCGACGACGGTGCCGAGATCGTGCTCGACGGACGCGGATATAAGCCTGCAAAGTACCCGAACGGCAACTTTGTCGGGCCGACGATCATCACGGGAGTCAAGCCCGGCATGGCCTGCTACGAGCAAGAGATCTTTGGTCCGGTTCTAGTGGTTGTCAACGTCGACACGCTCGACGACGCGATCGAGCTCGTGAACGCGAACCGGTACGGCAACGGCGTCGCGATCTTCACAAAGTCCGGTCCCGTGGCGGCCAAGTTCCAGCGCGAGATCGAGGCGGGCCAGGTGGGTATCAACGTGCCGATTCCGGTGCCTTTGCCGATGTTTTCGTTCACGGGAAACAAGGGCTCGATTTTGGGTGATTTGAATTTCTACGGAAAGGCGGGGCTGCATTTCTATACGCAGCTTAAGACTGTGACTGCGCTGTGGAAGAGCGATGATGCGGATGCGGTGGACAAGGCGAGTGTGAACATGCCTACGCAGAGTTAATTGCAGACAACAAAAGTTGGAGATAGATCTTCATGAGAATATGATTGTTTGAGAGATATGTACAGATTCTATCTAGATGAGGCGAATAAAGTCTAGCTCAACATGCTCTATAAGTAATTACTTTGTACTTCTCCTGAGGTTATCTCACAATCGACACGAGTTGTGCGATCGCTTGGTTAACGAACTCCCCCCGACAGAAGCCTTTCTGACAATCCCAGAAGCTGACGGGTCTGGACTGAGGTCCTCCATCCGAGCGACAAGACTGTTGCTGGTCATGATGTAGTTTTTGTGCGGACGCTGCTCTTCACCTGTCGAGGATGATGGTGTAGAAGGGCCGTGGGCGGGGATTATTATGTAGTTGTTTTGCGTGTCGTAACGTATTCCTGGGAATTTGTGCACCGACGGTGTTGATTGCGCGGGAGTGGAGGATTCGTAAGGTGAGGAATACGGAGATGTCGCTGATGTCGTAGAAGGGTCGTTGTCGGATGTGGAGGTGGAGGAGGAGGAGGAGTATTCAGAGATCTTCATCGCACTGGAGTCGTCTGGTGATAGTTTTGAAATAATCGCCCGCAGCTGCGCGACCTCCTCTTTCAAAAGCGCAATGTCCTCGGCCGTGGTCTCGTGTCGCGTCGTCGCTTTCCTGCTCGATCTGACTGATTCGAAAATCACGACGCCAGCCGCGACCGCGCTGTGCGATGTCAGAATATACTCAGCTTCCAAACAAATAAACAGCAATAAAGTAACAGAAAAGATACTTACAAAAGGAGCGTCTCGGATAGGAAATTCGCACCCATCTCGATCGCCTTCGCGTCATTAAGCGGTCTGACTTTTTGCGTCCCGGCTTTGCCCATCAGACTTTGCCGCAGACGCACGTCTGTGGAGTGCAGCACCTGCGCTACTGCTATGCATGTCTTTCGGAACGGACCGGAGACTTTTGCTCTTGATTTCACGCCGTTCTGGGGAGGTTTGTTAGTTTGTGTGTGGAGGGGAGAGGGGGGGAGAGAGGGGGGGGGGGGGGGGGGGGGGGGACGTACGGCGATTGGTTTGGCGATGGTGCGGATGAGGAGGGTGCCGATTTTGAGGGCGATTGTCGACATTTTGCACCAAAGTTAATAAGTTGATCTTGGTAAAGACACGCCAGGATGTGCTGAGGAAGAAGTACGTTGTCGAGAGAATGGAGGATCAAACGGGACGAAGATGAAAGCAAGTCGAGAAGCTGACGATGAGGATGATGCTCGAGGAGGATCAAGCCAAGCAGAGGTGTCCTCTGGATCCAACTGTTCTTCGTTCTTTCTTCTTTCTTTCCTCTTTCTACTCTAAAACCCTCTTCTTTCAAATGAAACCGCAATCAAATCCGCACCGCGAAGAAAGCCGAAGCCGAAGCAGATCAGGATCCAACTCAATGCAGCAGCTTATCGAAGTTCCGGTGTCTAAAATGCGGAATGCGATTTGCTCAGATTAGGCAGAATCGCTGTTCGAAGCAGAAATCTAGACAAAATTCGCAGTTTGGAGCTTCCGGACGGGCGCGGCCTCGGGAGCCAATGGCGTGCCGTCCCGTCTGCGCAGGGTAAACGTGTGTTTGTGCCCGGGATAGCAGCATCCACTTAAAGCTATATAGTAAAATGCTATTCTGGTGCCGGAACACCTCCCGGCAGATTCCCGCCCTCAGTTTTCACTCGGTCCGTCTTCCTCTTCCTCTCGTCTTCCTTCCTCCGCCCACATCTCCACTCTCCACCTCCTTCCACTCAATCACCTCTCTCTCTCTCTTCTCTCGGTTCATTTCTCGAAAGATGTCGCTTCTGAGAACTAGTGTGCGTCCCGCGACGCAGGCTGTCAAGGCCGCTTCCGCCAGGTTCGTTCTGACTCGCTTGCTTTTCTTTTTTTTCTTCTTCAGTGTGGTGTAGCGGTTGGGGCTCCCGGGTTCGTTTGTTTTTGCGTGGGGTTGAGGGTGGTGGGGATTGCTGGGTGGGAAATGGGGTTGGAAGGCGGGATTTGGATGATTGAGCTGGGGGATGGGGAATTGATTGGATAAAATGCGGGTTGGTTGATCGAGGGAGGGTCGGAAGATCATTGGGATTCGGAATGCAAAGCCAGCGCGACAATCAACAATTAACAATTCAACGTGAAGGGAATGCTATGAAGAAAAGAATACGGATGAATCACAAACGAACAAAACCCGGGAGAAATTCAAGACTCCTAGGCTTTTAGACCAAAACTAACTCCAAACAGATCGGTCGTTGCGTCCAACAACTACGCTACCCTTCGTGAGATTGAGATGCGTCTCAAGTCGATCAAGAACATCGAGAAGATCACCAACACGATGAAGATCGTCGCGTCGACGAAGCTGTCGCGTGCGCAGCGCGCGATGCAGGACTCGCGCGCCTACGGTGCCACCTCGGACGAGGTGTTCAAGAACTCCGAGGCCAAGGCGCCCGAGGAGGGAAAGAAGCTCATCATTGTGTCGTCGTCCGACAAGGGTCTCTGCGGTGGTATCCACTCGCAGATCTCCAAGGCTGTGCGTGCGCGTCTCGCGAGCGCGCCGGATGCGGATCTCGTTGTGATGGGTGAGAAGGCCAAGGTCCAGCTCGCGCGTACCTACGCCAACAACATCAAGCTCTCGTTCAACAACATCGGCAAGGAGGTCCCTACCTTTGCCGAGGCGCTCATCATCGCCGACCAGATCAAGCAGCTCGAGTCCAAGTACGACGACATCGAGATCTTCTACAACCACTTCAAGTCCGGAATCTCGTTCGAGCCGACCTCGGTCCCTGCCTTCACCGAGCAGACCCTCACTTCCTCGCCCAACTTCTCGGCCTACGACATCGAGGAAGAGCTCGCGGACGACCTCACCGAGTTCTCGCTCGCGAACGCCATCTACTGGGCCTTGGCCGAGGGCTACGCCTGCGAGCAGTCGGCCAGACGCTCGGCTATGGACAACGCGTCCAAGAACGCCGGTGACATGATCGGTCGCTACTCGATCCTTTACAACCGTACCCGACAGGCTGTCATCACCAACGAGCTCGTCGACATTATCACTGGTGCCTCGTCTTTGGAGTAAGCTTGTTTTTGCGAAACTCGTTTGCTTCGGGGTGGGGTCGGTTTTCATTATCTCTTTTTCCAAAACTTTTGTTGTCTGAAGATTTTTGTTGGAGAGTTTAGATTTAAAGTGATTTAATAAATCATCATACATTACTTATTGTATTTTAAACTGTAGTTCAATTAAGTCAAATTACTCTACTAGCATTAAGATTGCTACACTTACGCCTCAGGACCGTACTTGAGGGGCTCGGCGGGCTCAACCCACGGGTTAACCTTGTTGAAGTCTGCAGGAGTTTATAAGTTAGCAAAAACGTTGAAAAAAGAAAGAGAAAAGCACAAGGAAATAGACATACGGTTGGCAATCTCCTCTCTGGTAGCAACCCACACGCCCTCCTTCTGCTTGATATAATCCATAAACTTCACCAAAGCCTGGAACCGTCCCGGCTTGCCGACAACACGGGTATGCAACGCGACCGTCATCATCTTTGCGCACCCGTTCTCGGCGCCTTCCTCGTACAGCGTGTCGAACGCATACTGCAGGTGGTTGTAAAAGTCGTCGGTGGAAGACCATCCCGTGGGCATGTGGAAGCGGGCGTCGTTGCAATCGTACGAGTAGGGAACCATGAGGATCGCGTCCTTAGTGCGCGGAACAGGCGTCCAGTACGGGTAGTCGTCCGCGTAGGCGTCGGCGATCCAGAGCAGAGGCGCGTTGAGCTCTTTGTGCACGTCGTAGACGAGCCGGCGGGTGTGCTGCGACAGACGGGCATAGTACCAGCCCTTGGGGTACGCGCCCGTGGTTTCCTTGAGGGACTCCATGTTTTTGATAATCAGCGCTTTTTCCTCCTCGGGTGTGCATTTGGAGTAATCCCACCAGCGGTAGCAGTGCGATGCGATTTCGTGGCCGTCGCGCTTGATGGCGGCGGGCACGTCGGGCAGGAGCTCGAACGCTTTGCCGACGGCGAAGGTGGTGAACTTGTACCCGTGCTTGCGAAACAGACGGAGCAGACGCCAGACACCCGCCCGCGAGCCGTACTCGAAATCAGACTCGCAGTCGTAGGACCGCTTGCCGACTTTGGGCACGTACGGAAGCTCCCAGATGTACTGCTCCGAGGCCGGGTCGCCGTTCTCGATCGAGCACTCGGCGCCTTCTTCGTAGTTGACGACGAAGTTGATGATGATCTTCGGGTTGCCGGGCCACTTGAAGTCGGGAGGGTTCTCGCCGTAGCCGCGGTACTCGCGCGGGAAGTCGTAGTAGGTCGGGACGTAGTTGCTCGAAGCCATTGTCTTTTGTCACTCTTCGTCAGCTCAGCACATCTCGATAGCACATTACAATACGCTACAGCACAAACAAACATACCAATTGATTCAATAAGCAGTACTTCTTTGGTAAAAGCGACAAATTCAGCACAATCAGATGCGGTGGAAAGAATCCTGCGGAAGACAAAAGCAAATGCCACCCGTCGCTCGGTCGGGTTCTGAGTCGTGCTTATCAGTATCGGGGATAGAGTTTCCCATTGGACGATATCGGTTATGTAATGCTGCTGTATAAGATTAGTCAGGTACATTGACGCGGGTTGACTCAGTGGCATTTTGAGTCATCCCCGCGTGGATTCATTTCAGGCATTCTGTTTATTGTGTGTTTTTGGACTATCATCAAGCAACGGACGACGAGCGGTGTTGGAGCTGTTGCCGCTGCCGGATAGAAAACAGAACAGTTCACGGAGGCTGATAAAGATAAAGAACACTCGAGTCATCTCAAGATCACGTGTAGACATTCCATTTCGGGTAATTCGCAATCGACCTTCTAGAACTGCTATAGAAAAGAAAAAAGAGAAGGAGATGTGTAGGCAAGATATTTTAATCATATTACCGAAAACAACAACTAAACAACACGAGAACGAGAACGCACAACAAGCAATCTCACTTCAAACAAGCAATAAATGAAGCCAAACACGAGGGATAACTAGAAAAGGAATTACTGCAGGTTGACTGCGATCGAAGTCCGCATTTTTTTTTAAAAGAATAAAGACAAAATTAGCTGTACTAGATTAGAATAAAAGTTGACTCAAGCGCGTGGAAAGCAGCAACTTGCTCGAAGAAAAAAAAGAGAAAAGAGCGCAAAAAATTTACAAAAACTTGTAGGAGATCCAGAACGTCTCGGCTCGTCTCGACTCGGATATCAAGCAAAAGCAAGTAAGCAACAAAGACCAAACATTTAAAACAGACAAACAAGCAAACAAAATATTCAAAACATAAACAAAAAATAAATAAAAAATGAAACCTGGCGCCGTATCCGCTCCTCCTCCTTATCGCATCGCATCGATCGATCTCAATCCCGCCCTTTTTTTGCCTTTGCCTTGCCATTGATGCTTATTATTTTTTTTATCCAGTGATGATTTTTTTCGACTCTACTCAATCGCGAGTGGGCTTTTGACGATAATAGGCGCTTGCGGCACCGTCGCCTGCTCATCCTGCTGCTCTCCGCCCTGTTGCTGCTCACTCGCGGCGGCGGCTTCAAACGCAGGATTTTCATGAACCTGCGACGGAGCAAACTGCATCGGCAGCTCACTTATCGCCGGCCCGCCTCTGAACAAAGCCAACAGCTTGCGACCAACGCCGGGCTCAAGCTCTGTGCCGTCGCGCGCGATCTTGATGTCTCGGTTCTGGTTCCATGCGTTTTTGAGACCTTTTGTTTTAAAGAACGGCACGCGCGTGGTTGAGAGCCATTCGACTTTGAACGAGGTGCCCCATGTACTTTTCGCCGCCATCGCGCTTAGGTCAAGTTGAGACGACGAAGCCGACGTTGTTTTCTTAGTAGCCTCCTGCAACGGCTCGTCACCCTCGCCAACCGGCGACGTCAGCGGCGAGAAAATCTCCCAGAATATCGTGCCCCGCGCAGAGTCGTCGATAATCCGGCCCGCAGGCGATGTCGCTGTCGCAGGCGTGTATATCGTCTTTGGATGATCCGGGTCCAGCGCAAAGTCGCTCCCGTCACTCGCATGTCGCACCGACGATGCCGGCGTGGCCAGGGACTCGATCGGAGAGGAAGTTGTATGAGAATCGTCCACGTCGGATTTTGGGGTCGTGGTCGCTGTGGCTGTATCAGAGATATCTCCCTGCTGCTGCTGCTCTTCACTATCATCGCCGCCAGTTGCACCGCTCACGATCGGTCCCGCCATGCGCGCGTAGCCAAAGTACTCGCCTGATTTATTCGCCGAGAAAATGAGAAAGACAGTATCGGAGTTTTTATAGGCGTCGTTCAAAACCTGCTCGTTGTGCGCCTGCGTCGCCCAGATCCCGGTGCGCACGGATAACTCGAGATCCTCGACCGTGAGCGACTTTACAATGAAAAACGACTCTGGCTTGTGCTGCAAAGACGATTGAGGGTCTGTCGTTGCGTCGGTCTCGTCGTGGTCGGCGGTCGGAGATAGAGGAGACTCTTCATCCTGCGGCGAGCGATCGGGAGCCGGCGCCCGCTGCATGCGCGCGACGAGCTTTGTGCCTTTGAGGATTCCGCCAGAGTGCTTAAACCGCTCGAGTGCGTCGCGCATTGCAGTATCGGACGAGTAGTTTACAAACGCGCAGTTTGACTTTGAGATCAAAAAGACGGACTCGATTTCGGGCGACGCAAACATGTCGCGCAGATCGAGGACGGTGGTCACGAGCGGGAGGTTTCCGACCCACAATGCGTGACCGGATTGTTTTGGCTTTCGCGGGGGACCGCGCGGGAGGACTGCGGAGGTGGAGAGGGAGGTAGAGGAGGTCGAGGTCGAGGGCATTGAGTGGGAGTGACGGTGGTGAGGAGGAGGGTGATGGGCGTTGAATGGGTGGGAAGGGTGCTGCAGCGGGAGATGCTGATGCGGCAGCTGGTTGTGGTGCTGGTGCGGGAGGGGTTGGCCAAAGTAGGCGGAGGGCATGACGGGAGGGAATGGGTAGAGAGAAGAGCGGGCGAGATGCGAGCTCGGAGGGGTTTGCTGGGGGACCGGAAGCTGGTCGTGGGGAGAGATGAATTGGAGGTGGCCGGCGGACTGGCGGCGCGGATTGGGATTGTTGGAGGTGGAGGAGTTGTAGCGGATGGGGAGCATAGAGGTGCCGCGGGGAGTGATTGAGGAGCCGGGGATAGAGCCACGAGGGGAGGTGAGGGCGGAGGGAGGCGGGGATAGGTGGTTGTGAAGAGGGCGGGGGACTGGTAGGCGTAGGGAACGAAGGCGGGGTTCTGCTGGGGGGTTGAGTGCTGGGAGTAGATGGGCGGGTAGTAGGAGTAGTTCATGGGCATGTAGGTCGGAGGAGAGGAGGGGAGGACTTGGGGAGCGGATGGAGGCGGAGGATGGGGAGGGGCGGGGGAGGTGGTGGGCCATTGGATGACTTGGTCGGCCATTGCGAGAGAGAGTGATAGGGATTGAGGGTGGAGAAGAGAAGAAGAAGAAAAAGAGAAGAAGAGAAGAAGAAGAAGAGAGGAAGAGGAAGAAGAAGAAGTTGAAGAAGTGGAAGCGATGCGGTGCGAAGTGGACCCAAATCAGGTGTGTGCGCACTAATAGAGGTGCGGCGCACTCAGGAGACACGACCGCGGGGGGCATTTAGAGATAATTGGGGATTATGGGTTGGATAAGAATGAGATTAGGTCTATATTGTGTTTATTTGTATGCTATTTTATCTATCAGAGATAAAAGAGAAGAAGACGGGTGAAGACGGTGAGAGTTAAGCGATGACCACCGAGCTTAGCGACGACAGAAGAATGGCGCGCACAGGCCGCCACCCCGCCGCCCGACCATCTGGCATCTGCTGTCAGGTTGAGAAGAGGGTGTGTGTAAGTAGTTGCGAATAGTTGTGTGTAGTTGCAGATGTAATTGAAAAGAATAAGAACATCAGAAACAAGAGAAAGACAAAAGTTCTTATCTTCATGTGACAATCAGCTCGCTTACTTAACCTTACGATTGCGAGAGAAAGAAAGAATTCGACCGTTGGAGGAAGAATGATATCCACGCGAGTTGGTATTCGATTGTGTTATTACTGCACTATTGCATTTTAGTTGTCTATTGTATTATCATAATGAGAAAGAGACAGCTGGGTATAATAAGAGGTTATCATGCATATGCACGGATATTCTATCAGTGATCGCCATCTGTGCGGGGCTGCAGGAACAGCTTCAGTCATTATCCTCGTTATGGCATATTCATCACTTCTTCTTCTTCTTCAATAGAATAGCTATAACTATAACTATAACTATAACTGTATTACAACTGAACAGACTCTTCTTCTCTCCTACGTCACTTCACTTCACTCACCTCACCACCACCATCCTCAACTTTCATCTCCCAAACTCTCTCTCTTCCTCTTCTCTCTGCCTCACGTCATCCTCGCCTTCCTCCGACGTTTCTCCGATCTCTCCTCTTGCTGCTCTTGTACTCTGTTATACTCTACTTAGCTGAACAGGATGAGAAGCATTGACTGACATCATCCTGAACTGGCTTTTGCTTCCACCGGATGTTTTTCGCTCTTCTTAGCTGCTCTAGTGCTCTACTAATCTCTACTACTTCACACAACTCATTAATGCTACTCTCATACCTATTCCCTCCACTCCTAACACCTCCCTCTACTCTACTCTATTTTACTCACCTCACCCACCACATCACCACAGCACAAGCAATGCAGCAGCAGGCAGGAAGAGGTGGCAGAGGTGGCAATACCCGAACCCCTGACTAAGGTTCGTGACCCAGCCCGTACCTGGTACCGTGCCCCTCCATTCTCGGACGCACTTTCCCCGTGTCCCGCCCCTCCATCCGTCAATCTTAGAGTTGGGTCCAGAATAGTCTGCTCTTCATATGGTAAGTGCACTGTGTTATCCTGGGTATTAGTTTCTACCAGAGTGGGGGTTCCTTTATTTTTCCGAGCCGTGTATTCTTCCGCTATTATAATTTATTATGTAACGAATGCGTCCTTTTCCGACGCCTGTTTTTGTCTACATCTGCTATTACTCCAATCTTATAGGTGGTGTTAACCTCTTATTAGTTATCTGTTTGCTACTCTTCTATCATCAACGTGCATACAGTACATAACGGGCACAGTACAGATGCCCAACCAACCCCGGATTCAAGATCTCCGAAGCGTTGGATTGGAATCACTTCCCACAGCACTAAACCACCCCACACCCAAGACCTGAGCAAAAAGACCCTTACTTACCAAGACCACGAAAAAGAAGAAGACCCCGCATTTTCATCTATTTCAATCTACTTCGATCTATCTGCAAAAAGCCGTAGGTAAACCGCCTAAAACGGTTCATGGTCGTCAACCTGTCATCAGCTGCAGCTCGACTTGCTGCTCTGATACACGCACGCACGCACGAGAAAGGAGACCAGGAGGACGGATGACAGAGAACGTCAACGTCGGCTAAAGGCTAATAAGCTGGATTTCGCCTATCTATTTGGCCGATTTAGCAATATGCTCGTTGTGGAAGCGTAGCCGTAGTAGAGTAGAAGAAGTAAGGCTTCTCGATACAGAATGCGCTTTCGTTTCCAAAGAATCCGAGACAGAAGAATAGAAGATAGAAAGAAGACCTACAAAAACACCACTGAGCGCCTATCCCATTCTAAGCCCATCCTACTGCTTGCTTCTGATATCTCTTCTGCTTCATTATACTCTGCCTATGACTGTATAGAATAGCATCAATAACAATAACTATATCCAATTTTTCATCTCGGCTCTTCAAACAGATTAACACTTGCGGCTATTTGAATATGTCAAACAATAACTTCAAACTTCTCTCATACTGATATAACCCCCGCGTCAGACCGAACCTTGTAGGTACTGCTTCTCGACAGTGCTGTAGTCCTGCTCTTTCAACAACTCTTCTATTCTCTACTACTATTCTCTAAACAGTTCTGTAGTCTCTAGTCTCTTCTACAATATCTCTCTGCTATCTCACAGTCCTCAACCAACCCACATATCTTCCGCCCCCACTCTTATCATCTCCCAAACAGACACAAAGAGGATCCCGGATTAAAGTTTCGGCGCATGCAGCGGCCTACCCCGCCCCTCCTTCCGGCAGCGGCTATTTCAGGCCTCTTCCGAAGTCATGTGATTTAGTCTTGCCTGCTCTACCAGAGTTGTAGAGCTAGAGAACTTGAAGATAGCTCTGAGGAGATGCAGACACAGACAGCAGCAACTAAACTGCTTCTGCTTCAATAGTCAATGACTCCTGTTCGTCACAATAGCCCATTGCAACGGAGTAGTCACAGTTTTCCAGCAACAGCAGATTGTCCAAATCAGTGTTCTTCACAATGTCACATTGTCTCTTTTAGTCTACTGCACTCCATCAATAAGCAGTGACATCGTGAACCTGCTGCTCAGCACACCTCCCATATCATCTACTTCCTTCTATACCACTACTATCTACTCATACAGTTCTCTCTACTCATCTTCTTCTCTATTCAATCCTCATCACCTACTCTCTCATCCACATAGTGATGCTCCGTACAATTTAGCCTGCGGCTCAACATTTATCCATACTAATCCCAATCCAGCCTAGCTCCATCCCCAAGCGGCATCCAGTCACCACAACTCACAGAATCACAAGAGTACGACGGGTACTTTCCCTCCTCGAAAGCTTCTGCCCCTCGCTCGCCTTTGTCGCTGCTCAGAGCCGGAGGAGCAGCAGAAGAAGAAAAAAGACGATCTTCCTCGTCGGCGGACTTGTTCCTCGCTGCTCTGAGCCAGGGCCCGAATTGTATATAAACACCCGACCCTTCCCCGGACTCGTTGGCCCCTCCCCCACACTCCTCCTCTCCTCCTCCTTCCTCCCCTCCTCCATCTCCATCTTTTACTATCGTCACCATGGGCTTCCTACCTACGTACAAGATAGTCGACCACTATGAGACAAAGACACTGCTCATGTTGTATGTCACCCTCTCTTCCCTCCTCTTCCTTCTATTCTCCTCCACTAACTCTCTGCAGTCTCAACCTCGTCGCCGGCGTCTCCATCTTCTTCTTCGGCTACGACCAAGGAATGATGTCCGGCGTCAACAACTCCCCCAACTACGCGACCCGCATGCGCTTCGGCTACGGCAACGAAGAAGGCGGCGTCGTCGTCACAAACTCAACCCGCCAGGGCGGCATCGTCGCCATCTACTACTTCGGCACCCTCCTCGGCGCCGTCGCCGGCGGCTACCTCGGCGACAAACTCGGCCGCGTCAAGAGCATCGCCGTCGGCTGCGCCTGGGCCGTCCTCGGCGCCTCGCTGCAGTGCTCGGCCATGAACATCGCCTGGATGTGCTGTGCCCGCGTCATCAACGGCGTCGGCACCGGCATCCTCAACGCGGTCGTGCCCGTCTACTCCGCCGAGACCGCAGAGTACAAGTCCCGAGGCATGTTCATCGCGTTCGAGTTCACCCTCAACATCTTTGGCGTCGTCGTCGCCTACTGGCTCGAGTACGGCCTCTCCTACGTCAACGGCGGCTACTCCGACGTCCGCTGGCGCCTCTCGATCGGCTTCCAGATCATCCCCTTGCTCTTCCTCTTCGCCGCCATCTGGGTCTTCCCCGAATCCCCGCGCTGGCTCGTCAAGAACGGCCAGACCGAAGAGGCGCGCTACATCCTCCAGCGCCTGCGCGGCACCGAAACCGACGAGGCCGAGACCGAGCTCCAGGACATCCTCCACATCGTCGAGCTCGAGCACGAAAACTCAAAGCTCAACTCGTACTGGAACATGTTCTTCGGCATCGGCTCCGGCGACCTGCATCTCGGCCGCCGCGTCCAGCTCGTGATTTGGCTGCAGATCCTGCAGGAGTGGATCGGGATCGCGGGCATCACCGTCTACGCGCCGACGATCTTCTCGAACGCGGGCTTCGACACCGATAAGTCAAACTGGCTGTCGGGTCTCAACAATGTCTTTTACATGTTTGCCACAATCATCAACGCCTTCACCGTCGACCGCTTCGGCCGCCGCATGACGCTCTACTGGGGCGCGATCGCGCAGGGCATCGCCATGTTCCTCGCCGGCGGCTTCTCGCGCGCGCAGATAAACTACCCCGACAACACCTCCTGGGGCGCGGCCTCGGCCTCCTTCATCTTCATCTACACCTCCGTCTTCGGCGCGACCTGGCTCGTCGTGCCCTGGCTCTACCCGACCGAGGTCTTCCCGCTCGAGGTGCGCGCGCGCGGCAACGCGTTCGGCGTTATCGGCTGGTCGATCGGCAACGGCTGGCTCACGCTGCTCTGCCCGATCATGTTCAACCACATTGGCGAGAAAACGCTCTACATCTTTGGCGCGTGCAACGCAATCTCGATCCCAATCGTCTACTGTCTGTACCCCGAGACCGCCAAGCGCACGCTCGAGGAGGTTGATTTCCTGTTTGCCGCAAAGACGCCCTGGGCGTGGGACGCCGAGAAGGAGTTTAAGCGGTTGTCGGACGAAGATCGCGTGAACCGCGTCAATAGACCGGTGGGTGGAGCAAAAGCGCACGAGCTCGATAATCTTCAGGGTTCGTCGGCTGGGGATTCGGCGTCTAGTCAGGCAGGGAGCGTTATGAACGCTGCTGGGAAGGATTAGATTGTTTTTTTTTTTTGTCTTTTAGTTGTTTGTTATATTCTGTGTGCATATCAGCTGTGGATGTATGTGTATTGTGTATATGCACCACATTCAGTGCCCGAAAATACAAGAACCCAGCTACCCATGACCTGTCCCATACACATAAACACATACTTCTCAAAATGTACCAAATATGAAGAAATAAGATAAAAGGTATTCACTCTATTATATAACATTCCGACTGAATAAGAATTAAGTAAGAAATCATTGATAGCTCTGAGGATCAACAGCCAACGAATCGTCATGCTTTATATCTTCTTTGCTCCCCCCTCCTCCTTCCCCCCCTGTACTCTCTGCACTACTGCTTGCCTCCTCCTCGCGATCGAGCAGCAGAAATCGTAAAATGTCACCCAGCGAGACAACGCCTTTTAGACGACCTTTCGAGTCTACGATTATAAGCCTGTGCAGCCGCGCGCGGCGGATCGTGTCCATTATCGCGTCCATCCGGTCGAGCTCGGTGCATGTGTACACCCCCTCGAAATCCTGTAAACCTATCAGCATCAACACTCATAACAACTCTCTGCACCAAAGGAAAGTAAGACATACACTTGGTCGGCGCAACAACGCCTCGCCTACGGTAAGCGAAAGATCGGTATATATACCGCCCTTGATGAGCGTCAGGATATCGACAGACTCGTAGACGTTATACAGCACGCCCTCGTTGTCGACGATCGGGATACTCGACACGTCCCTTGACGCGAGCAGGTGGATAACTTCGATTACCGGCGTGTCCATCGTTGCCGTCGCGAGGTTGTCGTATTTGCCAATGTGGAGATCTTTGAGAGGCTTTCGCAGCGCCCGCGTTTCTTTGCACTATAGACGATGTTTGTCAATATACGCTCAGCAACTCAACGACTGGACAAAAAACATACATTCTGGGCCACAAATTTGAGAATCCGGTACTGCGTCAACACGCTGACGACGATCTCTCGTTTGTTCTCCTCCTCGTAGTCAATCAACGGGATCCTCCTTCCTTTACTCGCAATCATCTTCAAACAAGCGTCGTATAAACTCCGAAACGGCGGTACCGACACCGTCTCGATCGGCTGTGTGCCTATCGCTTTCTCGACGTCGCGCAGTCCGTCGAGCGTGAAATGGTCGATCTTGTCCATCTGGTCCGGGTTTTGGTAGTAGTACTGGATCACGTTGATGTAGTCTCGCGAGGTGAGCATGCCTGCAAACTTTGAGGTTTTCGAGTTCCATAGCGGAGCAGACACGATAGCTTAAGTCGAGCGTTAGCAGCAGATACACAGAGGTGGGGGAGAGCCTGACGTACAATTCTGTAGGAGGATATTTAGGGATTTGCGGACGAGAAGAGAGGTGTCGAGGACAATGAGACGAAAGCTGACCGGCAGAACGTCGTACGCGGTCTTTCCTTTGAGAAACTCACGGATAGCGCGCTAGAAGAACGAGCTTGTTAATATTGTCATGGGTTACTTGACGAGTATCGCCCCTCTCACGCGAGATGAGTGATCAGCAGATAGGTCGCAGAGGATCGACAGCAACGTGTCAACGCAACATCTAAACAGCATGCAGAAGCAGGAAACATACCAGCCCATCGCGCTGCTCGGCGTCGATAATGTCATCTGTGAGACGAAACTGTACGTCCTGGATCGGTATCCGCAGGGACTGCGCGGCCGAAGTAGAGCTCTCAGCCATCACTGTCGGTAGCAAGCACAAGCGAGTAACAGCAAGTTCTAGGGTCTAGAGCAGTACAAAAATATCAAGAAGCGCGGACGGTAATAAACAAACGTGGATCGCGAGAAGATCGCTCGGAGGTGGTGAAGTGCGGTTTTGGGTGTGGAGAACAGAAACCGCAGCAGACCAAAAGCAGAGCAAATGTCAGCGAAGCGGTGTTTGTACCAGTATCTCCACCTGCTCTTCGCGATAGTCGGTGGATTACTCAGAGATAAATTACACGCCGTCAATGATCAGCATGAAAGGCCACTCGCTCGCTGCTCGACAGGCGCGCGCGGTTCTGGCGAAAGCAGCGCGGCAGAGATGCGTCGCCAGTCTGTCTCTGCGCGAATGCTGCCGTGCGTCGAGCACCCGTCCGGCTCTGCTCGTCCCCCACCACCGCCGCTACTCCACATTCTCTCCTCCCGCGACCACTGCTCCGCAGCACGAGATAGCAGACGCAGCCGAGACTACTCCGCCAGAAGGCGTCTGGACATCGGCAGTCCCCCTCGCAGGTTTTGTCGACCTCTCCCCGCGGCGATCGCTGATTGAAGTTTCTGGAAAGGATGCGTTCCGGTTTCTACACGGCCTGCTTACAAATGAGCCGCCGCTGGGGAATGACGGTGTATATGCTGCATTTCTCAATGTTCGGGTGTGTTATTCTCTGTTATTCTGGGCTGTGTTTGCAGAAGATCTAACTGTGCTGACAGGGCCGCGTGATGTACGATGCGTTCATATACCCCACCTCCCACAACAAAAAATGGACGACCATGAACCCCCCCTCGGACGAGCCAGACGCACAGACATACCTTGTCGAGCACGACTCCACAGTAACAACCCAACTACTTACATACCTCAAGTTCCGCAAGCTGCGCGACAAGGTCACCTTACGCACCGTCGAGGACTGGAAAGTCTGGTACGCGTGGGAGGATTTCCCCGAGAACCTGATGATGCGCCGGATGGCTGGTGCACCGACCGAGTACGACCTGAACCCGTACATGCGCAAGCCGCCGGCGTTTATTGGCGCGGACGACACGCGCGCGCCGGGGTTTGGCGTGCGGATCGTGCTGTCTACGGAGGCGCCGGATCCGCTGTGGCCGCTACGGGTGTACGAAGAAGGCCGCGTCGAGAGATTCGTCGAGGCCGATCTCGAGACTTATGATCTTCGACGGATTCAGTACGGCATTCCAGAAGGCACAGAGGACCTTTCACCGGGAAACATTCTCCCGATGGAGAGCTGTATCGATATGATGGGCGGCATCAATTTCAAAAAGGGCTGCTACGTAGGCCAGGAGCTGACGACGAGAACAAAGCACATCGGCGTGGTTCCCCGCCGCGTGGTGCCCTACGCGCTCTATGATCTCTCGCAGTCTGCTCCGGAATCTCCAGAATACAACCCCGACCTCGCGCTTCCCGCCCCCGCCCAGCTCGGGTACAAATCGCCAATCATACCCGCAGCCGACCAGCCAAAGCTGAATGCAAAAGGCGAGATCGCGCGGCCGCTGGGCTCGCTGATTTCACGGCACGGCAACGTCGGTCTTGCGACCGTGCGCATGGCTGCTATTGAACAGTCGCAGAGCGGCAGCGAGGCATGTTTTAGAGTCTTGCCGAGAAAGGTAGATGGAGAAGGCTTTGATCTTGAGAGCGCGGGACAGCCGAACAGGGGGATCGGGATCAAGCTGTTTAGACCGTACTGGTGGGAGAAGGATGCCGGGACTCCGAGCGAGTCTGCTACAGTAGTAGAGTAGAATAGAGTAGATAGGCAATGTTAATAGTATTCTGACAATAAGCTGTTTGTAAGTAGGCGAGTTCTGGAGCCGAGAGAAGGCGCCACAGTTCGTGTGGCTTTGGAAAAAAGTTGTGGCGATTGCAGCAAATACAAAGCTCAAGTCTAGATTTTACTCTGATATCTCATCCTCGTTCTGCTATTTACTGAATAGCAGCAACTAGCAGCTAGTTGCTCCGAGAAAAACAAAACAAAACAAAACAAAAAAACAGAAAAAACCATGGCAGTCATAAAACTCGGCTCGCGCAAGTCGCAGCTCGCGATCGCGCAGACCGAGATTGTCATAAAGGCGCTCAAAGAGCAGTTCCCGGACCTCGAGTGCGAGATTGTGACGACGACGACGCTCGCGGATAATAACCAGGAGAAAGCGCTCTATGCGTTTGGCGGGAAACCGGTCTGGACTGCTGAGCTCGAGGAATTGCTCGCGGACGGGCGTGTCGATATGATTGTGCATTCGCTGAAAGGTTTGTGTTTTCTTCTGTTTTCAAGAATTACGCCGGGTTGTTTTCATGTGTTGTGTATCCTAATTGGTTTATGTAGATGTTCCTACTTCCCTCCCCGAGCAGTTTGTCATTGGCGGCATTCTCAACCGAGCAGGTATGTGTTTCTGTCCTCTATATGCTCTTTCCTACGCTCACCGGACATAGACCCCAGAGATGCCCTTCTCGTGAGGCCAGGACTGCCATACAAGTCTCTGGACGAACTACCCGACCACAGCGTCGTAGGCACATCATCCATCCGCAGATCTTCTCAGCTGAAGCGGAAATACCCCAATCTCGAATTCAAAGTCGTCCGCGGCAACATGTACGCTGCCCCATCTCTGCTCCTTCATCTATTCCACCCTCTAACTCTTTCTCGCACAGAAACACCCGGATGAGCAAACTAGACGACCCAGAGCAAGGCTACACCTGCATAATCCTCGCCGCCGCCGGCCTCCTCCGTCTCGACTTTGGCTACCGCATCACGCAGTACCTGGACGCGCCCGAACTGCTCTACGCCGTCGGCCAAGGCGCTATCGGCGTCGAAGTCAAGAAAGGCGACGCCGCGACGCAGGCTTTTCTCGACAAAATCATCGATCTCCCGGTCGCGCTGACGTGCACGGCCGAGCGCAGTCTCATGCGGAAACTCGAGGGCGGATGCTCGGTCCCGCTCGGCGTGCACTCGTCTGTCGCGGCCGATGGAAAACTGTCGATCGAGGCCCGCGTTGTGAGCGTCGATGGCACCGAGGCTGCGTCGGCGTCGGTTACGGATACGGTTAAGAGTTATGAGGATGCGGAGGCGTTTGGCGAGAAGCTTGCGGCTGCGATTATCGAGGAGGGCGCTGCGAAGATTTTGGAGAAGATTGCGTACGATAAGATTAAGCAGTAGATAGTTCAAAATGTTTGGATGATGTTGTTGATTTCAAAATTGGAGCAGTTAGGTTATGTGTACGAATGATTTTGAATGTTTGATATATCGTATTGCCGAATCAAGAAAAAAGTCCGTCCTCGTTCACCAGATATCCTGGAAAAGTATACAGCAGCAGTTGTTGAGAATAACTGCAGCTCACGATATACCAATGTCATACCGAAACCCAATAAAATCACACTGTATGATTAAGGTCGCCGAGATAGCATAAATAAAAACTCCGAAAAATACAATAAAATAAATGAAAAGAGGAGCTCTTGCATCCATCTTTGATGTAGAATGGTGTGACTGTACAATGCATGCTAAGAACCACCCGCCGCCCTGAAATATCCTCCTTCATATCCGATAGCCTCAATTCTGTCCGCCTTCCTACTTCTCAGCATTCGGGTTCGGGATACGAAGGAAGGGAGGGGTGGTTAAAGCCTTTCCACCCTCCTGAGCCTCGATGGCCTCTCTTCTCTTCTGAAGCAACTCCATCCGGTTACCCGCGATATCCTGGAGCACGTACCCGGCACCGGCAAACGAGCCGGCAAACAAACCGGTGGTGAGAAGAAGAACACTAGGAGCTTCGTCGAAGATTGTACGGCGGGTGAGTCCGAGGTGGAAGAACTTCGAGAGAACGCCTGTGGTCATTATCACGAATCAGTACTAACTCCTCCACGCGGCCGCGAACCAATGATGTTAAACATACCGCCAAATGCCCAAGCCCATAGAGAAACCATTGCTATTTTATCCTTGCTTGATCTTAAAAGAGAACTGTGTGTAATAAACAGCTAAACAACCACAGGAAGACTGCAACGAACTCGAGTTTGCGACTTTGCGGCGGGTTTTAGTCGCCCTTTGATTGGCAGACCAGAAGCTGAGCCGGGTAAAATTTGAGATCACGTGAATTGGAGATTTCTGTAAACTGTAAAGGTTCTTGCAGGAATCAGAAAAAAGATTGTAGCGGATTATAATACGTTTGCAAATTGCTTGCTGTTGATTGTGTGTGCTGGAATTGATAGTATAGGTCAGCAGAGAACACGTCTGGGGGATCAACCGACTACACCTACAGAATCTAGCCAGAATGCCAGATACAGGCACATCAGGCAGCACATCTGCGGCCGGCGCTGCGAAAGGCGGCAAGAAACCTGCGAAAGAAGGAGGATCGTCAGAGACACAAGACGCCAAGGCAGCGCGCAAGGCAGAGAAGGCCGCGCGCCGGGCGCAGAAACTGAATGAGCAGGGAAAAGTGAACGCGAAGCCTACGCCGGAAGCCATTGCCCAGGCGCGAGCGCAGAAGCAGCAGCAGCAACAACAACAGCAGCAGCAGCAGCAGCAGCAACAGCAGCAGGGCGGGAGTAGTGGACAAGGCAAGCATGTGCGAGCGGGCAGCTCGTCGACTGCGGCTGCTACGGCTGGTGCTGATGCTATTATGAGCATGAACGCTCGTGACGACTTGCTGGATAAGCGCGTGAGTTTGTTTAAGCATCTTGATGGTACGAGACGGTCGGGGACTGCGGACGCGTCGAAGGACATTCATCCTGCGATCTTGTCGTTGACGCTGCAAATCGCTTCGTATACCGTCATCGGATCCAGTGCGCGGTGTATGGCCACCCTGCGAGCATTCCAGGAGGTATGTTGATCTTCTCTAAAACCATATAGAATTGAAAAGCTAACAAGGACATATCAGGTCATCAAAGACTACAGAACCCCAGCAGGCACAACACTGAGTAGAAATCTGACAAACCATCTCAGCAAGCAAATCGATTTCCTAAAAACCGCGCGCCCGCTAAGTGTGACGATGGGCAACTCGATCCGCTGGCTGAAGCAAGAGATTTCAATCGTCAGCATAGACGTCTCCGACCAGCACGCGCGCGACTCCTTAATCGAAAAGATCGACACTTTTATCCGCGACAAGATCGAGGTTGCCGACCGCGTGATTGTGCAGACCGCGTCCCCGCAAATCAGCAACGGCGACGTCGTGCTCACGTTTGCCAGGTCGCAAGTGATTGAGCAGATCTTTTTAGAGGCGCATTCGCGGGGCACGCAGTTCAGCGTCGTTGTCGTCGACTCGCGGCCGTTTTACGAGGGAAAAGAGTTAGTCCGCCGGCTGTCGAACGCGGGGCTCAAGTGCGAATACGTCCTCATCTCGGGACTATCGTATGTCATGAGTGATGCCACGACGGTGTTTTTGGGCGCGCACGCGGTGATGTCGAACGGCCAGCTGTATTCTAGAGTCGGAACCGCGCTTGTGGCGATGAGCGCAAAGAGAAAGAACGTGCCGGTCATTGTCTGTTGCGAGAGTCTCAAGTTTTCAAAGGAAGTCCAGCTGGATTCCGTCACTTTCAACGAGCTCGGTATGTCAGTTCTTCTTTTCTATATACAATTCCTATATACAAAAAAACTGTCCGACTAACAGATCATTTAGGCTGTCCCGATGACCTCGTCAACATCTCGAGCGAGTCAACTCCTAAACCAGGCCCACTAAAGGACTGGCGCACGAAACCAAACCTGAAGCTTCTAAACATCCTGTTTGATCTAACGCCGCCCGAGTACATCAAAAAGATCGTCACTGAAGTCGGCAGTCTGCCGCCTAGTTCGGTGCCGGTCATCTTGAGAGAGTATGAACGGATTTGAAGTAGATTTGAGAGTGACGTGTAAAATAGTAGGATTTAGGGAAATTATTAGTTTGCTTGGATGTTTTCCGTTATGTTTAATATCAACTCTTCTACTCATCTATCTCCCACGCTACGAATAAGCACGCAATTATCGAAAAATCATAATGTAGATTTACAGAAACTGTCTTATGTACAAATATATCAATTGGAACGCCTCCCGTTCAGTGTCTTTTTTCGTTTTCTTTCGTTGGTTAGGGGTGATATTTAGACCAGGTTCGCCGACTTGTACTCTTGCGTTAGGTCTGGGAGTCTGTTGATGAAATGCGTTAGTCTCTGCTGTAATCTAGAAAATCCAGTCACTTTGGACGAAACCACCACTCATAGCGGTGCTTCCAAAAAAACTAGAGACAAGAAAAGGCACTCACATCTTCGCCCGATTAACAACCATGATGCGCACCATACGCGGGTCACTTTTCAGCAGCGTGTAGATATCGTTCTGGACCTTTGGACTGGCGTCAAACATCATGTGGAAATGGTGACCCGCGAAATGCAACTGCTGGTGCTTGCCCATGACTTTGGGAAGGTACTGGCGGCCGAGGAATTTTGTGTTGCGGATGATGCCGCCGGAGGAGAGGACCATGAGACCTGCGGTTCGGACGATGCTGTTGGTGTGTTAGAGGTTAGTTCTGATTGTTTGGAAGCATTGAGAGTAGTGGTTATAGAGCAGAATTGTAGAATGCCGGGATACTTACTCTCGCACCTCGCTCATCGCAGCCACACGACTAATCCCTACTAATTCATACAGCATTTCTTCCTTCTTTTTCTATATTCTGCTTGAATTCCTCAGAACGAACCAGAGCAGCCGTCTTGTCGTGCGTCGAATATAGTCAAAGTACAAGGAAATGCGCGATGCTGTAAAACTCCCGAAGGCAAAGTCGAGGAAAGGAAAACTTTATTTTTTCCTTCTCTGCTACGCTCGCTGCTGGAGCTCATCACGAACATCCACAGCATCGACCGGTTCTGTTCTTTTGGTCTATCGCATTCAACTCAACACATAAGAAAGAGGCATACTGTATTCACAAGACAACATGAGTTTTGACGCAAAAGCTGATGGTACGTGGCACCCAGATCAAGCCAAAGATAGCCGTCGACTGCTCAAACTGCTCATCGTGTATACCACGACTTACGAACGATTGCTAACGAGATGTATGAATAGCTGAGCTGGAGTTTGATACTACCAAAGATGTTGAAGTGTGAGTGTGTTTGTTTTTGCTTGTTGAGTGGAGGTGTATGAAACTAACGTGCTTGTCTGCAGGATTCCTACTTGTAAGTCCTAGTCCTGATAGATATCAAGTCGACGATTTCTTTACTAATACGATTATTCAACCAAAAAGTCGAGCGCATGGGTCTGAAAGGTACGTGTACCGAACACCGCCTTCCTTTTATTTCTAAAGGCAAGAAAATACTAACAACACACCACAGAGGATCTACTTCGCGGAATCTACGCATACGGATACGAAACGCCCAGTGCAGTCCAAAGTCGCGCCATTGTTCAGATTTTGAAAGGAAGAGGTGAGTTTCTGTTTGCTCGGTTATATTTTTGTGGTGATGGGGGTGCAGGGTGGGCTAACAGGGAACAATAGATACTATCGCGCAGGCACAGTCTGGAACCGGTAAAACTGCCACATTCTCGATCGCCATGCTACAAACTATAGACACAAAGGTGCGCGAGACGCAAGGTACGTTCACACTCCAGTTCTGACTTTCCATTGACATCTCTTTTCATTGAGATCCGTTGCTTACTGACTCTACCCAACAGCCCTCATTCTCTCACCGACACGAGAACTCGCGACGCAGATCCAAAACGTCGTGCTCGCGCTCGGAAACTACATGAACGTGCAATGCCACGCCTGCATCGGCGGAAAATCCATCAGCGAAGATATCCGCAAACTCGACTACGGCCAGCACGCCGTCTCCGGCACACCAGGCCGCGTGGCGGATATGATCCGTCGTCGGAATCTGCGGACGCGGCATATCAAGATGCTGATTCTCGACGAGGCGGACGAGTTGCTTAATCGTGGATTCAAAGATCAGATTTACGACATCTATCGATACCTGCCGCCGTCGACGCAGGTCGTCGTCGTCTCGGCGACTTTACCCTACGACGTTCTCGAGATGACAAACAAATTCACGTCCGACCCCGTGCGCATCCTCGTCAAGCGCGACGAACTCACGCTCGAAGGTCTCAAGCAATACTTCATCGCCGTCGAAAAGGAAGAGTGGAAATTCGACACCCTCTGCGACTTATACGAGACCCTGACCATCACGCAAGCCGTCATCTTCTGCAACACCCGCAACAAGGTCGACTGGCTCGCCGACAAGATGCGCGAAGCAAACTTCACCGTGGCCTCCATGCACGGCGACATGCCGCAGTCCGACCGCGACGCGGTCATGCAGGAGTTCCGGCAGGGCAACTCGCGCGTCTTGATCTCCACCGACGTCTGGGCGCGCGGCATCGACGTGCAGCAGGTCTCGCTCGTGATCAACTACGACCTGCCGTTTAACCGCGAAAACTACATCCATCGGATCGGTCGATCGGGCCGGTTCGGTAGAAAGGGCGTCGCGATCAATTTTGTGACAAACGAGGACGTCACGATCTTGAGAGATATCGAGCAGTACTATAGTACCCAGATCGATGAAATGCCAATGAACGTCAGCGAGATGGTCTAGGGGGGTGTGGTATGATAGTCGTCGTTTGTAATAGTAGCGTTTCCTGTAATAAAAGAGGTTTTACAATAGCAGTTTTTGTAGTGTAGTTGGTAGATATATAATATTATAGCGGACTTTAAATATGATTCACAAAAAAAAAGAAAAGATAAACAACAATCAAACGAAGAATAAAGAAAAAACCTGAGACCGCCACCTCACAGATTTCATAAACGCAAATCGAAACGAGTTGAAGTAAAAAACAAATCGCACTCTCGAGCCAACAAGAGGTAAAAAAGGAGTGAATGAGTGAGTGAACGTGAATGAATACTTGATAACTAAGGAGTCTTCTCAAGCATACAAATCGCAGAAAGAGTGGATGAGGTTTAAGCGTCATCTGCGCAAGACAAAGACGATGAACGATCAATCAAAAGACACCAGAACTCAGCCTGTGATTTATCATCACTACCGTCTTTTCTTTCGTAAAAGAGCGAATCGATCAAACAAGGGAGAAACATAAACAAGAATTAAAAAGGCAAGATGAATGAGAAAAAAAAAACTGTACACCGCTCCACACATACCCGCGTAAAGTAAACAGCAAAAAACGTAAACAAATCAGGAATATCAATAGATATATGTGAATAGAAGGAGAAAAAGATCAAATAGCCCACAGATTAAATATCTGAAATACGGTAGTAATATAACATCTCAACTTGAACAAACAAGACTATTCCCTTCCCGCTACACCTCACAACAAGACAGAAAGAAAAATCACCTGTTTTCATCAATGAGCTTCAACACTCGGACCGCAAGCGCAATGATCTCGCTCTCGGCCTCGGCATCCTCCATTTCAATCAAGTCGCCATTCTCAGGCTGCTCGGTCGACACCTCTCGGACCGAAAGAGCCTGGACGGCGACAACGATGTCTGAGGTGCTTTGGATCAATGATATCAGGGTCTTATCGCCGCCTTCCATGAACTGCAGCAAGGTCCACGCAGCAATGTGCTCGAAGATCAGGTCGTTGCTGGTCAAGAATCGCTTGAGGTACCCGGAAATTCCACCTTCGGGTGCTTCCCAGGCCTTGACGAAGCCACCGTAGTTGCCGACCTTGGACGACAGATTACCGATCGCGGCGCCGCTGTTTCCCTGGACTTCAGGGTTTGGCGAGTTTGTGAGGGGGATAAGGATGTTGATGATGTTGATCGAAAGCAGGTAGCTCTTGAGCTCGTCCGACAAGGCCAGAACGGCGATGCACGCAGTCATCTCGCTCTGCACGCTGCTCGGCGCCGTCAGCACTAGACTGATGCACTTGTCGACCGCGCCAGCTTCGACAATCGCCTTCTTATTGCGCTCCGAGCTAGCAGCCAGGTTACGCAAGGTCGAGATCGCGTGACATTGTATTTCTTCCTCGGTCGCGCTCGTCATGACTGGCGTCGTCGCGTTCGCGTTCGTCGAGTCGTGCTTCTTCAAAAGCGCAACAAGCGGCTTGAGGAAACCGGCCTCGATTATCGGCGCCTCGTTGTCGGCATGGATCGAAATATTGCGGATGCAGGCAACAGATGAAAGAATCAGCTGCGGCACATCCGACTGTAAGAGACGCAGTAAAGGCAGCAGTCCGCCGGCCTGGACGATCTCCAGCTGGCATTTTTCGTCGGAAGCCATATTTCGCAGTGCGAGAGCCGCCTGGCACTGGACTTTGACTTTACTGGTATTCATCAGCTGTACCAGACACGAGATGAGTTTCGGTTCGGTCTCGGCGAGGATCTTTCGGTTCATGGCATCGACAGCGATGTTGCTGAGTGCGGTGGTGCAGTAATACTGCACGTCGGCGTCCTCAGACTGTAACAGCGCGACGAGGACCGGGATAGCGCCCGCGTTGACGAGCTCCTGTCTGTTTTCGTCGGAATGGGTCATGTTGAGAAGTGCGCCGGTCGCGTTACGCTGCACGCGCTCGTCTTTGGACTTTGCGAGCTTGGTCAATGGAACGAGCGCACCGGAACGAGCAATCTTGACCTTGTTGTCGTCGTGCGTTGCCAGGTTGGTGATGCAGCCGACGGCGTTGCACTGCACTTCGACGTTGGGCGACTGCATCTGCTTTATCAGCGGCTCCAGGCCACCCATCTCGACGATGAGGATCTTGTTGTCGTTGTTCACAGCCAGGTTGCCGAGGGCTGCGCTTGCTGCCCGCTGGACTTCAAAGTCGGGGCTCTGTAGGAGAAGGAGGATAGGCGAGAGGGTCTCTTCGTTGACGGCTTGCACATCTGGGGGATGTTAGAATTCGTGGAGCGAGAGGGTAGAATCGAGAAGGTAAAAGAAGAGTGCCTACCTTTTTCTGTAATTTCGGCAAATGCAAGAGCCGCGCTCCGCTGTAAGTCAACGTTGGAGGAGTATACAAGAGTGGTTAACGCTCGGAGCGGTCCCGAGCTGAAAAAGTCCTCTTCGCCTCGCTAGAGTGGAATAGGATAGGTTAGTATTTACAAACGGCAACAGCAGCAGCAGCAGAGACCCCGCTCAAAACAAAAAGCGAGAGCATAAACAAGGCAAAGGCAGATTACAGCACTCACGTTTTCGAGGTATCGAAGCAAGACAGAGACGGCCTCGCGCTCGCTCTCGGCGAGCAGAGGCGCATAGAGCCGGTCTTGGGAATTATCTGGAGTAGCGATGAGTTAGTTGGGGATGTTCGAGAAATATACAACAGGCAGAGGACGGCAATGCGTGTCTGCGCAACACAGGAGCGCGGTGGATGAATGGAAGAAGACATACCCCCACAGCAGCTACTGCAGCAACAACCCATGGAGAAGAGGCGTGCTTGTGAGCCGAAGGCGCGGAATCAAAGAGAGGTGGGGAAGGCCGAGGGAGCGACGGCGAGGCGAGGTGAGGAGGCGAGGTGAGGAGGTTGGGTAAGCGGGCTTTGCGGGATGCTGTGGATGCACAAAGAGAAGACAAGACAGGACGCAGAGCAGCAGCAGCAGACGGTTCAAGTTCGTCGACGCAGCGCAGCGCAGAAGAGGCGGTTCTGGTTGAATCTGCGGAAGTGGTCTACAGTCTCTGCGGGCCAGCAGCGATGTGGTCTGAAGGCAGTGATTATGTCGACGCGATAACGAACTTTACTGGATCGACAGGCCCGAAACGGAAACCCTCGCCCTTTGTTTATGTAATACATTTGTCATATCCCCAAATGGAAGTTTCCATTGTTGACCAGCTATTGCAATACAATACAGCACTTCTCCTACTCCAGCTTCACCGGCACCGACCACTCGCTGCCAAACACGATGCCGTCCCGGAACCCCTCGCTCGCCCGCATCTCCGACAGCGTCTTCTTGAAGCACCGGCTCGGCAGCCCGATGTCCGCAACCGACACGTCGAGGTCGCTCTGCAGCACCTCCTCCACGTACTGCATATAGTGCGGGATGCCGTCGCTCGGCATTCCCAGACACAGCAGCCACTTTGCGCGGCCCATGTTGTTCACCAGCACCGCTCCGGTCTCGGTATCTACGCCTGCCGGCATATCCACCGCCATCACCGGCGCGCGCTGCGTCGCCGCAAACTGCGCGGCCTCGTACATCCACCCCGGAACTCCGCTCCCCACGCCGTCCTGCAGCTTGATCCCGGTAAGCGCGTCAATCACTAGCTCTGGTGGTGCGTCGAGCACTCGCAACGTAGCCTGTAAAACGTCCAGCCGCGACGTCGTCTTGCCTCCTGCGGCCTTGAACGCCCGCAGTTGGCTCTCGATGCATTCCTTCGGTGCCGCAAGTTCTGCCGAATCGTCCGTAAACAGCACCACCACCCGCACTCGTCTGTTCACCAGCATGCGCGCTCCAGCAATAGTCCGTGCTCCAGTCTCGTGGTTCCCGGCAAGAACAACAACGACCGGCAGCGCATTGACCTGAATGCGACGGCGCTCAAAGCGGCGCTTGCCGCCTAGAATACTAATCGCAAGCTTCGCAACCGCAGCACCCGCGTTTTCGGTCAGCTGCTCGGGAGTAAGCGAGTACAACGTAGTCGCCGCCTGCTCGACCGCGAGAATCTGCTCGGTCGTAAACGTAGGACAGCCAAACGCCATTCGCTCACCAGTGTCGTAAACAAGTCGGCGAGGGGGACGCAAGGCCGGCGGCGTAGCATTCCTGCTCGAAGATCGGGACATAGCGCGAGCCTGTGAGATTCTGCGCTGCTGCTGTCTGATCTCTTTATCAATATCGCTTGCCTCGTCCACCGCCTGAACCACCACCTGCGAGGTTTCCTCGTCTTCGGAATCAGAAAGACTTTGCCATGCAGCCACCGTTGATCCCAACACATTCTCTGTCGGCAAGAAATCCTTCTTTGGAGGTTTCTTGAGCAACGCTCGTATGTGTTCTTGTTGCACATCATGCGCCGACACTGTATTCATGCCATCTTTGCGATTAAGCGACACCAAACGCGCGGTCGGATCGGTGGTGTCTGCCAGTCTAATTTCATCAAAAACAGTCTTCTTGTTGAACTTTTCGAGGTTGCTCTGGAAATCAAACTCGGTGTCTTTGAATTCTGCAGTATCCTCATCCACCCAGCTGTCATCCTGATAGTCGCCGTTAAACCGTCTTCCGTTCTTGCGCTTATTGGCAAACGGGCGAGGGACGTGGGTAGCCGAGGGTTCTCGTCGATGCAGATCAGCCGGTCGGCCGTTCTTCTTTTTTGTTTTCTTGGGTGGCTGGGGGGACCCATCGTATATGTGAACCGCCGCCAGATCAGACGAGATCGTCGACGACTCTTCGCCTTCGGTGGTCTCGTCTTCGGTCGACGACCCAGCCGGCTGCGAATCACCGCTTTGTAAAGTCAAGATCGCCGGGTCGTTGTATTGCGGCGGCGTGAACGAGGCGCCGTTGGAATGCGCTGCAGCCGTTCGCGATTTCTTCTTTTGAGAACCGGTTGGTTCTGCAGCAGGAGGATTGATGATCTGGAGATCAGCAATTTTGCTGCCGTCGACCACGCGCGAGGGAACGTGGGATGAGGTTGATGAATCGAGCACTGGGGTTGCGTGTTAGTTGAATGTGGAGATAGAGAACTCGAGCAGATTGAGCAGGTACCATTGATCAGACGCAATTTTGTGCCGTTGATGTCTGCGACCTCGCCGGTGAATTTCGTGCCGTTCTGCAGCTGGACGCTGATCTTGAGGCCGATGTACTCTGCCATGGCTGAGTTGTGTTGTGTGGTGGTGGGTGATGGAGGAGTGGATGATCTCAGCTGAGCAATTGGCCGGGTGCGGAAATAATACAAGAAAAGAATACAATCGACAGCTGTCTATCCACTAGAGAATAAATATACAGTAATCAACTCTTGATATCCAAATGAATAAGAACAACAGCAACAACAATGCTCTAATCAGGTAAACAGAGGAAAGGCAGCCCAGCGGCGGTTTGGCTGCCGACAGATTGCGTGGGGCTCGTGCCCGCTCCCGGCCTCCTCCGCCTCGACGAACAAACGATAGCCTTTGTCCTCAGCTTGCTTTCTCTTCCTCTTCCTCCTCCTCCTCCTCGCCACTCTCGTCTCTTTTTGACTCTCTCTTGCCTGCTCTTGCAACCATGAACGTGGTCGAGTGGGTTTTTGGCAAACGGACGACGCCGCAGGAGCGTCTGCGCAAGGTATCTTAGTCTATTATCTTATCACAGCGCTATAGAGCAAGGCTGTACCCAATACTCACCCACCGAGCCAGACTTCAGACCTCAGGCTAACTTTCATTTCTCTTTCTAGCACCAACGATCGCTCGAGAAAGCTCAGCGCGAGCTGGACAGAGAACGACAGAAACTCGAGCAGCAAGAGAAGAAACTGATTGCTGATATCAAGAAGTCTGCAAAGGCGAACCAGATGGGCGCATGCAAGATCCAAGCCAAGGATCTTGTGCGGACACGAAAGTGCGTTGATTTCTTGTCATGTGTTGTGCTGTTGTGGTTATGACAATGTGGTGGAGGCTTACGGTTGGTGTCGTATAGATATATCCAGAAGTTTTACCAGATGCGGACGCAGTTGCAGGCCGTCGCTCTGCGGATCCAGGTGAGTTCCTATTATATTTCCTCCCTTGTCTATATGTGCTAACGTCAATATCTAGACTGTACGGAGTAACGAGCAAATGATGCAGAGCATGAAGGGTGCAACAAGAGTACGTATACATCGATTCCACAATAATCCACACGAACCCTCACTAACGCTCACAACCAGCTCCTCGGCTCGATGAACCGCAGCATGAACCTGCCGCAACTTCAGAAGATCGCGATGGAGTTTGAGAAAGAGAACGACATCATGGACCAGCGACAGGAGATGATGGACGACGCCATAGACGATGCGATGGACGACGAAGAAGGTGCGTGCTGTGCTTTTTCACTGTCTGGCAGTTTGGAGAGAGTTTGGCTAACTTCTTTACGTATGTAGAAGAAAGCGAGGATGTCGTCAACCAAGTCCTCGATGAGATCGGAATCGACCTCTCGCAAGCTGTAAGTCAAGTCTATGATTCCGTACAGTATCCCGATTTATGAACAATGATATGACTAACCATGCTCTATTTAGCTCGGCGAGACTCCCAGTGGACTCGGAGTCAAGCAAGGAGAGGCGCAGGCCGAGTCTTTGAAGATGTTGTAAGTGAGTTGGTAGGATATGTGGAGTATGTTCTGTGTTGGTTGTAGTTATTGTCTTTTAATTGTCTTTTTGCAATGTATCTGATTCAAGCACCTCTGTAGTCGTCAGCGCCTGCTCCTCTTCAAGTAGTCAGTCTCCAGCACCTGCTCTCTCTTCGAGTAGTCAGTAATCAGTAGCATATGCAATTACATATCTGCTTAGAGACGATCTTTCTCACGTGACAGTGATCGCGTCTGTTTACGGCCAGCCCGATTAGGCAAAGCATAGTCAAGCCACATCAGCCACAGCAGCTAAAAATAAGTTTTGTGCACGCGTAGTTTACTACTTCTGGCTTTAACTGAACAAGTTATCTGCACTTACAGCCGAACAGTGGCTTGTGCACGTGTTTTTTCGCAAACAGCCCCTGGGACCAAACTGCTCCTCCTCCTCGACTCTGCTCATCTGCACTTCCTCATCAGCAAAAACCACCCAGATCCAGTCTTCTGCTCACCATGGGCTTCGGAGACCTCGACATCATCTGCGACCGCGTCCCGGTTCCCCTCTGCTCGCTCGTGGGCCCGTACTCGAGCTCGGCAGCGGGCCTCGAGGCCGCGGGAATCATGGCAAAGTGCTATTCCCGCAACGTCTCGGTCGCAAACACAATCATCTTCCAGACCGGAAATGCGTTTATCTCAATAGGCACGCTTGCGATGATGGTCATCATCATCTTTAACGTGCGCTCAAAGTACACCGCCGTCGGTACGCGTCTTGCTCCTCACTCTCCAGCTCCTGTTTCTCATGCTAACAAGAACCCGCGCAGGCCGCCGAGAGATCCTGCAGTTTTTCAACATCTACGCCCTCCTAACCATCTTCTCGCTCCTCGTCGACACCGGCGTCGTGCCTCCCGCATCAAAGCCATACCCCTACTTCGTCGCCGTCCAATCCGGCCTAGTATCGGCCGCATGCTGGTGTCTAATGCTCAACGGCTTCGTCGGCTTCCAACTCTACGAAGACGGCACCAACCGCTCGATCTGGACCCTCAGACTCATAACCGTCGGCTCGTTCGCGCTTACCTTTGTCATCTCGATCTTCACCTTCAAGAGCTGGGGCTCGCTTTCGCCCAAAGACACCACCGCGCTCTTCGTCGTGCTCTACATCCTCAACCTCGTCGCCGTCGTCATCTACGCCATCTCACAAATCATCCTCGTCCTCTTCACCCTGCAGGACCTCTGGCCGCTCGGCGACATCGCTCTCGGCATCTTCTTCTTCGTTGCCGGCCAGGTCCTGCTCAACGTCTTCTCCAGCACGCTCTGCGAACACATGAAGCACTACGTCGACGGCCTCATGTTTGCCACTTTCTGCAATATCCTCACCGTCATGATGATTTACAAGTACTGGGACTCCATCACGCGCGAGGACCTCGAATTCAGCGTCGGCGCAAACGTCGTCGTCCCCGTCCAGCGCGCCGTGCCTTGGGACGGAAAGGAGTACTACGACGAAGACCAGAGCAACATCTACCAAAACGAGGGATCCGGGTATACCGGCTCTTTCTACGCCCTCAGAGATACCGGTAGCGCCTACCAGCTCGCCAGAGACGAGTAGTCCGTCAGTGCACGAGAGAAGGTATTTACAGACCAGATGAACATCACCTTTGGGAACTTTGGAGTTTGCTTTTTTCTTTTTTTTATCAGTTTTTTAGTCTGTATTTGCATACGAGTTTTGATGTGTTTTGTGTTTCTGTAGTCATGCTGTGTAATACACGTATTTGTTCGTCATGTGTTCATGTAATTCCTCTACTTCTACTTATCCATACGTATATGTAAATGCCAATGCAGTAAATTATCTCAATAAACAAAATCTTCAAAACAAATAAACCAAAACTAATAATACAAAACAAGAAATCCCCCTTACACACCCACACACACTTTATAAAATAATCACCGACCCCTCGAACGAGGTTTTATTTCTTTCTTTTCTCGTCGTAGCTCTGGTACTTCGAGCTTGTTCGTTTATGAATAAGAAAAGATAAATGGAAAGCACTGGAAATAAGAAACAGATAATGGAAAGCACATGGGACGCAATAACATGGAAGGATATACTAAAATGAAAGGAAAGGAAGGGAAATAGTTCGTCACGTCTCGTCAAGGAATTAAACCAAGGAAAATAGAACAATCGAAAGAAAAAGGAAACATCGCTAACTCAAGAACCAAAAAAATAAACCAAAACTAAAAAAACAAATTCCAACACACAAAAAAGTTCAAGATTAAGAAGAAGATAGATCAGACCATATTAGGCGTAGGCGTACCAGGCTGCATCTGCATCGCCGGACTCGCCACGGGCGAAGAATTGCGCTCCCACCACTGCGCGAGCAGATCGTCGAGCTTGCCGCTCGCGAGATCGAGGTCCTGCATCGAGCGCTGGTAGGATGGGAGGAGCGAGTGGTGGATGAAGCGGCGGGTGGGGATGTATTGCGGGGGTGGCATCGCGCTGGTGGTGGGGTTGTTGTCGAGAGTGGAGAGGCGTTTGCGGTCGGAGGAGGACGAGGCGGAGCCGGAGCGGGATTTGGGAATCGGGCGCGAGGCAGGTACTTGGGGTTTCGAAGGCGACACCGCAGCAGATGATGAAGAGGAAGAAGACTGCGGTTGATCGACTGGGACGAAGCCGAGACCGATGACGGACGCTGATTGATCTTCCGGTAAACTGCGCAGCTTCTCAAGAGCCGCTGGCTCGCGTTGCAGAGATTCCTGCTGCTGCTGTTCGTTTTGCTGCCGAGCAGCGTACGTCTGCAGCAGCAAAAGACCTCGTCCGGTATGTGCCTCGTCGAAGTCACTCGCGACGCTACTTCTCGCGTTACCACCCATCCCCACCGACGACCGCGCCGACGACCGCGGCAACCCGCCGCTCGAAGCCAGATCCGCAGTCGCGACAGTCACGGACGAGTTTGACCGCGAGTCCTCGTATCCCGCCAGCAAGTTTGTCGCAGAGTAGTACGTGTCGTCCTGCGTGGTGGTGGTGGTCGTCGTCGCGTCTGTCAGATCGCTCGCGATCTTTCGCAGCGATGGCGACGCAGGCGGGGAGGATCTCGGCTGCTGCTGCTGGGGATGATACTGCTCGGTCTGTTTGACGCGCGGGGTCGTCATATCCTCGTTCTCGACCTCGTCGATCGTAGCCGTAGCGCCAAGTCCATGCCCGCCAAAATCGTCAAACGAGGACGCGTCGCTCTCGCCAACCTGCCGATACACAGTCGTCGCAACACTAGGCTCCTGCGCCCCGCCAAAGCCGCTGCTGACAATCGACTCCCGATCGTCATGCACCATCTCGTACTCGCCAAACGGCTGCATGATCGTCGTCGAGGTATCGCTGCACATCGAGTCATGCGTCGTCGTCCGCGAGCGGCGCGTAAACATCGACTCGAACGGCGACGACGCGACCGCCGCGCCTTCGCTGGCTGACTGGCCCATCGGGTGTGAGGTCACCACGCGCAGACTGCTCGATTTCCCGGGCTTGATCACCGTCACTGACGGGGGTGGCATCAGTTTGGTGTCGGCGGGAAGGGGAGGCGTCGATGTCGCTGGCGGCGCGTCGGTCACCGGCGACACGTCCTCGTATGAAGAGAAGCCGCTCTGGCTGCTAGCGACAGATGGCGCGGCATCAGTGGTAGCAGAAACAACAGAGGCAGAGACAGCGGCGGCGGTAGCAGAGCTGTCTGAAGAGGACGAGCTGGTTCCGATAAAGCTGCTTCTGCTTCCGGATTTCCGCTTGAATATGTTACTCAGAACTTTCCCGGTCGACAGATGGTGCGACGACGAGCTACTGCCAGAGCCCACCGAGGTAGGCGACGACGAAGGGTGCAGAGGGCTGTTGAGATTGTTGCTGTTGCTGCTGTTGTTGCTAAACGACCGGTGTCGGATCGAGAGTTTTTCAAGCGACGACTTGGTTTTCAACAGAGCGTTGGGGTCTTTCTTGCGCAGTTTGTTGTGGCTTAGACGGCGCACCGGGACGTCAGGCTGCGCCTGCTCTTGCGCCTCTGCGAGCTGCGTTTTTTCTTCCTGCACGCGGGGATTGAAGACGTGGATCGATGGGACCGCAGAGGTAACAGATGCCGAGTCGGTCATGACGTCGTCAATAGGAGTCACTGCCGGCGACAGAGACAACGAGGAGCTTGCTGCGTCTCCTGCTACTTCTTCGTCCACATGGTCATCTACTAGTTCAGACGCGGGTGAGAGTGAGAGCGAGGGAGACTGTGAGGCTGCGCGAGCGAGCTCGACGTCGGCGGCAGGAGTTACCGCCTCTGTAGAGTCGACAGCAACTGCGCTTGTCACGGGCTCTACTTCTGTAAACGGAGCTTGCGCGTCATCCAGCTCCATTGACTCTCGGAGCGTGGTTTCGCCCTCATACATCATCGGCTCCTCGTTATCGACAGGCACGGGGGTAAACTCGACAATCTCGCTCACGTCCTCGCTGCTGTTGTTGACGTCCTCCATGGCGTCAACCATATCAAGAGACTGTTCTTCGGTCTCGTCATCAACCATCTCGTCCTCGTCGATCTTTTCTTCGTTCTCGCCCTCGCTGTCGCTCGAATCACTACCTTCCTCGTCGCCCATCTCGCCGTCATCCGAGTAGTAGACAAAGTATCCCTCAGGCGGGTCATAGAACGTGGGGTCGGTGAAACTGACAGATTTGGGAGTGCTGTTTTTCGCGTTTTCGGCAACGAGGAGCGCGGCAGCAGCGGCGGCGGCAGAGGTCTGGCGCTTGGATCGGAATCGTTTGAGGGGGTTGCGCGAGGTGGAGCCTGTGGATTTGTCGGACGCGGAGCGGGTTGGAGCTGCGGGTTCGATGACGAGGGGCTGGAGCGAGTTAGCAAAAAGTCAGGAAGAAGAGCAGGAATATAAGAAAAAGAGCAAGGAGATAGATACCTCGGTATTGCGGTGCTTGTTGAGGCGAGCGAGACGCTCGGTGGGGGTCTCGATGTGCTCTGCGGGGAGATATCCAACCGAAGAATCCTTCATCATGCGGACTAGCCACCAGTACTCGTTTGTGTCGTCGAGCATGATCATGGCGTCGCCTTTGAGCGCGTCGGCGTGGCCTTTTTGGGTTGCGCGGAAGGTGTGCAGGGCGTAGACTAGGTCGTAGTTGATGTCGGCTGCGGGGGTTAGTGGGGTGGAGATAGAGAGAGATGAGAGAGATTGAGGAGAAGAGAACGTACACTCGTCGTAGATTGATGGGGAGGAAGAGAGATAAGGGTCATCCATCATGTCGTCTTCGTCGGAGGAGTCGTCGACGTGTTCAGCTGCAGTGTGTTGAGCAGCATTGTTATCGTCGTCGTCCGAGGTCGACGAGGAGTCTTCGTAAGCGCGCGCGGTGGCGGCAGCAATTACAGAGTCGATCTGTGTCTTTGCGTCGGCCATGACGGAGGAGGCAGAGGACACGGACTTGTCAGAGGAGGCAGAGGGCGCGACGGTGGAGGAGGCGACGGTGGGGCTCGAGGAGGCGGAGGAGATGTCGTCCTGGTCGTCGTCGTAGCGGACGGGGTGGTCGGTTATGTCAGAGGGCGAGGAGTGGGAGGACTGTTTGTCTGCGCGAATGAGGCCCTGGAGGGAGGAAGCGGACTCTAAGGGGGGGTTAGTAGGGAGGAGGGGGGGGAGAGGAGGAGAGGAGCGCGTACCGGCGTAGAGCGCGCACGCGTAGGGCGGCATTCAGGGGGATGGTCTCTAGAAGTAATAGAGAGAGTAGAAGAGAGTATCAAACAGATATACAGAATACAGAGAAGAAGAAGAAGAAGAGAAGAAGCGCGAAGGAGACAAAAGCGAGGAAGAATGCTGAGACGCGTCGCAGAAGTGGCTTCGGTGCCTGCAGCAGAACAGACACAATCTGAAAACTCTATTTTGTTTATGTTTGGGGGTTGTTCTATTCAGTAGCAGTTGTATTAGTTATTGAATACTGTTATAGTAATTGCTATTCTTTGTTCTTTTTATCTTCTTGTTGTTGTATTCTTTTCACTCTATGTTGTGTTGTGTTGTTGCTGTGCTGGCTGTGAAGACTGAACAACCACCTTCAACGCGTCCTCCTCTTCACCTCCTCCTCCTCACCTCTTCACCACTTTCTATTCTCAACTGGTCCCTTTCTCTGTTCTATGTCTGTTCTGTTCTGTTCTGTTCTCTCTTCTCTTCTTTCTCTGTTCTCTTCTTCCTCTCTCCGCTCTACTCCTCGGCTCAGCACACCTTACCTCCAAGCTCATCACGTGTCTCCAACAAAGACCAGAGCCTGGCCAGACTCCCAACCTTCTTCCTCATCTCCACACCCTCACCACCTCTCCTCCTCTCTCTCTCCTCACCTCCCCTCCCCAATGTACTCCTCCAATGAGCGGTGCCTACTCCTACCCTTCTCTATCTGCCGCCTCCAGATCAGGCCTCCATCTGCAAACAGGCGACCTTGACCCCCCGCCCGTCTCCCAACCAGCCTCGACCTCGACCTCCTCCCCCTCCACCTCCCGATCCAAATCCTACGGCCTGCTCCACCCCTTTGCCTCCGACAGACGCGTGCTCTCCGACTCCGCCGCCGCCGACTGCTCCATCTCCATCGCCGACAACAACAGCTCCTGCAGCAGCACCAGCACCACCGCAAACTCCCTCGACAACTCCCTCAAGAAGCCCTCCCGCCAGTTCTCATGGCGCAACCCAAAGCCCCGCACAAACAGCCTCCGACGCTCGCTCTCCATCCGCGACTCCAGCGACCCGACCTCCCCCGCCTCGCGCTTCCTCTCCATGTTCAACTCCGCCGCAAACTCCGCGCCCGAACCCGATGACGAAGGCCAAGAGGTCTCAGAATATGTCATCGGCAAGACCATAGGCTACGGCGGCTTCTCCACCGTCAAAGAAGCGCACACCCTCGAGCACGGCCGCGACGTAACCCGCGCCGTCAAAATCGTCCGCAAGTCCTCGGGCGAGCAGGCCCTCGCCGATCTCGACCACGAGCTCACCGTCTGGAAATGCATCCCTGCGCACCCGCACATCCTCCGTCTGATCTCGGTTCACGAATCCTCGTTCGCGACCTTCTGTTTCATGGAGTACGCAAATCTTGGCTCCGTCTTTGATGCCGCCATCAAAAGACGCCGTCATAGAACCTCGTCATCCCTCGCAGGCTCGATCGAGTCAATCTCTGACTCTACCGCTTCTTTGCTGTCTGAATCGCCTGTCGCAGTCTCTGTCAAAAAGAGATGGGTCTATGAGCTCTGCTGTGCTCTCAGACTTCTCCACCAGGACCTGCGTATCGTTCACCGCGATGTCAAGCCTGAAAACTGCGTCTTGCACGTCGACTCCCCCTCCTCCTCTCCGCCCTCCGATATCTCCCGTGCTTCCTTGCGACTCTGCGATTTTGGTATGGCGCAGTTTTACAAAGAAGACAGAAGCGCTCAGCAACAACAACCACAGCCACAGCCTGAGATCTCGGTTGATCCACAGTCCTCAGACTCGCTTCTCTCCTCCCCCGTAATCGTCCCCGAAGACGGCCTCTCCGACGCCGACGACACGAGCAACAACCTCTCCTCATCCGTCCTCTCCCTCTCACAATCCACCGCCAGTCTCTCGCAATCAATGACCGAACTCGACATCACCGGCTCGGTTCCCTACCTCCCGCCCGAACTCCTCGTCCCGCGCGGCCTCTCCGCGCTCGACGCAGACTTTTCTTCTTCTCCCGACCCCGCTTCCTCCTCCACCGACGACGTCTCGCCCGCGCAGGATATCTGGGCATTAGGAGTCTTCACCTACGCGCTCTTCACGCGGCATCTTCCGTTTTCGCACTCGTTCCTGCCAAAACTGCAGTCGCTCATCATCGCCGGCGAATGGGACCGCGACCTACTCTCGAGATCCGTCGATTCTTCCTCTTCTCACGACGACAGCAGCAGTGCTCCAGAAATCGACGCGGAGGCATTGGTGGACTTTGTAGCCCGCTGCTTTGAGATGAATCCGTATGAGAGGTGGGATATCGGACAAGTCATGCAGCATAGATTGTTTGAGGGTCTCAACCGCGAGTAGCTCCGAACATCGACCTTTTTTGTTTCTGTTGTATAATAGCATTATGAGTTGTGCGTTTTGTCTGTTCGTCATTTTTGCTTTCGTTTTTGTATGTTTGGGAACTATTCTTTGGCCATCATGATTTGGAGCATTGGATATCAAAAGATTCAAAGGAATAAGGAAAAAAGGGGTGCGCAGATCCTTCTCAGCTCATGAATCAGAAGAAGAAGAAGCAGATTGAAAAGGGGGTGGCACTTCTTCCTCTCTGGTTTGGTGTTTGTTTACTTTTGTTTGTTTGTCTGTTTGGTTGTTATTGTTATGAAATTGATGCATTTGTAACGTTCTTTCTAATCACAGATCCTGTTTATCCTAATCGCATCCGCACAAACACAAGCTCTACTGCTCGACACATCTCTACATGTCTATCCAGGTTATGAGCTTTTCAGCACTTGTATATCTTATTTCATAAAGCATTCCATTCAAACAATAAAACAAACAGTTCCTAAACAGGTACACTCGCGCCAACCCGCCTTCGTGCAGCATACCTACTACTCCCACTCCCCGTCTGCCCCTCGCTCCCTGCCCCAGCACTACCACTGCTGCTACTAGCAGCACTACCACTACTCCGCAGCCGTCCTATAATCTCAGACAAATGCAACTCCGCAGCAATAACCTCCCCCGTAAACCCATCCTGCTCATCCGGCGCCTGCAATAAACTCATCCCATCCTCCTCTGTCGTCGCACCCGCCGCCGCCGCCGCCGCGGCGCTCCGCCCGTTCTCCTCATCCTCGATCGTTTGCCGCGGCCGCTCTTCCACCGGCGGCGGCGTCTCAATCACAGGTGGCGGCGACGTCGACGGTCCCAGCGCGCTAGGCGGCTGCTGCCTCCGTTGCTGTTCGGCCAGCGACGCGCGCGCGGCCGTACGTGCCGCCATCGCCGCCGCGGCCGAGAACGACGCCGGCATCGTCAGCGCAGGCGGATTCGACGTTTCTTCCTCGCGGGCTGCGATGGTTAATATCACGAGCTGGAGGACGAGGACGACGATATCTGCTGCGAGCAGCTGAGTGCGGGAGGCGGGTGCCTTTTGGCCGATGAATTGGATGGAGAGGCCGCCGTGGAGGTAGCCGGCGTTTGCTTCGCGGCTGACGGGGAGGTTGGCGAAGATGTGCACGAGGAGGCAGTATGTGTTTGAAGCGAGGATGACGACGTGGATTAGTCTTGTGCGGGCGGTGCGGGGCATTGGGAAGGGTTTTGGCGTGAGGTAGTTCTGTGGTTGTTAGCTGTGCTGTTTGTGATTGTTCAAGAGGAGAGACTTACGAGCTGGATGACGCTCCGTAGAAGTAACCTCAGCAACGAGATACTACACAAACAATTGTCAGTAGCCATCCACGCACCGTGCAAGCAAGCAACGAGATACGAACTCCATAAAGTAGATATACAGCAAATGACAGTAACTCAGTATATCAAGCGATCTAATCAAATGCCGCCCAAACTCCTGCCTGCGCTTCTCAAGCAGCTTCAGTCTTGGTCTCGACGCGGACGAAGGCGATGATGTCGACGATGTCGGTGTCGGTGGTGGCGGCATGGTTTCTGTGATTGTGGTTTGTATGCGATGTGTTGATGGGGTGAAGGTGTTGTTGTAGATAAGTGAGGATCAAGGGTCCACTACCGCATCTGATGTGTGTCTTTTTGAACTGCGCCGATGATGTCCTGACAACTGATAACTGATAGCTGCACTTTGCCTCAACAGCCTCTGATCTGCTCACTGACTCTTTGTTCACAGACTCTGTTCTCACAGCAAAGATCAACACCGTCGTCAACGGTCCTCGAACCGGCCCTCTCGCCTCTGAGCTTTAACACAAGCTTACAGCTTCAAGTTTCTCCAAAGCTCTTCTTGCAATATCCTTCCTCTTGTCTCTTTTATGCTCCTAACTTCTCTCTTCTCTTTCTCTTCTCTCTCTCTCTTCTTGTTCTCTCTGCTGCAACTGCCGCTAACCTGTCAGGTTCATCGCGGAGTGGCAGGCAGGTCGAGGGTTAGGTCCGGTTTACCCTGACTTTGTCTTCCTCTGCGCCGGTGCTCCTTTGATCCCTCGATTACTGCCTGTTTTTTGTTTCTTTGCTGTTGCCAATTAGTATTACGCTGTTGATATCAAATAGCTGCTGTCGTTGCTTGAATAGTAGCTGATATACACCTTCCCCAACTACTACTTCTTTTCAACTCGTCAACCAGCTCTACAATCAATCTCTACCAACCGCGACGCGTCAACTCACCAAACGCGTCCTCTTCCTCGCATCTCTCCACCACTCGCAAACAAAGTCGCAATGAGCAACTTCTTTTCCAAAAAAGCTTCTTCGTCAAGCAAATCTGCTTCCGAGACTCGTCCGCCTCGCGAAGTTCCCTGGGTCGAGAAATAGTACGCCTCCTGATCCACCACCACCCCCTCCCTCCTCCCCTCGCATCACGAACTAACACTCTTCACAACTACTCCAGCCGCCCCAAATCCCTCGACGACATCTCCTCCCAAGACCACGCAGTCCAAGTCCTCAAACGCACAATCCTCTCCAGCAACCTCCCGCACATGCTCTTCTACGGCCCCCCCGGCACCGGCAAAACCTCCACCATCCTCGCGCTTGCAAACCAGCTCTTCGGCCCCGACCTCGCCCGCACGCGCGTCCTCGAGCTCAACGCCTCCGACGAGCGCGGCATCTCGATCGTGCGCGAGAAAATCAAAAACTTTGCGCGCTCGACGGTGTCGAATCCCACGGCTGCGCAACGCGCCGCGTTTCCCTGTCCGCCGTATAAGCTCATCATCCTCGACGAAGCAGACAGCATGACGCAGGACGCGCAGTCCGCGCTCCGGCGCACGATGGAAACGTACTCGCGCATCACTAGATTCTGTCTGATTTGCAACTACGTCACCCGCATCATCGACCCGCTCGCGAGCCGCTGCTCGAAATTCAGGTTCAAGCCGCTCGACACGGGCGACGCGATCGTGCGGATCAAGGATATTTGCGAGAAGGAGAATGTGGTTTATGAAGAGGGGGTTGTGGAGGCGATTTTGCGTGCTGCGGACGGTGATCTTCGTAAAGCAATCACACTACTCCAATCTGCTTCAAAACTCCACGGCTCCTCTTCCTCTTCCTCCGCTCCTTTAGACGCCGACGCCGACGCCGACGCCGACTCAATGGACATCGACTCCCCCTCCACAACAGTAACAGTCCGCAGCATAGAAGAAATCGCCGGCCGCGTCCCCTCCTCCATAATCACCTCCTTAATCACCACCGCCTCCCCCACCTCCTCCTCTTCCTTCTCCGAACACTTCTCCGCCCTGCAAACCGCGGTCGAGAACGTCATCCTCGACGGCTGGAGCGCAGCGCAACTGCTCGTCCAGATCCATGACGAGCTCGTGTTTTCGGACGAGTACGATGGGACCGCGAAGAACTCGATTGTTGCTGCGATCTCGGAGACGGATAAGAGGTTGCTGGATGGCTCGGATGAGCATCTTACGATCTTGGATCTGCTCGTCAAGGTCTCTGGCATTTTGAGGAAGAGCAGTTAGATTATAATTAGATAATAAGAAGCTTGCATTATGACACAGTAATCAAAATACACATTCCAGTATATGATATAGACAATTCATCCAATCTCGGAGACGGATAAGAGGTTGCTTGATGGCTCGGATGAGCATCTTACGATCTTGGATCTGCTCGTCAAGGTCTCTGGCATTTTGAGGAAGAGCAGTAATTAGTTAATAAGAAGCTTGCATTATGACACAGTAATCAAACTACACATTCCAGTACATGATATAGACAATTCATCCAAGCAAAATCGTATTAAATATCTCCCCCGCTAATCATATATAAACTCCTGGAATCATTTCAAGCCGAATCAATCCATACACATATTATAACCAAAAAGAAAACATAGTTCAAGAAATTCTCAAAATCTGATCGTTGGCTTAGAACAAGTAGAAAAAGCCAACGACAAAGGAAACAAGCGAGAGCGCGTACGACTCGGAAACACCGAGAGCAGCGGCACCGCCGGAGCTAGCGGTCGCCGTGCTCGAGGCGGTGGTTCCCTGGATAAAGCCGGTCTGGACCGCCGAAGTCGACGACGACGCGTCGGTGGCAGTGGCAGAGGCAGAGGACGAAGACGAGGACGAGTCAGAGGTAGAAGTAGCAGTAGTCTCGGCGGAACTAGAGCTGCTGGCGGCGGAGGAAGACGAGGCCTTAGACGAAGAGGACTTGGCGGAAGAGGAAGACGCCGAAGATGACTCTGCCGATGACGACGACGACGCCGACGAAGAGTGCGACGAAGAGTGCGACGAGGAAGAAGAGTGAGAAGACGAAGAGGTCTTGGTAGAAGAGTGAGAAGACGAAGAGGTCTTGGTAGAAGAGTGAGTCGAGGAGTGCGAGGTGGACGACTGGGTAGAGGACTCTGTAGAGGACTCGACCGAGGACGAAGCACCCGCAGACATGTCGTCGCCGCTGGCCTCCTCAGAGGCAAGGATGGTGTCGTCGTCAGAGATCTCGATAGCCTCGGCGGTGCCGTTGATGTTTGTGTACTTGTACGACTTGCTGCTCGACGTCTGGTCGACAAAGGAAGGAGGGTCGTAGCAGGTCATGTTGATGGACTCGATAATGGCAAAGTCGTATCCGTAGTTTTGGATATCCTCGCTGTCCCAGTTGATCTCACCGCCGGCCCAGGCGATGGTTCCGGGAGCGTTGGTGTCAAGTCCACCGGGCCAGAGCGAGATCTGGACGCGCGAGGGAGTCTGGGGAAATTCGTACTCGCCAGAGGTCTCGTTGAGAGTATCTGCTCTGTTGAGCACGCGACCCTGCTGGCCGTCGACCGACCAGATGATGGTGTCCTCGGTCCAGTCGATTTCGTAGGTGTGGTAGTTTTCGTAGGTGTCTGAGAGCGAGATGTTGACGGAGTGGGTCCAGTCAAGGATACCTTGGAAGTAGTAGTTTGTCTGGACGGTCTCGAGATCGGCGCCGACGAATTCGTAGTCGATTTCGTCTTGGACATCAGAGAAGAGACTGGGGGTGTTAGTATAAAAGACGATGAGGAGAATGATAGAAGAAGGAGTTATAACACACATAAAGGCAGTGACGACACCGCCGCCGCGGGAAGACTTCATGGTGACCTTGACGTTGCCGTACCACATGTACTTTGTGGAAGCGAGGACGGTACCGGTTGTCTGGTTAGGCATGGTGATCCAGAGGAGGTCGCTGTCGACGGCGGGGTAGCCGGTGTAGGTGAAGCCGTAGGCGTCAGAGTCGCCGAGGTAGTCAGAGTAGAGGACGAGGGAGTCGAGGTCGGAGAAGGTCCAGGACTGGTTCTGGCAGATGGGAGCGGGAGCGCAGGAGGAGATGTCGTGGGACCAGAGGGGGTTGCAGCCGGCGACGCAGTAGGAGCCGATGCCGCACTCGCCGTATTCTGTAAAAGATTAGAGAGAGAAATGGAGATGATGAGCAGATCAGACTTACGGTTGCAGCAGGGAGTATCCTCGGGGCAGAGGTTTGTGGCATTGCATGAGATTGTATCCGCGCGAACGAGGGACGCGGACGCGGCGAGGAAGGTCGCGCTGAGCAGAGGGCCGAGAGAGTTGAGCAGCATGCTGTAGATCAATAGAGCAGAGCAGAGTAGAGAAGAAGAAGAGAAGGTGAAGAAGAGGAGGAGGTGGAGAAGAGGTGGTGAAGAAGAGGAAGATGTCAAAAAAAGCTCGGGGAAGAATGGAAGGGGTGCAGGTGTCCCAAAACGGAAACCGGTCAACACGACGCTAAATTTAGCAATTAAAATACGCCAAATGAGGGAATTCTTAATTAGTGTTTGTTTACTATATTTGCACTGTATTGTTACTATTTCTGCTCGTTATACACTATTGTTATAGTTATTCTCATTCTATTCTCTATATAATCGCGTAGAATAACATATTAACACATCAATTGATACCCAAATACACATACGCACTCAGACGCACTTCAACCCGGGTAACTTCTCACCTGTTCCTGTTCAGTTCTCTTCTCTTATACTTCTATCTTATATCTCACTTCTCATATCTTATCTTCTTATATCTCACTCTTATATCTACATCCTCACCATGACAGACAGACTCACTCAGCTCCAGGACGCAATTGACCAGCTCGCTGTGCAATTCTACTCCGCCATCCACTATCTCTCGACTCATCATGACTTTGTCCCCCTCGAAGGCGAGCCCAAGGCCACTGATGCCCACCGTATGTCTCCCTCTTCTCTCTATCCCACTTGTTCAATTACTACACTTACTAACTCATTCAACAGTGGTCCCCGACGAACCTGCCGTGTTTGAATGTATCCACCTCTCTTCACCACCATCTCTGCTCTTCATCATCCACTAACACATCACAGCCGCCAAATCAGAGCTCGCCCGCGACATCATGGTCCGCACCCGCCAAATCGATCTCCTCATAGCCTCCCTCCCCGGCGCCGGTGTCTCCGAGCAGGACCAACTTCAGCGCGTCCAGCAACTCGAGCACGATCTCGAGCAGGCCGAGCAGGAGCGGCAGAAATGGCTCGAGAGGAGGGAAATGTTGCTGGCGAAATGTGATAGCGTGATCTTGCAGCTTGCAAAGACGAAGAATGATATCGAGTCTGCCTGAAGTATTTTTCTATTGCCGGTTTATTCGATCCTATGCAGAGCGTAGTCGCTCTGTTCTGCTACGTTGCTTTCCGCTGCAGTACTCAGCACATCAGCACATCAGCACATCTGCACATACGCTCATCTGCCTGCAGTCTCCAATCTACTAAACCAACAGACAAGACAGACAAGAACCCAACAGATTCCACACAAGCAAAGTCAGAAGACAGGTCGCAGCAGATCTTCTAAACTCTCTGTGAAGATCAAAAAAACAGCGCCAGGCCTGATCTCGGCGCTCGACTCCAGTCCCCGGAACCCTCGGCTTTTTTTTATCCGACGGTTGGTGGTCGAAAGAGAGATCTTGCTTCAACAGCTTTATTTCTTGGATATATCTCTCTATAGACTTGATATATTGTAATATAACATCTACAAAACATAATATAATAACAAAAATAAATCTACATAAAGCAAATGCTGTAGATTCTTTCTCTACCGAATTAAACCTACTTTGTCATCCCATATTTCTTCCCACCCCAGACCACCGCCATGATCCCTCCACACTCCTCCTCCGCCTAAACACCCACCCGCGATGTCGTTCATCGAACGGTCCACCGTCCGCGTCGAGCAGCAACGACCGCCTGCTCTCCGCCGCCGCCGGCCGCTGCCATTCTACCTCCGCCACAACCTCTGTCTACAAATCATCGCCGTGCTCGCCTTCGTCGCCGCCGTCCCGCTCTGTCTGTACGTGTCCCGGTACGCGGACTGGGACGCCGAGTACTGCTCCTGGCCGCCGACCCACGAGCGCGACCAGGACCGCGACCTGCGCATGCTGCTCTATGGCGATCCGCAGATCCGCGGCAACGGACCGCGGGGCCACGACCCCGACCTGCGCACGAAGCTCGACATCTTCGGCAACGACCATTTCCTCGGGACCGTCTACCGCACGCTCGCGAAACAGCTCAAGCCGACGCATATCGTTGTTCTCGGCGACCTGATCTCGAGCCAGTGGATCGACGACGCCGAGTTTGCCCGCCGCGCACGCCGCTTCCGCAACCGCATCTTTGAGCACCCGCTTAAAGGAGCAAAGGGCGCGCCGCCCGTGTTTTGGAATCTGTCGGGAAACCACGACATTGGCTACGCGCACGAGGTGACCGACGACCGCGCGCGCCGGTTCGAGGAGCATTACGGGAAACTCAACTTCGCTGTCTACGCGGACGGGTACCGCGCGATTGTCTTCAACGCGATGTCGATCGACGGTGATCCGGACGACAGCGAGTACGGCCAGAGCAGGCACACGCTCGAGACGCGCGAGTTTCTCAAGCAGCAGATGGAGACCGAGTTTTGGGGCACGACGATCCTGTTTATGCATGTGCCGCTGCACAAGGAGGCCGGAGTCTGCGTCGACGATCCGTACTTCTCGTACTATGATCCGGACTCGAGGCGGTTGATTCGCGAGCAGAATATGTTGTCGCCAGAGACAAGTTCGTGGCTACTCGACGGATTCTTCACCGACGGTGGACACGGCTTCGTCGTCAACGGACATGACCACGAAGGCTGTCTTGTGAATCACATCAAGCTTATGAACGGATGGGTCGCCGAGCCTATATCGAAGGGGAAAACAACCTACCGACACTCGTTCTCGCCCGAGCCTGACGAGTCTGTTGTCGAGATCACCGTCCGAAGCATGATGGGCCAGTTTGGCGGTAACGTAGGCTTACTGAAAGGCTTTTATCAGGAGAACAACGACGGTACTTCACCTCTCCCTCTCTCTCTCTCACACACTTTCTCTCACTTAATGAAATACTAACCCCCAAGACGTCACAAAATTCACATTCTCGCTCTGCACATTCGGCCCGCAACACACCTGGTGGGCAGCAACAATCACCTTCTACCTCGCGCTCATCGCCGGCATCCTCTCCTTCATCGTCTTCCCGCTCCTGATCATCAACCGCCCGCCCCTCTACACCCGCTCCCGCCGCGAATCAAGCCCGCTGCTCGCAAGCGAAATCAGCATCTTGCAGTCCTTTTCAGCCGCGGCGAATAGAATCGCAAAGTTGCCGGCGGCGGCGGAGACGGCGGGCGCGAGGGGGAAGTTGGAGTAAAAAGTATTTGTATATAGTTTGTGTGTCTGTGTATAGTTGGTGTTTGGCTTTTGTGAATATAGATGGAGTTATGACGGAAGAGTTATATGGCTGAAGAAGTTCAATTCAGCTTGTACTATACTATAGTATTACAACAAACGGGGCGCTCTTCGTATACTGGCAGTATACTAGCAGCCCAAATATTACCAAACAAAAGAAGCAAAACACAGAAACCCAGACACAGAACCAGCCAGGATCACAGGTCGAGTCAGCGGCAGACAAACAGACCGCTCAGAGAGCTATCAAAGAGACTATCAAAGAGTTATCAAAGAGACTTCACCCCAGCCTGCATAGTCAACAACGCATACTGAAACGCATCATGATCCACCACATCATTGAGAGACCACACCCCGAGCTGCACCAACGACGTCGCGTCCACGACCGGCAAATTATCAACCTCAGCCTCCCACCCGTCACCTACCGCCATCGTTCGCCAGACGGTAGACTCGTGCGCGAGTAAAGGGTACTGCGCGATCTCTGCGTCTGTGTAATCGTGCTGCGTCCAGCGGGTGATGTTGTCGAGAAGCTGTGCGAAATCCTCGTCGTTCATGACTGATAAGTTATTATGCTTCAGGCCGTGGATGGCCATTGCTTTGAGATTGATCTGGCCTTGAATCACACGGAACCACAACCCGCGCAGGTAGTCGGAGTAGAACAGCGTGAGACTGTCTATCTGCTTGAGAATGTCGATGCCGATAGCCTCGCAGTCGTAGTGCATATACCGGTCTCGCTCGAGGATATCAATCATCCGCAAATACTGCGGCACCGGAAAATACGCGATACACCGCCGTCGCAGGAGCCACACTTTTGCTTTAATCTTCCACCGCACCGGTGTCTCGGGATCGTCAACAAGCCGCTCGGTGAGGTTATACACCACGTCGTTGGTCGAGTACTCCCACGACTCGATCGCGAGCGACGACTTCGGCGCGCCTTTGAGGATCGCGACCGCGTTGGCGCCGCCGTCTAGGTTGGGCACGGTCGAGCCTAGGAGCATGTGGATCTGCAGCGTGCGCATGGGGACGGGGGTATCGTCTTCGGGCTCGGTCGGTGGGGTATTCACAGAATCGGATTCGGAGGACGATGACGGTGGGTTGATGCTGTCCAAAGTGCTCCTGAGTTGCCTTTTCAGGAATTCCTGGGTAGACATCACAGGTGAGGACACAGTCTTGTTCGTGCTGGGGGTATCAGCATGGATATCAAACTTTGTCCATCGATTCTTTTTCTTTCCCCGTCTCCCTCGTTTCGCTACCCTGTTAACAACCTCAGTCTCCACAAGCTCAAACTTCTGCGCCTCATTCTTCTCCTCCCTGGGCTGTTCAGCCGGCGAGTTCACCGCGCTCATATTCCGATCTACAGCCGGCTCACCGACGCTATACTTCGGCGTCCAGTGCACGTTCCCCTTCATACACAGTCTCCGACATAACCCATCATCCTCAAAAAAGAACCTTGCCTTGCTATTATACGGCGGACAGCTACTTCTAGGCCTGCGAGGAAGGCCTTCGAAGTTGACGCGCGCGGCGGAGGATGTTCTTCTGCTTCTGCTGCGGGTCGGGGTGCTGGAGGGAGTCGGAGAGATGAGTTCAATGAAGGCGATGGGGATGATGAGCGGGGTGACGAAAGCGAGGTCTGGGTAGCCGGGACAGACGATTTCGTGGTAGACGTTGGGGAATTTCGATCGGAAGGCGGCGGCGGAGAGGGAGAGTGAGGAGTGGGCTTCCATGATAAATATACAGTGACAGATAAGAATACAGAATACAAAAAAAATACAGAAAAAAAGAGGATATGAAAGAAAGACGGGGGTAAGATGTAGAGAGCGAGAAGAGAGGAGGTGGGATTTTAATGTTGATATATGGTGATTTCGAAACGGGCTGGGAAGCCGTAAGAGGAAATACGACATGCGACTGTTTCTTTACTTCCGGCAGATCAGCAAAAACAAACATCAGCACGGTATACACCCACTAGTATATACCAACGATATCACTACCTACCAACCATCCTCATATCTCAAGAACAGCATCGTCTTATATCTTTAGAACAGCAACATCTTCACAGCTCTACAGCAGCAAATGCCGGCGATAGCCGAGTGACGTCAGAGAGCAGAGCACGTGAGCAAAAAATTTGCTTTGCGTAGTCAGCAGCGCAGAGCAGCAATGCGCCTCTTTGCGGACTGGTTCTGGATTGGGAGTTGCTCTCTTCTTCTTCTCTTCTATATATCTTGTATATCTTCTATACTTCTTGTATCTTATATCTTATATATCTTATATCCTCTTCTATTACATCTCTCTTCTTTCTGCAGCTATGGGCGTCCCCCTCTGGAAACCCCGCCACGACTCCCTCCCCTCCGTCCCCACATCACTGCCCTCGCTCTCCTCCTCCAAACCACCCTCCTCCTTCCCATCCTCCTCCTCCCCCTCCTCCCCCTCCTCCTCCACCGTCGACCGCTCCTGGCGCAGACCAAACCACTCCTACCCCAACTCCCTCCACCCCCTCCGCCGCTCCCCGCTCTTCCACCACCACCACCACAACCACTCCCTCCACGCCGATCTCGCCGACTCCCGCGACTGCATCCGCCACGACTCCGACTTTGACGAGATCGCTGAGCCATTCGAGGAAGACGACTACTCCTCCGAACTCGAGCCTCTTGGACGCACTTACATCGCTCGCGAGGCCACCGCAGAGCAGCATGACCGCCGCTACCCCTTCCGTCGCAGCCTGATCGCTCGCGCTCCCGCTCCTTCCTCCTCCTCCTCCTCCTCCTCCTCTTCATCCGCGTCAGCATCCTCCGCAACCTCGTTCAACCCCTCCTCCTCTCCGCGCCCGCGCCACACCCCGATCGCCTCCGAACTCGCGCTCAACCGCACGCTCATGGACTACGTCCACCGCCTCCGCCGCCTCCGCGAAGACAGCGACGAAGCAACCTACTTTGCTCCCCCCGCAGACTCCGCCACCACCTCCACCTCACACTCGATCCCCGACATGCGTCGTCCGTCCGAGTTCAGCGCGGTGGTCGATCAAATCCGCGCGATCGGCGCCGTGCACGACTCCGAGCTCTCGCGGACAGCCTCCGACGCGATCTCGGCTGCGGCCGCCGCCGCGAACTCGTCGCCCACGCAGCGGTATTTCTCGTCGTTGGACCTGGACGGGTTTTATAGCAGCCGGCTGCGTCTGCGGCGGAACGCGTACGCGGCGCACGCGAACCAGTCGGACGATAATCTGCCGACGTATGATCGAAATTTCAATTTCAGCCATATCAGTTTCTCGCCCGAGCTGGACTCTGTGATTCCCGACGCGCGCGGGGACTACGACGCGGAGGCGGAGGGAGACGAGGACTGCGATGTCGAGGGCGAGGAAAGAACTTCTGCGGAGTTTGATGCTAGTCTGCGGACGAGCAGTGATCCGGAAGTACGCGACTTGCTCCATCGGTTCGAGCTCTTGGACGACCGGATAGATCTGATTCGGATGGCGCGGAGGGAGTTGATGTTGATAGAGCTGGAGGCGAATTGGACGTTGGACGCGATGCATATTTCGTAGATGTGCAGGAGTGCAGTAGTGCTGATTCGCAGTTTTGTTTGTGGTAATACGCAGTTTTGGGTCTTTCTTCTCTCTTCTTTTTCTTTTTCTTTATAATTCGTTTGGGTTGGGATCGGTTTATTTTGCTGGATTGCACAAGTGTACTTTTATATATTTCCGACTAGCGCTGTTTGTAGTAATATTTACAAATACTCATTCATATATAGTAAAGTAGAGAGAGAGGTGGATGTGTTATATCCCCGGCGGGAGAAGGAGGACCATGACTTGGCGCGGCCTTTCGGTTGCTAGTAATTCGAAATTGCTAGCCGCGTTGATCTAAATAGTTATCAGCACCTCGATGTTATTAGTAGTAGAGAGAAGGGAAGGCTCACGGTATCGGTAACCTCGATCTTATAGCCCATCCCCATCAACATATTCCTCGTCGCCTCCGACAAAATCCTCGACTTTCCACCTAACCCAACCAGCAACAACTCCGGCCTCGGAAACACCACCTCCAACACCCCCAACCCCTCCTTCTTCAAACTCACGATCCCCGCGTCTAGACCCTCGACATACGGCCCGAAATCCCACTCGAGCACCTCCCCGTCGATAATCAGACACCCGACCGTGCCGTCGCGGCAGTCAAACATGTCCCCTGTCGAGAGCTTGAAGCCGAGGTCGCCGACGACGGTGTCGATTGACATCGGTGGACGGGGGAGGTCTTGCAGCATGTCGAAGTCTTGGATCGCGCCGCCTTTGGAGTGTTCGATTGGTTTGGCTTGGTTGAGGATCTTTTCGAGGAGGGAGGGGGTGGTGTGGAAGGATGCTGTATATGGGAGGGGACGCGGGTGGCGCAGAGGTGAATTGAGCTGTGTGCGGGCGGTGCGTATTATGCCGCTTGAGAGACGCGTGCGGAAAGACATGGTGGTGGTGAAGTGGTGAAGAGTGGGTGGTGTTGAAAGTGGTGTTTGATATTGGGAGTTCAAGGAGTAGAGTCCTCTGCACGCACGCCCTCCTGTTTCTACACTATCAAAGACAATTGCTAAACCCACCCCAGCCAAAATAAAAATATGAACCACAGAATAATCTTTTGAAAAAACCACAGAGTTATATCTGCAGGGGAAACAAAAAAAAATGTGAACCCAACAGCTGTTTTGCCGTTGCCCAGAATCGAACTGAGGTCTCTTCGGCCACAACGAAGTGTACTGACCACTATACTACAACGGCTCACACGTTTTTTTGGCCCTCTCGGCCATCATAAACCCCTGTTCTTCGTTCTTGAAATTAGTCTAAATGCAGTTGTGGTTGGTGGAAATGAAGCGCGTAGGTCGTGTGAAGTAGATTGAGACGTGATATCCATCGACAGCACCTCAGCAAGACACTATCCACTCATAAAAACACGCAGACTCTCCATGTCCATCTGCACCAGCACAGAAACCCTCTTCCACGCACCTGCGCGATTGGTCCGCCGCGCATTAAGCAGCAGAAGCTTCTCGGCGCAAACGGTGAGGGCCTCGTAGCGACGCAAACCCCGACCGGGACCACTCATCCCGAAAAGAAAGGAAAAAAAAGAAATTTCACAAGTTTCCTTTTTGAATTGACGACTTGCTTTCTCTTTTTCTTGATTGAGCGATTCAGTGGCAGTATTTTTATCTGTTGTTGAATAGTATTTTAAGAAAGGAGTTTTTTTTAGTTGTTTGTTTAATTCTTTGCTGGTTAGTGAAGAGTTTGTAGGAACTGCTGTTATAAGTCTGCTAGATGGCGTCGCTTTACAAGGCTTTTGTTCCGGCGGCGAGAGGACTTATTCGGTCGGCTGTCTCGACTGCTTCTAAAGGTTTGTAGTCTGTTTGTTTGAGTGGGGATTGAGGAGTTTGAGAGTTGTGGTGATGAATTGAGATGGTGGCGAGGTGCTAACATAACGATATAGTCGAGACATGCTCCACTGTTCGTCCTTCGCTTGGTATGTCTACTGCTGTGCTGTTAATTGTGACGTTTTGCTAATAAGGTATACAGCCCGCGGAATGGCTACCTTCAGCCGCGACAAACCGCACGTCAACATCGGCACGATCGGCCACGTCGACCACGGCAAGACGACGTTGACGGCCGCGATCACAAAGGTGCTGTCGACCAAGGGTTTCGCCGACTTCAAGGACTACTCGTCGATCGACCGCGCGCCCGAGGAGCGTGCTCGCGGAATCACAATCTCGTCCGCGCACGTCGAGTACGAGACCGAGAACCGCCATTACTCGCACGTCGATTGCCCGGGTCACGCGGATTATATCAAGAACATGATTACCGGTGCCGCGCAGATGGACGGTGCGATTATTGTCGTGGCTGCGTCGGACGGTCAGATGCCGCAGACGCGTGAGCATATCTTGCTTGCGCGCCAGGTGGGCGTGCAGCACCTTGTTGTGTTTGTCAACAAGATCGACACGATCGAGGACGCGGAGATGCTGGAGCTGGTCGAGATGGAGATGCGCGACCTGCTGAGCACCTACGGCTACGACGGCGACAACATCCCTGTGATTATGGGCTCTGCGCTTTCCGCGCTCGAGGGCAAGAACCCCGAGATTGGCGAGCAGCGGATCTTGGACCTGATGGCTGCTATTGACGAAAACATCCCTACGCCCGAGCGCGATCTCGAGCAGGCGTTCTTGCTCCCGATCGAGGACACTTTTTCGATCTCGGGCCGTGGTACTGTTGTGACTGGCCGAGTCGAGCGCGGCACGCTGCAGAAGGGAGAGGAAGTTGAGCTTGTGGGATACCACGACCAGCCGATCAAGACTACTGCTACCGGTATTGAGATGTTCCGCAAGGAGCTCGACCAGGCTATGGCGGGAGATAACTGCGGAATCTTGCTCCGTGGAATCCGTCGCGAGCAGGTGCAGCGCGGCATGGTTCTGTGCAAGCCGGGTTCGATGAAGTCGTCGACGCGCTTCCTCGCGTCGTTCTACATGCTCAGCACTGAGGAAGGTGGCCGCAAGTACGGCATTGGGTCGCACTACCGCCCGCAGATGTTCATCCGCACGTCGTCGGTGACGGTCGTGCTGCACTTGCCCGAGGGCCAGGAGCTGGACGAGAACGGGCAGCCGAAGCTGGTGATGCCGGGCGAGAACCACGAGATGGTTGTCGAGCTCACGAAGCCGATTCCGATCGAGACCGGGTTGCGGTTCAACATCCGCGAGGGTGGAAAGACTGTGGGTACGGGAATGGTCACGCGTATTATGACTTAAGGTGGTATCGTTGAGTTGATGTATATATTTGTTGAATGAGTATTCGTGCTCCCTCCTCTCGTATATAATAGTGATTCGGTTACAGTAGTTAAAAGTAAGGGTGTAGTAGAGTAGAAATAAGGTTTGGGACTCAACTCAACTCAACTCACACAACTCCATTGAGAAAGAACTGATCAACACTGTATATACCATCGGTTTACTCAATAGACCGTCAAGAGAACTAAGTAGGACTGCTCTAGATACAACATGTCAACACCAACACTAAAACGATCACGAAGCTCACTCTCGCAATCCACCCTGGCCTCACCATCCCCGGCCGGCACCTCGTCGTCGACAAGCCAGGGCCATCCGCATCCGCTCCGGCAGACTGTTTTCGCGCGGGATATTGGCGGTAAAGGAGGTGTGCAGGAGGACGACGAGGAGGAAGATGATGGGGAGGATGATGGGGAGTGGAGACGGAGGGAGGGGGATGATGAGTTTGAGGATGTTACGCGGGCGGGAGGGAGACGGGAGGGAAGGGAAGGGGGAGGTGAGGAGGAGGAAGAGGGGGATGAAGATGAGGAGGAGGAGGAGGAGGAGGAGGAGGAAGGTGGTGGAGGGTATTTTCCCTCGCTGTCGATAAAGATCAAGCCGCCGGTCGCGCCGGCGAACTACAAACGGCCGGCGGAGGATATGGGCGGTTTACGCGCAAAGAAGCAGAAGAAGGGGAGGGTAGAGACGGAGGATGATGAAGACAATAATGAGCTGTTTCCCGCGCCGGACGCGTTCGGGGTTGAGATTGGGGACGAGGAGTTTTCGAGTTTGGGCGGGGGGGTTAATGTGGAGGAGGATGAGGAGCTCGAGGAGATCTTGTCTGGGGTGAATGGCAGGACACAGAGGAAGAGGAGGAGGATGTTTGGACCAGGGCTTACGGCAGAAGAGATCAAGTCTGTGATTTCCTCATTTACGGACGAGCAGATGGACCGATACGAGACGTTTCGCCGCGCAAACATCAACCGGGGCGGTGTGAAGAAGCTCGCGAACGCGGTGCTGAACCAGTCGATCACGAACACGGTCGCGGTGGCTATCTCTGGGTTTTCAAAGGTGTTTCTGGGGGAGGTGATTGAGCGGGCGCTGGACGTGCAGCAGAGGATGGATCCGGGGGATGGAGTGAATCCGTACGCGGCGCAGAGGCCGTTGCTGGCGGTGCATATACGGGAGGCGTGGAGGCTGTATAGGCAGGAGACGGGGATGGTGCCAGCTGCGCAGTGGAGGAGGGAGGGGCGGGGGGAGGGGCGGATGTTTAGATGAGAGTTAATAGCGGTTGACGACAGTCGCGTGATGAGTAGATAAAGAGTAGATAACAGTGGTAAGTAAAGAAGAGAGGGGGAATGTAGACGGAGATAGTGAGGAAGTCCATGAAGCAGAAGAAGACCTAAAAGGAAGGAGGAAGAGAACTAGACTGAAGACGATGGAGGGTTAGTAAGAGACAGAGAAGAGACAGAGACTTACCAGATGGAGGCATCGGTCCCGATCGGAAGTTCCGAGTCTTATGTCCGCGGGGGTTTGGTCCCTTAGTATACAGCAGTATTATAGATTAGAATGAAGTAGAGTAGAGTATACAGAGAGAGAATGGTATTGTATTGTATTGTATTAGTATATATAGTAATAGTAGAATAACAGATGTATAGTAGATAGAAGACACAGAATGACTAAACAGGAAAGAGCAGAAGAGCGAAAGAGCGCAGGAGAAAGAAAAGGTCGGTGCGTTGGTGCTGCGCGATGCGGATGCCGCGCAGTGGACTGACGATCTGTGTTGTGTTGTGTTGTGTTGTGTTGTGTTGTATAGCATAGTCATAGTAATAGTAATAGTAGTAGATACTACTATAGTACTATTATACTATTACTACTATTATAAGAGTAATAAGAGTAATAGTATAATGCATTGTCATCATACACAAATAGAAATAGAAAGGCGGATCCTCCGATGAGTCACTCCACTCCACTCACTGTGCAGGACTGTGCAGCCGTCCGCAACCGACTTCCACAAGCGGTGATTACATAAGAACACAGTCACGGCCACCTCCGGAGGGGGCGCAAAGAGGCGCCGCCACAGGCGTCTGTCGTTTTCCTTTTCCTGATCCTCTCAGGCGCGGAGTTAGGGTCCAGGGAGTAGTAACTGTCTGTACATTCTATACATTACTACTGCTATTATATGTTGTAATAGTATAATAGTATACTACACTATTTATTACTACTACTACTACTACTACTACTACTACCTCTATACATCACTCCTTGTTGCAACCAACAATCCTCACTTCCTCTCTACACGCGGCGCGGCTGTAACCTTATTCAAGTCGACCTCCGCCGCCGGCAGACGCGTGTGAAGAAAGAAGAGAAAAACCAGATTTGTGCTTTTGTTTGCGCGTCTCGATGAAGTCGATCGCGTTGATTTATAAACCGCCTTCCCCTCTTCTTCTCTTCTTCCTGCTTCTTATATAACTGCCACTGCCCCCTCTTCCCCCTTCCCTCTTCCCTCCCCTCTACTCACTACTACTCACTACTACTCACTACTACTCAGATCACTCAGATCACCTCTACGTCATTCCTTACTCATCTCTCACTCATCTCCCATCTCTACCTCTCTCTACCATCCCGGCCCTAACCCTAGCGCCTCACATCCTCCATCCTGGCGTCCTCAGTCTTTTCCCGCCGCTTTCTCAAGCAGGCAATCTTCCACCAGCATCCGCAGACTCCTTCCTCCTCCTCTTCTTCCTCCGCCTCCTCCTCCTCTTCTACCACCGTCTCCTCCACATCTGTCTCCTCCTCCTCCTCTTCCTCCCGCAACGTCAACGGCCTCTCCCTCCTCATCGACCCCCCTCCACCGCCCTACGAAGCCGCCTCGTCACACTCTGACGACTGCCTGAACCACTCCCTCTACCACCTCTCCAACTCCTCTTCCTCCTCCTCCTCCTCCTCCTCCGACTCCTCCTCAGACTCCTCCCCCTCTCCCCCTCTCCTACCCACCCTCTCCCTCCCCCCATCTCCCCCTCTCACACCCCCCTTCCTCGCAACATCCTCCCCCATGTCCGCCCACAACTCCCCCATCCTCGCCCCCTCCTCCCCGGCTCTCGTCGGAAAGCCAATCGCTTCCACCGGTTCCGGCTCCCTCACCATCGGCATCTCCCTCGCTGAACCAATCCTTTTCTTGCAAGGATTCGAGCGCTCCGAGTACGCTGACCACACTCCCACAATGCTCCGCGGAACCCTCCACGTGCACGTCGCAAAGCCTACAAAGATAAAAGCCATTAACCTCTCCTTCACCGGAAAAGGCCGAACTGAGTGGCCGGAAGGTGCGCATCTCCCTTCTTCTTCTTCTTCTTCTTCTTGTACTTTACTAACATTCACAGGCATCCCCCCCGCCAAAGACGAGTACTACGAAGAAAAAGAACTCATCTCCCACCTCTGGCCCTTCTTCAACGCCCACTTCGCCGTCGAGTCCGCGCCCTTCGGCACCGACGCCGGCGTCCGCAACCCCCGCGGCGCAGAGTCCCTCCTTCCCGGCGCCGTCCAGGCCGCCCGCGAACGCGAGCGCTCCTCCTCCATCGGCCGCCGCTCGCTCTCCGCTACCGGTCGCAGATCCGCCTCCCGCTCGCGCGACTCGTTTGAAGAAAAAGACCGCGGCGCTATCCAGGCCGCCGCAAAGGGCTACCGCATGTTTGCTCCCGGCGACTACACCTACAACTTTGAACTGCCCATCGACGCCTCCCTCCCCGAGTCGATCGAGTCCGCCCGCGGCTCCGTCCGCTACGAGCTCGAGGCCTCGATCGAGCGCCCCGGCGCCTTCAAGAGCAAACTCCTCGGTCGCAAGGCCGTCACCCTCATCCGCTCCCCCGCCGAGGCCTCGCTCGAGATCGGCGACCCCATCGTCGTCTCGCGCAATTGGGAGGACCAGCTGCACTACGACATTGTCATTGGCGGCAAGGCCTTCCCCATCGGCTCTGTCGTGCCCGTGGCCTTCAAGCTCACGCCGCTCGCCAAAGTGCGCTGCCACCGCATCCGCATCATGATCACCGAAAACACAGAGTACTTTGCGCGCCACAAAAAAGTGCACGGCATCGAGCCCGTGCGCAAGTACCTGCTCTACGAGCACCAGGCCGACGGCGGCGCAAACGAAAACATCCTCGGCAACCTCGACGACGGCACCGAGACCGCGGGCCCGATCGAGCTCGAGTTTAACGCCAAGATCCCCGGCTGCAACGCCGTCGCAAAGGAGTCCCAGCGTCTGCACCCGGACACCACGTACGGCAACATCAAGATCCACCACTGGATCAAGATCGTGCTCAGACTCTCGAAAGCCGACGCCGAGGACCCGTCCAAGCGCCGCCATTTCGAGGTCTCGATCGACTCGCCTTTCCATCTGCTCTCCTGCCGCTGCACCACCGCCAACGTCTCGCTGCCGGCCTACAACCGCCTCGGCAGTCTCAACTCGGGCGAGCTTCCGCCCTGCCCGTGCGAGGCCGACGTCGACCCCGCGCAGGAGGCCGAGGACCTCGCGCGCCCGATGCATCTCCTGCGCCGGCCGTCGACCAACCCACCTCCGTTCGACGCGGACGTGGCTCCGCCGCCAATGATCACGCCTCCTCCAGGCTACGACGACGCGATCATGGCGCAGGGAGGATTTTTCGGCACGGCCTCGCTTGACGACGAAGACGACGACGACGACGACCCGGACCGCGATCTTTTGAGTCTTGGTTTCGACGAGCTTAGACTTGATAATCCTGCGCGGTCGCAGGTGTCGCTCACATCCAACTCTTCGTCTGCCTCGAGCGCGTCCTCTTAATCATTTCTTTTGTTTCATTGTACGATACTATACATTATCTGTTTTTTGTTTGTGGGATTTCTATATTGTAAGTTACAAGGTCACGAAAAGTTTTAGGTGGTGTCTCTTGTATATATCTGGTTTTATTTCTTTGTTCACGGCGGCGTTTGGTTTCTACTATATATAATACATACCATATACACTTATATATATAAAAAGAGTAAAGAGATGAAGCGAGCGATTAGATAACGCTGTGGAATGACGTAGATGCACGAGTCATGTTATGCGAGCTGATGACTCGGCTGAAAATAGTTAATCCGGGCGAGATAAGCACGAGCACAGGCGTGACTGAGTATTTAAGCAGTGTAGAGATGAGGATGTAGTGAATGAATGAGTGAGGATGAGAGTTGAGGATGTGTTTGCGAGTATCGCGAGATAGTGGTATCGCGGAACAGCGCGTGGAGAGGCGATAAGAGAAAGTTTGGGAGGTTTCCTGATCCGGAGATGGGTTTGTGATGAGGTTATAACGCACAAAGTGGGTAAAATAAGTCGGTGAGGTGAAGGTGCAGGTGACGGACGGAGAGGGTGAGGGTGAGGGGGAATCCCGGATCCGGGAGCCAGTTGAGACAGTGATGGAAATAGAAGTAGAAGTAGAAGGAGGAGGAGGGGGATGGGCGGGATGTCCGATAGCCAAGACGGGATGCGAGCCAGCCACGCTGTCAGATTTGGAGCGGTAGCGAGTGTGTGAAGGGGTTGTGCGTTGGTGACAGGATTGAATAGGCGAGAGTGCTGTGAGGAGAGGGGGGGGTGAGGGTGGTCAAGGAGGAGGAGGAGGGAGGTGGGGGTTAGTGGTGCTGGTGGGTGGTGAGGGTGATGAGGGTGGTGGTGAGATCGCTGAGATTACTGATTTCATTGTAGAAGCAGTAAGAAAATATAAACAATCACCCATCAATGCAACAAAGCAGATAAAAGTAAAGAAAATAGTAAACAACAGAAAAACGAATGGAAAGTTAATGAAAAACAAATGAGAGGTATAACTGATTGATGGCGAGATATCGATAAGATAGAGATGAGATACAGATGACTGTTCACTAAAGTCGGCGGCGCTGTTTGTTGAGGTGGTAGGTAGGTAGGTAGGTCACTGGGTAGTAGTGACTGAGTAGTAGTGACTAGCTATCGTTGGTATGTGTTTGTACTCCCGCTGTCCTCTGTATTTTCACTACTGTCTACTTGCTTTCTTCGCTACCCTCACTATCCTCACTGCAGTCTACTCACTATCCATCTCCACTTAATTCATTTATTCAGCATACCAACGCACTGCATAACTAAACCCTCCACTCAAAAAAAAAGAAAATAAATGAAAATAAGCATCACAGAAGGAAGAACTATCCAACTACCCATCATGGTAAATTACTGGTGTTGCAAAAACCACTGAAGTGTAGGAATTGTTGTGGATTTTTGCGGGTGTAGAAGGGAAGAAGGGTTTCGAGTGTACATTTATTTGGATTTTGATTGGTATTATGGACTGACTATGGCATCACAAACTCACCATAACAAATGAACAAACATAACAGAAAAATCACAAATATTTTGAGATAATTTAACAGCTTGATACTTTACACAAACAACAGTTCCTGCGCAGTATTCTCGCGCAGTCCTTCAAAATTACAGCACAACTCATTGCAGTTGAGCAGAGCAGAGCAGAGCAGAGTTTAAAGCCACGGGCAGAGCTCGGTGCGGCAACTGTCTCTCTCTCTCCACTTCACTACTCTACACTTCACTACACTACTCATCTATTTTCCTCAGATTGAACTCCAGCTGTTGTGAATCAGATCAGATTACCTGCCTGTTTAGTTCATTGAAGTCAGACAACAGCCTGATAACCAACAGCACATCGAGACTACAGACAAACAGATCATGGCTTCCGACGACGCCGACGACACCCACCACCACCACCACAACCACAGCCTCCTCGGCTCGGCCGTCAAGCTCCACGAGCGCATCCACTCGCAGCTCCGCTCCACCGAACTCGACATCCCGCACCTCTCCGATCTCAACCCGCTCTCCTCCTCCTCCTCGTCCGGTATCCCCCCCGAACCCCAACCGCCCGTCTACATCGTCCCCCCACCTAAACGCCCTCCGCCCGCGCCCGCGGCAACGACAGAGCCATCAAAGAGTTCAATGCTCCTACCCAGCAACCCTCCATCGACCTCCAAATCCAGCGACAGCCTAGTCGACCAGCTCGCCGAGCTCCAGCGCCAGATGTACATCGACACCGGCCTCGCGCCGCCGGAGCGCCCGCAGCCGGGCTTCGCGCTCGCAGCCGGCGGGCTCTCGCGGCAATCGTTCGCCTCCGCGCTCGAAGGCCCCGGAAGCGAGAGCAGCGCCGCGATCGACCGGCTCGCGGACGGCAGTTCGCGACAGACCCTCGTCCCGCGCTGGCGCAAGCTCGACGCCGACGTCGTCCCGCCGAACGTGGACTCGTACTATCTCCCGAGTTTCCTGGTTCCCGAGTCGATCGCCGACACGCTCGTGCGGCAGTTTATGCTCAACGAGCTTGATTGGACGACGATGACGCATAATGGCGGGAAAGTACCCCGGCTTGTGTGCGTGCAGGCCGAGTTCGTCGACGGGTGGTACCCAATCTACCGACACCCCGTCGACGCGCCCGCGCCTCCCACGCACGAGCTCTCGACCTCGGTAAGACTGCTCAAGGCCTCGCTCGAGTCGGCCACGAACCAGAAATTCAACCACGTGCTCATCCAGCAGTACCGATCCGGCGAAGACTGCATCTCGCAGCACGCAGACAAAACGCTCGACCTCGTGCCGGGCAGCAAGATCGTGAACGTGAGTCTCGGCGCGATGCGCTACATGTCGCTCAAGAAGAAACGCGACTCGCTGCGCGCGCGCTCGGCTAGCTCTTCGACTTTGCCCAAACGCAAAATCAACTTTGTCCGCGCGCACATCACGAACGGCGCGTCGATCTACCGCTCGGTCGGCAGCGACCAGGAATCAGAAGCAGGCGACTCCGACGACGAAGCCTACTCTGACGACGAGCACCCCTCCTCCCACCCCCACCAACAACAACAACAACAACAATCTACCACGACCACACAACCCACACCCGTCACCTTCTCCCTCGACGACTACGACAAGCACCCGAAAAACGCAATCTCCCGCCCTCCCGCGCCAAACCAACGCATCGCGCTCGAACACAACTCGATCTTCGTCCTCGGCGCGCACACAAACAAACTCTGGACGCACCAGATCAAACCCGACAAACGCTCCCGCGCGCAGAAATCTCCCGCCGAACTCGCGTTTGATGGGTTTAGAGTCAGTCTTACCTTCCGCTCGGTTGCTACTTTTGTCACAAACTCAAGTGGTGGTGGTGGTGGTGGTGGCGGTGGTGGAAATAGCAGCAGCGGCAGACCACAGCTCATCTACGGCCGCGGCGCGACCGCCAAAGACCGCGTACACGCCTCGCCCGTGCTCTACTCCGACAGCGCCTCCGAGAGCGAGCGCGAGAACGCGCGCGCGCAGGCGAAAAAACTGCTCGGCGCGTTCGCGGCCGAGAATCGGCTGGGCGAGAGCTTTGATTGGCAGAGGGCTTATGGCCAGGGTTTTGATATCGTTGATTTTCCGACGGATTTGTAAGATGGTGGTTGTAGAAGTAGAAGTATACTTTGACTCATAATGAAACACATGCATATATAATACTAAACAGAACGGAACGCCATACTCTTTTATCAAGTCACAGGTATTTTAAAAAAAACTAAAAGAATCACCCATCAACATCATCGTCGATATCATCCCCCCTCTCGCCTCCCGCACTCACCCCGCCCCCGCCCGCAAACGTCCGGCCAAACGCCTGGCCTAAAGGCAACATCCCAAACGTCCCCATCGACGTCGGCGACCGCACGCGCGCGCGCGACAACTGCTCCCGCAACTCGTCAATCACATGCTGCGCCTCGCCCAACCGCTGCCTCGACCCGTCCCGGTCGCGGATCCGCGCCTCCCGCTCGGCTTTCAGTCGTTTTTCGTAGTCCTGCAGCCGCAGCATGAACTTGTCGCTCGTCATGCCCTGGCTTGCCAGCACGGTCGAGCCCGTAGACGACCCGAGCGAGTCGCCGAATTTGCTCGCGGCAGAACTGCCTGCGCTACCGGTACTCCGCACCGACGCCCGACTCGCAACAGACTCCTGCATCAGCCTCTGCACCTGCTCCGCGCTTCCCTGCGCGCGCGCCTCCGCATCCTCCACCTTCCGCTCCAGCTCGGCAACCAACGCAGCGTGCTCCGCGTCCCGCCGCGCGAGCTCGTGCTCAATCGCCTTCTGCTCCTGCTCGCTCGCGAGATCCTTCGCCTCGAGCTGCTCCACGACCTCAGTCTGGAACGCCTTCACGGACTCGAGCGTCTCCCGCGCGGCCGCGTTCTCCGCGCGCTCGTCCGCAAGCTCTTTCCGCAGCTTCTTCTCCGCCGCCCGCGTTTCTTCAAGCTGCTTCTTCATGCTCTGCAGTTTCTTCTGCTGCTGCTGCTGCTGCTCGTGGCTCGCTGACTTGCGCGCCTCAAGCGACTGCTGCAGCTCGTCGATCTGCGCCCGCAGACTCTCAATCGTCTGCTCCTGCTCCGCCGCTTGCTCGCGATACACGCCCAGCTCTTTCTTCTGCGCCGCGTTGTCGCGCTGCAGCGCGCTCAGCAGCCGCGTACAGGATTCCACCTCCGCGTTCATCTTGTCAAACTCGACGTCCTTCGCCTTACTGCTCGCGCGCGCTTCTTCTAACTCCCGCTTGCTCCGCATCAGTGCCTCCTCCCGCTCCGCAAGCTGCTCCTCACCGCTCTTGACAAGGTCGTCCAGCCGCAGCAGCTCGTCGTCCACATTCGCAAACCGCGAAATCTCCTCGTTCTTGGCCTTAATCAGATCGTTCAGCCGCGTGAGCTCGGACTCCGCCTCCGTCGACAACGCCTCGTAGTCCTCCTGCCAGGTCACGATCTCCTCCTCCCGCGTCTGGATGTCGCGGTAGCACTGATCGAGCTCGGCTTCCTGCGCGTCCATCTTCTCCGCCAGCTCGTCCACTTTCCGGTTCAGCATCTGGATATTCGTCTGCTGCGCCTCGATCGCGTCCTGCAGCTCCCCGTTCTCGCGGTTGAGAATGTCGACCTGGATCTTGCGCTCGCGCGCAATGTGCTTCACTTCGGATAATTTGTCCCGCAGCTCGCTGATCATGATCCCGTTCTCCTCCAGCTCGCCGCTCGATACCAGCGACCGCCGCGACGAACTCGACCGGCGCCGCAAATCGTCGAGCTCCCGACGTAGCCGCTCTTTCTCCATAGCCTGCGCGTCAGCGTGCATCGTCTGCGTCCCAAGTTCGCGACGAAGATCCCGGATTTCCTACTTCTGTCAGCTCTCTCCTAAAAGTTAATCTGTAGAAACACTTACCTGCCGAAGCCTCGAGATCTCAGCAGAAGACTCACGATCGCCCATCACGGAGGTACTTCTTCGGACCTTGAGCATATCCGATCGAAGATCCAAGATCTCTTTCTGCGCTGCCGCATGCGCCTCTTGCTCTTTCTCCAGAAATCCTTTCAGCGTGCTCTAAACTGTAATCAGCACTCTACTCAAGGAAAAAAATCAGTTATTACTCACAATCTGCTCCTCAAGAATATCGCTGTTCCCCTGAGTCTTCTTCAGACGATCAATCTCCTCCAAGTACTCTCGCTCCCTCATAATCATCTCATTCAACTGCTCGCGGCTCTTGTCCGCATCCGCTCTCAGCTCCTCAATCATGACCAAATGCTGCTCCATATCATTCTGCAGCTCCTCGACCGCCAGCTGCCGCTCCGCCTCCGCCTGCTCGTCGATCGCGTGGTCGCGCGTGGTCCGCGAGCTTCGCTGCTCGGCCGCAATCAGCTTACTTTCCAGCTCCGAAATCTGCCGCTGCATGCTCTTGGCTTCCAGACTCATCCGCGCAACCGTGCTCTTGAGCTCGATGTTCTCGTTCCTGATCTCCCGCACGCCGTCTTCAGACCGCTTGTCGAGCTCCTGCGTCATGTAATAGATCTTGAGCTGTAACCCGAACGTCTCCTTCTGCAGCTTGTCAATCAGCGCAGACTGCTCTTTCAGCGTCAACTTGCTGACCGTGTTTGGCACATGCCCAATGCTGGACCGCATCGAGCCCGAAGAGGATTGTCGTAGTGCAAAGCTCTTGATGGCGGAATCAGTCACCTTGACGTTCTTCACGCGGTCCGCGATAGCGGTATTGGTCGGCGCAGGATTGTGCTGCCTCGCGCGCCCCGACCGATTCTCTTGACCGGGCCTGGGCGTCTGCGCAGGAGCTTTGGAGGTAGGCTGTGGCCCCTTTTGATATAGCGGCGAGCGATCATAACTGTCATACTCCTCCTCTTCTTCGACTTCCTCCTCCGCAACATCATGCAACCTGCGCTGCTGATTCTCAGCCTCCTGGTCAGACACCGGCGGCGGCGAAACCGGCGGCGACGACAGAAACTCCTCGTGCGCGCGCATCTGCTGACTCGTCGCCTTGCGCACCACAGTCGGCGACTCCACGTCCGAGTACCCATCGTCGTCGTCGTCGTCGTCCTCGAACCCGTCGTCTTCGTCGTCATAGTCTCCTGGTGCGACAACAGACGACTCGTTCTGCACGAGCGAGCCCGCGAACGAGGTCTCCATTGACGGCAGCGACATGGTTTCAGATACCGCCATCGAGCTGTTGAGTATCTTGTCGTCCACCTCCGGGCGCTCGTACTGAGAATCATCGTACTCTTGCTCCTCGTCAAGCTCTTTATGTACCACCTTGTTGGCTGTATCTTTATGTACATCTTCTTCCTGCTGTAAATCGTCTTCTTCCTCTGCAACATATTCCTCCTCACCCTCCGTCTGGGGTTGAGACTCGCCGGACCGCGGACTGGGAGAGACATAATCCTCAACCGCGTCACTCGCCAGATACTCTGCATTCGCCTCACCCTGCCTCTCCCGTTCGGCCCCCTCATCCTTCCGCGTAGCAGCCATCGCGTTCTGGGTCTTATCCCCATCGCTATTGATACTCATCCTACTCAAGCTCTCCGCAACATCAAGCACGCTATCCGCCACACTCACCGGCGACATCATACTCTTCCTCTTCCCCCCTTCTCTCACCAATCTCGCCACGCTCTGCGGCGTCGCAGCCGTAGGCGGCACAGCCGGCATACCCTCGCCTCCGCCCTCGGCAGGCGGCGACAGCGGCGGAATGACTGACATTGAGGAGAGGTTGCTTAGATCCGCGAGGTGCCGGTGCAGGTTATCAAAGATCTCGGGGCCGGAGTTTGCGAGCGAGTCGCTGAATTGGGATTTGACGGGCGACAACGAGGACGAGGATGTGCTGGAGGAATTTGTTCTTGCGCGCGGAAGCTGGGATGGCGGGTTGGAATTCAAATCGACCATGTGTTGTCTAGTTGAACTCGATTAGATGGTGTTGTTATGAAGTGAAGGCCATGTACTCATTGTACACGACAAAAGTCAAGAAACATACGCGTTTTATGACATCGATTCAGAAATGTGAAAACTGTAGCCCTCACCCCTGTGAAACGCGTTCGAGTAGCTTTCCAAGCCGTGGAATGAAAGCCTCTGATAGACAATGACTGAAGAAATAAAATGCTTCCTGGCAATTCTTTCTGAAACTAGAAGCAGGAAAGATACGAGTCAGAACTGTGCTAAACCAAGCTTGATTCAGAGCCATCAAAGCGAACAAAGCGACGCGTGGATCCCTGTGTCGACAGACTCCACACACGCACCCGCCCTCTAACAACTTCACCCCTCACAATCAAGCACAAAACACTTTTCTAACAAAGAACAAAACTCACCAGAATCAAAATAAATACCCGGGGTGCACAGTACGCTGTGTCTGCTGTGATGCCTTGTACGTCGGAACTGTAGCCTCACAACGCACACACACTCAAAACAGACTGGCACCCCACGGGTTTGTTTACGTTCGGTACCCTAGCCCTGTCGTCGCGAATTGCAGGGAGAAAAAATTCGACGTGTAATTACTTATCAAGAGTAGATCTTTTGTGCGTAGCTTTAGGAAGATGTTTTTGTGTTTAGATTTACGTGGACTTGCAGGAAATAATAGATGTGTCGGGCAATGTTATGATACGACGACAGATTACGCAGACTATGGCTTAAACAAAATGTATTCAACATAGCATCAACGCAGCCAGGACAAATTTACCAGGGCGTCAGCTCGCATTTCAATATCAGTAAAGAGACAGCCCTCATAATAGCAGAAAAGTGCAGCGCAGGACCCTGCCAGCTTCATCAGACCTGCGTTTGTCAATTCAGAGTCAGCGCAAACCTCCTTCAGCGACATCACAGCATAGTCTTTATCCCAAACAATCAGCACCAATAAGCAAAGTACTGGTGCAAAGTACTAGTGCAAAGTACTAGCAATAACAGAACACAAACCCCACAGCACCAAAAAACATCAAAAGAAAAAGAAATGTCGAGTGAATCCGTTACCGCGCATCAGAAAAGATTTTAAATCAGCCTGAAGCCCGGTATGAGGTTAAGACTCACACATACAAAATCGGTATAAAGATACAAATCCATATTTCGTCAATCTACCCGTTCTTTTCCCCTCCGTTCATTCAATGGTTGAAACGACGCAGTGAATAGAAGGGACAGTTTATGTGTCAAAGAAAAAAAAAGGAAAAAAAGAGAATCAGAAAAGGCGCAGGCTGAGGTGGGTTTTATAGAGGTGGAGGGTAGGGTTTGGAGTTGCTCTTGGGGTTGCTATCCGCACGATTCCTTCAGCTATCCACGTCAAATAGCTATTAAATGCTTAGAGATAGTCTCAGGTTACTCCTGTAATTGATAACAGCCGACATATGTTAATTAAATACCAAATGCAAACCAACCAAGCAAGCAGAACGCATTTAAAAATTTACACCTAACCCTCAAATCAAATACTGGTGGACCAGGTATCTTTAAATTTTAAAAATCACGAGCGCGTTAGTGGTTTAGCGGTAAAATTCGTCGTTGCCATCGACGAGCCCCCGGTTCGACTCCGGGCTGACGCAATTCTTTTTGTCTCTTGTTATAGAGCTGTTTTTTTTGCTGGTGGTTTGTGTAGTCTCTGTGTTGTGGGAGATTGAGGAGAAGGGGAGGGAGGAGGTTGTGGGTGGTGGTGGGCTGGTTGGAGATCAAGATGGATGGATTTCTATATGCTCCTACTGCTGGAAGCAGTTGTGAGTATGATGATGATGATGATGATAAATCTCTGTTGTAAGTCCGTTGCAACAAGTTGTGACTATACAGAAAGAAGAAGTCGATCAATGGGCAGTTCCTCCCGGAGACAAAGCACGATTGAATCCACCTTGTCGGTTCCTAGACGAAAGAATCAGTAAAATAACCTCAGAACTCCTACTCAAAAGAAAGGTACGTACATGTACTGGCGGTATTGGGGCACAGTTTCTTTCAAAACCGCACCGGCGTTGTTTCCCGGAATTTTCTTTTGCTTTGTAGTCGAGAATCCAGAGAAGCCCATCATTTTCGCCATCATTGCTTCTTCGTCATCTTCCTCCTCTTCGTCCGCTTGTGCGTTATCATCTCCACTCTTTTTATCCTCTTTCCTTCTCTCATCACGAGCACTTCTATCGATATCCATTCTCCGATCCGGGTTGCGATCAGCAGAGGGCGAGCGCGTTGCGCTCGGAGTGCGGTCGCGTCGACGGGAGCGGTAGGGACTTTCGCCTGATGCATCACCGCGGCGAGCACGTCTGCTGTAATCATCTCGTCTAGAATACCGATCATCTCTCCGATCGCCGTCGTCGTTATCGTCTTCATCGCGCCTCCTCCGCCGGCGATAGTCGTCATTGTCATGGTCGTAACTCTTGTCCTTGCGACTACTATTCTCCCTTTGCGAATGCGCGCCTTCGCCATCATCATAATCTAACCGCGCAGACCGTTCATCCCCCTCCGCCACTCGCGAGATCGATCGCGATGACGCCGCGATGCCGCCGCCGACGACGACGGACTCTGCGACCGCCGTTGCGCATCTCGACCTGATGATATCCGGTCGCGGTAGTACTCGCGGTCTCTGTCTCTGTCTCTATCTCTGTTGTCCCGCGGCCGACGATCTCGATCTCGGTCGCGATCCCGATCTCGCTCCCGATGCCTGTCGCGGGTGCTGTATTCGTCTCTCCGGTCTGACATCTACTTGTTCCTTCTTTCCAGAACAGAACCGAACGTCCTCGATTCTCCCAATCTGATATATCTGAAAATCTCATCCATTCAAGTCACATGACCCGGTCACATGATATGCTACAAACCCCTCGTTTAACAACAAACCGCTAACTGGAATGCTTGGAAGTGAGGCGCGGAAACACAACAAAAGATAATAAAAAACCGAAAACCTGCGGGAGGAATTTCTCGGCCCGTCGCGGCATCGTTTAGTTTGACTTTGTTAATTCTGTTATTTAGATGGCGGCTGGATCTTTTGGTTTTTGGTTTTGGTTTTGATCTTGATTTGATTTTGAGGGTTGTGGTGAGGCGGTGCGGTGGGTGCTGGGGAGGATGAAGAGGGAAGTCATAATCCCGCCACGAGGCACTAAGAAGTGCACGAAGAGACGGCGCGAAGGAGACGTTGAGACTGAGTGAAGACGGGTATGAGAACTGTTGAGGAATGAGGGATATTACTACGAAGCACTATTATTATAAGGAGACCATTGCTGTAAGGAGACTATAGGGGTCTGATGGTATTATTATATCTGAGTGCTATTGCAGTGCTATTGCAGTGCTATTGCAGCCTTGCAAACAGTTATAACAAAGAAGAAACAAAGGAGAAAGGGGAAGGAGTAAACATCTCTGTTTCTGTTATGCATCTCCAACGCCTCCTCGACCCGAGTTTATTTCCGTCGTTTATTTGGCTCAAAACGGGTTTGACAGCCTCGCGTCGCGGTCGCGTCAGTCACAAAATCACGCATCGACTTTCTGTTCCTGTACTTATAAGCCATGACAAATGTATTTACACAACTCCCAATCCATCTTCTCACTATCTTCCTCGTCGTCGTCATCTATTTATTCGGCAGCACCCCGTCGTCGCGGCCGTCGTCGCACGTCCGTCCATTTCTCGTCGTTCTTGTCGGTCTTCTCCGGACTCGTCGCAGCACCCGTCTTCTCCTCCATCCCATAGTCCGCTGCATCGACCAGCAGCACGTCCTCCGCCGGATCTCCGTCCCCGCCGGCCTCGACAATCTGCCACTCGGCCCACGCCCGAAACTCCGCATTAATCCGGTTCTTTTCCTTCAGCGCAACCAGGACAATCGCAGGATCCACAATCGCCCGCGTGGCCTTGCATCGCTCCCGCTCGTCGACAAATTTACTCTTCCTGCTCGGCTGCTGCGTCGCCGTCGCCGAATCTGGCACCGGCTGCTCAAACGAATCAAGATCAGGAATAGTGTACTGCTGCAGAGCCTGCCACAGCAGCGCTCCAATGTCTAGGTACCTGCACACCTGCGCAAGTTCCTCTCGACTGCTATTGCTGCTGCGCTTCAGTCCTCCCGCCGCCAATTCTTCCCTCTCGACAGGCACTACGCTGGTGGTCAGGTAAACGATATCGCAAACCAGCAGCGCAACAGCCTCCATAAACGTATCCAGCTCTCTCCTGCTCCGTTCCCGCAGAGCAAGCGCCGACACCTCTCCCGATATCGCAAGCTTCCGATACTGCCCCGATGACGACGACGATGATGATGATGATGATGATTCGACAGTCGGGCGCCGCCGGATACCTACATGCGGTCGTAGGATAATTTCGTAAGGCAGTAAGATGTCGAGATACTTTGCCATGAGCGTAACCAGCAAGCACACTCTATCGATCGCTCTGATGAGCACGTCGGGCTGCAGTCCCGGCAGCGCTGCCAGATTCGGGATCTCGACGTGCATGATCGTGAGCGTGTTGTCCACGTAGCTGATCGGCATCAGCGATCTCAGCTCGGCAATCTTCTGCACTCTCAGCTCGCACAGCGTTTCCGCCATTGCTTTTGCCTTTGCGCGCGCGCGGTCTCGTGAGCGCAGAGCCGAGTCGATCTGTAACGCGTGCGCGTTTCTGAGCGCGGTGGATGATCGCGTCTGCGCAGAACTCCGTAGGCGGTTAGACGCACTCAGATCAGCTGCCTTTGCGGCCTCGCGCGCGGTCGCTTCGCGCACGGCAGTGATGTTGTCGCGCAGTCGATCGAGGCTGAGATCGATGCGGGCCGCGAGCGACGGATCGAAGCCGCGAGCGTCATTCGAGCGAGGAAGAGCACCGGACTCGTCCAGATCTGCTACGACAGCAGCGCGCGATGAGAGCGCGGTCAGGACGCGCAGGCGGGCGGAGAGGGTTTGTGCGGTTGCGCAGCGAGGACAGGTTAGCGAGGTATCAGGGCGGGAGCACAGAGCGCAGAGAGTGGCGGCCGCCACCGGGTGCGTATGATTCATTTGTTTGTAAGGAGCGGTGAAGACCTTACGACGGACGGCTGCGGTAGAAGGATGCGAGTGCGGATGACATCGAGTCGGCTGGTGGTTGTGGAGTTGGCTGGATCAGTGGTGATGGCTGATGAGATGACTGAAGATGATGGCCGAGAGGGCGGATGAGGTGCGCTGTACTGCACGTGACCACATATTACTATTCACGTGACTTAAATTAGAGGAAGAAGGCCTAACCCTATGAAGCGGCAGGTTGCAGATTTAAGCGGCTGCGTGTCTAGCAGCCTAGCAAGCACCCGGGAGCACGCACTAAGAAGGACAGGAACCAGGATTACGGAAGGCCAAGGAAAGAGAGGAAGCTGGAAGCGAACTGGGAAGATGAATGAAGAGACAATAAACGGCGGGGCCCTCTCGGAGGTGGTTAGGCTCGAGGAGGAAAGGATATACGACGAGTACCGAGGAGCGATGGCGCGTGCGTTTGAAGAGCAGCGACAGATGTTTGAGGAGTTTAATGAGTTTAGCGATGTGAGTAGGATGAGCCGGAGGACGACGATGAGGAAGCGGACGGAGAGGGCGCGCAAGAGGACGAGGGAAAAGAGATTAGGGCTAATTTGCGGACGCAACAGAAGGTTTCGGCGTGGGCCAGTGCAGGCCAGCAGGTGGACCATCTGCGTAGCCGAAAGAGGTGAGATGAGAGTGATTGTGAGGTTAGAAGATGCTAATGAGAGGACTACGATGCAGAATCAAGAGACGGGCGGAGTGGGTCAAGGCCAAGGAGGACGAGATAGAGCACTCCCGACGAGAGGTGGTGAGGTGCGTGGAAGCGGTGCGGGCGGCGGTGAGTATTCTGGGCGGCGGCGAGAGTGCGCGGAGGTAAACAAAGGACGCAAACCCTACAAGAAGGCGGAAATTAGCGAAGCCGAATAAGATTATGGCTTAGCTCAGTTCGATCAAACGACGGGCAGCGCGAAAAAGAGAAAAGAGGAAAACAAGAAAACAAAAGACGGGAAATTGCGGCGCCACAACAACAATCGGTGGCGAGATGATGAGGATGAGTGAGTGAGTGAGATGAGGTCGAGATGTTCTGATATCTGATATCGGTTGCTGTGAGTCTGTTCTTTGTTTGATGTTTGTTGCCTGCTATTGCTGTTGCTATTGCTGTTGCTATTGCTATACTATTGCTATACTACGCTCTCGCTATACTACGCTCTTGCTACTACTGCTGCCACTGCTGCACCTCATCTTCTCAGCTCTGCCAGATCTCGGACCGCCTGGACCCTGATGCGCGCGGACGCATTTGCTGACCCGGCGCCTGAGCCCTGGCCTGACTCGATTGGGAATGCACCAGCCACACTCCCCCGAAACCGGACTAGGCACCAACCCAGCCACATTCCGTCCACGCGTCGTGTCAATAAAAGTCGTGTCGGCCCCTTCCCTCCTGTCCCTTCCTCTCCTCCCGCTCTTTGCTCTTCACCAGCTACCTCTCAACCTCTTCGTCGTCGTCGCTGTCGCTGCTGCTCTCGCCGCTGCTCCCGCCGCTGCCCCGAGTCACCCCCCCCCTACGCTCCTTTACACGCGCTATCTTACGGCCTGCCGCTCTTTTCAAGCCGTCTTTGTAGCTGTCTCACCCCATAAACAAACGCCGTCCAGATCCTCATCACACTTCACCTCGACGCACTCACTCCGACTCTTACTTCTCCACGACTCATCGCCATGCGCTCGCTCTCCGTCCTCGCCATCCTCGGCGCAGCGGCCCTCGCCGCCGCCGACTCGTGCACACAGATCTCGGGCAACTACTACTGCAACTCCGCGACCGCCATCGAGTACGACAACGTAGGCTTCTCTGGCTCCTATACCGACGTCACCGCCATGGACGACTGCACCTGCTCGACCGAGACCAAGTCGTTTGAGGGCAACCTCGCGCCTTTCAACGAGGACATCTCGATTCACTTCCGTGGACCTATCCAGCTCAAGCAGGTCGCGGTTTACACGTCCTCCTCCTCCTCTTCCTCCAAGATTAAGAAGCGCGACGGCCACCACATCCACGAGAAGCGCGACTTGCACATGCACGAGCAGCAGCATGCTGTGCAGCACCAGAAGCGTGCTCTCGAGGTCGTCACTGAGATTGTGACGATGGTCCAGACGATCTACTACAACCCTGACGAGGACGAGACTTCTTCTGCTGAGCCGTCTGCGTCGACTTTGTCGGTCATCAGTGCCTCGAATGAGGCCGTTGTCGCTGTCCCTGTCGAGACCACGCTGAACTATGGCGCTCCCACGACTGACATCTCTGTCGGCCCCGCGTCGACCACCGCGTCTGTCATCTCTCCTTCCTCTTCCTCTTCCTCTTCCTCTTCCTCTTCCTCTTCCTCGTCGTCGTCGTCTTCGACTTCGACCACTTTTGCCGTCTCTGTCACTTCCTCCTCCTCCTCCTCGTCGAGCTCGACATCGTCTTCTTCGTCAGCGTCCTCGTCGACGACTACTATCTCGACCTCAGACTGGACCCAGGTTGGAAGCTATGACTCCGAGTCAGGCACGCTCTCTGGCCTGACGTTCTTGAACAACCTCGGCGGCACTAACGGATCGGGCACCTGGTCTTCGTGCTGGGGTAACTCGCTTTCGTACTGCAACACCGACGGTGCGACGGCTGCCGAGACTGCGCAGGTGCTTGGAGACGTGCTTGTTGGGTCCAACACCGAGTTCAGCATCTTTTCCGACACCGAGTGCACGACTGACACGTGTGGATTCTACCGCGATGGCATTCCGGCGTACGTTGGCTTCAGCGGAGACATGAAGATGTTTTTGTTTGAGTTCCAGATGCCGTCCGACAGCGGCTCTGACGCGAGCGCGAACGTGGACATGCCCGCGATCTGGTTCCTGAACGGCCGGATTCCGCGGACGACGCAGTACGGCACGTGCTCGTGCTGGGCGACTGGCTGCGGCGAGTTTGACGCGTTCGAGATCCTGTCGTCGGGCAGCGATTACCTGATTTCGACTCTGCACGACGAGCAGGGCGGATCCGGCGGCGGTTCGTCGGACTACTTTGTTCGCCCGACGGACAGCACGATGAAGGCGGCGGTGATCTTTGACGGTTCGAACTCGAAGATCTTCCTGGTTGAGCTGGACGACAGCACTGACTTTGGGTCGAGCGTGACGGCGGACACGGTTGCGGACTGGATGAGCTCGAGCGCGACGGTTGTGACGCTGAGCTCGTAGGCGTTTGGTGACGATGTTGCTGGTTGTTGTTGATTAGTAGTTGCTATGTTATGTTTGATTGAATTGATGTATTATAGCAGTTTCACGTGTTTCTGAGGAAATAAATAAAAAATACCCCGCACAGCAGCAGGCGAAGATCAGAAATCATCGGCTTCTGACTGGCTCGTCTGTGTTGGGGGCGGAAGCGCGGGCGGGGGTGGGCGGAAGTGGCCCGCGTGTTGTTGCCCAAAATAGTAAAAGATCTCAGCGCAATCAGGAGACTCAACATAAAAAGGCCTGATTCCCTCTCTTCCTGCTTTTGTATTCTCTGTTGTATTCCCTGTTCTTCTTGTTGTCTTCTTGTTGTCATCTTGTTGTCTCTATTACCATGTCTGAACGTGTAAGTATTCTCCTCTACTTCATATACCATACTCTCACTAACTTCTCAGGTCATCGTCGTCGGCGGCGGCCTCTCCGGCCTCTCCGCTGCCCACCAGCTCCTCATCAACGGCGCAAACATCGTCGTCCTCGACAAACAAGGCTTCTTCGGCGGAAACTCCACCAAAGCCACCTCCGGCATCAACGGCGCCCTCACCCGCACCCAGGTCGACCTCAAGATCCAGGACTCGGTCCAGCAGTTTTACGACGACACCATGAAGTCCGCCCGCGACCTCGCCCGTCCGGACCTCATCCGCGTGCTCACCTACAACTCCGCCGCCGCCGTCGAGTGGCTCCAGGACGTCTTCAAACTCGACCTCACCCTCGTCTCCCGCCTCGGCGGACACTCGCAACCCCGCACCCACCGCGGCCACGACGCAAAGTTCCCCGGCATGGCCATCACCTACGCGCTCATGGAGAAGATCGAGGACTACGCCGAGCAGATCCCCGACCGCGTGCAGATCGTGAAAAAGGCCCGCGTCACTAAGCTTCTCAAAGACCCCTCCGACGACCTCAAAGTCACCGGCGTCGAGTACCAGACCGAATCCGGCGAGACCAAGCAGCTCTTTGGCCCCGTCGTCCTCGCGACCGGTGGCTACGCCGCCGACTTCACAGAGACCTCGCTCATCAAAAAGTACCGCCCCGAGATCTTTGGTCTCGCGACCACAAACGGCACGCACGCCACCGGCGACGGCCAAAAGCTCGTCATGGCCGCCGGCGGCACCGGCATCGATCTCGAAAAGATCCAGGTCCATCCTACCGGTCTCGTCGACCCCAAGGACCCCGACAACAAGTGGAAGTTCCTCGCGGCTGAGGCCCTCCGCGGTGAAGGTGGCATCCTGCTCAACGCTGACGGCGAGCGCTTCTGCGACGACCTCGGCCACCGCGACTACGTCTCTGGCGAGATGTTCAAGACCAAATTCCCCATCCGCCTCGTGCTCACCGGCAAGGCCTCTAACGTGCTTGACTTCCACACCAAGCACTACTCTGGCCGCGGTCTGATGAAGAAGATGACCGGCCGCGAGCTCGCGGCCGAGATTGGCTGCGGCGAAGAGAAGCTCAAGGCCGTGTTTGCCGAGTACAACGACATCGCCGACGGCAAGAAGAAGGACAAGTACGGGAAAAAATACTTTGCCAACGGGCCGTTTGACATCAACGACACAAACTTCCATGTCGCGCTCATGACCCCCGTCCTGCACTTCACCATGGGCGGCGTCGAGATCAACGACAAAGCTCAGATCCTGCACTCGGGTTCCAAGAAACCGTTTGACGGCCTGTTTGCCTGCGGCGAGCTCGCGGGCGGCGTCCACGGCGCAAACCGGCTCGGCGGGTCGTCCTTGCTTGGATGTGTGGTCTACGGACGCGTGGCAGGCGACTCGGCATCGCAGTATCTGTTCCAGAAAGTGCTCAAGCAGGGCGGCGCTTCGAGTGCTGGTCAGCGTCTTGGGAAGATCAGTCTGCACATCGATCCCAGTCTCCCCGGCCAAGTCGTCGTTGACTGGGGTACCGGCTCCTCTGGTCCTGCTCTGACCGCTCCTACTCCCTCCTCCTCCTCCTCCTCCTCCTCTGCTCCGTCCTCCTCAGCCGACACTGCCTCGTCCGCGCCCACCCCCGCCTCCTCAGAAAAGAAAGCCTTCTCGATCCCGACCACGGAATACACCGCCGCCGACGTCGCAAAACACAACAAAAAGGACGACTGCTGGGTGATCGTCAAGGGCCTCGTCATGAACCTGACCTCGTTCCTGCCCGACCACCCCGGCGGCGTGAACGCGATCGTCAACTTTGCCGGCCGCGACGCGACCGAGGAGTTTGAGATGTTGCACGAGGACCGCGTGATTCCAAAGTATGCGGCAGAGAGTGTTATTGGGCGGGTGAAGGGGTCGAATCCGGTGTTGGAGCTGTAGTGCTGCTGCCGTAGTATCTTTTTATATTGTTTCTACTTTAGTTTAGTTTTGGTACCTGGCGTATCAAATCAACAATCAATCTGCTTGTGTTTATGTTTAAGAACTTCTTCAGTGTCATACACAATAAGAGGTTATACTTCTACAAATCACTGTAGAACAACGACCTACGAAAACACGAGATTATAGACCATATATATAGATTGGGCGTGAACGATAACCAACGATTAAGAAAGAAAGAAATAAGAAGCAAATGATAAAAGAAAAACTAGAAAACTAATGATAAAGAACGGTACACCCAAAAAAAGATAAGTTTTTATCCACACACTTTTCAATACGATCGTTTCCAGATTACCCTTTTACACTTTTATAAACGAATGGAAGGTGCTTTTGGTTGGCCGTCAAGACTTCAGACTGACTGACTGAAGGAGTTTAACGGGACGACATCGAGCGGGTGACGGTGCGCTTGAGCAACAACTCGGCCTTTCTCAAGTCATCAGCCGACGCGTCCTCGATCTCGAGCGCGGCCATCGCGTCCGAAAGCGCGTTCTCGATCCGGTCCTTGGCGCCACGCTTGAGCTTGAGCGAGATAGCGGGGTCGGTGATGGTCGACTCGACAGACGAGATGTACGACTCGAGCTGCTGTCGCTGCTCAAACTTCTTGGAGAAAGCCTCGTCGGCGGTCTTGAACTTCTCGGCGTCGGAAATCATCTTCTCAATGTCCTGGCTCGAGAGCTTGCCGACAGAGTTCGAGATCATGATGTTGGCGGATCGGCCGGTCGACTTCTCGACAGCGGTGACCTTCAAGATTCCGTTGGCGTCGACCTCGAAGATGGCCTCGAGAACGGGCTCACCGGCGCGCATGGGAGGGATTCCCTTCAAGTCGAACTCACCGAGAAGAGTGTTCTCGGAGCAGTTGACACGCTCACCCTGGTAGACGGGGAACTGCACGGTGGTCTGGTGGTCCTCGATGGTGGTGAAAGTGCGGCGCTTGAGCGTGGGCACGGTCGTGTTGCGGGGAACAACGGGGGCAAAGATGTTGCCCTCCATGGCGACACCGAGCGAGAGGGGAACAACGTCGAGCAACAAAAGGTCCTCGGTGGCCTCACCGACGGCCTGGTTGGTGAGGATAGCACCCTGGACGGCGGCACCGTAGGCGACGGCCTCGTCGGGGTTGATCGACTTCTCGAGCTGCTTGCCGTCGAAGAAGTCAGAGAGCATCTTCTGGATCTTGGGGATACGGGTAGATCCACCGACAAGGACGACCTCGTCGACCTCGGACTTCTCGACCTTGGCGTCCTTCAGGACCTGCTCGACAGGCGAGAGAGTGCTCTTGAACATGGCAGCGTTGAGGTCCTCGAAACGAGCACGGGTGATGCTGGTGTTGAAATCCTCACCGTTGAAGAGCGAGTCGATCTCGACAGTGGTCTGGGTGACAGACGAGAGAGTACGCTTGGCGCGCTCGCAAGCAGAGCGCAGACGACGCAGAGCACGGGCATCGTCAGAGATGTCCTGCTTGGTCTTGCGCTTGAACTCGGCCTTGAAGTGCTCGAGCAAGTTGGTGTCAAAGTCCTGTCCACCAAGATGGGTGTCACCAGCGGTGGCCTTGACGGTGAAAACACCGCCCTCGATCTGGAGGAGCGAGACATCGAAAGTACCACCACCGAGATCGAAGATGAGAACGTACTTCTCCTTCTTGGTCTTGCCGGCACCGAGACCGTAGGCAATGGCAGCAGCAGTGGGCTCGTTGATGATACGGAGAACATCAAGACCGGCAATGGCACCGGCGTCCTTGGTGGCCTGACGCTGCGAGTCGTTGAAGTAGGCGGGGACGGTGACAACAGCCTTCTCGACCTTCTTGCCGAGCTTGGCCTCAGCAATCTCCTTCATCTTGGTCAGGACCATCGAACTGATCTCCTGGGGAGAGAAGGACTTCTTCTCGCCGAGGTACTCGACCTCGATCAAGGGCTGGCCAGAGGGGTCAGAGATGACGGCGAAGGGCCAGGTCTTGGCATCCTTCTGGACGCTGGGGTCGTCGAATCTCCGTCCGATGAGACGCCTGGGGAGGTTAGCATGCTGAGTGTGGAGGAGTGGAGAAGGAAGATAGGTGTGACATACTTGGCGTCGAAGACGGTGTTCTTGGGGTTCAAGGCAGCCTGGTTCTTAGCGGCATCACCGATGAGACGCTCCTTGTCGGTGAAAGCAACGAAGGAGGGGGTAACACGGTTTCCCTGCTCGTTGGCAATGATCTCGACGGCGGAGTCATAGGTAGCAACGCACCTGTGAGTGGTAGTGGTTAGCAGATTTTTCTTGGTAAATTTTTCCGATTTTTGTCTGAGAGTATGCAAGATGGAGTGCAGGTGCCGTCAACAAGTGTAGATTCTTGATGACAGACAGAAGCACATCAGAGCAGCTCCACTCTCCAGACTAAAAGCAGGAATTGTAGAAAAGACATACGAGTAAGTGGTACCAAGATCCTAAAGATGGAGGTTAGTCGCGGCACAAAGACAGAGCAGGAGACGCAGAAGAGCAGGAAACACGTACGATACCGATGGCACCGGGAAAGACTTCTTCAGTAGACATGATGAACTAGAAAGATATACAAAAGAACAGGAGAATATTCTTTTGAGGGGAGGAGGTGGGAAGAGAAGAGGAGGAGGAAGAGGAAGAAGAAGAAGCGGACGAAACAGAAAAAAGTGAAAAAAAAATTTGAGAAAAACTTTAAAAATTTCTTTGCGGCGGCAAATGAGAACCAGCCCCGCTGCTTACAATTTGATTAGTAAGTGATTAGTAGTTTTGTATGAGCGTGTATGTGAGCCAAAATAACACCACCTACACTCTATATAGCAGTGAACACTATCCCGGGCACCATCCCCGCCAAGGCAGCCTCGGCCCGAGGATGGTCACGCTGGCCGCCACTCCGCATTTTCGGTCCTCCTGCTGCTCTTCACCACTCCGCCTTCTGCCTTCTTATCGTCTTCTATCTCCCTCAAACAGACGCTCCGATGATGTCTGCGCCGCGTCCAAAGCCGTGGGAACAGAAATCGTGCTGTCCGCCTGGCTCTGCTTCTGCTTCTGTCTCTACTCCGCTCTCCTCATCACCCGCGGCCACATCAACGCCTTCTGCTCCCGCTCCCATGCGCTCCGACAACACAAACACAGACTCCTCCGCATCGCCCGCTCTGCCCTCCCGTCCGGCTCAAATGGCCTCCACCGGCTCAACCACCGCCATCCAGCAGTCCTTACAAACGCCCTCCTCCTTCGCCTCCTCCTACTCTGGCTACGCCGGCGCCGCCAGACCCTACTCCGCCTACTCCCCTTACTCGGCTGCCTACTCTGCCTCGCCCTACTCCTCCGCATACTCTCCTTACTCCTCTCCCTACTCCTCCCCATACTCGCGCATGTACGGCGCAGGCGGTATGGGCATGCAACCCGGCATGCAAGGCGGTCTCGAAAACTCCACCACCGCCGCCTTCCAAATGCTCGAGGCCGTCGTCGGCGCCATCGGCGGCTTCGCCCAGATGCTCGAGTCCACATACATGGCCACGCACTCGTCCTTCTTCGCCATGGTTGGCGTCGCGGAGCAAATGGCCGCTCTCCGCCGCTCAATCATCGGCTCCGCTTCCGTCGGCCTGCTCGCGCTCTGGCGCGTCTTTGTCCGCATATGGCGCAAGCTCACCGGCCAGTCCTCTCCTTCCTCCTCTTCCTCACCAACATCGGCCTCGAAACTATCCTTGCGCGAGTTTGAGAAATTCCGCCTCGGAGGCGACGCTCCTGGTGCGCCGCAGCAGCCCCGTGTCTCGATTTGGCCTTTAGTCGTCTTCCTCGGTGCCGTCTTTGGCGGACCCTACCTGATGTCCAAGTTCATAAAATCGATCGCGGCAAGCAGGCAAGAAAACGACATGCAGTTCACTGCCGCCGACGGCTCGCTGCTTGACTCGGCCTCAAATATCTCGCCCGAAGAGCTCGCAGCGCAGCAGGCCGCCGCGGCTGCATCCTCCGCTGCCGCGGGCGTGGGCGGGGTGTTGAACGGTGAAGATCTCATTATCGATCCGTCCAAGCTCGAATTCTGCAGAGCAGCGTACGACTTTACCCCCGAAAACGAAGCCATCGAGTTGGGTTTCAAGAAGGGCGAGATTATTGCGATCCTGTCAAAGGCAGTCACGCCAAAGGGCGCTATCGATTCTGACGAGCCGACGTGGTGGCGGGGACGGTTGCGCAATGGCAAGATGGGTTTCTTCCCGTCGAATTATGTGCAGATCATCAAGCGGCCATCGTCGGAGAAAAAGAATGACGAAAACATCAAGCCTTAGACGTGGCTGTCTTGTATCTTTTGTTTTGCTTGATTGATTGTTGGAGTTTAGTTATGAGAGCTGGGATCCTCTCCACAATGTTAGTATACACGCACATAGAATATTTGCTATCAGTTTCCTGTACTATACATTCTATCTTGACTTTTTAATGGGTTTATGAGGCGTCGGCATCAAATACATGTATTACTATAAAAATCACTATCGTAGATCACAATCGGCCCTTGCTGTCTGCTAGTCAATTGGCCTTATACACCGCATCCAACTTCTCGAGCCACTGCTCAGTAGTCCACCCGGAGCTGATCCCGTTATCTACGACCCCATCGACCAGCACCGTCGGCGACACATGAATCGACGTCTGCCGTCCCTGCTTGATAAACAGCTTCAAATCATCCGTAACCTTGCTGCCCCAGTTATGCGGCGTATCCTGCGACGGCGGGATCGCAAGCAACTCCAGCACCTGCTGCTTCTCCACGCCCACGCTCTCCGCCGCCAGCGTCGCAAGTCTGTCGTACGTCTGCGCGCGGGTTTCGTTGTATGTCGCGGTATCGTAGAACTCATGCGAGGCCTTGAACAGCGCGTCCGAGAACGCCCAGAACTTGGAGGGATCGATGCGCTCGACTGCGAGCGCGGCCTCGTGCACGAGCGTGCTGGACGGGTGCCACGGCTGGATCTGCTGTCTAAACACAAAGGTAAACGCACCGGCCGGAAAACGCTCGCTGATAGCGGGCAGGAGGCGGTGGTAGACCTCGGTGAACAGCTTGAGCGAGAACGGGCAGACGTAGTCGAGGTAGAGCTCGATCGTGTGCGGCGTGGTCGATGCCGCGGACGCGAGCTTTGAGGTCGACGTGAGCTTGTGAGCGAGGAAGCGCGGTTGGATTGACATTGTGCACTGCTTTTGTGATAGAGGATCAGGAAGGAGCAGAGAGGAACAGGGATGGGGGAGGGAAGAGAGCGAGGAAGATGGCAGAAGATCCCATCTCGTGGCGATGACGGAATCCCATTGTTATGTAAGCCAAGCAGCCTATCTCCGTCGTCTACAGCATCTTCTACAAATACGTAATTACACGAAGAAGTTGCAATTGGTGTAAAGAATTGCGCAAAGTAATGTCGTAATAGAAATAACTGCAGGATTCAATTTGATTGCTGTGTCGCTCTCGCCCGTTGTTGCGTCACCAATCTTTGTATACCACCTCGGAGATACCGATACCGACCTTGTCTCCCACTGAATAAAAATACATCAGGCTTTTCAGCAGTATATACTATACAAACAAGACAAGCACTATCCTTCGCTCAGAACCCCACACGGATGCCAAAACTATTCAACAAAAGCAAGCAAAGCAGAATGAGCAACAAGAGATGCCAAAAATCCAATCCATACACAACAAAAAACCACACAGACCGGACACGTCTAGTAAAGCAATGTTACAAACCGATACCGACAAACGCACCCATAAGCAAAACAAGCAAAACAAGAAGAGCAGCCAGAATGTACAAGAGTTGGTCTACCGCCTCTTCTTCCGCCGCACACTCGGAAATTCGTCGTCCTCCCCGTTCACGCTCACGAACCGATCAACAGCCTTCTGAAACAGCAAGTTCAACACCTCGCCGTTGTTAGCCGCCTGCTGTGGCTGCTGTTCCGCGCGTAGCTCTAAGCCCTGCAACCGGCCCTCCAGCACGGATTGCTCGCCAACCTCCACGCGGCTCTGGAACGCATACGCCCGACACAGCTGCTCGACTTTCTCGCGATCATCTTTGTCGTAGATCCAAAGGCCCCACACATCAGGCTGCTTCGGCGCATTCGGGTCTTCGTACGAAAGCTCCCACGGCTCGACCGCGCCGTACGGTGACCGCAGCATCACAAACTCATCCAACCGCTCCACGTCCGTCACGTCTTCTAACCGCAGATAGAAATTCTTCAACGACTGCCGGTTTAAAATACAAAGCGCATGGCTGACCGGACCTGCGTTCTCGATCTGCGTTCCTGCAACGGGGATAAAACCTTCATCCAGCACCGTCCTCGGCCCGCGCGAGTATATAAACAACGCGCCCTGACACGACAGTTTTTCCCACGCATTCGTGTCCGACACAAACTTGTACAGCACCGCATGCGCACTCTTCACCAACACCTCTGAAATCTCGGGATCGTGCCGCTGCAGAACTTCGAAATTGAGCTGCTCGGGCGAGGGCACTTGGTCCACAAAGTCACTGTCCGCTTTCATTTGCTTGCTCTTCTTCTTGCTCTTCTTCTTGTCGCTCTTCCCCGTCGCTGCAGCTTCAGACTGAACGCCCCCAGCCACAAGCAGATCAGCCGACAGACTGGGCGTGCTAGCCGCCGACACCACCGGCTTTGATTTCTGCAGCGACCGCAGAAACATATCGGCCTCAGTGATCGCCGCCGTCTGAGGCGCGCCAGTGTTTTGCTGATATGTGACGTACGGACTCCCGCTGTCGCTTGCCGCCGTCATTGTCTTTGTCGATGCGCGCGGGACTGGTGTAGGCGTGGACGGCGCCTGCTGTAGCTGTTGTAGCTGCTGCACACCGGCGCCAAAAGACGGCGTAGACGGCGTTCCAGGCGCTGGACTGCGGATCATGTTGAGTATACTCTTTCCTCCAGAAACAGAAGGCGAGGCGGTCGCCGGCGCTTGAGGCATCTGCAGCGGGGCTGGCGGGATCGGGAACGGCATGCCCATTGGGAATGGCATTGGATATAACGGTAACGGCACCGGCACCGGCACAAACGCGGGCTGCTGCATCTGCTGTGGCTGCTGCATCTGCTGCGGTTGTATTATCGGCTGCTGCTGCTGCTGCGGTGATCCTGCTGGCGCAGCGTCCGCGAGCGAATCAGCCGGTCGCAGGATATGAAGAATACTGCGCTGACTGCTCGTCGCCATGATTCGTATCGTTCAGACGCAAACTAATCCTCAAAGTTCAAATAAAACACAACTTCAAACCGAACCGCAATCAAACGCAATAACTCCGAGAGCTGCAGGTATGATTCAGAAGAGCGATAAACAGTCGTAAGCTGACTGGGGTTGATTTTGATCCCGGCGCGTTCACAACAGCTGGGCCCTAACCCTCTGGTACTCTGATATTCATCCACCTCAATCGCGCTTCTGGTTTACAGGCTGGTATACCATTGTATTATTCTAAGCACTCTTTGACGAACAATTTTGGCTGGAGAATGAGTTCTTCTAATGCTGCGGATGGTGGTGGCAGCAACGGCGAAGAAGCCAATGACAGCAGTACTCAGCCGTCTTATATGGATCCAGAGATGTCCAACCTGCTAAGTCAACTGGACTCCATGTCCCTTCCAAAGTTCGTTCTCAACCCTGCTGTGTATAATTCAGTGCAATGCTAATACAGCAACATTAAGGACAGACCCGATACCCCGAGAACCCTCGCCTGACGCGCTAGGCTCTCTCGACGCGCTCTCCGCCCGCTTCGAGAACCTCTTTAACAGACCCCCCGTCTCCAGCGCACGTCCGCGCCCGACGCAAACCTTCGACCTCGCCGCCGAAGCCAACGCGATCGATCCCCGCGTCTTTCTTGGGCACCACTCCGCCGACGCGAACGGCGGTGGTGGCGACGACGAAAAGTTGGTAGAGGAGACAAAGTGGAAGGATTTGACGGAGGTCGAGGACGAGGAATTCGAGCGCGCGTTGCGCGAGTTGAGCGCGAAGCAGTGGGAACTGTCGCCTGAGGATCTTGACGAGTTGAAAGTGCTGGAGAGCACGGTCGTTGTCTCGCCTGAGGAGCAGGAGGAGGCGAGGAAAGAAGGCAAGTACCTTGATAAGGGGTATCTGAAAGCTGTCGCTGAGGATCTCGATCAAGTCAGTGGATCTGACAGCGCGACAAAAGACGCCGCCGGGGAAGAAAGAGTCAAGTCAGATCGGGAGCTAAGCTCGGATGCCTCGAAGCTAGTGAAAGATTCAAAGTCGCTGCTCGAGTCCTATAATAACGGTGAAGACGAGACGCTGTCTACGACTGATACACCGACCGATCTAAGCAGTGCTGAAAAGAAAGAGTTTACAAAAGAAGAGAAGGATATAGAGGAACAAGCAGACAGACTGGTCCAGATGTACGCCTCCTTGTCTGTCGCCAACGCGCCGTCTCGGACGGAGAGGAAGACATACGACTTTGTCAGCGACAGCGACGATGAGCAGCCCGAGAAGAACGAGGACGAGCAAGCCGACGAGCTTGTTGATATGTATGCCCGACTCGCGAGCGACGAAGAGCCCTCGGGAGACGAGGCAGAGAAGTCTACAAAACAGTACAAGACCCCCGACAACGACGACGACGATGATGATGGCGATCTATTTGCCAGACTGAAAGCGCTGAAAAGCCCGCCGACGTCCAGTCTACGCTCAGACGAAGATCTGACGACCAAACTCCCCGACGCACCCACGCTATCCCACGTCCTCCCTTCAGCACCAGTCGACACCTCTGCGCGCACCAAAAAGCTACGGGAAGATATCGAGCTTGGCTGCTGCATGTGCTCAGGCGACGCAGAGTACCGATGCCTTGGGTGCGAGAAAGATGACGAGGATAACTATTTATATTGCGGAAAGTGTTTCTTACTGAGTACGTGCATCGATCGATCTGAGAGAAGTTATTGAGCTTATGCTAACTTGGCTGTGTTTAGGTCATTTGAGTGAAGATGCAGGCTATGAAGAGCGCACTCATCGCTATAAGAAGCTAATGCCATGAGATTCGACAATTCCATCTATTGTACAATATCGAGATCTAAAGTGATTACCTAACACAGTACGTAATGAAGCCACACCCCAGCCACATCATCCCAGAACAAAGCCACGCAAAAAATATTTCATCAAAACTCCCAACCTCAGCTCCTCCTCCTCCATCTTCACCATCTGCCCCCGTCCAGCACCCCGAAACACAAGAAAGAATGCCGTCAAAGAACTCGATCAACAAGCCCAAGCTTGCAGTCAAGCAATCGCGCAAGTCGATGACGGGCCAGAAGCGCGCGACGAAGCGCATCGCGGCGGATAACTTCAAGTCGCGCGGCATCATCAAGGCCGACAGCGTCATGCACTCGCGCGCGCTCTCGCGCAAGCAGGAGAGGAAGAATAAGCGGAATTCGCGGTATATGGCGCAGCATGGGATTGTTGTTGAGGAGAATGGCGATGTGGTGATGAAGATTGACGAGGCGAAGGGTGAGATCACTATATCTGAGTTACTATCAAAGGAAAAAATACTGATGTTAGTTCGTGTATAGATATCGTTGGAATTTCCCGTACTCAGCTGAAGAAGGAAGAGCGTCAACGTCTGTTTTCCGTCGACAAGGTTGCCGGAATCGAAGACGTCCTGATTGAGATGGACATCGCGTCCTCCGGCGCCGGAACTACTCTCGGCGGTCCCCCCGCTGCCGTCGTCGCCGCCCAAGCTGCCGCCGCTGCTCAGTAATTTAGAAATTTCAGGGCGTGAACTGAAGTCGAGCAGGGAAGATTTGTTATAGAATTTTATAGGAACGATTAAAATGGCGGGTATTGCTGTACTTTGCTATGTTCTTTTGTCTTTTGGTTATCTTGGTTTTCATATCGCAGGAGTTTTGCTTTTTCCATGTCCTTTCGTCTTTTTTTTGTGTTTATTGGGCTCAAGTCTGTTTTCAAAAGTTAAAAGAATATGATACTCGATCTTACCACTACTCCTGGCTCCATTCGTACTGTAAAAATTATAATCTATTATTGCGCCAGTACAGCTAAATATACACCTTTTTTAAACATCACATTAACCGATAAATGCCTTAAAAAACTCCATCCGTTTCTTCTTCTGCTTTGATTTGTTCTTGCCTTTCGGAGGTATCCGCACAAGCACTTCATCGAACCGTTCCACTATATCGATGTTAGTATTCGTTCAGATGATATCAGAAGAAGAGAAACTCACAGATTAAACCAAAATCTATAACGGTCTGCTTCACCTCTCGCAAAAATGACGCGATGCAAATAAGAGTATTGATGTTCACCCTCGGCATAGCCTCAAAGATCAACGAAACGCCGTCTTCACCCTTACAAACAATGTCGTACGCGCTCTCGACAATCACGCCGCCATCAACCAGTTCCAGCAGTAACATGAACTGCTCGCAGACAGATTGAAACCCTTTGTTCCCCTCGTTTTGCAAACTGTCGAGGATCTGGGTATCAAAATCAACGCCGTCGTCGAGCCAGTCCCGGATCAACTGGCCGACGACGTCGTCACCTTGCCGCCGGAATATGTCTTTTGATATCCGCTTCGAGAGGTAGTCGACGCATTTCCAGATTTCTCGCGGAATGTTCACCTGTGGCCCCGAGTCGCTGACGACGAACCCGTTCCGCGCTCCGTTTGGCCGGTCAATCATATCCTGGAGCGATGATCCATAGCACGACGGAAGAACGTTGCCAGACACGGTTACAAAGTAATCCTGCCGATTGACGATCCGCAGCACGACAATCTCCGAAATCTCCGAGACTCGAGTGGGGATCTTCATCGAAAACCGGATCGACTGTCCAGCACCGGGCGAAACCAGCCCGCGCATCTCACCAAACTCCAGCTTCGAGCCATCCATTTGCTCGATTTCCCACGCAACCTGGGTATTTCCGTGATTCTTGAACTTGATTGTCCGCGTGAGCACCGAAAGAGGTTTGAGGTCAGGACACACAATCTCTGTGGACTCGACTTCGACCTTTGGCCGGGACTCGTTCTCGCGCGCGTCCATGTCTCGCAGCAGACGTTTGACGATCTGTGCGCGCTTGTCGACGTCGACAAGCATTGTCCGCAGCTCAAAAGTTGCCGCGACAGGCTTGTGATCGGAAGAAATGTAATGCATGAACGACTCATAGTCGAGCTGGGCGAGCGAAGGGTAGGGAGTGTAGAATATTCTGTCGGTGTAGGCGGGTATGCGCATCTTTTCGCTTGTGTCGAACGTCGTGGTTCCAATGTCGTATTTGTATGTAGGTGGGAAATCTATCGGGCCTTCCTGGAATCCGACCAGCAAGCTTTCTTCTTTGATTTCGTTGCGCAGCTGGTCCCAGAACAAGAGAGCGTCGTAGTCACCTTTTCTAACCAGCTGCTCGATGTCGCTCCGATCCATCGCGATGCGGTAATTAAGATCACCGAGAACAAAGACGATCGAGTTGAATTCCCGCTCGGGACCGACTTGGTCTGAGTTTATTGTTGCCGCGGTCGTGGCAGTTTCAGAGGTAGCTGTTGCGACAGTTGTGGCGGTCGTCGACGCCGTCGACATTGCTTTTCCAGAGAGCGTGCTGGGTGTGCCTGGTGCATCTTCAGACGACGAGCTTTCAGAGATCTTTGCGTCCTGCAGCATAGCTGTCGCAGCCGCAAGTGCGTCGGCGTCGTCTTCGTCGGCAGCATCGAGCACGCGCTCGTCAAGATCCTGTAACAGATCGCCGTTCTGAAATAATAGTTCTTTCCGGTTCTTTCCGCCGTTGCGCGTCTTGCGGTAAAGCTTCCCGTTGAATTTCGGAAGCTTGAGTCGCTTTTCAAACTCGCTCATCTCCCAGCGCCGGCGCTCGACGGACTGCGGCGCCATGCCGGAAGAGAGATGCATGTTGAGGACGGCAAACTCAATACCGGGGTTTCCGGCGATCTCATTTTCACCGAGCGTGAACTTGAGACAGACTGATCCCTTGTTGCCCCAGTAGCCAAGAACGCCGGTGCCGGCGGTGGCGATTTGGATGTTTGTGATTTGCGAGGCAAGTTTGCGGTGGCAGAACATGAGGAGGACCATGCCCAAGAGCTCGGCGGAGGCGATGGCTACATAGGAGGAAGGGCCGAGGGCGTCGAGGATCTGCTGGGACCATCGCGAGACAGTGGCATGGTTTGTGGAGAGAGCGGTGGGAGTGAGCGGATCAGCTTCCTGCAAGCCGACGAGGAAGATGCCGAGATCCTGCAGATCACCCGAGTCGGTGAGGACGGATTTGCCGTAGAGTAAAGGCCGAAGATCTTCGCCGATGGACTCGCCGTGGAGATTCCAGGTAACGAGCCTGATCTGGACGGTCTTTTCGTCGATGAAAGAGTCGTGCTCCTGGACGAGACGGGTGGTGACGTAGTCTGAGCTGAGGGGATCTTCGAAGGAAGCCTGTTGCGAGACCTGGACCTGCTCCTCGAGGGCGGCGAGGGCGGAGCGCCAGGCGAGGACGAATTCGGCGAGGTCAGAGGCGTCAGATTTGGGGATCGAGCCGATGTCTTTGTCCTGGAGCTTGAGGAGTAGACGATCAGAGTCCATGAGATCTTCGTCGATCGAGATGGTGTCGTGGACGGTGAGATCGACGGCGTTGGGGGAGGAGGCATTGACGGAAGAGGATGAGGCATTGACGGGGAAGGAGGAGGGGGCGGTGACGGGGGCGGAGGGATTTGCAGATGGAGGGGTGGAGGAGGAGGCGGTGCGGGACTCGAGGATGTAGAAGGGGGTGTCTACGGTGCCCCCGGACTCAGCGCAGGAGGAGGGATGGAAGGTGAGGACATGAGAGGAGGTAGTGAGGACGAGAGAGGAAGCCATGGGTGGCGGTGGGCATGGGTGGTGATGCGAGAGGGAGTATGTAGATGTGAGCAGTGTAGAAGAGCAGAACTGAGCCAAATAGAAGAACAAAAGAGGAAATAGGATCAAAGAAGAAGGAAAGGCAAAGTTGGTGAAGACCAAGTCGAGAGCGAAGAGCAAAAATGCTGCAACCAAAGCTCGAAGAAGCCGCTGCCGCCACAAATTGAGCTAGTCCTGATTAGGAAGGTGACTCCCCTCAATGCGGTCTGGTGCGCGATGCTGCATAGGTAAACTGGGGTGCTACGCACTGATAATACTAATAGTGAGAGGACGTAACTCAACTCCCAGAATAGGTGGTCATTGGTTTAGGGCATACTCTAAATGTCCTCGTCTGTAGACCCCTGGTAGGGGTTTGATACTCGCTGAAGTAGTGTGTTGAGTGTGAGAAAACTGCGGTTGAGATGCGTTGATTTGGAGTACACGTCTACTTCTATCTGTAAACGGCACTCAAGTAGCATTCTGCATCATCACACTCTTGGATGGCCGGGCTATTTCCTAAAACGGTCTTAACGCGTACTCGACGCGACCTTGCAAACCTTAATCGGCTGCGACGCGCCCCGGACGCGTTTGTGAGGGTTAGGGCCGAGACCCCCTTTTCTTGTCCTCTTTGATCGGCTTTCTTGCTTCTTCTTCTTTTTATATTTTTATTGTTATTGTTTCTTGTATTTCACTTGCTATTGTTTCTGCTTCTTCTCTTATCCTTCTTATATCCTCCTATTTCTCTTCTTCCTGCTCTTCTCTTCCTCTTCTCCTCCCTACCTCCTCTCCTCTCTTCTCCCCACTCCCCTCCTACACCATGAGCTCCTCGCTTTACTCCACCCACAACGCCTTCCTCAACCCGGGGCCTGCTCCTGCTCCTCCTCTCTCTCGCCCTCCTCTGGCTTCAAAGACCTCCGCCACAAACATCCAGCAAGTCACGCCCATCGTCACCCGTCTCTTCCAAAATGATCTGCCTCGTACGTTCATCCTCCCCCATCCCTGCCCTCTTATCCCGCCTCTCCTATCTAGCGCTAACCCCCTCTCTTCACCCCTCCTCCAGCTGGCTTCAGTGGACTCAAAGGCTCTATCGTCAAGCAGGGCTGGCTTTCCGTCAAAGAAGACGGCCTTCGCTCCTTCATGTGGACAAAAAAATACGTTATCTTGCGTTCCGCCTCCCTCGATCTTCACAAAAACGAGTCTAGCTCCCCCACCTCCTCCGTCCCCCTCTCCTCCATCACAACCGTCGGCCGCATAGACATCAAGCCCTACTGCTTCGAGGTCGTCCGCACTTCCGGCTCTAAATCAATGTTCTTTGCCTGCAAATCTGACGTCGACCTCTACTCCTGGATGGATGAAATCTACAGCGTACGCTACTCCTTTCTCCCTCTCTCTCTCGGTAGTACTAACATGACCCCTGCAGCGCTGTCCTCTCATGGGCGTATCCAGCCCCACAAACTTCACTCACAAAGTCCACGTCGGCTTCGATCCCAGCTCCGGCGGCTTCACCGGCCTCCCAGAGACCTGGGCAAAGCTCCTCAACGCATCCGCCATCACGCAGGAAGACTATGTCAAGAACCCGCAGGCCGTCATCGAGGCCCTCGAGTTCTACTCTGACAACCTCAAGCAGTCTGACGAGTACAACCTCAGTTCCCCTTCCTCCACCGGTAGCAGCCCCACTTCTTCTCCCTCCTATCTTCCCAGATCGCAGCAGCAACAGCAGCAGCAACAACAATCTCCATACGCTTTGAGCCATGTGCAATTTGCCACAGGTCGCATCGCTCCCGTACCCCCCTCACAGTCATACGCCGGCTCCAGCTCCGTACCCACGACTCCCACCAGCGCTGCTCTACCCACAAGCAATGGCAAGTCCTCTGCTGCCGCTGTTTCGGCGGCCGTGGCTGCACCTCCTATGATGCGAAGCAAAACCGCAAATCCCTCGATGCCTTCCCCTATCGTCTCCAACCCTGTCCGCCCCGCTCCTCCTCCCCCCGGATCAAGAGCAAAGGCCACTGCGATCCAGCCGCAGGCGCCTCCCGATCAGCAGCCGCCCATCGTGCGTCAGCGGAGCGAAGAGGAACGCGACATTCCTACCCGCCATCCCTTGCATACCCGCCCGTCAGAGCCTATCCTGCCCACAATGAAATCCACTCATCAAGCCGCGTCGGCTCCCTCATCCTCATACCAGAAGACGCCTGAGCCCTCGTCGCGCACAAAGCTTGCCGCTCCTCAGCAGCCGTCAATTGGCGAGACATCGCCTTCCTTGCCCACGATCGCACCCCTCAAGACCTTTAATGCTGCGCGCGCTGCACCCGCTGCTCCTCGCACTCGCGAGAACCGCACTCCCTCACCAACTGAGAAGGTTGCCCTCTCGTCGGCGCAGAGACAGCTGCAGCAGCAGCAGCAGGTCAGAGAGCAGGAAGAACGTTACCATGCACATGTCGCAAAGCTCAAGCAGCAGGCACAGCAGCGGCAGCAACTGCACAAGCAGCACGAGCAGCAGCAGCAGCATCGCCAGCAGCTGATCGAGCAGCAGCAACAGCAACAACAGCACGAGTTGTCTATGCAACGCCAGGCGGCGCAGGAGAATAGCAGGACTAAGCCTTCAGCAGCAATCGCAAGTCCCATCACTGCTGCTCCCAAGACCACCAATCCGGCTCTTACAGCGGCACGACAGGCTGCTCAACACCAGCAGCGACAGCATCAGCATCAACACCAGCAGCAACCACAGCAGCAATTGACTCCAGTAGCGCAAGACAAAGAGCGGAGGGTCTCGACCATGAACGAGAACGAGATCATGAAGAAGCTTCGGTCGGTTGTTTCCTACGGCGATCCTGCGCAGCTGTACGAGAAGAAGCACAAGGTTGGTCAAGGAGCCAGTGGCTCGGTCTACGTTGCCTCTCCGCGGGCCGGCAGTGGAATCATCAGCGCCAAGTTCTCAAAGGTTGCAATCAAGCAAATGAACCTCGAGAATCAGCCCCGGAAAGAGCTGATCGTGACTGAGATCCTGGTGATGAAGGAGTCTCAGCATCCCAACATTGTCAACTTCCTTGACGCGTACCTCCGCGAGCCGGCGGATTTGTGGGTTGTCATGGAGTACATGGAGGGCGGAGCACTGACCGACATAATTGACAACAACACCCTCAATGAAGCCCAAATCGCGACGATCTGTTTTGAGACGTGCAAGGGTCTTCAGCACCTACACCACAAAAACATCATTCACCGTGACATCAAGAGCGACAACGTGCTGCTTGATACCCAGGGCCATGTCAAGATCACCGACTTTGGTTTCTGTGCCAAGCTCACGGACCAGAAAAACAAGCGGGCAACCATGGTCGGCACTCCGTACTGGATGGCGCCCGAGGTCGTCAAGCAAAAGGAATACGGCGCAAAGGTAGATATCTGGTCGCTGGGTATCATGACGATCGAGATGATTGAGTCCGAGCCTCCATACCTGAACGAGGAGCCTCTCAAGGCTCTTTACCTGATTGCCACCAACGGCACCCCGACGCTCAAGCGACCGGACAAGCTCAGCCGAGAGATCAAATCCTTCTTGAGCGTGTGCTTGTGCGTTGATGTCTCAAGCCGAGCGTCGGCAGACGAGCTTCTGAATCACGAATTTATGAAAAAGGGCTGCAGTCTGCAAAGCCTAGCAGTCTTGATGCAAAACTCCCAGCAGCAGCAGCAGCAGCAACGTTAGATATGTTTACATTACGACTCTGTAAAGTGGAAAAATCTTGATCATTGTTTTATATTGTTTTATTTTTGGTTGTCTTTTTGATGTATTTTTTTGGTAGTCACGCTTGGGATCCCGTTATGACTTTTCGATATTTCTTTTGTACGGTCTGCAGTTTGTGTGTTGTATTTCTGTTATCATATTCCTATTTTAATGACTATTTATCAGCGGCATTTTTGTTCACTTGTTTACCTGTTATTGTATTTTAAAATCTATTCTAAGTGAGCTTCATAAGGTATTATATCATTTACTGCTCGTTCTCAGCAAAGACCAACACCGGGAAAAACGGATGGTAATTCTCCTGCTCGATCGTCACCTTCACCTTCCTCTTCACCTCCCTCTCTCCTCCATCGCTCTGCACAAGCTTCATCTGCCGCAACCGCATGATCGAGACATTCATCCCGATGCACGAGCGGAGCAGCAGCAGTCTTGTTTTAGTCATACTCTCGCCGACCAGTTTCGCGTTCACGAGATGTTCGGGCCTCGTCAGCTTGTTCAGTTGGCTGACCATCTTCTGGGCGCCGTTTAGTGACATTTGCGCGTTATCCAGCAGCGCGGGGATCTGTTTGCTCGGTGATTAGCAGTGCCGTTGTACATAAAATGAGTGTATAGAAGAACTTACGGTCCAGTTGTTGAGATCGCTTAGTTGCAGATAAGTCTCATAAGGCGGCACCTCAGGTGCGACAATCGGTCCAAACGGCTTCAACCGGATCCTGTACAGCAACTCCGGACTCGTCCTCAGCGCCGACGACGACGGCGATGTCTGAGCTCCGCGTGGGGGATTAACGATGCCAGCCAAGGTCAACACCGCGACAAGACACAGGTACCCGCGACATATTTCTCGAAAGATCTCGGTCTCGGCACGTAGCCTCGTTAGCAGCATCGTCGTTCGCGGGACGGCTTCTATGTTTATATAATCGAGTTTCTGCGCGCTCTGCTGCGGCTGCTTTTTCTTGCGGTTCTTTTTAGCGGCGGTGTTTTGCTGCTGCTGCTGCTGCTGGTGCAGCGCGGTCATGCTCTCGACTACTGTTTCGAGCCGTTTGAAATGCGTGTCAGTGATGCCGAGTAAGTAGTCCACATACCACAGCATCAGCGGCCACTCATCCAACTTGTAGATATCAAGCTCGAACCCCAAAAACACGATCCAGACCATCATCTTCAGTTTCCGATAGTACGCCCAAGACGATAACGGGAGTGGATGCAGTCCGCCGCTCGGATCATCGGGATTTCCCTGCAGCACCAGGGAGAATTGCACCATCTCGGGAGAAGACTCGATCGTCTCGGCCACGGCTTGCAGCGCGTTCCAGTCAAGAATCAGACCGCATAGCCGTTGCCGGAGACGGCATTTGTTATGGCTCATGACGGTCAGATAGCTCTCGAAGCAGCGCTCGGCCTGCACGTAGAAATCTTCTAAAGCCGCATAGGCGGGATGCGAGCTTGGGATTTCAAAGAGGGATGGCATCGGGCTGCACAAGTCTGTGATGTCTGAAATCACAGCCTCGCGCATGGTTGTTTTGCCTAGCAATCGCCCGTCTTTGAGATACTGCTGATGCAGCTGCGACCGCACGTATGGCAGCTCGTCTGGGAGTCGGAGCGCAAAGTGCTCAAAGTAAGAGACGATATCACCTATGCTCCCATACTCATGAATCCGCAGCAGATCGCTCATGCCGGTCTGCAGTTGCTGATAAAGCTCGACAGCTTTGGCGAACGGCATCTCAAGAAGCGGGCGGGGCGGCATACCGCATTCAAGTCTTCCTTGCACCGCCATACTAAACGCAGTTGGGACGGCGACCGCTAGCTCGTGCGTTTCAGAAAGCGTGTCTGCCATTTGAATACAGGCAGAGTATAACTGCTGCAGCATCGCAGGCGGCGCTTCGGCGAGCATCATCGTTCGTAGGGTTGTAGCTCGTAGATTCAGTCGCTGTGCGATGCCGGTTAAAACCTGTTGAGTCGTGTCCGAGGACGACGTCTTGCATTCGATTTGGAACGCCGCCGCTTCGATTACAGCTAGAATATACCCAGGCGATACAAATTGCAGAAGATCGAGTCCGTAGGTTTCAGTGACTGCGTCTTCTTCCTGAGGCAGAAAAGACCTGGTTAGCATATCACTTTTATCAAAGATGATGTAGGGGAACAAACCTCGAAAATGCCTTTACATTGCAACTGCCGTCTCATCAGGTCACAGGTCTTGATGACTCCGATTGCATAGGACCGCAGAGCATGGTGCAGCAGAAACTGGTCGAGGTCGTTCTGGTCTATAGATGGGGGATCACTCGCTCTAGTGCCGAAATGAAGGCTTTCTTGAACTCCATTGAAGTTGTTGAGAAGGTGTTCAATGTATAGACACGTGTATATGGTCTGGCTGAGCGCACATCCGGTACACCACGACATCTCCAAAGCAAACAGCTCGTCCATGATATACAAGATCTCCTGAGGCGATCTCGGAGCCGAGACATCAAAGTTCGCGTCGTTTGATCTCAGGTTCAAGACCCCCGTATCCATTTTCGGGTCCATGATCTCGAGAGCGTTGATTGAATTCACAAGCTCAAAAGACTCCATCATGACGAGCTGGCCGGGCATGATCTTTGCTGCCTCGGCTGTGAATCTGTCGGTGATGTCGACGTAGGAGGAAACTACAGGCCGTAGCTTGACCTGGTCACTCGCTGCCTCATCGGCGAGGTCTGTTGCAGTAGTCGACATTGCCGTACATCCAGAAGAGATCTATGAGAACTAAATCAAAAGTCAGTGTTTATGATCATGGCTCGAATCAGATAACGGACGATTGACGAACGACCGTTGAACCGCAATCGACAAACGAGAGATTACCTGGACTATGAGTAGCCTTTGAGGAGATGTTGACTGCGTGTCTTGACTGTAAATTACAGAGATTGAACAAACGAATGAGTTCCGATCAATTGCGGATCAAGACTGGGATTATTTTGAATATTTTGGATTATTTGCGAGGTTTGGAGGTTGTCCGAGAAGTTTAAATGCGATAATTCTGCTGTTTAATTCTGTGTATTTACAAATCACCGGTGCTCTACATTATTACAATAAATACAAGGTATCTTGATGAATTATTCATAATTCTCTCTACTCACGATATCTTTTATAAGCAAATTCAGGACATATAATCATGAAAAGTTGAGGCCGTTACTTTCGATACTCCACCAACCCCTCACCAAAGTGATCGCTCAAATTAGGTCGAGATGGCCACGTAACGAACGCGAAGCACTGATCCACACGAACAACTTTCATTGATCTCAGCAGTCTGCAATTACCAACAGAACAATGTCGTCGATCCTGCCTGCTTCTGTACGTGTATAGCTGATGATGACGAGAAGGGGACGAACTGGGCTGGCGACGGGGCTAACGAGTGACATGCAGAAACTGTGGAGTCAGGGGACTCCGTTCACGCCTTTGATCTCAATTGATTCGCAGCCGATTCTTGCAATTCTTCTTCTTCTTGCCGGTGTGTGCTTGTTTTGTTGTTACTATGTCTTGTGTATTGTGGTCTAACGCGTTGCTTTGATATTACTAGGAATTGTGCTCACCGCGCTCTTCAGCATGACCGGTAAGTCCAGCGGTATATGGCTCTGATAGTCCGTCCTACTGACCTAAGCACAGACAAACGCGGAATCTCGGGGTTTATCAAGCAGAGTGTTGTGGCGATTCCAGCGTCTTTGACTCTTGGGTGAGTTGCTAGAGAAAGATTACTATATCTGCTGTTCGGGCGCAACGAAATCAGAAGTATTAACAATTATTGACTAGATTCGGATTTGTTTACCTACTCTGCGCGGTCGGTGTATATGTCTAGTGAGATAGAGATGATATGTATTCAAAAGGAAGAAAGGCTAGATATTTGTACGATAGGAATAGGAAAGATAGAAAAGGATATGAACAGATGCAGATGCAGATGCACTCCATACCGCTGCTTGACAGCACAGCACATTAACTACAATACAAATACATACAGATCACTATAACCACATCATATAACCACCCCAAATAACCAACAGCATCTCCAATTCTAAATACCACCACTCGACAAACTAAGTAGTCAACTGTGAATAATAGATATCAAGGTTAGGGTAAACAATAAGGCTGCAGCCTCGAAGACGCCGTCGACCGAGCCACATTGTTTACTCTCCTCCAACCTCCGTTGCTTCCCCTCAGCCGATACCAATCCCTAAATCACAGTAATACTCTACTCCGAATGGCTTCCAAGCGACAGGACAAGGCTCAGTTTGAGCGGAACCAGAATGTTCTCAAGGCGCTGCTCAAGGAACCGGGAAACAAGTACTGCTCTGATTGCAAGAGGAACGCATATCCCCGGTGGGCGAGCTGGAATATCGGCGTCTTTATCTGCATCAGGTGGGTTTATTTCTGCTTCTTTTAGTTGAGCTGACAGAAGAGGGTCTAATTGATTGCTTTTTATTTGATGTCGCAGGTGCTCGGGAATTCATCGGAGTATGGGAACTCACATCAGTCGAGGTATGCAGCCGCCACACAAACAATACAATTCGTTGTTGATAAAAGCAGAAATGCTGACGATAACCATTCAATTCAAACAGTAAAGTCTGTTGATCTTGATTCCTGGACAGATGAGCAGCTCAAGAGCATGGTTCGCTGGGGTAACAACAAAGCCAACAAGTACGCCATCATCACTACATATTCACTATATCGTCCTACGTATTCCTAACTGATCTTCCATAGGTACTGGGAAGCTCGGCTCCCTAGCGGCCATCAGCCAGTCGACACGTATGCCAAGCTCTTCCTGCTAACTCTACTACACTACTATCAGAACCACAAGACTAACATACACGCTTAGGAAAATGGAGAACTTCATCAGAACAAAGTACGAAATGAAGAAATGGGTCGCGCCAGGCCCGATCCCGGACCCAGACACGATGAGCGACACCGAACGCGAGGGCCCGATCGAGCCCGAACCGCCCAAGAAAACGAGCACGTCGTCGACCAAGAAATACTCGGCCTACGCGTCTTCTCCAAAGTCGATATCATCCGAGGACTACAAGAGAGAGCCTCAGCTTATCGGATCCGTCACCGCGCGTCCGGCGTCGACGCCCCTAGCTGGGCCTTCGAGCAGTCACTTTCACAGCAGCAACAGCAGTAGTCATACTTCGGCCGTCAAAGGCAGCTCGACGATCCGTCTCAAGGCAGAGCAACCCGCGGCCGTGCGATCCCCGCCTCCTTCCGAAGATCTCCTAGGCCTAGGAAACTTTTCCTCCGCGCCAGTCACGCGAGCCTCTTCTGCAAATAGTAACAGCATTCCGTCCGCGCCGTCGCAGACCGCAAACCTGCGCCCAGACTTGAAGTCCTCTATCCTGTCGCTTTACTCGCAGCCGCGACCGCAAGCCGCCGCCCTCCCGCAGGGTTTTTCGGACGGTTTTGCGACGCCACAACTGCAGCAGCCCGGGTCTTACCAACCGTCGGCCGCGGCGTCTTCGATCAGCCTTACTTCCTCGAACGGCAATGACCTGGCGAACCCGTTCGGAGACATGTCGATCAGCAGAAGCTCTACCTCGTCCACCGCGCCCGCTGGCCCCGTTGCACCCTCCCCCGTTTCTGCCACGACAGCAACACCCTCCTCCGACCCGTTCGCAGGCCTTATGAGCTCCAACGCCTGGTCAACACCGACGTCTACCTCTTCCGCGAGCAAACCAATGGTAACCCTCGACGACGACCTCGACAACGAATTCGGCTCCTTCAACAGCGCCGCCTTTTCCTCCACCAACGCCTTTGCATCCCCTCCCCCCGTCCAACCCACGATGGACTTTTCCTCCATCGGCGAGACGCCTGTCGCCGCGCCTTCCTCGTCTTCGTCCGCCGCGATCGGCATGGACTTTTTCGACTCGCCGTCGTTCGCGAACCCGATTCCGCTCAACAGCGGGGCGAATTCAGCGGCAAGCACGCCGGCTGCTACGTCTGCGCCGGCGAATCCGCTCGGAAGCAAGAAAGGAAGCGTGGATGAGATTTTTAATAACGTGTGGGGTTGAGAAAATGTTCACTTCATCAGCTCTTTCTGCGTGTGTTTTTTTTTGTCTTTTGTGTATTTTTTTCTTATGACTTTTGAAATAGCAGCAGTATATATATTAATCTAATACAACTTTCTACTGCTTCTACTACTATCTTTGCTGATTAACGTAAAGTCGGAATAAAAAAGCAACAAGTAAACAAAGAATCCCGTGACTTATTAAAGTTTAAAAGCACCAGTGCGGCGCGTAGTCGACATGACCTCGTTCACGACCTGACGCGTTTGTTGAGGTTGAATTGGTCGTCAAAGGGAAGCAAAGAAGGAAGAACAGAGAGAAGACGGAGGGGATTTGACTATCGTGAAGAGAAGAAGAAGACGCGTCGAGGAAGAGAAGACTGCAGCATGGAGACAACTCCTACGAAGCAACCAGATCGAACGCGATCCTCCTCCTCCTCCTCTACTCCACCGCCAGTTAACAAAAGAGATGCAAGTCCACTGGATCAGAATCAGAATAAGAGCCAGAGCCAGCATCAGCAGCCAGGCAAAGACAGTTTACGCGCAAACGTGGATTTCTACGCTGCAAGAATGCAGGACAGTATCCGGCACGAGCGCGCGAGGTTTGATAATCGTATGTACTTCTCTTTCTTGAGTTGTCCTTTGAATTTTGTGACTGTTTGTATTGATTTATCTGTGGTAGTTGAGGTTCTTTGGACAGAGCAGAAAAAAGATCTCGAGACTGAAGTCCAGCACTGGCGTCAACGGGCTCAAGATCTCGAGAAGGTATGTTTATATCTCATCCCACATTCTCGAGATTGTTACTAACACAACCCAGACATGGAAACCAAACACACTTGACTCATCCTCGTCATTGCCGCCTTCAGAAGCAGATGCAGAGCAAGATAAACGACTGATCAAACATCTGCAGCAAGAACTCGCGAGATATAAAGCTCTCGCGGCTGCAAAGTCTGATACTACCGCAGCAGAGTTACCGCCCAGTTCCCCTTTACAATCCGCGCCTTCTCAGACATCACACCACACTGCAGACCAAAACGACATCACAGCAAAAGAAGACGAACTCGACGATCTCAAAGCCGAAGCAACCCGCTTAGCAACCGAAAACGCAGCGCTAAAACGCACACTCGACTCCTACATCTCGCGCCGCTCCAAAGACGAGTCCGCGATCGAGAAATGGCAGCAAACGCTTGAAAAACGGCAGTCTAGGATCGCCGAGCTTAAGAGCCAGGTCAGTGAGCTGACGAAGGTTAATGAGAGTTTGCAGCGGGAGCGGGAGGAGGTACAGAGCAAGAAGGATGGCGATGGACAGAAGCGGGTTGAGGAGCTTCAGGCTGCGGTCAAGGTCGAAGAAGAACGACTTCGCAGCGCGCAGGAGTCTGAACGGACAGTTGCGAGCAGGATCAAAACCCTCCAACGACACCTCGAAGCCACGCACTCGTTCTCCGCAACAGCCTCCAAAGCCATTTCAACCGCAGGAGCCTCTACAGGCACAGAGGCGGTAGACGAGCTAGTGAATCAACTTGTGGCCGCCAACGCGGGAATGTCAGACCGGCTCTTAAAGCTACTCGACCAGCGCTCGCGGGACTCAGAAGCCATAAGTCGCTGGCGGGTATCGATGGACTCGATCCGCGCTGAGCTTGAACACATGAAAGGCAAGGCAGAGCAGCTTGAAGCACGCGCGTGTGCTGCAGAGAAGAGGGTTGCGGAACTGGAGCAGGGCAAGAAGAAGATGAAGAGTCGGGCACCGATGACGCCGATTTCGGCGGTAGCGCCTCGTGTTCAACAACTTCGCTCGTCTATAAACAGTCCTTTGTCTCCTTCGACTTCTGTCGATATACCGCCAAAAGTAAAGCCGGACCCCGATGCTCCTACGCCAAGCAACTCGAGCGAGCACAAAGAAATATACATCAAACCCGAACCAACTACGAATCCCGCGACTTCTGCTCAACCCCAAGCAGCACCAGCTGAATTCACTCTTGCGGCGGCAGCGGCAGCGGCAGCGATTGTGCTACAGGCGTCGCCGTCGCCTACATTCAGTCCGTCTTCGTCACCGTTGGGGAGGCACACAAGTGGTGCTCGAGAGGGGTTGAAAAGTAATGCAAATCTACAGATGACGCGCGCTGGGGAGAAAGCTAGCAACAGCAGCAGAACGCCGTTACAGGACAAGAGCGAGTTGGCGAATCATACAGGACAGACGGGGCCACACTCGACGCTTTACAACCTACTAGAGAAGAACACCAAGAAACGACAAAAACCGCACGACGATGACAACCCGCCAAATGCTCTCGGCAAGCGAATGAAGACTAGCATTGACGATTCTGTACAAGACCAGAAAGGGGAAAGAAGCCCGTTGATTAGCGAGGATGTTGCGCGCCAGAATAAAGGACAGGCGCGGTACAGTACCTCGATCGCAAAACCGTTAGTCCCCCTCTGTGTTTCTTTACTAGAATCTAGACTAACAAACAGATATAGACCCGGCAAACGCGAGTGGATATTGGAAGATTTTATAGTAAACCCAAGCTACGCAAACCAACACGGCATCCCGCATGCATTTCACGAAGTAACCCGCAACCGAGAGGAGCGCGCATGTTTACACGGCACCGACTGCGCCAGATGCAAGGATTTCTACGCCGCCGCGGGACCGCACGTCGGGTTACCTTCTGGTCCGCGGTGGAATGATAAGAGTCCTGCAGCGGGAGTAGCAGTAGCTAGTCCATCAGTGACAGCTAGAGAAAAGTCACTAATTGACAAAGTGTCGCGGCATAAAAGCAATTGGGAAGAACCACCGTCGCCGCCGGGTTTTTGGCGGTCAGACTTTCCAAACACGCAGGAGGCGGCGGAGGATAGAGCGGAGGCGCGGCGGAGGAATAGGGAGAAGGTGGGTGAGAGGTTAGAGGAGGCGTTGAGGAATGGGAGGTTTTTGTTCAAAGACCCTGCGCTGCGGCCGGTGGAGTAAGCGAGAGCAGGACAGAGAGTAAGGCGGATGAGTGAGATTGCACTCATCTCGAACAATCACTCATCTCGAAGCATAGACGAGTGGTAGTGTGTAAGTTGAGATTTACTTGATTACTGATTACTGGATAGTATAGTAATATCACATTGTCTCTCTTTCTCTTTTCTTTCTTTTCTTTGAAAACCAAAGCAGGAAATAATTAAAAACTCCAGTTATATATAAAAGAACACAAAACAAGAGAGATGGTTGTAGATAGGTCAGTAAAAGAAAAGGAATATGTGGGAGAAGTAGGCGGCACCAATACCGATACTTGTCGAGTAAAAAGAGATAATCAAAGGGAAAGAAGAAAGGTTATATTCTTTTTGTGTGAAATGATGGAATAATAAGCAGTATAACAAAGATGCAGGTCGAGGAGGAGGAGGAGGAAGAGAGGGGTGTTTACTCCTCGTCGTCGACAACAGGATCGCTCTGGACGAGCGACCACTTGCCTCTGAAGGGCTCGACGAGACCGGTGTTGTAGCGCTCGTCGGAGGCCTCTTGCCACTGGCGGTTGAGAGTTCGGGGAGCAGGGCCGCCTGGGTAAATGTTAGTGACTGATAATTCTGATAGCAAAAGATTAAGTGAAGTGTACCGAATGATCTAGCAGTGGCAAAGAGAACGACACTGGCGGCGAGGCCGAGAATCACACCGCCGATGATTTTGTAGGTGTCGTAGGGACCATGCATGGGCTTGCGAGGGCCCCAGGGACCGTAGGAGATGTAGAAAGCTGGAGGATGTCAATTTTTGCCAGAACAAGATATGGAGAAAAGAGATCGCAAAGAGAGTGCAGAAGAAAGAATATCGGACTTACAGGCACGCTTCTCGTCGAGGGTGAGTTCGGTCCAGGGCAATGTCTGGCGCTTCCAGATCTTGACGGTGAGCGCGGCCTGCTCCTTGATGGGAAGGGACTCCCAGCGCGCGGGCAGATCGGAAATCAGCGGGGTGGGGATGGTGGGGGGCTTGGTGCGGGAGATACGGCCCGTTTTGGCGTCCTGGGGGGGAGGAGTGGTGACGTCCTCGGGGGGAGGAGCGGTGACGGAGGAGTTTGCGCGGCGGGCGAGGAGGGCTGCGGGGGAGGAGAGCGGGCGGACGAAAGCCACGGGACGGGCGATGGCTCTGAGGAGGGACATTGTGGGAAAGAGCAGAAGAGTGGAGAGTTGAGAGCGGAGAGAGGCGGAGGAGGAGGAGGAGGAGGAGAGGAAGAGAAGAGGAAGACGAAGGAGACTTTTTTGGACGGCTGCCGGTGGCCTGAACCGCGGCACAAACGCAAAAACATCGCGGGGTTTACGTCGAGGACCTCAGCCATCTGCGCGTGCTGTGATTGGCTGGGTGCTTCTTGTTGTTGTTGCTTCTTCTTCTTTATATCAATCAATACACATTTATTCTCAATCAGTCACTATCTTCAATCCACCAGATGCGCGTACTCGGGAATCTCCCGCAGCCGCTGGTTCATGAACTTCTCCAGCTTCGTCGCGTTCTGCTATACGTTAGCTCCCATCCAGCCCTATCAACACAAACACAATATACTATGCTCACCTTATAATACGTCGTCGTCTCGTTGTTATACGACCGGCAGTTGTTATATATCAACCGCGCATCGTACAGAAAATCCTCCATCGTCTGGTACGCGTCCGACTCCAGCCGCTGCTCCATCGTCGACAGATCCATCGGCTCTTGGATAATCGTGTAGTAATCCGCAACCTCGTCCTTATTCACCGGCTGCGCAAACGGCCACGCCGACGGATGGTTCATCATCTCGTTCAGCAAGTGCTGCATCACCGCAAAATGCGGACCCCGCTTCGGCTGCCGCGCAAGCTCGTCCATCTCCGGCGTCCACCCGGCCTCCTTCAGCCCCGGGATCTCCATCGGATCCAGCAGCTGCGCGGGCTTGTTGCCCTCCTTGAATATAGCTAGGCCCGGCCGGATCACATGCGACTTTGAGATCTGCTTGATCTTTGACATGATCGCCGCCTTCTGCCGCAGTAGGATCGTGGACGAGTCCAGATATCTAATCCGCGGCAGCATCGTGCACTGCATCAGCGTGCCGCCTTCGTAGTCTTTGATATACCCCATCCAAATCGACCGCTCAAGTGAAATCTCCTTTGTAAACCCCTGCTTTTTGAAATACCCAATCGCATAATTATCCGCATACGTCAGAAAATACATGATCGGCGACGTCGCCTTCACATAATCCTTCAGATGATTCATCAAATGCGCGCCGTACCCCTTCACCTGCTCCGAGCTCGCAATCGCGCAGAACACAATCTCTGCAAACTTGCGCGATGCAAACGGCCGGTACGTGATCCCGCCCACGACCGTCAGCGGCTTCTTGACGATCGCAATCGACAGATGACTGCGGTCGTACACCAGGCGCGCGATGTACTCCCGCGGCATCTTTGGCAGCTGCTTTTGGAAAATGTTCTTCAGGCCGGTTAGGATCATCAGGTTCTCGCGGCTGTTGTCGTTGTTCACCACTCGGAATTCAATCAGACCGTCGCGCTCTTCGATAACTGCTGTCCGCACTTTGTTCTCGTACAGCACGCCGTCATACACAAACGAGTTTGACGTGAACCGTGCAGCGACCTCCTCTTCCTCATCTCCATCACCATCATCATCATCATCCTTCTTCTCTTTATCCTCCTCACCCTCCTTTTCTTCCTCGTCGTCATTGTTACCTTCCCCTTCCTCCTCCTTCACCTCACCCCCCTCGACCTTCACCTCGCCCTCCTGCTTCTGCCCCTCCTCATGCTGCTCATTCGTATCCTCCATCGCATCCACAAACTTTGTCCGCTTCGCCAACGGCTCATCATCTGAATCAACACTCGCCGCCTCGGCCTTTCGTTTCGCTCGATCATCATCTTCCTCCTCCTCTCCTTCCTCGCCTTCTTCGTTATCCTGCTCGTCATCCGCATCCTCTTCTTCATTCTCCTCTCCTTCCTCATTCTCCTCCTCTTCCTCCTCATTCCCACTACCCCCTACCACATCCTTATTCCCGACCTCACCGTGATCCTCAGAATCATCCTCCTTCGAGTCAAACAGCGCCTCATCAACTACACATCGTCAGCTCCCTTCCTCTCTTCTACTCACCAACCAATTAACATCAAGCCACAACATACCAGAGCTCTCTCGCGCAGAATCCATCGCTCGTGTGTTCTTCATCTATTCTGTCGTATAGAAGAGTATACGTGTGCTGAACTATCAAACAGACTGCGATGAGATGTTGAGAATATTTTGAGTTTAAACTGCGCGGCTCATCTCGGATCACTGATGTCTTCTACTTCTTCTTATTGTATATCCTATTCAATTCAATTCAATTGTTATTGCATTATACTCACTACTATTACACTCAGAATCTGCAGAATGGACACTGTCCCCCTCCAACCGCTCACCCACTCAATCCCCTCCCCGCCCTACACCCTCTTCCTCCACCTCACCATCTTCCCCTCCTCCTCCACCTCATCTCCAATCCCCCAACCAATAACACTAAACGTCACCACCTCAGAATCCACAATGCCCCTCACCGCCTTCGTCTACGCCCTCCCTCCTCTTTCCTCTTCCTCCTCCACCTCTCCAGAACTCAAGAAACCGCTCTGCACGACAATATTCGGCGGCCAAGACAGCGCGAGCCAGGACTCGGTCGAGTTTGCGACAAGGTTGGCAAAGATCTGTGCAAGCAAGTTACAAAGACCGGTTTATGTCGGTGCTAGTATCGGACAGTTTTTGAGTCAGATTGAGGTTCTTGGAAAAGTTGTCGATTTCGTTACTTCGAACGTCAGTTGATATTTATGAGTTGACTTTTATGTTGCTCAGTAAATAGTTATGTACATAGTAAATACAACGCATCATATGCAGTCCCGGAATATAACAACCAGCCGATCCAGCCGCGAGATCTGCGCCAACATCTTCTCCTCCGCGGCCCGCAACCTCTTCACCTCCTCCTTCTCCGCCGCAGTCAACATCCCTTCCTCATCCCGCTTCACGTCCTCGCGCGCAAGCTTGCTCATTATCCCCGGCCTCTTCTTCCGCTCCTCCACCACCCGCGCATAGCACCTCGTCATCGTCCTCACAATCTGCTGCGTCATCAGCGCGTACGCTGAAGCAGGCTTGTGGAACCACAGATAATACGTCCGGCTAGGCGCGCGGTCGGTGCCTTTGGGTACCTCTTGTAGATCTAGACTGCCGCACTCGTGCAGCGCCGTCAAGTGCGCGCGAATATCCTTGACCGGCAAAAGCGCAATCTGCGCAATCTGCTTCTCGTCGATCCGGCCTTTTGACCGGATAATCCGCAGCAAACGACATGCCACCGCGCCTTGCTTGCGCGCAATCAGCTGGTCGTACTCTAACGCCTGGATCGCTCCCATCAGCACCTCAAAATCAATCGTATACTCTCCGCCGCCTCTGCTACTCAACTTCTTCAAGAACGGAAGCGCAGGGTTATGACAAAGAAGCGCGAGATGCATTCCCAAGTGCTCGAACCGCGAGCTCTTTACTTTATCGTCTTCGGATCCATCTCCATCTCCTGATCCGTCGTCAGACTCGCTTCCAGACGATGACGACGATGATGATGCCGCGGTTTTCCGCCGCTTCTTTCGATGTGATGAGGATCGCGACCGAGATCGTCGTCGACGCTTGCGACTACGCTCGCTATCTGAAGATCCCGAGCCCGAGTCCGACTCTGACTCTGATTCTGAGTCGACAGAAGAGCTCGTGCGCTTGCTCGATTTGCTCGACTTGCTCGACGACCGTTTCCGCCGGGGCGCGGCGATGGAACTTCCCAGATCAAGATGCGGGTCTAGATGCTTGAGGATCTCGAGTCCCGTGACGACAGGGGTCGCGGTCGTGCTGTTTCTGCATCTAAAGAGCTTTGGCTCCATGCATTCGAGTGCCTGCTCGTAGACAGCTGCGGTTACCGAGCCGATTCGTCTGCGCGCGAGGGCGGCCAGCACCTGAGATCGCATGAGAACGACGAATTTGTCGTGGTTGAGGGTTAATATCGCGGATTCATCCACAACCATGTTGTCAGCAGTACTGCTGGAGCTGCTTAGAGCGTAGTCCCGGGATCGTTTTTTTGACGACGACGATTTCTTAGTCTTCTTATCAGAAAGCACGAGGCCGTCGTTGGGAAAGTCGTGGACCGACATGACCTTGATCCATTCCTGCTGCGCGTCTGCCTCGGCAGCCTGTTCGCGCTTCGTCTCCGAGACGGTGGTTTTGCGGGGAATAAGCGCTAGCTTCTGCTTAAAGACAGCACGGTACCTGTCCTCATCAGGACTGAACTCTGCACGCGAGAGGGTGGTGAGGAGCTTGCATTTGAGCAGGGCGGTGAGAGCGTCTCGCGCTTGATCTGCGTCTGCGGCGGCGGCGAGGTAGTCTGAAGCTCTGATGTGGCCGTAGAGCAGGAGGTTTTTGACTACGGTCGGGGCGGCTGGGAGATCAGGGAAGCGGTCTTCGACGTAGGAGACAAACGAGCCGGCGCGGACGAGGGCGGCGTAGATGCGGTCGGGGGCGGCGACGTAGTAGGGCGAGGAGTCAGGCCGGTCGTCGGGGACCCAGTAGAGGACGAAGCGGAGCTGGATGAGAGGGATGAGGGCGCGTTGGATAGCGGACGAGGGCAGGGAGGAGTAGCGGGCGAGGAGGGGGAGGGTGAGTCTGCCTTCTTTGAGGAGGGTGTCGACGACGGTCGCGACGAGAGGGCCGTAGATGTCGCGGAGGAGGAGGACGAGGAGCGCGTCGTCGAACTGAATAGTTAGTAAGAGTAGAAGGAGGTGAAGAGAGAAGAGAAGGGATACCTGCGACATCAGTTCTTATAGAATACAACAACAATAAATACAAGTGAACAACTACAGAATCAGATATCAGAGTAAAGTAAAGCAGCGAGTTAAAGAAAAAAATCAAATTTTAATCGCAGTTCATCAAACTCTCTCTCAAAACCTGATTGTCCCAATCCAGCAAACTGCATTTCCGCCGCTCCACCAATGAAACGCGCGCTGTTTCGAGGCCGCCTTTTTCGCCCGCCGCCGCTCTGCCAGCACCTTTCGGACTCGAAGAAGAACAAGACTTTGAACCACCGTCTTTTATTCAGGTTTTTTGTTCTTAAAAACAGTCGGAAGTAGAACTGCTGCGATTGAATTACAAATAATCTCCAGATCCGGCTTTGAACTACCCAAATCCACTTCCTCGTCCCTTCTCCGTCGCTTCACCAACTTTTTATCTTCACCACAATGCTCGCCCACCGCCGCGCTACCTCCTCCTTCCTCCACACCGCTCGCCGGACACTGGCAACCGTCGCGGACTCCGGCTTCGCCTCCTCGACCGTCGAGGGCGTCAAGCTCGCGACAAAAGAGGTCGACACACCAATCTCGACCCTCTCCTTCGTCGTCAAGGCCGGATCACGGTACTCGACCACCCCCGGTGTTGCCCACGCCCTCGAGCGCTACGCTTTCCAGGTGGGTTCTGAATCCAATTATATCCTCCTTCTCTCTCTGCAATTGTCGCTGACTCCTCATCTCTCAGAACACAAAAACCCGCTCGGCCCTCCGCATCACTCGCGAGTCTGAATTCCTCGGCGCTTCCTTCTCTCCCTCGCTCTCCCGCGACGCCATCGTCCTCACCGCCGAATTCCTCAAGGACGACCTCGCCTACTTCTTCGAGGTCCTCTCCGACGTCTTCGCCCGCCCCCACCTCGCCCGCCACGAGCTCGCCGAGGTCGTCGGCACCCTGCTCAAGCTCGACTCGACCGCCGCCGCCGCCGACCCCTCCGTCGCCGTCACCGAGGCCCTCCACCTCGCCGCCTACCGTCGCGGTCTCGGCCTGCCCCTCTACGCGCAGCCCTCCGACTCCATCTCGGCCACCTCCGTCTCCGACTACAAAGACATCGTCTACACAAAGGCGAACCTCGCCATCGTCGGCTCCGGCATCTCCCTCGACAAGCTCTCGCCCTTGGTCGCGGACTTCCTCGAGGACGCTCCCGCCGGAACCGACGTTCCCCTCCCCTCGTCGCCCTTCTACGCCGGCGACGTCCGCGTGCCCTCCACCGCCGGCAACGCCGTCGCTCTCGGCTACGCCACTTCTTCCTCTGCTCCCGAATTCGCCGTTCTCGCTGCTCTCCTCGGCGGCACTCCCAGCATAAAGTGGTCGTACGGCTCCTCCCTGCTCGCGACCGCGACCCAGGGCAAGGCCGTCGCCTCGCTAACCCCCTACGCCGGCTCGTCGCTCTTCAAGATCATTGCCTCCGCCGGCTCGGCCGAAGACACCTCCGCCGCTGCCGCCGCCGCCGCCTCGGTTCTCAAGTCGGTCGCGTCCAAGCCCGTGTCGTCTGACGACCTCAAGAAGGCCATCGCGCAGGCAAAGTTCGCCGCCGTCTCCCCGCTCGAGGGCAAGCCTGGTTTGACCGCCACCGGCGTCTCCCTCCTCACCACCGGCGCTGTTCCCGACACTGCCGCCATCCTCTCGGCCCTTGACTCTGTCACTGCCGAGAAGGTCAAGAGCGCTGCCGAGGCCGTCGTCAGCAAGGTCGCCGTCGCTGCCGTTGGCAAGGTTGCCGAGCTTCCTTACGCTGATGAGTTGTTGTAAGCTGTTTCGTCAACATTTGACGCACAAATGAGCAGCCTTTGTCAAAAGTGATTGTTGCTTCTTGACTATTTGTCTATTTCTTTTCATATGCTTATCATCAACAAGTTTCAAGTTATCTATCATAAACTAATATTGAACAATTGCTCTTGTACCTGTCTTTTGTGTGTATCTACTTTTATATTCTCTTTTACTTTTAGATGATCCTTTGTTTTAAAAAAATTGAAATAAAACTTTTTTTTAAAAACTATTTATTCCTTTGACCTCTAAATAAACAATAAGACAAGACGGATTAAGTGGGTTATTATGGTCCTGTAATCGGCAAACAATGGGAAATCAAAAGAGTAGAAACAAGTATCCTTCGCCAAACCCCATTCATGACTTGCAATAAAAAATAAAAAAATAAAAATAAGAGAAACTATGATACACACCAGAATTATTGTTACTTTGATAAAAGAAAACGGAATCAATGCAGCTACCAGTTGGAAACACAAACAGAATTATAGAAAAAAGAAAAAAAAAGGCACATTATGCAACAAGGATAGTCGAAGAGGCGTTGCTGAGATGCATACTGTTCATCAGCGCATCCTTCTCTATCGACGAATCAATCGTCGGCCGTGCGTGCAGCTCGTTGCTGTTCCGCGCGCTCGAGTGATTGCTCCAGCTAGGTCGCGTCGTAATCGTCAGGTGCTCCTTCACATCCGCCGAACTCAGAGGCAGAATTCTCGACAGCTGCGGTGATGACGAGCCGAGCGCGTTACGCTCTTTCCTGGCAACGTCTCCGGCGCGGTCGTATAGATAGAGACCGACGAACGTGAGTGCGATACCCCAGTTCTGCACAGGGCTGAGCTCCTGGCCGAACCAGATGATGGCGACGATGATCACGAAAATACGCTTAAACAGACTCGCGATCGAGTACGTCACCGGCGAGACCATGCCGAGGATCTGGAAAGCCAAAAAGTTCTGGCCAAAGTGGACGGTGCCGTTGAGGAAGAAGAGCAGCATAAGAGTGCGGATAGGCATGGCGACGTCGAGACCCTCGGCCTGGATCGGGAGAGTGCCAGAGATGATGTACTCGCGCAGCAGACCGGCACCTTCGTAGTAGAACCAGAGAGGTGAGGTGAGGATGAAGGCCATTCCGGAGCAGTAGCAGAGCAGGTTGATCTTGTCGAGCTTCTTCTTGGGCTCAAACTCGGAGGCGGGAGAGTTTGTGAGGAGCTTCTTGGAGAAGATGTTTTGGGAGACAAAGATAACGGCAGCAAGAAGCGCGCAGAGAATTCCAATAAGCTGACCCTGGAACTCAAAAGAGCAGGCGAGCATGACACCGAGGGTGAGGGGGATGAGGGAGACGTAGGTGTAGACGGAGTAGTGCACACCAAAGATGAAGCGGTAGGCAAAGACGGTGAAGAGAGGGGAGAGGCCCTTGATGGTGTGGACGAGCGAGACGGGGATCTTTGAGGTCGCGATGTGGGAGAAGATGTGGCCGGAGAGCTGGAAGACGGCCATGGGGGCGACGGTGAGGATGACCTGGCGGGTGGGCCGGGAGATACCGGTGTGGGAGAAGGGGAGGAGGCGCTTCATGCCGGGGACGGAGGAGCGGGTGAGGGTGGAGGTTGTGAGGGCCCAGAAGACGACGAAGGCGAACTGCATCATGGTGAGGGTGATTGGGTAGGGGAAGACGTTGAGGATGGACTTTGTGAGGGTGTTTGAGACGGCGGAGGACCAGTACCAGGAGAGGGAGAGGATGATGAGTTTGACGGAGATGGGGGGAGCGAGTTGGTGGATGCCGTGGGCGGTGGACTCGACGAAGGAGCCGCGACGGAGCATTGTGGTGTGTAGGGGGGTGAGAGGTGGTGGTGGTGGTGAAGCAGGAGGTGAAGAGGATGAACGAGTGACGGACAGAACACGCGGATCTGTCTGAGTAACGACTGGAAGCGGAGGGTGCGGAAGCAATAACCACGACAAGAAGAAGAAGAAGAAGACAATAAGAAGAAGAACAAGAGAATAACAAGAATAACAAGAATGACAAGAGAACAAGAGATAGAAGAAGAAACAGAGAAGAAGAAGAGAAAGTGCTGCGTCTTCTTCCTTTTGCCGTGCAGCCATCGCCGCCGTTCCTAATCCGGACTAGCGCATTCGCCACGCTTATTTTAGACACCGCCTCAGCCACCGGTGGCGCAGCGCCTCGCTTTTGCCTGCAGATCGCCGTTTGGCTGCTCCAAAAGCGCGAGTGTTTTTGCCCGATTTGGAATTGCTTTTGTTTATTGATCGATCGCGGTTTATTGTTTATTGTTTATGATATATTGTCTGTTATTAAAGGACTTTGGTTATTGCTTTATTTGTTTGTTCTGACGCAACTGCCAGCAGACAGCAGCTCACGGCTCACAGCAGCAACTCCGCAGCACACCTACCTACGTAATGCACCTCCATCACAGCCTGGCTGCTCTCCTCCTTCTCCCTCGTCACCGCCGCTTCCAGTTATAACCTGCAATCCCTTATTTACATGTAAAACCGGCATTCTCGTTCTCCCTGCAGCTCTTCGTAGTCACACGCCCTCACACACCCTCACTCCCCGCTGCTGCCGCTGCCGCTGCCGCCACTCCCCCCACTCCCTCCCGCCGCCGCTGCTGCTGCCTTCTCCTCGTGCTCCTTCCTCACCGGCGCAAAGTATTCATGTGCCATCGCCTCCTTCGCCGTCAACCTCTCCTGGTGGTCGTACCGTAGCAGCTTGTCCAGAAAATCCAGCGCTTCCGGCGACACGTACTTGTGATTCTCCGGCGTCACAAACCGCTGCCACGGCCGTCTCGCAAACCTGCCAATCAGCTCGTCGTACTGCGGATCGAGCTCGATATCGTACTTGTCCAGATACTCATTCAGCGCGTCCGTCCCCAGCACCCGCGCAATCTTCACCAACTGATCCGCATTCGAGCTGCCGTGGAAAAACGGCTCTTTTTTGAAAATCATCGACGCATACATCGCGCCTAGTGACCACATATCCAGCGAGTAGTCGTATTCTTGGAAATCCACTAGCAACTCTGGGCCCTTGAAATATCGCGACGCTACTCGCACATTGTACTCCTGTCCCGCATGATAAAACTCAGCAAGACCCCAGTCAATAAGACGCAACTGTCGCTTCTCATGATCAATCATCACATTGTGAGGTTTCACATCCCGATGCATGATACCTCGAGAATGGCAAAAGTCCAGGGCCTATGAATCAATATCCATCAGCTTCCACTCAGATATACTTTCAATAACATCTCACTCTCACCTTGAGCAGCTCGTAAATGTAGTAACGAATATCGTAATCCGTAAACCTCGGGTACAACAACCTGAAATCAATGTTGTTCACATACTCGAATATAAGCGACGGTGTCCGACTCTGTCCATCCTTGTTAGCTCATCAGCCCACCCTTCCTCTCCTCCACAACGATCCTAACTCATAACTCACCTGAGCATCCCGAACCATGTCATACAACTGAATCACGTTCGGCCCTCCCGACAGATTCTGCAGAATCTTCACCTCACGTTTGATCTTCTTCTTCTTCACCGGCTTGAGCACTTTAATAATGCACTTTGTGTTGTTCACAATATTCACGCCCTCAAACACTTCCGAGTACTTTCCTCGTCCCACTTTCTTTACAATCTCGTAGTTTTCTATATCTCCCCAGCTGACTTGCAGCGATTCTATCAAATCAACCCAGTCAGTATAACTCTCTCTCAATATCTCAATCAAAAATACACTTACCGTAATCGGAATACGAGGCGGGCATCTGCGCATTCACATACGCATACGTCCGCGCTATCGACACCGGATGCGCCATTTCTTCTCTCTATCTGATTCTTCCTCTGGATCAGTCGAGATCACCAAACACAGTCACCGCACTAAAGATCGACGACTCAAAAATACTCTGGCTCTTCAAAGAAGAAACTCCCGATATCTGCAAATCAATCCTCCTCGCTACCTGATCACTGTTCAAATCTTCCTTTTACAACCAACTATCTGTATATCCAAAAGATAGCTAGCAAAAGACAGAACGCTGTGCAGATCCCTAAAAGCAAACAAAACTACTACTGAAAAAAGCTGGCTGAAGTGGTCCAGGTCCGTTCTCTGTTTGTGCCCAGCCTTCTCCGGTAAGAAAAACCTTAAACCTTCAGCAGCCGCATAGCCATCGGCTACCTTCTTGATTTAGATGCTTTACTATTACTATTCCTAATAAAACTATTCTGATATTACTATCGCTATCGTTGATTAAGAATAAGCATCACGCTCCCGCCTCTTCCACGCTCTTCTCCCCGTTATTCCTCACAGGCGCAAAGTAGTCATGTGCCATCGCCTCCTTCGCCGTCAACCGCTCCTGATGATCATATCGCAGCAAATGGTCCAGAAAATCCAATGCCTCCGGACTGATGTACTTTTGATTCTCCGAAGTCACAAACCGCTGCCATGGTCGTCTCGGGAATCGCCCAATCATCTTATCATACTGAGCATCTAGCTCAATATCATACTTCTCCAGATACTCGTTCAACGAATCCGTCCCCAGCACCCGCGCAATCTTCACCAGCTGATCTGTGTTTGAACTGCCGTGGAAAAAGGGGTCCTTCTTGAATATCATAGCCGCATACATCGCCCCCAAAGACCACATATCCAGCGAATAGTCGTACTCCCGAAAGTCAACCAGCAACTCGGGGCCCTTGTAGTACCGCGATGCCACTCGCACGTTATACTCCTGCCCCGCATGGTAAAACTCTGCAAGACCCCAGTCGATAAGACGCAGCTGCTTCTTCTCATGATCAATCATCACATTGTGAGGTTTCACATCCCGATGCATAATACCCTTCGAATGGCAAAAGTCCAGGGCCTATGAATCAATATCCATCAGCTTCTACTCAGATTACCTCCAATAACATCTCAATCTCACCTTGAGCAGCTCGTAAATGTAGTACCGAATATCGTAATCAGTAAACTTTGAATACAAAAGCCGAAAGTCAACGTTATTGACATATTCAAACACAAGCGACGGTGTCCGGCTCTAATATAAATCCTCCGTCAGCAGCTCATCTATCAAAATCAAACCAGCCGAAATACTCACATGTGCATCGCGCACGATGTCAAACAGCTTAATCACATTCGTTCCACCCGAAAGATTCTGCAAAATCTTCACCTCGCGCTTGATCTTTTTCTTCTTCACCGGCTTGAGCACTTTGATGATACATTTATCATTGCCATTCAAGTTCACGCCCTCAAACACCTCCGAGTACTTTCCCCTACCAACCTTTCTCACAATCTCGTAATTCTCAATGTCACCCCAGGAAACATGAAGCGATTCTATAAACAAACAGTCGTCAGTACCATCGTTATTCCCCACAGCACCTCAACCTCTCGCAGCTCACCATAATCAGAATACGAGGCAGGCATCTGCGCATTCGCATACGCATATGTCCGCGCTATCGACACAGGATGCGCCACCGCCATCGTTGGCTCCTCGTCGTCTCTTTTCCGTTTTTTTTCCGTTCTCGAGGTATTTGCTCGCGGAGCCGTAGTAGACCACCAGCTGTCGGTTTATTTCTGTCTAGCGCACTTAACCTGCAGTTTACTGGAGGATACTACTCTCTGTTCAGAACAAATCAGACAATCTCAGTCAACTATCAGAACCGACGGCGCTGATTCAACTGGAAAGCAAGTTGTTGTTGATCAGTAAAAACCTCGCTGTTCGTCATCAAGCTCTGCTCTGAACTGCGCGCGGTTTTACTCATTTTCATCAATTCAATTAGAGTTTTAAGAAAAGTCACGTGAAGATGATGTAACCAGTTCTGTCTCGCTCTCGTCTTATACTCCACCAAATACCAGCAGCAAGAGCGCGATGTATTCAGAAGCTGGAGTCTCGGAAAGCGATGAATACAATACGTCTGGACTGTCTGCGAGTCAGATAATACTGGCAATAAATTTCCGCTCCAGCGCGCTCGGGTTCGCATACTACACCTGCGACGACCACAGACGAGCGTCATCGAAGACCTGCATGCCAACGCTGCTTTGATTGAGAAATATCACGCCGGCTGGGATATAATCCACAATGGTCAGTCAGCGTTGTGCACTTTTGATATGGCAGTCGTGTTGATGTATTCGTTTGCAGTGATCTTCCAAGTAAAACCGACCATCGTTCTTCTTCCGTCGCGGATCGAGGATTCCATCGAAGAAGCACTAAAAAGCGTAGCAGAGACGAGTGCGACAATACCTCTGTTTGATACAACGAATCCCGCTGCTCATCTGTTTAAATTCTAGACCTACGTATAGACATCCGTCCTAGTAACGAATTCGCCCCAAGAGCTGCCATCTCAAAGATCTTGGCACTACAAGCCGAACGACCGACCTCAGTGCAGTTTGTAACCCCTACCAGTGAGCATCTTGCAACTAGCTCGTCATCAGACGCTGCGCTACTGGAACTGTCTACAAAAATCAATCTTGACAAAGAAATTTCTGTATGTTCTGCCTCTGTGCCATTCTGAAGCACATCTACTGAGCTGTCCCCACAGATCGGATGCGCTGGGGCGGTAATCGCATGTGCGCAAAGACTGTCCGCTCTCGAAACTGGCGATGCCGAATATAGCAGCGCATCACTGAGCATTCTTGACATCGAGTCTGTCAGGCTGTATGTCGTCTATACTTTATAATTTCGACGATACTTTCTAACCTGCTTCTAGAGACGACATCATGTACGTAAACTCAGATACCATCTGCTCCTTACAGATATTTCTCGACGAAAGCCACCCCGACGTGCTCGAGAGTGCCGCAAACAGGCGCAAAGAAGGCCTCTCTTTATTCGGAATCCTCAACTCTACAGCCTCGCCATTCGGCCATCAACTGATGAAGTCTTGGTTTTTGCGCCCGCTTCTGTCTGTTGAGAAAATCAACGAGAGACTTGATGCGGTTTCACTTCTTGTGAGACCCGATAATTATCCGCATGTCATAGATGGACTCAAGGGGTGCCTTAAGCGGGTCAAGAATATACCAAAGATTGTTGCAAACATGGCTATGGGAAAAGCAACGATTGCTGAGTGGAAGGGTCTCCTTGACGTATGTTGCGCAGGACTTCCCGTTGAGAGTTTTTACTGACAGAAGTGAGCAGTTTGCGTATCAATGCTTGAAGATTAGAGTCATACTATGCAATATAGTAAACGCTCAAGATATCAAGATTGTCAAGAAGATCACCGAGCAGTTTGACTCTGTTCCTCTCCGTGAAGTTTGCGAGCTTATCACATCTACTGTATGCTACCCCGTTTGTTTTTGTTTATGATACGAACTAGATTGGCTGAACAGGTTTCCAGATCGACTTTGATATGTCTGCAGTTGAGAACCGCGTCGTTGTGACCTCTGGGATCGACGAAAATCTCGATTGCCTCAAAAGCCAATACGACGCCATCGAGGAGCTTCTTCGCGAGACGGCAATCAATCTCTCTCGCGATCTTCCTGATGTCTATGGTGACGCAGTCGATGCAGCATACGTCCCGCAAATTGGATTTCTAGTCAAAATTGATTTAGGAGCAGACACCGGCGAACCAGTATACTTTGGCGATGACTGGGAATTGCAATTCAAGACTGACCAGCACGCTTTTTTCAAGTCTGCGGATGTCAGAGAACTTGATGAGAATTATGGAGACCTCTACACTCTCATCTGTGATATTGAGATTGAGATTGTCCATGCTCTTCAAGTTGACGTCTTGAAATACTCAGATCTACTGACAACCTGCTGCAAGCTGACCGCGGAGCTGGACTGGTACGTACCCATCTGTTATGACTACATTTACGCTTGCTGATGATGCTGTAGCCTGGTATCGTTTGCGGAATCGGCAACACTCTACAACTATCATAGACCAACAGTAACCGAGGATAACGTCATTGATATCAAAAAGGGTCGTCATCCTCTTTATGAGCTCTCGGTTCCGTCTTTTGTTGAGAACGACACACTGCTTCGCGGAAGTGAAGGAGTAGAAATCGACACCAAAGAGAACGCAGACACTCTTCCGTCGACGATCCTTCTCACTGGTGCAAACTTCTCAGGAAAGTCTGTGTACCTCAAACAAGTTGCTCTAATAGTCTACATGGCCCACATAGGCTGCTTTGTCCCTGCTGCCTCAGCTACCATCGGTCTCACGGACCGAATTTTAACTCGCGTAATGACCCGCGAAACGGTCGCTCGCGAGCGATCAGCATTCATGAATGACATTATGCAAATCTGTACAGCACTGCAGCTAGTCACCCGACGGAGTCTCTTGATTGTTGACGAGTTTGGGAAAGGTACTGAGGCGTGCGACGGAGCAGGTTTGTTTGGCGCTTTGATTGAGTATGTATCGCGGAATGCATGTGGAGGACGAGGCAGACCAAAGGTGGTAGCCGCCACCCATTTCCATGAAGCTCTGGATGAAAATGTCATAAGGATCTCTGAGAATGAGGTCAAATTTGTGCACATGCAAGTTCTGATAAACGGAGACACGAAGAATGAAAGTGCGGGCGAGAGACAGGTCGATATGAACATCACCTATCTATATCAATTAGTCGACGGCCATTCTACATCTAGTTTTGGAATCCGGTAGGAGACTCTCATATACTCTACCCTACTAGTACTAATACGTCAATCTCAAATAGCTGCGCAGCCATGAATGGTGTTCCGAAAGAAGTCATCGACCGGGCTGAAGAACTCTCGGCACTACTAGCCCGCGGCGAGGATCTTTCTGTCGTGTGCAGCCGATTAGATGCGAAAGAGCTGAAAATAGTCGAGCATGCTGTCCGTGCCGAGCTAGTGAGTGCTGTTTCAGGTATAGGTCCGAGCTAACGGTGTTTTCGCTTAGGAGCTTGTTGCGCGCCGATTTTTAAAAGAGAATTTTAGTGCGGGATTCGATGATATCGCTGTTCGTGAGAAACTTCGGCGAGTCCTAGGATACTAACTACTCTCTACTGTACTTTGCTACTGCCGTTTGCTACATTCGCTATTTATAACATGCAATCCTAGCTCGATAAATTATACATCTACCTAAACTTCATACTCTTTGTAACATTCTTCTTGATACCAGTCTTCTCACCCGCATAAGCCGACTCGGCAGGCTTATAAATCGCCTTCATCGACGCCAATTTCTTCTTTGCCTTTTCGTATTTCTTGCGCTTCTTCACTCTCGAATTGCGGTTATCCTTGTTCCGCTTCGGCGTCAAGCCCTTGTTCTTCAAGATCTGGTAATTGATCGCACGCTTGCCGTCCTCGCCGACTTCATCCTGCAACTTCGCGAGGTTTCCTTCCTTTGCGGCTTTCTTGATCGACTCATGCAGATCAATCTTGTCTTGCTTCTTCTTCTCCTTGGACGCCTTTACCATGTCGTAATATCCGTCGTCAGAGTCCGCATCGCCATCGCCGTAGCCAGCAACTGTATCACCGGCGTTACTCTGCGCGAACGAAGTCGAAGTGAAGTCGTTATCGTAATCATCCTCATCACCATCCTTGCCGTCCAAGAAATCAGCATCACCTTCCTCTGCTCTGGTTTGTCCGCGCATAGCCGCCAACTGCGACAGCCGGCTCAGACGCTCCTTCTCGCGCTCACGGTAAGGCAGATCAGCATCTCCAGAAAACTTCTCCTTCCGAGACGCGGCTTTCTGGTCGATCTTGGAAGTGTAGAAGCGTAGAGTCTTACGACGGGTCAGTTTGTCGGACAGATCGACGTCATCGAGCGCACTAGGATCAACGAAATCGCTACCAGCTTGCGCGGCAGCGAGTTTCTTCTTCTTGGAAAGAGGAGCGACGGTTGGAAGATCAAGATCGACATCAATAGTAGGAAGAGATCGCTTTCTCTTTGACGGGGCGGACTTCTTTGTAATTATCGATCCAAAGCTTTCCTCCTCCTCTTCTTCTTCTTCCTCTTCTTCGTCGTCGCTTTCGTCGACAGCGCTCTCGGCTTCGCTCTCGCCCTCATTCTCATCACTCTCGTTCGTCAAATCCGGCGTAGACACCTTTACGTCCTCAGTCTGCGAGATCTTTTTCCAGTACCGTCTCAAGACCAGTAGATGGTTCATAACCTGCCGATCTCTGACCGTATTCTCATCCGTCGTCTCATCGCAAAACAACGTAAAGTAAGCCGAAATACAAGCCAGATAACTAGCGAGCGCAACAAACTTCACCGACCGATCACCCGCCGCGCGCATCTCCTCAAAGATCGGCAGCATTTCGGAATACTCCTTGCTCAGCGGGAACAGCTCAGGATTCCGCGTCCGCAGTAACGATAGCTGCTCCTCTTTCGACATCTTTTCGATCTCGACCCGCGGAACAACGTCCCGCACGGCTTTCTTAAAAACCTCGTCTTCCTCCTTCGCAGCAGTCACCATCGCCTCTTCAAAGTCGTCCAAGAAATCGCCAGCGCTCATGTCGCTCAGCATCTTCTGTTGAATCTTTCGCGCCGTTTCTTCCTCCTCTTGAGCTGCCTCTTCGTCAGAGACGTCATCGGCATTATAGTACGCCCGTGCAGAGGTACCCCAGCCAGAAAGCTCATCAGCCTCGTCGAGCGCAGATTTTTGCTTGACTGCCCGCCAGTCGTCGTCGTCGTCGTCCGACACCTCGGTAGCAGAGACCGTCTTTGATTTCTTGCTTTCCTTCTTTGAGGACTTTTTGGGTTTTTGCGGGGCCTCTTCTTCCTCATACTCTTCTTCTAGCTCCTCTTCGACTTCGCTCTCGTTGTCGGAGGACGCATCCATCGCGAGAACTTCCTCATCGCTAGCTTCCATATCTGCATCTCCGGTCATTAGCCACCGTCAACACCTCGTACAATGTAAATGATTTTCGTACCTTGATGTCTAGAGGCGCCATCATCCCCAAACAGAATCTTCTCGCGCTGATCGTGAACTAAATCAGTCAAAAAATAGTCAGTATTCGAATCCAACAAGCGCTCAGCAAATAATAAACCATACACTCATCAACCGCGTCTTTCTCCATCTCGTCATACGTATTCACCCGCCGTATACTATCACCGCCATCGTCTTTTCGTCCTCGTCTAGCCATGATCTTCTGCGTCGCTAAATCAAGAAACCAGAGAGAAATCTGGAGGATGGGACTTTTACGAAATATTTTTTTTTCTCGTCGCGGCTCTGCTTTTCTCCCATCTAAACCTTATCGCTAAACTCCCAACTTCAACTTTTTTTTCTTCACCCTCGGATTCCATATATCTACGACCGAGTCAATTTCTAAACAAAGCAACAATGACAGACTCAGTAAAGACAAATACACAATCAGAAGAGACCCCGTCGGTCCTGCCAACAAAGAATCTTGGTATCCGAAAGAACGGCAAACAGTGGAAGGAGATCAAGGAGCCGAAGCGGATTAACGGGTTGGGAACAAAAACTGCCTGGGCGCAGCGAGAGAAGGTGAGTCGATCGAATGAGCACCGTTGTGTGGTTGATATGGAGTAGAAATGCTGAGGATTTTGCTAACGTTGTGCTTTACGTATGCAGAAACGCCAAGATCTTGCGCTGCTGAAAGCTGAGCAGAAGCTTCTCCAAGAGGAGAAGCAGGAAGCTACAAAGGTAAGAGGGATACCTTACCAATTCATCTTACGTACAGAGATCTAACTCTCATTTTCATTTTCAACCAGGCGCGAATCGATCGGATAAAGCAAAAGAGAGAAGAAAAAGAAGAGAAAGAGCGGTACGCGAGACTGAGCGAGAAGATGCACAAGAAGGTATGTTTCCACTATTCATAATCCGAGGAGGATTCAAGCTAGGATTCAAGCTAACATCCTCTAAACAATAGCGCGTCGAGAGATTGAAACGCCGTGAGAAACGCAATAAGTTGTTGAAGGAGCGTTAAATCATCGCTATGTACTCTAAAGGAATATAATAAACGGATTCTACTCTCAAGATAGAGGAAAAGAGCTATGTTTATTCTTGCACTGAGCTCGTTCTACTTTTATTCCACAGAAAACTACCCAAATCCCATTACAACAGCCACTTCAAACGACTGACCTTTGTAATACCAACAACTACCGACACCACAAACTTTGCCTCCACTTAGAATTTCCCAGGATAGACAGACAAAAAGGCACATAACCTCTACGGCTCTGCGCTCTTTTTCTCATTCTCACTCTCGTTTTCGGGCTGCCTCTATACACAAAAAAAACAGAAAATAAAAGGGCGGAACTTCTGTACAAGAATGAGACGACGTTGGGAAATAAGTTTATAAAGTTATAGAAAGAAAAATAAGAAGGAAAAAGAACTAAAATCATGGCTGTGAGTCCCCGCTCTTATCCACGCTCGTGGGCGGATCCAGAGCTGGAATTTCAGGACTGACAGGCCTCAGATCAGCATCTGGACTAGCAGGACTTGGCGGAGTCATAATGTCAGCAGGCGGTGACGAAGGTGCAGCAGACAATTGTGGCGATGAAGGTGCAGGAAGGTTGACGTGAGGCGCGTCCGGTGGAATCATGTGTCCGAAATCGTCGTCCGAGTCATCGTCCGACGCAAGCATCTCATCGTCGTGCAGGCTTCCACCGTTCAAGCCCTGTCCCTCGCTCTCGTCGACAGGAGCATACTGGTACCGGCCCGCAACACCGCCGTTGCGTGAGCCAAGCGGGAATGAATTCCGGCTACTAATTTCCGAGCGATATAGTCGACTGGGTCGAGACGGTCCCCGTCCGAAGCGCGAGTTGACCAGCTGCTGCACAATCATCGGAAGAGCGCTCACAAACGCAACAACAGCGGAAACAGCAACGATCGGGTACTTGAGCAGTCCGTTCTCGGTACCAAGACCGATGTGCATATCGAAATCAGTCTCGCCCAGTCTGATTTGTCCGTACTGGCCATAGTAGTGGTTGTAGAGCACATAAGCAATGACACCAGCCATGCAGAACGGCAGAAGAACAAGAAGGAAGATTGTGAATCCACCCATTCCTCCATGCAGCTTACCAAACTCCTTCTCATGGTTCGGGCACGCCTTTGATGTAATTTGATCCAAGTTCAAGCCTCCGGCGCAGGTGGTCAAAGGAATCCGGCGGTATCCCGTAGGCTCAAAGTACTCGATCAGGTTTGGATTCTCAGCGCACTGCTGGGCATGGTTGGGAGGGTTATATCCAGGAACGAGCTGACATGAGCCGTCGTTGGCAAGACGGTAGTTTGCGTCGCACTCATAATCCTGTCTCTCACACGTGCAGTTTGTGCTAACAGAGTGAGGCTGCGGGATCACATCGCCAATGTAGCAGAAGTGATTAGGAATCTTGCGACGGTACTCAGTCTTGTGGCCAAACAGACAGCTCGTATCGCCTGGAGTCTTTGCAGGAGTCCAGAGCTCAAAGTCATCGTTCTTGGCATTCTTGGTGTCGATCTTGCACTTTGTCGCGGTGGTACCCGTGAAATCGACATGGATCATCAACGTTTTGTCGCCATAGGACGCCTGGGGATGAGCATGGATCAAGAACTTGCGGCTCGTATCAGACGGCACAGTGCTGATATCGGCAACGGTGACAAGCTCGTCGTTGAACTGCAGCTCCTGCCAGGTAGAACCTTCGTCAAACGTATATTGCAGAGTGTTGGTAGGAACAGGCGAAGCAACGAGAACGATGATTGAGCCTTGGTCGCCATACTCCCACATGAACGTTCCCTTCTTGATCTCAGCCCATGTAAGACCAGCGTCGCGAGTGAGGTAGGTGTTGCCTTCTCCATAAGTTGTGAGCTGGGGTCCAACATTTCCAACGCCAATCATCAATCCAACAGCCGACCCAGAGGAAAATGTATCCCGAACGTCCTCGCGCTCAGTGTATCCGTGAAGATTCAAAGAGCAGAGCTCGGAGGCACCCGAGCAGCTAGTAGGGTTACCCTGCGAGTCAATCGTAGGCGGGATCAGGTAGGACCACGTTGCGCCGTCATTGAACGAGATCTTCGTGCGCAGTTTCTTCTGAGCCCCACCGGCCGCCTCAACGGGATTGGAGACGGTGTTCATCAGCAGGATACCCTCGATTCCCTGCATACGTTCATAGTCAACGTATCCGTGAACGTCACGGTTGACATAATCCAGCGATGTGACGTAATCAGTTCCGTTCGAGTTTGACTTCAAAACTGTTCCGTACTCAGCCCCAGGGTTCTGATTAACAGTGACGTGCATCAAGATCGCCTTTGTGGAGGTGTCAAGGATTGTATAGGCCTGAGTGACAGAGACCTTGAAGTCTGGCGGGAACTTTGCTTCGGCGAACGTGGTGCCGTCGACAGACACGTCAGCACGCATCGACGCCCGATCGTTAGCGACGGAGGCGACGATAACAAAGTCGTTCTGGACAGCGAAGCCGTAAATGTCGTTGAAATGAACTTGCGTGTTTTTCTCATTCTTGAAGAACTCGGTTGACGAAATCAGCTGGACGTAGGTCTGCACGTTGCTGCCGCCGGCGGGGAGGAGTCGCTTGCAAAAGACGAGGTTCTCATCTGTCGGCTGCTGGATTCCGGTGACAAACATGCAGTCCAAAGCCGGCTCAACCATTGCGGTCCAGGACTTCCCAGCGTTCTTACTGTAGTGAGTGGAAACGCCGCAGGCAGTACCAGCGGGCAGCTTGGTACAATCCATCTGACCGTGCCAGATGACCCAGTCGGGACGAGACTTGTGAAAGGAGAGGAAAGGTACGGAGGAGAAAGTGTTGGGAGCATTGGGGGTCTTGTAGGTAGCCCACTTCTGTCCACGGTTGGTAGAGACCAGGATCTGGTTGGTGGAGGTGACCAAGAAGACGTAATCAGATACGTAAGGGTGGGGATAGATGGCAATCACCTGGTTTGCGGAGGAGACCTCTTTCCAGGTCTTTCCGTGATCAATCGAAATCTGAACAACGCCCATTGATGTTCTCAGGATGACTGTTTCGTCGGTGCCCTTTGTGCCGGGGGCACGCTCGAGATAGTAGTACTCGAGGATCCTGCCATCGAATTGGACAGGAACGGTGTCGATAGCGTCGGCATTGATTTCGACCTGGATCAAGTTAGCCCCATGCCCGGCGCAATTCATCACGCATACACATCCAAACAAGACAGTGAATAAGATCGAAAGGGAGGACGAACCGGCTTGTTGTTGTATTCCTGAATGCTGCGCTCGAACGAAGCAGCGTCGACGAGGGCGATTAGGAGGGCGACTACCAGCAAGCAGAGCGCTATACTTCTGCCAGCCATTGCGGTCGGATTGAATGCAGCAAACTGAATGTTCTGCAGAAGACTGAACGAACAAAAAGACTCTTGAAGAGACAAACGCAGGGCAAATGATTCGAAATTGTCGAATTACGTGGTCTGAATGAACAAAGGCTGCTGCTGCGTTGCCTTCCTGGCCTGAAAGCGTGGTTTACAAGGGTTGTCGTCCTGCACGTGATTTCGCTTATTAACTATCAATTACGTAACCGTTTAATACAACTCTCTTTAACCTGAGCTATTTACTATTGAGCTATTCTAGCAAGCTATGTACAATCTGTCTTGATATGATTAGAGAATTATAGAGAGGTCACTTGGCGGGAAGGTCAAGCAGGTCCTCGGGGCCGAAGCTGTGAGGAAGCAGAGCAGTGAGAGGCTGCATGAGGTAGTCCTCCTTCTCGGTGAACATGTAGACGTCGATCTGGGGAGCAAATTCACGAATGACCTGGCGACAGATTCCGCAGGGAGGAGTGACTGTGCCGGCGCTGGAGGAGATGCCAATTGCGACAAAGTTCTTGTGGCCGGTGGTCTAGAGAGGATAGAAGCAGGTGAGCACTGAGACGAGTGAATGGGAGGTGAGCACAGAGGGGAATTGACATACGACAGCCTTGACGATAGCGGTCTGCTCGGCGCAGATGCAAGCACCGTAGCTTGCGTTTTCAATATTGGCACCTGAATGGGTTAGAGCGGTGTAGGCTAGCAGGCTGGATAACTAAGGACGGCTGCTTACCCTCGATGTACTGTCCGTCGTCTGTGAGGAGAACCGCAGAGACCCTGGAGGAGTGTAAGTCATTATGTACGATCAGGAGATCTGTGCAGATCAGCAATAAAGGAGCACATACTTGAACTTGGAGTAGGGAGAGTAGGAGAGCTTGCGAGCTGCGAGATGCGAGATCATGTTAGCAGGGGGGATATAGAAGCAGCAAGATATGTTCACCTTCAAGAGTCTTTGCGCGCAGTTCCTGGATGCCGGCTTCAGAGAGAGGTGCCATGATGTATATTGTAGTATCAGATGTGTAGTCTATATCTATATCTATACTACATCTATATCCATATCTACATCTACTGTATATCAGCTCATGTCACCCGAGGGGCCCGTACCTGAACCAACCCTCGCCCTAAAACCGGCCAACCGCCATCGCAGCTTCTCCGCCGCCGCTTCGCCGCCTCCGCCGCCTCCGGTTCACTCGCTGCCCCGCTGGTTTTGTTTACATCTTGCCAAATCGCGTACCCGCCACACGCGTCCGTTTCCTCCTCCTCCTCCTCCTCTGCTCTCCGCCCTCGCCGCCATGCAGATGATGAACGCGCCCATGCAGCCAATGGTGCCGCAGCAGCAGCAGCCGCCGCCGCCTCCGCCTCCCCAGACACAGCAGCAGCAGCAGCAGCAGCAGGCCCAGCAACAAGCTCAGCAGCAGCAGCAGGGCCAGCAGCCACCGCCTCCCTCTCCCTACGGCCACCTGCCCTCCGCCGCTCTTCCGCACCCGAACGCGCCCTCCACCGCCGCCGCCGCCGCTGCTGCTGCTGCCGCCGCGGTCGCCGCCGTCCACCTCACGCCGACTCCGATGCAGCACCAGCAACCGCATCCACAGCTCTCGGCCCCGCCAACAGACGACCAGCTCAACCGCAAGTGGACAGACCACGAGATGTGCCGGCTCCTGCGCGCCTACTACCTCGCGCTCACGCAGCCGCCGCCGCAAGGCGCCACCTGGGATGCGTCTGCAAACAACCAGCTCGTCAAGTACGACAACCGCGAGATGCTCTTCGACCAAGTCTGCCGCTTCTACTCTGGCGACCTGCGTCCGCCGTCGCCGTACCCCTCGCTCTGGTTTGCCGGCAACGACTACGATCTTCTCAACCATTCACCCGAGTCGCCCGAAGGCGTCAAGCGCAGGACGCCAAAGTCCTTGCTCGAGAAGTTCAAGTTCTTGCGCATGACCTACTACTTCATCCTCGAGTACGACAAAAAGTACTCGCATGTGCCTACCGGAATCCCGCAGTACGAGCTCGGTGTCGTCCAGAGTGGCTCGGGGTGGTACAAGCTCGGTGTGAAAGAGCAGAGAGACCTGCTGGGAAAAGCTCGCACGCCCATGTCTGGTCGCGTCTTTGTTCTCATGCACGCCATCATGACCCGTGTCGATGCCCTCCGCTCTGGGGAGGTTATTGAGACCCCCGCGCAGCAGCAACAGCAGCAGCAACAAGCACAGCAGCAGCAACAGCAGCAGCGACTTCAGCAAATGCAAATGCAACAACAACAGGCGCAGCAACAACAACAACAACAACAACAACAACAACAACAGGCGCAGCAGCAGGCTCAACAGCAACAGGCCCAGCAGCAGCAGCCTCTACGCCCACGCTCTCTGCAAGATGATCCAAACAACCGAAACAAGCGCCAACGGACCTCTGTCTCACAGTCGACTCCACAGCCTCAGCAACAATCCCAGCAATCCCAGCTTCAACAGCAGCAGCCATCTCAACAGCAAACCCCGACACTGGCCTCATCCGCCATCACAGACATGCCATCTCCGCTCTCCTCCTCTCTCTCGGCCGCCATGAACTCGGCAAACACCTCTGCAAGCATGATGAACAACCGCCTTCTAGCAGCTCTTCTAGAGTCTGTCGAGCGCAACACTCGTGCGGTCGAGCGCATGGCGGCCGATCATGCGAGCATCGCTCAGAAGTACGACGAGATCAGTGGAGTCCTGCGCGAGATGAAGGACGCATATCTTAGAAACACCAATATGCAGATCTAATGTACTAAATACTCGCTCATTGTAATAGTAGTACTGTATTTCTAGGATTGACTTAATGACCCGTTATTGTTTTCGTTTGATTTTTGGAGGAAGTGTATCGAAGTTGATAGTAATTTTAGAATCTTGCATATATTCATTTTATAATTAAAGAGAAAATTTGATTATACATGTAACTGACATTATATATCTTCACTAAAACACACCCCGAACACAAATCAAAAAACTAAAAAAAGAAGAAAACAAACGGAAAAATAAAAATAAAATACCTGACTCACATGCAAAACAAAAAAAGAAAACGTTCTACCTTTTCCAGTTACTCAAAATATTATAGAGCAGTGTTTAGTAAACACGCTTTCCGGGGGGAACGACCTTGCACTCGTTCTCGTCCAGGGTGAAGTAGTTGACGGCACGGTACTTGAGCTCAACCTCATCACCAGGCTTGTGCTGCCACGACAGAGTGTGCTTCATCCAGTTCTCGTCATCACGCTCGGGGTAGTCCTCTCTGGCGTGGGCACCACGCGACTCCTTACGGGCAACGGCAGAGTAGGCGGTCTGCATAGCGCAGGTCAACAGGTTCTGGAGTTCGAGGGTCTCGACCAAGTCAGAGTTCCAGATCATAGAGCGGTCCTTGATTCCAACCTCGGGGAAGGTACGGTCAACCTCAGTGATACCCTTGACACCAGCCTCGAGAGACTCCTGCATACGGAAGACAGAGACATCGGTCTGCATGACACGCTGCATAGCAAGACGGATAGAAGCAGTCGAGCGAGGGCCTTCGGCGTTGCGGACCTTGTCGAGGTTGGCGATGGTAGCAGCACCGATATCAGCAGAGACAGGCTTGTGGGGGGTACCAGGGGTGAGGGTGTCGCGGATGGTGTGCGAGACGGCACGGCCAAAGACAACAAGATCAAGGAGGGAGTTGGCACCCAATCGGTTGGCACCGTGGACAGAGACACAGGCAGCCTCACCGCAGGCGAGCAGACCGGGGACGACCTTGTCGTTTCCGTTCTCGTCGACGGTAAGAACCTCACCGGTGTACTTGGTGGGGATACCACCCATGTTGTAGTGGACGGTGGGCAAGACGGGGATGGGCTCCTTGGTGACATCGACACCGGCGAAAATGGCGGCGGTCTCAGAGATACCGGGGAGACGCTCGTGAAGGACCTCAGCGGGCAGATGGCTGAGCTGGAGGTAGATGTGGTCGTTGAGGTCACCGACACCACGGCCCTCGCGGATCTCCATGGTCATGGAACGCGAGACGACATCACGGGAGGCAAGATCCTTGGCGGTAGGAGCGTATCTCTCCATGAAGCGCTCACCCTCGGAGTTGAGGAGGTAACCACCCTCACCACGGGAACCCTCGGTGATGAGACAGCCCGAACCGTAGATACCGGTAGGGTGGAACTGGACGAACTCGAGATCCTGGAGGGGAAGACCGGCACGGGTGACCATGGCGTTACCGTCACCGGTGCAGGTGTGGGCGGAGGTGCAAGAGAAGTAGGCACGACCGTATCCGCCGGTAGCGAGGACGGTTCTGTGGGCACGGAAGCGGTGGAGGGTACCGTCTTCCTGGTTGTAGGCCATGACACCGACGCAGACACCGTCCTCCATGAGGAGATCGAGGGCGAAGAACTCGATGAAGAAGTTTGTGTTGTGGCGGAGGGACTGGCCGTAGAGGGTGTGGAGGAGGGAGTGACCGGTTCGGTCAGCGACGGCGCAGCAGCGGTAGGCCTGGCCACCGTGACCGTAGTCCTTGGACTGACCACCGAAGGCACGCTGGTAGATTCTGCCTTCTTCGGTACGGGAGAAGGGGACACCGTAGTGCTCGAGCTCGATGATGGACTTGGGAGCCTCGCGGGTCATGTAGTGGATGGCATCCTGGTCGCCGAGCCAGTCGGAGCCCTTGACGGTGTCGTACATGTGCCAGTGCCAGTCGTCCTCGTGCATGTTTCCGAGGGCGGCATTGATGCCACCCTGGGCGGCGACGGTGTGGGAGCGGGTGGGGAAGAGCTTGGAGATGCAGGCGGTGTTGAAGCCGGCTTCGGCGAGACCGAAGGCGGCGCGGAGACCGGCACCGCCAGCGCCGACGACGATACAGTCGTACTCGTGGTCCTGGAGGGGTTAGAGAGAGAGAATAGAGAGAAGGAAGAGGGGAGACGTACAACGACGGCGTATTTTGAGGTGTTTGCGGTGAGATGGGGGGAGGCCTCGGTCGCGCGGAGCGGCTAGGCGGGGTTAGTGATCGGGAGGGAGATGACGATAATCTCCGGGGAGAAGAGGAAGAAAAGAGCAGGAGGAAGCTTACGGTGTTTGCGATGATCTTGCGGGAGACGGCAGAGGCGGAGAAGGATCTGGCGGGGGCCGCGTTGAAGGCCCGCTGAGGGGAGTTAGTGGATGTGATTCGGGAGGGAGGAGGAGGAGAGGAGAGGACATACGGAGGACCTGCCGACGAAGGAGAGCATTGCGACGGAGATGGGTCGGAGTGCAGAGGAAGAAGAAGAGGATGGATGAGAGAAGAGAAGAAGAGGGAAGAGGAGGTGAGGAAGAGGAAGAGGAAGAGAAGAAGTTGTGGAGAAGCAGGAAAAAAGCGTCGAGCGTTTGAAGAAGCGCGTTGAGTCCGCCGGTTCCGCAGCGAAGACGGAAACCCTACGAAAACCCCGGACCGGGAAGATTATTTGTCTCTTCTTTACTGTTTATTGTATCTATTTACTGATTCTAATTGATTCTTGTTCTTATTCTTCTATCTACTTACACCGAACTGCTCTCTTCATCCCCCGAACCCAGGCGTCCCGACACGGCCGCGGTCCGGCGCGGGGCTCGGAGCCTCTCCGCCAATCAGCGCGGGGATTTAGCAACAACGCGCGTGCGCAGGATTGGCCAGAGCACTGCTGACATAATACACAATTACATAAGCGATTACTGATTGCCGTTTCGGGCGACTATGGGGTAGGCGCTCTTCCGACTGGCTTCGGATGCTCGTCGGCGGTTCTCGTCTGGCGTTCTCTTGACTATGGTAAGATATCTGTATTTGGTAGACAATCATCAATTCAGGGCCGTGTAGTTCTGTACATCTTCTACTTCTTCATCTCGCTCTCGAGCGTCTTCATATGTGTCTCCACCTTCGAAACATGACGCTGCAGCTCCACAAGATCCTCGAGAAGCAATGAGTTTGAATCGCGGTAGACATCCAAGACGTAGAAGTATCCCACCAATCCAGTCACCGTAGTGCCCATGAAGAAGCCAAGGATCCTACATCAATACCGTTAGTATTCATCACATTCAATCATCCTCCTCTCTCTCGTTAAGTCACATACGCTCCTCGAAATCCTCCCACAGGCTTGCGCGCACGCGCGGCAGCCGCGGCAGCCGACGGAGCAGGCGCGGCCGCAACCGCTGCGTTCTGCACGCGCACAGTAGACGAGAAGCTCCGCAAAAGCAGAGTAGATGAGACTGGCTGGCGGATAGTTGCCCGTAGAAGAGTTGATGAGAACATGTCTGTTGCTTGCTGTTGCTGTTGCTGTTGCTGTTTGATGTGAAAGGCGGGGTGGATATGCAAAGACCAAAGATACTCTGATAATCTCTGATTCTGGAATAAAACAGTATATAACTAACGCCTCTGCTCAATTATTCACTGACCAAGAATCAACCGACGATAAAGAAGAAGACGACGAAGATAAAGCTGGCAACGGAGCGACTTTTACTGAGGAGGCGAAGCTTAGTCCGAGGCTTCTTCAACCAACCAAAACCAAAACAAATCCGCGCTTATGCCCCTCCTCCTCCTCCTCCTCTTTCTCCCTCAGCCCGCCAACTTCCGCTCTGTCCGGACTAACCGTCACCTGCTCATCTGCTGTTCTTCTTGTATATCCATTATCTATACCTAGAATAATCACTCATCTCCTCACTCACTCCGCCCCTTCCAATTCGCCAGTTCTCCGCAGCGATCTAGACCAGTCCATATTACATAATCCCTTACTCACAATCTTCAAACCTTAACCGTCCATCCCGCCCCGCCTACACCCGACGTCATCGATACTCCACACCTTCAACACATCAACTCATCCACTATCAGCACTCGAATTACTCAAAATGGCTTCTTCTCGAGAATCTCAGGCTCTTTTAGCTGAGATAAAGAAATTCATTCCTCCTCTTCTCGAGAAATTCCATAAAGGCCAAGGTATCTTCTCTTCTTTATACAACATCACCACTATGCACCACTAACATCATCTCAGCTGGCCGAATTGCCGTCATCGGCGGATGCGAAGAGTATTCTCCCTCTCTCCCCGTCTCTACTCTACATATACTGACAACCCAGTTACACCGGCGCACCCTTCTTCGCCGCTCAATCAGCAACCCTCCTCGGCGTCGACATGGCCCACGTCATCTGCGAATCCCTCGCCGGCCCCGTCATCAAGTCCTACTCCCCAAATCTCATGGTCCATCCCTACCTCCGTGACTCAAAAACCCTCTTCCCTCTGCACTCCTCCTCCTCCGCCAAACCATCTCCCGCAGAATGCTCGGCCACTATCGACTCTGACATCCTCCCCCCAATCTACGCCCTCCTCTCCCGTCTACATGTCCTCGTCATCGGCCCCGGCCTCGGCCGCGACCCGGTCATGCAAGAGATTGCAAGAAAAGTCATCTTGAAAGCAAAGTCCCTCGACCTTCACCTCGTCATTGACGCCGACGGTCTATTTCTCGTCCAACACAACCCTGACATCATCAAAGGCTACTCAAAAGCTCTTCTCACCCCCAACATTGTCGAATTCAAACGCCTCTGCAACGCAATGTCCGTCTCCATCGACTCCGATGAGTCCCCCCAGTCCCTCCAACAAGCCTGCCACAGTCTCGCACTCGCCTACTCTGGCCCCACAATCATCGCAAAGGGCCACAGCGACTACATCTCAAACGGCGATATCCAACTAGTCTGCTCCATCCCCGGCGGCAAAAAGCGCGTCGGCGGCCAAGGTGACACCCTCTCCGGCACCGCTGCCACTTTTCTCGCTTGGAAGTATGCTTATCAGTCCCATCTCTGGGATCACGACAATGACCTTACCGCTCCACGCCTCATGGCCTTGAGTGCTTACGGCGCAGCGGCCGTCACAAGGTTCTGCTCCTGCGCCGCCTACGCAAAATACAGACGTGCAATGCTCGCCAGTAACCTCTCCGAAATGATCTCTGACGCCTACTCTACCCTTTTTGAGGATCAGGACTCTTCTCCATAGCCTTAAAAAATACATCATATCATCTACATCTCTACTCCTAACGCAGTTTATAGTATAGAGGTATTTAGTAGTATATTAACACTAAGCTAATCGCACTAATTGTACTGCATGTACTGCGATGTGCTGCTAAACTTCAGATTGCTCTTAATAACCTTCTCCACTGACGCCAAAAAATCCTTCTCCGTCGTCACCTTCCGTCGGGCTCGAATGGCAAACATTCCTGCCTCCGTGCACACCGACCGCAGCTCCGCTCCAGTCGAGTTCGGGCACAGTCTCGAAATCAACTCCCATCGAATATCTCGGTCAACTGACATCGACTTGGCGTGAATCCGCAAAATATTTGCTCGTCCTTCCAAATCTGGCAAACTGAACTCAACCTTTCGATCAATTCTACCAGGTCGCAAAAGCGCAGGATCCAACGTATTCGGTCGGTTAGTCGCAAACATAACCTTGATATTTCCACGAGGATCAAATCCATCCAACTGAGTGATAAGCTCAAGCATAGTACGCTGAACCTCATTGTCTCCTCCCGCACCATCGTCGAATCGAGCTCCTCCGATAGCATCGACCTCGTCGAAAAAGATAATGCACGCTTTCTTTGTACGCGCCATCTCAAACAGCTCTCGCACCATTCGCGCTCCTTCTCCAACGTACTTCTGCACCAACTCCGATCCAATCACTCGAATAAACGTAGCATCAGTTCGGTTCGCAACTGCACGAGCACACAAAGTCTTTCCCGTTCCCGGAGGACCGTAGAGTAAAATACCCTTAGGAGGGTCAATACCGAGATTCACAAATCGTTCGGGAGACAGCAAAGGCAGCTCAACAACCTCACGTAGCTTCTCAATCTGCTCCTTGCATCCTCCCACATCGCCATAAGTCACATCCGGCTTCTCTTCGACCGTCATCATCGTCACCGACGGATCGATTCTTGGTGGCAAGGGAAGCTGAATCTGGTATTTGTTTCGATCCACACTAGATTTCTTGTCAGCACATTATTATATACTATAATAAACAAAATCAAACATACCCAACTCTCATGCCCTCCTCAATATCGGTAGGACTCACACGCTCTCCTAGGCTCACCACTTTAAATCGATTAGTATAAGCATGGATCCCCAACATCAATCGACAGATACATACCAAACTTCGCAAGCTGCTTGACGTTAATGACATATTTCGACTTGTCGGGATCATCAGCAGTCTTGATAATCTTTGTGCATCGTGCAACCTGCAACGGCTGATCCTCAGACATGCGCTGGCGGTCAGCGGCAATATCCCACAGATGAGGTGGCGCAAGACCCGTGTCGGATTCCTATTAACAACAGTTTAGCAGATCCATCTTGAATACAAACGGATGAAATCTATATACCTTGACACCTATACATATGAATGTTAGCAGATGGTCGCGGGCTACATTAACAGTCGACACTTACCAATCTTCTCGTTCACGCGCGCTTGAACATCTTTGATATCCTTCTCCAGCTTCTTCAGTAGAGTTGCATACGGTGCAACACCCTATAATATTCACATCCACAATCAGAAACGATGATCCCGAGTTGATCCTTCGCTGCCTGCGATCGCACTTACATAAGTCTTCAGAACCGCAATATCATCCTCAGATAACGGCTGGATCTTCTCTTCCTTTTGATCCGAGTCCTCGACCGGTGCCCGATACTTTTCCCAATCAGCTTTAGGCGGCATGACTATTCAGAATTGTGTGTACGTGTTCGATTGGATGATGATTCGGACAATGATCGCTCACGACGTGGATATGCGGTGTGTGTTGAGAGTCGTGGGAGAGCTGGGCTGACGGCGACCAATCGCCTGTGCACCAGTTAGATGCGCACTTGTGCCACAACTGCACCCGCAACTAAAATAAAGTTTAAACGCGTTCTGAGCAGAGAAAGATCTCAGACGAAGACAGGAGAAGCGCGTCGCTGCAAAAAAATCGTGTCTTCAGAGCCTTAACCAAACCGCACGCTTTCTATCGACCTTTTTGTTCAATCTGCGTCTTTCAGTTGTACTTTCTGCTTTAGATTATACAGAAATTGCTATTGTATCAGTTATCCGCTGATCGATTCACTCCGCAACTCACCAGAGAGAAATTTCCCTGCGCAACATGTCTGCTGCCTCAGGTCACGCCAGCAACAATGCGTCTTTCAAAGACAAGGAAAAGCCCCAGGAAGTCAGAAAAGCGAATATTGTCGCGGCGAGAGGTGAGTTTTTTCTATTTCTTGTCCGATTTGATACGATCATGGACGTCAGCTAACAGCTTCTCCGTGACACAGCCGTCGCAGACGCGATTCGAACTTCGCTAGGACCAAAGGGAATGGATAAAATGGTAGGATTCTAATACAAACTGCTTCAATCGATGCTCTGGCTTTCTACTTTGATGCTAACAATTGGCAGATCAAAACCGGACGGGGAGAGGTCATTATCACCAACGATGGACACACTATCTTGAAGCACATGGCTGTCATGCATCCGGCAGCAAAGATGGTACGTTTTCTCGTTCACTGTGATCACAAAGTCTTCTACTAACAGTTGAATAGCTTGTCGATTTGTCGGCAGCGCAGGATGTTGAAGCCGGTGACGGTACGACGTCGGTAGTTGTCATTGCGGGCGGTATGCTAGGCGCAGCTGAGCGTCTTCTTCTCAAAGGAATTCATCCCACCATCATTGCAGAGTCTTTCCAGCGTGCTGCCGCCCGCGCCGTTGCAATCTTGAGAGAAATGTCGATCCCTGTCGAACTCACCGATCGAACATCGTTGGTACGCGCAGCTTCTACCTCCCTCAGCTCAAAAATTGTCTCTCAGTTCTCCTCGTTGCTCGCTCCTATGGCGGTCGACGCTGTCTTGCAGGTCATCAATCCTGCAACCGCTCAAAATGTTGATCTTGAGAATGTCAAATTGGTGAAAGAACTTGGTGGCACTATCGAAGATACTGAGCTTGTCGACGGCCTAGTCTTGACCCAGCATGTCATCAAGACCGCCGGCGGTCCTGCTCGCATGGAGAAGGCGAGAATCGGATTGATTCAGTTCCAGGTCTCTCCTCCCAAACCTGACATGGAGAACCAGGTTGTTGTGAACGACTACAGACAGATGGACAAGATCTTGAAGGAAGAGCGCACATATCTCCTCAACATTTGCAAAAAGATAAAAAAGGCAAAGTGTAACGTGCTTTTGATCCAAAAGTCTATTCTCAGAGATGCAGTCAATGACTTGTCTTTGCATTTCTTTGCCAAATTGGGTATCATGGTTATCAAGGATATTGAGCGTGATGAAATCGAATTTATCTGCAGAGTGCGTTTTATATCCAGTTCTGAATTATCTGCAATGGAGTAAACTAACAATTTTCTAATATATAGAGTACCGGATGTCAGCCTGTTGCGGATATCGAGTCATTCTCCGAGGATAAGCTTGGCCAGGCCGAGCTTGTTGAAGAAGTCCAGTCATCTGGATCGCGAGTGGTCAAGGTCACTGGTGTGAAGAACGCCTCCCGGACGGTTTCAATCATCGTTCGTGGTGCTAACCAGCTGGTCTTGGATGAGGCCGATCGCTCAATCCACGACGCTCTTTGTGTGATTCGCTGCCTCGCTAAGGAGCGTGCCTTGATTGCTGGAGGAGGTGCACCAGAGATCGAGGTTTCGCGGACGTTGGCTCGCGAGGCTCGGGAACTGTTTGGTACAGAGCAGATTTGCTGGCAAGAATTCGCCAACGCTCTGGAAGTCATTCCTACTACCTTGGCTGAGAATGCCGGATTGAACAGTATCCAGGTCGTGACCGACTTGCGAAGCCGTCATGAGCGCGGCGAGAAGAACGCTGGCGTTAGCGTGCGGAAAGGTGCTACGAAGAACATTGTTGACGAGAATGTTCTGCAGCCTCTGCTGGTCAGCATGAGCGCCATTCAGTTGGCTGCTGAGACTGTCAAGTCGCTCTTGCGTATTGATGACATTGCAATTGCCAGATGATTGTCTTTAAAACTTTGTTGATTGTATTTGAACTGTATATGTATAAAGTTGGTCCACCATTTTAGTCGCGCTTGTTTACAGTAAATATTGATTTATAATATACGTATATACCTACAGATAGAGCTTATTTTTCAGTTCCGAATAACTTCTCGCAACAAAGCCATAGTCTTTTCCAAAAATGTAGCCAAAAAAGCGTGGATGTAAACAAAGAGCTGGTTGGGAGATCGAGCTGAACTCTAATGGTACAGTGAACCTACTAAAATTAGAGATCACAGAGATCAGATTTGATAAAGAAGCATTCGTCGACTGACTGCAATCCGACTCTCATTCCTTTTATAAATGGCGGAGGAGTTGAGTCCGCTAGAAACTGAGCTGGCCGATCAGTCACCGAATCCAAATCAGCGGCGAACTGCAGTCACTGATGATTATCCCGCGTCGCCTGGCACACCTGCAAGTTTCTCTTCCCAACCCCTTCTAAGATCCTCTCCAACAAGAGCAGGTGATCGGTATAATCACCTCAATCATGATGACGACGACGGCACAAACGCAGACTATCCTGTTGGTCGGAAAAATTACTTCAGTGAGCAGGCTTCACCTCTGTATGACGCTGGATCCAGAACTCGTATGAGCTCGTCTCGAACTCCTTCAGCTCTATTCAACAGCCGCCTTCTCTCTCATCCTTCATTCGACCAGCTACCGGATACCGAATATACGACGAACTCAGGAAGCCCACCTCGGTTAGCTTTTCACCGAAGTCCTGCCATCATCTGGTGGGCTGTCAAACAGCGAGCGAGCAGCGTTCTGCTATATGTACGAGGACCGACATTCACTCGATCCTTCAAATGCGCCCTGGCATATTTTCTAGCCTCTCTAGTTGTTTTCAGCAGCCATATTTCAAGCATATACGGTGTCAGCGATGGCAAGCATCTTGCAGCCACAGCATCTGTGTACTTTCACGCAGCACGGTCGGTTGGTAGTATGATTGAAGCGACAATATATGCAGAGATCGCTCTGCTTTATAGTGCGGCTCTCTCGAGCTGTAGCATGCTAGTTTCGAATCTTTTTTTCAAGCTTGATATGATTTCAGTGGGCCACTTTATCGTGCTGGTCGTGTTCTGTGCTGGCGGGTTGGGTTCGATTGCGTACATGAAGCAGCGAATGAACCGGCCAACATTTAATACTGCATCTTCATTGGCGTCCGTGTCTTTTGCAACAATTCTGATTCGCGAGGGATCTATTCAGCGGGGAAGCGTTTCATTTCTGCGAATGATTCAGGTTTCGGCCATCGTCAATGGAGGAATTATCATAGCGGTTTGTGTCTGCTTACTGCTATTTCCAGTAACGGCCATCTCGCAGGTCAAGTATGTTCCCTCCGCCAGATGCCGCCAAATTCTGAAATCATCGTTTAACTGACAGTATACGACTATAGATCGAGTATAAACTACACTCTTTCTCGTTATGAAGAGATGGTAAGTATAGAGCTTCAGAGACGAGTTAATTTCCTCAGCTGACGCTAACACTCTGCTCTTTAGCTCCAGCTTATTACCGCTGGATTCACCTCGGATAACCCGCTGCGGATGAAGAACTATGAGATTCCGCTGAAGGAGGTTCAAGCTGCTCACAGATCCCTCGACGCTGCAATTCACGAGGCAAGATTCGAGTTCTATATGTGGGGCACTGTCGACGAATTCAAGCACCTCAAGCGCTTAACACATTCTGTGGAGGATATACTCTCGCGATTGGGTGGAATCCGAAGTTCTCATATGATGAAACTTCAACTCATGAATGTTGAACCGGGCTATCGGAAAAACTCATGTGCTGAGCTGTTTAATGTCTTTAATCACTATTGCGGAGACCAAATGGTAATTCTGAATTGCTTTCACGATCCCTCATACGCTTCTAACCTGAATCCAATCTAGGCTAGAGTCACAGGAAAGTTCTGCGCCACTTTGGAGGGCATGAAATTTAATGGAACTGGGCGTCACTCGACCATCAATCTCCCAGAAGACCAGAAGGCTCGACTTCTGGAGGTAAGTTGATATCTCAGGCTAGTCTTATTATCAAGTGATTTGCATGCTAACATTTCTATAGGCCAAAGATGAATTTGTTGCGGCGAGGCTATCAGCGCTTCATGATATATACGCCATGGATCTCTTTCGAACTCAGGTCCAGACCAACCATGCTGAAATCGGCGCCTACCTGGAAGAGGTCGTGGCTATATGCGGTCAGTTCTCGTATGGTTTGCTGACGCTAACCGACTGCCTGATCGAGTCAATATCTATTATCGAAGATTACAGCGCATATCTTGCGCAGTGTCCGGAGCCCTCATGGGCATGGCTTAGATTCTGGGAGTTGTCTCCTGCGGAATCCCCGGAGAGTGGTTCACAGGCAACCGTTGCGCATCTGCCGCCTTCCTTTTTTCGTCTCTTCACAGATGAAGAAGTTCGGATATCTAGCGCTTCCACGAATGATCCTTTTCGGCTTAGACTATGGAGATCGCTGTACACTCTTCGACGTATCGACGTGCTTTATGGAATCAAGGTTGGCTTAGGTGCGATGCTTTTCACTCTGCCTGCATATATCCAAAAGACTCGTCCATGGTTCAGCTTTTATCGTATGGAATGGGGCTTGGTCTCATTTGTGATCGTCATGAATGTATCTATCGGGGGAACTTTATCCGCAGCTTTTTACAGGTGAGATAAATGACCCACAACTTATTTATTTTATTAGTGGTTCAATTACTAACGAGGCATGAACGAGTCAGAATTTTGGGTACCTGTCTGGGTACTCTTCTGGCGTATATAGCGTAAGCCCCATCAGTCGTCGAGATGTGCTCATAGTATTTACTAACACAAGTCGAACTAGCTGGCAGCTCGCTCCTGGAAATGCAGCTGTTCTTCCGTTCGTGGGGTTCTGCATTGCTCTAGGATGTTTCCATATCATTTTAACAGGAAAACCAAATGCAGTGTTTGGAAGGTCTGTAAATACGCCTGCTATCGGGGTGGTGCTGTGCTAACATCTTCTCAGATTTATCCTACTCACGTTCAATCTGACCGCACTGTATTCTTTCAGTATATCGCGTGATGATTTCGATAACGACGACGACGACGATGACGAAGGAGGACTGACGCCGATAGTCGGTGAAATCGCATGTATGCTTCTTAGTACCTTGGTCTCGTTCTTTATGATTCTGGCTGCTGAATTTGACGGTTGTAGGGCACCGCTTGTTCTCGGTCACTCTAGGAGTTATCTGGGGAGTGCTGGTCACTCTTTACATGTGAGTATATTCTTCTAAATTGAGAAGCTGCCTACATGAGCTAACGATAGATTGACTGATACTGTAGCTGGCCCAATAGTGCTCGAGCTGATTTAAAGCGAAAACTAGGCACTCTTTGGATCCAGATGGGACTACTCTGGAAAGGTGATCCTCTCCGAAATATGGCGCTAGGGAGAGATAGTGCTCCTGAGGTTGCAAAGTATATGGGACTTGGTCAAGAGATTCTTCTATCAAAGTCTCTTCTGAAGTTGAACCCTCTTCTATCACAAGCAAGCAAAGAATTCCGGTTGAAAGGAGCCTTTCCGAAATCAGAATATAAGAGTATCATTATATCGACACAGGGGATACTCGACTCATTTCACATGATGAACGTACGCTAATCCCTATATCTTGATGATTTGTTTGCATTTTCCGTGCACGTCACGCTATCCAAAGACAGTTCTAACAGATACAGGATATGCTTCTGCGCCAAAGTGAAGCCGCCGCATCAGGCATGCGCATCATATCTTATACCGAATATGAAAGTGAGCTTACATTTACCCGAATACTGTCTGATATCACTCGTTCTGATCGATATACCTGTACCATCTTTAGGGAGAGAACTAAACAATCGACTGTTTCTTTTGTTCTACCGTACGTAGCACATATCAAGACTTCCTTCTCTTCTGAAATGGTAATGCTAAGCTTAGCTAATTTCTAGTGATCTCATCATCCCTTCGTCTCGGATTACCGCTCCCTCAGCATCTACCCAACACTGAGCATGCTCGGGAGCTAATGATATCAAAAGTGAACGAGTTTCGACATCTGCAAATTAGCCAAGAAGCAACTATCCGCGAAGATGAGTTTATTTTGGTATATTCTTATAGTATGAGACTCTGATCCTATCTACTCTTTGAATGCAAATGCTAATTCTTCAACAACAGTTCTGGCGACGCTGGCGATCAATGCAGAGTTACTGAATATCATTAACAAACTCCAATGCATATATGGAGTCATCACTGACGAGGCGTCATTGATTGTGTGAAACTTCTGGAAGCTCGTCGTCCATATCATGTTTATCGCGAGCTTGCATCATTTCAATGCTGTATATATCTATATTACTCTACCTACATAAAATATGTAGCTAGCCAATGTAGCTAGCAAATATATGTACCACCTCTGCATAGATCTAGATGTATATGTATTCTTCCGCAACGACGTCACCAGTTGTGATGGCTATAGTTGTCCGTGCCACGAGTAAGCTTGAAATAATATTCCATTGATTCCTATCCGATTTCAAGGTCAGCCAGATTAGCACAAGATGTCTGGAAGAAATGCAAGAACTCAAGGCTAATGCTAGGGCTCTAAGGCTGTTCACTCTCGGGTTTGTGACCAGCGTTGCGAAGAGGTTGAGCATCGAGGGCTATGGAAGGCATGTTTGAAGTTTGCGTCAATCATCTTGGAATTGCCCGTAACGATTATTATTAGTTGCAACTCGAAACCAAGTAGCTAAATTCTCACTACCACTATCGCCAGGACCATTAGTACACTGTTGGAGCACACTTGGCCTTCACTAGAATTGCATAACTGCGCAGCGGCTTTTGCTACTCCCCCCGGCATGAAGGAGGAGGAGTGTAGAAACGAAGAGGGTAAGAGGAGGAGTAGGCAAGGAGGCCAATTCAGCTCGACGTCGATGGAGCTTGAGGTGAGCTGAAGAGGAGGTGCGGCGTGAGGTGAGGGGAGGAGGAGGAGGAGGAGGAGTGGAGGTCAAGAAACAGAACGTTTATTGACGGGCTTGACACACTCTCGGAGACTGGCTTTGTGTAGCGGTTTGTGTAGTGCCCATAGAAATCTGGACTCAGCAGGTGGGAATGACAGTTTATCTAAAGAGAGTTTATCTAAAGTAAAGTCCGGGAACTTAGTAGTAGTTAGTGAAAGACTCGGCTGAGACTCGGTTGAGGAGCGTAAAGTTAGACGCGCCTGACACGTCTAAGAAACTTGACCGAACAAAAGCGAGGAAGCATGAAGAGGAGGAGTTTGACAGGCTTGGAAGCGCGGGAATAGGACCGAAAGTAAGGAGAGAAAGTGTCAACGCACTCGGTAAGAGTAAGGGCAGAAATCATATAAATATAACAACAAAGGCGCGACTTATAAATATAACAACAAAGGCGCGACTTATAACTCGCAACAGAGCAGAACAGGGCCAGCGTTGGGTAGGTGGAAGAACAGATGACAAGAAAAAGAACAAAGGCGCGACAAACAAGTGAAGAAAGACGAAGCGCAAAGAAGAAACTAAACTAACAGACAAGAGTCGTGCCTATATAGAATCGCCATGATGATGGTGAATAGACGAATGACTGCAAGATCGACTTCCGACTGCAAGCAGAGCAGAACTACTAATTCAAGATCAAGTGATTCTGAAGAATTCGCGGGCCGGCGAGATCGAGCGCCGATCAGCGCGAGTTTTCAAATCTCTCAGTCAGTACGCATTCATGGACAGATTAAGAAGGAATTATGGAGGAGCACAAACTCAGACAGAAAAACCTGAAGACAGCCACTACACACGTGAGTGCACGGGCAGATAGCAAGTGACGAAAGCGGAGGGGGTCAAGGACGCGCAAATGTAGCGGTAAGGTATCGTGCTCAAAGGGCATTGCTGAGTACCATGTAGTAAGCGCAGTAAGAAGTTGAAGAGATCACACGCACGTTTTGGAAGGGTGGTGCTGGTGGGTAGCGTTAGTGTCAGCGTCGAGGAAGAGAAACTCTGAGCCAAAAAAGCGACGCACATCAAGAAATACCCAAAGAAGAAGACCACGGATACAGAACATAATCGAAAGAAAACAAAGCAGCGCAGTTAGTTGTTGAGGCACTTTATTGAAGAGTGTGCAGGGTTCTACGCGTCGCACTTGAGTTAGAGGTTGTTAGAAAGCGCGTCGCACGAGGACTCGATTTGTTAAATCGGTTTGTTAAATCAGCATTTAAGGGAACTGGTTAGGGAACCGGGGAGGAACGTTTAAGTGAGTGAGGCCAGGAAGCGTAAGGGTTGAGACAAGGAAGGGCAGTGTAAGCGTCTGGTCTTGGACAAAGTGTGAGGTGTGTAGAAAGAGAAGTAGCCAACCATCAGCGACGAGAGCAAAGAGCAAGAAAAGCAAGCAGGAAACCCCGAAGAGAATGAGGAGTAAAGAAAAACAAGAACAGCGCCTCAAGAGCGTAAGCGTTCAGCAGATGAGTGTATAGTCAGAGCACATGAACGTTGAACAGTTCACGAAAGGACCAAGTAGTCGGCATAGGTACAGGCCGAAGCGTCTGGGAGAGCTTCAAGCGAAGGCAGGTTTCTGTAAAGGCATAGAAAGCAGCAAGGCAAGCGTGCCTACGCTACTGGGGAATATATTATCATTATAATTATTATTATTCAAAACACGACAAGGAAGTGAGAGGGAATTGTATCTAGGGGACAGTGAAAACAGAAACAGACTCAATTCCAACGCAGCTGTAGTGCAGGGGGAAGCGTATGGGCGACTGTGGTGATGATGATGATGATCAGCAGCTCGAGGCGATTTGAGAGGAAGCGTAGGCAAGAGTCAGGAGAGGTGGCGTTAGTATTGGGTAAATACAAGAGCAATGAGCGAGACCCAGAAGAAAAGGTAAAGGAGCAACAAAAACAAACAATATCTCCTGGGATGGTATGTTGAAGAAGCGTGAGAGAGGTCAAAGGAGAGAGGCCAAAGGAGAGAGGTCAAAGAAGGGAAGCGAAAGATCGAAGGGCAAAGAAAGCGGGATAGTCCAGGTGAAGGTAGTTGAGAGCGCGATCAGGAGGACTCAGCTGGGAATGTGTGGATGGAATCAGTGATGCGAGCTTTGACTAACAACAGCAGCATAGGTGTAGGGAAATGGAAGCGTAAGAATCAAGAACGGGGAGAGTGAGAGGAGGCGAAGGCGCGTCAGGGTGGAGGAAGCATAAAGGCGAGTGAGTCGAGGCGGGGGTGGAAGCGTAGGCGTAGGCGTGAAGCATGAGGACGGAGACGAGTGTTGGGTAAGCGCAAGAGCGGAACAAAGACAAAGGCAGATGACCAAGTTCAGTCCCGTGAGGTTGCACTCTCGACGGTGAGGTGGGGTTTGTGAGAGCAAGCGCGACAGGAGCAAGCGAGGGACAAGGGAGCGGTAGCTTGGGAAGAGACAGGGTCGGCAATGAAGTGATCGAGGAACGCAAAGGCGGGTCGTGCCGAGGTTGTTGGTAAGGACAAGGAAGAAGCGTGCGAGCGAGGGACCAGGAAGGAAGTGAGAAAAGCAGTGTTCGGCGTCGAAGTCGAAGAGGCACAGACGTAGATGGGAGTGTAAGGAGGAGACCGGGAAGGTGTGGCATAAGCGCAAGAGCAGGACAGAGTGCAAGGCGGCGGGTGTGTTGAGTCCTGTAAGGTTGCACTCTTTTCAAAGGAGGCGCGGAAAGCGTGAGAGCGCGAAGGAGAGGGAGAGGGAGAGTGAGAGAATGAGAGGGGGAGAAAAGCGGGTGAACGTGGAGGAAGTGTAAGGCAGCAGGTGAGAAAGATAAAGAAAAGCGTGGGGAAGTAGGAAATAAAGAGGAGGCCGCAATGCTGAAATATTGTGGTGGACTCGAGCTGCTATTTTACAAAACTTTAATACGCTCCAGAGTGTTTACATAAGAAAATTGTTGACTCTTACTAAGAACTGAAACTCGGCTGGGAGGTCTCGCAAGTAGGCCTCAAAGATCGTGATAGTACGGCTCAGGCGGTAGCTGGGAGACAGCATCGCTCAACGAGCAATTCTGAAGATTATAGCAGCAAGCGACGAAGAACAGAGAGAACAGAGAGAAGAAAATGAAAGAGCACAAACGCGGACAGCAAAATTAAGCACAGATACTACACAGGTGAGCGCAAGGGCAGGTAACAGATAACCAAGCGAAGGCGCGACCAACAAGACGGAACCGAGTAGAGCAGAGCCAGCGTTAGGCAAGCAGAAGTACAGAAGACAAGTGAGTAGCCAGCACAGGTGTGGGCCGACGAGTCCGTGGGGGTTTCAACGAAAGGTGGGATTCTATAATGACAAAGCGAGCAGCAAGGCAAGCGCGCCTACACTACTGGGGAGTATATTATCATTATTATATTTACTATTATTCAAATATGACAATGAAGTGAAAAGGACTAGTATCTGGTAGACAGGGACAGTGAAAACAAGAACAGGCTCGATCTTAATGCAGCGGCAGTGCTGGGGGAAGCGTATGGGCGACTGTGGTGACGATTATCAGCAGCAGCTTGAGGCGTTGAGGGGAAGCCTAGGTAAGAGTCAGAACGATAGCGTTAGTACTGGTAAGCACAAGAGCAGGTGACGAGATCCAGAAGCAAAAGTAAAGGCGCAACAAAACAAATAATACTCTCCAGTAGAGGTGGGGTCCGGCTTGAGAGCAAAGAACCAGGTTGAAGAAGCGTAAGATAGGGAAGCGAAGGGAAGAGTAAGAACCACGGGCCAAGAAAGGGGGATAGTGTAGGTGAAGGTAGTTGAGCGCAACCAGGAGGACTCAGCGAGAGTTTGTGGATAGGTCCAGGTCATGTGAGCTTGTTTGGACAGTCAACGGCGGCGTAGACGTAGGGGAACGGAAGCGTAAGAGGCAAGGAAGCGGAAGAGTGAGGAGAGGCAGAGTCCGCGTCGAGGTTGAGGGAGTTTGAGTGAGTAAGGAAACGCAAGGACGGTGCGTGTTGGGGTTGTTGGTCGGGATAAGGAAGCGGCGTGCGAGCAAGGGACAAGCAAGGAAGTGAAAGAAGCAGTGTCGACGTCGAGGTTCAAGAAGCGTAGAGGAGGCGAGGTATAGAGGCGACTGTATGGAGAGGCGTGGGAAGGAAGGGAAGTGTGGGGTGAGCGCAAGA